AGCTGAGCTTGGATGATGGCTGCCTGGACTGGACCAGTGCATGCGGCTAGCTGGCCGCGCAGTTCATTGATCTTACCTTTCGAGCCTTTCATGACTCGGGTGCAGTAGTGTTGTCGCTGGTGTACTCTGCACAGAGCGGTGTGTTGCTCTGAGGGGCAAAAGTGGGAGTCGTCGTCGTTAAGTACTCGCCCACAGTAGCCACCACATTTCTGTAGCCCATCAGGCAGAGTCGTAGCAGACAGATGCTCTTCAGGGCCCCTTCTGGACATCATTAGACCTCTACTCGACCATTTACCTCGAAACGGTATTTGAGGGTGTGGTGAAATACAGGTGCAAGCGGCGTCAAAAGAAGCTGCGAGGTCAATTGAAGGTCATAGAGAAGGATGGCAGTGTTCAATTCTTCATTAGATGTCTGCTACGGACGCTAGACGATGATGTGTGCTCGTAGTTCTTGTGCTGTGGTGTTCTTTTCTTGGTGGACTTTGGCAATCGACAAGAAGTGCAGACATCTCGCCCACGTCCTGTCTTCAGCACAAGCATTCGTCCCCTCCTGCTCGCGCACCATTACAAGAAGGTCTTGGCCGCAATGACACCGTAGAATATCACAGATTGCGCTTCTGAGATGTCGCAGTATCCTCGCGGTGTGAGGTGATGGAAGGAATGCGCGGGCTTCTTCGAGACCAAACTTTGTTGGCTCACGATCAAAACGCCTGCTCAACCCAGATTTTTGAAGAAGGATAGAACGAGTAGGACAGAAGATGGCGAGCAACTTTCACTTGACGTTGGAGGCAACTTTCTCTCAGCTTCCTTTATCTTTGAGTCGGCGCATGGTCGGCGGTCAAGATGGTGCAATATAGGGACTCCCGCCTCATCTCGCTTGCTCGATCAAATTGCTTACAAACTGCTTATTGATCGCGACTGTAACTCACAAATCGTCCGGGTAAAGCAAAGGGGCACGGGCCAGATGTCGCGCCTGTTCTCGGCCTGCGCGATAATTTTTGATCCAAAATTGTTCCCTCTTGTACAGCTTGCGTTCATCTTCAGTCATCTCATCCAGAAAGTCCCCCATGTCGGCAACATCGTCCACTGGGTCCTCCATCTTCACAGGAAGTTCACTGTCATAAAATATCCCAGTAGATGGTATGCCCTTTTGTATAGCTCTTCGCTCGGCAAATGCTGCCGCGAGCGCTGCTGCAAGCATGTCCATGGAGTCAATCTGAGCATAGCAAAACTCTGTTCGAGAGACCAAACGAAAGATGACCGCTTGCTGCATGTTGGTAAGAATGACAATCTGGTATGGTGCCTCTTGCTTGAGCTTATTGATGGCAAACAAATGAAACATACATTCGATCCACGCTCGCGATGCCACAGTCACACTGCTTCGAACAACTTTCAGAAAGCCATAGCCCTGATACTGTACCATGGAAGCCGGCAGTACGTGGAGGCCTTGCTCGACGACAACAAAGTCGCAGTAACCGATGATTTCATACTCGCGCTGATACTCAAAGGTCAAGTTGAGCTCGAGATCGCGCGCCGGACAATAGCTAATTGAGACAATTTCAAGCGCACAAAACCAGAGATAGAAAGCCCTCAAGCAGGCACTGGACGCCAAGTCTTCGTCTGGCCAAATGAAAGGCACTACCTTGTCTGGCAAAGCAGCGGCGCGAAGACTGCTCAGGTCGAGGCATTTTTCTTGTAATGAAGCACGAAAAAGCATAGCAACCTCTGTGGGAACCCTAGACGACTCTAGAAGTATGGGTAGAGCCTCATCTCTCGCACGTGCCTGCTGCAAAGCCAGAAGCCCGAAGCGTATATTTTGAACGTCTTCAATGAGTTTCAGAGATGTATCATGCCACGAACGATTACGATCGAGTGTTTGACTGTCCTGGCTGTCGCTCGGGCCGTGAAGACACTCGGTGGACGTGGTTGATTCATGTGCGACTGTTTCTGGAGGGGTTTTGGGCAAGTGGAATGCTGTTGACATCTCCTTTACAGTTCTTCGGGGAGCAACCTGCAATTCCTGAACTTGATCGCGAATCTGCCTGATGTCTTCGCCCAGGCGCTGGAACCAAGCTTGCATGTAAGATTCCTTCGCATCAAGAGTGGGCGGCAAGAGATTTGGTGATGCGCGAATAGTCTTGTCTTCAACATTCTTCATATCGTGCACACTGGAGGTGCCAGCAAATTCTGTCATCTGTCGTCAACTTCTGCGAGCAGGTCTGGCCGCCGCAAGGACCTCAGTTTCTGATGCCCTCCGCCTTCACCTGAACGACCTGCACTTCCTACAGCGCAAGCACTCAGCACTATTTGTAGTTTTGGATATCGTGAATCAGTCGCGTAGTTCTACACTTCACCAAAGCCATCGCGCAATTGCACAGTCACAAAGTGGGCCGGAACCACAAACAGAACGCTCACTTGCAACTATGTCGCCACACCAGCAGGGTAAGGATGTACTACGAAGGTTTATGTAGATACAGGGAAGTCGTAAAAGATGCCTGGTCCTTCGCCTCTTTCAAATTCTTGCATGGCAAGATGCATGCAGGCGATGAAATCCTTCGGATCATGGCACAGGTGAAACCTCCACGAATCCTTGCCCTCTTCCATCTTCAAGAAAGCTGCCGATGTCAAATCAGTCAGGATGACCAGCATATGCGGCGGACGTATGCGGGTGGTGTTTGCCGCCACGAGTTGGAGTCGTGCCTGGTCCATGTGCGCTGGCACAGGAACTCGCTCGCCAACAGCAGGGTTGTGGTAGAAGCAATTCTTTTTTAGCTCGATGAGGGCTCTTCCTCCAGAACCAGAGAGTAAGTAGTTCAGCTCTAGGTAGCGCTGAGGATAGGATACGAGCATCAGGTCAGGTCTTCCCTCAAACTTTTGAAGCTGTGTGCCGCCGCCGGCTTGAGGAATGGGCGCCACGTGATGCAGACGCACAGTACGTGCATCAAGGACAGAAACGCCAGGTAGGGCCAGTGCTCTCAGCCACTCGATCGCAGCCTGCATCTGCGTCACCTCAGAGTCCGTGCTCCAGACAAAGGGAAGAGGCGTGGGGATTGCAAGCTTGTATTCGTCATTCAGCACGAGCTGCATGGGCACTTGCTCGGTTCCAGCGAACACAAGCAACAGCAATTCTGCTGGAGCCTTTGTGAACGCTATAGTAGGTCCGGGTGCAAGCTGTAGCGATTTGACTGTGCCAGCCAAGTTGAGGATGTTGGCATTCAACAGCTCAACCTGCGCCGTCAATGCTTGCAGCCGAGCGTCCGTCTGGCCCAGGTGAAGCTTGACATGGTCCAATTGCCCTTGCAAGGCCTTGAACGCCTGCTTGGTGATGACCACCTCTTCGGCCGACATAGGTGTCGTCAATGGTGAAGAACAATACAGAGCGGTGTGTTGCTCTGAGGGGCAAAAGTGGGAGTCGTCGTCGTTAAGTACTCGCCCACAGTAGCCACCACATTTCTGTAGCTCATCAGGCAGAGTCGTAGCAGGCAGATGCTCTTCAGGGTCTCTTCTGGACATCATTAGACCTGTACTTGTCCATTTACCTCGAAACTGACTTTGAGGGTGTGGTGAAATACAGGTGCAAGCGGCGTCAAAAGAAGAGGCAAGGTCAATTGATGGTCATGGAGAAGGATGGCAGTGTTAGATTTTTGATTAGATGTCCGCTACGGACGCTAGACGATGATGTGTGCTCATAGTTCTTGTGGTGTGGTGTTCTTTTTTGGTGAACTTTGTCAATTGACATGAAGCAGGCACGCTTGACTGTACAATTGGCTGTTGAGCTGCAGATGGTTGATGCCGTGTCTGAACTGTGCAGCTGCAGTAGCACAAGTCAGCCGCCTATCATTGAAGAGCAATGTCTGCAGAAGCCGTGCTCCGCGATGCAAGTCCCTGTGTCTGTCGCAGTCATTGCGAGGGCAACAGAGATTGAGCTAGCGGTGGCGTTCGAGGTGGAGATCAAGCCTGCGGTGGTCGATGGCAAAGACGTCGATGAAAGCAGGACTAGCTGGCAGGCTAGGCTGATCAAGCGGCGGCGTTGCATGAACAAAAACGGCGTTTCAGACAGAGCTTAGGATGCTGGCGCCGAGAGAGACTCCAGGTAGCTTCCAGGCGAGACTCATTGCCAAACTGAGCTTGCAAAACTGAGCTAAGACCATGCGCTGGACGTCGGCGGTTGGTTTAGCAAAGACGGAAGAAGCGTAAACATGAAAAGTAGACGGTCGTACAAGTGATGACTGAGCAATCAAACGCACTTGACGTCAGCGTTGCTGAGGCTGCCGCGCCAACGATGGAGCTTCTGCTGCAAGGACTCTTGCTGCGCTGCAAGCGAGACGTGACGGACGAGCCATTGCACGAGTAGTAAAAGCCATAAGACGTCCACAATTCGAAGCATCTTGCTCAGAGATTGTCTTGCCAATCTGTGATGCAGAGCGCCTGTTGCTTGGAGATTGCTGCAGGAGTCGCTTGTCATGCTGAGCACGGCCGCCATGTCAATAAGCCAATTGCCGTTCTTGTACAGGCTGGAGCCAAAGATGAACATTGCGACGCCTTACTCCGCCAAAGCCAAGTGCTTCATATCAATCAACAGAGTAGCCATGGATGCACCAGAAACCTCGCAGTGATGAAGTGCTACCGGTGCGACAGCGATTAAGATGCTGACAGTCAGTGGAACTCTTGGATTCTGCACAAATTGCACAGTCAAGTCCTAGTCCATAGAGATCTTGCCGCATCGCAACGCCAGTAGCATAAGATGAAGTGATTGAAGGGCAAGGCAGTCAATGGTCATCTTGACTTGCCAAGCAGTAGGAAATTGGTCAAAGATCTGCAACCTGTCGACTTGAGAGCCATCGCCCAACTTCTCCTATCAGAAACATGCCTTGCGATGCTAGATCACCTTTTACTGCATTCGAAAGACTGTTCTGGCGGGTATGCGGCGGATGTGTGGGATGCTGGATAGTTGTTAATTCGACTGGCAGCCTTCTGCGGATTTCCAGCGACAGATTGAATAGCCATAAGAGATAAACAGCATCAGTGCACATAATGCATGTCAAGTCCATCCAAATGCCCCTTGCAAGGCCTTGAACGCCTGCTTGGTGATGACCACCTCTTCGGCCGCCATAGGTGTCGTCAATGGTGAAGAAGCCATATTGAAAAGGATGGTTGTTGAATTGTGATATGATGTGGAGAGTGGTTGTTGGGGTGTGCAGTGCGGCAGGCCCTGTGAGAGCTTTTTCAGGATACTGAGAGAAGCAGCAGGAGGGTGACCACGACATACGACAGAATGTAGCTAGCAGCGTGTGATCAAACAGGCCTAGGTTGCCACTGTCGAGACTTGACGTTGCAGAAGTTTCAACTTGCTTGACTTGCATATTCATTTGAGGAGATCGTCTTGTGGACAGCTGCAACATGATGTAGTCTCTGCAAAGCCGTACATTGCCAGGCTCACTGTCACTTTTGACGTGGATGTGTACTCTGCTGGGCGTGGTTGTCTGGATCTGGTCGCACGCCGCAATTTTGCAACGACTAAGACGTTGACAAGACTTTACGGTGTGCGACAACGGGTATTCATGGCTAAGCTCAAGCTGCCCAAGGCGCTGCAGCAGGAGCTCGGCGTACAGTCCAGGCGCAGGCCGCAGCGCGCTCAAGGCCAAGAGCCGCGCAAAAAACGCAAGCTATACCAGCCAGCCGAGTCAGATGAAAAGCCGACAGAGGTAGTGCCGCTACAGGCGCGCAAGCAGGAGCGGCCGCGTACACACGAAGAGGTCTTGATGGAACAAGATGATCGCGAAATTGATTACTGGGAGGCGAAGCTCGGAAACAGCGGCGCGGCAGGAGACGACCAGGACGGACTCGATGACTTGTTTGACGGTCTTGACTGGCCCCGGGGAGAAAGCCTGCTCGAGTATGAGACCGACGCAAGTTCTCAGGTTGAGGCGGCGACTGAGGAAGATGTGGAAGACGAGACCAATGGGATCTCTGCAGATGATGTTGCGCAGGCGCCTGCCATACCGCGGCCATCCATCTACGAACCAGCAATCGCAAGCACGATAACTTCTGCTTACATCCCACCTGCGTTACGCAAAGTACAAGGCAATTCTCAGCTTGATAGGCAGCTAAAAGGTCATCTCAATCGTCTTTCCGCAGCCAACATCGCCACAACTTACACGGAGCTCGAGCATATCTACGCTGCCAACCCTCGTGGCCAGGTCAATGCATCACTTGCAACATTGATACAATCCATCGTGGCTGGAAAGCACCCAGAAGCTTTTGTTGTGCAGTACGCAGCGCTCGTCGCTGCCTTGTTCAAGACGCATGGCACGGAATTTGCTGCCTCCATGGTTCAATCGCTGGTGGAGAGCATCGACAAGGGCAAGGATCTCTTGCCACTCTTGGTGGAGCTCTACAATTTTGATGTTGTTGGGGCAAACCTCATCTACGATTTCGTCCGAGAAGCGCTGACGTCGCTCACGGAGGAGCACGTTGAAGCGCTATTGCTCATTGTCAAGTCGTGCGGCTCATCCCTACGAAGTGATGATCCAAGTGCTCTTCGTGATATCCTTGCGCTGCTGCAAGAACAAGTCAGCAAAACCTCGCACGTTTCTGCCCGAACGCAGTTTATGATCGACACGCTCATCAACCTCAAAAACAACAAGGTGCCACAGGACGGAGCGACCATCAAAGACCTTCGTACCAGGCTGCGCAAGTTCATTGGCAACCTGGACAGCAAAACGGGCTCAGCGCCGGAAGCCTTGCGTGTCTCGCTCGATGATATTCGGCATGTCGACACGCGCGGTAAGTGGTGGCTTGTTGGTGCGAGCTGGGCAGGAGAGACACCAAAGACTAGAGCCTCAGTGGAACAAGAGCCAGTGTCGCAAGAGTTGCAAACGCTAGCCAAAGCATATCGCCTCACACACCCCATCCGCAAGCAAATCTTCATTACCATTTTGTCGAGTGGCGACTACCTTGAGTGCATCACAAATTTGCTGTCCCTCAGATTGAAAAAGTCTCAGGAAGCTGAAATCTCGCGTGTGCTCGTGATGCTTGTTGGCGGCGAAGAGCGCTTCAACCCTTACTATCTGTACATTGCCAAAGGACTTGTTGAGCGGCATGGCATGCGCATTTCCCTGCAATTCTGTTTGTGGGACCTCTTTCGTGAGTTGGGCGAGGAGGAGACTCAGATCGGAGCAGCAGGACATCGGGAAGAGGTGAGCATGCGCAAGATTGTCAATTGCGCCAAGTTTTACGGCGGCCTGATTGCTCATGGAGCGTTGCCACTCACTGTACTCAAGATGCTCACCTTTTCAAGACTACAAGCGCAGACGAAGTTACTGCTCAACATCTTGTTCAGCGAGATCTTCATCAAGGTGGATGACAAAGGACTCATCGGCATATTTCAACGGATACAAACCGCGGAGCACAAGGCGCTGCGGGACGGTGTAGACTGGTTCTTGCGCAAACAAGTTTCCAAGGCAATCATGGTACCAAAGGGAGAGACACAAAAGGTCAAGGATGGTGTAGAGCTTGCTAGAACACTACTGGCATCATCATAGCATGCGTGCGCTAGCCTCGTAAAATCCGGTCTGCCAGCTCCTTCTTTGCCATTTGGTACGCATTCAAGAGGCCCTTCTCTGAAAAGTCGAGAGGCACTCCGCCTTCCATGCCCGTCGGCGCGCGTGTGACGCGTGTGGAGATTGTCACTGGGTCCGTCTCCAAGATGACGCCGTCGTCGCAAATCTCATCTACTGTGATCGCCAGCAAGTCGTACTGTTCTTGGAGGACACGCTTGTCAATGCTAACGCGTAAAAGCAGCTCAAGTGACTCTCGCAGGGCAAGTACCACAGCATAAATCATGAGCTCATTCTCGTCGCCGTTGCCAATCACATACATGACCAAGTCTGCAGATGACTTGTAGCATACCACCCGTCCGTCAAACAAGACAACATCTGCATTTTGCTTCTGCGTCTTTTTGAAGAGAGCCTTCTCAAAGGTCTTTTGCGTTGTGACGTTGTGCGCCAGCGCGGTCGAGCTGTGTGCTGTCGTGGTGCCGGTTACGGTACTGGTCGCATTGTTGCTGTGCGGCGGGGAAAAGTAGCGAGCAAAGATACGTTGTCCTGTGTTATCGAGGATGACGATGCCTTGGACCGCGTAGAGGGTCAGATTCATGGCTATGTGGCCTGCTGAGATGCGGTGTGTCTGGTGCTTTGGTGTCTGTCTGGTTGCGCCGCGCTGTTTTGTCGTCGCCAGCGAAAGTCGCCAGCAGAAGGCCACCAGCAGCTTAGACGACTTTCCTGCTTCATCAGCTCTGCTCTGCTCTGCTCTGCTCTCTCCGGCCATAGCTGCTCGTATGCTCAAAAGACAAGTGAGATGCTTCTCCTCGCTCAAGTCGGTGGGCTACCCGCGCACTCGGCCTTTTGCCAGGCCGCTGCAAGCGCCCATAGAGTCTACTACAGAGACTGGCCCAGTACCTACAGAGACCAAGACTGTGCCCTGGTTCATGCAGTACAACAAGCAATTTGATCATGCATCGCCAGCACGTCAAGCTCCCATTCCTGCTGTGCCGGCGAGCGCGCCACCCATCTTGTCGCCATTGCTGACGTACCTTGTGCAAGACTTGATCTTGCAAGACATCAAATTGCTCGACTTGCGTCAGCGCGAGAATCCCTGGGGAGATGATTGTATGATGATCTTGTGCACGGCTCAGTCAGAAAGACAGCTCCGTTCTTCTGCCGAATCTCTAAAGGGCTATCTACGGAAACATGGCGGTGCACCACGCATTGAGGGGCTCGTTAATTGGGAAAACACAAAGGTCAAGCGCCGCAGACGCAGAAAGATGCTAGGAAAAGCAAGCTACCAAGTGGACGACGATCGTCTGCGCTGGATCTTCATCGATGCGGGCAAATCGGGCCTCATCCTGCAGCTCTTTACTGAGCAAGGGCGAGATGAAATCCAGCTTGAAGAGCTCTGGCAGAAGCGCGTCCATGCTGATTAGTCCAAGTCGTGTGTGAAGCGGCCTGCATACCGGCCCTCTCTACTGGCGCAAAGGATCTCGCATTGACAAACGCTTCAATCATGCGTCTGTGGCCACCAGACAAGTCTCGGCCACAGTCACCATCTGCTCTCAACGTCTCGAGTGCCTTGTCATAATCTCATGCTTCGTGACGAGATCATTGTACTCACCTTTTTTGTTGGTGAGCATTGCCAGGTCACCCACACTGCCTTTGCGATGAACTGCTTATTCATCGCATCGCATCAAGTCAATGTTTGATGTGGACATGCAGCGATCATGATCGAGCTGATATGAATCAGTACTGATCGAGATGAAGACTAGCTGCATGATCTCTGGCAGAAGCGCGTCCATGCGACTAGATCAAGTGGTCTGTGAAGCGACCTGCATGCTGCCGTCCGCTACTCTCGCAAAGGGTCCTGCATTGACAAACGCTTCAATCTTGCGTCTGTGGCCACCAGACAAGTCTCGGCCGCAGCCATCATCTGCTCTTAATGTCTCGAGAGCCTTGCTCATAATCTCATGCTTCGTCACGATATCATGATACTCGCCCTTCCCGTTCGTGAGCAAGGCCAGGACACCTTCGCTGCCACACAACAATGCCACGCCTTGTTGCCACGTTGCGAGTTGGTGACAGTGGTAGTAGCTCACCTTACGCGGTGCCTCAAAGGTACTAGACAGCCCTGCCAAGAGCTGTAGGAGATAGTCCCCGGGACACTTTTCCTCCAAAATGCGCGTCTTCCAAGCGTTTGTTGGACTGCGCTCGAGCAGCATGCCAAGGCTAGCAATGTATGGATTGCCAATCCTTGCTGGTAAGATATCCCAAACGCCGTCAGGAATCGTCGAGAATAAGGTAGCCAAGCATTGCAGCGTTTTGTCACGGATTGTCTCGTTTGCTGATGCAAGTCTGTCGCGGAGCAGATCCAGCAGTCTGTAGTTGCTCGAAAGTGCCACGCAATCGGATCCCGGCAGCTTGGCAATCAGACGCAGGACCTCGACGCAGAGCAATTCATCCTCGATCGAGTCGTGCGAGACCAGGCCTTGATCAACTAGACATGCTAGAAACCATTGTGATTGCTCATCATAGTGTTGGCGTAGAATGGCACGGAGCGTGCACAAGCCATGTCCAGTCTCTGTCTCAAGTTGAGAGAGTGTCGATATGGACTGTATCAATCCAACAAGGTACAGCACATCATCGCCAGATTCGTCTCTCCTGGACATGATCCTAATCGCATCCTTGATGGCATCATGCTTGACAACTTTGTATGCACATATCAGCAAATCCAAGAGCTTCAGCTGCACATGATGGCGCTCTCTGCCGGCTTCAAATGCCTGTGGTACACTCTGAAGCAAAGTCACATTGCCTAGGGCAGCTTGTATTTCTTCCGACTTGGCCACACCATCAAGCAGGAGTTCTTTGGCGGCTAAAGTGACAGAAGCCTCGCTTGGTCCTGCATATGCATGGAGCAGCGTTGGCAGAAGATGTACGAGCGTTGCATACAGATTCCTCTCTGGTAATGCTTCCAGCAGAGCATGCACGAGCTCGAGCGTCTCGATTTTTGATGTGGACATGTCGTTCAGGAACAGGAAGGTCAAAGAGATGCCATCAAACTAAGCTACCTACCTGCACACACACGCTTCAGAAAACCTAGGCTATTACAATTCAAACATTGATCTCCATGCTACCTCGAGAAGAAATCTGGCTTCTGTAGTCTGGAAGTGTCCAGTCGCCGCCGTCGTACTCAGGCAACGTTGTCTGTGAATTGGTCGTGTTGACCGTGTTGATGCTTGCGATACTGCCGCGTCGTCGTCTTTGCTGTTGCTGCGACAGGAGTGTAGCGGTTTGTATGATCGAACCGCCAGGACGTCGCGGGTACGTAGAGTGTGCATTACCGCGCGTGTTGCTGTCCGTCAAAACCATGGCACTCCAGTATGCGGATGTATCGCCAAAGTCTGGGTCGTGCAACATACTCGCGAGTCCAGTACCCACTCGAGAACGCGGTGGACGATGCGGGGCAGGTCGGCGACGCTGGGCCAAACTCGTACTTGATGCGGTGGAGCCCAGTTGCATGGCGCGATACACATCAGTCAAGATGGCGACGCGCTCCTGTGTAGAGGTCATCTCACCGCTCGCCAGATACTCTGACCAGTCATTCAGTGTACGTGGAGACCTGTCGCCGGCAGGACGCGAGGCGGCGCTGTGACGGGTGGGTGTCCGCACTGACGGGCGATCCAAGACAGATCGTACAGTCGGCCGGTCGCGATGATGCTCTTCCAGTAGGAGCCGCGATGCTGAGCGATTCCACGTCCGCGGATTTGCAGCGTCAAATACGGGCTGCGGAGCAGGCGCGGGTGTAGTCGCCTGGCGCACATGGGTAGGTCGCGCGGGTGCTGTGTCGTGTGCGCCGGTCTCTGCTTGCGCTGGCGTTGTCGCATTGGAGCGCGGTGTGTAGTCTAGCCTGTCAGCATGGTCTGGTACTGGATTGATGGCGTACAGTGCCAGGAATGGGCGTGTGCTGCATCGAAGGCGCGGGGTCTGTTGGACGAGGCTGCCATGGCTTATATATGTATATGCTCCGTTGTGTGATGCGCTGGACAACGATACACAAGGAGCAGGCAAGGCAAGTAGGCCCTTTGGCTGCTGATGCGCCTGGCTACACACTGGCTGTCTGAGAGGAGAGGCCTTTGCTGGTGGTTGGTGTTTGGTTGTGTCTGTGCTTTCGTCGTCTCCGTACAAGCTCACACAAAAGGAAGAAGAGAAGGAAGAGAGGACTTGCTATGGGAGAAGTATGTACGCGATGACCCCCGTCGCCCTTGTAGCTGGATCAAGGACAGAAGGTTGGTAAGCCGAAAGCACGCTCTATGAGCCGGGAACGCCCATGCTTGCCACTGAAGGGCAGAAGCAGGGAACATGTCGCACGTAGTACGAAGCCCAAAGTAAAAAATATATTCTTTCTAAGCAGGCCCAGGACGCTTACCGGTGAGGGCAGCCATCCTGGGTACCTGTTCAAAGAGGATAAGTTTCCTACTGATGATATGTTGGGGGGCAAGAGGGCGAGAGGGCGAGCTGCTCGCTATAAAGAGGAAAAAAGTGGAAACACTCTCACGCTCAAGACTCAGGCTGTAGCAGCATACTGAGCATAGTAGCAGGACTGCACTCTACTTCTGCCGTCGCTGCTTGATCCGCTCCTGGGCAGCAAGGAACTCCGCCTCCGTAGGCTCACTGCTCGCTTCTCCCGCACTGCGCTTCTTCTTCTTCTTTGGCGTACCATACTTCTCCTCGTAGTGCTTCGCGAGTGCAGCAGCTCCAGCCTCATCCATCTTGGCCAGTGTGTTGTTCTGCCTAGACCGAATCAGTGTTCCAAGCTCGCCCTCAGTCATCGTCGCAGGATTGCTCTTGTCCTTCGACTTGAGCTTGGCCAGCAGCTTCTCGGCCTGGGCAGCCTCCTTTTCTGCTTTGCGGATCCGCGAGGCCTTTTGCTCCTTCGTCTCGTCATACGCTGGGTATCTCTTCTCTCCTTTGGCAATCGCCTCATCAATATACCTTCTGAAGCGTGTCTCATCATCATCCCCAAGCATTTGAGAGAGCATCACCTGCTCAAACAGGCGCGTCCAGTCGCCCTTGGCCTTTTTGTATGCAGCCACCACATCTCTGCGCTCTTCTTCCGAGTTTTGGTATTCCTTCTTGACTTGCTCAATGACGCCTTCGTCAATGACCACTTTATATTGCTGCGTCATGAATGCATCCCAGTCAAAGTCGCCGCCTTCGCCATCAGTTCGGCCGGTCGTGTCGTAGAGCTTTCGCTTCTTATCATCAGACAGAATCGCATAAGCCCATGCAATCTCTTTGAACTTGACATCTGCCTCTTCGCGCTCAGCAGCAGGTACTTTGTCTGGGTGTGTCTTGAGTGCTAGTTTCCGGTAGGCAGATCGGACGTCCTTCTCAGTCGCCTTGCTGTCTACGGCCAAGATGGTGTACGGATTCCGAGAGTCGGTGCCTTCGTCTTCATCGCCCTCGGCCTCCTCATCCTCTTCCTCGTCGTCGTCTCCATCCTCCGATACTGCGCCGGGTGACATGTCGCCAGAGTGAACAGATTCCTCCTCAGACCCGTCCTCCGGGAGTTCCAAAAGCGGCTCCTCAGTGGGTTTTGAGCGTGATGAGCGGCCCATACGCTGCGTAACAGTGATAGATTATCTTACTCTTGTGAGCTGAGGCAGATGCTGCTCAGGTATCAAGTGCGTTGGTCTGGTCGCGTCGAGGAGTAGGACTTCAGATGGCGTCCAAGTCAACCTTGAACTTGAAGCTTCTTCAGCTTGTTACTCTACGCATGAAGCTACATGAGTACATTTATCCAACCTCCCGCTCTGTGCCCAGCTCCTGCATCACCTCCCGCACTTGCTGCTTGCTGATCTTTGCAAAGCCAAGGCCCTTGACCTGCTCCCAGACATCCTTGACACGAACAGTTTCGATGCCGTTCGCTGCAAACTGCTCTAGCACACTCGCAATAACAGGCCCTAGATTCCACAGCCCAACAGTGCAAAATGTGCGTCGAGCAACTTGCGACATGACAATTAAACCGTCATCGACGAGTTCTGCGGCACAAGTATTAAGGATCCTCTGCGACTCATCTGATGTAGCCTTGTATCGCTGATGTGCAACTGCCTTGGCCGCATCCATGAGGCGCACATCCCTCGAGAGGTCGCCCAGAGTGAAGACTTGAACATTCCACTTCTGAAGGTATTGCATGAGTTGCCGCTTGAGCATGCGCACATTCTGGGCCGCAAGGTCAAGTGCAGCAACATCGACCACTTCAGCCTTCTTCTCTTCCTCCTTGATGAGTACGCGTTCGTGATGCCGCATTGCCTGAGGTAGCTTCTTTTTGATGTCTGGCTGCCAAGGTATATCAAGCACTCGACGACGGACATCATTACGCTCTTGCCAGGCGACAAACTCTGCAGCTGGATCACGCAGAACTTGCACCTTGTCCACCTTGAAGGAGTGCTGTTCAAAGTTGGTTTGCAATGTGCCTTTCACCTTGACAAGCGTGCCAATATCGATACTCTTGGGGCCTGCAGCAATAACGACAGAGGAATATACCTCATCACGCAGCTTTGCAGAAATAACTGCACCGCTGCCGTCGTCAAGTTCGAGCTCTCCATAAGCAATGTTGCGTTCGTGACCGGTCAGCTTGACTTCTGCTGCCACAACCACGGCCACGAGCTGTATCCATTTGACAGGGTGGTTCTTGTAGAACCGCACACCGGTTGACTCATAGCCCTGTACTGTCTTGAGCTTGTAGAGATCAGCAATGAATAGTTTGACCCAGGATGTATAAGTCGGGGAGAGATCGTAGTAGCAGGGGTCATGATACTCGAAGCTTTGCATAGATCATGCCCGGCTCCTTCTGCAGCCTGTCTAGCTCTATAAAATGAGTCACTACCCAGCAGCTCTGATGTCCACAGGCTCAACTCTGTCAACTTTGGCTCGTCGTTGTTGACTTGAGATGACGCCGGGCGACGACTCCGCAAACCACAACGAGCAGCTGCAGCATCACCCACACTTCCCAGGAACTTGCATCCGCGTACTGCTCACCGGCAACAAAGGGCCAAGAGCGGCTCTTACTCCGGCAAGTTTTGCTCAAATGAGCAGACTCCTGGTCCGCTACACAATCCCACTCACAGAGTCGGAGGCTGCAGGTCACAGATTGGGCGTCAACGCGCTCGCTGTCGACCCCACAGGCAGTGGCACACTCTACAGCGCTGTAAGCATACTTCATGTATTCTTTCCTTACTGACGACAGGGCCGCGACGGTGTGATTGCAGCATGGGACCTGAGTATGAGCACGAGTCGGTGTGCCAACAAGTTCAACGACTCTGAATTCGAGTATCAGGTGGATCAAATACATGGCCCAAGCAGAATGAAGACGTCCATACAGGCAGATACCAACTGGATCAACCAAATGTCCATCTCAGCCGACTATCAGACTGTATACACCTGCTCAAGCGACACACTCGTCAAGGCTTGGCGCCCAAATTCAGCGCAACAGGACAAAGCCGTCACCCTCGGCTCACATGGAGACTATGTTAAATGTCTGACGGTGCCAAAGTTCACCACAGATTGGATCGCAACAGGCGGTCTCGACAGGGACATCGTCCTTTGGGATACAGCAGGAACTGGGGAGCGCATGCGCATCAATGAGCACAGCGTCGATGGCGGTATGAAACAAAGTGTCTATGCCCTGGCCGCTGGACCCAACATGCTTTGCAGTGGTGGCATTGAAAAGGTCATTCGCTTGTGGGATACGCGCAGCGCCCAGCGCATCACGAAGTTCGTGGGCCACACAGATAATGTGCGAGCCATCTTGTGCTCAGACGACGGCAAGACGTTTGTTTCGGCATCGTCAGACTCGACCATCAAGATTTGGGATTCAACAGCCGGCCGTTGCTTACACACCATGACTTTTCACTCGGATCCCATCTGGGCACTACACAGCGAGCATCCTGACCTCGCCGTGTTTTACGCAGGAGATCGCTCGGGTATTGTGTCAAAGACAGATTTGCGTCATGTCGGTGGCGACAAGACGGAGTCCATTGCTTTGCTCAAAGAGTCTTCCAGCATCAACAGTCTTGCATTGCTGGGCGATCACCTCTTTACTGCAACGGCATCGAGCAGCATCAACCGCTGGCGAGACACAGAGACCATGCCGACAGACCCTTTCGATGATCCAGAGAATCTACAAGCTTCATTGTCAAGGATGGAGACGCAAAATTCGTCCATTTCAAGATCAAAGCTCTCAGTCAATGGTGCAACACGCCGAGTCTCCACCTTTTCAGCAGCGTCAGTCGTCAGTCTTGGTCTTGACTCTGAGCGGAGAGCATCAGTGGAGAGCTTGGAACCAAAGAGAGAGGCTCCAGAAGCGACCATACAGGGACAAGCCGGCCTCATTGCTCACGTCATGCTGAGCGATCGCATTCATGTGCTGACCCGGGACACAGCCGGTGTTGTTAGTCTTTGGAATATTGCACAATGTCAAAAAGTCAAGGACTACGGTAAAGTGGACATTGAGCATGTCGAGGACACGCTACAAAGCCCGTTGGCTATTCCTAGCTGGTGTTCAGTCAACACACGCGTGGGTGCACTGACGGTTGAAATGGATCCCCGGAATTTACTTGACGCAGAGACCTACTTTGACACTGTGCTGGACAAAAAGGCGCTTGACTTTGATACGCGCAACAGGCGGTTCAATCTTGGCAAGTGGATGTTGAATGGACTCTTCAAAGGCCTCATCGATGCAGAACTCTTGCGCGACTCTGTCGAGTGCTCACGATTGCGCAAACGCCGGCCTTCAAAGCTCGATCTCGGTGATTTGACCATGAATGGTGGTGGCCTAGAGACACCAAGACCCAGTGCTGGTGGAACACGCAGCGCCATGATGCAGACGCCTGGCAGTTCGGTTGGTTTGGCAACGCCGATGCCCACTTACAATGCCAAGCCAGGTCATACTCGGCAGAGCTCTCAAGAGCCAACAACGCCGGTCGCAGGCGATTACTTTGCCGACTCTCACGGCAAGGACAAGAATGAGAAGGACGGCAGTGAGCCAACCACTCCTGGCGGCATGAAGACGCCTGGTGGTGGATCCTTCATGAAGGGAATGAAGTGGATGCGGGGTAATAAGACTGCCAAGTCGCCTGCCGCTGACAAGGTGACACCGAAGGATGCTGTGACGCCAGCTGCAGTCTTGAAGTCTGCCCCGGCGGATTTGCCGCCCACCAATTTCAAGGAGGTGGTCGAGCGTCAACGGAAGCACTTTGTCGAAGAAGAAAAGGATGGTGGTTCACGCAAGACGTGGATCGTACCGCTTGACCCGATGCCGCCGCTCATTGTACCAAAGCAGGTGGAGCTTGGTATTGCAGACTTCAAGCCTGGTGAAGGCGAGGCAAAGGACATCTATCGCGGTTCGGTCGGGGGTCTCACCTCTGAGCTGTCCAAGGTCTCTTCCATCCTTCCTGCTTGGCTCGCTCAGGTCTTACTCTTGAATGAGATGCCACCTGCCATGCACAATCTCGAGCAAGCCAAGCTCTACTTTTGCTTTGCGCCATTACCTGGCAGCAAGCTGGGCGATCCCTTCAATCAGCCCGACAATGTTATGCGTCTGGGAGCCGCTCGCAGTCTTCGTGTGCGCAAGGCCTTGACCTACATCTCGCAGCGGCTAGAGTCCTCTGTGGTGGAGCAAGAAGGTAAAGGCGGCAACGAGGAGGACTGGCTCGAGATCCGGGTGAACGGCACTGCCGTGGACCCTGACTGGACGCTGCTGATGGTGCGGCGGCATCTATGGAAGCAAGGCGGCGACATGCGGCTCGAGTACCAGCTGAAGAGTGAGGCGGCGACGTCGTAGAAGTGATATTTAAGCTTTTGTACAGATACACCACCACCAACACTCGGCCAAGAGGAGCAGGCGCCGATGCGGGGCGATGCAGAGTGGGACATACAGCTGCCGACCCTGGCGAAGAGTCTGCCGAGCTTGCCTACCATCGACCATCATTTGCGCTGCCGGATATGCAAGGACTACCTCGTCGCGCCACTCATCACGTCGTGTGGCCATACTTTCTGCTCACTGTGCATACGACGCGCACTAGCAGCAGAGGCACATTGTCCGGCATGTCGGACGCGTGAAGATGAGTTCAAGCTACGAAAGAATGTGCTTGCTGAGGAGCTCGTCGAGGCATATGAGCCGCTGCGACAAAGTCTTATGAGCATGCAGCAAGAACACCTGCGACACGTCGAGAAGCACAAGCAGGTAGAGGTCTACGAGATTCCTGACTCTTCTCCCTCTTCACAAGAAGATGCACCGCGTAGATCAAAGCGCAGACGAACCTCCCAGTCCTATGCCGCAGCGTCGCCTGAAGACGTCGCACGAAGGCGTCCACTCGAGCGCGGTGAAGTGCTTTGTCCGGTGTGCAACAAGCCAGTGCAAGAAGAAGCCATCAACGCGCATGTCGATCGCTGTCTATCTGGAGAAGCAGAGGGTGGAGACGTGCCGACCAAATCGAAGCATTTTGCACCGCCAGTCGCTCCTGTCTCTGCACGTCCATCAGAGAAGCGTTTGCCAAAGCTCAACTATGCAGTACTGACAGAGGCTAAGCTACGGACAGAGCTCTCGCGGTTAAGCATCCCCTCGAACGGCAGCAAAACTACACTACAACGGCGACATGCAGAGTGGTTGACCTTATGGAACAGCAATATGGACGCAAAGCACCCTCGGTCGCGACGAGATCTGCTTCGTGAGCTCAAGGCGTGGGAGGATGCACTGGGCAGGTCGACGGTGAAGTTGACGACGGAGGAGCTGGAAGAGCGCGCGGCGGATGACCATGGAGACTTCAAGTCGTTGATTGCAAGGGCGCGGGCGTCGGCGGAAGAAGCCAAGCGCCAGAGTCTTGGGAGTGCGCAGGAAGAGGCTTCCGCTGCTGCAGCTATCCCTGCAGAAGGCCCCGAGACCGAGGCCGCTGGTTCCTGAGCAAGTTCTTTGTCTCTTGGCTTCTTCTTTGTCCTCGAAGTCGCCGCAGAATAAAAAGGGAAAGCAGCCCACGACGACACGGCTCCCTCGACCAACACAAGACTCTGTAGGCCATGACGACCATCAGGCAGCTTGCGCCCGACGTAACCATCTTCTCCGCCCCCTTCTCCCGCTTCGGCCTCTTCAAGATTGGCGCACGAGCAACAGCCCTCGGGGTAACAAACACAACAGGCACACCAGCAAAAGACGTCATCATCGTGTCGCCCATCGCCGCATCGCCTGAGATCGAGGCGGCGCTTGTTGGACTCGGCACAGTCAAGTATCTCGTTGCGCCTGACCGAGAGCACCACTTGCAGCTCGAGGACTATGCAAAGCGCTACCCAGAGGCCAAGATCATCGGCGTCGAAGGCCTTCCTGAGAAGCACCCAAATTTGACCTTCTTCAAGGTCTTTGGCAACAAGGCGTATGATCATGTGACAGAGATCGGATGGGAGAATGAGGTTGAGGCCGTCTACTTCCCCGGACACGGCAACAAGGAGCTTGCCCTGTTTCACAAACCATCGAGCACGCTTGTCGAAGCAGATCTGCTCTTCAATCTGCCACCTATCGAACAGTACAGCAAATCTGGCGGCTACTCAACGGGTGGCATGCTCTCTTCTCTATCGCCCTTCGCCAAGCTCAAGGCAGACTCCAAGTTTCATCAATGGTTCAATGTCAATGTGCTTTGCAAGGACAAGGTGAGTTTCAAGGCTTCCCTCGCCCAGGTTGACAAGTGGCCCTTCCAGCGCATCGTGCCATGTCACGGAGATGTTATTGAGCAGAATGCCAAGGGTATCTGGCAAACGGCCTTCTCTGGCATCACACAATAATTGAATTGCAGCAAACCCTCAGATAGTATAATATATGAATCAATGCATGACTTATCTACGCTTCTTGCCTCCCTTCTTGCTCGGCCGTGCATTCTTGTCCTTGCGCTTGGCCTTGAGATCCCTATCCTTGCGAATTTGATGGCTGCTTTTGAGCTCTGTTTTGGCACCAGGCCCACCCGTACGCTCATTGGCTTCTTGGATGCGCTTCTTTTGCACATGGTAGTCATCTCTGAACTTGTCGGCCGCTTTGGGTGCCTTCATGCCAGCATGCTTGTACTTGCCTGCACCAGCACCGCGCCCTCCTCGGCCTCCCGGTGCCATCGTATCCAACGGCATCACTTCAGCACCTCTGTTTTTAGTGGCCGTCTGCCACGCTCTGAAGCGACCCGCTTGGTAAGTAGCAGGAATTTTGACACCGCTTTCACCTCGAATCATGCGGTTCTTGTCGCCATGACTGCCGTCTGTGAGGTTGGCGGCCATGACAAACTTCTTTTGCTTCGAGTCCCAGACTTTGCCACCGATTCGCACACCTTTTGCGTCTTTGCCTTCGTCTGTTGCCAGATCAAGCTGTTCATTACGAGCAGCCTCTGCAAAGGAGTTGACATCGTATGCGTGATCCATCGCGTTTGCACTCGGATCGTAGTGTGCCATATAGTTTTCCGTATCGCGGAAGCCTTGTAACTTCCTCTTCTTGCGTTTGGCCTGTGGCTCTTCAAAGGCAGCTTCGATGACGGCTTCCTCTGCTTCCTCTTCTTGTGGTTGTGCTTCTTCCTTGGCAGCAGGCGCCTCCGTCTCCAAATCGGCAGCTGGGCGTGCACCAATCACGACTTTATGCCGTCGAGTGCGCATGACATTGGCGGCTTCATTGTTGCCGCGATGACCAATCTCAAAGACTGTTTCGTGCGGTCGAAAGGAGCCAACACGCTTGAGCATGGCAAGACGGTCGGCATCTGCGGAAGTAGCAGCATTGACGAGCGGCGACAAGGTCATCCAGGCATCACTGCGAATTACTTCCTTTGCCCTGCGAATTGAGTCTGTGGAGGCCGTTGGACGTGTCTTGAGATAGAGTCGTTCACCTTTGACAGTAACAGACTTCATGGCCTTCAGGTCAACGTCGTCCGAGACGGCCTTGTTTGCCCATTCTGAGCCACGCTCGACGCCGTCTCTGGGAAGGCAACCCAGCACAACATCTTTGGTAAAATCAACGCCAGTCTGTTGCTCTGTTCCGAGGACAAGACGACGAGATAGAAAGAGCTGCAGGTCGAGCACATACGCGCAGTCCTCGGCGCGAACAAGCGAGTAGGCCCATCCACGCTTTCCAGCTCGCGCAGTTCGACCAACGCGATGTACAAAAATCTTTGGCTGTGCCGGGAAGTCGTAGTTGATGACGTTGGCTAGAATGGGGATATCGATACCACGAGCAGCGACGTCCGTCACAACCAGAACATTGGTCTCGCCGGATTTGAAGCTGTCAATTTGATTGCGACGTGCAGTCTGATCCAGAGCTCCGTAGATGTATGAGACTTTATAGCCAGCTTTGGTAAGGAGCGTGGCGAGGTAGTCGACGTGGTGCTTTGTACAGGCAAAGATGATGGTCGCATTGGGAGCAACTTGTTCACGCTTGCGCTTCTTCTCCTTCTTCTTTTCGAGCTGTGTCTCGAGCTTGATGACGTCCGACAAAAGGTAGAGCAAGGCGCCTTCCTTTTCTGTTGTTTGGACACTGAAGAAGGCACTCTCGAGGTCGCTTGAGATTTTGCTGTCGACGTCGAGACGCACAAGGATCGGATCGGTGAGACCAGCTTTGGCAAATTCAACAAGAGACACAGGCAGCGTTGCGGAAAAGAGCAAAGTCTGTCGTGTCGCAGGTAGAGCATGGAGCACTTCTGTCAGCTGGTTAGAGAAACCCATTTCAAAGAGACGATCCGCCTCGTCAAAGACGATGTATTCAACAGAAGACAAGGACAGGGACATTTCGACTTTGATGTGCAGGAATCGGCCAGGGGTGGCAATGATGATGTCTGGGTTGCCGGACATGGCAGCAAAGTGCTCTTCGAGAGAGTCTCCACCGACGAGCAAGATTGTCTTGAGGTCTGTCCCTTTGCCCAGTTCCTTGACCACACGCAGCGTCTGAATGGCTAGCTCTCTGGAAGGCGACATGATGATGGCCCTCGCACCTGATTTGGCCGTATGCGCCTTGAGATGCTGAATCATGGGAATCACAAAAGCAGCCGTTTTTCCCGATCCTGTACGTGCCATGCCAACGACATCGCGCTTCTCTAGGACGAGCGGGATGGTCTTGCGCTGGATTGGTGTTGGTACTTTGAATCCTTTGTGTGTAATGGCCTTGATCAAAGAAGGAAGCAGGCCCATCGTTTGGAAGGCAGATCCTGCGCTCTTCTTGCCCTGCTTGCCTGTCCCTGCATTCACCTGCGCACTAGGCTTGCGGTTGGCGGCATGCTGGGCTGCTTGGATGAATGCGCTGTCGCTATCATCTGACAGGCCGCCATCGTCGTTGGTTTCCGCAAGAAGTGCACCAGTAAAGTCTATATCCGGCTCCGATGCGGCTGGACTGTGCTCCCTCATGTCTGCAGTGCCAGGCCGTTCCCACGAAGCTTTGGGACTTGGTGGATGGGTGTTTTGCGCTTGAAGTTTCTCGAATTTTGAAATTTCCTGCGACGAAGCGACAGAGACCAAGAAGCACTCAGGCTCAACTTGCTTCCAAGACGGCCCCGGGACAGACTGGGCACAGGATAGACGAGACAGGGCAGCCATGGGCCTCAATAATCCCCTCCCATCATCACTCAAATCAGAGTGCAAGAAGGCCGCGCGCATCCTCGCTTCCTTCGTAGACCCAAAGCAAGCATTCGGCCCAGACAAGGTAGGCCACTGCGTCATCGCACCCACAGCGCCCGCTCACACTTTCTAGGTCATACCCCCAGAGATCCTCCAGAATGCGCAGGGTCTCGCAGTCATCACCGTCCTCAAGGGCGGCTTCGTCTTCTCCGGGCGCATCGGCTCAGGCCTGCTTATTGCGCGCCTCCCAGACGGTAGCTGGTCCGCACCCTCTTGCATCGGCCTCGCAGGCGCCGGTGTTGGAGGACAGATCGGCCTCGAGCTCACTGATTTTGTCATGATCCTCAATACTCGTGATGCTGTCAAGACCTTTGCAGCACTCGGTTCCGTCACACTCGGTGGAAATGTCTCCATTGCCGCTGGTCCCGTGGGCAGGTCGGCCGAAGCAAGCGGTAGTGCCAGTCATCGCGGTGTCTCGGCCATCTTCTCCTACAGCAAGACAAAAGGTCTCTTTGCAGGCATCTCCCTGGAAGGCTCCGTCCTCATTGAACGCAGAGACGCAAATAAGAAGTTTTACCGGCAAAGCGTCAATGCCAAGCATATCCTCAACGGCTCTGTACCACCGCCCCCCGGCGTCGAGCCTCTGCATCGTATTCTAGAGTCGCGCGTCTTTGCTGGCGGTCGAGGCGGCAATGGCGATGACATGTACAACGACGTGCCCGTCTATGGTGATGCCGACTCGGATATCTGGGAAGGCCGCGACGGTGAGGCCTATGGCGAGGGCCGCAGCAGGCGTGGCTCGACACGCTCCAATACAGTGGACTCTCGTTCATCCGGCAAGGTCAAAGGCTTTGAAGATGACTATGACGATGGCTACGACAACCTGAGCAATTACACGGGCAGCACATCCTTGGGAGGCGACCGCAAAAGCACTCAGAAGCTCAAGAGTCAAGTCACAGGCTTTAGGTCAACATACTCCGACAATGCACCCAGCAGGCCGACCTCAGAAAAGCCAAAATTCAGCCCTTCAAAGCCAACGTATGATGATGATGTTCCTGCTTCGCGGGCACCGTTCAACGAGTATGACGACTTGGATGACAATGGCTTTGTGCGTCCGCAAGCGACAGGCAATGCACCGTCAAGACCACCAAGCAGTACAAAACCCAAGCCAGCTCCCCGGCGAGGAAGCAATCTAGGACACAATCAAGCCGTTGCACTCTTCACTTTTGAGGCCGATCAACCGGGCGATCTTGGTTTCCAAAAGGGCGACATCATCAACATCATCGAGCGATCAGACTCAACCGATGACTGGTGGACGGGTGAAATCAACTCCCGACGCGGCATCTTCCCGGCCAACTATGTACAAATATAGGCCTTCTCATCAACAAGGTGGGTTTCGTGTATGTCAACAAGAATGAGTATCTATCTATACAGTCCAAGCTTGTGAAGAATTAAATAATTACTTGAGACCGCCTCCCGTGCCACCGTGCTTTTTGTAAAAGTCATTCCAGCCAGGTACCAGCTTGTCAAACTTGTCTTCGTCAATGTCGGGCTCACCCTGACCAGCAGCAAGCTCCATACATGGCACAGCGCCAATGCCAGAAAAGTATGGCTTGAGCCAGGTATTGCCCTTGGTGGCAGTGTACCGCTTGTATATGCGAAAGACGCCATCCTCGTGGTCAGGCGAGAGCTCCTCGCGCGTAAATTCCTTGATGAGGTTGGCATGAATGAACATGACTTGGTCGAGATGATCATGCTGGACCATCGTATGCCCGCAGAAGCGGTCTTGCCAGATGAGACCGCCTGCCGTCAGAAAGGTCGGCACCATGAAGTACTCTTGCCGCATGGCCTTGGACGCAAATCGCAGCGTGTCCTTATCGCCATTGAGCAGCTGGAAGTAGAAGTCTCCATCACGGTTGAAGTGGTTGGCCAGCAACAAGACTTCCCATCGCATCTCCTTATTGAGCAGAATCTGGCCGGACTCGTTCTCCCACTCATCTACAATAGGAGAATCGACAATGGTCCAGATGGGATTGGTGAAGTGCGTCTTCCAAAAGTCTGGGAAGAACATGGTCCCTGTCCGCTTGTAGTCTGCCGATTCGAACAAGTACGTTGGATCACGTACAGGCATTGAGTCGCTGTCGAGATAGAGCACTTCCCGAAAGCCAGAATTGATGATGGCCGCCGTCTTGATGTGGAAACTTTTGCCGCCCTTGCCGGCCTTCTTCTTGACTGAAAAGAGGTTCTTCTTGTCACTCAAGTTCTTTGGTGTAACGCCAGCCGCAGTCAGATTCTTCAGATCCTCCGACTTGAGCTCGCCGTCCAAGTAGTGCACCTCCACGGGCAATTCACAGCCGTACTCCTGCAACATGCTCAAGGTCGTCCGTATCCGATCAAGCGTATCTGAATTGCCGCCTACCAACACAATACCACGCCCCTTGAATTGACTCGCATGCGCAGACCAAACAGGCATTGTATAATTGATGTAATCCTCCCACTCCTGCCGCTTATTATCCCAGACTTTGGGCGGCGCCTCTGCCCAGAAACCTTCATGCTCGACCGAGTGACCAAAATCGATATTCCGCTCGATACTCTTGCGAGCCCTACTACTCAACTGATCGCTTTCTTTCGCATCAATCTTGAGATTGAGCTTGTCTAGCAGCTGCCGTATACGTTGCATTTCGCTCTTTTGCGCTTGCAAGAGGCCTTTCAATGCCGCTGCCTCTTCGGGTGATTTACTTGCTGCACCCAGACTGTGCATTGCTTCTTGCGCATTGCTCCGGAAGAGGTAGATGGTGACTAGACAGCATGCAACCAAAAGGAGCATGAATGTTTGTTTGCTCATGGACCGCGTCATGCTGCGCGGAGCATAGGCCATTTAACGAGCCTGCGATCCAAAATAGGACTTGTTGATTACTCTCCTTGGATTGACTGTACTCCTGGGCCTGCAAGCGCTTCTGCCTCTCAAATTAGTGCTTGGACTTGGTGGTTGTGCGACGTCGCCAAATTTGTTTGTATGACGGGCCGACTCAGATGGGCAGCATGAACCAGCCTTGAGCTTCTTCTACGATGCATGCAGTCCTCTACGCTTCTATGACGCTCGAAATAAAGTAATAACAAAAAAGACATCTAATCCGTGTCTGAATCATCCGGTCGTGGTGTACCAGGCGGTGAACTGAGCCAAGCCAGGTGCCTCAAGCGACGACGGGCATCCCGTTCCTTGAGCTGGTTCCTCGAGAGCTTCTTCTTCTTGCCAAGCTTTGCCGCTGCCTTTTCACCACCAATGGCTTTGCCATCCTCAAACTTGTTGGCATCAACAGAGGACTTGCCCTGTTGCGTGATGGCACCATCGGCAATGGTCCAACGCTCAGGACATAGCGCAGAGACAAATTCGTCATTGTGGGAAATCATCACCACGCCGCCCGTCCAATCGCGGATAGCTACAGCCAGGCCACCGAGAGAGTCACGGTCGAGGTAGTTGGTTGGCTCGTCCAGCACGAGCAAGTGCGGTTTCGCCCACATGCAAGCAGCAATGACCACTTTGACTTTTTGCCCACCAGACAAGCCGCCAATTTCATTGTTGTCTGCGATATCACCATCCAAACCAACCGACTCGAGATGTTTGCGAATCTCGACGGGGTTCAAGTCGCGCGAACCGAGACCTTCACGACCGGCCTCCCAGTCATCGAAACGCTGGATGAGCTTTGTGGCACCTTGCTCAACGAGCTTTTCACGCGGCAGCCACATATTGTGTCGCATCTCCATCATACGCCACTTGATTTCATACTGGAAGGACTTTTTCAACTTTTGCCGTCCAACAATGTACTCAATCTTGCGTTTTTCGAGCTTGCCTGTTTTAGGGTTGGTGACTTCAATCTCAATCTCTTCATCCGTTTCTGAAATCTTGCGCGTCTCCTTCTCCAAGACTTCCTTGTCCTCGCCGAATTGGTATCGCCACTGAATATATTGATTCGGTGTCAAATGGACGTGTTGGTCGACGTGATGGAGCGAATGTTGCGCAACATAGCCGACTCGCAAGTTTGGGTGCTTCTCAACGGTACCTTGTTGAGGAATCACCTCACCCGTCAAGACTTTGATGAAGGTGGATTTACCGGCTCCATTCTTACCAATGATACCGATGCGTGAAGAGAGGGACAGCGCAGCTGAGACGTTCTTGAGGGACGGCTTGTCCACACCGGGATAGGTGAATGTACAGTCGCGCAAACGAAGAATAGCTTTGGTACGCGAGCTGATGCCCGTCAAGAGGCCCGGTGGTGGGAAGGAAAAGGCGACTTGTGTGGAGGAGAGTGTATAGTAGGATTTCGCTTCTGGTTTGCGTTCAACAAACTTGCTGAGATTGCCAGGGTAGTAGGCGAGTTTCTTTGATTCGTAGTGAATAATATCTGTGCAGACTGCATCGAGGAACCCAGAGTCGTGCGAGACGATGACGGAGGTGATTTGAGTCTGAGAATTGAGGTAGTCTTGTAGCCAGGCAACGTTGGTTGTGTCGAGATGGTTGGTAGGCTCATCGAGGAGCAAAATGTCAACGCGCGACATCATGGCACGGGCCAATTCAAGCTTCATCTTCCAACCACCAGACAACGCGCCGACGTTTTGTTGTTGACGTTCAGGCTCAAAGCCGACATCCAGTAACACAGCTTCGACTTCAGTCTGTGTCTTGTCTGGAAAGTCCTTCTTGACAAATGCATACACCGACAAGTCACCCTCGGCACCTTGTAATTTGTGCTCAACAAAGAAGGGTGTCAATTCATCAGCTGAGGGGAAGCCTTCGACTTTACCTTCAGAGATGGCACGCAGCAGGGTTGACTTGCCTGCACCGTTATGCGCGCATACACCATAGCGATGTCCTCGGAAGAGTTTGAGATTTGTCTTGTTGAGCAGCATCATACCGCCATACGCGAGGGAAAAGTCAGTATCGACAATGGGTATTTCCCCCGTCACCGGTGTATCAAGACCATTTTGGAGCTTGTAATCTTCCCAGAAGAAGGCATAGATTTGCTTTGAGGCTTCAAGCGGTGACCCTGTCATAATGGGCGACATGTACTTGGCAAGCGTTTTTTCCCAAGTCTTGCGGAAGTAGTCCTTTGCAGCAATCATATCTGCCACCATGGCCGCTACGGCATGCAGCAGCTCGCCATCTTCCGGTGAAGCAACAGTCACGTAGCTAGAGAGGTATTTCTCAACTTCAGCGATAGAGAGCGGTTCAGCAGCGAGCGGTGTTTCTGCACCGGCAGCTTGTAAAGTGGCAAGCGCACGCGTTGCCAAGGCACGGACTTCTGGCATGGAAGCTGTTTCAGCAACACGCTTGACACCCGGTAACAGGGCTTTGAGGAATGGTGTGCAGGTTGTTGGGTCTGGCACGAGACGCACAAGGTTGTCGACAACAACGGCCGTTTGTCTTTGTGTGTTGACACCAAATGCTGCATCCATCATGGAGCGCTTGAGGAGTGGCACGAGGAGTGCGAGGGTGGGTGGTCCGACTTCAGCGACGAACGTTGTATGTGAGAGTGCGCGAATACACTCCTTGATGCCGGATGGATCAGAGAGGGCGAGTAGAATGTGTGGCATGGACTTGTGGAGGTCGTTATTTTGTACAATGTCGGTGACCTTCTTCATGGTGATGGTGGCCTTGTCGGAGACTTGTGATTTGGTGTCGTGAATACATGCTGCAACAACAGGCACGACATTCTCGAGCTTCTCACCCATCCGCTCTGGAGCATCTTCTGCGATGCCTTCAAGGAGGGTCAATGCACAAATGCGCGACTGCCACTTGACGCTGCCGTCTTCGAGATAGCTGAGGGTGGCCGGGAGGACATGCGTCGATAAAACATAGGCTTCTGATGCTCTAAGGAGGTTGCGCAATGCTAGATCTGCTGCATCGCGAACGACTTGGCCCTTGTCTGAGCCTGCATCCAAGATGACTGGGAGGTATTGTAGGAGATGCGGGATGGACGGTGGATATTGGACAAAGATCTCTGAGAATGCGATGAGGGCGGACTCACGCGCTACGCCGTCCTTCTTGTCCTTGGCTGCTTTGAGGAGCGCTGGGCAGATTGTGGTCTGGAGGAGGTGTAGGCCGTCCCGCTTTAGGTGGTTTGCGAGTTCTGTTGCGTGTGCAAGACACTCGCGGGATGTCTGAGCTGAGAAGAGGGCTGCAAGGGTTGCATGTGCCATCTCTGTCTCTTCTGCCATCTCTCTCGCTTCTAGCTATCTTCTTCTAGCCTACAGTATGCTGCGTCTTGTTCTTGTTTTCTGCGACATTTTTTTGGATTTCTCTCACGGGGAGAAGGAGCAATAGAAGGGAGTAGTGGAATAGTCAGTGGAAGAGGTTGTAGATAGACAGTATGCAAGGTATAGACACGGCTCATGATCACGGCTCCGTCTGCTTCATTTCTGGCATGATCTGTATTTAGCAGTCACACTCTACAAACACAGACCTGCACTCGAGACAAAAGATCCAACACACACAGCGACAGAAGACCAAAGCACGATACAACCATGGAGAACTCTGACGGAAAGCTCGTAGACCTCTACGTCCCTCGCAAGTGCGCAGCAACCAACCGTCTCATCAAGGCACACGACCATGCATCGGTCCAGATCAATGTCGCAGATGTCGACGAGAGCGGCCGTATGCTCAACACACAGACTTCCTTTGCGCTCTGTGGCTTTGTCCGCGAGAAGGGTATGTTGCTCTACTACGTTGTGCTATGGAAGAGAGAGAAGCGCGTCTATGTTACTAATTTCTGTGCTGCTCCTTCTCTTCTGCAGACAATCAGCTTCACACCACAGCACTAACATCCACAGGTGAAGGCGATGACTGCATCAACAAGCTAGCCACCCAGGCCGGCTTGCTCAAGAATGTCTGGTCTTACTCTCGCTAAATGGTCAGCACGTATGTTCCCGGTGTGGATACTTGAGCTACAAATGTAAAAGTATTCACCCATCGACACACCTGATCAACGGTCTCTGTGTGCACTGGACCTGGCAAAACCCCCTTATATACCCGCTGGATCCATGCACACACTTGATATAGAAGAGTAAAAGAGATGCCGAGTTGAGGGTGTGGATGTGTGGCTGCTGGGATTGATTCCTCCTGCTGGTGGAAGGGAGGAAGCGTACTGACGAGCTGTAATGAGACTTCATAGCATCAAGCATCCAATCTGCACTGTTCACTTCACACTCCCCAAAGAGAGCACTGCCGCTGTAGTTCTGTACTTGGTCCAGCCTCTTTTGTTGGGAATTCGGTTGCTTCGGCGCCATTTGTTGTGAATTTGCTACACCACCAGCTAAACAACCAGCTACCGACACAGCTAGACTAGACTAGACAGCCCCATGCCCGCCAGCCAGGCCAGCAGCTTAAAGACATAACACCCGGCCCCTGTCTCCTTTGACTCCCAATCTACCACTGCAATCATCAAATCATGATCAAGTCACGGCCACAGTCTATGCCCATCCAAGGCTACGCTAGCAATGCGCCCTTCACTGGCAGGCGCAAGACATCCAAGTCAGGCGCGTCTCCATCTCAGGACGACAAGCCTGCTGCTGCTCCTTCTCCTGCTCGAAAGCGCAATACCCTCGCTACAACGGCGCCCACTACTTCTCGAAGCAGCACCCAGGAAACGCGCCGGCCGTACACCTATGCCGAGTTGCAGCAACAGCCCTTCTTCGCCAACAACGCAATCAGCTACAGCACAACGCACAGCACCCTCGGCGCATTGCTCGTTCAAGTTGCCCTCGATACATCTACACAGCGCGGCCTGTACGGCGCAGTCATCTGTGCGGCCGGTGTTCGCTGCTATGCACAACTCGACCCAACAGATCCACAGGGCCACTTCAGAACCCTGCGTGATCCACTGCTTCGTGGTGCTGCAGTCTTGTTGCATGCATATACCTTGCACATGCCAACACCACAGCGTCAGCGTGTCGCTCTCTCTCCTCGCGCAGACCGGGTCGCTGCTCGGCATCTCGACTTGAGTGCAAGCAGTATGTGTCGTATTGCTGCTGGACTTGAACGCATCAAACTCCCTCAAGTCTCTGCATCCATTGCTTCCTTCTTGGCTCCAACCATCTCCAGGGCTATTGAAGTTGATCTCATCTTGAAGCCCGGCAGTTCTTTATCTACCGGACTCTTTCCTACACCACACCGCAAAGCGAGTACGGCCGCTGCGCTGGAAGCTGAACTCGCTCGCTTTCCACAGCCAGCCAAGCAGGAGAATAGCGAGAAGCGTGGCAACTTGCTCAATGAGCTCCTCACAACGGAACGCACCTACAATGCGCGTCTCACTCATTTGCTCAAAGATTACGCCATGCCCTTGCGTGCTGCTGCGCGTAAGGAGAAGGCCCTGCTCGGTGCATACGAGGTCAACCTTCTCTTCCCCTCCGCACTCGATGCCATTTGCCTCCTGAATGCCGATTTCCTCAAGCAACTCGAAGCTGCTCAACACGACGACTATGCCTTTGCACTCGCCCTCGTCAATGGCTTTCGCGATTTCCGCAAAGTCTATGGCCGATACCTCGAACTCTCTGCTGATCTCGATACCTGCCTGCGCCAGTCCCTCAAACTTGCCAAGTTTAAGGATTGGTCAGACAGTGTTCGTAATGAGGGCAAGCAACCGGTTGGTATTCGCGAACTCGTCAAGGAACCCGTCTCCCGCATTCCACGCTACGCACTCCTCATCACCAGTTTGTTGGCAGTATTGACACCTCAGAATCCTGCGTATGGCGTCTTCAAGGAAGCACTGACATTGGTTCGTCGCATTGGTCTTATGGGCCGCGAAGAGGGTGCCTTGTCGCAGGAACAAGTCATCAAGCTCTCCACCCTCGTTTCTAGCTGGCCCACTGAGCTCGTACGCAGTCACGTCGAGGTGCGTGCGTTGGTGGATTGTTTGGATGTCGTTCCTTGGCAAAAGAAATCACCCACCAGTCATACGGATGGTACACCCTGTGCGCTTGTCTTGCTCGCTGATAAGTTGGTCATTCTCAAGCGAAGTCGTACGGCGCGCATTGACGATGTGCTTGCCTCAAATCGCAAGGGAGAGCTGGGTTTTCGCGGATGGATTGCATTGGACAAAGTCGCGTTGCTCGATGAGGCAGATACCCTGACACTCGTCTTGTCGGAGGAGATGCAGCACGTCAATTCAGAGCACTGGCTCGATAGGCCTCTACGCAAATTTGTGCTGCTCAAGAGTGATGCCGTTCAATTCTCAACGGCATTGCGTGAGCTTAAAGATGCACTCAAGACGTGTCCAGCCACGAGTGTCGAGGTGGTTGCTGGCCGTGAGTATCGCTATGCACGCTACATGCCTGCAGACTGGCAAGCGGAGCAACCGGCACGCAAGCACGCCGTGCGCATCTTTGAGGATATCGACGATGGTGATATGCACTCTGTCAATCTCGTCATCTCCAAGGACAGTCAGACATCTTACTCTGCTTGGACACGTCGTGGACCGTCACAGTCATTGTTGTGCTCGGATGTCTCTGCCGCAGACCTCAAGCAAGTCTTGTTTGAACGTCTCGACAGCCTCCAGCAGGCCAATTGGCTCGACACGGATTTCTACCCTGCCGATGCGGTCTTCGCCATCCACAGCATGTTTGCAACAAGTCTTGCGTGTCTCCAAGCATCGGGTGTCTTGCAGAAATCTCGTCCCTCATCGCCCACAAAGCTCATGGCGAGTTTCCTGGGTCTGCGCAGTGATCGTGAAGCGTCGCCTACACGACCTGCTACAGCGACTGCGGCAACTGCAACGGGTTTGCGTCGTCCCAATACGGCAATGCCAGCTGACAAGGATCTCGCTGGTATTGCTGCATTTGTGGAAGCATTGTCTGCCTTGGAACACTTCACGCGGGATGACTTTACGCGTGCGTCAAGCAAAGAGATGAAGGAGATTGCAAGTTTGTCTGCTTTGATTGCGAAAGATCCCTCCAAGGCCTTTGCCATTCGTGGTTCACCTGCCAAAATTGCGGCACAAGCGTTTCATCGTCATTTGAAGCTGGTTGCAGCGAAAAAGGTCGGTGGGAGTGGCGTATTGGTGCCTGAGCAGAGTTGTGCTGAATGGCGCAGTGTCTTGACGTTAGACACAGAGTCACGCATGGATGCTGCTCGAAAGGCTATGCAGCATCTGCCTGCTGCTGCCCAAGACTTGCTGCGCACATTGCTCATGTATGGCTCGCATGTCTTGGCCTATTGCGATGACGATGCTCGCGTGCCTTTCGTCTTGGTGCTCTCAGAGTTGCTGGTGCCAAGTCTACATGTTACCAGCTTTGTTGCACCGCTCCAGTACCTGCTTGCTCATGTCGACATGCTCTACCGTCAGCCAGGCAACTTTGATTCTGTGAGCAGTACCATGACCATGATGCCCTCTCGTCCAGAATCTCAGCGTGTGGCAACGGCGCTCATGTCACCCATGACGGATGCACCACCCAAGCGTCCTGGCAACGTCCGCACCGATTCTGCACCCGCTGGTAGTTCCATCTACACACCTTTGCTCTCTCACTTCAGCTTGTCACCGGCCAAGGATTCCTTCAACCAAACACCAGAACTCGTTGAAGAATCAAGCAATGCCGATGAAAGCGATCACAAGCGTTCACCGAGCTTGTCGTCATTGATGAGTTATGCAGCGAGTGATGTTGAGCCACGCTCGCAACGTCGGACACGCGCCTCGCAGCATGAAGGCATGCAGTTGCCGTACAGTTTGATGCACGACAAGGCCTTGCCAGTGACGCCTTTATTGGATGAGTTGCTGCGTTCACCATTGGGAACGCATCAGTTTGAAGCGAGTCCACCCTTGACGGGCTATGTCGATGCCAAGCGCACAACACCCTTGACGATGCGCAAGGTGTCTGCTTCGCAACCGCTCGGTGCTGCGTTTGATCAGTCAAAGCAGGACGCCTACACTGCCTCTGAGGGACTCGGCTTGTTGTCTTCTCGCAAAGGTGCCTCGATTCCTCGCTTACCCTCTACGCTGGTGCGTCGTCGCGAGTCACAGCCACTCAGCAAGCAATTCTCGGGTCATGCATTCACGTTTGATCTCGCTGGTGCTGACGATGACCTATCGGCCGCCATCCAGTATGCAAGTCAAGTCAACTTTGCCCGTTCAGTGACGCCACCTCGCGTGCTAGAGAGCAAAGCAGCGCAAGTCGCGGTGGAGGCGGTGGAAGAGGCAGTTGTGCAGGAAGCTGGTGTTCGCGCTGTTCGACGTGCATCGCGTGACCATGTTCAACGAGAACGACAGCTCAGCACGCTCAGTATTCGCAGGCCTTCTGCTGCATCCTCCAACACATCGGATGTCTTGTTTGCTCCCGTTCACTATGGTCCTTCTGCAGGTCCTTCTGCAAGTCGAGTCTTGTCTGGCGATCGCTCTGTCGTGTGTATCCCTACACCTGTACAGGAAGAGCGCGAGTTTGTGACGCCGTTGCCGACACCGACGATGGAGGAAGCCATCACGGTGGTGGAGCGTGTTTCTATTGAAACAACACCTGCGCTTGAAGCCGCTGAGACTGTTTTGGAGGAGGAGGAGGAGGAGAAAGATGTCGCTTGCACGAGCGCTTGCCAGGATCATGTCGAGTTGCTGGGCCTTGAGCTGCAGCGGTACAAGGACCTCTATCGCGACTGTTGCGAAGAGGTGGATGTCACCATTGATTCTGCGAATGAAGAGATTGCTGCATTGCGACAGGCTTATGCGAGTGGAAGTGTTGAGCGAACTGCCTTGGCACAGCTTGAGCTGGAGAAGGCGGAGAATGGCAAGCTTAGGCGGGAGTTGCATGCATTGAAGGAGCGCTTGGGATGAGTTGAGGTTAGGACATTTGTAGAAAGGTCTTTTCATGGTGCGTATTTGTGAATTGAGTACGAGTACGAGGAAGTATAGTAGTTTTGTCTTGCAGCTGCATGTCCCAGCGAGCCAGAAGTGCTGCATGAGAGCTGTATGAAAGGTGTGTAGTCTGCCTCCTTGTCAGGTCGCAGGCTACGAAAGTGCACGTTGCCTCACATGTCCTCCCCATCCAAACACACACACAAGCTAGAGACTAGTCTAGACACCTGATATCCGCCATAGGTAGTCCACACGTCGCCATGACCGTATATGGAGTGTTGGTGTTCGTCGAGGGAGAGTTGAGGTTGACTTTGTCTCACGACCAGTTTCAACTTTCCTGGCCTCGAAGCGGCAGACAGAAAGAAACAACAAAAGCGACTCTCGAGAGGCAGCAGGGCCAGCATGTCCTGGTCGTCTTGGCTCCAGTCAGGGTATGTTCACTGCTGGTACTTCCATCTCCGACTGACATATCCAGTGTAGCGGCCATCACCGGCTCACAAGAACCCGTCTACGGCGAAGAGGCAATCCACTCCATTTGCGCGACCGTGACGCCTGAGACTGCCTATACGGAGCTTGACGCGTCAGACTACGCCTGGATCGCGCCAGAATGGGGCTCTAATGTCGAGACGCAGACGTTCTACATTGCAGCCGACTCGGGCCATGTCTGCTTTGCGCAAATCATCCATTCTAATCCAACGTGTGTCATTCCTTGACTATGGCATCGTATGCTAATGGTGCTAAGGGGTCTCGCGTATACAGCGCAATTTACATGCCGTGTCTTTGACCCGAGCAATCCGCAAGCCAACATATGGACCAGCACAACACTCGAGGACTGGAATACCAAAGATGATGCATGCAGGTCGTTCAAGGCCAAAGGTGTCTCTGTTATGCTCAACGAGGATAACACAGCATACACACTCAAGATCACAGTCAATCCACAAACCATTGTCAACTTTACCATGACACGCGTGTCACCCGGCTTCAAGATTGGTGCTGATGGTGCGACTCTTTTTGGGCCAGACAAGGCCAAGCCATGGGGTTCCATGAAACACCTCTTTTGGCCACGCTGTAAAGTAGAAGGTGTCATTCTCGTCAACGGTGCTCCCGTGGATGTCAAGGGTCGAGGACTCTTTATCCATGCGCTACAAGGCATGAAACCGCATCACGCAGCTCGCAAGTGGAACTTCTGCAACTTCCAGGGCAAAGATCTCTCTGCCACGATGATGGAATTCACCACACCAGAGAGTTATGGGAATACAACCATCAATGTTGGTGGTCTGGCTAAGGAAGGCGTTGTTCTTGCTGCCACGATTGACAACGAGGTACGGCACAATGCAACCAAGCTGGATGAAGAGACTGGATGGCAGCAACCAACAGAGATGGTCTTTAGCTGGCGTGGTGTTGAAACAGCAGAGCACAGTGAGGCGAGAAGACCTGTCACGGCACACTTGTCTTTGCAGTCGGAAACGCTGCTTGAACGTGTAGACGTCCTGGCTGAGATTCCGCCGTGGCTCAAGAAGGTGGTCCATGGTGTGAGCGGTACGCGGCCCTTCATTTACCAGTATGCCAAGCCGGCGACGCTTGAGGTACAGATTGGGGATGAAAAGGTGACGGACGAGGGTACGCTCTTTGTTGAGGCGACCTTCATTTCATGAGGGCCTTGCTGCAGGAAATGTTTGTAGGCATAGTCAGCATGAATAGTATCTGCACTTGTACTCTATCTCTCTTCTGCTACTGCTACTCATGGTATATACCGCAGTCCATACATAAATGTCATAAAAGTAGTCTGAGACACCTTCGCGACTCGACTCAACACCCAAACGACCTCTCACAAGGGACCACATCGCACACCCGGTCCCAGGCAGCTAGGCCAGATGCTTCATGTCTGAGTCACCACCGCGCAAGAAACATAAAGCGTATAGACCCTCATGTCTCATGCGCGCGCATCTTGCTAACCCTTCAAAGAGAACCCAGTACCCCTAGAGTCCTTCGCAGTCAAACAGCCGCTGCAGCCGCCAGCAATACACCTGTCGCACAAGAAGTACAAGCGGCAACACATCAAGACAAGCCGTCAGCATCAGAACCCGCAGCAGAGCCCATGTCAGAATCCAAACGGCGCTCGTCACGCAAACATTCAAATCGCCACGATGAGCTGCTTGAACTGGAACAGTCGGCAGGTGCGTCGTCTGCGCAGCCAGACGAGGTGTATGAGGAAGAGTATGAGGAGCACTACGATGAGGAAGATGACCGTTATGATGAGGATGAAGAGGCAGAAGCACATTTCATGCAGTCTGCTCGTGGACTTACCCTCAACGCCATGGCAGGCCTCTTCAGTGGGCAGGCAGGACAATTCAAGAATTGCCTACAACAGCTCAAGGCGCAAGATCCGTCGATACAGCTCATTGCTCTGTCGGAGCTTGCCAACATCTTGTCCATGAGCACAGAAGATTCCCTTGCTGGCTTCTTTCAGATCGACGCCTTTGTTTCTGAGCTTGTCAAAATTATGAAAGGGCCTGATGCATTTGGTGAGGAAAACTCTGAGCTCATGCTGCTAGCATGCAGATGCTTGGCAAATCTCATGGAAGCACTGCCCCCAGCAACAGCCAATGTGGCGTATGGCAATGCCGTTCCTGTCTTGTGTCAAAAGCTTTTGGAGATTCAATACATTGATCTAGCAGAGCAAGCCCTCTCTACGCTTGAAAAGATCTCAAAAGATTACCCAAGCGCGGTCGTCAAAGAGGGAGGTCTTGCCGCTTGCTTGACCTATCTTGACTTCTTCAGTACAAGCGTCCAGCGAACTGCAGTCAACACAGCCGCCAACTGCGCAAAGGGCGTCTCTGCAGAGTCATTTGGCATTGTGCGTGATGTCATTCCAACCTTGCAGACGGTCATTGCAGGGAGCGATGCAAAGGTCGTGGAAGCAGGTTGCCTCTGTCTCACCCGCCTTATCGAGTCTTTTCAGCACAACACAAAGCATCTTGAAGAGCTACTCGAGCCGAGCCTCACACAAACAATCCTCGCCATTCTCGATCCGATGAACGCCACAGGTAGCACCCTGAGCGAGCACACGCAAACGCGATTCCTGCATGTGTTGGCCCTCGGTGCCAAAGCATCCCAGCTCCTTGCTGCACGTCTCATTAGCTCTGGCCTCATTTCGACTCTTTACCAGCTGCTGACCTCGCTCGATGTGCCAGACACGGTCGAAGGTCTTGTTGAAAACTCAGTTGTTGTATTGCAGGCCCTCATCCATCATCCACGCGAACAGATTGCAGCAATTCTATCCCTCATCTCTGCTATACTACCAGGCTTGCCAAGCGAAGAATACTACATTGGCTTGATGGCACCACAACGCAGTGCGAATGACAATCGTGCGGAACTATTTGAGAGGGAATGTCCAGAGCAGTATGAACGATTCGCGCGGATCGTATTACCGACATTACTTGACATGTACAATGCCACCGTCAATGCGGCTTTGCGTCGCACGTGTCTGCTTGCGCTGCTCAAGCTTGTGAGCAATCTCAAGCCAGAGGTTATGGCGCGTGTGGTGCACAATGTACCGCTTGCAGTGTTTATCGCAGGACTTCTGGGCTCTGCCGATGAGAACCTTATTCTTGCTGGCATTCGCTTGTCCAATTTACTGCTTCAGCGTCTCGCAAGCATCTATGCAAACAAGTTGGCCGTCGAAGGCTGTGTCGATGCCATTGAAGCCTTGCAGTCGCAATACGCCAATTTGCCCGAGACAAAGTCTATGCCAATCAAGCCGCCTGCTGAGCGTCGTCATACTCACGAAGACGATGAAGATCAGGAAGACATCCACGATGACGACCTTGATGATGTTGACGAAATGGACGACGATGAAGACATGTCTGAAGAATCGGACGTTCAACAGCCAGAGTCACACATGATATACTCTGCTGCTTCTGACTTTCTGAAACAATACAAATCTGTTGATGGAGGCGATGCGACAAGGGAATCGACTCTTGCAACATTGTCGGACCTCGCTGAACGCTTAAAGTCAACAGATATTGAGACGGCTTTGAAAGACTTTGGTGACATGCTTGCAAAACAACCAGTCTCTTCGTACTACCTTGAAAAGTCTGGCATACTCGGCGCTTTGCTCACTGCGCTCACCAACGACTCGAGCGTCCAAAATCGTCGATTGTTCGCCAAGCACTTTAGCTCTGCAACTCTCCTTGTGAGCAAACTCCAGCAGCTTCTTTCGCGTGCGGAAAAATTTGAAGTGGCAACGAGCTCAGCCGGTGACGAGCGTCGATCCGCAAGCATCCTGGCAAAGCAACTCAAGCTCAAGTTGGTCGCAGGAGATGATATTCCACGGCCCTTTAGGATGCTCATGGTGTCGATTCATGCTATTGCCACATTTAAAGCGCTGGATGACTACCTCCGACCGCGCATTGCTGTTGCCAAACCCTCCAACAACTCTGGAGTCGCTGCACTCGCTCAGCTCACAAGCGCGAGCGCCGCTGCCGGCCCGATTGGTGAAACGTCAGTTGACGAGGATGAGGCGGCAGTCAGCGTTGAAGTGTCTGGTGGCAAGGCTATTGCCAAGACTGCCGATGGCGAAAAGATTGCTACGCCTCGTACAAGCACCCCCGATACGAGCACGCCACGCAAGCAAGCGCTCAGCTATTCAGCGGCATTACAAGCAAGTCCAAAAGACTGGCACTTGCAATTTGAAGTGGATGGCCAGATTGTTGCGCATGATACGACTATCTACGGAGGTGTCAGTCAGCCAGATCGCAATTTGCAGCGCATCTACGAAGTCAAATTCCGCAAAGTAGCTGGACCCGCGCCTGCGCCTGTTCAAGTGTCTGAAGAGCGTTCGCTGGGCTTGCCCGCGTCTGTGCAGAATGACTCAGCTGCTCCAATCCTCGAGCTTCTCAAGGTCCTCCACGATATGGAGACATTACCTCCAGCCAGCTTTGTCAATACCAAGCTGACTGCAAAGCTCAATCGTCAGCTCGAAGAGCCGCTGATTGTGGCGTCCTCATGTCTGCCGCCATGGTCCTTGGACTTGCCAAGACACTTTCCATTCTTGTTTCCCTTTGAAACGCGCTACCTCTTCTTGCAAAGCACTAGTTTCGGATACTCTCGCAGTATGTCGCGTTGGCAATCTCAAGCAAAGTCCGACGACGATACTCGGCCCTTCCTCGGTCGTTTGCAACGTCAAAAGGTGCGCATTTCGCGTCCAAGACTCTTGGAGAGTGCCATCAAGGTAATGGAGCTGTACGGTGCGAGTCCTTCAGTGCTTGAAGTAGAATACTTTGATGAAGTTGGCACTGGCCTTGGTCCCACACTAGAGTTCTACTCGTCTGTGTCTTTGGAATTGTCAAAGAATCGCTTGCATCTCTGGCGCGCAGATGACGAAGAAGCGGAGTATGCATTCAGTACAGCAGGACTCTTCCCGGCGCCGTTGCCTTCCTGCAATGAAGAAAAGACCAAAGTCACCTTGGCTTTGTTCAAGATGCTTGGAACATTCGTTGCTCGCAGTATGCTAGACTCGCGCATGATTGACCTGGCACTCTCCCCTATGCTCTTCAAGGTGGACTTCACGCCAACTTGGGAGGATGTTGCGCAGGTAGATCCTGCCCTTGGCAAGTCGCTTGCATTGCTCGCCCAATTTGCAGATGCTTATCAGGCTGTGCTTGATGCAGACATGACAGACTCGCAGCGTGGCAAGGCGGTCCGTGCCATCACCTTTGAGAACTGCACTGTGGAAGATCTTGGCCTTGATTTTGCATACCCGGGCAATCCAGAGGTGGAGTTGATGCCTGGTGGCTCACAAGTCGAGGTGACCATTCACAATGTCGCCGACTATGTGACCAAAGTCACGGATGCGACGCTTGGCAGTGGCGTTGCTAGACAAATTGCTGCATTCCGCAAGGGCTTCTCGGCTGTGTTTCCTTACAGCGCACTGCGTGCCTTTACGCCTCTCGAGCTGTCCATGTTGTTTGGTTCAGGGGAAGAAGATTGGTCGGCCGAGACGCTGGCCGATAATATCAAAGCAGATCACGGCTACACGATGGACTCCAAGACCATCCAGAACCTCATCAGCGTGCTGTCGCAGCTCGACAAGATTGACCGACGTGCCTTTTTGCAATTCATTACTGGTTCACCCAAGTTGCCCATTGGCGGTTTCAAAGCACTCACGCCGCAATTCACCATCGTATGCAGACCGCATGAGGCGCCCATGACGGCAGACGATTATTTACCGTCTGTTATGACGTGTGTCAACTACCTCAAGATGCCAGATTACTCTAGTCGCGAGGTGTTGCAGACAAAACTCGTCTTGGCTATGCGAGAGGGGTCCGGTAGCTTCCATTTGAGTTAGGATAACAATCATAATCTTGGTATTTTAGCGTGCATTACATTAGATTGTTTTTGTCACTATGGTCGTTGATGTGCTAGTTCCTTGACGGGCCACGCGCAGAAGACTTGAGTCAAGAACGTCCTGAGAAGTGAATCTATGGAGGTAGGCATTCTCTCTGAGGCAGTCTCTTGCTTTGGCCGCTTCTCATTGTCTCCTCCATCAGTTCAAAAGAAGCACTACGGTTGTATCGACAGCCTAAGAAAAGCTTGGAAGTCAGGGTAGCATGCTTCAGTAGCAACCCAGTTGCTGTTGATTCAGAATGCAGATTCTTCTTGCAGCTCCTCGAAGTGGTCACAGCACAAAGAACGCAGTCGAGCCGCTCAATTTCCATGGAGAGCTTCATAGTGCACACGACCATCCCGGATTGCCTGGTTGAGGAATGCCTCAAAGGTCAGACCATCCCGGGCTGTTGGCGAGAAGGGCCCAGACGATGGTGCATGCAGGATGGCATCAGTGACGATGATGTTGAAGCCATCCACAATATCAGCGTATTTGGCAGATTGACCCGCTTCATGCTCAGCTCCAACAAAGGCGTCAGAGAAGGAAACTATGTTGTAAGCCTTGGGGCGTGCGAAGGCCAAATTGAGGACAGTGAAAGAGTACTGCTTGTAGAGATAGAGCCAGAATCGTCTTTCGATGATTTCAGCAGGAGTCTGAGCTTGGATTTGAGTAATAGCAGCGGGGTTTTCAAACATGTCTTCTCCATTTAACTTCCTCATGGAAGCAGCGAAACTCATGTCTGCAGTGAGCACCTCCATGATTTAATAACAAGAATAAAGCGTCTGCTGGAGAGGCGGCAGTGGGTGAGGCAGTCCTTTCATGGTTGCCTTTCTCCAAAAGCGTCAGTAAAGAAGAAGATCTGTGCAAGACCCAAATCTGGTTTTGTGCCCAGATGTCGTATTCTTCGAGCTCTTGTGTAGAGAGGGCCGGTAGCTTAAATGTAGTGCAACAGCCAGAAGCTCATCTAGGCAGATTCTGTGAGAGATATTTACAACACCAAAGAAGAGTAGCAGGCTCCATTGAGGAGGGCATAGAGTTTGGTTGTCAAAGACTGAAAATCATGGGAGTGACTGCGATAATGCAGACATTTATGTGATGTCTGCGACAACCCAACACGTAATATATGCCCACCACTTGGCCCAAGACTTGAGTTCATCAAAGGCGCGTTGCACTAAGACGACATTGTATTCACTCTATTGATATATGTGACTGCTAAATTCTGAAGACCATTTGATTCAAGATATACTAAGCCCTTCGAGCTTGTAAAGAAAAATTGGCCGAGGCTGTATTCTCGCCGAGAAGTCGAGAGTTCAAATCTCGCTATGTGCGCCTGCGTGGCGAAACGGTAACGCACCACTCTTCTAAAGTGGGGATTGCGGGTTCGAGCCCCGCCGTGGGTTCTTTGTTCTTCTTTGCGCCATCGAGTTTTCGCCGTCGAGTTTTGTTTTAGGCAGTTAGCTGAACAGATAGATGAAGTTCAGGATTATCTTAGAGACTTGGACGTTGCTCAGACATTGCAGTGCCGGGACTTGGGAGTCGCGAACGATGTATTGAATGAACTCAAAATTTTGGTGCGGTCAGAAATTCAGCTCAAGACAACGCAACACCACAAGACCTGCACTCGCTTCAATGACGGAAGAGGTGAGCAAAGCAATGGAGAATGTTCAGCTAGAGTAGGCTCTCTTTTACTCACGAGCACAAGCTAACAGGCCAGTGCGGAAGGCAAGCCATTGACCAAGAATGCCCTTAAAAAGCTTGAAAAGGAGCGAGCCAAGGCTGCAAAGCAAAAGGAAGTCGCTGACCGACTCGCAGCAGAAAAGGCAGCACGCGATGCAGCGGCAAAGCAGGATGTGGCCAAGGAGTTTTATGGTAGGAAAGCAATGAATCAGTCGACTGAGGCGCAAGGTGCTGCCTATGACCAGATCAAGGCCTTATCACCTGCACGAGATGGTGAGACAGTCTTGTTGCGTGCCAGGCTACACAATTCACAGGCAAAGGGTGCCAAGATGAGCTTTCTGCTGTTGCGACAGGAGCTGGATTCGGTGCAAGCGATTGTGCAAGCCAATAAAGAGTCTGTTAGTACGCAAATGGTCAAGTGGTGTGCAGGTCTGAGTCTCGAATCGATTGTGCTGGTTGAGGCTGTGGTGAAGAAGTCCCCCGTGGCTATCCAATCTGCCTCTGTGACGGATGCAGAGTTGCACGTTACCAAGATTTACCTCGAGTCAGAGGCACCCGACAAGCTGCCATTCATGGTGGAGGATGCATCACGCAGTGAACAAGCCATCAAGGAGTCAGAGGAGAATGCCAAGGAGGGCGACTCACACTATGTGCGCGTCCAACTGGACACGCGTCTCAACAACCGTGTGCTCGACTTGCGAACGCCAACAAACCACGCCATCTTCAAGATTTCTGCTGGAGTACGACAAATCTTTCGCGAGTTTCTCTACAAGCGCGACTTTATGGAGATTTCAACGCCGAAGATTATCGGCTCTGCGTCTGAGGGTGGCGGCAACTTTTTCAAGATGCCGTACTTTAAGGATGAAGCGTACCTGGCACAGTCGCCGCAGCTGTACAAGCAGATGCTCATCTCTGCCGACTTTCCACGCGTGTTTGAGACTGGGCCCGTCTTTCGTGCAGAAAACTCGTTTACACACAGGCACATGACTGAGTTCACGGGACTCGATTTGGAGATGAGCTTCGAGAGGCACTATCATGAAGTGCTTGAGACGATTGAGTCGCTGTTTATCCATTTGTTTACGGAGCTGAAGACGCGCTATGCCAAGGAGATTGAAACAGTCAAGAAGCAGTTCCCTGTGCCAGACTTTGTGCTACCTGCAGATGGCAAGCCTGTACGATTCACATTCAAGGAGGCTGTTGATATTCTCATCAAGCACGGCATCCGTCAACCCAGCGATGAAGCCTATGTCACGGATATGGACACAACTGAAGAACGTGCTCTAGGGCCAGTGATTCGCAAGGAGTACCACACTGACTTTTATGTGATTGACAAGTTTCCTACAGCGGTCCGGCCATTCTACACGATGCCGGACCCAGAGGACCCGACATTCAGCAATTCGTACGACTTTTTCCTGCGTGGAGAGGAGATTTTGTCTGGTGCACAGCGTATTCACGACCCCGTCTTTTTGATGGAGCGTATGCGTGCATTTGGCGTGGACCCCGAGGGGCCTGGCTTGAAGGACTATGTGGATGGGTTTAAGCTTGGCTGTCCGCCGCATGCTGGCGGTGGCATTGGTCTTGAGCGAGTTGTGTTTCTCTTCCTCGACCTGGGCAACATTCGGCGAGCATCCCTGTTTCCGAGGGACCCGAAGCGTCTGTCGCCCTGATCCTCTACGTACAATATGATCAAAATGCTGTGATCTACTGAGGACTAAGTGAGTAACATCATACTAACATGTGTCCGTGACGTCATGGCCGGCCCTGCTGGATGACGTGACGGCGGCCTGCCCAGCTCCAGCTCGAGTTGTTGCTCTGCTGCTGCTGCTGCTCCAATCTTCGGAATATTTTTGGTATATGAGCAGCACACCCGCCATCTTCTCCCCTGCACATACACCTACCCATCTTACTTCCCTCCATCATGAACCGAAGCAGATCTCTCCGAAGCAGCAAGTTCGCAGGCAGCAACGCATCCTCAGGCGGCGGCCACAAGAAATTCTCCTTCTCCTCCCTGCGCAACGCAGGCAAGCAGAATGAACTCTCATCCGCCATGTACAGCCTCATCAAGACTGAGAATGGTATTGTCGATGCCTACGAAAAGGCAGCGCACCAGTTGACTTCGGTTGCGCACCAGTTGTCCGCCTGGGGAGAAGCCACAGAGGATGAGCACATCTCCGACATCTCCGACAAGCTCGGTGTCCTCATGTCGGAGCTCGCTGACGTCGAGGAGAACTTTGCCGCAGAGTTGGAAGACTCTCGCGTCACCCTCAAGCAGATCCGCAACACAGAGTCTTCTGTGCAGCCATCGCGCGACCAGAAGCAAAAGCTGATTGATCAGATCCACACCCTCAAGCACAAGGACCCTCAATCCCCTAAGCTGGTCGATGCCGAACAGGCACTCGTCCGTGCAGAGGCTGAGAACTTGGTGGCTGAAGCTCAGTTGACCAACATCCAGCGTCATGCACTCAAGGAGACCTATCTCCTCCACTTCCAGGCCATTATTGAGCGTGCTGAAAAGTCTCTCATTCTCGCTGACCACGGTCGTCGTGTGCTTGAGCTTCTGGATGACACTCCCGTTGTCCCGGGAGACTCGATTGCTGAGTACACGCACGAGCGTGAAGCCAAGCAGATCTTGTTGGACTGCGAGTCGGAGTTGCAAGCTTACCGCCCCAAGCCATACAGTGCCGGCCAGTCGCGTCTCGGCAACAACTTGCTGCCTGAAGGTGGCCATGGCGAGTATGAGAATGAGTCGATTTACAACGGCAACCAGCAGCACGCTGGTGATGAAACCGTCAACTATGAGCAAGGCGAGCACACTTCTGCACCGCCCATCAAGTCTGGTAACGACATGAAGTTCTCCGATGAGCAGCAGTCGTCGCGTGCACCTATCGCCCAGACGACGGACAACATTGAGGTTCAGAAGTAGTTCTGTAGGACTCTGTACTCTATCTACGTAGTAATTTCTGTATTTGCAACGACGACGACACTATAGTGACTATACTCCACATCAAGTACAGACAGGCGCCATGTCTGGCAAGGACAGAGAGTAAGCTGGCCATCTACAAGCAAAGCTAATCACAGACCCGTCTTCCCGACCCGCATGTCTCTGGCGCTCATGCAAACAAAGCTCAAGGGCGCCAAGTCGGGACACTCCCTCCTCAAGCGCAAAGCAGAAGCCCTCACCAAGCGCTTCCGCGAAATCACACGCCGCATCGATGAGGCAAAGCGCAAGATGGGGAGGGTCATGCAGATTGCTGCATTTAGTCTTGCAGAAGTAGCGTATACCGCTGGCTCAGATATCGGCTTTCAAGTCGCAGAGAGCGTCAATAAGGCACGCTTTAAAGTACGCGCAAAGCAAGAAAATGTCTCTGGTGTATTGCTGCCTACATTTGAGACCTTTGAAGAAGGAGAGAATGAGTTTACGCTAACGGGACTCGGTCGCGGTGGACAACAAGTGCAAAAAGCGCGCGAAGTCTATACAAAAGCAGTCGAAACGCTCGTCGAGCTGGCCAGTCTCCAGACTGCCTTTGTCATTCTGGATGAAGTCATCAAAGTCACCAATAGGCGTGTCAATGCCATTGAGCATGTCATCATCCCCAAGGCGGAAAATACAATCAAGTATATCCAGCAGGAACTCGAAGAACTCGACCGTGAAGACTTTGTGCGGCTCAAAAAGGTTCAGGGAAAGAAGCAGGCACTCAAGGAGGAAGAGGAAGCCAGAGAAGCGGCAGAGGAAAAGCGAAAAGGCGCCAAAGCAAGCGATACGTACGAGGTGAATGATGTCCTGGCAGAGGCACAGCAAGAGGACGACGTGATTTTCTAGAGTAATGATCTTATGCGTGCTCGAGCTGCCGGAGCTCTTGCGTCTCTGGTTGCTTGACTGGTGCAGTCGGCACAGATGGCAGGTCCATTGGCTCATCAATCGTGACTTGCTTCATACTGGCGCTTGCCTCTGCAAGCATCTGTTCATACGCATCCTCCACTTCTGTATCGTCTTGACCAATAGTCATTGCTTGCTGCACTTCATCCACCTGTGCCATAGAATCTGAAACTTGGTCCATAATGGCATCGACACGCTCCATGCCGCCCATAGACTTGAGAAGGCGATCCAATGCAAAACTGCCTTGCTCCATGGCATTCAGCAGACCCATGTTGGTTGCGGCTTCATCGATTTTCACAAGGACCGCCTCGACTTGTGCTCGCTGATCAGCACGTTGCCGCGTCGTCGTCTCGAGCTGCTTCCGCGTCCGTAGCTTGGACAGTGCCAACGTCTTTTGGCTCTTGCTGATTGCCTCTTTCGCTTCAATCTCAAGGTCTGTACAGCGCTGCGACAGACTCTTGATTTGATCATCCAACAAGGCCAATGTCGCTTTGAGTTGTGCAACAGCTTCATCCGTTTGGCTGATGCTCACATCATCAAGGGGTACCCCAGCAGGCAGGAATTTGAGCGTCTCGCCTTCTGACTGAACCACAGTACCCTGGTCACGAGCCAGGTACTTTAGCAAAACCTCAATATCAGCCCCTGATAGGCGATACGGGCTCAAGTCCGTACACCAACGGGCAAACAACGAGCGCGTTGTGATGTGTCCACTGTAGCTCGATTGCATGTCTGCTTGATATTGCTTCATCAACTTGTCTGCCACAAGCTCAATATTCGCCACCACGACAAACGCAGCACCGCTCAGCTTTGTCGGTGTCGATGGCGTCCAAAACTTGGAGACACCCCAACGAAAGGCAGCCCCTAGTGTGACATTCGTCAGTCTTGAGGGTGGCGCGTAGATTGATTCTTCCTGTGCCATAAACAAGTCTTTAGGAATCCAAGCACGTTTTGCGACTGCTTCATGCTCAACAGATGCAAGAGCAAGCGGTTTGCCCCATTGACTTGATGTGAGAATATCAGAGAGCGCCTTGCTGGTGGTGATGCATAGGCAAGAAGCAAAGGCATTGGTGCTCGTACTAGATTCAGCTTCTTCTTTTATACTGAGGAATGTTTCTTCAAGAAGTGACTTGTTGAGGGCTTGTATCCAAGCATCAATGTTGGCATCATAGCCATCTTTATTGGACACTTTGAGCGTTGCAAAGTCGCTGTACAGAGATGGCAAGCGCGACTTTTTGAAGGATGGCTGAGACAAGACGGTATTGAGCAAAGTCATAGACTAGAGCTATCGGAAAGTCGGCGTTTCAACACGCATGTAGCGTGTGTGGTTGAAGACGTTCCAATTTGCACCATTTGAGATGCACTCAAGCGACCGGATGATTGGAAGCTGTAGACAAGCTGCGTGATTGCAGATCCTCTACAAGTCTCTTCTTGCACACACGTTTCAGGTTGGCAAACTTTTATACTATATATCCACCGCATGCCTGCTCTGTATTGCACTGAATGGCAAGACGCCTGGGCATCACCAAAAAATGCATCGCCTTGTGCGCAACGCTGCGCGTCCTTCTATTCCCAGCTTCACTGCTAGCACTCGCGCTGTCTATTGCATCAGCTGTGCATCTTGCAAGAATCGACGAAGCTGCACGTGACTTATTAGCAAGATTGGCAGTACCTCGTGAGCAACAAGGCAATGTGCGAATCCTGCAAGCAGCAAGCTATTATAGTCTTGCGGCAGGCATCATTTCGTTTGCAAGTACTGCAATTGTTGGGTACACCAGGGGAAATCCACGCATTGAGAAGCATCTGAAACGGCTGCTCGCCGTCGATGTCATCAACGTATTTATCACATTTGTCGCCTGGCTTCTTGTCACGGCAGTTTGGTCACGAAGGCCCTGTATACCCCTCAAGGAGACATCACGCCAATTGAGTACACGGGATGACATCGAAACTCTGGTTGAGCAAATCAATGCGGCGTGCCAAATCAATGCCATTGCAAGCACCTTCAACGCAATCCAGTGGGGCCTGTGGCTAGGTGTCTGTCTGACGAGCTTTGCTTTGCTGAGCATATGTAAGCAGTGCGAGAAGAATGCAAGACGCGCCAAGTTGGCAGCTGAAGCGAGTCGTCAAGCAGATGAAAAGCTGCTGCTTGTCAGGCCACAGATAGCATCGCCCGATGCAGCTAGACTCAGCCACGCATGAATTTGATGTAGACTGGATTCTGAGTTTCGTCCACGTAGGGATAGCCAAGCGAATCCAAGTACACCTGAAATTGAGCCAAGTCTGCATCGGGAACCTGAATAGCAGAAAGGATACTCGAGACATCCGCGCCATTGTTGCGGTAATGAAAGAGGGAAATGTTCCAGCCGCTTTTCATGCCTTGCAAAAACTTGGTCAATGCCCCAGGGCGTTCAGGAAACTCGAAACGGTAGACGCGCTCGTCTGGCACTTTTGAACGACCACCAATCATGTATCGACCATGAGACTTGGCCATTTCATTGTCACTGATATCTTCAGCGCCAAAGCCTTCTGCGCGAATTGCATCGAGCAGCTGTGGTACTTCTGCTCGGTCCTGCACTTTGAAGGAGAGGTAAATGTCGGCACGCACACCATTCGAGTAGCGATAGGAAAACTCTGTCACTGCACGCGGCAGAATCACGGCCACGAGCTTCATAAACACGCCAGAGACTTCTGGCAACACAACAGAGAAGAAAACCTCCTTGCCTAGACCCAACTCTGCACGCTCGGCGACGAAACGGAGCCGGTCGAAATTCATGTTGGCGCCGGAGAGTGTAGCGCAATAAGTATCACTTGTAGAAGTTGGCGGATGCGTCTTGAGGTACTTCTTCAGACCAGCAACGCCAAGCGCGCCAGAAGGCTCGACGATACCGCGCGTGTCCTCAAACACGTCCTTGATGGCAGCACACAGCTCATCAGTCGAGACGAGCACAATTTCATCAACAAACTCCTGGCATAGCCTAAATGTCTCCTCGCCGACAATTTTGACAGCCGTGCCATCAGCGAAGAGCCCAACGTCCTTCAACGTGACGCGCTCCCTTTCATCCAGTGACTGTTTGAGTGCATCTGCATCGTACGTTTCCACACCGATAATTTTGATGTGCGGTGCAATGCGCTTGACATAGGCTGCAATGCCAGCAATAAGGCCACCGCCACCCACGCAGACAAAAATTGCCTTGAGATTTTGAACGCTCGTTTGCCGCAGAATCTCCATGGCGACAGTGCCTTGGCCAGCAATGACATAGGGGTCGTCGTACGGATGCACATCCACGAGATTATGCTTCTTGGCAATTTTAGCCCCTTCTATCTTGGCTTCATCAAAGTTTTGTCCTTTGAGCACGACTGTTGCACCCATGCGTGAGACGGCTTCATGCTTGATGGCCGGCGCAGCAAGAGGCATAACGATCGTTGCAGGGATGCCAAGATGCCGAGCAGAGTAGGCCACACCCTGTGCGTGATTCCCTGCAGAGACGGCAACCACCCCTCTCCAGCGCTCTTCCTCAACGAGATGCGCCATTTTATTGTAGGCTCCGCGAATTTTGAAGCTAAAGACGGGTTGCAGGTCTTCGCGCTTGAGAAGGACATTGGCGCTCAGCTTCGCTGATAGATTCGAGGCGACCGTCAATGGCGTCTCCTTGATGATGTCGTAGACACGAGAAGCTTGCGTTAGTACATTTCATATTTTGAGGTCATACTGAGAATCAATCGCAGGTAGTCTGGCCGCTCTGGCTGATCACCCGTTGGCAATTCTGCTCCTGGCGGAGTTTTTGAGCCATTGACCAGTGCATCGACCGAGAGGCCGTCGTGCGGTGCCATGCTCAGAGCTGGTCACTGCTGGTTCTAGCGTGTTGTCTAGAAGTAAATCTGTAGATGAAGTTGCCAAAATTTGGGAGCTCGCACGACTGACCGACACCACCACTTCAGCTGGCTCATGGAAGCGAATGTCCTCTTATTTGCTTCATATCTGCATGACTCTCTCGCTCAAGAATGTTTCAATGGACTGGATGCCCAGCTGACCAAACTTGATGCTGTTCAAGAGCAGCCACAGCTGATCGACCCTCATGTCCAGGGGCTGCTTGATCCCATCACCGCTCATCTCGTCCAGAGCCTATTGAAGCCTATGCCTACATTCGTACAGGACCTGTATCGCATTGTCTATCATCTTTGCAAGCTTCGTGGTGCCAAAGTCATTGTCAAGCTGCTCCCAAATCACGTACACCTCCTCAATCCGGTGCTCGACACTTTGCAGACTCAGGCGCCAGATACAACTGAGTGGCACAGTCGATACATTCTATTCCTGTGGCTTTCGCTTATTGTAATGGCTCCATTCGACCTGAAAACATTCGATGAAGCCAACAAATCAGATGGTGGTGTGGCCCTGCGTATACTTACGCTGGCACAAACATACCTTGGAGCAAGCAGTCGGGAACGCGAAGCTGCAGGGCTCTTGATTGCAAGAACAGTCACACGCAAAGATGTCAGTGCGGCTTTCATACCTGACTACCTCCAGCGGAGCCTTGCAACATGGGCCAATGACAACTGCACGATTCACTTTCGCATCGGGTTCCTCGTTTCCTTATGTGAAATCTTTCGGATTGGCAATAGAGATATTTTGCAAGCGCACATTCACCCTGCCTTGAATGCGTTGAGGCAAATCGAATCTGATGATTTCAATAGCAACACGTTGCTTCGCAAATTACGAATGAAGCTTTCTCAACGACTTGCATTGACTATGCTCAAACCAAGCAGGGCCGCATGGCGATACAAGAATGATCCAAAAAGCTATGGTGTTGGGAACATTTCAACGGATCAGGAACCCGATGAACCATCGCAGGCAGTAGAGGAAGTGGTAGGCGTTCTCTTGGAGGGCATTCAAGACCGCGACACGGTTGTTCGCTATTCTGCCGCAAAGGGTATCGGCAGAGTTACCAGTCGTCTACCGCGGGAATTTGCTGAAGAAATTGTCGGCGCGATACAAGGCTTGATGGAACATCAAACGCATACAGAGTCTGGTCTTCTCAAGCTGAATGAAGAAGCAAGCGATGCTACATGGCAGGGGTGCTGCTTGGCTATTGCTGAACTCTGTCGGCACGGCGCACTACTACCTGAAGCTTTGCATCAAGCGATGCCAATTGTCATTCTTGCACTACAATTTGACATTCGCAAAGGCTCGCACTCGATTGGCACCGTTGTCCGAGATGCAGCTTGCTACCTCCTTTGGTCAGTTCTGCGATGCTATACAAGTCAAGTGCTACGACCGCTTGCGCACCAAATTGCCTCCACGCTCATTGTCGTCGCCCTCTTTGATCGAGAGATTAGCGTTCGTCGTGCAGCAAGTGCCGCATACCAAGAAGGCGTGGGTCGTCATGCTGAAGGTCTTTTTCCTGATGGTATTGCAGTCTTGACACTCGCAGACTTTCAAAGCGTAGGACAGCGTCAAAATGCTTTTATGAATGTTGCACCGAAAATCTTTGCAAAAGAAGCATACCAAGAAGCGATACTGCAGTACATTGTCAATACATCGCTCCGTCACTGGGATCGTGATATTCGGGAGCTGGCAAGCCAGACTCTTGCTGAACTATATCTGGTCAATCCTGATGTCGTTGAAGCACAGTGGGCAATGCTAGAGCGATACAAAGGCTCTCTTGACGTCAATGCCCGCCACGGTGCTTTCTTTGCTGCCGGAGAGCTCTGCAGAGTTGCTGCGAAAGAGTTTAAGTCTCGCATCTCCGACTTTGGCCACGCATTACCAGATCACGTCCTGGGCGGCATCTCTGCGGCTCTGATGGGGCATGCATTCAGTCATTTCGTGCGCTACGCTGCCTTTGATGAGCCTGGCCTTGATTCTGAATACTATAAGCAGATTCTCAAGTGTCTCAAAGTTTCGGATGATGCTGCTCGACACGAAGCTGGTCTTGCGCTAGCCTCACTGACTCAGAATCAAGCTTTGCTTGCAGGATTCGAGGTATACGCAACTCAAACTTTGAACGTCGGTCATTCGCCACTGGAGAAGGGTGTGATTCAGGCCATTGGACTGTTAGACTGTTCATCTAGGCCACATGCGCTTCACTCATTTGTAACACTGCTTGTGCCACTGACTGAAGCCTCGGGTAATGCCGTTAAGGACGACCCAGAGACGAGACAATTGAGCATCACATCAATCGGCCAGCTAGGGAAACAATGGCTGCATCTGGGCTTCCCAGCAAAGACAATCATTGACCCCATTTTGACCTGCTTGCAAGACTATGCTGTGGATGCCCGCGGCGACGTTGGCAGCTGGGTTCGAGCAGGCGCTATCAAAGAAAGTCTAGATGTGTTGCCAGTTTTGCCATTGGACCAGGAGCCGAGACTGCTTCAAGCAATTTATTCTGGTCTGCTGCAACAATGTCTCAGCAAGATTGACAATTTGCATGTTGCTGCAGTCAATGCCATGCTGCAATTAGTGCCTGTCATGCCAACAGATATGAGCCAGGTTGCCGAGGTCATCGCCAACGCCAAGCACGCGCTTGAAGCCGGGAAAAGTGCAGAGCGGATTCCATCTCTGTTTCTAGATCTGTTGAACAATGTTGTCTTTGGTGATGCTATCCTGCACGAGATTTGCATTCTTGCTGGATCTGGAGGACACCCATGGGCTCAATCTTCACGCAGTGCCCTCGTTGAGCGTCTCGACAACTGCCCGCTGGACCTTCTGTCGAGTGCGGTGAACAGCATAATCGTGCTTGTCGAAGAATCTAGCCAAGACGACCGCGTTCTCGTCCCGACACTGGAAACACTGTCGCTCCTTGTGGACTATCAAATCCCGGAACGTCTGGTTCTAGTCAAGTATGATTTCAACAGACTCTTTGAGGCCGTTCAAAAGTCCTGCCTACGCTCACGGCATGTTCCAAAGCTAGCATCCTCGATGCGGATATACCGTGGTCTGATGAGCCTGCTGCCTAGCTCACACTCAGTACATCAGCGATGCTGGAAGAAGCTTGGACTACTGCTCAAACACACTGTACCGCGCCTTAGACGGCTGGCCGCAGAACAGATCTTCATTGCATTGAGCGAGCAGGAGTTGAGATGCAGGCGCAACAGACCCCTTGAGTATGGGAGCTGGAGTGTTGTCATGAGTGTTTTAATGAACACAGAATGGACTGCTGATATTGACATCATCACCACAGCTTGTAAGCGAGTGCAGGATCATGCCATCTGATGTATGCGCTGTGCTTGGAGCATGCCCAGGGGCATAATATCTTGTGTCACATTATGAGACCAGACCAGTAGATGTCTCATATGCTTTGAGGACTATGCCGCAGCGATTGCAGCTACACACTTTCTCAGCTCGAAGGAGCTTTGTATATTACCGGCCAAAGGATCGGCCGGGGCTTCCGCGCAACGACAAACCTTGTTCACTTGATGACCGCATCCAAAAGGCACTTCCGCCCGCCAAGGCAAAATTACCCAAAACGGCAGAGCGGCGGTACCAACACGCGTTAAAAATGTCTTATGTCAGTGACATATAGGCTCACGCGGACCTTGAAGCGGCTGTCGACGTGAAAACTCGGAGGGAAGAGGGCTTCACAGACTGAGGCCGACTGGCAGACGAACTGGCAAAAACATCGCGAAAACTACACTCTTTGGCCTTGAATGGCAATCTCTAGGCGACGATAGACGCCGTCACTTTCGGTATCTTCCAGCCGGTGTATAAAGTGCAAACCCATCCTTCTCGCATGTCATGGCATTGTCGACGTCGAGAGGGTGTGCGACATGCAAATTAGGGCGCAAACGTTGCGATAGAGTGTACCCCGCTTGTGGCATCTGTCGAGCTCAGGGTCTTGATTGTTCTTGGAGCAGAGAATCGAGTGAAGCGCCTGTTGAACGTCGGTCAGTGACGAGGAACAGCTCTTACAGCACGACAGCCTTGTCGACTTCAGTATCGAGGACTCATACACCTGTGCCACTTCCATCGCCGTCGACTATGGAGGCAGATCGTTTGACACATCTTTTGTCAGCTTTTCACTTGACGGGCTACCGGCTGTGTTCATGGTCAGCTCTTCTCCCTCTTCCGCGTCGGTCTGCGGCTCCTAGTCTATTGCGTACCACAAAACGCAAAAACACACCGCGTGTGACGACCTGGGCAAGCTACTACCTTCCGCATCTCGCGACTGGTTCAACAAATGATGCCTTGTCTCTGGCGCTGGCAGCCTACACTGGACTTGTCCTGCACAAACAAATCGATGCCATTAATTTTTACGTCAAGGCGCTTCGTGCTTTGAGGGACATTCTTGTAAAGTCGCCAGCAGCCATGAGCAACCAGACGTTTCTGCAATGTTGGGCTGCAACAGTTCTTCTTGCAGACTATGAAGCGCAATGTGGTCAGGTGCAAACTTCAGCGCGGCATATTGAAGGAGCCGCCATCTTTACCGAGCTCAGTCTTGAGAGATTCCCAATCGAGGCTGCATCGAACAGGCCAACGTCACAAGAAGACTCGCTCGACAATAAACTCGCAATTCTTCCCCGAAATGAGCGCTGCTTGCCTGCATATTTGCGAGAGTACTCACTCCGACTACGGACCAGCAATTTTCTGTGCTCTGCCAATCATGACCGATGGCCTCAACGGCTCGCAGCTTCTGAAGACACAGCCGATAATGATTTAATGGACAAACTTTACGAAACAAGCGCCAGTTGCTATTGGCACGTCATGACGATATGCGAAGACTATCACACAATTATTGAATTTGCACCACCACAAAGCGCGGTGGAACATGCACAGCTGCAGCAATCATTTGCGGACCCCCTTCGAGTAACGCTTGAAGCGCTGCAGAGCTACGAAGACCAATTGCAGCATATTCTTGTCAAGTCATGGGGCATCTTCCAACAACCAGCCCAAGCGGGACATCCATTTCCAGGTGCGCCAGTGTTTGCCAATCCGATGCTTGCCGTCCCTTGGTTCTTGCCACAGGTTCTCAAGATCTTTCTGGCGCCATTTCTCCGCCAAGCAGAGTATCATTATGCGTGCCAATCAGCCAAGGGTGTTTACAAAGCACTCGAGGAAATTGGTCAAAGCGCCTTGTATGAACATAACTTTCCAGACTGCTTTGTTGCTGCTCTGTGGGAGCGCGGTGTGGAACGGGACTGTATGCAGGCTGGATTTGCTAGACGCGAGCCTCTCTTTCGTGACGTTGTCAGGACCATCTGGTCGGTCAGGGATGCTGCACAAGATGCTGGCCGGCCATTATCAAAGGAGCAGTCTCTTTTGCTCAGCATGAGGACGTATCGCGATGAATTGTCCAAAGTTTTGGCAACACCCAAAGGCAAGTATCTGAGTGTGGGTGCTTTCTTTGGACAGCCTTGGTCTCGTCTGCAACGCCAGGGTCAGTTTCAAAAGAGTCGACGCACAACGGTCAGTGCTTGGCGAAATCGGCTGGAGAGCTACCGCAAAGATTTGCAAGAGAGCAACTTGTTTGAAGGTGCAGTGCTCGAAGAAGGCACACCTGAGCCACGAATCACTGTAGAGGTGGAACAGGCTTGGTTCTTAATTTGAGTCGTCATGTAGATAAAATAATAAGGCCTATTTGTTGGTTTTGCTCTTGACACGCCGGACGAGGTCCTCGACATTATCGTCGCCCTGCTTCTTTCTCTTCTTTTTGCTTGCATCCTTGGCAGGAGGCACTTGTTCAGCTCCAGCAGATTGTTCAGCATGTTTCTTGCCACCACGCTTCCGGCGCTCCTGCACAACCTTATCCATGGTTTTTGTCCGCTTGAACTGCGAACTCGTTGGGTCGAGCGCAAAGTGATGGTTCTCACCGTCAAACACTGCCGAGAATCGATCATCCTTCAAGTCAATCTCAAAGCCATCTTGCAAACCTTCCTTGTCCACCTCTGTCGTCTTGCCCTTACCGAATTTGCTCAGCTTCTTTTGTTGAGCGCGAGAGAGACCAGCACGCTTCTCGGCGCGAACAATAGCTTTCATGTCAAAGTGATCTGCACTCTTCTTCCCTGAGGCGGCAACGGCGTTCTCGTCGTCCATCATGAGAAGTGCGAGTTCTGCCTTTTCTTTGCGATCTTTCTCCTCATCCACAACAGGCTTTTCGCGCTTCTTTTTGGTCTTTGTGGTAGTCTCATTGAAGAATGGATCATCAAAGCCCAGGTCAGGCTGTGCATCCGCCTCAACAACGCCCTTTGTCTTGCGTCGTCGTTCGCGTCGTTCTTGGTCTTTACGCTTGTACTTCTCCAGCGTCGTCTCATTCTCAGGGTCCTCTTCCGCAGCCGGCTGGTCTGCAGCAAGACCAGCAGAAAAGGTGATCTCCATATCACCTGATGGCTTGTCCTCGTCGCTGGCGTCACTATCGCTGCGTGTACTTTTGAGCAATTTTCGCCACTTGTCCTTGAGCATGGCAGCCGTTTCGCCCTCTCCCTCTGAAGAGCTGCTTGAGGCAAGGTACGCCTTCAGTTCCATATCATCCACTTCAGCTTTACTGAATGCTCGTTTTGCAAACTGAGCCTTTTTTGGATCATCATCATCCCAGGTCAGCTTCACTTTTGAATGCTGCAAAGCATCCGTAACAAAGGCATTGGGTTCGTACAAGTCAGGTAGCTTTGTGCATTGGTCCTTTGGCTCATCTGAAAAGACCTCTCCATCAGGGACGAAGCGCAAGTCGAAAAAGTTGGCAGAGGCTTCATACTCTGCGCCGTCGCACGCATCATAGATATGTTTAGCAGTGGCTGCCGAGTCACACTCGACAATGGCATAGTAGTAGCGCAGCCGATCCAGCTGATACTGCCTCAACTTGACCATATCAAACTCTTCACCGAGTGATTCTTTGATGATGCTCTTCGCATTGATGGGCTTGTCGAGATCTTCCTCCTCGTCGTGCTTGAAGATGGTGGCAGGTGGTCCAGCCGTATCCTCTCGCGACATGCGTTCCTTGCCAAACTCGGAGGAAAAGATGGTGACGCTGCGAACGGTACCTGTTGCTGGCTTGAAGGAGTTCATAGCAACAAACAAGTCCTCGGCTTGCAAGTTGTCCCAATCTAGATTGACGAGTGCAAAGCGTGAAGTCACGTCGCCTCTGGGAATGGCCTCTCTGGCTGGTTCGGGATCCACGAGATCCCGGTCATCTAGAGGAGCATCGTCCGGCACATCAGAGTCTTCCTCGGAAGATGACACACCTTCGCCTCTCGCAGGGTCATATTTGATCGGCGCCGCAGGTGTCTCTTGTACCAACACTTCATCGTCGCTGTCGAATTTGGTGAAATTGTCTGGTCGAGTCGGCCGGGGCCCCTTGCGTGCAGCTTTTTCAATGGGCCGCTCATCGCTATCACTGCTGCTGCTGCTTCCTTCTGATTTGGAGTCCACCTCACTGCTCTCTGAAGACGCTTCCGCGCCTGCTGCTTCCTGTGCGCCTTCTTCAGCTTCCAACGCATAAGTCTTTTGTATCTCAGCGGCACCCTTGTTTTTACTCAGCTTTCGGCCATATCGATCGACTTTTGCATTGGCACTAAAGTCTTTATCTTGAAGCATAGCGCTGAATCGCTTGTCCACGGCGACTTTGCGGTCCTTCTTTTTTGGCCGAACGAAGCGCGGATCATTGTGTACGGATGCGAACCTCGGGTCTGTGACTCTCTGCGACATGGCCTCGTCTATCGAGCTCCAGTACCTTGCTTGTCGGCTTTCTTGGTCGTGCATTTCAACTTTTTTTTGGGCTGTGGCGCAGACTATTTTCACACGGACGCAGGGAAATAGATGGGACTTGTTGAAGTCTTGTTCTACGCTTCTACTTGGCAAGACGCTTCTCAGACCGACCATTCACTTGGAATCTCGTCATTTTGCCACGCGTGAGTCCTCTCCGTCCGCTCATGGCTCTTTGCCGCATACGCTCACTCATCTCGACATTCCAAGGCTTCAGACTCTCGGCTGATGCGTAAGCCTCGGGATATCTAGATCGTTAGTCTTTTCAGTTCTTATTCAATTGAATCAGCATACGTGAATGGCTGTTCCATGGTGACAATGACACGCTTACTTGAAGCAGGTCTCGTCATTTGTAGCGGTTTCATGAAATGCAGACCGCGCGCACGTTGCTTGTTCGTGCCGCGTTGCAAGGGACTCTGTTGGATCATCGTCTTGACACTGGTTGTGACGAGTCCATATAAGTTGAAGAGGTAGTCTCGTACGTCAAACTTGTTGACTTTGAGTGGGACATGGAACATGGCTTGGTTGGCAGGGAGTCTGCCTGAGCCTCTGACGAGCGTGAAGATGGTTGAGGGGAGGTAGACTTTTTTGCTGCCTAGCTTGAATGGAGCAGACATGATAGCAGCAGAAGGAGTTAAGATAGCAGCAGACTAGTACTAAGAGACTGATGGACTAATAGACTGATAGTAGTAGTAGTAGATGAGAGTTGGCTCTGTCGCACGCTGTGTCTGCACGTGTCTTGTCGCGAATTATCTGGCGCGTCTTTAACTCATCCACGACAAGCACATCCATCTATACAGATACCAAGGACCTGCTCTAGCCATTGACCAGCAGACTAGCAGACATGTCCTCAGTCGGCCTGCCCTCCTCCTCAGCCCCGCAACCGTATGCACGTCATCCTCAATCAGGTATCTCTGCCAACGGCGCCGCACACCAGTCAGACGCAGAATCAGACGACGAAGGACGCGCCAATGAGGCGCCTGCGCGTAGAAGACCCAGAGATGCACTTGACAGGCAAATTCCAAAAGTCACCGATGCAACAGGTGAAAAAGTACGCGAGGCCTTTGAGAATTTCATCGCTACATTCGAGGATCGCTCCGAAGACGCGTCGCAGAGACCAACGGCAACCGCTGCAACGACACAAGGCGACAGTCTCTATGTCCAGCAGATGCACGCCATGAAGTCTTTCGAGTTGAGCACCATCTACATTGACTTTCAACACCTCACCGCCTTTGAAGATGGTGTCTTGGCTGAAGCTATTGTCCAGCAATACTACCGATTCTCCCCATTCCTCGTCGCAGGACTGCACAATATGCTTCAGAAGTATCAACCAGCGTACTTCTCCTCACAAATTCACTCTCGCACAGGCTCCTCTACAGCATCATCCAAGAGTGCAACGGAAAAGGACTTTAGCATTGCCTTTTACAACCTCCAAAATACTGGCAAAATCCGTGATTTACGCACAGAACGCATCGGTAGGCTCATGTCTGTTTCTGGTACCGTAACGCGAACCTCTGAAGTGCGTCCAGAGCTTGCACGCGCAACATTTAGTTGCATGGAGTGTCGCACTGTTGTTCCCAATGTCGAGCAAGTCTTTCGTTATACTGAACCCACGAAATGCCCAACCGATACTTGTATGAACAAACGCGCCTGGAAGCTACTCATTGCGCAATCCACTTTTCAAGATTGGCAAAAAGTGCGCATCCAAGAGAATTCATCTGAAATCCCAACGGGTAGTATGCCACGTACGCTGGATGTCATTCTGCGTGGTGAAGTGGTGGATCGTGCAAAAGCAGGAGACAAGTGTGTCTTTACAGGAACGCTGATTGTTGTACCGGATGTCTCACAACTCGGTATCCCTGGTGTTCGCGCAGAGGCCATGCGTTCCGGTAATGGACGTGGTGGTCAAGAAGGCTTTGCGAGTGAAGGTGTCACTGGTTTGAAGTCACTCGGTGTGCGCGACTTGACGTACAAGATGGCCTTTTTGGCGTGCTTCACACAGTCTGCCGATGCTCGCGATTCTTCTGGTGGCGATGTTCGTGGCGATGGTACACAAGGTGAAGAAGAACAGAATGAGTTCCTCAACAGTCTGACACAAGCTGAGATTGATGAACTTAAGGAGATGGTGCATTCGGATCACATCTACTCCAAACTAGTCAATTCCATTGCACCGACCGTGTATGGCCATGAAATCATCAAGAAGGGTATCCTACTACAACTCATGGGCGGCGTTCACAAGACAACACCAGAAGGTATCAACCTGCGAGGCGACCTCAATATTTGCATCGTCGGCGATCCATCCACCAGCAAATCGCAGTTCCTCAAATATGTCTGCACTTTCTTGCCGCGTGCAGTCTACACGTCTGGTAAAGCGAGTTCAGCGGCTGGTTTGACGGCTGCTGTTATGAAGGACGAAGAGACGGGTGAATTCACTATTGAAGCTGGAGCTCTCATGTTGGCTGATAATGGTATTTGTGCTATTGACGAATTTGACAAGATGGACATCTCTGATCAAGTGGCCATTCACGAAGCCATGGAACAGCAGACCATTTCCATTGCAAAAGCAGGTATTCACGCAACACTCAACGCTCGAACAAGTATTCTTGCTGCTGCGAATCCAGTGGGCGGACGGTATGATCGCAAAACAACCCTGCGCGCCAATGTTCAAATGTCAGCACCCATCATGTCGCGTTTTGATTTATTCTTTGTGGTGCTGGATGAATGCAATGAGCAAGTCGACTTTAACCTCGCATCGCATATCGTCAATGTGCATCGTTTCACAGATCAAGCCATTCAACCAGAATACGATACGGAGCAACTTCAGCGCTATATCCGGTATGCGCGTACATTCAAGCCAAAGTTGTCGACAGAGGCACAGCAGTACCTGGTGCAGAAATACATTGAGCTACGCAGTGATGATGCACAGGGTATGGGACGTAACAGTTACCGCATCACCGTACGTCAACTTGAATCGATGGTTCGACTGAGTGAGGCTATTGCCAGGGCGGCGTGCGTCGAGGATATCACACCGGCATTTGTCAAAGAAGCGTATAATTTGCTTCGACAGAGTATCATCCATGTCGAGCGCGACGATGTTGAGATGGACGAGGAAGATCTAGCTGGAGAGGATGAGGAGATGGCAGACGGTGAGGCGCGTGATGCAGATGGCGATGCACACATGCAAGGCACGACCAATGGCGAGACGGCTGACGCTGAAGCACCACCTGCGCCGCCAAAGGAAAAGACCAAGATTTCCTACGACAAGTACATTGATATTATGAAGCTCGTCGTTGGTCGCATTTCAGAGGATGAGAAAGCAGGTGGTGAAGGTGTCGCTGAAGACGACTTGCTCGCATTCTACCTTGAACAGCGCGAGAAGGAAATGTCTGATGAAGAAGACATTGAGCGTGAACGTGCGCTCTGCAAAAAGGTACTCAAAAGGCTCGTCAAGGACTCATATCTCATGGAGATTCTGGGCGATACAGGCACTGCAGATGCTTCGGCGAGTGGTGGTGATAAGGTGTATGTCTTGCATCCTAATTGTGCGGTCGATGTGGCGGCTATTGTTGCGCAGCCAACGCCAGTTGAGTAGGTCTAAGTCTTTCAGCGTTTGAGTAACTTGCATGCGTAGCGAGTCTGATTCTATTGATTGAGTATTGATTGAAACTTGAAGAAACTGTCATTGCCAAAGTCTTTGCCCGACTGTCGCCTCTGACTCGATGACATATGGTGAGGAGCCTTGATAGCACGCTTGCAGTGTAACTCCACGAGATGGATCTTTGCCCATTGAGGTTCCTGTATGAGCCCACTGAGGTTCCTGTATGATACAAAACGCAATCAAGACATTGTCAGCACCGCAAACTGCAACACATCGAGCCCTCATTCCTCTTTTGTACTCGGCATGCGCATAGACAAAAAGACACTTATTAAATATAACTCTCTGCTAAGACCGATCATTGAGCAGAAAGAAAAACACAGCAAGCTGCAGTGATGCATTTACTTGCACTTGACGTCTTTGTTTATGCCTATCGTCGAGGCAGGATTTTTTTCCGTCCTTATCGTGCGCAATATGTCCCGGTCAGAAAACTTTTGCCGCTTCATCAGAAACTCATCAACCATCACGGCGTCATATGTGTCTTTGAGGCGATTGACAACGTTGTCGAATTTGCAATTTTGGGTCGTACCGTTCTTGAGAACAAACTTAACGTCGTCCGATGTATGACAGCGCCAAAGCTGAATGCTAGCCATTGGGATCCAACATCGATGGTTGAGCTCATCAAAGACTGGGTACTCAGCATCGCCGGAACCTGATCTGGTTCCAACAGGATTCACTGTCGGCACGCAAGTGGCACACTTCAAGTTGAGACACTGATCCGAGTTCGTAGCCGATTCTTCCTTGAAGTCATTGAGTAATGCACGGCTAGCTTGGTCTCTGTCCTGAGAAGACCACGCTCTCGCCCGACAAAGTTTCAGGTCAGAATTGGGGAGCACCTCTTTGGGATCGTGATGGTTGCGTATGTCGGAGATGCTGTCACTACGCCATTTAGTGACTTGGAGTTGCCGACATCCGTGCGCGTCTGCCGGGGAACCTGGCAAGATGTTGGTCAACAGCAGAAGGAGGGCCCAGAAGATTGCGGTTGCAGATGGCGACGAAAGCATTGTGTGCTGGAATGACCTGAGTTGGATGACAGTGGATATTCGCCGCCTTTTAAGCTTGCACTCGCAACTGAGGTGCTGGAAACTTGCATACGTGGCACTTCCTAGAATAGCTACGCAGCTTCACTTTCACCGAGTCATTGAACCAATCAAGCAGCTTCAAAATCCCTCTGCGCATACGCGGAAATGAATGCAGCACCTGAACATGTGCATATGTGTTGATCGACCCCTGAATTTTGCTATTTGAAAAGAAGGAATGCAGCACGCTCGCAAATTAAAATGTCTCCTGAAGCTGAGCAAGCCTAGTCCATGAAGCTAGGGCCATGATTTCAGACCTAGCCAGGGTTCGCAGTGCGTGAGGCAAAAGAAACTAGTCCCTTAGTGAGGAATGCTGCAGCTCGTTGGACCCAACTTCTAGGCTGCCTCCAGTAGTCAATGCTCTTGAGAAGATGCCTCCTGTTCTCAATTTCAATGTTCGAAATGTCCAAGCTCTTCATCTTTCAAGTCAGAGGGCTGGACTACCAAACAGTGGCTGTGTCAACCACAAGCAGTCATTTCCGATTGACAAACAAAATGGCTTTGGTGCCCTTCAGGGGTACTTACGGGCATCTTGACCATTTATCAAGAGAACCAATAACAGTAGGAACCCCGTCGGCGCGCATGGGTCCGAAGCCACATCATCGACTGACAAGACCCTTACAAGAATGACCAATACCATCATGTCAGTGATCTTTGCCATTGTTTACTATACAGCTCATCAGCGCTCCATGGCAAATGCAGCACCAACAGGCGAGTACTATGATGGGAGCGGGCCATGTGATGAGGTGTTGCTGCCGACTGAGTGCGACTTTGCAGACAGTAAGACTGCAGGGCTGAATCCCGGCAGCTTTGAGGCTCTATCATGCATCCTCAAGGTCAAGGAACCCAGCGATTCGAGGGATACAGCGTTTTGGCACTGTGCCCGGGATGACTTGGAGTTCAATATATGCGAGAGGTCCAGAGCTTGCGAATTCCAGTTCAAACGCAACCATCCGAACGTACTGAAGCACCACAGATGTGCTACGCATGTGAATCGGTGTACCGACAAGTGATTCGGCGTGCTCCAAGCATGACCGTGAGGCGTTCGAAGGGGATTTGGCACTGGGCAACCCATTGCAAATAGCAGCTAATTGAACCACTAGCAATAGAATGTTGTAGTCTCGGATGGTGGACCAAATGATTGCTTGTACTCTTCTTGGAGGCATCGACGGCCAGCTTGGCCTCTCGTTATCCAGCCGAATTGCAACCAGTCTCTGCGTCCACGATTGACCGATATACCGGTATAGGCTCATCGCTCTGGACATTGACCAGACCGATCTTGTCCATATTCATGGCCACCACAGTTTGCGCATCCCCTCCGTGTTCCTCGACAGCAGTTGCAGCACCAGGCGATTACGATGATGGAAGCGAGCCGCGCAACGAGGTTTTGTTGCCATACTGGTGTGACTTGGGTTACAACAAGATTGGAAAGCTCAACCCGGACAATCTCCCATCTTGTTGTCGCATGAGCAAAGTTAACACGCCCAGAACTTCAAGGGCTACAGCGTTTCGGGAGTGTATCATGGGTACTGATGAGCTCAGCATATTGAAAATACCAGGGTTTGCGATCTCCAGTCCAAGGCTCAGAACTGACCGAAGTAGAGGATTCCTCTGCGCTCCATATGTGGACTCGCATGGTCGAGGTTGCAGAAAGTGTTTGATGTCCACGAAGCAGGAGAGAGGCATCTCAGAGGATGCTCTCCACATACCGGCATGTGTACCGGACACGATCAGTGGGGTCCAAGTGTCATTAGCTTGCACCTGGTTCTGTAGCTGGTATCAGTTGCACGATGCCGCGAAGCTGAGGCAAATCTGTCAACGATAGTGCCTACACTCTCTCATGGCCATCAGCGATGAGCTTCCTTGAGCTGGTCATGAAAAGCCTCGAGCTCCGGAGGACGATCTTCCTCCTGAAGCAAGCATTGATGAACGCATGTCTATTATCAGCGGCGGACGGTCGATGGCGAGCAGCGTCGGCCCTCCGCCGGTCGTCTTTTCGCTCTTGCTTGGCTCCCCCACAAAATATATAAAAGAGAGCATTGGAGCAAGTCCTCGAGCTCATCGACAACCATTCAAGCAGATTGACCCAACATGCCTCTCATTGCGTCTACCTTCCCTCAGCGCGAACTCGGCAAGACCGGAGAGAAGGTCTCAGCCCTGGGCTTCGGTACCATGGGCATGTCTGCCTTCTACAGCGGCCTCAACGATGACGAGGCGTCCCTCAAGGTCCTGACTGCCGCTGCAGACATGGGCTGCACCTTCTGGGACACCGCCGCCATCTACGGTACAAACGAGGCCCTACTGGGCCGATGGTTTAAGGAGACTGGTCGACGCAAGGAGATATTCCTTTGCAGCAAAGGTGGTATTGACCTACAAAAGTTCTGTGCCGACAGCTCTCCAGAGAAGATCCGGGAGCTGTGCGAGCGTTCTCTGCAGCAACTGGGAGTCGACCAGATTGATCTCTACTATCTGCACCGTATTGATGACAAGGTCCCGATTGAAACCTCCATGGAAACACTCAAGGAGCTCGTCAATGAAGGCAAAATCAAATACATTGGCTTGTCTGAGGCTTCTGCAGACACGCTGCGTCGCGCTCATAAGGTTCACCCAGTCACGGCACACCAGATTGAGTACTCACCCTTCACCCTCGATATTGAGCGTGATGACGTCAATGTTCTCAAGACATGCCGCGAGCTTGGCATCACGACTGTCGCCTACTCGCCCCTGGGTCGTGGCATGCTGACTGGCAAGTACAAGTCTGTCGATGACTTTGACGAGAATGACTTCCGTCGCAACAATGCACGTTTCCAGGGTGACAACTTTGCCAAGAACTTGAAGGTTGTGGATGACATCAAAGCGATTGCCGAGAAGAAGCAAGCAACATCTGGCCAAGTCACGCTTGCTTGGCTCATGGCACAGGGAGAAGACATCATCCCAATTCCTGGTACGAAGCAGCTCAAAAACTTGCAGGAGAATGTACAAGCAGCATTCATGCAGTTGGATAGCAATGAAGTGGCTGAGATTCGTAAGGTCGTCGATGCGGCCGAGGTGCATGGCGAACGATACGGCGCTGGAGGCTTGCAGAGCTTTGGCGACACACCTAAGCTTTAGATAGTTGCTGGCTTGTGTAGATGATTATGTGCAAGACTACAAAAAGTACTCCACTGCCGCCTTTTTGGCTGGCAATCGACTCGTGTCTTGCTTTGCAGCCTCGAAGATCTTGTACGTCCGCCCAAGTTGCTCATCAAGGACGAGCACGGCAGCGACATTGCCACATCGGTAGCAGTAATTCGGCGCCGACCATACCGTCACCACACCACCTGTTCCACGCCCATAATGGACCGGTGGGAATCCCTCCCGTCGTTCCTCCATATCCAGGGGTGGATCTTGCTCTGCATCCGGTCTTGCAGGGTCATGAGTGGGCGGCAACTCAAACATCTCGCGATACCCCTCCATGACGAGCTGATGCGCGCGTGCAATCATCTCTATACCATTTTGACGACAAAACTGTTTTGTGACATCGGCGCCGAAGAGGAAGCCAGCGCCGCGTGGGCTGAGACCCCAAGCGGGCACGTCTTCTGGGTCGGACCATAGGAGATCGCACATTGGGCCCTCATGCGGTACCTCTTGTTTTCTGTCGAGTAGACGAATCTGATCAATCTCTGCAATCGTGGGTGACAAGCCGCCGTGAACAGCGACCCACTTGCCGTCCGATGTGATGGCTGCTAAGGCGAGATAGTCGAATACCTCACAGCAATACCGCCATACGGCACTCGACCCATACTTCCGCGCGCATTCATCGTAGAAGCCGTACACTTGTGTGATTTGTCTTGACTCGTGATTCCCCCGGATGAGTGTGATGCGATCTGGATACCGCACTTTGTAGCAAAGTAGAAGCAAGAACGTCTCGAGCGAGTAGAAGCCGCGGTCGACAAAATCGCCCATAAAGAGGTAATTGGTCGTTGGGCATTCTCCTCCCACGCGAAACAGCTCAATCAAGTCGTGGAACTGGCCATGGATATCGCCGCAAATGGTAATGGGCGTGTCGACGACCTGTACATTCGCCTCTTCAATCAGAATCTCCCGCGCTTTATGACATAGTTGGCGTATTTGATGTTCAGAGATGAGCTGGCAGTTCTTGAGCTTCTGGATATGCTCATCGAGATCACTCATCGCCCGTCACCGGTGGCGCGCCAATTGTCGCTCGCCTTTGCAAGTGTCGTGAATCGTGTCAATCTGCTTTCACTCAATCGCCCAACTACAAACTTCAGAATGCTTGTGAATGCAGATCTCCAGATAGGCGCGGCCTGCGTCCCCCGTCTGTGTTACTGGTCCTGCATGCTGCTGCTGCGTCTTGTAAGTCGCGAAAGTCCAAAAGTTCAACGAGATGGGAAGAGCGGAGGAAATGTCTACGAGCTACTCTGAGAGTTTTGAGCCTACAGATCCTCCAATGCATCTATTCACAAGCTCACACATCACTTGCCGCCTTCAACAGGGGCGCTCTGTGCAGGTGTTCGCACCCGATCAGCGAATCCGCGATGGAAGCCATGTCCTTTGCCATGATCATTCATATTCCTGGGTTGCCGTTGCACATCCGCACGCTTCGTCTCCTGCTTGCCACTTTCAAGGCGTTTCCCATATTTTCTCGGAACCTGCACGGGTTCTTGTGCTTGACCGGTCGTCTTGATGCGAATCGGGGAGCTAAAATCAGGGGCTTCCACCAAATCTTGTCGCGTTACAACAAACGCTTTGCCTTGCTCACGCTGATTCTGCTGCCTGCGCTTCAGTGGAGTCACTCCTCGCGAGTGAGTCGGTAGCGACAATGATGGTTTCGGTGGTACAAGTGGCTCAGTGATGCCATTGGTCCGCGAGGTGACTTCCAATGTTGTCGGCAGTGCCCATGGCGCTTTTGGTGGCAGGTTCGCTGCCTTGACGCTTGGCGCACTTGATAGATTGACACTTGGCGATCGCCTTGCAACTGTAACGCGAGGTCGTGCAAGCGCATGACCATGACGTGGCGGTAAGACTTCCCAAATCGTGCGGGTCTGCGTCTCTAGCCATCCTTGTCCCAACTTGCCATAAATATCACGTTCCGACAACGCAGCCGTCTGTGGCTTCATTTGCGCGCGAATCGCATGCAGTACCTTGTGCAAATTAGCGCGTAGCGGGACAGTAGTTGTTGCAGATGTACGCGACTTGCCAGTCTGTGCTGCCGAGGGAAGCTTGAGAGCCGGAATGTCTGCATTACTCAACAAGTCTGCATCTGCAAAATTAGGTGGCAAGATGGGACTGATGAAACGTTTGTTTCCCGATCCAGATTCTTGGCTCGCTGCAGTGCCTGGCCTCTTGACAGCATTGCCATTACCCGCAGCACTCGGGAAGAACCTTGAAGACGTGCGTGTTGCTTGTGCAGCGCCTTGAGGAGACTGCTTGTTGTTGCGCTCAAGGGTCAATACTTCATCCGCTGCATCAAACACATACTCCCGTTCCTTGCCCTGCAAAGCTGGTTGTTGCGCGGTATTCTTCTTGAATGCATTGGATTGTTTCCACGAATCTGCTGGCTCATGCTCCTTTGACGAAGAACCCGGCAGTGATACTTGTGGTCGACGCGTTGCGATCCCATCAAATGCGTTCCATGTTGTAGGCGTTGGCTCGCTTTGCAAGGATTGCGCAGCGGGTGATGCAGTAGGTGCGCGATCCTGTAAGGCATCACTGCTAGCCAATACGGGTTTTTCACCGTTCGCTTGCTTTGGTCCAATAGGCCCCCAGACATTGCGCTGCTGCGCATGCACACCTTGATCTCCATCAATCGGCGCATCCTCAGGCGCTCGTTGGAAGCTCGCGACAGGACCTGAAATCGATGGCTTCTTGGGCCGTACATCTTGCGAACTCTTCCGTTGCGGCAGCTTCACACCCCGCTGCCACGTTTCCTCCAGCTTTGCAGAGGATGCAGTACGCTCTTCTGGTACGGTGCCTTTCAGAATTTGCTTCGGTGGTGCCTTGGCGGCCTCTTGCTTGGCTTTTGCAGCTTTCAGTTCAGCCGCTTTCGCTTCTTTTGCGGCTTTCGCTGCAGCTGCCTCCTTTTCCGCCTGAGCAGCGAGTTCTTCTGCCTTTTTGCGTGCACGTTCCTTGCGTGCGAATTCCTCCTCATCTTGTTCCTTGCGTCTCAAAATGGCCTGTGCGCGCGCATCCGCCATCAGTTTCTTTTGCATCTCAATGAATTCTGTTGAAGATGGGTCCAAGACAGGTGCAGCGGGTTGTGCAGGTGGTTCAGGCTTGACTGGTGCAGCAACGTCAGTGGGCGTAGCAACCGGCGACTTGATTGCTTCCGTGGCAGGCGTTGCAGCTTGACCTTCTTTTGAGACACGTCTTGCATTTGCATCTTTATTGACACTTGCTGCGATTTTTTGCAGCAGTCCAGGCCGAGCACGACCTTCATGCTGAGACGGACGTCTTCCCTTTGTTGCATCAATCTCCTCAAACTGGCCTGTCGTGTAGTTGAAAATCTCGCGCGTGGAGGGCTGTGGCTGTTGCCAATGGCGATCATAGTTGTTTTGCTCATATTGATATTGTGGACGCTCTCCGTGCGCTTGCCGACCATCACGATCAAAGGAATCTGAGCGGTCGCGGTTGTGAGCAACATGGCCAGCTGATGGCACCGGCGCCTTTTCACCAACAGCAGGAAATTCAAGTTGCGCAATATTCAATGGTTGCGAGGGCGCTGACTCTGGTTTCTTCCAGGGGTTTCCTGGCGCTTTGGCTGGCAATGCTGTAGATGGCGCAGGAGATGCTCGTGTGACTGGCGTCATCTCACGCACTACTGGTGCCTCAACAGCGGCGATGGGCTGTTGTACAGGCGCAGCAACTTTTCTCGGTTCAACCCTCAGTGCGCTCTTGGGAGCCTCCTTGGCGGGCTGAATCTTGCTCACGACGACTTTGGTTCCATCTCCAAAATCGATCGTGTCGTCCCAGTTGTCATCTTCGTCGCTCTGATAAATATTAGCATTGTTCCCGTATAAAGCACAAGTCATACATCGTCCCAGCGGTTATGGTTCGTATCTGTCACCGTGCGTGACACGAGGGAAATACCATGCATCGCCTTGAGCTCTTCATCGGTATAGTCTTTTGCAGACTTTTTCGCCGGCATGCCTTTATTCCAAACAGGCGCCTTCTTGTCACCTGCGACACCGCCCGTGCCAGACCCGTTAAAACCATCCGCCGAACTCGGCACGGGACTTGCCTCGCGTGTCGTCCTGAGCGCACTGCCGCGCGATGTGGTGAATTTTAGCTTAGAGGATTGTAGAGGCGCTTGCGCGCTCGCTGAAGCAGGCGCTGCGGGTGATGCGGCGCCTTGTGGACCCGTTGAAAGACGAGTAGGTGATGCATGTGTACTGCCTGTTGGTGTGCTTTGTAGGAATCGGGCATTAAGAGGAGCAGATTTGAGCACAACCATTGAACATCAGAGGTGTGTGTGTGTCGCAAGAAAGGTCTCCCGTTTGTGTATCTGCGTGTGAAGCGCCAAATGGGCTGGCCCTGTTTATTAGAGATGGGAGGGCGATGCAGGCCCTGGCTCCCTCTCTGGTCTTGAGCTTGTCGGGCGGTTGTGTGTAATCGATGTCTTTTTGACTGAGAGCCAGAAGTGCACGTGCTCCAGCCAGAACCTCAAGCTCAGCTGCTCAGTGTATGTAGTATGCTCAGTACTATAGCTACGCAAGAGACTTCATATGCTGACTGTCATGCAGCACCTGGCTGCTCTATGTCAATGACGCTTCTCTGGATAAAAGGGAAAAAGATGCTCTGAAACCCCAAAGCTAGCTACAATGAATGGCGCCAAGGAGCTCATCCTCTGGGCACACGAATATAGCACATCGCCCTCAGATGCCATCTTCAATTTCGACCTGCTGCCAGGTTTTGATCCAGAGACCTGTGTTCTCAAGATAGGCTCTGCCATCAATAGTACTGGCTCACCAAAACTGCGTCCGAGGCATGCGGCTCCACAAGCAAAGACGGTGGTCGTGTCACCTGTCCCTACTAGTGCTGAAATCAAGCGCAAGACGCCCAATCTGCAAATTTCACTGTTGGGCGGTCTAACGACTGCTATTGGAATCAATCCTCGGTCCGTTGTCAGTGTCTCCATTGCAAGAAAGGTAGATCATGCCGCCAACTACATGGTCCTCTACTTTAAGGACCAGTACATTTCCCGATCAGACATGTGGCGGGCGGCCTGCAATCTTGTCGGAGACTGCATCCATGTCGGCAAACGCATTACCTTTACCGGTGGCATTCGTGCAGAAGTGCGGGAGATTTGGCAAAAGAATAAGAAGGTCTTCTCCGCCTATGTGAGCGCCTCTACGAAGCCCGTCTTTCGTTCAGAGAGTGCTCGCTACCTCATCTTCATTCAGATGTCTAAGGAGATGTGGGATTTCGAGGAGGATGGTGAGTTGTTCTACAACAAGGCCGTCGATGGCTTCCTCCCTGAACTCTTCAAACGCTGGAAATCCATCAATGCACACCATTTGGTGAGCATTATCTTATTCACGCGCGTGACATACAAAGGCGTCGCGGGGCCATTTTGTCTCGTCCCAGGAATCGAAGATAGGCGTCGATCAAGCACAGGCAGCTCGTCAGATGTCGGTCTTTACAATGACTTTTACAAAGTTGTGGTCGACAACGTCTCTAGCAATAATTGGGAATCCACCCTCACAGAACTGAAGCGCGAGCTGCACGGATTCCAGCGAGATGTCATGCTGCAAAAGATGCGTGGCCCGAGTAGCGACGGTGGCGACATTATCTCTGGTAGTCTGACGAATGCTATGGAGGGCAACTTGCTCGAAGCAATCAACCTAGCAGCGCATCAATTTCACCGGGATTATATTGACCGAGATTTGCTGAGAACTGGCACCAGCATGATCTTTGTGACGCCTGGTAGCGGGCAATTCCAGGTGGACCTCAACCTCCTCAAGCTCACCAGCGAGTGCCTGCTTGGCAATGGAATTGGCATCGACATCGTTTGTTTGAGTAAACGACCGCTGCATGTCACACCCTTATTTCGCTACCGCAAGACAAGAAATTCTGATCGCGACGAGAATGGAGTGGATCCACTGCAGGATTTCGAATTCATCTTGCCGTACATCTGTGAGATGAGTTTCTACGGTGATTCAGCCTCCTTGGACTCTGCAGCAGCAGACACAAAGTTTCAGTCGCGCTGCAAAATGCAGGAAGTTAAGAGTATGGGCATGTTGCAAACAGGCTACAGCAGTATCTCCATACAGCCACTTCTCGAAGAGCCAATCTTTCAACTTGCCCAACCCACGGCTGTTGCTGGTCTGAGTGAACGCGAGAGAAATCTCTACGACGAACTACAATTTGTTTCGCTCGATAAACGGAAGGAATTGCTTGAAGAGTATCAGAAGGACGTTGCAGATGATTCACCCCGAACAGCCGAACAAACAGGTGAAGCCCTTCTTGGAACCAGCGTACCCTCACCGGTCGGTCAAAGTTTCAAGGGTCTCTACGAGCTTTCAAGAGGCTTCCAGGCGGCACCCAAACAACGATACACTGGACCATCGCCAGTTTCAAGTCCAGGGTCCTCCTTCTCACGATGGAATTCGCACGAGACCAGTCCCAGGCAGCTCACCGATCGTGCTTCCGCTGTACAATCACCTGAACGACCCATACTCAAGAGACCTGTGCACAACAAGTCACTCATGGCAAGACCTCCGCTTGTCCGGCAATTCTCAAGCAAGACGCGTATGCCGCCTGGTATGCTCTCGTTGAAAGCACAACCTAGTATTGGGTCGATGTCAAGTGCTGTCGCTGCTGCTGCAGGCGTGACGGTCGATCATTCTCCTGGTCCGTTGGTCACAAAGGGCTTTTCACCCATGCTCAAGAGCGCTCCTCAGATGCCAATTCTCATTTCATCGCCTGCACGAGAACTCTTTGGCGAGGCTCATGCGATTCCAATACAAACAATCAAGGAACGCCGACAATCCTCGGTGTCCTCTGTGGTGCGACCTTCTTTTGGTGGGAAGAAATTATTGGCTCCCTTGAACTTGGTTGACAAACAAGCGCAAAGCGTATCTCGGTCACTTCAATCCTCTTCCAGACGTCGTTCAGCTGCAAAGATGCAGATGTCAGCTTCGGCTCGCGCGCCAATGGACGACTCGCACAACCAAGAAGCTGTTCCCTGGCATGTCCTGGTGAATCCTTGCTACCCTGCCAAGAACCCGGATACGTGGAATGCACGATCATGGCGATGGGCACACATCTCCAGTCGAGCCAGACGTGTGGGTGGTATAAATTGGGAATCCCTCTGTGCGCCGGCTGCTCTACCTCTCTCGACCAGTGCGCCAGTGGACCTCAAGGAGCTTGAAACGACCAAGTATTCCGAAAATTCATACAGCATCTACGTCAATCCGGATGAACACCCGCTGACACAAAGTCAGTTGCTTCAGGAGATGGTCAGTCTGCGACTGGGTCAAGGCTTCCAACTCGCTAAAGTCTCCCATGACAAGGCACTGCGCATGCTCTCGAGCAACACTGTCACAACTAACGAGCTGCGTACGGGTCCACTGGGCGATCTAGGTGGCACCATCTACGTCACGCATGGCGAGATGGAGATTCATCGGTTGACTCCAGACGCGTCTGGGCATTTGATTGAAGTCACGCGCTACGTTCGACAACGAGAAAACATCAAAGCCATCCACTACAAAAGTCTCATTTGGCAACTCGCGCAGGATGAAGGCTACGATGAGAGTCATGTCACTTTCAGGCCAGTGATATGGAATCACAATTGGAGTTATGTGGATCAAGTCATTTCTGGTGCTGAAAAGAAGTTATCTGATTCAGTGCGCTATTGGCGAGCACGTCTCTTGTTCTTGCCAAGTGACATTGCTCGTGATAAGCGTCCATTGCCGCCCATCGCTGGCGGATCTGAGCAGTTCACTGATGAAGAAGTTCGTGTTGCTGGAATTGCCAAGATTTGCGAACTTATTGAGCGGGCAGTGTATGTAACGCCAGCTGAGCAAAAACGGCAAGCCAAACATCCTGGGACGGGAGGCAAATCTCAGCTGGGCGTCACATTCACGACATTGAGTCATGCGGAGTACGTCGCTTTGGAAGCAAAACAACAAACTATTGCGGAAGAGCCTCCAAAATTACCTGCGTCGTCCAAGACTTTGCAATCTAGCGAAATTTCGTTGCATGATCTCTCGAGTGAGCTTCAGAGCAATAGAGGTGTCGCCTTCAAGGATAGGCTGTGGCATTGGAGATGGCACGAGAACAGCTTTGTGGGCAGTGAACTTGTCAGCTGGCTACTTGACCGGACAGAGCTGACCTCGCGTGAGGAGGCACGGCAATTTGCTGAGACCCTCATGGATCGTGGACTGTTTGAACATGTTCAGAAAAAGCATAGTCTGCTGGATGGCTTCTATTGTAAGGTCTATGCATCAGAGACCCTGGCTAACAACAGTATACCGTTTGAAGCCAGAATATAGCTCCAAGACGCAAAAGACGTGGTTCGGCACGCGCAAAGTGACTCCGAGTGTTGGCATGAGCTCACGCGCGCGAGCATCCAGCAATGTCTCGTCATCGGCAGCGGCATCGCCGGTACTTCGTCCCCATGACGCCCAGCATCAATTTGAATTGTCCAGATGGTTGCGAATCGATGTCGACCCACACAGAAAGTCTTACAGGCCTGAGTTTGCAAGTTTGCACTGTGATGCGCTTTACAGTCCGGAGAATGCCTTCCATGTTCGGCTCGAGTGGATTGCCATTACAGCAAAGCTTGTTGAAGAATTGGTGCAGCAATGGTCTCGGACTGCCGAAAAATATGGTCTTACGCTGATTGAGGCGCCTGTGGATGAGGCTTCGGCTGTGACGAGATCCAATCCATTCAGAGCTCCACTGGTCATCAAGTTGGCGGAGGAACCGCCTAGACACAATGATGCCGTCAACGAACCAGCTATTCACACACCCAAGCCACAGTTGCCACCAACTCCGCTGCTTGTGCCAGGTTTGAGTCAAGAGAGCTCGCAAAGCGACAGTACTGTGATGCCAGATGTACCCTCTCTGTGCGCAGAGCGGGAAGTCTGGCTTGAACGTATTCTAAGACATTGGGGCTTTGTGCTCGACCAAGAAGCTGCATCCAAGTTCCCGCGGCATCTTCAGGTAACATACTCTTGGGGTCCTCCAGCATTCAAGTATACACAGTACATTCACAAATCAGGCATGGCTTTGTGTCAAATTTCGGAGGATGGTTTCTTGTGGTTGACCAACAGGCTGTATGTGTCTCGGGCCAATACCTCTACAGGAGAACCACGAGGCGATCGGGAAAAGTCTACTGGTTCTGCAAGTCACTCGACCCTGACCCAATTGCCTGCTCCGACACGAGTCAGTAGTACCCTGTCGTCATCAGAACCAGATGCACTGCGCAATGCATTTCTCTTGTGGTGTCAGGACAAGGCCAAGCTACAAGCCTTCTACGAGGAGACGCTAGAAAGATTAGCGAGTGAAGCTGCGCAGAAGGGCGCCACGGCTCAAGCTGCGACACAAGGCAGGACTAGCTCGACCTCAACAGACAAGGCGAATGGTTCCATCATGTCGAGCAAGCGTGATTCACCAACAATCTCCGCCACGGAGAAGGCAGGGAGTGTCAAGAGTGTGATATTGTCGTGATTGTACATCATCTAATGATATTTACGTCTACATACGTGCCATCCTCGCTGGATTAATTGCTCCGAAATCTTTTGCTTGACTGCTGCCAGCATCCTGTTTGCCGCCTCGCGTCTTGCGCTTTGCTGCATCTTGCTCTCTGCGCGTCTTTTGTGTATTTTCTCGCTCAGTGGCAAGCTTCTCGTTCTTCTTGGCGATCTTGGTTCGCCGCACTTCACCCGTGCCGCCGCCACCGGCTGTCAACTCGACATTGATGCGACGGCCTTGGAGCATCGTATGATGCGCTGCTTGAAGAACCTTTTCAAGCGCAGCATGATTCGCGAAATCAAGAAAAGCGAAGCCTTTGAACTTTTGGGTTTGTGGGTCATGCTGCAGACGAACAGCTGTGGGTCTACTATCGCCACCTGTCAAATCGCTCAGGTGGCGCTCAATTTCTTCCTTGCCAGTCTTGAAAGATAGATTGCCAAGGAAGAGAGTATATCTTTTGGCCTTGGCGGGCGCTGCTGCAGTCGCTTCTTCTCCCTCTTTGGGCTTCTCGGCAGCTTTACGCTTCTTCTTTGCCGGTTCGCCTGTCAATGGATTGACTTCAACGGCTTCTTCATCACCCGCGTCACTGACTGATTCCTCCGTCTTCTCCGCTTGCTTGCTCTTCTTGCTCCATGACTCTGCGGCCTTTCTTTTCCGCTTCGACAAGCCAGCCGCTGGTGCAGCTTCCTCTGTAGCCTCTATGTGCTGTTCTGCGCTCTCTTCTGCAATAGGAGCAACCTCTGTAGCTTTAGTCTTCTCCGCGGCACTCTTTCTCTTCTTCTCGCGCTTCGTGGGCGCTTCTGTCATACTGTAGATGCTTGATGGGTATAGAGAGCGGATGGAGGGAGGTTTGTCGCATCCAAAAAAGAAAATTCAAGATCAGATGGGAGGCAAGGGGAGCCGTGAATTGACCTGCCGGAAAACTGTTGAGATGGGTGTCACAGCCAGTACCGAAGCCCAGGGATGAGACCTTCTCTCCGGTCTTGCCGAGCTCGCACTGAGAGAAGGTAGACGCAATGAGAGGCCTGCTGGGTCAATTTGGTTGAATGGTTGTCGATGAGCTCGAGGACTTGCTCTCTCTTTTATATTTTGTGGGGGAGACAAGAGCCAAAAGACAACCGGCGGAGGGCCGAAGCTGCTTGCCATCGACCGTCCGCTACTGATGATGGACATGCGTTCATCAATGCTTGCCTCAGGAGGGAGATCGTCCTCTGGAAGTCGAAGCTTCTTATAGGGCCAGCTCAAAGAGGCTCATTGCTGATAATCATGAGACCGTGTAGGCAATAACGTTCACAGATTTGCATCATTCGGGCAAATGTAATCAGCTACAGAAGCAGGTACAAGCTAAAATCAGTCGGACTCCACTGACTGTGCCTAGTATACTTGCCTGCATGTGAAGAGCGTCCTTTGAGATAATTTTCTCCTGCTTTGTGGACATCCAACACTCTCTGCAACCTTGGCCATGCGAGTCCACATATGAAGCGCAGAGGAATCTTCTACTTTGGTCAGTTCTGAGCCTTGAACTTGGGATCGCATACCTTGATATTCTCAATTTGCTGAGCTCATCAGTACCCATAATACACTCTCGAAACGCTGTAGCCCTTGCTGTCTAGGCGTGTTGACTATGATCATGCAACAAAAGATGAAAGGTGGCACGGATACAGGTTTCCGGTCTTGTTTTGACCAAAGTCACATTCATACGGCCAATACGGACAAGGTTGGTCTGGCCACGTCCAGAGTAATGTGTCCTGACCTTGAGCGGTCAATCGGTCAATCGTGGAGGTAGAGACCGGTTTCAATCCGTCTGGATCACGAGAGGCCGCCGTCGATGCTTTTGGAAAGAGTGTAAGCAACTATTTCATTGTCAATCAGAGATTACAATGTTCTGTTGCTAGTGGTTCTATCAGCTGCTACATGCAATGGGATACACAGTGCTAAAGCTCGCTTCATACGAATCATGATCATGCTTGGAGCACGCCAACTCAGTTGTCGGCACAGAAATTCACATGCGTAGCACATCTGTGGTGCTTCAGTACGTTCGGATGGTTGCGTTTGAACTGGAATTCGCAAGCCGCAAGCTCTGGACCTCTCGCGTGGAACTCCGAGTCATCCTGGGCTCAGTGCCAAGTCGCTGTATTCCTCGAATCGCTGGCATGCTTGACCTTGAGGATGCAAGATAGAGCCTCAAAGTTTTCGGTATTCAGCCCTGCAGTCTTACTGTCTGCAAAGTCGGATTCAGTCGGCAGCAAAACCCCATCACATGGTCCGCTCCCATCATAGTACTCGCCCGTTCGTGCTGCGTTTGCCGTCGAGTGCTGATGAGCTGTATAGCACACAATGGCAAAGATCACTGACAAGATGGTAATGGTCATTCTTGTAAGGGTCTTGTCAGTCATGCAGCCTTGGGCCCATGTGTGTTGATGGGATACCTACTGCTATTGATCCTCTTGACGAATCGCTAAGATGCCAGTAGGTACCCCACCAAAGCCATTTTGTTTGTCAAATCGGAAATGACTGCTTGTTGTTGACACAGCCACTGTTTGGCAGCCCTGATCTGAAACATGAAGAGCTTGAGCATTTCGAACATTGAAGCTAGAAGCAAGAAGCATCTTCTCATTAGCACTAACTACTGCAGGCAGCCTAGAAGGTTGGTCCAAAGAGCTACAGTGTTCTTCACGAGGGACGAGTCTCTTTGGCCCTACTGGGCATGCACTGCGGACCCTGGCTAGGTCTGGCATCATGGCCCTGGCATTATGGACTAGGCCTGCTCAGCTTCAGGAGACATTTGAACTTGCGAGCGTGCTGCATTCCACCTCTTCAAAAGGCGAAATTCAGGGGTCGATCAACACATATGCACATGATCAGATGCTGCAATCAATTGCGAGTGCAAGCTTAAAGGGAGGCAATTGTCCACACTTATCAACTCAGGCCTCTCCAGCACACAGATCAACGCAATGCCGTCTTCGTCTACTGCAATGGCAATCTTTTGGGCCCTCCTTCTACTGTTGACCAACATCTTGCCGGGTTCCCCGGCAGACGCGCATGGATGTCGGCAAATGCAACTCACTCAGTGGGAGGCTCGAAAACCCAACAAATTTCGCCTTACGGAAGCAGAGAGGTCCCTCCCTCTCTACGTTCAGTGTTTTGCGCAGCGGGTAGAAAAGGGTGATACACAGTTTGGCAACGCTACTTTGTGGAATAGTTTCACTGGAAATGCAGCTAAGAACGCGGACCAGTGTCTCAATTTGAATTGCGCCGACTGCACGCCGTCAAAGCTGACGTTCGGTGGTAAGCCACTTGATCCCAACGATGTTGAACCAATTTGGGACGAGAAGAACGCAAAGTGTTGGATGCCAACGGCTAGCATTCAGCTTCGGCGCGTTCATAAAAAAGACATCAAGTTGAACCAAGGCGGCTGTAGGTTTGACAAGCTCTTCGAGCGACTCAAAACGACATATGGAGCATGCATGGTGAATGAGCTTGTTGGCAGTCCCGAAAAGTGTGGTTACCCGTACCCGCTCACAATCAAACTGAGAAATGACATTAAACACGCAAGAGGCATAGAGGACAACGTTAAATGCGCCTAATTGCCTGACTGCAAATTGCTGTTTTTTCCTTTCTGCTCAATGATCGGTCTTAGCAGAGAGTTATGTTTAATAAGTGTCTTTTTGCGTATGCGCATGCCGAGTACAAAAGAGGAATGGTTGCTCGATGTGTTGCAGTCTGCGGTGCTGTCGATGTCTTGATTTCTGCGTTTCGTATCATTCAGGGAGGCAAGCGACCTTAGAATCTTGGATATGCGACAGATGCTCATGCTATGTCTCGTCCTCGTCGTCCTCGAGCTCAATTTGATCTGGGTTCGAAACAGGCTCATCCAATCTTGCTCTCTCTGCATCTTGTGTCTCCTTCAGCTTAGCACCCTGGACACCGCCGGATACAAATCCGGCAGGAGCTCTAGAGGGCGCATGCCTCTCAAGGGCAGCCATAGGATCTTCCCCTTGATCCACCTCCTCTTCCACAACAGCACTACTGCTGTCCCCATTCTGCGCTTGTGCAATCTGCTTCGCAATGTAGTGGGCATCTGTGCTGAATCCAGCCTGCACACTTCGCTTCACCTGCAACATGACCGCATACGTATCCTCATTCCCATGCTTCACCTCAAAGTCATGCCAAGCCTGCCAATAATCCTGTACAAGCTGCGGATCTGCAAATTGCGATCCATGCGCCCAAATGGCTCGCGCTCGATCAATCTCACCGAGCTTCGCTTCGATTTTGGCGAAGTGCGCAGAGAATGCACGAGCACCTGCATCGTCAAGCTCTTGTATCGCACGCTCGTAGAGCGGTCTTGTAGCCGTCAAGCCATGCGATTGAGCCATCTTGGCAATGTACAGGCGAAACACTTCCGCCTTGTCGGACGGATCAACCTGCTGGGTGGCACGATCGAGAATGCGCATGCAGTTACGCAAAAGACCATACTGCTCCTCCAAATCAATCGCATATAGTAGATAGATCGGTTTCGCAAATTTGGGCGGACAACTGCGAAGGGCTTGCTCGAACAAGTCGCGTGCACGTTCCATTTGTGAGCCCTTGAAGCGCTTCAAGAAGCGTGTCAGATAGAGATTCCAGAGCTCAAAGGCGACCGGGTAGGAGAAGAGGTCGACACCCCGCTCATATATGCGGAAACTGTCTTCAAAGTAGCCATTCTCTTCAAGCATATTTGCATAATTGACAATTGTTTGCGGTGTCGCAATACGCAGTTCCAGCATGCGATCGTAGATATGCCGTGTTTCTTCAAGTGTACCGACACTCTCGACCAAGTCAACGTAAAACATCCAAACCTTGGAGCTTTTATGCAAACGTTCTTGTGGAGTCAGCGTCTCATCTCGATAATCGACACTTGAGTGCTGAGGCGCTTGAGTCGCGACCTTCATAATTTGCATCGCTCGATCGAATGCTTCGTGCTGCAGTTCCATCTCAGCCCACTCGCAGTAGACTTCTGCTAAATCACCCACGCTCTTGTAGACGACTCGGGTAGCCTTCTCCATGATTTTACGAGCTGAGACCAAATCGCCATGTGCCTCATAGAAGCGTGCAAAGTTGCGCCAAAGGGATGGATATTTTCCCGTAGCTCTTTTCGGGTTGATGGTCTGAATGGCTCGTGTGTAGGTGGCCACAATCTGATTCTTGTCTTCACCCCAAAGCTCGACACGTTTCTCCCATTCATGAACATTATGCGGATTCTGACGAAGCAGAACATCGTTCAGCAAGAATGGGCGTCTGTCCATCAATTGCTCGAAGCGCAACATGAGCATATCAAGAATAGTATCGTTCTCCGGATCTGCAGGTTTACCTTCTTCTGCCTCTGCAGCAGTCTTCTCCATCAACTTGGATATTTGAAACTCTTCAGAATCGGCATAGGCGTCAAAGAGCTGTGCAAAGTCACGCACCGTGTCAACAGAGCCAATCCCTTCCTCAAAGATATTGCGTGCACGCTCGAAATCGCCAAGAGTGATCCAGTATGTCGCAAGGGATGTCCACAGCCTGCCCGTTTGATCCGTAAACTTGTGTATACCACCACGAATAACGACTTCGACATCAACATCCCGAATCCGTCGCGCATTCTGAACCAACAAGTCGCAAAAGTCTGACCAGAGCTGAAATTGCGATTTACCCTCTGCTGATCTGAAGCGTGGGTTACTCAAGATGCGAAGGTAGTGCTTTGCAGCGGCATTGACGTCCCCTTGTTCGATGAGATGGGCAATGAGCTCCTCTATCAGCGACTTGTCAATCTGCATATGCCGCTGCATGACGACCTGTGATGTTCTTCCACCAGCCGACAAGTACCATGGTCGAAAGCGTTTCCAAATTTGATCATGCTGCGACAAAGGTAATGCTTGTAGCGCTCGATTGAAGGTCCGCCTTGTACGCGTCAATAGCGGTTGCTGCATGAGAAAGTCGAGGTAGTCAGTCCAAAGTCTCGGCATCTTATTGAGCAAAGGCAGCGCACGCTCAAAGCATCGATTGACTTTTTCGAATTCATCTGCAGAGCGTATAGGATGCATGCCTTTTACCAAATCTACCCGAAAGGAGAGATAGGCCTTCCATAGCTTATAGCTACCTGGCAATGCGCGACATGCACGTTCGTAGACAAAGACGACGGGGCCGACTTGCTGGTCATGCGCAAAGAGGGAGAGTTTGTGTGCGATATAGCGAAGCCATCTGCGGAGTGACTGTGCGTCGCGAAGGAGATCCTCTTCGAAGGTAAGGTCGCGATCGTCAATGAGATCTTTCAGGCGCAATTGCCGGTCTGGGCCAGACATGGGCCCTGTTGAGGGAGCGTGTAGAGTCTTGTCCTTGAAGCTTGTGGTCGCCAAAATTGAAAGTCGCACAACGGCACGAGCAAGACACGAGCTTACATACAAGACAACCCGAGACCAACAGGCGCAGGAGGCAGAGCCAGCGTCGAGAGTCCGAGGAGACACCGTCAAAGTCATATTATAGACGCAGAGGAAGGTGCAGCGGACCAATTCTGGAGATTTGACCGATGATCGCACTATGGGAGCGCATACAGGACTTCCTCGCCACCCCCGATCCGTCGCCTCAGAGACAACGCACGATCCAGCGGACTCGAGAAGCACTCGATGTCATCAAGGAAGCGCATTCACGGTACGGCACAACGAGACTGGCCATTAGCTATAATGGTGGCAAGGATTGCCTTGTCTTGCTACTCCTCCACCTAGCCGTTCTCGAGCACGCGCTCGGTGAAGCGCGTCCGGCGGTGCAAACAGTCTATGTAACGATTCAAGATCCTTTCGAGGAGGTGGATGCGTTTGTGCAGGAATCAGCGAAGCGCTACGACCTGCAAGTCGAGCGCATCAATCTACCCATGAAGGAAGCATTTGCCACATACCTCGCTGCGCATCCGTCAGTTGAAGCAGTACTAGTAGGAACACGGCGCGGTGACCCGCATGGTGCAAAACTTACGTACTTTGACATGACAGACCAAGGATGGCCGCAATTCATGCGCGTCAATCCCATCATTGACTGGACGTATCCTGAAATCTGGGACTTTCTGTTGGCGATGGAGGAGCCTTACTGTGTGCTCTACGATCGTGGTTATACATCACTGGGCGGTACGGGCGATACTTTGCCTAATCCTGCTTTGTCCAAGGACGCCAATCACACATACCAACCTGCATGGGCGCTCAAGAATGGAGATGAAGAGCGGTTGGGCAGGGAAGAGGCGAAAAGGCAGCAGAAGCCAGAAGTCATGGCGCGTAATAGACGAACGTCCATGGACCATACTCAGCAAAGGCCAAGATAGCCCCTTGTACAAGCCTTCTTCATGTCTTTTTGCCATATGACACTTTGAGCTGTTGTCCACTCAGCTGCAATCCACGCGTGCCTTCTCTCGCTGCAATGGCATCTTGATCGGTCTTGTATTCAACAAACGCGATGCCCTTCCTGCCTGGTACCATGCGCACCTCGCTGAACCCAGCGTACCGTGAAAAGACAGCTTGCATGATATCCACAGTCGTTTCTTCCGGCAAATTCTGAATGAAAAGCACCTTGTGTGGTGGATTCGTACCAGCATCCCCGGGACCTGCCTTGCCAGACCCTTTTGCCTTTCGCAGTGCAGCAGCAGCCGCTTTATTGGGCTTCAATGGTCCGCGCGCCGCTTTCCTCGCTAGCCGTGCTTCTTTGTGCTTCTCGAGCGCTTCACTGCCCTCTTTCCGCTCAACTGTCCGATCGGAGGGGCTTTGCGCATAAGCTAGGACGAGTGGCTTCTCTTCAAATGGATAGCCTTGTAGATCTTTGAGTGCTCTTTCAGCATGCGCTGCGTCATCAAACACACAAAACGCTTGCCCACGCATACGGATGTTACGATGAGCAATCACTTGCTGCAGTGCATAAGGTGAAAAGAGCTTTTGTAGTTTTGTCTTGAGCAGCGTTGGATGGATCTTTTCATTGAGGTTGCGGACATAGAGCGTTTCTTTGGGCTCTGCAGCTTGCATACTAGCTTGGCCTTCCTCACTCATTGATCAGCTTCTGAGTGTCTCTTCAGCTTCAGCACAGTATATAGCCAGTCAAGCGACAGATGGTGGTCTTGTGGTTCGTGAAGTTTGCGACGAGAAACAAATTGACCAAGACACCAAGTAGACACAAAGCAGCAAGAGTTCTGTACAAGGGGGCCCAGATAGCAATGGCAAGCCTGCAGCCCAATCAGACCCTCTACGTCAACAACCTCAACGACCGCATCACAAAGCAAGATCTCAAACTTGCACTCTATGCGTTTTTCAGTACCCATGGCACAGTCCTCGATATAGTCTGTCTCAAGACACCCAAGATGCGTGGACAAGCGCATATCGTCTTTCGCGATATATTATCAGCAACGGATGCGCTCAAAGCAGGACAAGGTGTCGAGATGCTTGGGAAACCGATGAGGGTTGCCTACGCAAGAGGTGTGAGTGATTACATCAAGAAATTAGAAGGGACCTATGTCATGCCGTTGCCGGACCGTGCTATGGATGATTCTGATGATGAGGGAGGAGAGACAGATGCGCCTCGAGGTACGAAACGGTCTCGTGATGCAGAAGAAGAGGAAGAATGAAAACCACAGCTCTGGATGACTCTACAAATCTGTCTGTCTAGGCATGGCCAGACGCGGTCTTGCAGCAGGCATGGCCTTGTTTGTACGCGGCAGAACAGGTGCTGGCGTTGGTTCAGCAGGCGTGTGCAGCGGTAAGCGCATGAAGGCTGCCGCGCCACCTCGACAATCATTATCGATACAGGTGGTGGGTGTCGGTGGAGCTTGTGTGGCAGTCATGCGCATACCACAGGTCGCCGTCTTGCTTTGTGGGCTCTGTTGCGCTTGGTTGGAGACCTTCAATTTGTCTTGTGGATGGTGCTCTTGCGAGGCGTCAACGCTGATGAAGTTGACAGCTGGCCAGCTAGTCGGCAGAAACGGCCAAGACGCTTGCAGTGTTCGAAAGACTTGATGAAACGTGAGTCCCTGATCGCCATGGATCCATTGCTGATGGACGCCAGAGAGGATGGGAATGGCGGTCGCTGCGTATGCGAGCAAGAGAAAGGCGCGCGGACTAATCATGTCTGTCTGTAGCAGATGAGATGCGTTTCTGGCAATCTGTCTCTCTAAATAGTATACGATGAAAGCCTTTTGCAGTCTGTTTGTCAAGGCAAGGCATGCTCCATGCTCCGGCAAGCCCCTTGAAGTCACCCAGGGGAACGTTTCAACATTCAAGGACTCTTCTTCAAGGTGAAGCACTTCAGATGGAATATTACTTATGCTGCCTGCAACTTAAGCACCGAGCAGTTTGAGCACATCACGCACTTGCTCAAACCTCTGCCTCTCCCTCACAATCAAGGCCTCGTAGATTCTCAGCTTCTCCTCAGATTCTTGCTGAGCGTGCCGCAAAAGCACCACAGCAGCATCCTTGTGCTCTGACTCCCGCCTCAATGCAGCAAGTTGCTCACTACCCGACGTCAACAATCTTGACACTTTTGCCGCATCCTCTTTGACGACGCCTTCACCCAAGGTCGCTTCCACAGCAGCCGCACAATGATCCGCCGCAAGTGCCTGCTCAGTGTGTTGATACACCGGCCACGTTTGCTCGGGAACAACAGCCGTGGTGGGTGTATTCAAGATATTCACCGTTCTAGCGCGTGCCTCGTCTCCAAACCCAGAAACACCATGATCGCCCGGACGAATCTGTAAGGGTAAGGCAGATTTGGCTTTTCTTGTGATTGGGACAGCGGCACCGGCATACACAATCGGTGCTAAGCGCGTTCGAGAAGCCGCTGCGTCGACGCCATTTTGTCCATCATTAGAAGGATGCGGCACGGGTCTTGATAGATTGAGGAGGAGCTTGCCTGAGACATCGCGTTCCTTTTCACGGGCAAGCCAATCTTGCTGTTGCTCAGTTCTTTCTGCACTTTGATTCAACATGGGTTTCAGGACACGTTCATCCACCTGCATCTGCATGGACGAATCCTCATCTTGCTGCTGATGTTGCTGTTGCTGTTGTAGATGGATGGGAGGTAGTGTATTCTCCTCCCTCTCCATCGACAATTTTTGTCGTTTCTCATCACCACCGAATCGATGAAATGGATCAGATCGTGGTGACGCATGACGACTCGATGCAGGTGTTGCGATACTCGCTTGGCCGCTTGTGACATTCGTTGCACTAGAGTTGGAAAATCCAGGTGGTGGATGCAACTCGTTGCGAGAATGTGGTCGTGCGGGTGATCCAGCATGTTGCGCGGCAACAGCACTCAATAAGCCCAAGAATTGCGCATTTGGGTTCTGCGAGTTGGTTGCACTTTGAACAGAGATGGGTGGGAGACTTGCTGCTTGTGTTGTTGGTGAATGGCCATGTGAACCGGGTGCGGAGGTTGCTTGCAGTCGACCCTGGTTTAATCTTGGCTGGCTGTCAAATGCATGGTACGGAGACGCATCCATCGATCGATTTGTTTTCTCAGTGGTTGGAGGCCCACGACCATGACTACCAGGTTGAGGACTGCCATTCGCAGACCAGACATGCTGTCCCTGTTGCTGTTGTAATTGCTGCGCAGCAGAAGATTGCTGAGGCGTCGTCGTACTCGTCGCTTCAGGCATTGCATGAAAACTAGCCGGTCCACCTGTCGGTGGAACAACCCGTTTCCGTCGTTTAATTACATTCTTCTTCATATGACCTGGTCTGTGGACACCATGAAGTTTGTGATACAGGCCACATGCATTACAGATGGTATTGCCACTTTCATCGCGTCGCCAGAGGGGTGTCGTTGTGGTTGTGCAATTCGCACAACTCACAACGGTCGATGTATCCATATTGACTTCTGGCGTCGCTGGCTGTTGTTGCGGCTGTTGTGGCTGTGGTTGAGGATCAGGCGATGCAGCGAGACTTGTGGGTGTTTGTGTTGATAGAGCAGGGGTACTGCGTGCAGCTGCGAGTAATGAACCAATACTAGATCCATTTGCGGTATCCATCCCGATCGGTGTACTCGCTCTGGCTGCAGGTTGTGTGTCTGGCCCGGCAGGCGTTGCAATCCGAGGTATCGGCACTTCAGCAAGCTCCGGCTCACCTTTCGTAGATGAAGGAGCCGTCGCTGTCTCTGTCAAGCTTCCAGATCCAACAGGCGGCGGCGAGCCTCTTCTCAGCGCACTCGCGCCATTCAAAACCGATGCCGCCGCTGCAGGTAATTGACGCGCTACGCGATTGTTGAAGGTCGGACACCCTGTACAACTTGCATTCCCACCTGTTCCATCACACGTTCCGCCACCGGGACATGTCCCTGTTGCCACTGCAATGATTTGCTGCTGCAACTGTTGTGCATGCTGCAACTTTTCTTGCATTTCTTTTGTATTATAATTAGGAGCTTTGACAGGGCGTATACTGTTGCGTGCTTTTTGGTAGAGACCACACGCATTACAGATGGTACTGCTATCCGGAGCGCGTCGCCAGAGGGGTGTGCGTGTTGTGCCACAATTCGCACAGCGCGTCCCGTCTGGGACACCGTGAACTTCTGCGCCGACGCTGCGATTGAGATCCTGTGAGAGGTCCATGAAGCAGAATCAAGCCTTGGAAGACAGCTGGATGTAGTGGATGAAAATAGAATGTGTGCTTGGCAGTGTGCAAATGGCCAAGTGCGTTAAAAGCGGCGCAAAATTGAGCTGCAAGCGGGAGAGGCGATGGCTTGTTGTAATCGCAGCTGATCCAGATCCTGCCAGGTGTAATCGGAGGTGTGCCTCGTGCGCCGTGTGCTTGTTCGTGTGGGTGAGTGGATGGCGAGGACTGAGAATTTTATTATCTCAGATCAGGGAGGGAAACGTGGCGGCAGAGGGAGCTGAGGGTGCTGCTGGTGCTGGACAAGGGAGACAAGGCCCAGTGCGACATATGCTCTCAATGCTACATCGCCGTCTATCTGCAACATGCCACATCGCTATCCGCCTACTATGCCTCTTTCCTGCCTCGATACTTCCCTGCCGCGTCATAGATGAGAGATCCCTGGCCACAGAAGCCGAGATCCGATCAAGAAAACTTCAGATGACAGCTGCAGCACTGATACTCAGCCTACACAGACAGCTACACAGCTACAGCTACAGCAACACTCACTTCTTTCCACACTTCCAGAACGCCAAATCTCCATCGTTCATAAAGTACTCCTTGCCCTGCGACCGTGTCTTACCAGCAGCCTTCGCAGCCGCCTCACTCCCATACTCCTTCAGATCAGCAAACGGCGTAATCTCACCCAAGATGAATGTCTTTTCAAAGTCAGTGTGAATGACACCCGCAGCAGCAGGCGCCTTGATGCCCTTTTGAATCGTCCACGCCCGAACCTCATCAGGACCAGCGGTGAAGTAGTAAATCAAATTGAGCGCCGAGTATCCCGTGGTGATGATCTTTGGCAGCATTGACTTGGTGCCCAGCTTCTTGCATTCCTCAGCAGCAGCAGCTTCATCCTGCATCTGCGTCAGCCGGTCCTCAAAGCACACCGAGAAGGGAATGATAATGTCGCCCTTGGCATTCTCATCCACCCAGGCCTTGATCTTGGCCAGATGCTTGTTCTTTTGACGAATGTAATCCTTCTCAGACAAGTTCACCAAGTAGATGACTGGCTTTGCAGTAAGTAGCTGCATGTTGTTGATGCTCTCAACCTCCTTGGGTGACCAAGAGGATTTGCGCACACCTTTGCCCTCTTTGAGCACACCGAGCACCTTTTCCGTTGTTGCTACCTCCTCCTCGCGCTTCTTCTTGTCCAAAGCAGGTCCATTCACACGCGCCTGCTTCTTGGCATTCTCAAGGTACTTCTCAACCCACTCAGTGTCCTTAAACACAAGTTCCTCGTGGATAATTTGCAAGTCCCGAACAGGATCAACGTCACCCTCAACATGGATGATTTCTGCATCATCAAAACACCTCACCACCTGGAACAATGCATCCACTGCACGAATATGCGACAAGAATGCATTTCCCAGACCCGCACCCGTCGATGCACCTTTTGTCAATCCAGCGATATCGAAAATTGTCAAGTTTGCTGGAATTTTGGATTTAGGCTTGTAAAGCTCACACAACCAGTCGAAACGCTCATCAGGAACGATGCATTTCGCCTCCTCCGGGTCAATGGTTGCATACGGGAAGTTGGCTGGGTTTCCCAGGAACGACTTGGTGATACTCTGGAAGAATGCTAATTTGTCAGTTTCGCTCCTCTTTAGTCATTGATGCACTTACTTGACTTGCCAACATTGGCAAGACCCACGATACCGGCCTTCAAGTTATTGCCAGGACGTCCAAGCAGCAACGGCGGCTGTTCAACCTTCTTGGGAGGCATGTTTTTCGGCTTCGCTTGAAAAAGTCAGCTTCCTGAGTGTATTGACTTGAAGCGATGAGACAAACCTGAGCAGACGACTGAGGTGGAGAATGTGCGCAAAGATGCAAGGCTCCTGCGAAAAGACGTCGTGAACTGCTGTAACTAGCGTACGGTAGTCTACAAGACCAAAGATGGTGCGTGACTGCCCGTGAGAAATCAGGTCGCTGAATATTCATATACCCGCAGTCACAATCATCCAGAAATGCCGTCTATATTCCATCTCCTGTCGTCATTGTCAGACCAATAGTCTCGCAGATGTGCTGGTCGCTAGTGTCCAACAAAAGAAATGCCAACATGCTTCATAATTGCTCTGAAGCCAGCCTGCTTCAGCAGCTCAACATCGTCCTGGTTTTCAACGCACAAGCAGCCAACGAGACATGTACCGCCAACGCCACAGCCTTCATAGGCTCCTGTACTGCGTGGCAGAATCATCATACAGCGCTTCGTCATGAGGAAATTGTAAGGCATCTCCTCTGATTCATCCTTGTGCGTGTCCCCTGTGATTGATGCATCATACGCTTCTTGTGCCAGCTCGTGAAGCCGATTGAACTGCTTGAAGATATAGGTCTGTGAAGCACCTTCTGGCAGCATCACCAGAAAATGCGCTGCCGGCAAGTCGGGATGCACGAAAACGTCTGCATGTTGGGATTCATAAACATGCTGTAGTCGCATGATGGCTTCTGGCAATGTCTCCAGACCCTTCTTTGCAGCATCAAGCTCACTGACCCGCATGAACTGCATATGGCGGTGCTGTTGACTTGCACCTGCCTTTTCGCCACTGTTGAAGAAACCATACGGCCTGCAATCAGGCGCCAACTCACCTAGTATCTGCCACATTTGCACCAGATCTTGCGGACGGAGCCGTCCAGTCTGTGGTATAAAGTCGTTTGTGACGCAGAGAAAATGGTATCTCTCGAGGGGATACATGTTGAGCACTAGAGTATACTCTGCGTATTCCTTGACAATATTGTCTCTTGGCGGAGCAAAAGGATCGCGTTTAGGCGGTTCTTCTGACGTTGTATTGCTTGTGTGAGCTCCATCTGGCGAGCTAGATGTCGCGAGTCTGCCGTTTTTGGTCACGAGAGACATCATCTGTTGTTTAGAATGCTGAGCAGAGCGTTCGTCCTCTGCCTCTCGGTCACTCTCTGCATCAGATGCGTCCCTTGATGCATTCCTTGAGGTCATGGCAGACGACTTCTTCGTCAATGACGGTAGATAGCGAATCTCATAAGCAAGGGCGCCATCTATGGCAGAAGTTGTGCGAAATTGCTCAAAGATGACTTTGTGCTTCCGGTCTTTTAAGCCTCGTCGCCACGCGCGATCGAGGGAGTCAATCAGCGCAGTCTCTTGCACCATAGCTTTACCTGCGAGAGGTCTGATAGTCTTCTGAGCTTGTCTAAGAACACTTAAGCTGTTTAGATAGCGTGGGATTGGGAGCACGAGAGGAAGTGTCGTTGTATTTGACGATTCAGGAGCGTCACCAAAGACAACACAACACCACTATAAGATGGTCCAAATGCCAGGCGTCTGCTGAGAACCATGGATTGGAAGAAGCTTCAATCACAGGCCACCTCGGTCGCTAAAGCCACAGGTACTGCTGCCAATTCTGCCTACAAAGCTGGGAAATCCAAATACGCTGCATCTAATGGTGCATCCAATAGTGCATCAACTTCTAGCACGATGCCAGCTAGCTCAACTCCAAGTCAGAAGCCACATACGATGATGGCACACGCTCCCTCTGCTGCTCAGGAAGTTCCACCTGCTCTACCGCCACGGCTGCCGTCACGCACGGTAGGAGTCGCGCCTGCAAAAGGCGACCAGATCAATACGATCCCACCACACTTACCATCGCGCTCAGAAGTGGCTGGCAGACAAGCAGCTATTCGAAGCACTTTTGGTACTGCAGTCTCACAAGAAGAATTGCAATTAGGCCCCAAATTGAAGCGTGCGCCACCGCCAGTTCCACCTCCAAAGCAGAACAAGCCTCTCGTCCCTTCTCGAACGCGACCGGGAGCCATTACAACTACAAGCCAACAGGATGGCATTCATGCTGACTGTCTCAAGTTCTCTCTATTCAAAGATCCACAACTGGCTCGTGACCTTGATATTCCTCTCTCACCTGCTTGGTTTGCGCAACAACCGCTAATTCTACCAAACATCTTGACCACAGGTAGCTATACCTACGGTTCTGGCGGCTCAGGATACCCTGGCAATATGAACTACACACAGACCTACGCTCTGCAGCATGCCGACTTGTCTCAAACGCAAGTCAGACTGCAGTACAATGAGCGCGACCCTCAAGGCACCGTTCAGATTGAGCAACGACACCTACCAAAACCCAAACCACTGCCGACAGCTGAACTCATTGCGTGTGCGGAAAGGTATGGGCCTGCACTTGTCGCGTACTGTCGTGCACATTGGGGTCAGCAAGTTGGCAATGGCGAATGCTGGACATTGGCCAGTGTTGGCCTGAAATCCGTCCCCGGTGCTTTGGAATCACAAGGCGTGATCCATGGTCATCCAATCTATCAGTGTGAGGCTGGGGGTGCACCTGTTCAGATTGATGTACTCAGACCTGGTGATGTGATTCAATACTGGAGCACAAAGTTTCATGACAGATCAACTGGCAGTATGAGCTGGGCTGGCATGCCTGATCACACGGCCATCATCACCTCAACTCTACCGGACAGACATTCAAGTCAGCTAGAATTCCCAGGAGTGACTTGCATTGTCGCCGAGCAGAATGTCGGTGGGGTCAAGCGTGTTCAAGAAGGGCGCATCGCTCTGAACAACCTGGTCGAGGGTATCGTCACTGTCTACAGACCAGTGTCAGCAAGCTGGCTGCGCGACTTGACTGCACAATGGTGATTCAGATCACTTGCTTGGACTTGCTGATGCGCAATATCAAAAGGCTGTCCTCCATAAGCCCGTCGCTGGTGATGGCTTCTTTGTGGCTTGAGATTTTGAGGGTATCGAAACCAAGAGTCACAGCGCCACCAGCAATAAGAGCTTGAGCCTTTTCACCGGACTCAGCAGAGCCTGTGGCGCGAAGAATAGCAGCGACTGTGTTGCTGATTACATCCTTGCTTGGCAGCTTGACCAGGTAAGCAGGGTTAGGCCTTAGGGGTGCATTTACAAACAAAGAGAGAACCGGAAACTAAGCATTGAGCATCTTCTTGGCAAAGTGATGTATCACCTGCTCCAGACAGCTGCAGCTGGACAATCGCAAATTAGCAAGGTCAGCTGCGCTCTGCAGGACTCAGGAGTAAGTGCCTCATTTCCGGTCTTTTTTCATTGGTCTTGCTTAGCACTACTACGGGCTCATATAGTACAGGTCTAAGAGCCAGTCATGCCCCAGACCTTGAGAACTAGGCCTCCTCAGCTGGCAGGAAACATTCGAAATCGCGAGCGCGCGCTTGCAGTCCAACTGTCGAATAGCAAAATTCAGGGGTCGATCAACACATATGCACATGTTCAGATGCTGCATTCATTTCGACGTACGCATTTGACTGCGCACAAAAGTCCACGGAGCTGCTCGATTGAGTCAATAAGACTCAATATCTCAATCAAGCTGAAGCCGCCCAGCTGTTTTTAGAAGTGCCACGTATGCAGGATTCCAGCATCTCAATTACGAGTGCAAGCTTAAAAGAAGTCGATCGCCATCATCCACCTCAATCCAAACCAAGTCTTCTCAACTTATGCACGCAGCTCGACATGCGATTATCACTTCGCCTGTTGCAATGGCAATCTTCTGGGCCCTCCTCCTGCTGTTGACCAACATCTTGCCAGGCTCCCCAGTAGACGCGCACCATTGTCGGCAATTACAAGTTACCCAGTGGTTTCGTTTCCCTTACACGGATGCCCAAGCCTGTTTGTCGCGAAATGCGACTTGGGATCATGACCTTCGAAATTTAAATAACGACCTTTTCAATATAAGTTACATCAAGTATGAGAGGGGCGAGGACAAGTGTCTCAACTTGTGGTGCGCCAAGTGCAAGCCGACATTTCTCAACTTCGATAAAACTCCAAATGCTAAAAACGATGAAGTGCCACTGTTTGACAAGAAGCACAATAAATGTTGGGTCCCAATCGCTGGCCTTCAGTTTTGGCGCGTTTACAAATCGTCGAGCATTCGCCGTGGCGAAAACAAATGTGGTTTTAAAGACGTCATGGCGCAATTCCAAGCAAAACATGGCTATGTTTGGATGGATGCACTGAAGAAGAATCCTGGTCAATTCGCCAATATCTCAAGGGTGATTACGATTAGACTGAACAGGGACCGTGACTCCGCACCCGGCATAGAGGACGACGTCAAATGCAGTTAGTTGCATCACTGTAGCTGGTTCTACTTTCCTTTCTCTGCAATGATCGGTCTTAGCAGAAGGTTCTATTTAGTAAGTGTCTTTTCGCGTATGCGCATGCCAGTTGTAAAATGGGATTGATTCTTCAATGTGTTGCAGTCTACGGCGATGAGGGCTCCTTGACTGCTGGCAATTCTACAATCCAGGCCTGCACTGTAGACGAAATATTAGTATACAAGCTACACGCCGCCATGGACTACTGTCCCTGAAATACAACATCTGGACGATACGCAAAGCCAAGTCGAGGCGCCGTTGGATTCTGATCAAACACAACCATTTGATTCTTGATGAATGCATCGCCCATGATGTCTGTTGGGAAATCGCCTCTTGACTGCATTGCACCATAGCATCGTCCTCCATCGAGTTTTGCAAACGCCATGGTAGACCCTGGCACGCCATAGAATTGATCGCCTAGCAGCCAAAATGTATCAGGAACTTGCGCATTGCAGGGAATTGTATAGCACCGATGGTATTGTCGAGTCTTGCGCCTGGGATAGAGTTGTAGATGGTCAATAGAGTCATATCATCGAGCAGCATGAGTGTCGTGCTCGTATCAATGATGGCAGGGTGATTTGGCCGTGGCTGTGCGGCTGTCGTAGCAAGAGATCCACCCAACTCGCCCGCTTGAGATGATGCTTGGTTCCTGGCACTCGAACCTGCTTGGCCCACAGCCCCGCGTGCGGCATTTTGCTCACCCCAGGAAAAAACTTGTTGTGCAATGACGCCAGCATTCGCGACAGAAAGGCCCTCTGACAAGCTACTGAGGGCACGTAATCAAGACTGTGCAAAGCTACTCAAAGCTTTTGACTTGGCACCAGAGATTGTGTTGATGGGTTGTGCGACTTGACTGCGCGGTAATGGATTTCCTTTGCGGCCAATCTTGAAGTAGGGACAATTCACCTCTCAAAAGCCCTGGCTCGTATGGACTGCTGCATACCCTATTCCTTGTTTGTAAGGGCATTGATCGATAACGCCAGACATGAAATGGCCACCTCGGCCTGTTGCACACTGTGGGAGTCCGTCAGAGCGACCGTGAAGATGGGACCTTGCACAGTCCCTTGCCGAATCAAGTTTTCCATGGGTGTACGAGCGGGATTTCGTTTGACGGCCTTGAGTGATGTAAGCCAAGACCCTTCTTTGCAACGTTAAATCAACTGGCAGGATGAGCTGGGCTGGCATGCCTGATCATACAGCCATCATCACCTCAACTCTACCAGACAGACATTCAAGTCAGCTGGAATTCCCAGGAGAGACTGGCATTGTCGCCGAGCAGAATGTGGTGGGGTCAAGCGTGATGGTGATTTAGATCGCTTGCACGAGCACAAACTTGGACTTGCCGATGCGCAATACCAAAAGGCGGTCTTCCAGAAGCCAGTCGCCGGTGATGGCTTCTTTGTGGCTTGAGATCTTGATGGCATCGAGACCGCGTGTCACAGCGCCACCAGCAATAAGAGCTTGGGCCTTTTTGCCGGATTCAGCAGAGCCCGTGGCGCGAAGAATAGCAGCGACTGTGTTGCCGATGACATCCTTGCTTGGCAGCTTGACAAGTCGACCATCTCCTTCAAATGCCTCCACAATCTGCTTCGCAGTCGGTGATGCAGTTCCTGAGTCTGCGAAATCGGCCGGAAACAAGAGACGCGTGGCAAGGCTGACCTGATCTGCCCTTTGCTTGCCATGAATGAGAGTGAGCATCTCGCGCGCCAAGATATGATGCACAACTCGCTTCTCTGGCGCTTCTGCGTGCTGCACAGCCAATCGGTCAATCTCCTCTAAAGGCAACAGCGAAAACAGCTTGAGGTAGATGGGCACCTGCGAGTCTGGCGTCTTGACAAAGAACTGGTACAAGTCGAATGGGCTTGTCATGCTCGGATCAAGCCAGATGGCATTCCCAGCTGATTTGCCGAACTTTTCGCCGGTAGGCGTGGTGAGGAGGGGTATTGTAAGGCCAAAGACTTCTTGGACCTTGGTTTGCTCTTGCTGTTGCATTCTTCCTACCAGATCAATCCCAGCAGTGATGTTGCCGTACTGATCACTGCCACCAATTTGAAGTCTGACGCCTCGATCACGATGGAGACACCAAAAGTCATAGGCTTGTAAGAGTTGATAGGTGAACTCTCCAAAAGACATGCCTGCTGCATTTGAGATGCGGTTCTTGACAGAGTCGCGATTAAGCATGTGTTGGACACGTACATTGCGCCCGACGGTCTGCATAAACTCCATAAACGTCAGTCCATCGTACCATTCGGCGTTGTTGACAACCTGACTTGAGCCTGGTACAGGCAATTCTGGGTTGACAGACTTGGCATACTCGCTTCCACGATCTAGGAAAGTCTGCAATTGAGTCTTGATTTTGACGACATTGTCCGCGATGATTTCCTGTGCAATGACATCTCGCTGACTAGACTTGCCGGCTGGGTCTCCTACGCGGCCAGTAGCGCCACCAACAAGTGCAATGGCCCCATGCCCGCGAATGTGAAAGTGCAGCAACACCATCAGCGTCAGCAAGTTACCTAGATGCAAAGACGCTGCCGTAGGATCTACACCGCAGTACAACTTGATGTGCTCATTCTGAAGAACATGATCAAGCTGAGGTGACGTTGTAGTATTGACGAGGCCTCGCTGGCGCAGCTCTTCTATGAGGAAGCGTCGATTGTTTCGAGTAGAGCTAAAGCATCTTGTCAGGGCAGTATATCGGAAAGCTTGAGTATGCCTGCATGTACGATACAAAGGCAGTCTGACCAGCATATTAGCATGCGTGCACAAGGTTGGTGTGTAGAGCCTAAAAGGAACGCACATCAAGGGCACAAAACCCGTGGACGTCGGGAGTCGAGAAGGGCGGTGAGTTTCAGATGACTTGTCACATGGTTGGCTGCAGTGCGTATCAGTAATCAGGGGCCTACCTCTTTATGCCCAGACATGAGGTTTAGGAAAGAGCGTTTCGTTAAAATACATATATGACAGCAGCGTTTGAATCGTCCTACTGTGCTTCTATCGTTCATAAAATCACCCACTTCATTCTGGCTCTCGCTCTTAAAGTGGCTCTTTGTTTCCGGGTAAGCAGGGTTAGGGTTTAGGCACAAACAGAGAGAGAACCGGAAACCAAGCATCTTCTTGGCAAGGACATGGTTTAGCTGATCCAGACAGCTGCATCTGGACAATTGCAGCTTTGCAAGATTAGCTGCACTCTGTATGACTCAGGAGTAAACGCTTGCCTTCCTGGCTCCTTTCATTGGTCTTGCTCAGCACTACTACGGGCCCATGTAGAATGGGTCTGACGGGTTACTTATGACCCAGCCCTTGTGAACTAGGGCTCCTCAGCTGGCAGGAAAATTTTGAAATCGCGAGCGCTCGCAGTCCAACTTGTCGGATAGCAAGATTCAGGGGTCGACCAACACATATGCGTGCGGTCAGATGCTGCATACATTTGGCTCGCATACATTTGGCTCGCAAATCTTTGGCTCGCAAACTTTCGGCTCTGCACAAAGTCTACGCAGCGGCTTAATTGAGTCAATATTTGTAAGGCCGCAGGGTGAGATGCGACCTCACATCAGCTCGGAGGCCTCACCGATCAGATGGCATAGCACGTGCTCCCGGACTTGCTGTGCTGGCAGCTCCTTTATATGCTCTCTTCTTACCTTTTCCATACTTTAATCTCTTCCACATCTCATTCTCAGGCCTACTACATACGTATAGTCGCTTGAGTGGTGAAAGTGGAGGAGCAGCGACGTAAGGAACCTAAGGCCTTACAATATTTCAATCAGGCTGAAGCTGCGCAGCTGTTATAAGAAGTGCCACGTATGCAGGATTCCAGCACCTCAATTGCGAGTGCAAGCTTAAAAGGAGTCGATTGCCATCATCCATTTCACTCCTAACCAAGTCTACCCAACACATGTTCGCAGCTCGACGCGCGATGATTACTTCGCCTGTTGCAATGGCAATCTTCTGGCCCCTCCTCCTGCTGTTGACCAATATCTTGCCAGGCTTCCCAGTAGACGCGCACGGATGTCGGCAAATCCAGGTCGCCCGGTGGATGCCTTTCAACAACACCAAATTGCGCGAAGTTTGTGAGAGCTCATATCACGCTGACGCAAAATCCCTCTCGGACGAACAAATTTGTTCGTTTTGGGCAATGAATACACCAGATCGAGTAAACCAGGAAAAGGAATTAGTGGGAAACTTCACTGGAGAGGCAGTCAAGGATGCGGATCCGTGTCTCAACTTTGATTGCGACAAGTGCGACGTGACACTCGTCACTTTCGATGAATCTTCGGTGCTTGATAACCGTGGTATATGTTGGGTTCCAATCGCTGTCATTCAGATTCCTCGCGTTCATCAAGAGGCGAAGCTCAATCTGAAGCAAGGCAAGTGTGATTTGAACGAGGTCCTCAACAGATTCAAACAAACGTATGGCGCCGACATGATTGATACTTTCATGCAGCATCCCGAATGGCATACCCCCAATAAAACGCTGCTCACGATAAGACTGACAAAGAAGGCACGTACCTCGAAGACACCAATACACGACAATGTCAAGTGCAGTTAGTTGCATCACCGTAGCTGGATCTACTTTCCTTTCTCTGCAATGATCGGTCTTAGCAGAGAGTTCTATTTAGTAAGTGTCTTTTCGCGTATGCGCATGCCAATTGCAATAGGATTGATTTTTCAATGTGATGTTGCAGTCTACGGCGATCCGGGCTCCTTGATTGCTGGCAGTTCTACAATCCAGGCCTGCACTGTAGACGAAATATTAGTATACAAGCTACACGCCGCCATGGACTACTGTCCCTGAAATACAACATCTGGACGATACGCAAAGCCAAGTCGAGGCGCCGTTGGATTCTGATCAAACACAACCATTTGATTCTTGATGAATGCATCGCCCATGATATCTGTTGGGAAATCGCCTCTTGACTGCATTGCACCATAGCATCGTCCTCCATCGAGTTTTGCAAACGCCATGGTAGACCCTGGCACGCCATAGAATTGATCGCCTAGCAGCCAAAATGTATCAGGAACTTGCGCATTGCAGGGAATCGTATAGCCGCCAATGGTACTGTCGAATTTTGCGCCTGGGATAGAGTTGTAGATGGTCAATAGAGTCATATCATCAAGCAGCATGAGCGTTGTGCCCGTATCGATGATGGCAGGGTGATTTGGCTGTGCGGCTGTTGAAGCAAGAGATCCACCAAACCCGCCCGCTTGAGATGATGCTTGATTCCTGGCACTTGAACCTGCTTGGCCCACAGCCCCGCGTGCGGCATTTTGCTCACCCCAGGAAAGAACTTGTTGTGCAATGACGCCAGCATCCGCGACAGAAAGGCCCTCTGACAAGCTACTGAGTGCACGTAACCAAGACTGTGCAGTGCTACTCAGAGCTTTCGACTTGGCACCAGAGATTGTGTTGATGGGTTGTGCGACTTGACTGCGCGGTAGTGGGTTTCCATTGCGGCCAATCTTGAAGTAGGGGCAATTCACCTCCCAAAAGCCCTGGCTTGTGTTGACTGGTGCATACCCGATTTCTCCTTTGTAGGTGCTTTTATCGATATAGCCAAACGTGAAGTGACCACCTTGACCTGTGGCGTTACTGTTGGAGTCTTTGAGAGCAACTGTGAAGATGGGATTCTGCACGGTCCCTTGCCGAATCAAGTTTTCCATGGGTGTGCGAACGGGATTGGGTTTGACGGTATTGAGGGATGAAAAGCCAAGACCCAGCAGACCGCTGGCCATGCGTGAGCTGAAGAAATCTTTCGAGACGTACGTCGCCCGTTGGATTGCTTGATTGCGAATCGGCATACCACCAAGATACAGAGTGTCTGTGCCAACAAATCCAGAAGCACCAGATTTGTCGGCATAGCTGATATTCCATGTGTTGGAAGGAGCAGCAAGGGCAGTCTTGGAACTTGCAGGGTTATAGAGCACTTGACCTTGCCGTTCCTGAACCGGCAAGTCTGTTGACATGACCCATGTGTCGGAAGAGCCAGAATCGAAATTGAGCATCAACGTCGCTGGTGGTGTACCAATTTGAACTTCAGTCAACCAGCTAGAATCATCATCTGATCCAGTCGATGCCGCAAATCCAGCTACTTGGAATTGCCCCGAAAGTGAGTTGGGTGATGATGCTTTGCTGTTGAGCTTCAGTGCAGGTTTGAGTGCACGGGCCTCTTTGAGTGTTGCCTTGACATTGTACTTGGCCATAGCACGCTGGTACGCCTTGACACCATCTACTTGAACGGGTGCACGCATCGGTAGTAGCTGCCCGGTGACCTGTGGTTGCTTTTTTGGGGACGCAGTAGGCTTTGCCTGAGCAGCTGCTCCTTCTTTGTGATTGAGTTCAAGGACTGGTATCGGTGCAATGCTGGGTTGTACCACCTTGACTGCGAATGAAGTGACGGGCTCGCCGTCGACAGGTTGCGCAACAGCTTGCTGCAGAACCGCCAACATACCCACCAAGACCACTCCATGCTGCATAGCGAGCGAATGAACCGCGACCGACGTGTGTCGAGCTTGAAAGTACAGTAGGTTGAACGAGGGAAGCGTTGAAAGATGAGCAATGTTTGTGCCGAACGGAGGCTATTTGTTGTATCACATCCTCAAAGTTCATGCGGAAGAAGTTTGCCAAAACGGGTTTTACATCGTCTCCTAGCAGTCTCCTCGTTCAGACGTGTTGCCGTTTCGAGAAGGGTTTAGTCCCCATGTTGGAGGTCCGTGGTGTCATTGTGTTTGCAGATGGAGCCAGTGCGCATGATCAAACGGAAGCCGTTGAGATGTCAATCCTCAAGCCATTCATCACGATCCCACTCTTCCTCTGCATCGCTGCCGTAAATGTGGCCAGACTCGTCAGCTGCACGTTAGCATGTCATTTGTAATAAGTGAACATACAGTCATCCTCTTCCTCATCCGGATAGTCATTACCGATCCAACTCTCTGCATTGCTGTCCTCTGAATCATGTCCATCTTGATCACTGCCCTCTTCCTCTACAACCAATTGGTCCAGGTCATCCCAATTGAAGTGTTCTAGCAAGCCATAATTTGAGGTGATGGCTTCTTGAGCTGCTGCAATAGCTTCAGCAGCAGCAGAAGGGTAATAAATGTCATAGACGTAGTCTTCCTCCTTCATGGTCGTGTCCTCCGATTCTGCCTCTTTCGTCGCAGCAGCACTTGATTCGAGATAATCGCTCAGCATATCAGCTAGCCTCGGGTCAGGCGCTAGAGAAGCCTTCTCGAGCGAATTGTCATTCTTTACGCTCTCCTCCCTACGCTCAAGGTCCAGCACACGCCTATAATCTTCCTGACGACTCTCGCCAAGCTGCGATTTCCGCTTGCGTACTTTGAATCTCGGTGGTTCAACTGCTGTGCTACCTTCTTCGAGTGTTGCCGACCGCGGCCTCTTTGTAGATAGCGGTACCGGGATACCGCGATGATCAGACGACTGCGAAAGCTGCCATACGCGACGTTTCTTGGTAGCTTGCTCATGCGCGACACTACTAGTTTCTATAGGTTGGTCTTCTTGCGTCAAGAGGATCTGTACGGGATCGTCTGTGCGTTTGCGCTTGATGCGCAGGACTGTACTCACTGCCATGAGTGGTTGAGCCTGCTGGACCAGTGCTGGTGTTTGAGTCTTGTGATGTCAAAAAAGTAAATTGAAGCAGACTCGGGCTACAGCTACAGAGTCCAGACTACACTACAGGCTGCACACTCGCTCCTTCACTATAGAACACAGTGACACGACAAAGAACAATCTCAACAATCGCTACTCTGTATAGCCCTGATCCACGCCTCGCTGTCTGAACTTCATATCGAAATACGTCCTGTACTGATCCACAGGCAACGTCAACCACACCTCAGCATTACTATCCATCGTCAGGACCTCCTTACACAGAATTTGTGTACGTACAGGAATCTGCTTCGTTGCTGCATGTTGCGTGAATCTGTGTAATGCCAGTTGAACTTGTCGTGGGTGTGTCAAGTTAGAGAGCTCCTTGAGGGTTGATTGGAGCATAGTCTTGTTGGCTTCAATAAAAGCGCGTGTGAGTTGAGCATGATCTGCCGCTAGATCTGCTTGTGTCATGACAGGTCCTGATCTTCCAGAGTTGTTGTTGACAACAGGATCCACTGCAGGCGGTTGCATGCGTGACTGAGGTGCTGCTGCTGCTGCTGCTGCTGCTGCTGGTGGTGGTGGTGGCGGCACAATCCCAGTATGAGGGCCCAATATCGCTTCGAGTGGATCACGCGTCGCAGAGACCAAGCTCGCATTCCGTCCTGCTCGTCGAGAACGGTCTCTAGAACGATGCCTGCGTCGTCGTTCCTGAGTCTCCGTCAAAACAAGCAATGCATTTGGATTTGCACCTGGTTGCTCAACGACTTGTTGAGCAGCAGGGTTGCCTCGTGGTACCCATCGATGCGTTTGCCTGTCCCACTCTCGATCAAACAACTGCACCATGGTTGGATACAGTGAGAATCGGACATTGAAGTACACGCGATCCTTCTTATTTGCCGCTGTTACGATTTGCTTGACCTCTTCGCTTGCTTCGAGCAGGAGTTGCTCTTCATTCCATACACCGCCTTCATTGATGACAGCATCCTTCAGAAGTTTAAAAGCCTCGTAATCCATGCGCAATCGCTGGTATCGAGCCTTTAGCTGTGCGATAGACCACTCAACACCTGCAGCTTCGACGAATCTGCGATGACAGACTTGCCAGGCTTCTCTTGAAAACCCATAACTTCCAGGAAGCGAGTGTCCCGTTTTCTTTAGGTCTTTACAGATTTCAGCAAGGAGTTCTTCACGCTCCGGTGTCCAATATGCGCGTTGCAAGTCTCCCTCTGCACCGGCACCGCTCATGCTTGGATCGCCTTGTTGTTGTGGTGGCGTGGGCGGGTGTTGTGTGCCTGCGCCATCGTTGTTGTTGTTGTTGTTATTGTTGGTATTGCTGCTGCCTCCTGGTGATGGATGCTGGCCGACTGTGCGCCTATATGCTGCGTCGATGCTGCTGCCCTCCATTCTCATTGCCCGTCGTCGTTACTTGTCCGCAATTTGGTGAAACTTTGTAGCCCTTTGTGTTGTTCTTTGTGCAGTTTGGCGGAACTCTGGGGTAGTATACACATACCTATATGCTTAGCTAGACTCGTCGTACCCGTTTCCGAGGAGAGGGCGAGGCAGAGATCCGGTCCGTCGTCTCTTCTTCTTCATCTTCATCCTCCTCCTCCTCCTCCTCCTGATGTAGACCCTGTGCCTGTGTATATGTCCGTGACATGGATCCAAAGGAAGGCGGCTGAAACGACGCAACCAGCAACGAGTCATTCACCAGACTCTCAGGCAATAGACCATACATCCCCTGCCTCTCACCTGCCTCTGAATTCTGCTGACACTCCAGCTCATCCAAATCAGAAGCCTCCGAGTCAGGTACTTCGAGCTTCTCATCCTCCAAAACAGAACCAGTCTCAGAGACACTCTCAAACGCATCCAACGCTTGCTTTGCTTTGAGCAGTTGCTCAAACCGTCGTTCATCAAGCACAGTGTCAATAGATGCAGTCTCCTCAGCGGCCAATAACGCCCTTCTTGCTCGCCGCGCTTGAGAAGTAACAACCAACGTTGCTGGCAATTCATTGAGGACTCCGTCAGGTTGTATACACACAGACGAAGGACGTTGGCCAGACGGCGGTGAGACATCCTCTGGATCCTGGTATACTTGTCTCAACGTCGTCTTGGGCGGCGTTTGTAATGAACACAAGTTTGCCATTACTGGACGCGATGGCGATAGCATTTGTGTCTCTGGTATAGCCAATCCAGTTTCCGTCTCATTTAATGAATACGGAGGTGAGGGCAATGAAGAGCGTGTTTGAGGTCGTGTAGGGGTATCTGGCTCTGTGAGCAACCGATCATGGTATCGCTCATACGCGACAGACGACGGTATTTCCATAAGATGCGCTGTATGCGGCGTCGCCATGTGTCCATCCTCTGTATCGAGTTGTGTACATGATACAGGCGAAGCTTGTGAGTCTGGGACAACAGGTAGACTGCAATCGATGTCAAGCTTTCGTCGTTTCGAAGGAGACATGAGACGGCTGAATGCATCACTCAAGGCGTCTTTTTGCTCAATCGCCACTGCGGCCTGATTCGCTTGCTGTACCTGTGCGATTTGAGCGACTTTTGCGCATTCAGATCCAGTCATGGAGTCTTGTACTTGGATACGCGTCTGTTCAGCTTTGCGTTTTCCTCGTAGACGTGTCGCTGTTGTTGATGTCTTTTGCCCCTGACCAGCACCATCAGCAGCAGTAGGTTGGGAGAAGAAGCCTGTAATCTTGAGATCCTGCTTGCGCTTGAAACTCCCTGCTGTAGCAGGCTTGCTGCTTGTGATGGTCTTTGGGCGGACTAGGTGGCGATAGTCGTTGCCCACCAGTCGGGTCTGTGTGCCGGCTGCCTTCTTTGCCATCTGAGGTCTAGGCGTGCAGTGCCTATGCCTTGTATATTACCAACTCAGTACTCTAGAGAAGAAAGGCCCCCTGCTGCTCTCCTGGATGCGACACAATATGGATGCTGCTGCTGTTGCTGCTGTTGGACGCGACCCGAATTCACGCGCCAAATTCAAATGACTTCTCTCTTTTACCTAATTGACCAGCTACACTCCCATTCTTGACCAGCTGCTATATATACTTGTACTACTGCTCTAGCTTAGCTTGCATGTCCCGACTCAGTGACGCAGCAGCAGTCCTCCAAGTCATCTCTAATGTCCTCTCACGCACAGCAGCAATGCAGCGTGCAGCAAGGCAAGACGCCTGGAAAGCTTCCACAGTCATGAGAGATCTCGGTCATGAACGCTCGACAGTAGATACATTTGTTCAGCACACTAATGAAGCTGTTCCTCAAGAACCTGTCGTGCCTGATGTCAAGCAGGCGAGGACGAAGACCTCTGCGGAAGCTAAGGAGCAAGTTCCAGTCGTGCCCATCGTGCAGGAACAAAAGACTCCACAGTCGGCCGGCCAAGCAGCGAGTCAGACTGTAGAACCCAAGGATGATATCTTCCTGCTGCGTCACGCTCGTCATACACCGGTCGCTGGCCAAGCTGATCGCTTCAATCAGCTCAAGCGGAATACTGGTATCGCTAAACCCAATATCGCATGGCGTACGGAAGTGCCACAAGCTCAAGAAGCAACAGTTGTGGAGGAAGTGCAAACGAGCACACCTCTTCCCACAGACGCAGTCAAGACGTATATGCCAGAGTCACAGACGAGTCCAGCTAGCAACACAAACGTCGATCCTCCCACACAAGAACGAACTCCATCATCTCTACAGTCCTCAGCAGTCCCATCATCCAGACTATCACGACTCTATCACTATACCACCCTCGGCAGTTCTCTCGCCCTCAATGCCTTCTCAGACTCCACAAAACGTTTGTTCGTTGGCGGTAACGAGACACAAGGCGGTCTCATGTCTTCCAAAAACATCGACCTCCTCGTCCGTAAACTCTCACGCATGCGAGGTGCTGCTCTCAAACTCGGTCAAATGATTTCCTTTCAATCGGAAAACCTGCCGCTACCCATCCAGCAAATCCTACAGCGCGTTCAAGATTCAGCGGATTATATGCCTGCTTGGCAATTGAATCGTGTCATGGCTGCTGAATTTGGTGCTGATTGGCGAAATGAAAAGTTTGCCTCATTTGAAGGTATTCCCATGGCTGCCGCATCGATTGGACAAGTGCATAAAGCCGTGTTGCATGATGGAACGCAAGTGGCTGTTAAGGTACAGTACCCGGGTGTTGCCAACAGCATCTCTTCCGATCTCAAAAATTTGAGTTTGTTGTTGACCGCTTCTAGACTCTTGCCAAAAGGTCTCTACCTCGATAAAACGATTGCGAATGCACGAACGGAACTGGCGTGGGAGTGCGATTATGTTCGAGAAGCAGCGAATACAAGGCTCTTCAGACAACTGGTTGGCGAAGATACGACGTTCAAGATTCCGCGTGTCATTGATGCGTGCTCAGGCCAACAAGTCATCACAACTGAATTACTTCATGGTGTGGGTATTGCAAAAGCCGAACACTACAGCCAGCAAACGCGTGACTATCTCGGCTCAGAGATTATGCGTCTTTGTCTGCGTGAGCTGGTTGAATTCAATTTCATGCAAACAGATCCCAATTGGACCAATTTCCTATACAACGAAAAGTCAAAGCAGATTGAGTTGCTTGATTTTGGTGCATGCAGGTCCTTTGACAAGACCTTCATTGACAAGTACTGCAAGCTCCTTGTGGCAGCTGCAAAGAAGGATAAAGCATCGCTCTACAGTCTCTCTGTGGAACTAGGTTATCTCACTGGCGAGGAATCTGCAGCTATGCGCGATGCACACATCTCATCCATTCTCACGCTAGCTGAACCATTCGCACTGGACGCTCCGCAAGCACTCTATGATTTCCATAACCAAACCGTGACGGATCGCGTCAAGTCATTCATTCCAGTGATGCTTCGCGAACGACTCGCACCACCACCGGAAGAGACGTATTCATTGCATCGCCGACTCAGTGGCCATTTCCTGCTTTGTGCACGCTTGAGGAGTAAAATCCCGTGCAAGGAGATCTTCACGACTATTATGACGAAGCATGGCTATTTGCCGCCTATGTCGAGCTAGCAATCAAAGCAGTCGCATTTAGGCAAGCGCCTCTTCTCAACCAAGAGATTTATTTCAGAGACGCCTGTTGAGTCTCATCTAGAGCTGTGGCGGAAAACGACGCCTTTTGAGATGCAGCCAACAACAGCACTACAGCCTGGTGAGCATTTCCTGTTTTGGAATGAAATGGTACCAGAGACGGAGTTACATGCAGATGGATATCATGGATTCCAAGCGCCACAGGATGGCACGTATCGTCATCGTTTGTGGCAATCTGGAAGCATTGACTTCCTCAAGGACATCGAGGCTGGCATACCAAGCACATGTACCGAGACTGCGACTGCAGAGCGACAGGATGGGTCTACTGCTGTCACCACGACGCGAGATATCGTTCAGCATAACCAGATGTGCTTGACAGAGCGCAGGACATTGCTGTATACAGATATTCTGCCTTCTAGCAGAAAGGTACGAGCACCCGCTGCTGCTCTAAAGTGCTCACAACGTGTCCTCGTGCCTTCTGAAGTGCTGCTTTTCCGGTATGCAGCGCTCACAAATAACGGGCATCGTATTCACTACGACAAGCAGTACACGCAACAAGTCGAAGGCTACAGCAATATTCTGGTACAGGGCTCGTTGAATGTGACCTTACTATTACAGCATCTAGCTAGCCAGCTCGCTCCATCTCAGCACATGACGCATTGTGAATACAAGATGATATCTCCCTGTTACGTTGGCGAGACACTTCGATACTGCGTCGAGAACTCACTTAGCGGCAAGATACACACCCGTGCGTACATACTTGGGCAACACGGTGATCTGAAGCTTCAACTCAGCGCAACGCTTATTTCTTGAGGAAAGCATTGTCGCCATCTGCAATACCCTCCATGAGGACTTCCCAGCGCCATTTGAAGACAGGTGGCCAGCGCTTTTCGTGTGGGTGCTTCATGTCTTCCTTGACGGGCTGTACGTTGTTTGGTGTGGCGGAGCGTTTGCCGTAGTAACCAGAGTCGCGCATATCGACCTCTGATTGCATGGTTTCAACGTTGGGTGTCATTGAAATTGAATCAATATGGACTTTGTTGCGATATTCAATACCAGGGAACTGAGCGGCTGGGTCTGCTTCTGGTGCAGCCATAGCCATGCACAGCTGCAGTAAGGTAGCGAGTGTGTAGAAGAGTCCGATTGACATGACGTTCTGGAAGTGCATTTTGTTTCGGATGTTATGTGTGATGGGAAACCAAGGTGGATGAGCGTCCTTATATACTGGAAGATAAAACTGCTTCGAGAGTTGACTCATGATGTATAGCCTCGAGTCATGACTCATGGAAAGCTTCTTTGGGCCCTGACTTCTTGAGGCAATTCCATCGTGGCGGCCATCTGAAAAAGTTGGTCGGGAGCTTCCGACGACTGCAGCTATCACAGTTCATGGTGAATTATTGCTGATACTCATGACATGCATGGGCCTGTAAACCTTGTCATCAGCTCAATCTGCTACAATGTTCTGCACTAGGAGAACTAATGTAAATTTGGTTTACCCTGTAACCAGATTCCTGCAGAGATGCTCAGCTCAAAAGTCTCGCTACTATTCCAGCCTTGTCCTTTCACCAGATGTCAAACGTGCCTTAGCTGCCAAGAAGCCCGTCGTCTGCTTGGAAAGTACCATTATCACGCATGGTATGGCCTATCCGCAAAATCTCAACATGGCGCGTCAAGTGGAGTCCGTCATTCGTCAACACGGCGCAACGCCTGCTACGATCGCAATCCTGAATGGTAAAGCGCACGTTGGTCTACAAGACGCAGATCTCGAGTTACTTGCATCGACGGGTCAAGCTGCGAGAAAAGTCTCGAGACGTGATCTAGCCACCATTCTCGCTGATAAAGCCGTCGGCGGAACAACTGTGAGTGCAACCATGATATTGGCAAAAAGAGCAGGCATCAAGGTGTTTGTGACGGGTGGAATCGGTGGTGTTCATCGCAATGCCGAGTCGACAATGGATATCTCTAATGACTTGAACGAACTTTCAAGAAACGACGTCGCTGTTGTCTGTGCTGGTCCTAAAGCCATCCTTGATATTCCAAGAACACTAGAATACCTCGAGACTATGGGAGTCACTGTCACAACCGTTGGGCAAAAGAATCTGCCTGCGTTCTATTCGAGAGATTCTGGAATCAAGTCTCCTCAAATGTCACCGTCGCCTGAGCATGCGGCCAGTATCATTGCAGCAAACCAAAGTCTTAAACTCGAAAGCGCAGTCCTCGTATGTGTTCCGATCCCAGAGAAGGCTGGACTGGATGGCAAGATGATGGACTCCGTCATCCAAAAGGCGGTCCAAGATGCCGATGCGCAAGGCATTCGCGGCAAGGACAGTACACCTTTCCTACTGGCTGCAGTATCAGAAGCAACGAAGGGCAGGTCCCTGGAGGCCAATATTGCTCTTGTGATGGAGAATGCTCGGGTCGGCGCTCAAATCGCGGTGCACCTTGCCGACCTCGAAAATGGGCCCACGTCGACTACTGAACCAGCGACATTGTTTGACAAGACCGAGTCCAGAGCAATTGCAGACAGTCTTTTTGAGCTCGAGGATGGCCGGTCCATTGGTGCCGTAGACTTTAACGGCAGCTCCTTCGCTGAAGCTCTTATGGAGAACGAAGAGGCGACATTCATTCAGCAACCCGAAGAATCTGTTCAAGTTCTTGCAATTGGTGGCGTCGCTGTAGACATCACCTGTTCAGTACCAAAGCCGACAGGCGGTGTGGCTTCACTCCTGCACACATCTAATCCAGGCAAGACTACGCGTTCACTTGGTGGCGTCGCTGCAAACATGGCTCGTGCAGTGCGTCAAGCTGGCCAACCAGTCAGACTCGTGACCGCCGTAGGCAACGATACTGACGGCACATTTGCTCTTGAACAATTGAAAGTTCATCGCATCGATACATCGTTCACACATGTTTCAGAGACTGGCAGAACCGCTTCGTACACCAATATTCAAGCTGGTGGAGAATTGGTCACTGCTGTTGCGGATATGGACATCCTTCGCATAATTTCTTCTGGATCTATCAATCAAGCTCTGCAAGGACAGAAAGGCGGTTGGGCCATCATTGATGCGAATCTCAGCTCGGAGACGTTTTTCAGTGCCTTGAGAGCAGCGAAAGATCAACAGATTCAGGTCTGTTTCGAGCCAACATCAATTGCTAAGTCTGCCATCGCATTCAGTACTGACGAGAAGTTAACAGTCTTTCCAGAGTCGATGATCGATATGGTCACACCCAACATCCACGAGCTCAAAAGTTTGTTTGATGCTGCAAAAGCAACGGGATACTTTGAGACGGCGTCTTGGTGGACAGTTATCAATGCTATGAATATCATGTCTGAGCAACGCTCACAAATGGAACACCTCGCCAGACGAATTCAGCGCAAATCTGGATCCGATAGCGACATGCTCGAGAGTGGCGTATTGCAGCAATGTATTCAGCTATTGCCACTCATGCCCAACATTTACGTGACGCTTGGCAAGCAAGGTGTGTTGTCGCTTCATCTCTCCGATGGCGTGCAAAGCAAGGGCAAGACTGATTTGGGCCTGCACATACAAGGCCATGATTGTGCAGTGGACATCATGTACTATGCCACGCCTGAAACTGTGGGAGGTCACGAAAGCGATACAGGTGCTGGAGATACGTTCACCGGCTCACTCATTGCTGCATTTGCAAATGGAAGGCCCATTGTCACTGCGGTGCATGATGCGCAAAAGGCTGCTATCGCACACTTGAGCCGTGGTACTGCACAAAGGGGTTAGTCTAAAGATGTGAAAAGCTTTGGATTAAATATTCATATATTGAATGGTGTACAAAGTGAATTCATGAGCTTCCAGGAAACTCTGGTGAGCGTGGCGAAATTTGCGAGTCGGCAAAGGGCGACTCTGCGTCATTGCCTTCTGTTGGCAGTGGCGGTGGACGATGATCCTTGACATCGACAAGCTTTGCCTTGCTTGCTCGTGCAACATTGTCAGAAACAGACATGATACTCGGTTTTCTCGCCAATTGGCTCGGCGTATACTCTGAAGCCATCCAAGTTGTTTCAGAGTCTGCTGTCACTGGAGGTTTCTCCTCATTGATGTATCCAGCATTGCCGGGGGACAAGGGAGCGTGCGAGTTGCGATGTTCCGACTCGGATCCGGTCCGAGCGTAACTGAAGGGATTCGTTTGAATGATCGCAGCAGGTGAAGACTCGGCACTTGTGTCGATACTCCGGTCACCGCTCGTGAATGAGTAGTCTCCCTGATTCGACTTGATGCGCTGTGGTCGTGGTCTGCTGCCTCCAACACGCTCAATGTATGGATATTGACCCGGAAATCGGAATGGATGAGGAGTGGTATCCCTCGATGGTGCTGCGATAGTCAGACCAGCGACTTCCAACTCAGCATCTGTCAAAGCTGGTCCATACGGTCTGGATTTACCCAATGCCATCGCTTTCTCGTCACGGTCCTTTCTCGCTTGGTCTTGGAGTGCTTCTTTTTCACGCTTCCAGTGTCGTTCACGACGCAGGATCAAGAGAATGATGAAGGCGAGTAACCCAAGTGCCACAACGAGTGCAATGGCGCCAATCACGATACCGGCTATGGCACCGGGGCTGAGGTTGTTGGAACCGCCATTACTTTGAGTGGTGTTGGTGCCGAGTCCAGAGGTAGCTGTGTTCCCAGCCGTTGGTGCTGCCGTCTGAGAAGCAGCCGCAGAGGATGGATCTTGAGAACCTGTGGTTCTGCTAATCCCAGCGGCTGCAAGCACTCTCGGTGTTTGCACGGCATAGAAAGTCGGACCTTTACTGGATACAGTCGGTAGTGCATTGTAGACTGCACTATTGGGCCGCACGTAGAAATAGTATGGGTCCGCGACACCGCGCACGCCGGGTTGCTGTGTTGCAACAGGTGCCAATGTCGATGTGAACCAAGAGATATTGACATTGATGGGGATATCGCCGGTATTGCCAACACCGATCCATGTCGCTGCAGGTGCGTCATTGGTTGCAAAGTACATGGTGACATCGACCAGCGCAACATTCTTCAACAGACCATAGTTTTTGTTGTAAAAGAAGCGGGTCCAGCCCGTCATCCGAACAAAGGCACCTGCTGTCGGGAAGCAGTACAAATCGTTGTCTGTATAATTGCACTTAGAAGGGTCTGGCAGACCTTCGACCGTGACGCCTGATGGCTGCGCCGCGACAGTTGCATCCTGCACGGTTGGCACATTCGCCACTGAAGTTGCCTCTCCGTCTCGTGTGGATGTCTGCGCATACGCGCTCCGGCCTGCCAGGAGACTCGCAGCGCAGCAAAGTCGCCAAGAGACTCGCATTGAGATCCGCTTCAGCGCAGCAAGGTCTCTTTGACGTCGAGCTGATAGACTCTGTCGACAGCAGTACGTTGTCCCTCTTGTGGTATATCAATGTGTAGAATAGTGAAGAAATGTTTTTCTGCCAGCATCGCTGCTGGCGATCCCCTGAAGGTCATTGTCGGCCTGATGGACGGGGAAATGTGAGCCAGGTAGCGATTGCACATGTGGCAGCGCATTTTAGGTCTTTTTGGCTCTTTTCGCCCTCCCTGCACACCGGGCCAGGCGCAGGGAAGCCACCATCAGGCAGACTGTGAGAGATCTATCTGGCATAGCGATAGACTTCTGGCAATAACATCCAACGGTCGCCGATCAGCTGCAGCATCGCCGGCTAGCAATCAATCTGTATGAACTTCTACATGCTTCGCCTATAACAGCAGACACCCCATGGTCGGATCAACTGCTGCTAGTAGTAACGCTCGACAGTGCTTGCCCTGCAACTAGCTTGCCTCGGGAAATCACCATCATGATCCTGACACGACAGCTTGACTAACCACTTCACTGGACGACATAGAGCATGCTAGGAACCGCCCATGAGGTGACATGACTTTACCTACACAACGACGTGCTGTATCTCGTCGGCTTTTTAAGGCTGTTGACTGAATAGCTGAGTGCCAACAGGGCCGTCGCCAGGCCGACCTGGTCGTCCAGGAGCTTTAAGTAAGAAGACCAAGGCTCGAAAGCGTGTGTCGATCTGAATTTGCCGGTCCGGCAGCACAAGCACCGTCTCCGTCGTACCTGCATTCGTCCTGCAACCCATTGAATCGAGCAGCTTGAAGCCTTGATTCGGTCACTTGACTCACTTGGCACTGCTTATCCTTCGCAGCCATCAAGATAAAGTATCTGTGACTTCCCTTCAAACACGTCGCCATTCACGCGCTAATGCATTAATTGCGGAACGAAACCTTAAATTTCAAAGACCAATCTTGAGACACGATCTTGGCACTTAAAAAACGGCACCACCGAGCTCCTGGTTGCAATTTTGACAGCCGTTGACAGATCACTCTGCTGTAGATCTGTCTAGAGCCTACTAGCTAAGCGACTATATATTCATAGCGGGTGAGAATTGCATGTGTGTCATATTGAAGGCGCGGCTCCATGTTCGTCACTTTTGGAAGCAACTTCCGCCAATGCCTCTGTCTCTGAGATTGTCTGCTCTTTTGCTGGCGAGTTGTGCATCTCGACATTTGCCGCGCTGGGCACATGTTTAGATTCTGAGGCAGGCTCTCCCTGTAGAGCAGGCACAGGACTGTCGATCTCAACCTTCTCCATACCTTCCGGCAGAGCATCTCCGTCATCAAGCGCAGCACTATCTTGCTCAACTGACAAGGGCGACTTGACCTTTTCTTTGCGTGCTGCGCTATTTCTAGCAGTCACCTCAGCTTGTGCAGGTGTGAGCAAGAATTCAGACGTCAAGCCAGTCTCCGTCTTCAGCATCTTGATAGTCCCCTGAATCGCTACCCAACTTTGCAATTCTGTATTTCCATACACCATCAGGGCTTCTTCCAGTGCTACTCTTGCCAATCGATATTTACCAATCGTTGACCAATGCTCAGCCGCTAAGATGCGCCAAAAGGCAGCTTTGCGTTGTCTTGAACCAGACCAATGCGTTCGCGCTGCAAATGGAACAGCACCCTCACCTGTTGCAAAACAAGTAGCAACACGCTCTACCAATAATGCACGTGTCATCTCACCACAAATTTGAGAGTCCATAGCGCGCATGATGTAACGTGCAGCATCATCTTTTGCACCATGCGGTCGTATCCGCAGTAACTCTGCAGTCAGCAAAATTGCTCGAAGCGCAGAGTAAGGTGAGGAGCATCTCGACAGGTACGAGTACATGGCAGCGTCGAGTGTTGGATCGATAGTATCAACGCGAACTTTGGTGGTGATGGGTTGGTTGATGAGCAGTAAGGAGATGATGTACATTTCCTGTGCACCAGCATGATGCCGCCATGCTTTATCATTGGAGTAATCCTTCCTAAGCATGTCATAGACGTTATTCGCGAGTTTCCAGTCACGTAGCATGAATGCAAAATCGGCCAATCGACGGAGTTGGGCCTCTGGTGTGGTGGGTGGGTACGACGAGGTCTGTGAGTCGTAATTGCCATTGCCAGTCGCTGGAGTCGCCGTCCGTGAGGCGCCAAAGATACTGCGTCCAGCTTTGAAGAATCGACCAGCGAGGCCGCGACGAGGTCCAGCTACTTGATCGTTCCAATGAAAGATACAGCGTTCCATGTATGGCGCGATAGAAGATACAGTCATGTCTCGAACAAGAGCTTGCATAGCGGCAAAGTCCACATCTGGCAGAAAGTGGTCTTGGTCGATAATTGTCGTATCTTCCTGTGGCGCATTATTGATGAAGCTGTTATTGCGACCAGATTGCCACTTATTACGAAGATGTTCGGGAGCAGAGCGACGCTCAATTGCTGGGACAAGCGATACCTGTGGATTCTCGCGAGTGACTTTTGAGGACGATAAGCGAAGCATATGACAGTGGTTGCCAAAACTGCGCTTCATCTTTTCAAAGAGCTGCAGAGAATCATCTAGTGAGTGCTCGTCCTCGTCATGGACCAGCACATAATATCGGAGAAACTCCTTGTCAACAAAGCTTGGAAGCTTCTCGCTGCCAGACTTGTAGAGGGCTACTAATGTCTGAATGGGTGTATCGTTGTGCGATGAGATGGCAATGCAGCTCGCGACGGGATGTGCAAAGGTTTCATGCGGACTTGTGAGTAGTCCAGAGAGCAGACTTTGGATGAAAGACGCGTAGTACTGGCTCGAGCCGGTTGAAGCAGAGGCGTCCTGGCCCTCAAATTGCTCTATTGACTCGCCTGCTCGTGTCATTTCGGCCTCTATTTGGCGTTCCAAGGCGACAAGATCACCTCCTGGCATATATTGCGCCTTTGGTCTCGTTCCTGGCCTATCGAGATCGCTTTGACCATAATGAAGCATGTCGAATGCAGGGCCTAATTCGGTGAAGTTGACGTTGAAGTCCGAGATCGTATTGAGCTGCCCATTGGTATCTCGCACAGACACCTTGCCCTCGACCTTTTGTCCAAAGGGACGCAGCATATCGAAGAAGCTGTGGAAGCCCTTGCGTTGTGCTAGCTCGTTTGCATCATCTGATGCCACCACAGGTATATGAGGCACAAACGATTTTTGTATCAGCGAAATTGGGTCTAAATCTGCTGAGCTTGTGCTTGGCATAGTATGCTGGTCCCTCACATGTGAAGTAGCCCCAAAATAGCTTGTGAACGAGGTCAGCGACGATTGAGACGCATTATTCGGCGGTCTTGTGAGCCGCGGCGATCTAGCTCCCTGTGCTGTAGAGGCAGAAGCAGCCTCCATGGCCGCGAGCTAGTAGCAAGGGTTTGGTACGCCTTGGTCTCCAAGCTGAAGCCTGACAACAATTGAGCAAAGCAAGTCAAGTGAGCGTTGTACCAAAGTGTTGTGGTCTGTGCTGCTTGGTGTGCGCGTTGTTTGTTCTGCGACCACGCACTACACCACTTCTTCTAGCGCTACTCGAGGACTACAAGGCAAGCTTCTGCGCTTAAGTACGGTGCATCGGGCAGTATGGGAGCAGCGGATGACATAGACCAAGTCCTCAAGCAAGAGGACGCCGAATTCGCCAAGGACCGAGAGATTGATAGGATCCTCAGCGCCTTTCGACTGGACGCTTACGCTGTCATGGGTATCCTGCCAGGCTGTACCACTGCTGAAATAAGGAAAACATTTCGATCAAAGTCACTTCTGATACATCCAGATAAAACAAAGAACGAGCGCGCTCCAGGTCAGTTCACATGCATCTATGCCACAAGCTAACCATTCAAGAGGCGTTTGACAGACTCAAGAAGGCAGAAGGCGAACTAATGGATGATAAAACCCGTGAGCAACTCGATAGTGCGATTGCTACTGCACGCAGAATGCTGATTGACGAGAAAGGCTGGACCATCCATCATCCAGATTTGACCTCACCAGCGTTCTATGAAGAGCTGCGTGACAAGTCGCGTGATGTGCTGATTGAAGATGAGCTTGCTCGTCGCCGTAAGCGAGTCATACAGATGGCTGAAGAAGGTCGACAACGTCAAGAAGAGGAAGCGCAAGAACTTGCTCGAAAGCGAAAACGCGAGGCAGATCAGCGCTGGGAAAATACTCGCGACGAGCGTGTTGGAGATTGGAGAAAGTTTACTGGACAAAGTGCAGGTAATGATCCTCCAAAGAAGAAGATGAAGAAGAAGATCAAAGTTTTAGGATGATTACTCTCGACATTGGCACCCACGTTTCACCACTGCCGTCATTACGTTCGTTCCTCGCCCATCATTGTTTCTCTGCGCCCAGGCTCAACGATTCGATGTCTTCAAGCGTCCTTGCTTCTTCTCTCAATGTGTCTAGCGCTTGACACACACCTGGCTTGAGTGCATCGACAGGCAAATGACATTCAATCCCGACAACGCTTTGGCTTGCACTAAAGACGAGCTTGAATTGTGGCATGATGCTCTTCTTTCGCAGCTTTCGCTGGCACTGTAAAACGATTCGCTCAGATGTCTGCTTGTCAGCAAAGAGCTGCAACTGCGCCTCCGACAAGTCCTGAAAGTCTGCCGACCGTTCCAGCATAATGACAAACTCAGTCAGACCTTGTGAAAAGCGCAGTTGTACGGCTTGGACGAGTGAGCGAACAAGCGCCCGCCAAGTCTCTTCTGCGGCATCGGCCTCATATTCTTGTATGCTGTGGCGCAGTCTGCTGCGTCGACTCCCCCTGCCGGATACGTTGCTGCCCGATCTGGAGTGGCCTTTGATTGTCTCTTGCGCTGGCTGCGCATACAGTTCACTAGATAAGGCGCTTCGTCTGATCAGTACCAATAGAGGCAGAGTGCGGTACTTACGGCCTGGTTGCAGGCACCATGTTGAGCTTGAGACTTGCAAGACTGCCTCTGGGAGAGTGCTTTGCAGTTCGTCCTCTTGTGCGTCCTGCTTAATCAGCACTTGTTGGCCATATGTAGTAGTTTACCAATAGAGTAGCCCATTCTGATGTGTAGTCAGTATCTGTAGTCTGCTGAACACAGCACCTGAACAATTTATACCTCGGAAGTCTAAATCTCCATTCAGGGGCAGTTAAACTATTTGTAAATTTGTTGGCACGAGGTCTCCCTGAAGCTTGCGCCTGCATGCCGCTGGAGTCTTTGCTTGTGTCGTCTGACCAGACTCTTTGCTGCGTTGTCTCTCAACGTTTCAGTGAGGGTGAAAGACTTATACAGCCCATAGAACACAGCGATGCACTTATAAAGTCCTGCTAAACTATGAACGACCCAGCAGCTGTAGAGCCAGTTCTTCCTGTGCAGCAAGAGTCTGAGGCTCGGCAACTTCAACGACATTGCCCAACTTGCGCCGCTTTGATGCTGCTTCTTCTTCTGCTTTGTCGTCATACTCCTGGAACCACTTTTTACGCTTACCGCCAACTTCTTCATCCATAGACGCCGCATCTGCCGAACCGTCATCATCGGAGTATGGTGCCAGAACCACTTCTTGGTCACTGTCGTCGCTCGCAGCCTCTTCCGCGAGTTGCTTGGCTCGCTCAAGCTGCTTTCTTCGTTTATCACGTTTCTTGTCCTTTGCCTCCACCTTGTCGTCCACATCCACGGATTGCAAGAGCTCTCCTTGCTTCTTCAAAAACTCGTCGATCTGCTGTTGTGAAGGGCCGAGAGCCCTGAAGGCTTCTTCCGTCTGCATTTCGTACATGGGGTGCGCGTCTCCCTCGTCGTCAAAGACCAGCTTCGTTCCGAGTGGTTTATATTTGAGCATAGCCTTCTTTGACAGTGCTTCTTTGGCTTTACGCTTTGAATCTGGCTTGAATGTCTCTGAAGGAGCATCTCCCGCCAGAGCAAGTTGGGGTCCTTCGTTGCCTTCACCAGCTTCCAGTGCATGATCAGCGCGCTTGATCTTCATGAATGCATCATCCTCATCTGCATCTGCAGTTTCCTGATCAATTGTAGTTGTCCCATCATGCTCAACAAGTTTCGTGTAGTGCTCCGACAAGATATCCTGGTTGCGACGCTCAAACATGCGGTCATACTTCGTTTTTGTCACCTTTTTCGGCGCTTCTGTCTTGCTTGCAGGCGCCTCACTAGCCGTATCACTCTCTGAACCTGATTCGGTATCTGGCCCGCTACCTTCAGAACCTCCCTCACTCTCTGATTCTGGTTTGAGGGTTGCATTCTTCTTTGCCTTGACCTCTTTCGAAGACAAGAATTTGATTCGTGGTGCACCAGGCAGGCCGAGACTTGCGGCAAATTCTTCAACCGGTAACTGATCGACCTTGAAGACATCCTTGTCCTTGTGCAAGTTGACACTCCGCACATATGACACAAATGCCTTTTGTCCGAGATACTTGATTTCTGGATCTTTGAAGCACATGTGCTGTAGCTGTGAGACAATACTCTGCTTCTTGTTCTGCTTGATATTGAGCTTATCCACGACCACCTTTCGCTTCTTGAGGCGGGCCAAGAAGGCTCCCTCTTCGCTTGGAAGAAGCATGAGGAGTGCTTTGCCACCTTTCTCATACCGCGCAGTCCTGCCAACGCGATGAATATAGGTATCCGCATCTTCGGGTACATCCAACTGAATCACCCAATCCACAGAAGGGAAATCTAGACCACGTGCGACGATATCCGTACAGAAGAGGTAGCAGTGCTTGGAAGCGGCGAATCGAGCAGTGATCTCCGCGCGCGACATTTGCTTTTGCTTGCCGTGTAAGTGGATGAGCGGCACCCCGGGATGTAGATGACGAAAGGTTTCATAGGCAAACCGAACTTGCTTTCCAGTGGACATGAAAACAATAGCTTTGCATTTCAAGTGCGTCTTCATAAAAGCGTAGAGTGTGTCGAGCTTTTCTGGTAAGTTGACAAGGACGTAGCTTTGCTGGAGAGATGCTGGTGTCGCACTGTCTGATGACTCGTGAACAGAGACATACTCTGGGTTCTTGAGTGAGAGTCGAGCAAGATCCTTGACAGATTTCGTCTGAGTCGCACTGAAAAGTAGAGTTTGACGAGAGGGTGGCAGATTGTCTACAATTGCATCCAGTGTTTTCCGGAATCCCATATCTAGGATGCGATCTGCCTCATCAAGAATAAGCATTTGCAAGTTGTCAGCTTGAAAGCCAGCAGTCTGGTCCATGTGCTGCAAGATTCTGCCAGGCGTGCAGACCAAGATGTTCATCTTGAGCATTCGATCGGCTTCTTCCTTCAAGTCCTTGCCGCCAATGACCAGACCAGCAGAGAAGCCATGTGTACGTCCAATCTTGCGCAGCACTTCAAAGATTTGTAACGCCAGTTCGCGAGTCGGTGAAATGACTAGAGCCCCAAGACCATCATATTGCGTCCAATTGGAGCGAAATAGATGTTCGAGCATGGGTACGAGGAAAGCCAAAGTCTTGCCACTGCCGGTTCGCGCAGCACCCAGCACATCCCTGCCCTTCAGGATCAACGGTATCGCACGCTTTTGAATGTCTGTGAGTTTTGTAAAATGAGCAGCTTTGAGGCCTTGTATTGAATTATGCGACAGAGGCAGATCCTCAAAACTGTTGATATCTGCCAAGGCCGCAAGGTCTTCCGGATCAAAGGCATCAATGCGCTCCTGCAGCTTCGCCAAGTCTTCCTCGGCCGCTTTGCGAATAACGAGCTTTTGCTCCCGCGTCTTTTTCGGTTTGAATCGCCTACCACTCATTGCTGCGACCCAATTATTCCTGAAGTATGGCCTCTATGCCAAGTCGACCTATATGCGCTTCTTTAATGACCTCGTCGATGCGTTTGGCCGCCAACTTTTTCGAAGTGGTCGCACGCACATTCAGATGGGGACAGGGCTGAAACACCAAACACATCATGAGGGCGTGAGTCGGGACACAGTTTGTTTGAGGCTGTACAACTGTATATAGAGACATGGTGGGGCGATTCCAATGACTATATGTTCAGGTTCTTGAGAAGTATCATTGCGGATGATGCGGCAGTTCTGATTGAAATTGCCGTCAAGGACTATGTCACCAACCAAGAGAAGAAACTTGACTCAATTGACAGTCTTCGGTCACTGCTCACAGACGCCAACCAGCAAGAATTCGTGGAATGTTTAGCACGGCATCTCGGACCTCGCTGGAATGATACAACAGCCTGGTGTCGCGAAGAAGACTGCATCGTGCTCTTGCAACGACTCGGTACTGAGGCCACTGTTGAAGCTGTAGCTCGCGACGAAGACATGATGTACTTGCTCGATTATCATCTGCGTGCATGTCTCTTGACAAACAGGAGTTCTTCAAAGCAAATTCGGCTCGCTCGAGCTATACAGCAGTATTTGGACGAGGTATGCACTGCGTACATCGTAACAGTAGTTCTTCAGCCCTTGTTTGACTTGCAATACAAGTACAAGGATGTGTGGGCGAACAGCATGCTGAGTGCTCGTGATAGGGTCTCTCGCTACAGATCCAACCATGTTGGCAACCAAACAAGAAACTCCGAGATCGAAGCAAAGATCTTGCGGGAGAAAATGCGTAAGCCTTGCTCAAATGAGATTGTTGCTGACAGAAAGCAATTGCCACCGCGGTCCACATCCAGCGTGCCAATATTCTCGCCTTTGACATGCTCAAGGAGGTCATTGGAAATGACGCTGTCATTGCAAAGGAGATTTGGGCCAATGAAGCGCGTCAGGTGAAGCAGATATTGTGCAATGAGCCATGCTGGCAAATGAGCAAAGACGCCGGTACAAGACTTGCAGCGTTGAGGGGCCAGGTGGCTGATGCTGTTATGCGCCTTGATCTGGCACTGTTGTACTTTACGGAGCAGGAAGAGGAGCCTGAAAGCCTGCCAGCCTACTCTTGGGCACGGAACATCTCAAGTACTTCCTTAAGCTCAGCTGGCATGTCGCAAGCAAACCAAGAATCAGGAATCGTTGTCGAGGGCGGGCCATCACATGAGCGCGTATCCATTAGGACAACTTGACAGAGTTCTTTAGCAAGGTCAAGCTGACTGAGTTGCTCTTCGATGCGCGCATCTTGTAAAAGACGCCGTGCTTGGGACTCGTCCTTAAAAGCCGAAGCATAAGCAAGACTCAAATGGGGCTCAAATGCAGCCATAAAGTCCTTTAACTGCGCATCAGATTCGCTGACAGCAGCCTTCCGCATACACTGAACAAATTCGAGCAGCCACATGGTTCTTTCAAGCCTGATGTAGATGCGCTTACTGAATATTAGCAGAAGAACAGAGGTCTCCGGTCATACAAGAACTTTGAACCATAAACAACTTGAGCCACCTTGAGATCAGTTGGAGCAATACGTTCTTCTGCTCTGGCCTCTTTCGAGGGTGAAGTCATCAAGTCTGGAGAGACACTCGACGTGATGGTCATATGAGGAGGGAAGCTGGAGGTTACAGTCTCGCCCCATTGATCTCCATTCTCTGAAAGCAGCTGAATGGCTTGTTTCAAGATATGCTCTAGTTTAGATTCCTTTGCTGGCACAAGCCAGAGCGAGCCTCCGAAGGACATAGTCTCAAGCAGCACTACTTTGTGTATAGCTTCTAGAAATGTCGCTGCTGCCAGATCTCGTCCCCACAATTCGCAACGACCACGGACACTTACGCAATCACCATCCAACACATTCCATCTCAGTCAACCCACACGAGCATGTCCAATACCGTCAAAGCGCCCATCCTCCTGCTACAAGGCCCGCCAGGCACTGGCAAAACATCCATCGCGCAATCACTCGCAAAAGCGCTCGGTCGTAAATTCCATCGCATCTCACTCGGTGGCGTGCGCGATGAAGCCGAGATTCGTGGGCACAGGCGGACTTATGTCGGCGCTATGCCTGGCTTAATTGTACAAGCGCTCAAGAAGGTGGGCTGTTGCGATCCAGTCATCTTGCTGGATGAGATTGACAAGATGAGCAGTAATAGCCATCACGGCGATCCATCAGCCGCTATGCTCGAAGTCTTGGATCCTGAACAGAATCACAGCTTTAACGATCACTACATGGCAATTCCTATTGATCTGAGCAAAGTTCTTTTCATTGCTACGGCCAATTCCCTTGACACGATTCCAGCGCCACTGCTAGATCGTATGGAGACCATTAGCTTGCCAGGCTACACCTTTTTGGAGAAGAAGTCTATCGCTGAACGTCATCTCATTCCAAAACAAGCCCGTATGAATGGATTGACGCCAGCTCAGATACGCATTGCTGAAGAGATTATCTTGAAGATTGCAACAGAGTACACGCGCGAAGCAGGTGTCCGCAACCTTGAACGGGAAATTGGCGCTATTTGCCGCTACAAAGCGGTCGAGTTTGCCGAATCAAAGGATGATGACAAGACGTTTGACCCTGTCGTGACCTCTGCAGACGTTGAGAAGATTTTGGGGCTGCAAAAGTTTGAGGCAGAGCTTGCAGAGACTGTTGTCAAACCTGGTGTTGTCACTGGACTCGCGTACATGGGCAGTGGTAATGGTGGGTTGCTCTTTCTCGAAGCCATTGAGATGCCCGGTAAGTCAGGTAGCCTGCAGCTCACGGGTAGCCTCGGCGATGTCATCAAGGAAAGTGCACACATCGCTCTTTCCTATGTACGTGCGAATGCGTTCAAGATGGGTATTCCAGGCGCGACGACGCCAGAGACGGATATCATGAAGAATCGTGCAGTACACATTCACGCTCCTGCTGGTGCGACGCCCAAGGATGGACCCTCTGCCGGTGTAGCAATGACCTTGGCGCTGACGTCCTTGTTCCTGAAACGTCCGGTTCCGCCTCATATCGCCATGACTGGTGAGATTACGCTTCGAGGCAATGTCCTACCTATTGGTGGAGTCAAGGAGAAGGTTCTTGCAGCACATCGAGCCGGTATTAAGACCATCTTGCTTCCTGCAAAGAACAAGAAGGATGCTGTTGCAGATTTGCCGGAGAATGTTAGGCAGGATTTGCGCATTGTATTTTGCACACACTTTGCCGATGTGCTTGCAGAGGTATGGCAAGAGCACAGAGAGTCGTTGACAGTCGTGCCGTCATTGCTATGAGGTGCCGACAACATATGGTGTATGTAGGGAGAGACTCGTTATTACAATGTACATTTTTTTGATGTTCATAATTACCATCAGGGCGTCACTCTCTTGATAGCTTTAGTATGCTTCTGAGTTTACTGTCGAGCTACTGTGGACACAAAATCGCTGCAAGCTGTTATTCAGGCCCTTACGCGGCTACGCCATGATACTTAGCGGGACGACTCTTGAGTCTTGATGTTGAAGGCCGGGTCAGGCACACGCGCAATTGACAGCCACCGACGTCTCAATGCGACTTCCCCATTCGGCGCAATAACCGAGCCAGCTGCAAAGTATTTCCCGAAGACGCGCACGGGCACGCCAGCTGCAGTCTGGACTCTGAAGTCAGCAATCGCACTTGCATGACTGAGCCCGGGAGCATGACTTTGAAGTTTGAAGGTCTCATCATCAGACTTTCATGTCTCGCTCTATACGAGGATCCTTCACTGGCAGTCTTGACCCTTGGGCCTTGGCTCAGCTGCTACATACGCGCTAGCTCCGATGACATGCCCATGCCAATTTGTAAGGCCTTGAAAGGTGGGCAAAGGGCATCACCTATCAGGCCGCTATCACCTTTTTAGGTAACCCACAAGCTGCAAGATGTGCCGCACTTTTCACCGTCATGGAAATCTTCCGCACGGCCCACAGTCGCCCACTCCGCCAATATAGACCTCCCTTTCGCCAGTGAGCGCCTGACCTGAACCATACCCTTTCTTCACGACTCGCTGTCGCCCGCTATGGATGAGCTGCATGCTGCAGGACCAGCGCCGAGCCGCTCGTTGCTAGCAGCATGTCGCGAGGACGACGCAGTTGCAGCAGATGAGAATGGCGACAGTCAGCAAGGGTCAGCACGATCAAGCATCTCTGCGATAAGCTCCCAACCTGAGAGACAGGATCGACTATCTACTGCAGGATCCACATCATCAGCGGACCTTCCTGGTATGAGCAACGAAGGAAGTGGATCAAGGCGTGGATCAAAGGAGAGTATCTGCAGCACAGACTCCGGCTTTGGTCAAGGCTCAGATAGGCCGGCAATCAAGAAGAAGGAGACCACTCGTCGTCGCAACAAGGCACACGTCTCAACGGCCTGCTATCCTTGCAAGCGCGCGCATCTGGCATGTGAGGTAAGTTCTTTCCCCAGAATCTTTGGTCAGCTCTGTGTGTCGTTGTCGACGTCAAACGTCGATCGTCGGCCGCGTCTCTGTGTCTCTCTGTGTCTACGACTCTATGATCAGTCTTCGGAGACTTTCGAGAACGATGGCTCAATCGGCCGGCCTGTACGCTTGTTCCGTCATCAAGCCTTGGCACTAGTCGGGTCTTTCTTTTATTTTTCCTGGGCTCGCGGCAAATTCATGGACGGCAACTCGCTTCGGAGCTGCAGGAAGCGATGACGACTGTGGAGCCGAGCGCGTCAAAAAAACGAGCGCACCCAAGAATTCAGAAGGCTACTTACAAAGACGTCACAGATGTCACACAGACTGACTGACAGGTACAGATCAGGTGCTAACCATGTCACTATAGACAAGCAGACCATGCAAACGCTGTGTCAATCTAGAAAAGGAGGACCAATGCATTGATGTGGCCCACAAGCGTCGTGGGCGACCGCGTATCAAGGACACGGTTGCATCGAAAGCTGGACCACCGCTTGACTCCTTGAATCACTTCCAGACATCTGTCCCAGCAGCAGCTGTTCAGACGACAGATGTGTCTCCAAAGCGAGGTCCGTCCCTAGGCATAGAAGGCAAATTTGCCGAGCGTCCGAATCACATTGATCTCCAACCTCGTTCATTGAGCACTGATCTGAGGTTTGGTATGCAGCCAGGTGGTGGTATCACGCCGCCCATATCCTTTGAGAGCGCTGCTGTGACACCAGGCTGGCACGAACGCCGGAGCTCTGTCTCAGAAAACAGCTATATGCCTGGGATGGGCAACTATGAAGTTGCACCCAGTGTTGCGCGACCCGTCACAGCTGCTCTCATTCTATCTATGGATTTGGTGATCATTCGAGCGACTAATGACATTGCTTCGTGGCTAGAGACGACTACTGATGATCTTGTGCATAGGTCGCTGACACAATTGACAAGGGACGATGATCTGCATCATCTGCATACATTGCAACAAGCCTTGACGCAAGATGCTGCGGACTTGTTGGGTGTACAACCCAAGATAGCGCAACAGCTCCATCCTCGGGCATTACAAGACGCATTGGCCGCTTACAACACAGTCGAGTTGACGGCTGCAGGGCCACGACCGTATCCAGTCCGACAGGCTGGTTTGACACTTCGGCAAGCAACGGGCGGACGACTTGCAACAACGCTATCGCTCTGTCTAGGGAACATGTCAGCGTCAACGTTCCCGTACCTAGTCGCTGTCTTTCGCAAAGAAGCCGGCTGGCTTGCCTCACAGCAGCAAGGCTTCTACTCACAATTATCGCCCTTCACAATGCCGAGTGGGCAGACTCGGTATAGTCATACGCATCCATACTTTCACCAACATCAGCAGATCCAGGCTCAAAAGCAGGCTTTTGTCAACACACAAGAAGTCAACACGGCGCAGGAGAGAAGAGAAGAGAAGAAGCCATTGTCGTTCCTGGATCCGGGCTTTGATTGGGCAGGCGCAACAGCTGCCGCTGCTGCCAGGAAGCCGGCTGAGTCACTGGAAAAGGATTCGACGAATGTGAGTGTAACGGAGACGAAGGACGGACATACAGAGGAGGGTCATGCTCGACAGAAGAGTCTGTCCCTGGCATCAGTCATGAATTGATTTATCGTTACCCTTGCTGTAGAAGAGGAAGAAAGATTTGTGCTCGCCAGAGCTGACCTAGCTTCCTTCAAAATCTGTATGCATTTCTATCTGCAAGACTACGCTTCGTGTATCAACCGTTGAAACCATCACTAAAGATGCGCACAAATGAAAGGCACTTCCACATCTTCCTCATTCTTGTCATCACAGCAAATCTCCAAGATGAAATTCTTTGCGTGACTCGGCACAGGCTTCTTGCTAACAAACTCAACGAGTTGATCGAGCGAGAGTGCATACCGCTCCGCTAATTTCTTCTGCGGGAAGAAGCTCGCGTATAGAAGCGATGTTCCACTCGATAGCATGGTGATATCAAGCCCATGTTGCTGGCTAAAGAGATCCAACAGTTGCTGCAATGTCATACTGGCTTGCACGTCAAACCTATCCCAAATCTTGTCAAATTCAACGCCATTGTAGTTGGACTTGGGGCTACTGACGGGTTCGCTGAAACCAAAGAAGGGTAGCGCCAGATTAATGAATCCATTCTTGTAGTCCTCCAGCTGTTGCTTGCCATCGATAATTTTGTAGAGCTCGAGACAGACGAATCCAGTGGTTGCTGCGGTGGTTGTTGCAATAGCAGGGATGATCTTGCCAGCGATGAACTTTGTCTTGTGGTTGTCTGCTGTCGCAATGCCATAATTCATGGCACGCAAGTTGGATGCCGCAGTGATGAAATCAATGTGATAGTTTGTATCATCATCCTTCTCGAATTCAACAGGCTGTAAGCGAAGTCCAGCCACAGAGGAAGGCGGTGGCAAGTCATTCGCCAGATTGGCAAGGACATCGGCATCCACCTCACCAGCTGCGTTTGGGTCAGGATCTGAATCATTCACTTGAATCGCCACACCATCGCGAGGTGAGAACTCGGGAACAATCAAGCCGTCCAGCACTTTCTTATACACTGCCATGTCGTTGGTGCCTTTGATGCCAAAGTTGAAGGCATGCAAGTTGGCTGCTGCAATGACATAGCCCATGTGCGTTGGCTCTGCAGCATCGAATGACAACGGTGTCGGTGCACGTTTCGGACCAGACCAGAAGGGTGTGCCAGTAGAGGTCAATGAATCCTTGGGGAAACGATACAGTAGTTGCTGAATGTTGTTGTTGTACGTCTTTTCAAACTCGAGACGCGCCCAAGCAATACATTCCTCAAAGGTGAGAGGTTTGGCGGACACAAGGTATGCCTTGATGGTCTCAAGAATTTGCTTTTGGTCGCCCGCCTGCTTCAACGTTGTCTCCAAAAAGTTGGGTTGTGAGAGGTACATGTTGACATTGTCCGCTGGCTCCTTGAAGTATGCCTCAAACTCACTGCGCGCCCAAGCAATGGTGTGTTCAATCTGGTTTGGGAAGTTCTTGATGGTGCACATGGGGAAAGACTTTTCTGGTGGATCTTGTGAGGAAGAGTAGGATTCCGTCAAGGCAGGGAAGACGACTTGTGTGTTTCCCTTGGTGCCCAGCGTGCCAGACTCGAGTAAGGACTTCTTGAAGAAGACGCAGCGACGATCGACATACGTGCGTGCATCGACATTGTCCAGCGCATTCGTGACAGAATCGAGACCATCAAAGAAGGCATCGCCAAAGACACCTTCAGTCTCTTGTCCAACACGCTCACGGTATGCAGTAATCTTGCCCTTCAAATCTGGATTCATCTCTGCCACTGCGGTAGCAGCACACTCAGACTTGAGCTTGCCCACGTCAGCGGGCCGGAAGAGGAATTGTCGGTTGAGATTGGACTTTTCAATTGTATCCATGTCAGTGACATGGATGATACCATTGGGTCCGCTACCAAGTCCCATCATGGCCCAATTCTTGAGCATCTCACATCCAATAGCACCTGAACCAACCAAGAACTCCTTGGTATTGGCAATCTTGTCATTGAACGTCTTGCCAAATACTGCAATTTGTCCATCATACCGACTGCCCAAGGGCGCACACTCTTGCTCCGTCAATACAACAGAAGTAGGAAGTGACTCGAGCGAGTCAAAGTACATGAACTGCATGATTGGGTGGAATTTGCCTGAAATGGCCTTGAGCACTTCTTGCGCAACAATACCACCATACACAGCGACCATAGGACTGACATCGCCTCGTGCCTGGTAAGAAAGCTCTTTGATCAGCTTCTCGTCCAATTCGGGTTTCTCTGAAGATGCAGCAGCGATACGTTGTGCGGCTTGCCAAACATCTGCTGCGTCGCTCTCGTTTCGTGGACGTGGCAAGAGACCATTGTGTTGTTCTGCAAATTCATGCAGCGCCTGAAAACCAACATGTAGCTGGGCGGGACGATCAAATTTGGCAAAGTCAGAGATGAGGTAGTCTGGCGCAGCGAGTTGTTCTCTGAGAGGTTTGAAGTCGACAATTTTCGGCATTTTGGCTTGCGTAAAGATTCCACCGCGAGTGTATTGACCCAAGCCAGAGACATCGCCGATGGAAAATGTGTATGGGCCCTTGACCTGGACCTTGCGAGGCTCCGTGCCGATATTGAGTCCCTCGACCTCTGTGAATGTCACATAGTCGTCATCTGCGAGTCCATGCCGCGTCTCATCGAGTGCAGTCACCAAGCCTTCCGCGTTGATATCTGCGACGATGCCAGAGACGGGCGCTTCGCCTGTTGGGTCGACAATAGAAAATTGCGGCCCGAAATCGCAAAAGACACTGCCAAAGAGTCCTCTGACGTCTGTTGAGATGAAGAAGATGCCATTCTTGTGGGTGAAGTCGTTGATTTCGACTTGCTTTGCAAGTGCTGTCTCTGTAAGGACTACCACTTGGAAGTGTGCGAGCTTGTCTGTCGTCAAGTCGCCATCGAGAACATTGATGGGAACGTATGAGTTGAGCTCGCTCAATCTAGGGCGTGTAACAGTCGCCCGTGGCTGTCCAACATCACCTTGCCGCAGAAAGAATTGTGTCGACAGATCCTCGATCTTGACAGGATTTGGGTCGTAAAGTGTGAGTGACTTGACACCTGCTAGCGCGACATTCTTTGCGATTTCTACACCAAGTCCCTTCATTCCAACAATCAGCACATTACTGTTTGCCATGCGCTTCATTGCTTCATGGCCGAGGACGTAGAGTTGGCGCGAGTAGAGTGATTCGTCAATGGCGCGCTCTTCACCTGCAAGCGCGTCCACCTGCATCTTTGTGGCGAGCGAGTCTGACATGATCCGTTTGCTGGCTGCTCAATGGACTCAGAGCTGATTGTTTCCTGCACTTATCGGAGTTTGAGCAGTAGAGCAGGACAGAGAGCAAGGTAGAAGAAGCTTAAGGAAGGGACGAATGGGTTTTGTGGTTGAAAATGACGGAAGCAGGCGACACGTGCAGCGACGACAGGACTCAGAGATTCACACAGAGAAGCATTCACTTCAATTTCACTCAGCATTGTGGTGTGTGTGGTACTGCAGCGACCCACAGACTAGAGAGACTGCTGAGAGATGGACAAGCAGCCAGAGAGCAGGCCAGGTATGGCCATAGGCAGCAACCCTGTCTCCTCCAACGGACAAGCAAGTCCAACGGAGAGCTCATCGGCTGCAGGCAAGCTTAAGCAACGAAAGACCATCGGGCGCACGGCAACAGGTGCAGGTGTGTCTATCCATTCGAAGAATACATAAGAGAACGTGCTGATTAGATAGTCTTTGAGGTGCCGACAACGCACGACATGGTCTCCACCATTCTGGATCCACGGCAGCCAAAGTCAGAGTGGGACCTCTTTATCGTTGGCACCATCTTGGCACACGTTGGACTGTACTTTCTGACCTCTGGATGGCTTCGAAAGGCATTGTTTCTTGCTCTATTCACGTTCTGGCGTCTGAGCTACAACCTGGGCATTGGCTTTGTTCTGCATCAGCAGTCCAATGTCAAGCAAAACGACATGGGCTGGCTTGTCAAAAAGGCACACGATATCGGTATCTTTGACGCATCCAAGAATCCAAAGCTCTATCGATTCGTGAGGCGACAGCTCATTGACAAGATGGGTCCTGATTTTGACTATGAGAAATCTCCCATCGAATACCAGACCTGGTTGCTGTTTCGTCGTGGTGTCGACTTGATTCTCATGCTTGACTTTTGCTCCTATGTCCTCATGGCTGTGAGCTGGTCTTATGTACCGAAATCTCACGGCATCGTCATGCACACGGCTCGTTGGACATTTGGCTGGATCCTCGTTCTCTTCAACTTGTGGGTCAAACTCGACGCCAATCGCGTCGTCAAAGATTTCGCCTGGTACTGGGGAGATTTCTTTTATCGCCTCTTGGACTCTGACCTCACTTTCGATGGAGTGTATGAGCTCTGCATGCATCCGATGTACTCGCTTGGCTATGCTGGCTACTATGGTATCTCTTTGCTCGCATGCAGCTATGCAGTCCTCTTCACCTCCATCATCGCGCACATCAGTCAATTCATCTTCCTCTACACAGTGGAGGAGCCCCACATCCGCAAGACGTACTCGCCCAAGAGCACCCTTAAGATCCAGTCCAAACACGAACTCAAGAAGGAGCTCATGTCAAATGAACGTGCCTTTGGCGAAGCTGACTCATCTCCGCGCGGTGAGGGATCCGTGGAGCGCATGTTCGACTTGTTCCGATCGACGGACGTCACGCAAGTCCTGATTGTCTTTATCGGTATCGTTTTTGCCGTGTTTACACCACAGCAGGGGCTCTATGCACGTTATGCGACGGCACAAGCCGTGATCTGGCGTTTCGTGCACACCTTTGGACTGTTCTGGTCTCTCAATGGACAAAGCGAGGCAAAGGTCTGGACACGTCACTTCGTCAAGTATGGCGAGTCGCCAAAACGCGCATGGCAAGAGTGGAAGAATATTTACCTGCTGAGTTTGACTGTCATGTATGTCACTTTCCTCTCTGCTGCATACAAGAGCTACTCCATTCCGGATAATTGGCAGTACAGTACCTGTCTTCTCCGTCACATTCTTGGTATCGCCCTGATTGCCATGCACATTTGGACGTCCATCTCTATTCACGAAGTGCTTGGCACATTTGGCTATTTCTTCGGTGACTTCTTTGTTGATTCAGCTCAGCCAAGATTGCAATATACAGGTGTCTACCGCTATCTCAACAATCCTGATCGTATTGTTTACAGCTTTTGGGGTTTCGCTCTTCTTGCCAATTCGACGAGCGTTATCCTATTGGCTGCACAAGCACAAATCATCAACATTTGCTTCATCACTTTTGTTGAGAAGCCACACATGGAGAAATTGTATGGCGGTCAACTTCGCAAAGAAGCAGGCTTCAAGCGATCACTCAAATCCATGCCAGTTGTGGATCACCCTCATGTCCGTCGCACAGTCGAGCAAGTCGAAGGCACGTTCGACCACTTGTTCGATCGTGCCGTACAGAGCATCCAGGACTTCTTCACACACACCAGACCTCAACTCGACAAAGCCATTCAAGAATCCAAAGTCCGCGTACACCGCTACTCAAATAGCATCACCATCACCAAAATCGCCGATAATTTGAATAACCTCGACCTATCGCAGTTCAAGCTCGAACTCGTCCCGAGTGCCGCTGCAGTTGCACATCCGGAAGCGTCATCCTTGACGAATGTCTATCAGCTCGGAGAACCCATTCGTGTGCGTTGGCAAGCACCACTCAACCATGCACGTCGTGACTGGATCGGTGTGTATCGCGTCACAGACAACTTGTCCAAAGACGTCACGCGCGTTGCTTCTCAAGGCCACTGGTCGGCTATCGAAAGCAAGAGCTTTGGTGATCACCAAGCTGATATCTTGGAAGAAGGGGATGAAGCTGGTATGGTTGAATTCAGGGCAGATACGGTACCTTGGACAGAGGGTACTTATGAGATTCGCTATCATCACGATGGTAAGCACAATGTTTTGGCTATCTCGCAACCTTTTGAGATTGCCGTTGATCCACTCATGCGCCTTGAAGAGACCACCAACCCGGCAAAAGACGAAGCATCAGCCGAAGAAGTCGCTGCTGTCATGCTCTCGCTCGTGCAAACCATTCTTCGCAGTGAAAAGGACCTGGACTTGCCCATCTCGCTGCATGCTGCGATTGTCTTTGGAGACGATGCTGAAAAATACGCCAAGAGAATCGCCTATGCTATAGACAAGCGCTTTGGCGTTGATCTTGCCTGGCAACTCGTTGCTACGGATGCATCTGTGGAGAATCTAGCAAAACGTGTCGTTGAGGCGAAACGGGTCTTGAGGCCATTTGTTCGGTATGATGCACGGACAGCTGGACAAGAAAGTGCTTTGCAGGCTTCAGATGCTCAAAAGGAGTCGCAATGGACTCTGTAAAACTCGATAGACTCTTTTTGAATTCAATACCTTTAGACTAGGCAATGATACGTCTTCCAGCAAAACTTTACGCATTATGGCACTGCCAAGGTCGGCTTGCTTGGTCGCTACCTGAAGCAATTCTTGCCCAAGCTTTGCACTGGCAAGTTGTCCTTCGATATGCACGATTGTCGTCTGTTGTCGAGAAGGCATCCGCCACCGCGAGACAAGCGAGAAACAGCAATGTGTAGATCGAGAGAGAGAGAGAGAGAGAGAGAGAGAGAGAGAGTGACTAGGCATTTCAGACTCTACCAGGAAGACTCCATCTGTAGTATAGACCAATGACAATCTAGCCGTCTGAACCTCCCCATGCTGATTGATGAGCCAAGGACATGTCTTCCTGCCGTGTTGCAATTGCCAGCCGCGTTGATCCCGTTCTTGCGCTTCAGATGGCGCACAGAGGCCATATATCTTGATGCACTCTGGCACTGCGTGCTGCGAACATGTCAGGACTTCCACAAAGTACAAATACACACAAAGGAAGATGAAGTACGGCAAATTGGCTGAACTCATTGAATGTCTCTAGATATGGAGCAATCGGTGTAGGGAAAAACAAAAAGAACTTGGCGACAAGGCTCCATTTGCAAAGGAGGTCTGGCTCAAGCTCAAAGAAAAGCTTGAAACTGATGTTTGCCTTTACCAACGGTAGGTGGTGCAGGTGCCGAGCAGGTCCCAGGGCGCGAACCTACAGTAAGTATCCTCAAATCCAACAAAGCCACGGATGCGAGGAGGGGCATCATAGAATGATTCTTCCTTGTCAATGCCTGTCTCATCAATTGCAAGGTCATCGCAGAAGATGCCCACATCGTATTGCATCTGTAGACACATGGTCGCGTTGCAGCGATCATAATACAGCGTGCCTTTAAACCATGGGTCCCAATCTGGGCCATTACATTTGTCCTTCTTGTGCTGGATCGGATAACATGCAGTGGAATTAGGGAACGTTGTCTGTTCAGTCTGTTAGATATAAAATGAGCTTCGAGATTCTGCGGGATTCGAAGTTGGGTCCAGGAGGTGTCTCCTGATGAGCACTGACTCCTGGATGAGGCCTTGGATTCGGGGTTCAAAGAGCTGCAGCGGTGTCCTCTAGGGACTAGTCACTTTTGGCTCAACGGGAATGCGATGCGAACCCCGAATAGGTCTGACAGATTATGAGCCTTGCGCTGGCGTTGCGTAGTGATGGCAGAACACGAACTTATGGGAAAGGCTTCGAAGCACAGTATCACCGCACAAGGAGGTTGCAGGATAGCTGTTGCGGGAATTCGAAGCTGGGTGAAGTGTTAGATATAAAATGAGCTTCGAGATTCTGCGGGATTCGAAGTTGGGTCCAGGGGGTGTCTCCTGATGAGCACTGACTCCTGGATGAGGCCTTGGATTCGGGGTTCAAAGAGCTGCAGCGGTGTCCGCTAGGGACTAGTCACTTTTGGCTCAACGGGAATGCGATGCGAACCCCGAATAGGTCTGACACAGTCGCCTCTTTACAATGCTTTGACAACGGACAATCGTTTTGATTGTTATAGTTACTAATTCGTCCTTTTTGCAGCCAACAGAACTGTTCTGCCTCTGCAAGGGTCATAACCAACATAGCCACAGCAAAATCCTGCTGCTTGAAGCGCATTCTAATTGTGTTTGAACCTGTAGATCAGTAATGATGCTAGTACAGTCCAAAACAAACCAACAAAGGCGAAATACTAGGCTGTTGTGAAGTCTTGTCGCCTTGGATGCAGAAGGCTTCGTAAGGGGTGGAGGTCTTTATAGGAAAATCTTGAGCTTAGCCTGCTCGCAGACTCGCAGCCTCCGAGCCTCGCAAGTGGTCTGTCAGGGGTGTAAAACGTGCTCATTTTGGATGATTTGATTTCCGAACATTCAGGGGTAACAAGTTTCATCACAAGAGCCGCGAGAGAAGGAACAGCGGACTTGCTAGTACAGTACAATCAATAGCAAACCAAAGAAGACTAGCCGCCGTGCTGTTGTAGACTATCGTTGTCTTGGAAACAGAATGCTTCGCAGGAGGCACCCGTCTTGATAAGATATTCATGGCCTAGGCCAAGTCTCAGGTGGTTTGTTACAACTTGTCAGGGGTATGCTGACATGGCATCGGGCGTATTTCGGATGAGCCTCTTTTCGGAAATTCAGGGGTGACAACTCACGGCTCATAACAGCTGCGCCGCCGCGGAGGACGGGCATCAGACTTGCGAGGGGTTTGAAATCAAGGTACGGACGTGATCAGAGACATGACTAAGAAGTCAGTTGGCGTTGCTTGGTCCTGGTCCGGCCTCGCAAACATCTCCGACGATCTTGACAGCACGCGGATCAAGCTCCTGCAGCCTTTCAGCCGGCAAATGCACCCGGGCTTTGCACCCAAATGTCTTCAGATGAGTACAATTCGGCTTCCTGTTGTGCCACATGTCATACAGCGTCTTGCCCTGTAAATTGCGCCTGCCAAGCCTGTTGCCCGCGTATGCGGCGGTGCCTACTGCTTGCGGCCAGAACTTCGCAGCCACAGTGTTGCGAAACATCATTGTGCGCCCTCAATTAAGCAAGCTGCCATTGAGCCGTTGAGCCACTACATTCTGCTGCTGAAAGATACGCCAAAGGAATCGCCTATGCTATAGACAAGCGCTTTGGCGTTGATCTTGCTTGACAACTCGTTGCTTGCAACGGATGCATCTGTGAAGAATCTAGCAAAACGTGTCGTTGAGGCGAAACGGGTCTTGAGGCCATTTGTTCGGTATGATGCATGGACAGCTGGACAAGAAAGTGCTTTACAGGCTTCAGATGCTCAAAAGGAGTCGCAATGGACTCAGTAAAATCGATAGACTCTCTTTGACTTAGATACCTTTAGACTTAGGCAATTGCATTTATACGTCTTCCAGCAAAACTTTACGCATTATGGCAATGCCAAGGCCAGCTTGCTTCGGCGTCACCTGGTGCAGTTCTCGCGCAAGCTTTGCACTGGCAAGTTGTCCTTCGATAGGCACGAGTGTCGTCTGTTATCGAGAAAGCATCCGCCACCGCGAGACAAGCGAGAAACAGCAATGTACAAATCGAGAGAGAGAGAGAGAGAGAGTGACAAAGCATTTCAGGAAGAGTCCTTCTGTAGCATAGGCAGACAATAACCTGGCCGTCTGAACCTCCCTTCGCTGACTGATGAGCCAAGGACATGCCTTCCTGCCATGTTGCAATTGCCAGCCGCATAAATCCCGTTCTTGCGCTTCAGATGGCGCACGGAGGTCATAGATCGTGATGCACTCTGGCACTGCGTACAATTCTACGCTGCGAACATGTCAGGACTTCCACAAAGTACAAATACACACAGAGGAAGATGAAGTCAGGCAAATAATCTGAACTCATTGAAAGTCTCAAGATATGGAGCAATGGTGTAGGGAAAAGAAGAAGAGCTTGGCGACAAGGCTCCATTTGCAAAGGAGGTCTCTGACGAAGGGCGAACAGGTCTGGCTCAAGCTCAAAGAAAAGCCTGGAATTAAGGATTGCCTTTCTTCTTGCTGATGCAGCTGCCGAGCAGGTTAAAAAGCGAGAATTGGCAAGAAGCATCCTCAGCTCCAGTGATGCGAGGAGGGGGATTATAGAAGCGTTTCCCCTTGTAAGTGGCTCTCTTATCAAGTTGATCGCAGAAGATGCCCACTAGTTCTGTATCAGCCGACGCTCGGCATTTGCGACCCTTGCAGACAGCGTGATACAGCGTACTCGTAAACCACGGGTCCCAATCTGGACCAGAGCATTTGTCCGTTTCTTGCTTGATCGGATAACATGCAGTGGGTGCAGGGAACGTTGTCTTGTCAGTCGCCTCTTGACAATGCTTTGACAACGGACAATCGTTTTGATTGTTAAAGTTACTAATTCGTCCTTTTTGCAGCCAACAGAACTGTTCGGCCTCTGCAAGGGTCATAACCAACATAGCCACAGCAAAATCCTGCTGCTTGAAGCGCATTCTAATTGTGTTTGAACCTGTAGATCAGTAATGATGCTAGTACAGTCCAAAACAAACCAACAAAGGCGAAATACTAGGCTGTTGTGAAGTCTTGTCGCCTTGGATGCAGAAAGCTTCGCAAGGGGTGGTGGTCCTTTATAAGACATTCACGGGCTAGGCCTACTCGCAGACTCGCAGCCTCACAGGTGGTCTGTCAGGGGTCTGAAAATGTGCTCATTTCGGATAATCTGTTTTCCGAAGCTTCAGGGGTAACAACTCTCAACACGAGAGTGGCGAGAGATGGAAGGGCGGACTTGCTAGTACAGTACAATCAATACCAAATAGCAAATCAAGGAAGACTAGACACCGTGCTTTTGTAGACTGTCGTTGTCCTAAATACAGAATGCTTCGCAGGAGACATCCGTCTTAATAAGATATCCAGGGCCCAGGTGAAGTAATCGAGATTGGCGGATATGCGAGGCTGTAGTCGTAGGTGATAGACACAGGCACGCAGGGCAGCTGCAGATAAGACTTGATTCGAATAGGGGACAAGAGTATAGCACTCTTGCCAGCTAAGACTAAACTAAAGGTCACGTGCATGAGCGCTGACGTGGCAGAGAGATAACAGCGGAAGCAAGTGATCAGGGGATGCACTTGAATTCCTAACACTCCCTCTATCTCGATAAAGCGAAGTGCTTAGACGAGGCCGAGAAGCAGTCGTTGCGTCTCCAATGCAGGACGTGGAAGGAGCTTGGTAAGGAGATCGGCTTTTTGCAGTTTTGTGCCGACGTAGTGTAGCTTGATCTTGCCTTGCTCAATCAGGGATCGAGTGTGATGGTACTTCACTTCGATGTGCTTACTCTTGGCGTGAAACACAGGATTGTGTGCCAACTTCAGCGCAGCCTGATTGTCCCCAAATAAATTGATGGAACCGTCGGAGTTGAGCACATTGCTGATCTTGATGCCGAGCATGAGCTCGCGCAGCCAGAGAGCCTCTTTTGACGCGTTGGAGAGGCCAATATATTCGGCTTCCATGGTCGATGTGGCAACAATGTTTTGGCGCTTTGACTGCCAGGTGATTGCAGCTCCCCCAAGCATGAACACATAGCCAGATGTGCTCTTCCTTGTATCCAGGCACCCTGAGTAGTCAGAGTCAGAGTACCCAGCAAACTCGTCGTTTCCGTCGTATCGCAGTCGCAAATTGCGAGTCGTGAACAGGTACGCGAGGACGCCACGAGCCAACTTCATGTGAGAAGTAGTCGGCTTGGCAGAGAAACGACCTAGAATTCCGACAATATAGGCAACATCGGGTCTGGTCGAGATGGCTATCCACTGAAGCTCCCCAACAATGGATTGGTAAGCAGTTTTGTTGGCCGGCTGGTCGTCAGTCGGCTGGTGGGTAGTGCCGTCAGTGGTGAGAATGGTGCCGACACTGGCTGGCAGGTGCCTTGGATGGCAGTTGGCTAAGCCGTGGTCGGTGGCGATCGATTCAATATAGGTGGATTGATCGAGAGTGTATACGCCCTACGGAAAATTTACCGGAGTGTACCAGAGCCAACCGGCGGATTACCGTGAGAAACTTTTCAAGCACAGCGGATTACCGGAGCCAACCGACTTCCAAACTTGCACACCGGAGGAAAACCAGCGGATATGGAGAGGCGGATCACTGAGCCACGCCAAAAGGCAGACAACACACAAGTCAATCACTGTTATCAAGTGATCAGAGGCCAACATCCGCTCATAATCAAATCTAGAAGCTATTTATACTGGATTCGATAGCCCTCAGCTACCCATAAAGAATGCTTCTGCTCTCGTAAGCGCCGTTCTCGCTTAAGCAGCTTGCCTGCTGCTCTTTTCTTGTCGAGCCCTGTTCTCTCAAATTGGCCAGTTCATTCAAGAAGACGGCAAACTGGCACAATGACCTGCAATATGTGTCCTTGCTTGTTGAGAGACTTTGCGCCGCATGACGATATGGTCTTCAAGACCTTGATAAGACCTTGATGATCGCAAAATGCCTGCCGTCATGTTCAAAGAGACAGAGCAATTCTCTATAGCTCAATATTGCATTGTCGTGAACCTCAGACGCTTCATACGTCTGCCCACTGAATGCGGCCTTCGTTCGTGAACGGAGGCCACTCGCAGCACACTTCACAACGAAGATCTTTGTGGTGCCTTGACGACTAGCCACTTCGCATCTTAGCCACGATCACAAATTGGCGTTTGTAGGCTCAAAATTGGAAGAGTGTAGCGCTAGCGAATCTTGAGAATCGTCGACTTTGGCGTTTTGCTTCATTCTTGTCTTATCACTTCAGGACGAGATGGGATGACCAGCACACGCATCTGCCCTGCACCGTCTTGCTGCTTGTAGACAACACCTCACTGTCCTTGAGCTTACACATCCGAGCCTGTGGCATCTGAAGGTGCTCGATCACTTTTTTGAGTCTTCTCAAGACAGGTTATTCACTACTAGCGTGAGCAGCGCACGCTGCAAGCTCAATACCTCTGACTGACCTAGATAGGAAGAGGAGTTTTTCACAGACAGTCTGGACGACTACAACAGGCTCGCAGGATCTCTTGCGCGTATCGATATACCATCAAGATCCAAGCGCACGTCGCATGGCGTCTCTAGAACCGATAGTCCCTCTACAAAGACACTACGACTCGCAATGGGACTCTGGCCACGAACGCCATTGCGCGACGCTACCTGGAACAACATCACGGCACATGCACGGTACCTGATAGACACTCACCAGATTGTGGTCGATGCGCAAGGCAAGACGGTCACATGGCGTCACCGCAACGTTGGGAAGCTCCAGACGGTCATTCACAAGTTGGAAAAGGCTTTCCCTGTGCTGGGACGAGCTCATGGACATTGGATTGCCTTGACCATCTACCAGCACCACGCGAAGGTGGTGAATGAAGCGGTGAGAGTGTCTTTGTACCTTGCAAGCTCTTGACTGACGCGCCCACAGAAGCGCAAAGCGAAAGTCTACAGAGAGACTACTACTGCTGCTTCTTCCCAAGACGACGATAACAGCCACGAGCACGACGTTGCCCATGGAGTGTCATCTGCTCGCGTCGATAACGAGAATACCCGCTGCGAGACACCCGCTTCCATCTTCTCTGAAGACAATAGTATTGACTAGGCTGCATCGAGAGTTGTGGGTTCCTCCTTCTGCCTGATGTGCCTCACTAACATATTCAGTTGCAGCTAACTTCGTCTCAGCACAATGTGAGCCAATTATGCGGAGGAAACATTGGCTAACAAGATGTAGCGTCAAGCAAACAAGATTGCGCATGTTTCCAAGGCAAGTCCGTCCCATCTTTGATGTTATAAGACTGACCAGTGGCCAGAAGTCAAGCAAAGATCGATCCACCTCCTCGTCTCGCAAGGTATACACTTCTGCCATTCCTACCATGACATACTAACGATGCATTTCTAGTCTGGAAGAACATCAAAGCTATCACGCAGAGCACAGGACGCTGAGCAAGGCAGCGCTATTATGACCAAGGCCAAGACTGCAGCATCACAAGCAAAAACGGCGCACAAGTCTGCCAAGAAGGCCAAGAAAGCGGCAGCACGTCTGTAGTGTGTCGTAGATGGTCTAGTTGCTACACCTACTGTCGCTACAGCATCTATTGAGCTCCCCGTTGGCAGGTGGTATCCTCTGGTAATCCTCCGGTTGGCTCTGGTAAAGGCGTGCTTATTTCCGCCGGTAGTCTGCCGGTAGTCTGCCGGTATTACTGCGCCTGCGAAGTTAGGGATTTTCCGCCGGTATTCCGCCGGTATTCATCTGGTAATTTCCGCCGGTAATCTGCCGGTCCAAATTTTCCGTAGGGACGCCGTTGTTGTGTGAGACGCGCATGCCGAGAATGGAATTGGCAGGGCCGAGATCGGACAGCTCGTAGCGTTTGGTAAGAGCCTTGAGAAGATGCTCTTTGTGCGCGATGTCCGAGAAAGCCATCAGAATGTCGTCGACGTAGACGCAGAGCAAGGACGCGTTTGTCTGATGCTGATAGATGCCAAAGTCGTGCATCGAGCGTTCATAGCCAGCAGCCCTACGGGAAAATCGCTGGTGAAGACGGGTGCACACTGGTGACTCGCGGATGACTCGCGGGCGATAAACCGGTAACGCTGGTGTAATACTGGAGCAAACCGGAACACCACTTCCAGACGCTGGTGAAAAACCGGCGATCGACGGAAGACAAACAGCAGACGCTGGTGACTTCTGTTGCCTGCACTATAGCTACGCCCGTAGATAGCACGTCCGAGTAGACATATACGCTGGTCTTCGTCCAGCTCATGCGCAACTTTTGAGATGGAAGCAATTCTATCTACGACGTGTCCAGACCACATGATTCCTCGATCTGCATGACTTCCTGCAAATGGAACCATCGCTCGATGCAGAACGTAGAGTCATGTGGTTTGCTAGACGCTAGCTATCCTACAAGAGCGGCTTTGTTCCCAAGGCTTCATTCAAGAATCAAGATACTCGAGTCGTCGGTGTGATGTGCTCGTTGTGAGGTTGGACTTTGTTGATTTCGATCTTTGGCCACTCTGCGCATCTGAAGCTCGCGCTACTCGCGATCGCTACAAACCACAGTACGCAAGCGCTCCACTCTAGATGCGCATCTCTACAGTCTCTCTTCCTTCGCTTCTGTCTCTCAAGGCTGTCTGACTAGCAAAGCCAGATCATTGCTGTCCTGCGTGGCGCGGTAGAGTCCAACCTGCCAAGCAAATGAGCAGCCGACATCCTCAATCTTGACTCTGCAAGAGCGAAGCAAGCAGCGCGTCTACTAACTCCTGCAACAGATGACCAGCATGCTAGAGTCTTGCTCAACGCCCCTGATCCAAGCGTCTTCCCCGCGTCGTTCACGGAACCAGCTCATCAGCCTCGAGCTGGCATCGCAGCAGATACAGCCAACAACGAATCCATGGCTTGATCAGACATCGTCTCTTTCTCTTCTGATACACCGCGCTGAGTCTAACGCATTCAGAAGGACGATCTAGACCGATTTGAACGCCTTGTACACGATACACGCATGACAAAGGAACCAGCAGGACTACGACGCGTGTCAAGGGAGGTTCCAAGCGTATTGAATGCCGGCCGTCGAATCCATTCGCAAAGCGTTGCAGAGCTAGGGAAGGCAATCCGTCATTTTGAACGCGACTTCACGTCGCTTGCCAGAACGGAAGCGAACCGTATTTCCATGGCCATCTCTCAGCATGGTCCCAAGAATCTGCAAGTCGCCGTACGTGATGACGCCCAACAATCTGCGCAACGGTTCCCTACTGACAACAGCAATCGAGGCACAACAAGCGCCTGGCAGAGGCAGAGGCCGGGCAGCAGGGGTCCGACGACGAGAATGACATGCAGACACGACACGCACGACGGAACGCCCGAAACATCGCGCCACGCCATGAGCAAGACGACGACTCGCAGGCACGGCAAGCACGACGCCCACACGAAACACCGCTCCACACCATGAGCAAGACGACGACAGCAATACGGAAACCGCACAACCACGTCGTACGGTACACTCATTCTTTCGCTGGTCTCGATTCATACTGACTACTACAGGGCAAACGCAACGGGCCAATGAAGGCGAAAGCCCAGCTGCTTCAGGGTGCAGCGCATGACAGGAACACCGCGCCGCCACTGCCGGCGAGGCGGAACAAGCACGGAAGCGTAGCAAGCGCGCAAATCACCTTGCACAACAGTTGTAGGGAGTACATAGTAAGCCTTCCTTGCTCTAGAGCTATTCCTGATCCATGCAAAGCCCTGGCTCGCCACCTGCAGCTCGCTGCGTACTAGTCACCAGCGATCGCCGGTTCTCACCCGTAAATCACCGGTTTACTACGCGTCAATCATCGCCTGTTTGTCACCAGCGCCATATTCTACCGTTTGTCACCCGTTTATCGTACGGCATCAGTCTTCCGTTTATCACCGGTTTACCCTCCGTGGAAATTTCCCGTAGGGCAGCAGTGAGGGTGACGTGCAAATCATCGTTCCAGGCTTTGCCAGCTTGTTTTAGACCGTAGAGAGCCTTCTTGAGCCTAACGAACGGGAAGTTCTCGTTGGAGAAACCTGGAGGAGCGATCATGAAAATCTCCTCAAACAGGTTTGCATTGAGGTAAGCGGTGGCAATGTCCATCTGGTGAAGATGAAGCTTGTAAATTGAAGCGAGTGCGATAAGCATGCGCACAGACTCCAGTCGAGTGACTGGAGCATACGTCTCGTTGTAGTCTACGCCAGCTTTCTGAGAGTAGCCCTTAGCGACAAGACGCGACTTGCGCTTGTCGAAAGTGCCATCAGCGAGGATCTTGTTCTTGAAGATCCAGCGTGCCCCAATGGCCTTTCGGCCTGGAGGTAGCTTAGCGACGTACTCAAAAACTCCTTTGCCTTCAAGAGAGGCGAGCTCGCGTTCCATAGAGGCACGCCATTCAGGTGCGTCAGAGCGGGATAAAGCTTGTTTGACAGTTACAGGAGCTGGGAGAACATCTTGAGCAGTAAGCATAAAAGCATATTCATCAAGCTTGTCATCATTAGTAGTAACGTCAAGACCGCTAGTAGCGATAGCTTCGAGCTGCTCGTCAGTAAATTCGACACTTGCAGCATTGCCGCTAGCTATAGCTTCGAGCTGAGCGTCTGTGAGCTGACGAGGATCGACATCCTTGTTGACAGACAGTTCTTTTGCCACAGCATGATCAAAAATGACCGAGTGGTTGAGAACAACTTTCCCAGTGGCAAGATCTAAGACTCGCCAAGCTTTGGAAGTATCACTGTAGCCCAAAAACATAGCTTTGTTGGCGCGCGCATCCCACTTGTCCTTGATTCGCGGGTTGTGTGACCAGCAAATGGTACCAGGAGTCCTCATATGCGAGCAATCTGGTCGTTTGCCATACCACAGTTCGTATGGCGTCTTGTCGAGACCAGTATGAGGCGAACGATTGATGGCGTAGACGGCTGTGGAGGTCAACTCAGCCCATAAATTGCGCGGGAGAGGACCAACCGTCTCATCAAGAAGCGATGAGCGAGCCTTTTCGACAACAGTGCGAATGTGGCGCTCTGCAACACCATTCTGCTCAGGCGTATGCGGAACAGTTGTTTGGTGAGTGGTGCCTTGCGTAATGAGGTGCTGGCGAAAGCTCCCCTTGAACTCGTTACCTCCATCAGAGCGAACAATTTTGACTTTGTCGCCAACGTGATTGGTGGCAACAGTTTCCCAAGCTTTGTAGATGTTACAGACGGTGTCTGCAGTGACATCTTTCAGCATGTACGCCCAAACGTACTTGGAAAACCCGTCAACAATGATGAGAAAATATCGTGCATCATTGATAGAATTGGTGCGCATTGGTCCAGCAACATCAATGTGGACTATGTCAAGCCGCTGAGTGGCAGAATTTGCCACAGAGGGAAAGCTCGAGCGCTTGCTCTTTCCAGCTGCACAGCCAGAGCATTCGAAGTATTCCGGGTAGACCAGATCGTCGGGAAATCCGTCGACAAACTTCGAAAGTCGTTTCATGTCCTTGATGGACATATGGCAAAGTCGTCGGTGCCACTCAAGGGCATCCGTCGGTGCCTTTTCCTTTGTGAAAAGGGCAAACTCACTTGCCTGAGGCTGGACTTTAGCAATTGTGCCGTCTAGGACAAAGCCTTTACCGACACGCCTACCAGCAGCGACGACAACACTGTCTTTGAGGAGGGCTGGTCCATGTTTGGCCGAGAACAGTACGTCAAAACCGTCCTCATTGAGTGCGCTCACTGATAAAAGATGTTCAGTGAGATTTGGCACATGCCAAACTTTGGACAAGGGCACCAAGCTGGTTTGATCTGGCACGGCAAATGCAGCATGCCCAAAACCAGCGGAGATCATCTCTTCGCCATTGGCGGACGTGATGCTAATGGAAGCATCATGAGAGAGATCAGAGATCAACTCTTGCGACGGTGTCATATGCGACGTGGCACCGGAGTCGATCACCCAGCTACGTTCAGCTAGGGTTGTTTCGCGAGCAAAGTATGCCGTGTTGGGATTTGGCTTGCCCTCAGACTGTGATTTTGATTCAGTTGGAGGGCTACTTTGCTTCGTCTCAGATGAAGGCTTGTGAAGAGAATGCCTTTTCCTCGGCTTCTTTGAAGACTTCTGCTTCAATTGAGACTTATGCTCTTGAGCGAGCATCCCTTTTTCCGTTGATGATTGGTAAAGGGTTTGGGAAGCGTCAGCGGCTGAGTCTGCCAGAGACTTGTGCTTGCCGTGCGTCTTGAGATAGTCATCCGACTGTATCTTGAAGCGCACTTGCTGCACAAAACTGCGGATAGAGTGTGGTCCATCCGAGGAGAGTGTGTGCAGCGTGAGGTCCTGCAAATTGCCTGGGAGTTTGGCGTAGATCATGGCAATTTCCATGTCTTCGTCAAACGTCTTGCCGGTGGGATCAAGGCTGCGCAACTGGGCAATGGTGGCTTGAACGTCCACCATCAGGGTCTCAATAGCTGAAGATGTGGTATTGCCAGGAGGCAAAGAGAGCTTATTGAGCTTCGTGACCAATTGCAACTTTCGCAAAGTGTCAGGCTGCTTGTGTCGAGACAAGACAGTCTTGAAAGCAACGCAGGCGACTGCGATGTCTTTGATTGCTTCCAGGTCAGACCTGTCGAGACCTCCTTTCAGCAAGAAAAGCGCCTTGCTGTTCTTGTCCCAAGTTGGTTCAAGATGCGACCATTCTTCAAAGGTCGCAGGTGCAAGATACCCCTCAGAGTTGATGTAGCACGGACCAGTGTAAGGCTTTGTGCTTTCATCCTCGCTTGATTCCTCCTCCATCGATTTGGACTTGGAGCGAGTCGAGGGGGCGCTATAGGCTTTTGGGGCCTTAAGCTTGTCATCTTTCATGAGGGCTTCGAGAGCGGCGATACGGGCCTCAGCGTCTTCGTCGGCCTCCTGCATGGCGTCTGCGCAGCGTATTGCTGCTTTGACGCGGCGTGCGTGTATCTCCTGAAAGATGTAAGTCTCAACGCCAGCCTGCTGAGCGACAAGCAGCAGCTCATCCTTCCAAGCACTTAGGCCATTGCTGATCCTCTTGGTGTTCCTTAACACCGCGTTGCTAGACGGGCCGGAACGTTGACCCGAAGCAGTAGCGTCTTGCTGCATAGCAACAAGGCTCATAACCTAATCGAGATTGGCGGATATGCGAGGCTGTAGTCGTAGGTGATAGACACAGGCACGCAGGGCAGCTGCAGATAAGACTTGATTCGAATAGGGGACAAGAGTATAGCACTCTTGCCAGCTAAGACTAAACTAAAGGTCACGTGCATGAGCGCTGACGTGGCAGAGAGATAACAGCGGAAGCAAGTGATCAGGGGATGCACTTGAATTCCTAACATGAAGCCTCAGGGCTTGCTGACATGGCATCGTACGTATTTCGGATGAGCCTCTTTACGGAAATTCAGAGGTGACAATTCACGGCTCACAACAGCTGCGCCGCCGCGGGAGACGGAAATGCAAACTTGCGAGGAATTTGAAGGCAAGTAACGGACATGATCAGAGACATGACTGAGAAGTCAGTTGACGTTGCTTGATCCTGGCTTGCAAACATCTCCGACGTACTTCGATGTTTCTCTCGTAGCATCGTGGCATGACAACTTTAGGATGAAAACAAGATGCAGAGCTTGCCCAAATAGCTAATTCAAAAACGACCCTCAGCAAACATTTCAAGAGCTGCTATTGTGCCTGCACCTGGCGGACTTTGATGCATGGTCGACTGAAGATACCCTGTCAGCAAGATCAACACCGAGCGTTTGTCGATCCGTCAACAACTAAACCGATATTCTTTCCCAAGCACTTATCTGAGAACAGATAAAGCAGTCAAGCAGGTGCTGTTTCAAATCTCTGCTGTTTTGATAACGGCTCGTACAAGCGATGTGTCCCAGTTTTACAGTCATCCCAAATTGGGCCAACAGCTTACGCAGAGCTCGATCGCTCACTCTAAGCCGTTCTGGTTCTGCATCGCATTAGTAGCGGCAGAAAGATGACCGAAGAAAGATGTTTGTGATGACGCCGTTGTGTATCAAAGGTCTTTCAATTGCAGTGGCGAAGCGTTTTCACTGCAATGCAACTGCTTCTAAGACGTACTTCCGCTAATGTGCATTGTATCGGCGGTATGCTCACTTGCATGCTTGAGAAAAGGCAACACCACTCAGTGCCTGCTTCCCAGGTTATAGCTGTTGAACAGCTGGGTAGCCACCGGCTGCAGTGCTCAGCGCCGTTCAGCTTCGGCCACAGCCGCTATCCCCTGTCCTTTGAACTTGTAGAGGCTGATCCATCGAAGAATCCACAGAATACGAGTTTTCCTAGCTAGCGCAGCACCGGCAGTGCATCGACACGGCATAAACCAGGTCAAGTCGTGTTCCTTTCATCAAATACATGACGTTTCCAAGTGCAGACTGGTAGGGCAGCTCGCCCTACTCGTCAGCCTCGCTGCTGTGCTTCTAGGGCAACTCAAGCATAAGTCCCATTACCATCGGGCTCTGCACCGGCTTGCAGTCTGCCGTGCAAAAATGATCTAACATCTTTTGGCAGTAACGTGATTGCGACAAGGATATGCTCCCATCTACATTGTAGCGAAGCTCGAGTCCAAGGTTCTTTGTAGCGAAATCATGGTCTGTTGTGTTGCAATTCTTCAACAAAGCTACTTTGATGCATCGAGTGCGGCCTCCTCCTCGGCCACCATGAGCATGTCAACAACACACCAACTTTGTTGACAAGAAGATTCTGCTCGCTCCCGCTCCTCCCATAGTCGTACTTCAGCAGAAACTTGGTCAGCACAAAATACCACTCTCGACCAGATTGACGGAGCCCATCAAGCGACTTGCGTAGCTTGCAGACCACCTTGATGCCAGTTTAAATCCCGTTCGGCTTGTGCATGCAAACAGCCTCTCCTACTTCACCATTCACCATCGAAGAATGCGGCGAGAGCGTCCATGTGCTATGTCTTCAGGTTCTTCTCAACAACAATGGCAATGAGGATCCCACAGTCGTGAACTTTGCTGTTGGAGCGAATACCTCCTCTAAATCGAGACCCACAATTTGTTGATGGCCGCGCGAAGTCAAGCGCGCTTTGAATCGCTGGAATGATCCGTCCAAGCCTAGCTTGAGGTCGAAAACCCACGTGCAATCGATCAAGTTTAAGTCCTGTGGCCATTTCACAAACTACCAGGTGCTTCGCTTTGACAAGCCGTCCATCTCCTTTGCGACTGTTTCCAACCAGAGGTCAACCTCGTCAGACCTCAAAGTCTGCTTCCACGTCTTGAGGATCTTAATGAGCCTAGGGTCCTTTATACACTGCTTAGACACCGGGTCAACCAGTCATGTCCCAGGTGGCGGCACTGGTCGATACTGGAGCTCCACTTGCTGCTGGGGTTGCCGACCATAAAACGACGCCTGCGGATACCTGAAATCACATGCATGCAATGTCGTAGACAATTCCTGTTGACCATACGAGTACGGTTAAGACACTTGCTGTTTGGGGGCACTGGCATGCTTGTCTCAATCAGCATTGGTGCCCATGATGGCCGTTGCTGCTGCTCGACGCCCGACTCCCTGAATTGTGTATCTCGCGATAGCACCAATGCTTGTCGCATAGGGTCCCAAAAACAATCCTGTTTGCTGTGTAGATTTTGACCCACGAAGAGCACCTTGACAGCACACGGGTCAAGCTCCTGCAGCCTTTCAGCCGGCAAATGCACCCAGGCTTTGCATCCAAATGTCTTCAGATGAGCGCACTCCGGCTTCCTGTTGTGCCACATGTCATACAGCGTCTTGCCCTGTAAATTGTGCCTGCCAAGCCTGTTGCCCGCGTATGCGGCGGTGCCTACTGCTTGCGGCCAGAACTTCGCAGCCCCAGTGTTGCAGACCATCATTGTGCGCCCTCAATTGAGCAAGCTGCCATTGAGCCGTTGAGCCACTACATTCTGCTGCTGAAAGATACGCCAAAAGAATCGCTTATGCTATAGACAAGCGCTTTGGCGTTGATCTTGCTTGGCAACTCGTTGCAACGGATGCATCTGTGGAAGATATAGCAAAACGTGTCGTTGAGGCGAAACGGGTCATGAGGCCATTTGTTCGGTATGATGCACGGACAGCTGGACAAGAAGGTGCTTTGCAGGCTTCGGATGCTCAGTAGGAGTCGTAGTGGACCCAATGGAATCAATAGACCATCTTTGAATTGATTACCTAGATTTGAAAGGCAATTATACGTCTTCCAGCAAAGCTTTACGCATGATGGCACTGCCAAGGTCGGCTTGCTTTGTTGCCACCTGGAGCAATTCTTGCGCAAGCTTCGTACTAGCAAATTGTCCTTCGATATGCACGAGTGTGGTCTGTTGACGAGAAGGCATCCATGCCACTACCAAGCCGACTTGTTCACCGACCGCTGCTTCTTCATCTGAGGCAGATGGATCGATACATATCTGTGATGCGGTGGGTGCATTTGGCAAGTAAATCAGACAAGCCGCAGACACGAGGTCAAAGCAGGGAATACCAGCATCACCCAGAGCACTACTCGCACACAACATGGCAGCTGCCAAGGTCGCCAACTCACCATCTTCCTCCAGAATTGTCAAAAACAAGCTAATCTCAGCTTTTGGGTAGAGTGCCGTTTGGATGGCAGGCCGGAGTGCATCAGCAACAAGAGTGCCTAGATGTCGTTCATTGTTGTCTCGTACATAACCCTGTCGCCTATTCCGTGCGAAGGGTGCGTACTTGAACTCACATGTCACTGTAGCGACGGGTGCATAAGTCGTACTGCCACCACCTGTTGCAGACGCGGCTGCTGAAGCGCCTGATGCGGCTGTTCGTTGTCTTGGGCCATGCACGGCGCAGATGATCTTGATTTTGTCGCGCTCAAGATATGCAGAGCCATTGGCTTTCGCAATCATGCCCGCTCGAAGGACTAGAAAGGGTAAGAAGAGGCAATCAAGAGGGAGGTGTCCGTACAGGTCTTTCGTGGCTCGTGTAATTGCCGTGATCGATGATCTTTCATATCGACATCGTCTGACGCGTAGAATATCGGCTGACTGGTGGATGCCGGTGCATTGTTGCGTCTTCTATCGTACGCTGCCGCCATATATACGCCTTTGTCTATGGAGTATGAGTAGACGCTGAATTGTCGCTGCATTCTTTGGGCGAAATCTCACCCTCCGCTTCAGATTGAAAGTCACACTACCACAGTCACAGTCTTGTGGTCATTCTACAAGTGTCCAATCTGCAAGTACACAGGCGAAACTATGCTCCAAAGTATCTCTGGCCCAAATTCCCTGCACCAGGCTTGATGTGATTCGAAACACCCATCAGTCCCTCGTCAACAGCACCCACAACCACCTTCAATTTTGGATACACACTCGCAAGCGCCCTCACACCCAATGCACTTGCAAGAATCGCAACAAACGTGATTTGCTCTTCCGGCACACCGTGATCCAACAACACACGTACGGCCATTATGGCAGTGGCTGCACTAGCAATTTGTGCATCCAGCAATAAGATTTGATGGGAGGCAATACCCTTTGGCAGTTTGAGGTAGTGCAAGCGCGGTTCACCTGTACGAGAGTCACTCTGAATCAGTAATTTGCCAATCTGACAATCTCTGATTGCTTGTCGTAAGGCCACCTCGAATATTTCACCAGCACGCATGATAGAGACGCCTGTTATAGGCACCGAAAGTTGTGCACCCCGATACTGACCGCAGGCTGTTGTAACGTGCTTCTCAGTATGCGGAAGACCTTCCAGACTTCGCTCAACGATGAGTGTTGCCATGCGCTCAAGGTAGAAGATAAAGTCGTCTCGTTCCGTTTTGCCATTCCTGATGATTGTATGGATTCCTCTCACCTGATTCGTTTGCTCCAATACAGACACAGTCGATGGCAGATTATCCGCCTCCGTTTGACCGTCTTGCGAGCACGTCTGCCGCAATTGTGCCAGGTGCTGTTGATGCTGTTCAGACTTCTTTGCCAGTGCATGCTCGATATGCCGAACAACCATTTTCAGCGCCACCTTGTTATCACATCCTCGCGGGATAATGACATCTGCCCTGTGCATCTGAGGACGCACAGTGGCATCAAATGCTGGCTTGACCCATTTACTATACTGCGCCAGAATACCCTTCAAATCGCGCCCGCGTTCGCGTGTATCACGCGCCAGACGACGGGCCAGACAGACGTCAGAATCGGTGTCTAGGTAGATTTTCATGTCCAACAATGCCTGTAGCCGTGGATCGTCGTGTAGTGCGTAGATGCCCTCGAGGACAACGACATTGACGCCATATAAAGGAACAGAGGCATCCGGTAGCCTCGCGTGTTTGGCGAATGAATACACTGGAATCTCTACCCGCTTACCAGCCTTGAGATCTTCGAGTGTTTGAATGAGTAAGTCCCAGTCAAATGCTTGAGGATGGTCAAATTGATAATTATCCTTGTGCGCTTCAGCAGATTGCTCTGGTGTCAAGACTTTGTAGAAGGAATCAAGAGAGACAATCACGACCCAGGGTACACCGAGAGAAGCAACGACTTCACGAGCAAAGGTCGTCTTGCCGCTGCCCGAGGCGCCTGCTACACCAATGATCCATTGAGCGAGCCATGGCGGTCTATAGCTTGGCATTGAGCAGATGAGACACAGTTCAAGATGCAAGAAGAAGGTGCTTCGATAGCTCTAGCTTTTCATACGCTAGGAAATACAATACAGCACACGGAGGTCAAGTCGCAGAAGTTCAAGTGGTGGTCCATAGAATCTTAGATGCATCTCGTGACTCTCGTCGTGAATTGATCGTGCGACACAAAAAAGCACAGAAGCAGGAAAGCAACGGCAGAGAAAGCTGGACACCACCAACCAGTGCTAGGCAGGGCCCCTCGCATCATGCAATGAGGCCCTCACAGGCTACGGCCGCAGCGGAGACGCCATACTCAAAAAGGTTTGCTTCCATAGGTTGCGCCTCATCAAGGGAAAACGCAAGACCTGCAGGAGAGTCATGAGGCAAAGAGCCAAACTGATGACGTTTGATGGGAATCTCTCTCATGTGGCCTCAAAGAAGGTTCACAGCTGCGGACAGCCATAATCATTATTCACTGAATGGCCTTGTCTTGACCTCATGCTAGTTTGCGTCTCTTTTTAATGAAGCAGCGAATGAAAGAATAGGACTAACAAACAGTGATCTCAATAATCTTGTTCTTAACTTCCTCATCATCGAAGGGTACGAATCAGCTGCCGTCAAGTTTGCAGCGGAAGCAGGACTGCAACCCAAGATCTCCACCGAGCATATTCACGAGCGTGTTGAAATACGCACGTGTATACATCGCGGTGAAATCACGCAAGCGATCCAGCTCATCAATGAGCTCAATCCAGAGGTATGTCTGTCTCCGAAAGAACTGTCATTGTGGACAGTAGCGTATGATGATCAGATCATGCACCACTCTCACGGTTCACGCCGAATGATGAGTATAAACTCTTCAGTCTTCAGTCTGACGCTACACATCCGCAATGACGCCTTTCGATGAGCTACAATAGGTGTGTCAGTATACTAACAGACTACAGCTCCTTGACACAGATCCAGCGTTGCATTTCATGCTGTTGCGCTTGCACTTGATTGAACTCATCAAACAGCATCTAGCCTCGCCCTCGCCATGGTCACTCACGGCTTTGCTTGAATTTGCAGGAACGCATCTAGCACCAAGAGCAGCAGCAGATCCAGCTGCCTTGACAGACCTCGAGCAGACGATGGCTTTACTCTGTTTTGCACCTGCTGCAACACCACCACTAGGTGCTGCGCAGACTGCCATCCCGCTCGATGCAAGTTTAACGTCATTGCTGGAACCATCGATGCGAGCGCGCGTTGCTGAAAGTGTCAATGAGGGACTTTTGCAGAGTCAAGGGATCATGCGAGAAAGCAAATTACGGGCGCTTGTCAGACTCTTTCTGTGGGGCGAGAAGAAGTGTGGTGAGACGACACAGACTGGTCAGCCTGCCACGGGTACAGAGGGAGACCAGATGGTCATATGTTAATGATATGTTCCGGATTTATGCGACTGCGATGCGTTCTTTTCTCTATTTCAAGTACATAAGTCATGTCATGATTTCAATGGCTACATACAATGTCTTGTGCTATCGATAATAATCCTCGGGATTGGAAGGGCCTTGTGGGTGTGACTGCGCTGAACCTTGATCATGTTGGCCCTCTGCAGGAATCTGTCCCAGCCCTTCATAAAACTCATGTCCCTGTCCCTGTCGCACAGGCTGCTCAGACCACGGATTCGTACTAGGTCCTGTTCCTTGCTGCTTCAAGGAAGTCTGTGATTGTCTTGCATGATTCTGGACAGCGCCATACGCATCCACGGGACTTCCCTCGCCACTCTCATCGTCTAATTCAGCAGCAGTACCAGAGATGCCTTCCGGCGCTTGTGCATAGTAAGCAATGGGTGGTCCACCTTCCTTGTCGAACCGAATCTGATCGAATGAACCATGAGCAACCTCTGTCTCTGCATGTAACTCACTGGACAGTCCATTGTCGCTATGACGCGTCGGCGGAAATGCCTGCGACAGTTCCTGTGAGGGACTCGTTGGAATCTGTAAAGCAGGCTGCATAGGTCTTCCTTGGCTTGCTTGGCCGCGTGCATCAACTGGATACGGTGTATGTTGTAGATTGTGCTGAATTGTATCACTTGGCCTTGTTGTGAAGACGCCAGGCTGATAAGGTTGCGAAGGTACACGCTGTTGTTGCTGTTGCTGCTGCTGTGGTGACATGCCTTGAAGTTTTTGAACACTGCCAGTTGAACCTGGTGCGTGCTGTGGCGATGGCCTTTGTTGTTGCTGTGGCGAAAAGTCCGGGTTGCCATGATGCACTGGACGGCCGTATGGTCCTGCAGGTTGGCCTTGCATGCCACTCGGTGGTCCATGCTGATAGGTGCTCCCTGGTCCGGGCGGTCCTGAATGCTGCGCTTGCATGGCAGATGGTGGGCCTTGCTGATATCCACCCGGTGGACCGGACGCGCCACGGCCTGGAGGCGGTCCATATCGTGCACCTTGCCCACCAGAATGCTGTTGTGGCAAAGGTGGTTGTCGATACGCACCAGACTGATAGCGTGATAAGCTCGCTTCCATCAGTTCATCATAATCTTTCCTTGCCTTGACGAATTTATCATTCAGCAGAATCAAGTCATCCTTGCGCTGCGAGTACTTTTCAATCAATCGAACGAGTTTTGGGCGAATGGCAATGGTTGTGTGGTAGAGCTGTTGGAGTGCATCATTTTCTGCAATCGCAGGGTCATGCACATCCGCACTGCTGAGAATCGATAAAAGTTTCTCCACGTTCTTGGCTTCCGCAAAGACACGTCGTTCTTCTTCTGCTTCACGTTGAAGTTCCGCTTGTGTTGGTTCAGGCAAGTTCTCGACATAGTTTGTTGGAAAGATACCAACTGTGCCACGCAGGGAACCGCGCCACCAGTCCTTATAAGCAGATTCAATGACGGTAATGACATCGCCTCGATGGAAGGTCAGCTCCCCTGGTTCACTTGCTGCGAAGTCATAAAGGGCGCGGACACGTGAGACTGTTGCTGCGGTTCTTTCAGCGACGGGTGTTTCTTGGAATGAATGTGCTTGTTGCTGAAGCTGCTGTTGCTGTTGCTGTGGTTGTGAAATAGCCTGAGATGACTGCTGTGACAATGTCGGCAGGGTGTACGCAGAAGTGGCTGTTTGTGCGGGCAAGGTATACGCATTCGGCCCTGCGTCCACCTGGTTACGATGCTGACCCGTCGTACCACTTCCACTACCGCCACCTGCATGAGAAGAAATGTGCGTCTCCGTCAAACTCATTGCCAACGCCATCTGGAGTTCCTCCTCTTCACGCCTTCGATCCTGCTCACTGATTTCCGTCTTTTGTGGTTTCGAGGGTGCTTGCACGCGAATACCTTGTGCTTGCATGGCGCGATACGTATCAGACATGATACCGAGTGATGAATCGTGCTTAAAGTCGTCACACCACTGCTTCACCAATTCAACCGTGCGCGCCTTGACTTTGCCATGGAGGGTCTAGCAGATTAGCTTGCATACTTCAATCAGAGGTAACGCACCCTGTCGTTGACGAGGCCTAGTAGTGTTTGAGTAAAGGAGCGCGATGCCAGCTCACGATGCACTTTTGACCCGCAATTCTTCGAGAGCGCCTCGGCCAGCTAAGATGGGGTCAGCATTTCGACACTTGGTAGAAGGATAGATCTTTACAGAGAGCGCATAGAGCTGTACATTGGCATTTCTGTGGCCAAGTCGTTTCTGAACAGCTGCAACAGCATGTCTGGCTCCATCCTGTGGATCTGCGTCGACTTTGTCGCATACAGCAAGAATAGCCTCCCAGTTCTCGGTGGTGAGGTTCTCGTCCGTGGCTTTTGTGACAATGTCGTCCATAGGGTTGGCCTGTGAGCGACTAAACATGTCAGAGGATAGGATGCCCTTGCTGCGCTGCTCTTTGTCTTTCCGTCTGTGGATGCCAAGCGATTCGAGCTGAGATGGAGGCTGTGTGCGTGTGCGTGGTTGTCGAGTTTCAAAATGACGCGCAGCCTCAACGACATCCATAGGTGGCCAGGTAGCTAGGTGGCTAGCTAGCTTCAGCTCTGACATCTTCCAAGCTCCAGACTGCTTATCTGAAGGCCATCATCTGAGACTCATGGTAAGCTACAGTAGCTAGAGCTACAGTAGCTAGGAATACTCGGTAGATACAAAAATCAACCTCTACAAGCTCAAACGACAGTGGCCCAAGCTGAATGAACCTCAGCACTGAACTCGTTGGCTATGCAACTGCTCACCAGCTATCACATGGCAAGCGGATTGTTACTGAGTGGTGTCACCTTTTTCCAAGCACGCAAGTGAGCACCCGGTCGACACAGTACACACTAGCGGGAGTACGTCTCAGAAGCATTGCAATGTGAAATACATCTTGTGTTCTACCCTGAATTGTTATGCCACGAGGAAAACATGTAAAGTACGTCGGAGATGTCTGCAAGCCAAGGCCAAGCGACGCCAACTGACTTCTCAGTCATGTCTCTGATCATGTCCGGTACTTGCCTTCAAATTCCTCGCAAGTCTGCAATTCCGTCTCCCGCGGCGGCGCAGCTGTTGTGAGCCGTGAGTGGTCACCCCTAAATGTCCTTCAAGAGGCTCATCCGAAATACGCACGATGCCATGTCAGCATACCCCTGACAAATTGTGACAATCCACCTGAGGCTTGGCCTAGGCCATGAATATCTTATCAAGACCGGTGCCTCCTGCGAAGCATTCTGTATCTAGGACAACGACAGTCTACAACAATACGGTGTCTGGTCCTCTTTGGTTTGCTATTGATTGTACTGTACTAGCAAGTCCGCTCTTTCATCTCTCGCGGCTCTTGTGTTGAAAGTTGTTACCCCTGAATCTTCGGAAATCAAATCCTCCGAAATGAGCACGTTTTCAAACCCCTGACAGACCGCCTGCGAGTCTGCGAGCAGGCCTAGCCCAAGAATGTCCTATAAAGGACCACCACCCCTTGCGAAGCCTTCTGCATCCAAGACAACAAGACTTTACAACAGCCTGGAGTTTCGCCTTTGTTGGTTTACCTTGGACTGGCATCATACTGACCTATAGGTCCAAACACAATCAGAATGCGCTTCAAGCAGCAGGACTTTGCTGTGGCCGTTTTGGTTATGACCGTTGTAAAGGCAAAACAGTTCTATTGGCTGCAAAGGGGACACACTGACAAAGGCAATATATGTCAATTGTCAAAGCATTGTCAAGAGGCGACTGACCAGACAACATTCCCTCATCCCAGTCAATGTTATCCAATATACCAAGATGCCAAATGCAGGGGTCCAAAGTGGGACTGGTGGTTCAAGAGCCAGCTATTATACACTGACTGCGCTGATGTTTACTGCATAACTGTTTCTGAAAAAGTGGGCATCTTCTGCGATAAGCTTGATCAGAAAGACTCTAGAAGGGGGGGGGGGGGGGGGGGGGGGGGGGGGGGGGGGGGGGGGGAATTCTCAATGATCCCCCGGAGCCTGCTCATTGGCGGTTTGCTACGTGTGTGTTCAAGCTTGATGACCTGCGTGGCACCTGCTATGCATAACGAACACGCATCCTTGAATCTCGCATCCGGCTACTCTGCACCAAATATTCTGGCAACTCGCCATTGCTCAATTACCTTTCATACCTCAACGACGCTTGTCATCTTGTTACCTTGTCTGTCTTCATGCTCTTATCTTCCTCGCTTCTGCCAACGCTTGTCACGTTGTCTCTGCTCGCGCTCTTACTCGTCGACCACGTTCACAGCTCAGACACGTTTCGCTCGCTAGCATCACTCGGTCCTCGCCAAGACCTCCATCGGCAACTGCCAGTGTTCTTTTTTCAGGGCCTTTGCCATCGCCCACTTCTATCTCGTCTGTTCAGTTGCTTTAGGCTGACAATGTATAAAAGGAGCGCTTCTCGCACCTTTGTAGCATTGTCAGCAACATCAATTTACATTCAATACTATCTTCTGTTTGCAAGTCTCTGCTGCCAAAACCACACTCCTACTACGCTCCCTGTCTCCAACGGTACGCCTTGCTTCGCCTAGTCGTGATCGTTACACATTCTGACTCTTCCTTCTGTCGAAGCTCGGATATTCCATTGGCCTCATTGGCCTCATACTATCTTGCTGCCCCTCGTCTTTGTCTTTTCTCTTCCTGAGAGTCGGTGCCTGCGACCTCCGCTCAGCATCGCTATCCGCTCTCTTGCTCCAATCTGGTAAACATAAGAAGACAGCCTTTTATGCTGTTTTAGTTTTTAGTTTACATACATATTTTATTTTCTATCCCTACATCTGAGTCTGAGCACCCTTGGGTGGGTGGATTCTCTGTTTCGCTTTCCTCTTATTATGGGGAACAGTAGTTGAGCTGAGCACGACGTAGTCTTTTTTTTAGAGCTAAATTCCATCACATCTCGTCCAAATTTTGTCTCCAGCACAAGCAGCCTCTGTTAGAGAATACGATTGATGTACGCGGAAGACGGTGTTGTACAGAAGATAGATAGAATCGGATAACAACTACGAAGTGGAAGTGGGAACTCCTTATGGGGAACGAAAGTGCCAGGGTGTCGAGCGTGCTGCTTTGCGTACCCCAAAATGAATGACAGCGAGATGGTGTAGTGTTCAAGAAAGCGAGAGACCAGAATAAAGCAGAAAGTCAATCTTTAGTCCCAGGCCTTTCTTTGAGCTTGAGCCAGACCTCCATTGCAGTGTTGAGCAAGGCGTGAGACGTTACCCCTCTCGGAATGAGCCGACGCAGACACACTATATAACAGGCCATCTGCTCTCTCTGATCTAGTAACTCATTTGGTGTTTCACTCCAGTGCTTGTTCGTTCGCTCAGATAAACAACATGCAGGAGCCTTGTCGCCAATTTTTTTATTTTTTTTTCGTTCCGTTGTCTTACGTACCGACTCCTCTCAGGACTCTATGGCTTATATAGGATCTCAGCGGTACCGCCGCTTGTTCTGTCTTCGAAAGATACGCGCCTCACGTGTATGGATCTTCCATACTTGTCCTCGCGCGCAATGTATTGCGGCACTTCCTGTCCGTCATTGTTGGCGATCTGGCCTAAGCCGATATTGTTTATATAGCGGGCAACACCGCTTTCTCGCTGTCCTACATGGGGGTAGTTTTCGCCATGTTCTTCTTATTGTTCCCTGCACCGATTGCTCCATATCTTGAGACTTTCAATGAGTTGAGATAACTTGCCGTACTTCATCTTCCTTTGTGTGTATTTGTACTTAGTAGAAGTCCTGACATGTTCGCAGCGTAGATTGGTACGCAGTGCCAGAGGGCATCATGATATATGACCTCTGTGCGCCATCGGAGCGCAAGAACGGGGTCAACGCGGCTGGCAACACGGCAGGAAGACATGTCCTTGGCTCATCAGTCAGCAAAGAGTAGTTCACACAGCCGTATTCTTATTTGCCTATGCTACCGATGGGCTCTCCTGGTCGGCTCTGTGATGCCCAGTCTCTCCCTCTCAAAATCTATGTATTGCTGCTCCTCGCTTGTCTCGCGGTGGCTGTTTCTCTGGTTTCCGCTTTTGGACTCGAGGCAACCGAGATCCAGACGGGCACACCGCGACCACCTCGACAACTAGGCTCTATATCTTCAAGAGGGAGGTACCTTGCGTAGTGGCCATGGTCATGTCACGGCGCAGGCTCATCGCCCTCATTGCAGCCTTCTCCGTCTCACTTCTCGTCTTCCTCTTCACCTCAGATTACACAGAGACTGCGTATGAAGACTGGCAACCTGACCTCAGCAGTATCAGCGGCAGCGGCAGCAGTGACAAACAAGCAGCTCGAGCAGCTTCAAGCGATGTGATCGTACCATCCGCTGCAGCCGTAGTAGCAGTCGTTGCGACACCACTCGCTGTCAACCCAGATGCCATCCAGTCGCCTGAACCTGTCACGCGTGCAGCAGCAGAAGCTGAGCGTCTAGCAAAGGAAGAGCGTGCGAATGCTGCAAAACAACAAGCAGAGGCTGATCAAGCGACAGTAGAACGGGCGCGGACTATTGAACAAAAGCAAGAGACGGTACCGAAGCCTATAGAGACGACTGCAAAGCAAGAGGATGACGCTTCGGAGATGGTGAAGCGGCCGGATGGGCATATCGTCAAGTTGAGTGAAGAGCAAGACTCGGAAAAGTCAACAGCGTCCTTCATGGATAGCGAAGCAGCTGCGGCTGAAGAGATGAAGAAGGAGGAAGCGAGACGGACTGCGGAAGCTCAACGAAAGGAAGAGCTCCGTAAAGCCGATGAAGCGCGGCAAGTAGAGGAACGCAAGAAGGCCGAAGAAGCTGCCAAGATCGAAGCAGCACGCGTGGCGCAAGAGCAGAAAGAGCTTGCATGGGAAGCAGCCGAGACTGGCAAGCAATGGGGCAAGTATGAAGATATTGCCGTCATCATTCGAACCGGCTTCCAGGTACAGAAGCGATTGGAAGGGCCACTCTCTACCTATCTCAAGGACAGAAAGGACAATACACTGGCCATCTTTTCTGATCGAGAGTCGGAAGTCTTGGGCCGCAAGGTGTACGATACCATCAAGCCTTTCTTTGACAAGAACCCAGAAACCTACAACGGCACCAATATGCAGGAGATCTACAACACAATTCAAGCCATGAATAGCGATGGCTCAGAAGTTATTCCCGGCGAGCACAATCAAGGCTGGAAGCTCGATATCATGAAGCAAACCATGTCAGCCGACATGGGCTACCAAATGCTGCACAAGAATCGTAAATTCAAGTGGTGGGCCATCATTGATGATGATACCTACCTTCACCTGCCCACCATTTCGGCCGAATTGGCAAAAGTCAACCACTCGGAAGCGCACTACTTTGGTTCTCCCACTTGGTGTGGTGGCACCCATTTCGCGCATGGTGGCAGTGGTATTGTCTTGAGCGCAAAAGCAATGAGCGATATGTTTGAGAACCGGACACTCGCCGACCGTATGCATGCGAATGGTCTCAATACACCCTACGGAGACCACAACTTGGCCGTCTACCTCAAGGAAATTGATATTCCCTATGAAAACCAATTCAGACACTCTTTCCACGGTGATCCCTTGGAGGAAGTACGATTCAAGCTTGAACAAGTCTGCGCGCCGCTCTTTACATTGCATCACTTGCAGGAAGCTGCCATGAAGGCAACACACGAGATTGTGTTTCGTGATAGGCTCGTTCGATTCTGGGATGTGCTCGATGCTGTTGCAGATTTTAAGGATATGAGTTTGTGGTACAAAGAAGATCACAGCTACAACTTGTGGGTCAAGGACAAGTTGAACCTTGAAAGCGAAGTGGGCAAGGATAGCGACAAGGTGCCTGAAATCTCAGAAAAGATGCCGGTTGTCAAGATCGACAGCAAGCATGAGGAGAAAGAACGTCCCAAGTTGTGTGAAAACCTGTGTCACTCTGGTGAGATGAGTAAAGGCTGCATCACTTGGTCCTACGTCCCAGAGACCCGTGACTGTTACATGGCAGACTGGTTCATGCTCAATACCGGCAGGCCGAGGAAGGGCGTGATTTCGGGAATTTTGGCGGAACGTCTATCCGAATGGCGACGAGCTCCGTGCTACTGGTAGTTGACGCCAAAGTGGAAGTGCATAGACATACTATTCATTTGTAAATAAAGGCAGAGTCACGGTCCTCGACTCCTCGCCATTTCAAGATTTTGGGACTCGTGACGATATGGCAACAACTGGCCAAAGAGACCGTGATAGTCAAGCTGAGACCCAAATATCTGCGCTGAGCTTGCATGCTGTCGTATACTCGCTGTGCTCAGTGGTGAGGTTCAGGGGTCCGATTTGTTGTCAGACCTATTCGAGGTTCACATCGCATTCCCGTTGAGCCAAAAGTGACTAGTCCTCACAGGACAACGATGCAGCTCTTCAAATCCCTACTGCTTGGCTGCTTCCAGGAGTCAGTGCTCGTCAGGGGAAACCCCCTGGACCCACCTTAGAGTCCCGCAGAATCTCGAAGCTCATTTATATCTGCCATTTTTAACGGCAGGCATGGCTGAAGGAGGAGTCAACGCACCTGCCACGTATTCGGAGGACACACAACTCCTACTACGAGCAGATTCACTAGTTGTTAGCAGATTCAGTCCGCTGATGGTTGTGTAAGCGGCGACGCTTCCGTGGTGTAGCCTCGCAATGTCAAGTCGGCGCGATCTCAGCAGCGAAGCTCATCCATCACAGCGATGCCCCTTCTCAGAGATAATCAGATTTCACGACCGTCCATTGCTCCTGTAGAATCTGCTGAACGAAGTTGGCATTGCAGATTTGGCCTTTTAAGCACACTGCAAGTACATTATTACAAAGACAAACCTACTGCCGAGTGCTCTTGGCAAGATGTCGTCCAAGGAGATCGAGCAGTCAAAAGGAGACCGCGTCAACGTGGTCAGTATCGACCACAAAGACCCAGCCGAGGATCGACCTAGATTGTGTCAACGTCTATTGCCAAAGCGGTCGAGTCAAGGCTCAGTGTGCGGCTTGGACATTCATCCCGGGGACTCGAGAGTGTCCATTTGTCAGACGAATAATTCTCAACCTTGGCCAACCACGGGAGGATGACTCTATCACTGTAATCTTGACTAGCGTTGTTGCTGAGCACCATTATCGGAACTGCCTCGATCGGAATGGATGCATCGTGGAAATTGATGACGAAATTTCATAGATGAGTACTATTGCAGACCTTTGGCCAGAGTAGAACACCTCTTTGAGCCGCTTCCATCTGAAAATGTTCGGCTGAGACCAACAGCACTTTTATAGCCCACGGACAGGACTGCAGGTTCGAGCTTAACTGCATTGGTACAAGGCATCGGCCTTTACCATCTCTTGCTTCTGTCTATTGTTGCATGCACACGCTCTGATCATGTCGTCACTCTCTGTAGAGCTCGCTCAACTGAAGGGGCAGCAGAAGAACGCTGAGGGGCTGCTTCGCTTCCGGAAGTCGTGATGGAGATCTGTTAGATGTTGATGTATGCTTCTATACCTCTGTGCCTGACTGGGACTGCCCCGTCTCGGGCTTATTCTTCCTCGCTGCACACCACAAGCTACGCGAACGAAACAAAGTCGCCATGTATCCAGGAGCCTGGTAGTGACGACTTGTTACGTCTGCAATTCGCGTCGACATCCTCGCAAATATTATTACGATTCTCCACTATACGTCCGGCTTGTTCATTATCTCCTTTCACGGCCACCAACCACCCCTGGCCCGCCTTTGCGCACCAATACAGTCGCAGACAACAGCATGAACGGCATGTGCTTTGTTATGCATGGTAGCGACACATGTTGCATCGTGAGACCAGTTTAGAGCAGCATAACGGACACTTACGGCCGACGCGTAGTCCGAGTGAGGGAATGCACCTCCTGAAGCAAGTGCAAGAAGATGAGGGGAAGGATAAGGACACGTAGGAGTAAGGAAGCGACGCCTTCATATCACAGCAGCCAGTTCGACAACTAGGCTCTTTATCTCCAAGAGGGAGGTACCTTGCGTCGTGGCCATGATCATGTTACGGCGCAGGCTCATCACCCTCATTGCAGCCTTCTCCGTCTCACTAGTCGTCTTCCTCTTCACCTCGTTTGACACAGAGACTGCGTATGAAGACTGGCGACCTGACATCAACAGTATCAGCGACAGCGTCAGTAGTGGCAAACAAGCAGCTCGAGGAGCTTCAATTGATGCGTCTAAGAGCGAACCAGCTGCGGCTGAAGAGATGAAGAAGGAGGAAGCGAGACGGGTTGCTGAGGCTCAACGAAAGGAAGAGCTTCCTAAAGCTTGGTGGGGAGCAGCCGAGCCTGGCAAGCAGTCGGGCAAGTATGAACATATTGCCGTTATCATTCGAACTGGCTTCCAGGTACAGAAGCGATTGGAGGGGCCACTGTCTACCTATCTCAAGGACAGAAACGATGATACACTGGCCATCTTTTCTGATCGAGAATCGGAAGTCTTGGGCCGCAAGGTGCACGATACTATCAAGCCCTTCTTTGACAAGAACCCAGAAACCTACGACGGCACCGACATGCAGAAGATCTACAACTCAATTCAAGCCATGAGCAGCAATGGCTCAGAAATCATTCCCGGTGAGCACAATCAAGGCTGGCAGCTTGATATCATGAAGCAAACCATGTCAGCTGACTTGGGCTACCAAATGCTGCACAAGAATCGCAAATTCAAGTGGTGGGTCATCGTTGATGATGATACCTACCTTCACCTGCCCACCATTTCGGCTGAACTTGCAAAGGTCAACCACTCGGAAGCGCATTACTTTGGTTCTCCCGTCTTATATGGCGGTACTTATTACGCGCACGGTGGCAGTGGCATTGTCTTGAGCGGAAAAGCAATGAGCGATCTGTTTGAGAACCGGACACTCGCCGATCGTATGCATGCGAATGGTCTCGATACGCCCTTTGGAGACCACAACTTGGCCTTTCACCTCAAGGAAATTGATATTCTCCTTGAAGACCGTTTAAGACAATCTTTCCGCGGCCATCCCTTGGAGGAGGTACGATTCAAGCTTGAACTAGTCTGCGCGCCGCTCTTTACATTGCATCACTTGCAGGTAGCCGCCATGATGGCCACACACGAGATTGTGTTTCGTGATAGGCTTGTTCGATTCTGGGATGTGCTCGATGCTGTTGCAGATTTCAAGGACATGAGTTTGTGGTATAAAGAAGATCACAGCTACAACTTGTGGGTCAATGACAAGTTGAACCTTGAAAGTGAAGTGGGCAAGGATAGCGACAAGGTGCCTGAAATCTCAGAAAAGATGCCGGTTGTCAAGATCGACAGCAAGCATGAGGAGAAGGAACGTCCCAAGTTGTGTGAAAAATATTCTCCTTGAAGACCGTTTAAGACAATCTTTCCGCGGCCATCCCTTGGAGGAGGTACGATTCAAGCTTGAACTAGTCTGCGCGCCGCTCTTTACATTGCATCACTTGCAGGTAGCCGCCATGATGGCCACACACGAGATTGTGTTTCGTGATAGGCTTGTTCGATTCTGGGATGTGCTCGATGCTGTTGCAGATTTCAAGGACATGAGTTTGTGGTATAAAGGAGATCACAGCTACAACTTGTGGGTCAATGACAAGTTGAACCTTGAAAGTGAAGTGGGCAAGGATAGCGACAAGGTGCCTGAAATCTCAGAAAAGATGCCGGTTGTCAAGATCGACAGCAAGCATGAGGAGAAGGAACGTCCCAAGTTGTGTGAAAACTTGTGCCGCTCTGGTGTGGAGAGTGAAGGCTGCATAACTTGGTCCTACGTCCCAGAGACCCGTGACTGTTACATGGCAGACTGGTTCATGCTTAATATCGACAGACCAAGGAAAGGCGTGATTTCGGGAATCTTGGCGGAACGTCTATTCGAATGGCGACGAGCTCCGTGCTACTGGTAGTTGATGCCAAAGTGGAAGTGCATAGACATACTATTCATTTGTAAATACAGGCAGAGTCACGGTTCTCGACTCCTCGCCATTTCCAAATTCGGGACTCGTGAAAGTATGGCAACAACTGGCCAAAGAGACCGTGATACACAAGCTGAGACCCAATTAGTTGCGCAGAGCTTGCATCCAGTCGTATGCTCACTGTGAGGCTCAGGGGTCCGATTTTCATGGCAGGCGTGGCTAAAGAAGGAGACAACGCATTTGACACGTAGACAAAGATACAAAGATTTACTTCCTACTAGGCTACAACTTACTATTTGCTAGCGAATTTAGTACGTTGAAAGCCATATCTAAGGCGCTAAGGCGGCGGTACCATTGTACAGCCTGCAAATTCACGGCGGCGCGATCTTAGCAACGAAACCGCAAATACTTTTCAAAACCAATCTTCTTGCCGAGTAGCTTGATCTTTTGTCGTCGAGAAGCACTCGGTCGGCTCGGAGGCGCTACGCTCTCAAGTGATTGAGCACCTCGCATGCTGAGTGCCTGTCCCTCCTTGCAATACAGCTCGGCGTGTAGCGAGACTATCCTCTACAATTGAGCTGTACAGCTACATTTGATCAAACAAGACTCCCACGCGGCGCTGTCGGTAGATGCTATCAAGCTTTCAGACTCCTACTGACTCATTAGGCTGACTTTGCCGCGAGTGTTTGTTTTCTGGGACATCGGCATGAATCGGCCGGGACTCAGATTCGTCTTCCTGTGCATGTTGATTATTGGATGGCTGATAGTGCTCAAACTTTATCAATTCAACGGCCGAGGCTATGCGATCAATAAAGATCTGCAATCACCAAATGATGCTCCACATGCGTCAGCAGAGGAGGCCACAAAGGCACTGATGCAAGAGACTGCCAAGCTGTCTCACGCTAGCAGTGTTGTGCACTCCAAATCTCCACCTCAAGAAGAAGCGAGCGTCGTACCAGAACGACCAGAATCTCAAGGAGACAAACCTTCACAAGAAAATCCAGATCTTGCTCACCAAGAGCTGACAGTCGATGATATTGCCGTGATCGTCCGCACAGGCTGGCAAGTACGCGACCGGATCAACGGCTCTCTATCGACCTACTTGAAAGACCGCTCGCCGAATACACTTGCAATTTTTGCAGATCGAGAGTTTGTTGTTCCTGGCTATACTATCCACGACGCCCTGAAGCCCTTTTTTGAGAGACTGTCCCAACACTTTGGCCAGTCAACGCAAAAGAAGCTCTACGACAAGATTCAAGAGCTGGACGATGGTGTGCTCAAAACCGTTCCAGGAGAACACAACGATGGCTGGAAGCTCGACATTTTGAAGCAGCCCATGTCGGCAGATTTGGGCTACCACATGCTAAGCCAAAAGCGTTCCTTCAAATGGTGGGTCATCATTGACGATGACACCTATTTACACTTCCCATCGATCATACCAGCGCTTGCTGAATTGGACCCAGCTGCCAAGCACTTCTTTGGAATGCCAACCGGCTTCGACAAGGTCACCTATGCGCAAGGTGGCAGTGGCATTCTACTGAGTGATGGTGCCATGGAGCAACTCTTTGGTGATCGAGAGTTCGCTGATGCAATGCACATCAAGGGACTGGAGGCAGTCTACGGCGACTACAATCTGGCCGCTCATTTGTACGAGCGATCTATCTTTTTGGATCAATCTCTTGCATTCATGTTTCATGAGCATCCCCTGGCTGACATCAAGTGGGCTATTCGTGATACTTGCGCACCATTGTTTTCTGTCCACCACATGCAGCCATCAGCGATGCGTTCTTTCTCAGAGTTGATTAGATTTCACGACCGACCATTGCTCCTGTGGGATCTGCTGAACGAAATTGGCATTACAGATTTGGCCTATAAAACAAACCACAGTTACAGTCTTGCAGAGACAGACTTACTGCCGAGTGCTCTTGGCAAGATGTCGTCCAAGGAGATGGAGCAGTCAAAGGGAAACCGCGTCAACGTGGTCATCATCGACCATAGACACCATGCCGAGTTTCAACCAAAGATGTGTCAGCGCCTTTGCCAAAGCGGTCAAATCAAAGCTCAGTGTGCGGCTTGGACGTTCATCCCAGAAACGCGAGAGTGCCATTTGTCAGACGAAATAATCCTCAACGTTGGCCAACCACGGAATGATGACTCTATCACTGGAATTTTGATCAGCGTTGTTGCTGAGCACCATCATCGAAAGTGCCCTGATAGTTGATCGATGCATCGTGGAAAATGATAACGATATCTCATAGATGAATACTATTGCAGACCCTTGATCGCGGCTTGCAGTTGGCGCCATCTGAATTGAAGATGTTCGGCTAAAACCAACAGCACTGTTACAGGCTTACAAATTACAGCCCACGGACATCTGGACTCTGCTGCAGCTGAACTGCAACAATACAAACTAGTACAAGGCATCGCGCTTCATCATTCCTTGCTTCTGTCTATCGCTGCATATATACACTCTGACCATGTCGTCACTTTCAGTAGGGCTCGCTCAAATGAAGAAGCAGCAGAAGAATGCTGAGGTGCTGCCTCGCTTCCGTGTGACGCAACCTCTTACAGCTCGTCCGCCTTCTGCAGCGACCTCACCTGGCGCCTCGCACAATGGAGATGAGCCACCAAGGAAGAAGATGAAGCCTGCTCAGATGGTCTACTATGACGAAGGAACCGGCAACCATATGCTCTCTCAGATGCAATATTCTCTTGAGTATCTCAAGCGCAATCTGGAAGGCAAGACACAGCAAGAGCTGGAGAATTACTTGTCCAAACCCATCACACCAGCTCTGGAACATGTGCTGCGTAGGAATGAACGGATCTCCTATGATTCCGAGACACGCTTGTATCGCTTTCGGCCAATCTACAACGTCCGAAGCGCGCCGCAGTTGTTGGCGCTCTTAAGTGCTCAGACCGTGTCGCAAGGCCTGATTGTCAAGGACCTCAAAGAAGGCTGGCCAACTTGTTACGAGGAGCTCGATCGGCTAGAGGCTGAAGGACAAGTGCTCTTGATACGCAATCGGAAGGATGATCGTCCGAAGACTGTTTGGCCGAGCTCGCTGGAAGATGCGACCAATATTGACAAAGAGTTCATCGATATCTATCTTGATTCTGCTATCCCTGGGCGGGATCAATTACCACGCGAGTTGGAAAGTCTGGGGTTGAAGCCTACCAGCGTGGATCCAATGACTGTGGTGCACAAAAAGCCGGGCGATGCATCAAAGCAGAAGAAGCCCAAGGCGCGGCGACACAAGGTCACGAATACTCACATGGGAACGCTCAAGGATCTTGGTATGCGTAATCCGAAGAAATAAGGTGCTTAGTATGGAATTTGTTCGCCCTTCCAGTCAAATTGCCGACCACCAGACTCTGTCGTCAGAGTTTGAATCACCTCATGAAGCTTGCAAGCACTGAACTCTGGTGAAAAAAGTTTTTCCTCCTTTGTGCTTGCCCAAAACTCGCGCGAGAGATGCGTCTTGACAGTGCCTGGATGCAATGTCACGGAGATAGCCGGCCTCTTGGTCATCTGAAGGTTGTTTTGCAAGGTCTTCGACAACTGGTTTGACGCTGCTTTACTCGCGCGATAGGCAAACCACCCACCAAGCTTATTGTCAGCAATAGAGCCTACGCGGGCGGTCATGATTGCAAAAACTGCTAAATCACTCGGCAGACCGTCCTCCTGCGTCAGCTTCGCACCACGTTTGGGCAACAAATCGCTAAAGTGCTTGATGGCCAACATGGGACCCAGCGTATTGACCTTGAACGTCTCGAGCGAGTCGTCGTAATTGATTTGCTTTGGAGTCTTTTCTGGATTGATGAGAACGCCAGGCGTGAAGAGCGCCAACCGCAGGTATCCCTCTTTACCGAGCTGTTGCTTCATCTGCGAAGCGGCTTCAGACACTGTGGCTTCGTCCTTGTAATCCACTTGCAGCATTGTGATGCGCGATGCATCAACATCGAGGCCTTCCAGGAGTCTTTGCTTAGTAGCACCTAGGTCTTTACGCGCCGTTGCAAAGAGTGGCTGTTTTGTATGTTGCAGCAGCTGCCGCGCTAGGGCGAAGGATAGACCTGACGAGCCTGGACTGCATAGTATATGACCCGCCATGCTAGCTATCTAGGAAAGTACAGCTAAATAGCTTGAGCTTGAGCAATTGTAAGTGGTCTCTGAAGATGGGTGCACTCATGACATAATCGCGCAACTTGACCTGACAGGTCGACCGCACAACGACCACACGACAACAATGAGTCGGCATAGGGATGTGCGGAATCTAGATACAGAGGCTCTGCTTGATGACGAAGCAGGTGGCGATGCGATGACTCCTGAAGAAGCAGAGCGTCTGGATCAGGCGGTTGATGCCATCACTGAAAGATTGGGTGATGGCTTTGCGATCAAGGAAGTCAGGGATACAGCGTGGTATTACTACTTTGACGTGGACCAGTCAACCAACTATCTGCTCGGTATGAAAACGGTTGATGAATGCAAATGCTGACTGCGATAGAGCAACATGAGAAACGGCAAGCAAAAATCAATGCTTCCAAAGCTAAAGCGAAAACAGCTAGCAATGCTGCAAGTACAGGTAAGTCTATTCCCCTGCTCGTCTGTATGCTGGCTCCTCCTCGTTGGAGAAGGAGAATGATGGTGCTCGGATTCGCGAGGAGGAAGGCGTGTATGCCAGGCTTGTCTCGCATCATCATCTGAAAGACATGCTCACATGCTGTTCCCAAGAACTCGAACAAGAGGCCCTTCCGCTAGACCGCCGGAAAGAGGCTGAAAGTGAAACGAAGGTTCAAACCGCTCAGCTTGAAGTGGTCGAGCCGCCAAAGAAGCTAAGCAAGCTCCAACAGCTTGCCAAAGATCGTGCTGCGAAGAAGAAAGCGGCAGCTGCTGCTGCGGTCGCGAACGAGCCGAAAGAAGAACCAGCTCCAGTTTCTCAGGATCTGCAGCCTGTTGAAAAAGTCACTGAGCAGGAGACGTCCCAGTCTCCAGAGGACACTTCCACTCCTTCAGTTGTCCTGGAAGATGTGGAACTTGCAGAACCTTCTGCATTTGCTACGACAATCGCTCGTGCGCGAGAGGAGTATCCTTACAGCATACAACAGCCAAATCTGACGGGACATACTAACCAAGTCTTTGCAGTAGCTCCGACCAAGAATCTTGTACAAGCACAGCAGTCGTTTTCACAACCTAGTCCAGACGATGTCGTCCGCAAAGCACAGCAGGGCAGCAAAGGTATTTCTCAATCAAGAGGAAGCACAGAGCTAATGAATAGGTATGAGCAAGGCAGTGACACCGGCACCGGCTGTGACAGAGCCTGCTGCAGAAGACACCCCAATACCGAAAAAAGCAAACAGACCGCGCAAAGGACGACCCTTCACTGCTACCAAGAAGCACCTTTCGCTCGTAGTGGTCGGTCATGTCGATGCTGGCAAGTCGACCCTCTTTGGCCGGCTTTTGTACGATTTGGGTCATATTGATGAGCGCAGTATGCAGAAGCTCAAGAAGGAGTCGGAAAAGATTCAGAAATCATCTTTTGCTTTCGCATGGGCCATGGACAGCAGTGACGAAGAGCGCCAACGGGGCGTTACCATTGATATTGCCACAAATTCATTTGAGACCGAGGCAAGCGAGTTCACAATCCTTGATGCGCCTGGACACAAGGACTTTGTGCCGAATATGATTGCAGGCGCTTCTCTCGCAGACTTTGCAGTCTTGGTGATCGATGCGTCGACTGGAGCGTTTGAGTCTGGCTTCGACGCAGCTGGGCAGACCAAGGAGCATGCGATTCTCATTCGAGCGCTGGGTATTCAACGTGTTCTTGTGGCCGTCAATAAGCTAGACAATATTGACTGGTCTCGGGATCGCTTCAACGATATTCAGGTGCAACTTTCGACATTCATGACACAGACTGGCTTCGAAGCGGTGAATTTGGCGTTTGTTCCATGCAGTGGATTATCAGGCATTAATGTAACAAAACCTGGTGAAAGTGGGCTTGGAGCATGGTACAAGGGTAAAACTCTACTACAAGAGATGGAAGCTGTTCCGGCAACAGTGCGCAATGATCATGGCCCGTTCAGGTTGATGTTGTCTGACATCCAGTCATCGCCGAACTCTAGCAACATTGCCGTGACAGGTAGAATTTGCAGCGGCGAAGTGCAGAAAGACGATGTCGTGCTGTGTATGCCAAGCAAAGAACTCGCAATGGTCAAATCAGTCCTGGTGGGCAGCTCCCTTCAAGAAGCTGCGTTTGCAGGAGATACTGCGACATTGACGCTGTCCCAGATTGATCCGATGCATCTCCGGACTGGCGATGTGCTTTGTCATGCAGATATGCCGCTTGATAACGCGACCAAATTCAAAGCACGAGTCGTCACATTCCAGGTGCTTCGACCATTGCTGGCCGGTTCTTCCATCATCATTCACCGTGGACGCTCTGATGTGCCTGGAGTGATCAAGTCCTTGGAAATAGTCGACAAGTCAGCTGATGGAGCTGGTCCAGCTAAACAGGAGTCACTGAAGAAGGTACGGCATGTCGTGGGCAACACACAGGCCATCTTGGAGATTGAGCTGGTGCGTGGTGTTTTGCCACTAGAGCCGTTCAGCGCAAACAAAGACATCGGCCGTGTCATCCTACGCCGAGAAGGTGAAACTGTGGCTGCAGGAGTCGTGATGGAGATATGTTAGCTGTTGATGTATGTATCTATACCTCTGTGCCTGAATGTGACTGCCCCGTCTTGGGCTTACTCTCCCTCGCTGCAACTCCACAAAGTCGCGAACGAAACAAAGTCGCCAAGTATTAGGAGTCTGACGACAGTGACGACTCTTAACGTCTGCAATTCGCGTCTACATTCTCGCAAATATTATTGCGAGTATCCGCTATATGTCCAGCTTGTTCATCATCTCCTGTTAAAGCCACCAAACACTCCTGGCCCTCCTTTGCGCACCAATACAGTCGCAGACAACAGCATGAACGGCATGCGCTTTGATGTGCATGGTAGCGGCAACATGTTGCATCGTGAGAACAGTTTGAGCGATATAACGGACACTTGTGTGATAGACCATGTGTCTTGGCAGCACTTAAGTGGATAAGGAGTGCACCTCCTGAGACAAGTGCAAGAAGATGAGGAGGAGGATAAGGACACGTAGGAGTAAGGAAGCGACGCCTTCATATCACAGCAGCCAGTTCGACAACTAGGCTCTTTATCTCCAAGAGGGAGGTACCTTGCGTCGTGGCCATGATCATGTTACGGCGCAGGCTCATCACCCTCATTGCAGCCTTCTCCGTCTCACTTGTCGTCTTCCTCTTCACCTCGTTTGACACAGAGACTGCGTATGAAGACTGGCGACCTGACATCAACAGTATCAGCGACAGCGTCAGTAGTGGCAAACAAGCAGCTCGAGGAGCTTCAATAGATGCGTCTAACAGCGAACCAGCTGCGGCTGAAGCGATGAAGAAGGAGGAAGCGAGACGGATTGCTGAGGCTCAACGAAAGGAAGAGCTTCCTAAAGCTTGGTGGGGAGCAGCCGAGACTGGCAAGCAATCGGGCAAGTATGAAGATATTGCCGTCATCATTCGAACCGGCTTCCAGGTACAGAAGCGATTGGAGGGGCCACTGTCTACCTATCTCAAAGACAGAAAGGATGATACACTGGCCATCTTTTCTGATCGAGAGTCGGAAGTCTTGGGCCGCAAGGTGCACGATACTATCAAGCCCTTCTTTGACAAGAACCCAGAAACCTACGACGGCACCGACATGCAGAAGATCTACAACTCAATTCAAGCCATGAGCAGCAATGGCTCAGAGGTCATTCCCGGTGAGCACAATCAAGGCTGGAGGCTCGATGTCATGAAGCAAACCATGTCAGCTGATTTGGGCTACCAAATGTTGCACAAGAATCGGAAGTTCAAATGGTGGGTTATCATTGATGATGATACCTATCTTCATCTCCCAACCATTTCGGCTGAATTGGCAAAAGTCGACCACTCGGAAGCGCACTACTTTGGTTCTCCCGTTGATGGTGGCGACAATCATTTCGCGCATGGTGGCAGTGGTATTGTCCTGAGCGCAAAAGCAATGAGCGATCTGTTTGAGAACCGGAAGCTTGCCGACCGTATGCATGCGAATGGTCTCAGCACACTTCATGGCGACCACAACTTGGCCATCTACCTCAAGAAAATTGATATCATCCTTGAAGACCGATTCCGACACTCTTTTCACGGTGAACCCTTCGAGGAGATACGATTCAAGCTCGAACAAGTCTGCGCGCCGCTCTTTACTGTGCATCACTTGCAGGAAGCTGCCATGAAGGCAACACATGAGGTTGTGTTTCGTGATAGGCTTGTTCGATTCTGGGATGTGCTCGATGCTGTTGCAGATTTCAAGGACATGAGTTTGTGGTACAAAGAAAATCACAGCTACAACTTGTGGGTCAATGACAAGTTGAACCTTGAAAGTGAAGTCGGCGAGGATAGCCACAAGGTGCCTGAAATTTCAGAAAAGATGCCGGTGGTCAAGATCGACAGCAAGCATGAGGAGAAGGAACGTTCCAAGTTGTGTGAAAACTTGTGCCGCTCTGATGCGGTGAGTAAAGGCTGCTTAACTTGGTCCTACGTCCCAGAGACCGGTGACTGTTATATGGCAGACTGGTTCATGCTCAATACCGGCAGACCGAGGAAAGGCGTGATTTCGGGAATCTTAGCGGAACGCTTGTCCGAATGGCGACGAGCTCCTTGCCAGTGGTAGTTGATGCCAACGTGGACTAATATAGACATACTATTCATTTGTAGATAAAGCGTTTTCGCCATCTCAAGATTTGGGCCACACGTGATACACATACGTGACGAGACACACGGATAAGAGACACAACATAAACAAAGTAGCTTTATTTTTGCCCATTCAGAAGGCATATTTGACTTGGATGCCAAAGCGGATGGGATCCGAAAAGTTGTCCGCTGTACGAAGAGCGAGGACGCCTGTTTGAGCCCGTGATAAAACGAGCCATTTGAAACGTCCTTGATCGGCGACTGTCACCGGTCGGTAGGCGTTCCTGTTGACCTTCGTCTTCTTTTGCACGGTCAGCCATGGTCGTTGTGGGGCTTGAGGTTGTGCCTCATTGTTCGCAACGGAGTTTTCTGGACGACGAGCGGCCTGACTGGCCGTAGATGCCCAAGCTCTTTTGGTTTGTTGCGGGGCCTTTGCCGCAGTGACGGTGCGTTGAGGAGCCTTGGTCGTGCTGTGCGTGGGCGTCTCGGGAGATTTCTGAGCGCTCTGCAGCTGGCCTACCTTGGCTTGGAGTGCGGCGACGGTTGCTTGGAGTTCCTCGACTGTTCACAACAAAGCAACAGCAATGAAATCCGGGGTGCTCCTGAGCCTGTGCGTAGGTCTCACCGCCTCGATATACGCACAGTGACGCAATCAACGAGGCCTACAAGTGGCATGTTGGGGACTCCAGCTTGAATCAGGCGCCCAAGGTCGGTATCGCAGCCCACCGTCATGACAACAATGATGGCAACGGCCACTCCTCCGGCCTCTGACACGGAGAGTGACACGAAAATTGAGATCCCAGGGTGCCCTACTGGCCCTGTGGAGGTCAATGACACATCGAGGGTACTGCAAATTGTGAAAACAGTCGAGGAACTCCGGGCAACCGTCGCCACACTCCGAGCCAAGGTAGGCCAGCTGCAGAGCGCTCAGAAATCTCCCGAGACGCCCACGCACAGCACGACCAAGGCTCCTCAACGCACCGTCACTGCGACAAAGGCCCCGCAACAAACCAAAAGAGCTTGGGCATCTACGGCCAGTCCAGCCGCTCGTCGTCCAGAAAACTCCGTTGCGAACAATGAGGCACAACCTCAAGCCCCACAACGACCATGGCTGCCAGCAATCCAAAATAGCTCGGGAATCCTCGGCTAGTCAAGCAGCTCGTCGACCAGAAAACCCCGTTGCGACGACTGAGGCACAACCTCTAGCCCCCCAACGACCATGGCTGACTGTGCAAAGGAAGACTAAAGTTAACAACAAGAACGCTCACCGACCGGTGACAGCCGCCGATCGAGGACATACCAACTGGCTCGGTTTACTAGGTGAGACCGCGGCCGCAGGAGTCGTGATGGAGATTTGTTAGCTGTTGATATATGTATCTATACCCCTGTGCCTAAATGTGACTGCCCCGTCTCGGGCTTACTCTCCCTCGCTGCAACTCCACAAACTTCGCGAACGAAACAAAGTCGCCAAGTGTCCAGGAGCCCGACGAGGAGTGACGACTCAGTGTATCTGCAGTTCGCGTCTACATCCTCGCAAATATTATCACGAGTCTCCGCCATATGTTCAACTTATTCATTGCCTCCTTTTAAAGCCACCAAACACTTCTGGCCCCCCTTCGCGCACCAATAAATTCGCAGACAACAGCATGAACGGCATGCGCTTTGATCTGCATGGTAGCGACAACATGTTGCATCGTGAGACCAGTTTCGAGCAGCAACATAACGGACATTTGCGGCCGATGGGGAGTCCGAGTGAGGGAATGCAACCTTCTAGTAACGGCATCGGTGCATCCCTCGAGACCTACCCAACACAACCAGAGTCTGTGACGCAGGGCAGGAATTCTGTCTCTGCTGCCCCGAGTACTGCTACGGCTGCAATAACGTCGAATGGAACGAATCATGGCGTGCCGCAGAAGAAGTCAAGTCGAGCGTGTGATCACTGTCGATTGAAGAAGCTGAAATGCAATACTGAGCCTGGACAATTGAACTGCTCAAATTGCCATGGTCGTCCCTGTGAGTACACCAGGCAGCCTCTCAAGCGTGGACCGCCGAAAGGACGTAAGCTAAAGCGTAAATTGGAGGATGAAGAGGAACAGAGCGAGGGAGACTCTCCGGAATCCGAGGAGCTCAAGCGTCGCATGAATAAAAACAATGATCGCTTTGATCCGATTCGAGATGCACAGGTCACCATGATGAGTGATGCGGCGTTAGATCCGCAGCTGAGACAACCTCAGGCCCCTCTACCAATACCACCAGAGTCAAAGCCCAAATCAGCGAGACGCACATCAGGACAAACGAGGCGACGATCTGAGAACATGCTGCCTATGCCGCCACTATCACTGCAACTAGAAGCCCTGCCAGTCTTTGTCGAGTACAACCAATCGTCGCTAGACAGATGGTACCTACTGCATCAAACGACACTGCCCATCCTCGCAAGAGATGCGGACACTTTACCTGATTACCTGAAAGTTACACACCCCTTACTACGTTCTGCGTTGCTGCTTGCTATCTACAGCGTAGTAGATCGTAGGCGAACACCACAACGCATCGACGCATTACTGGCAGAACGCTTCTTGCTACAATACACAGCAACGAAAGTCCGAGAAACAACGCATGATCGAATCGTGCATCTACAGGTATCGCTCATATTGGCCATTGAAGCGGATCAGCGAGGCATGCAAAAGATGCCTGGTCGATGTGGCCATACCTTCACACATTGGCTAGCCGGATCCATTTCACTGGCCATGGATCTGCGTGTGCATTCGATTGAGCCTGTGAAGCAGACTGCAGCGGAATATTGGCGGCTGAGACGATTATACTTCATCATGGTTATTATGGACCGCTGGCACGCTATAGGTCATGCGCATCCACTCATGATACCAGATTCGCAAGTGCCGTTCTCTCCAACGGTGGACTTGCTGGGTCCAGCAACGATGCATCTGTATACGATGAGTATGCTCATCAGTAAGCTACATGCGCGTATGTCTCTACATACAGCGATGCGAGATTTGCCCGATTTGGCACTCTTGAATGCCAAGGACTTCAAGGAGACGATTGATGAGTTGAATGCCTTTCGAACGGCGGTTGAGCCGATTTGGGGACAATCAAACTTGTTGCATATTGGGTTATGGCATGTGGCATTGCTTGCGGCATTGTCGACGGAAGAGATTGATATTGATTTTGTCAAGGAACATGCGATGCGAGTCTCTGCCGTGTTGCCGCATTCTGCAACACCCTTTACGACCTTCAATCATCACTTCTTTGCCATGAGCACGTTGAGTCTCTTTTACATCCTCGGCTTTCACGAGCATGAGGAATTTGCAATCAAGCATCTGGAGCAATTGAGAGAGGCCATTACAAAGCACAAGCATCTGGCACTCGATGATGATGAAGCAAATTGGGATGCTCAGCTCTTGACGTGCATCAATGCAATGCTCGACGGACACCCGGAAGCAACACGATTCGTGACAGCTGCGCATGGACGAGCTGATGCCTTGCTCGCTGAGATTCGTAGCTCGGGCTACATGCGTGCCTGGTGAGCCGCATCCTCATTATCTGTCCATGTTTTTTTGGAAAGGTCAAATGTCGCTATGCAATATACATGTATGCTCATCCGTTGTAGTGAACTCTCGTCCTCTACTTCTTACCCTTTGCCGGCTTCTTTCTTGTTGACTCCCGCAATTCGCGATCAGACATCTTGGGTGCTGCTCGAGAACTTGCATCCACCATCCAATCCAGATCATCGGCATCATCTTGCATTTGTCCTTGCTTCCCATCCTTCTCGCCCGTATCGGCAGCACCGCCGATCTGGCTCGACCCCTCCGTACTCGCATTAAAGCCTGAAAAGCGATTCGCAAAACGCGCCATGCGTCCAGATTCCTCATTCGACAAGCGTTTCCCAAGATTTGGATTCCATAACTGTGCATTTCTGATATCCTTTGAGAGCCTGAAAGTATCTCTCGGTGAGGTGGTGTAGCGTTGGTAGGATGCGCCATCAGAGAGGATAACGGTTTGTTGAAAGACTGGAGGTCTGTATTGTCGAGAGAGGAGCTGTTTGGGGCCTGTTGGTGCTGCTGCTGTTGCTGCTTTTGCGACCTTCTTGGCGACTTTTGCTGCTGCCATGCCTGCCTGTTGATCTTACAAGCTAACGAGATAGCTAGTAAGTACAAGCCTGTGAGTAGTAGTAAGTAGCTACTGGCTGATGAGTTGCTGCTTCCAAATTTGACTTTTGGCGCTTCAACACAGGCAAGAGACACACAACCACTCTCACACAGCTACACGACCAGGCAAGGCCAGACAGGCCCGCGTCCCTCTTGACCACCATACTTCCTTCAGGCCCTCAGGGTCTCAAGCGAAATCATCCTCTACCACAAGACTGCAAGCCAGCTCCCAAAAAGATCCATCTGTTGTACACCTCCTCTATTTCAACCTTACACTCCGACAAAGGCGCGCAGACGTCATGAGCTCCCAGCAATAGTCGCACTTGGCTGCTCTACTGCTACTTAACAAGGCGATCGAGTCCACAGGACCTGCATTTGCGAAACAAGAGTGAGCGATCTCAACGACACTCATCTTTGGGCGCGGGTGTGACGATTGCGCGTATGGCCTCCAATGAAGCGACTATACGCGAGTACGAAGCCAGAGCACTCGATAGAGCACGGCCCCGTCAGCCAAGCGATGGCGATGTAGAACACTACATTGATCTATACCGGTTATCACTCGACGGCCAACCAACGCCGGCCAGCTACACACCGGGTCTCAGCTCGAGCCATAGCGGGAATAGTCCCGTTTCGCAAGATAACCTAGCAGACCTGCGACAGCTGTCATCGGATGCTGCTGAAGAAGATGGCTTTCTCAGTTCCAGTAATGTTGCGCAAGAACTTCGCAACTTGGCGAACCTTCGTCGCTTGTCGCTCGACGTCTCTAACAACCACAATGTCGACCCGGATGTACCGTTGCAGTCTTTTGACCTCGCACCGGGACAAGGATCACCAGGCGATGACGACGATGCTCTTGGAGACAGCCTCTACTGGGTGTAAGAGCGTTCTTTCGAATAGAAGAACACAGCTAACGCATTTTATGCTAGACCGGCTGGTATCCACCCAGAAATCGCGCCTCAAGAATGGCAATCTTTTGTACAACGGCGAGACTCACAATTCGATCTTCTCGACAATAGCAGTCCATTTCGTTCACCATCCCTCAAACGTGGTCTCTCCAGGTCAGGTTCCTTGTTGTCACGGCAAGTGACGGAACAGCATGCGGAAGAGTATCGTGATGCTGCACCAGATCTTGCTAGACGGCGGTCAAAAGCACGTTCGCCCGTTGCCGTTCAGGGATTCGCTCGACTGGGTGAGACGTCCCTCCAGCGTGCCAACAGTGGCGATAACAATGATCCCATCACGCCCACGGCAACAACGACAGAAGACGCGCCTATTTTGGTACCACCACCTGGACAAATCCTTCGACGGGCAGCACGAACGGGTAAAGGCCGTGGTTCTTACCGGAAACCTGGGAAGACAACCATCACGCGCGCTGATGCTGAAGGATCAAGTAATCCAGTGGTATCGCCTGGTGCACTAGATCCTGAACCATACCTTTTGCAGCAATCAACAGACTTGTCACCTAGTCGGCAGCAGCCAGATGTACAACACGACACGACTGAAGCAACGAAGCGCGTGCATCGCAAGAAGAGTGATCACCGATCAACACAAATCCTTGGCCCACCAAGTCCACTATACGATGAAGCCATGCAACTCGGTGCATCCGCAGCAAGTCTATACCTCGAACAGCGGGATACACAAGGCCGTCAAAGTGACGAGCCTGATCGAAGACGACCTACAACAGCAGATGATTTCCGGACACGGCCGAGTACAGCGGATGAATTTCATGTTACGCCGCCACTTGCACGGGATCAGACAAGTCCTGCTGTACGGCCTGCTTCTGAGATTGTTGGGGATGATCGACGTTCCGCTGAGCACGAAGCAAGACAACCTCTTGTCACTGTCTCGAAGCCTGTCTCTGCTGGTAGCGCAGAGAGCGTGCCAGCAAGTATCATACCAGGTGTTCCTTCATCCACACCACCACCACCCCACATCGAAACAGCGCCCGCAAAACAAGAAGCAACGCGGCCTGGTGTCAAGCGTGAGCTCTCTGCAGCGTCACTGACACGTGCTGTCATGTCAGGAGCAGCTGTTTCCTCAAACACATCCTCAGGTCCCGTCAATGCTGCCGTGTTGGGACCCAGTGCTCGGTCTACTGTGCAACAACAGGGTCCTAGTCCTGAGAAACAGCGGCAAGGGAGCGTCGATGATGGTGGAGCAAAAAAGTCTTCCGGTTGGGGGAAATTGTTTGGTACGGAGGATCGCTCAAAGAGCAAGCAATTGAGGCCTGCAACGGGTGTGATTCAAGCAGGCGTACTGGGTGCAAGTCCTGCAACTGGTACAAAGCAATTGAAGCGTGTCACATCCGCAACGGAGGAGACTGGAAAGGAATCAACGAATTTATTCTCGAGCATTTTCGGTGGCAAGAAGAAGGAGAAGGAAGTGAATTTACAGGTGGATACGGCGTATGGCGGTGGTAAAGTCATGACGGTTCCTGCTCGACCTCCTCAACCTCAAGGAACGGTACGCCCACCATTGCATGAACCTCATTTCTATTCGAGGTTTCCGATCCAATTGGAGCGTGCTATTTATCGCATGGCGCATTTGAAGTTGGGTAACTCGCGGCGACCATTGCTGCATCAGGTGTTGTTGTCCAATTTCATGTATGGCTATTTGGCCTTGGTGGGTGCTGGACAACAGCGGGAGACAAGTCAGCCACCGCAACAACAGCAGTCAGCAAGTCAAGCGCCTGTTGTACCATCGAGTCCAGGAACGCCAGCACAACCCGTTGGTCCACAAGCAACAGGTGAGCAACCACGCGATCGTGCTAGTCAGGTTGTGAATCAGCAACAAGGCAATAGTCGGCATGTGGAGCATGCACCAGTTTCTTCTGGTGCATTCACTGAAACGCCAAAGACTGGTAAACGGCAATCACCACCACAGCAGACGTATGCTGTTGAAGGACTCAACAAAGCTGCACCGGTGAGCGCCCCAGCTGCTCAAGCGCCAACGAAACCCGGTAGACCTGGGCCACCGAAACGAGAGTCCAGCATGAATATTTATCGGCCTGGCGCGTCTTGAGTTATGAAACCTAGCTAGATGATGGCAAGCCAAAGAGGTCATCTTGATGCATTCTTTGTTCCTGCTGTCTCCGTAACGCCTCAATTCAATTGCATGTCATGTCTTTGTCTCTGTCTATATACAAAGCCTACTCCATGGTTGTCTTGACATGGTCTTCATCAATGGTGGTGTAAATGATGCCTTCCTCCTTAAGTGCCTCAATGGTTGCCAGAATATCACCACCACCACCCATCAACCCCGCCAGCGTACGCACATGAATACCATCTTCATTGACGGTATTCTTGACAATCGCTTCAACAATCTTACGACTGAAATCATCGAGATGGCGTAGCTCATCTTGCACTTTTTGTCCAAGACCATTGCCTTGACCTGATTGTGCACCTGCACCTGCTGCTTGTCCATTGGCACCAGCAGAATCATCATCCGGTGGTCCGCGCGTTAGGTAGAGTGATGCGTATTTCGTTTCAAGTGCATGATATGCAACTTCCTGCTCATCCGTCACTTTACGAATCGCCGTGGAGGCAACACTGCGTTTCCCATTAAAGGACTTCATATTGCCCAGGACACGCGCATGCATACCATTTTCAATCTCAATGGCTTGATCTGCTGCATCGGCATCAATCCACTTCTTGACTTCAATGACACCTGTGTCATCATCGAATTTATAGGTGATGTGCGTTGAGGCAGAAGAGACATTCACGACTTTTGCAACAAAGGTGATGTGCAAGATTTCCACACCATCCGCTTGGAATGGTGCATCTGGGTGTGTTTGTGAAGCATCGAGGATCTGTTTGATGGTGACTGGACGGAGAACAGTGCTGGATGTCTTCTTGTCGCCACCACCGGGGGTTGTTTGTGATGCTGAAAAGCCGCCGCCGCCTCCTCCTCCTCCGTAGCCGCCGCCATTAGGTCCGCCGTTGGACTGGTAGTTATTGTGGCTGTACCCGTTGTCGTTATATGACATGATGGCTGCTCTCTATGTGCAAATGCTTGAGATCTAGCTTGGACGCCGGAGCCTTGTTGAGCTTCGTTGAAGACGCGACAGGAAAAAGACGCGACGGGAAATGCAAATGATCAGATGGCGCCAGGACTTGTTCACGGACTGGCGCAGAGGCAGAGGTGCTCAGGCTTGAGCGATCAGTGACAAGGGAGACGGTACTCAGAAGTGTAAAAGATTTGAATGTCAGTGGATTGAAGCCAGTCGTGACACTCTAGAGCTGCCTCGGACCAGCTTTTGAATTCCACTTATCATGCAAATGTGTTTCTACAGCAGATACTACTTTGACCTTCGTTCTGTTATTCTCCAATACTAGCTGTAGGCTGGTCCAAACGACCTCTTCCTTGAGAAGAAAGCTGAATCGTTGTGCAGACAATGTGCCGCCCTCCATCTGATCGCCTTTCGCCGCAAAATCTCAAAGACGCGACCAGACACCCACGACCATCACCTCAACCAGTCTTGCTGAGTATGCAGTGAGCGTGCGATGCCAGACTCGATGCAAGACTAGTCGCAAAGACTGACACAACCAATTCCGACCCTTCGAGCGCTCAATGAGCGGGTCTCTCGCAAGTCTTGGCAAAGCACTCCATGCCGCCTTTGCGCAACCCCAGATTGCGCTATCGCCCGAGCTTCTCCAAGTCATCGAGACTTATCTCGACAAGCACAAACACCCAAGCGAGAACGACAGCTCGAGACTGCACGAGGAGCTCTGCGCAATTCATAAAGAGCATGTCAGAGGCACAGATCGCAATGCCGCCTTCTTACATATCCTGCGGCTCTTGCGACATCAAATGATTATAGATGCTGATCAATGTGTTTATTGGTGGGACGCCATGATTGGGCCCATCATTGGCAATATCGAGCAATCGAAGCGAACGCTGAAGGATGCAAAGGATATTTGTCTCGACATGATGGTTGTATCGGACGATGAGGCTGAGTCTGAGTTCAAGCAGCGCAATGCAACCGCTGAGAGAGTCAAGCGATGTATGCTTGAAGCATACTTTGCTGCTCAGAGCCAGCAACTAGACAATGTCGCTGTCAACCTGGAAATTTGTCTTGTGGCCTATGCTCGCCGAAGGACCAAAGACTTTTTCGAAACCATTGTACCACACCTTCAAGACAAGCACAATCGCCTACAATGCCTCACGTTGCTATCAACGTTTGTTCGGCTGCAGACACAGTACATCTACACATGCTGCGAAACGCCACTGCTAAATACATTGCTGCTCTGTCTCGAACACGATGCATCGACATCCGTCATTTCTCTAGCTCTCACCATTCTCATCATGATGCTGCCACATATCCCGGACAAGCTTGGACAGATTCTACCACGCTGCTTCCAGATCTTTGGCAGGATTTTGTGCTGGGATCGCATCGGTGCAGTGCAGCGCAGAACGGCGGCCATGCTGGTTGAAACGTCTCAAAGTATCCTTGAAAAGGAGAAGTCTCCAGAAGCGTCATCGACTCTGTCTGGTGAGTGGCAACGACTCGAAGCGTCTTTTGATATTGTCCATTCCACGCCACCAAAATCTGCTCAGTACTTCACCTTCCTCTACGGCTTGTATCCCATCAACTTTCTCGATTATCTCAGGGCACCGAGTCTCTATCTCCAAGCGCGCAATTTCGTTCCCAACGAAGCGCTCGAAGACTTTTTTGAAGACGAAATCATCAAGAGCCGTGCTGAGCCTCTTATCCGACGACACTTGCTACATCCAAACCTGTCAACCTTGACGCTCGATAGTGAGGTATCGGATGTGTCGCGCTGGATGAAGATGGAGCCGTCTGATGTCGTTGCGCTGTGCATCTCGCTCGATACCATCAACATTGATGCTCAATCCAAGCTGCAAAGTCTTCGTTACTCGGATACTGCAGATGATGATGTGACGCCCGTCTCATTAGACGCTTCCAAAACGTTTGATGAAAAATTATCACCGATTGACGAGACTGACGATGCACCTTCTGCCAATTTCAGTATGATGGACTCCTTCATGTCTGGCGATTCGGTGGATATCCCACCTGCTGCATCACGACTCGCAAGTCCGGCATTTGGACCAACACCTTATCGGTCCTCCAGTGCAGGTGAATCGTTAGGCCGTCGTGAAAGCGGCAAGAGATCTTCTGTCGCACTCACTGAGATTCTGCGTGTTCATGAAAAGCTACTGGACCATACGCCATCTACCACGACGGCACCAGAAGACGAGCTACATGCCGACGTCTCGTACTACCAGCGAGAAGTTCTTTTGCTGCGCAATGAACTGCATTTCGAACGACACTTGAAACAGCAACATTTGCAACACATCGGACGTCTCCAACGCTCGAATATCGCTGATGCAGCTGTTGAGACGGAACGTCAGAATCTATATAATACCACCAAGGCGTTGAAATCACAAGTGGCGAATCTACAAGGTTCTTTACAACGCTTACGGAATGAGACAGCGACGAGTAAAGCGAATCGATTGGATTACGAGGCAACGTTGAATGAGCGTATCAAGCAATTACGACAAGAACGTACCGTCTGGACGAGTACGGAAAAGTCAATGCGTACGGCACTTGAAGAGGCGCGCGCAGATGTTCAGAGTATGCGATATAGCCTCGGTGTTGCAGAAGGCGTACAACTCAACCTACGTCAACAACTACAGGTTCTCGAGCCAGAGATTCAGGAGACGCGGGAGTTGAAGCAAAACATCGATTTGCTGAAGCAACGGATGAAAGAGGCAGAAGTACAAGACATCCAGTTGCGAATGGAAAAGGAGCGTGTGGCAGAAGCGGTGGCAAGAGCCAAGGCTTCTCAACTTGCCTTGGAGGCCGTCAAGCAAGAATTTGCAGCATTCAGGCAGGAAGAAGCAAGTCGAGCTACCTCACAGGATGCTATACCCCTGCACGTCAAGACTGCCATGGTGAAACCTGAGTTGATTGCAGAGATGCTAGCACATGCAAAGTCAAGACAAGTCAGTGAGCATGAAGCTCTTCAAGACCGTCATGCGATCTTGCGAAAGCGCTATGGTGCATTGGAAGCTCAGCTCGATGAAACGCTGGCCAAATTGGAGATTGCAGAGTTGACGGCACAACATGCGATTGAACGAGAGGCCAAACTCAGCCAAAGTGCAAATCTTCCAATGACACCTGGCCAGGCCCCCAGTCCGCTTGGCGAAGGATCACCGCAGGCACGTTCAGAGCGCTCAGAGTCGATTGCCTCAACCAGTACCTCTGGCACGGTCGATGCGGGTCTAGTCCATGGAGCTCGGCGCAGGTCCATTCCGCACTCAGCAACGACTCTTGCTAGTGCGTTTGGTAATGAAAATGCTCCGGTGATTGGCGAACGAACGCCTTCTGCCATGACGTTGCCGGCTCGGCATCAAACAGAACCCATTTATTCTGGAGAAAGGTCGCCGGCATTGGCTGGAGGAGAAGGGCTTTCAGCGGCTGGATCCTCTTCAACGCCGTCTATTGCCAGTCGATCGACCGCTGGCACGAGTTCAAAGGCGAAACAGGAGAAAACACGGACGCCGATGCCTATTTCCATGTATGGGCCATTAGTGCCACCAAAGACCAAGACTGCGCCGCCAGCAACAACGTCAAAGACGACCGATACGAGTGCATCCGGTGGGCAGACCAAGAAGACTGAGCAAAAGATGTTTGCGGGAAGATTCTCTAGGTGGAGTTGAGGGCGTGATCTTTCCCCGCTAAGGGAAGAAGCAGGATACGATTGTAGCATTTCACAATGATGATCGTATGTCAGGCAAATCTGTGCTTGTTCAAACGACTGAGGGGTTGAATTTGAGTGCATCAGCCGGATGTGGTCATCTATGTGTCTGTGCCGTGATGTCCGATTGTTCAGTGTCAGTCTTGGTCCAAGTCACCTATACAAAGCGGACCTGAAATTTGGTAACGAGGTTTTGGTCGCCAATCTAGCCACTGGTTGCCACTGGTAGCCAGACCTGTCAGATCTTTCGCCATGTGGCTAGGGGTATCCCACTTTTCGTGATCAGATGACGATAAATATGATCAATGTCGCCTTGGGAACTATAGCAAAGCCTAGCACAATCTCGGAGAATTCACGTCTTGGTCCTAGCACTCCTATATGGATTGTAGGTACAGTCATGCAGGTACGACGCTCATCAATTGTTCAAAGACCCAGGCTGTCAAGAGTCGAAGTCTCAGCTAGCTTGCCAGACTGTGACAGTGCCTGTCGCTGCCTGATGCATTCGTGAAGTAGTGAAGCAGCTGATTGCCTGAGGACAGTTAGGACTGTGAGGCCTCCGCCTGAGGAGTCAAAATTGTGAATTGTGGCCATGGTCGGTTTTTCCGGGGTTTATCACACGAATCCCGGGCGTACGCGCTGCACAAGGCTCGTAAGCGGGGATTTCATCTGTCACTCCGGGCCCGGGGTATTGCTGTCAATTGGATGAGCAAAGGAATTGAGAGAAGCAGTCAACTTCTACCCTTGCGGAGAACTGATATGAAGATAGCGTGAATGGACGGTATGGATACGGCACATAGCTGACTCTGGGCTGACATTGAACTTAGTGAACTTGCAGGGACAGTACCAGGCAACAAATTGTGCCGGAAGGAGCATCACTATAATCACTGAGATGGCACGGTGCAGGATGCGGTGAAGTGAATGGAGTGACTGACTCCCTGCTGATGACGGAGACGTGTGAATGGCTGGATGCTGGCAAGGGGCGCGCGTCCACGTTTTTCAATTTTCATGTCTCGCACTCTGGGCACATGGAAGGGCTCACTCGAGCTGCCAAGTCTGGTGCCAAAGACTCAGAGACACAATCCCGGCTTCCCATGCGGCTTTGATGGGAGGCCAACACAGACATCGCAGGTGCTCAGTGCTCACTCAGTTAAAGAGCTCTGCACCTGCCAACATTAAGTCTACTAAAAGTCTGACCTGACTACGACTGACCATCTCCCTCAACTGAGCCTCGAACCACACTACGAGGCGGTCATACTCCAGCAGATATGAGGCCAGAGGAAGTCTTCTATGCACCAAGCGTCGTCAGCGTTGGAGGCCGTCACAGACAACCGTCAGTGACTGACTCATCTATCCTCTCACCAACACCAACATGCGTCTCTCGATTCACACCCATCACGACCCCGAATCTGTCGCATGGCTTTCACTCCTACTCACTCACAGCGCCTTCTATGGAGCGCAAGGGCAGCAACAGCAGTAATGTCTCCTCAACGACACTGCACGAGACTCATGCTGCAACCTGGTCGCATTCAAGCCCCTTCAAGGGCCTTTTGTCTAAGAAGAGCCTCCTACACATCAAGACGATCGCGCTACCCACAAGCAGGGCGAAACACGACCTGCATCTCGACACCAACAGCGGCATGGACTTTTCTACATTCATGAAGTCAGCTCCATCGTCGCCCACCTCCCAGACCACACCTGTCGTTGCACAGCTCTCAGCACAAGACCGCAAGCTGGCCAAGGAGCTCGCCAAAACGGAGAAGTTGCGAGAAGTGGTGCGGCTTCGCAATGAAAAGATTGATCGGCAGGAAGCCAAGAAGCAAGCGTCTCGTCTCGCTAAAGTCAAGCCCTTTCAACAATCGACGGGCCTTGCAGCCGTCCCTGCCTGAGTCAACTTGATGACTGATGATCCCTTCTATGATTTAACGGCATTGATGATTATTCTAGCGCTGGCGTCTCACACTTTAATGACTATGTATCCATAAAGCAAGCATCTTTCTGACTTCCATGACACTTCTCTATCTCACTCGTACTTCTGCAACGAGTACGGCGTCCTTGCATGCTTCTCTACTTCCGGCTGCCGACAATTTATTTGTGTCTGACGCGAATCCAAGCACGCGCACGATCTTCACGCGAATCGCACGCGCACATCATCTTGAAGCGCTTAAGCGTTATGCAGATGTCAGACTCCTCACATCAGCTCGCGTCCATGCTCACGAGGGAGCAACTGCGATGGGCTTGTATAGATCCTGTGAAGTGGCTCTGATGTTTCTTGCTACAGACTCTGGAACGGAGGTCCCAAGTCAGTGAGTGCTGGAACTTGCTGTTGTCTCGTGATCCAATAGAGCTATGATTGCGTCCCTCAAACATCCACTTACAGTCTCCTTCATGCATGTGCGTACGACCTACCTAGTCCGGACTTTTGGCCGCTCTATCGGCCTCAGGGGATTTGAGTAGCTTGCTCTGACTTCTGAGGCTGTGACCCTCCAGAGCCACAACTCACACTCGGTATTATCATGATCTGGATTGCCTTCTTGGACTGTCAGAGTAGTCTCTTGCTTGTCATGGACCGCTACCCGATTGAGATTCTTCGGATCACAGCCTGATTGTATCATGTCGTCGGGGACAGCGTTTCCGCTATTCCCTTGAGCTTTTGTTGCTCTTTGGTCGCCGTGTGCAGCTAACGACACGACGCTCGTAGGCCTTGAGCAGTTGAGCCATCGAGCGACATTGAACTTCGCCGAACTTGCCAGGATTGTTGACCTTGTCCTGAAGAGTTGAATTCAAGGCACTTGATGACGACTTTATGGAGATTGATCGACACTATCTGAAGGAGACTCTCCTGTCGACGCCGAAATGATACTTGGAGCGTTGCCAATGGCCTCAGCTTTTGCATGGCTTAGACCAAAAGTGCCATCCATTGCTAGCCTTGTAGCAATTGCGGCATGCACAAGATGCTTTCCCCTGATATCCTGACTTGTACTTCCCACACGCAACGAGTTGTATTCCAGCTCCTTGATGGTGTCCGAACCTTCTCTGTGCACAGTCCCCAAGCCAAGCACCACGACACAACTCTTTGCAATCAGGGGAGTCAAAGAAGGGCACCTCACCGAGTTAGGAACGTCAACGTCAACGTGTCTATACTGAGTCAGATTATGGGTAGTGATGAAGCATCGCTGCAACTTGTGACTTGAACAATGCTACGAATTGAGACACGGAGGTTCGGTATCATGAAGCAGTATTGGCAATGCTAAGATGGAAGACATCCCGATGTAAACCGGTAAGACAGCAACGTGGTCGGGTGAGTCGCCCTGTGCGGCCAAAAATGACGCTATGGCCTGCGAAGTCATTGCGGATGTTGCGTTTGTGCGGGCTAGGGCTTATCTGCTAGGCATCTGGCAAGTTGATCGACGATGAAGGCTGACTTTCAGCTTTCAAAATCTCCATTTGGTGATTTGAAACGGCAGTGAGACAAGATCCTAGCAAAGACGTGGCTGCACTGTCATGTCTGCCAACATTGTCAAGACTTCAAATCTCAATGTTCCGTCTGAGTGATCTGACCGCGTGTCAAGCCAGCTGCTCTTGTCCTGTCCGGTGGCTGGTCTCAGTCGTCTGCTAGGGAAATCTGGCTCTCTGGGGAAATTTAGTTGACAGGATCTGTTGGAAAACTTCCCGCAGGCCTCGTGGCATGACGCATTGACGCAGCGGCAAGAATTCGGCATCTTCGTCGATTCTTCGAGCCTCAACTTGCCCAAAGAAGCACTTGAGTTACTTTGTACAGGCATTGCGAAACGACTACTGCTGTGGTTTTCTCATGTGAGCCGAGGTACTACGCTACTAGTGTCAAGTCCGGCGCTGATGGCAGACAAAGACATGTTGAGAGACCATTTAGGCAGGCCACGAGGTAACCCTTTGCTATTCCTGGAAGAATGGTGCCAGTTGCAAGACCTATCCGCCTGTCACTGTAGCAACAACTTTGCATACTGCTGAAGGTTATGCTGGATACGGCAAGACGTCCTGTGCTCCAGGCCACGCGTTGCTCCTACCGGTCTGCTTGACGTTTATAGATATCCGTTCCGCGGGGTATGAGTGTCCACGAGTGCTTGCCCTGTCTCCGCGTCGTAGGCGACTCTACTGATGCAGTCGTTCGCTCCATCCGTCGGTTGTAGAGGATGTGTCCTTGGCGCAGCCGCCGCGACAGATTGCGAGACTGCGAACTCTAGAGCAATCATGAGACGTTCACTGCATAATTCGTGCCTTGTGCTCGCTCAGGACTTGCCGTCTTAGCTTATGACACTCAGGATGGCGGATATCAGGGTCCGAAATCAGCTGCAGCGGTGCGTCTACAATGACTCTAGATGTACAAACACAGTATACGTTGAAGTACGTACCAGTCTCGTAGCAGCTGAATAGGCTAAAGAGCGCTTGCTTCGGGTGCAGATCTCCTAAGTGCACCTGGGCAGGTGGGAGCCCTGGTCCCTGGAGTGTTGACTTGGCGCAAGTTGGCGGCGTTGGCGGCAACTTGGCGCCCTTACCCCATTGCCACCGGAGCGACGTCTCGCGAACTAAAAATCTTGGTGAACGTCAAACGACTCAATGCTAGCGTCATGTCTAGCCTCTAGTATTGTCTACATGCCAAAGACCAGTTGCCAGGCTGGTCGGAAGAACCGTATCCCGCCGACATAGACACCTTGTCAACGGCTAAATGGCAACTGTGGGCAGTACCCCATCGTGGCAGCGTCACTTCTAAGTTTGTCTCATGTGATCGACAAATACTTTGCACAGCTGTACCCGGTGACTCTGGACACTATAAATAAGATGCCCTGCTGTCAAGTATTCTCCACAATATATTGCTTTAGCTATGCATATCCTGCAAGGCTTGCTCGCTCTTCAATTGTCTCTTTGTCATGTCAACGCATTGACTGCCAGTTCGCGTGTGTCGAAGAGGTCATCTGCTAGTGCAAGTGCTTCTGCGTCGGCTTCATCTTGCCCAGACTACAATGATTATTCGAAAGTGAGCCACGAGCCGCTCTCCTCTGGACCCTTGAAGCTTGCGTATACGCGACCAAGCAAGCAATGCAGAACTTTCCATTCTGATGCAGTCGAGCAGATGATCAATCAGACCGTTGCCATGATTAGCAATCCTGACATTGCTCGCATCTTTGAAAACACAGTTGCATCGACCCTCGACACGACAATCAAGTACCACAACAACTCCCGATCCAACCCGCAAAGTTTCGTCATTACTGGCGATATCAATGCAGAATGGCTCAGGGATGCCTCCTTCCAATTAACGCCATACTACAATTTAGTCGCCAACGACAGTGCTTTGGCTACTTTGATTGCTGGCGCCGTCCAGTCCCAGGCATACTTTGTCAATACTTCTCCTTATGTAAATTACAAGCAACAATGGAGCGTAGCTAACCACAGTGCAACTCTTTCCAACCGTTCCCGGAGTCTGGTGTGGCGCCAACAGTCAATGAATACGGCAAGGCAGACGTCGTCAAGCCAAAGATTGACAAGAACAAGGTCTTTGAGTGCAAGTATGAGATTGACTCCCTGGCTGCGTTCCTCAGGATCTCGAGGATGTACTATGAACATTCTCAGGACAACTCTATGTTTACCGCAGCTTGGATCAAAGCTGTTAAAAATGTCTTTTCGGTCATCGCTGCAGAGTCGAGGCCATCCTTCAATTCGTCTGGTATTTTCCAAGTTCCAGCATACAGTGAGATACCCTCTTGGTGCCCTGCCGTTGCTAATGAAAGCTTTTCAAAGGACGACTGATCTCGCAACAGAGACACTTGCAATTCTTGGCGCTGGCTACCCAGTAAATGGCAATGTCAGTATGGTTCGATCAGCCTTCCGACCGAGTGACGATTCAACCATCTTACAATACTTCGTGCCTGGAAACGCCATGCTCTCTGTTGAGCTCGGTCATCTCAGCTCTTTGCTCAAGGCAGCCGGGAACCAAAAAGCAATTGCCAGTAATGTCACTGGACTTGCAGACAAAGCCATGAATCTTTCCACTAGCATTCGCAATGCCATTTACGAACATGCCGTGATCGAGCATCCAATCTATGGCAAGGTCTTTGCCTACGAAATTGATGGCTACGGCGGCCGCATACTCATGGATGACGCCAATATGCCATCTCTACTCTCGCTGCCATACCTGGGCTTTGTCAACAGGACCGACAGTGTGTATCTCAACACACGAAAGATGATATTATCTGCCAACAGCAATGCATATTACATCAAGGGTTCCAACATGGCTGGAATTGGCTCCATTCACACACCGCTTACAAATGTGTGGCCCATGTCTCTGCTTGTTCAGGCGTTGACCAGTGACAATGAGACTGAGGTCTCATCGCTCATAACTCAGGTGGCAAACACGACAAACGGACTTGGACTCATCCATGAAAGTGTCAATGTCGGCAACTCGACCGATTATTCTCGACCCTGGTTTTCTTGGGCGAATGCCATGTTTGGAGTGGCCATTTTGGACATTCAGCAGCGGTTCCCATCACTCCTCAAGCAGTAGCGCCATCCAAACGTATCAATGACTAAGTGTCTCGTATATTCTCTCACTTACATAGAAGTGCTATAATCCAGTGCATGTCCTCCTGCAGCGGATACATTGATTTGCCATCTCGTGGCTGAGGTTAGGCTTTCCACGGTTACGTGCTATGGAAGGGCCCTGACTCGCAATACATCTTTTGCACTTTTATTTCTGCGTGGTCCCTCGCTATGTCGTCTTCAAAGTCTGCCGAGAGGCTTGTGGCAGATCAAGGAAAGGACAGAACGATATCAGCTACAAGCGGGTCTGACGCTTCTGCTGCTCTCGAAGAGACTACCCGACCTGAAGCTACAGTGCCTGAGATCAGCACGCGATGGCAAGAGACGCGTCGCAAGCTCAAGAACTTCACTCTGTCTTGGTTCAGTGTTTCTATGGGTACAGGAGCTGTAGCTCAATTGCTTTATACTATGCCCTACCGCGGACCTGGTCAACAAGTTGCGGGACTCGTCTTCTTCTTTCTGAACGTTGTGCTATTTACGCTATTCACGTTGGCTACAATCATCAGATACATCATGTTTCCTAACATCCCGCAAATTATATTGCATCATCCGTCCGAGTCATTGTATGTCGGAGCCATACCAATGGCTTTTGCAACACTCATCAACATGGCGGTCTATGCAGGACATCAACTTGGCCAGGGCGTCATCACATTGGCTCTGGTTGGTTGGTGGATCGATGCGGTGATTTCGCTTACTACTTGCTTTCTTGTGACGTACTTCATGATCTCCAGACACGAGCACACGGACATGAAGGATGCAAGCTCTATCTGGCTGCTTCCCATCGTGTCTGCCCCAGTCGCCTCTTCAACAGCTGCGATTCTCATTCCCTATCTCGACACGTCCAATGCTTATATCGTTCTCGTCAGTGCATACGTGCTCTGGGGATTTGGCGTCATGCTGGCGAGCATGATTCTCATTATCTATTTACAACGTCTCATCTTTCACCATCTGCCTCCCAGACAGCTTATTGTTTCCATCTGGCTTCCAATTGGATACCTTGGCCAAGGCATTTTTTCCATTGTCAAGCTCGGCTCGCATTGCGACAGCATCTTCAAGGCAAAAGCCGCCCTTGATCCGTCATTTCCACTAGCTGACGCTGGACCGGTATTCTTCTATGCTAGCGCGCTATTCGGTTTGACCTTCTGGGGGTTCAGTATGTGGTGGCTCATCATTGCCATCTTTGCTGTTCTCGACCATGTTCGACTAGGCTTTCCATTTTCCCTTGGATGGTGGACATTCATCTTTCCGACCGCTAGTTTGGTCTCAGGCACCTTTGCTCTTGGTACGGCTTTCAAATCGTCATTCTTTGACGTGCTGGGCGAGATTATGGCATGGGCTGCAATCGTACTATTCGCAATGGTGTTCTTCTTGACAATACGACAAGCATATCGTGGTACACTGTTCTACGCTCCATGCCTCAACACAAGCGTCAAGTCTGAAAAGAAGTAGTGGGTCTGTCGATGGACAAGAAGCAAGCTGGACGCCAATCTCCTAGCTCGTTGCTTGGACTGCATCAGACGCAACACATCTAAGAACTCAGGAATATCTGTACGATCTCTGAGCTTACGAGCTGCAGCACCAACTATATTGGAAGCAGGCCAGCTATGTCGCTTGTGGCAAAGTTACCATCTGAATGCCGACCATAAGGTAGATGCACACTTACCTGAAGTATGGGAAAGTGTGACTATCTGGGAGAACGGGCCCGACGAGAACTGTCACGCCGTCTCTCTTCCTCTTGAAGCTCTTCCTCCGTGAACTTGCGTCGAGTGCGATACTTAGATGCATGACGATCTCGCTTGGAGGATCGCTTTGGACTTCTACTGCGGGATTGACTTCGCCCAGGTGATGCGTGATGACGACGTCGACGAGACCCATCTCGGTGACGATGTCGCCGGCCACTGCGACTGCGACTGCGACTTCTCCTTTTCCTGCGGGAATCATGCTCTTCAAAGACATTACGGGAAGGATCATGCTTCCCTTTACTCCTGCTAGTTGGCAATGCACGACGCCGTTGAGGTGGCACAGGCGGTTGAGATCGACGTGGTGAGCGCGAACGAGACCCGGATGTGGATCTTGAATGCGAATATCGATGCTTTCTTGAATGACGGTGTCGTTTGGAGTGACCAGAACGTGATCGCGAGCGAGACCGCGATCGCCGACGACGACGACGACGACTTGAAGAGCGCGATCTGGACCTTGACCTGGACCTGGAGCTAGAAGGCCTTGCTCGTCTTGGACGTGGTGAGCGTGACAGGCTATCCTGAGAGCGGTCTCTCCTCGCGAAATCTGGCGACCGGCCGGTCGGACTACGCGATCTGAGATGTTCTTTAGACGGAGGCGTGCGAGTCCGTGACCGACCTCTTGGCACGCCTCCCGAAACTTCTTTTGTATTGCCTTTGTTACGAGGCCCGGTCGGCACAGATTGGCTGAATGGCCCCTGCGTAGATAATGATACATCGGCAGGAGTTTGCTTTGCAACTACAACAGGATAACGAAAGCCCTGCTGCTGGGGCCAGCCAGATTGGACTTGCCCTCTGTCCATCTCGCCATTGTCCATGCGTTCTGTCATTAGCATGCGATACTCGTGAGGGACGAAACCGTACCATTCACAGGTTGGTTGTCTTGTCCTTGCTGCTCGTTCATTTGCCCACCAGATGTCTGGATCGTTAGCACAAACATGAATGAGAATCTGGTACCCTTGATTGCTGCTCCTGCTGGCCCTCCTCTTGCCGCTTGGCCTCCAAAGCGAGCGCATCGTTATGTCGCTTCTCTGCATGTCGCAGAAACACCAATACTGTCGTCCGCAAGCTACTGCTTGGATCACTGCCAGCCTTATTCAGTGGTTCCTCTGCACAGATAGGACATACAGTCACAGGTAGCGCGTCAAAGCCTATGTGTCAGCCGTGTGTCAAACGAATGAGAGCGTACAAGGGCCACAAACAATTCCGTCGCAGCAGGCCAGCTTCCAAGCGTCCCGTGCCAGGCACGTACACTGCGAGCACTTGAGTCGCTCTGGTATGCTTGGCAAAGGAAAGGCTTCCTTGCTCATCTGTAAGGTGTAGAAATGCTGTGTGGTCGCGTGAGGTCTGATTTGAGATGCGACGTCAGGGCGCGACCCACGACCGACACCTCATTGAAGGCTCATCCACCTTGGACGCTTGACTCTTTGTCTGCAGCTGACAATGTCTCCTTGAACAGCTCATACTAGACTGAAATGGATGCTTTGCTTGCGCGAGCTTCCTACCAGTTCACGACCTTTGCTATCCGCTCAGGCATCTCCATTGCTGGCGGCTATGCCATCAAACAAGTATCGACTTACATCGCGAAACAGCCACAAGACTTGCACAAGCGCGAGCTGGAGCTTCTATCGAAACGGCTCGATCAGAAGATCAAGATTGTCACGCCAGCCATTGATCTGATTGAGATTATCGCCGCACGCGGCAACACAACGCTCAATAGTACGGTGCAGCTGACAGTGTCTCTGCGCAACGACATTAATGACTTTGGCCAACGAATGAATGAAACTATGAATAATGTAAAAGGGGTAAGTGGAAAAGAGCAGACTGTCGCAATTATTGAAGACATGAAATTGTTGCTTGCTCGCATCGAAGACGCAGTTCCTCTCATCAGTCTAGCTCTCACGACGTCTGGTGCAAACTTGTCGGCATCCTTGCCGGAGACTGTCTCTCCCTCTAGATTGCTGCAGGCCTCGTCCTTCCTGCAAAATGGCGACTTGCAATTCAGTCAGACCAGAATCGAGACTCAAATTGGACCATCCTTTCCACTCAAGCTCTATACCATCTTTGAAGGACACTCACGAAGGGACCCCAATCTCTCAGACATCACTTGGCAAGAGACGTATGCCAAGGCAATCTTTGAAGTTTTTCGTATGCCCATGGCAGCTGATGTGGCGCATGATCAAGGCAAGCCTATTGAGCATCCGCTCGAGTATCTTTACCACTTCCGCGTCACTGAAGACCTCAATGATGGGCGTTATCACGAAGAGCTGGAGTCGGGAGAGTATAAGCGAGATGCACAAGGATTCATACGCGGTGCTTCGAGGGACATTCCTGTGCACAATGTCGCTCGTCTGTTTTTCAGCGCTTCTGGTCGCCTGCTCAACATTGAAGAAGCAAGAACGCCTGTGCTCGTGCTCAAGATCAATCACGCTCTGCCAGGTCCGTCTGCTCTGATCAGGTCAATCTTTGCGAATCAATACGGAGAGGACAAACCCAGCACGCCAGAGTCTGACGAACCACCGGACGGCGCAAGAGTGCCACAGGTCCAATCTGAGGACGATTTGGAGTGGGTCGCACTGGAGATGTGGTCTGAAGAAGTTGAAGATGCCGAATCAGACGATGAGGCCTCTTCTGATGCCTCTGAAGAATCCCAAGAAGACCGTCCCGACTCTGCGGATACTGAAACCCTGGACGAGCTGGCTATGCAGATGCAAGTGCTCAACATGTCGGCCAAGACACAGCAAGTCTCGTCGAAAACTGGAGCAGCCCATGCAGATGTTGCCACGTTGTCCCTCCTCGAGTATATCCTCCGTTTAGCTGCCTTGCAGACTAGTGAACAAACGTCGCTCCTATCCATCTCGGACGAGCGCATCTCGCTCTTCTTGAGAGACGATTCTCGTCGTTCAAGTTCGCGTCGTCGCACATCTGATCGACAGGTAGCAGAGCCACGTTCACGCAGTGACAGGCACGATACGCCTGCGAGTGCGGCTAGTTTCGATGAATTCATACCCGGCACACAACGCAGACCTCGCTATCGATCAACTCATGAAAGTGGTGGCAAAGAAGAACGGCGATCGGCATCGAGAAAGGATAGTCGACGAGACTCTGATGTGCACACGCCCGCTGTGCGTGCTCGTGCACATTTTGCAGGGGATGATTCCTTGCCTGCGTACAAGGGAACGCCTGCAGCTGGTCTGTTGCAAGAGATGCCGTTGTCGAGTTCTTTGCCCGTTCAGACATCGGTGAATGAGGCTCTCGGGGACACTTCTCCACTAGCAAGGCATGCGGACCGTCCTGTACAGCCTCTGGCACACCGCCTCTTGCGATGGCCGCGTGCAGTCTCCCGCCCTACAGGCAAAGGAGCAGCAGAAGTTGAGGAAGACAATCCATTCAAATAGCATAGCGGAAGCAATCGTTTCATTCTAAAAATGTTGTTTATGCCAAACTTAAGAGATAGCTCTACCAGCATCATTAAAGAAAAGAGGGATAATAGGTGAATGCAGGCCAGCGCCGAGAATACCAAAAAAAAATAGGCCAAAAGTGTGTCTTTGCAGAACTTGAGTCATCAGTGTTTCTTTGACATATGAGCAGCGCGAATGAGCGGTGCCAAGCTCGACAACGGTTCTGCCTTTTGGAAAAATGCATGTGACAACAACTGGGTGGAGGAAGGTCGTAGCTCAACGTCCACCTCGAGACAGTCTTTCAGGAAGCTTTGAAACTCCGGGCTGAGAGAGTCTGCATTGTTGATCTTTGGAGTGCCATTCGTGGCAATCAAGTAGAGCGCCCTGAGTGGATTCTCATTGAGATAGGGTGGCTCGCCTTCAACCATTTCAATGGCCATGATGCCCAAGGACCAAACATCGACTTTGACGCCATACTCTTTGCGAGTCACCACTTCAGGCGCCATCCAATACGGTGTCCCTACCATGGTCGTTCGCTTTGAACCATGCCCTGCGCCTCCCTCAGGATTGATTTGAGCACAAAAACCAAAGTCTGTTAATTTGATGTCGCCTTGCATGGATAGCAAAATATTGTCTGACTTGATGTCACGATGAATAACGCCCTTTGAATGCAAGTGACACAATCCCTCTAGGGTCTCCTTGCACACAGCTGCAATCTGTCCTTCAGTCATGATATTGCAAGTCACCACGTCAGTCAAGCTGCCGCCCTCCATGTACTCCATGACGACCCACAAGTCGCCTCGGTACAGGAAGGAATCAATGTAATTGACGATATTGCAGTGCCGTGAACTCTTCATGACGAGAATTTCATTGATGATGAGATCCTTCTTTGGTTGCTGTTCAAGATTCATTTGCTTGATGGCAACAGCCTGTCCCGTGGCGTTCGAGTACGCTGTATACACGCCGCCTGAAGCACCTTGGCCAATCTTGACGAGTGATCGGTAGCTCTCATTGGGATCTGACGCATTGCAAATCTCAGTCAGCTTTTTGACAATATCAAAATCAGCCGGCCCGGGTGTCTTCTTTTCACGACGACGAACCGGTGGTGCAGTCTCTTGAACAGGCCCAGGGACAGGCGGACGTACTGGAGCTTCATTTGCATCTTGTTGCAGAGATATACCCAATCCAACAGACGCACCCTCTGTAACCTCCTTCCCTTGCTGCTCCGACTTGAGCCGAGAGGAGATCTTGCGCTGTACAGATTGGAAACGTGCTAGTTTTGCCCTTGCAGCAGCTGCACGTCCCTCGGGTGTTGTCAAATCATGCTGCTTATCAATCTCTGCTGAACTCGCAGCGACTGCTTGTGCCGCTTTTCGCGTTTCAGCATTATGTCCAGCTGGCACTGGAGGTGCCACACGTTGTGATGGTAGGATTTGGGGTGTAGTATAGCCATTCTGCTGATCTGCCGAGCTTGGCTGTATCGGCGATTTTACCTGTGATCGTTTGAGACTATAATTGGATGTAACGGCGGGATGACTCGAGTGTGGCGGTACGGGTGGCGGTGAACGTGGATGCATCCAACCAGTGGGTGAACGTCCTTGCTCCTGTGCAGTAGATGGTCGTCGCGTACTGCCAGATTGTGGTGATTGTGGGCTTCTGCTCGCCAAACCATCCCAAACACCATTATCCTGAACGGTTGTGAATTGTAACTTCTCCCAAACTTGATCATCCTCCTTGGCTGCAGAGTCTTGATAGAATTGTACAATATCCATAACGGCTTGTGGATGCTGTTCTTGCTCTCTTTGTGAGATGCCAGATTCAGCAAGCAGCTTTTGCCATTCCTTTGGCAGGCCTGTAAACTCACCCGTCTCCAAGTCAAAACCGACATGCGTCAGATGAACGGCATCGTACGGTGTGCCAATTGCCAATTTGCCACTTGCACCACTGAAGGAGTGACTACTGCGACCATTCGGTGTCATGAGGCCCGACATGTTGCTGATCAGGGATTTGAAGCTTTTTTGCTTACTCTTGGCATGCGTGGTCGTTGTAGTCAAGTTTGGTGAATCAGCACCGGATGAGACGAGTGTCGGTGTACTGCCACCGGTCCCCGATAAGTCCGGGAAAAACGCTTGTCTAGGGCTTTGCAGAATAGATGGACTCGCTTTTGTTGAGGTGACCATCACTGATCCACTTGAATGACGGCCGTGTGAGGAGACTTCAGACGCATACCCACCGCCTGGACTCTGTCGTGCATGTTGAGACATTTGTCGCTTGATGGTCGCTCGATCTGCGGAAAATTTGGGGATGCCTTTGAGATGATCACTCGAGCGTCGTCTAGCAACACTAGGTGAACCTTGTGGACTATTCCCTGACATGCTAGGCGATTGCTGTAGCGTATTGCTGCGAGATGGTGGTTTTGGTGCAGAGCGCTGGGGTTTAAGTTCACTCAGCGGTAAATCTGACAAGACGGCCGCTGAGTCGTGAGACTCCTGGCTCTCCATCACAGGTTCACTTGCAGAAGTGCTGAGACTGAGTCGATGTGAGAAGCGAGGGGCCGGTAAGAGGAATGGAGGACCATTTGCCAGTGACTGCGAGGATTCTGGTGGTGGCAAGCTGTGTGTACTCAGAGACAAGTCTGTCTCCTGGAGATGACTTGACGTGGCCATCGATTGAGGCTAGGGTGTGTGTGGACGCGTACAGCTCTCTTTACGCTGCCATGAGCGCTTGCTTTGATATAGGTTGGTAAGAGATGAGGTTTTGGAATTCGGCCACGCCAACAAAGGATCGCAGAAAGGTCGCTGGAGAGGATATCAGCCTTGCGCTTTACGCGGCTAAAAACGACAAGATCTTGTAGAGCAGGAGTCCCTGAGCAGGAAGGGAGGTTGACCGGTCTAATGAAACACTGCTCGCAAATAAAGAGGGCCGCGTGCGCTGGTGTTGATCCGTGTTGTGGCAGTTGCGAAATCAATCCACGAGCCTTGATGGAGATGGTTGTGGACGCTGTCTGGCGCTGGCAGGCTCGTGTCAACACGCTCAGCAGTCAGTTGGGGCGACTCGTTGTCGTTATAGCGGGAGGGCCCCTTGATACGTTGGCGACACCACGAAAGAAGCAGCTTCTGTGCGCGAATGCTGGCTTTTGCAGATGAACAGATGACAAAGCGATGCCGATGCAAGGCCCAGGCTAGCAAAGTGATTGATGCCAGTTGCTTTCGTTGTCGCAAGTTTGAGATTTGACAGCGACAGGAGAGGCACGTGCACTGTGTAGAAGGACTTTTTGATATAGTTGAATAGTAAACAGTTTGGATGTCCAGGGCTGGATGTGCGTCTACATGATATAGTCTGCATGTCCAGAGCTGGATGTGCGTCTACGAAACAGAATAGATCCTCATTTTTTGTGTCTAGCTCAAAGCTCATCGTGGTCGTAAGCATCGCCAGCAGAGTCACTGCCACCGGCACCACCAGCGCCGCCATACAACTTGCTGGTGATTGGGTTGGCAACAGCAGACAACTTCTCCTTCTGCTCCTCCAAATCCTCCTTGCCAGCAGTCTGACCGTTCTCCTCCAACCAGTCGAGTGTCTCCTTGATGGCATCCTGAATCGTCTTCTTGTCATCCGAGTCAATCTTGCCACCGAGACCTTCGTCATCCGTCAACTGGTTCTTGAGGGAGAAGGCATAGTTCTCCAAACCATTGCGAGCCTCAATACGATCACGCGTCGCTGCATCTTCATCAGCAAACTGCTCAGCCTCAGCAACCATGCGCTCAATGTCTTCCTTTGAGAGTCTGCCCTTGTCGTTGGAGATGGTGATGGACTCCATCTTGCCACCGGCACCTTTGTCTTGTGCAGTCACCTTGAGGACACCATTCTCATCAATCTCAAAGGTCACCTCAATCTGAGGCACACCACGAGGAGCAGGTGGGATACCAGTCAAGTCGAACTTACCAAGCAAGTTGTTGGCCTTGGTCAAGGATCGCTCACCTTCAAACACTTGAATGGAAACAATAGCTTGGTTGTCGGACGCCGTTGAGAAGATTTGAGACTTCTTTGTTGGGATGACGGTGTTGCGACCAATCAACTTGGTCATGACACCACCTGTTGTCTCAATACCAAGAGTGAGTGGGTTGACATCAACGAGCAAGACATCCTGAACACCTTCCTCACGCGACAAGACGGCACCCTGCACAGCAGCACCATAGGCAACAGCTTCATCAGGGTTGATGTCCTTGGACGCCTTCTTGCCGTTGAAGAAGTCTTCAATGAGAGATTGAACCTTTGGAATACGGGTAGAACCACCAACAAGGACAATATCGTCCACTGCATTCTTGGCAACACCGGCATCCTTGAGGACTTGCTCAACAGGCTTGAGGGTTTTTTTGAAGAGGTCAATGTTGATTTCCTCAAACTTGGCACGCGTCAAGGTCTCCGAGAGCTCCTTGCCCTGGAAGAAGACTTCCACTTCAAGACGCGTCGACATTTGAGAGGAGAGGGTACGTTTTGCCTTTTCCACTTCCGCCTTGAGCTTTGAGAGGGCCTTCTTGTCCTTTGAACAGTCGAGGTCGTGCTTCTTGTTGAAGATCTTGACAAAGTGGTCAATGACGCGGTTGTCAAAGTCTTCACCACCGAGGTGGGTGTCACCGGAGGTTGCAAGGACTTCAAACACACCTTCTTCAATGGAGAGGAGGGAGACATCAAAGGTACCACCACCGAGATCATACACGATAATCTTGCGTTCATCACCCTTCTTGTCGAGTCCATAGGCAATGGCAGCCGCCGTGGGTTCATTGACAATTCGAATGACATTGAGACCCGAGATGGTACCGGCATCCTTGGTGGCTTGCCTTTGAGCATCGTTGAAGTAGGCCGGCACTGTCACCACAGCATGGGTCACGGCGTGTCCCAAAAAGGACTCTGCCGTTTCCTTCATCTTACCGAGCACCATGGCGGAAATCTCTTCGGGTGTGAATTGACGCTTCTCGCCCTTCACCTTGACTTCGACACTGGGACGACCACCTTTGTTGACCATGGTGAAGGGAAGACCCTTCATATCCTTTTGCACTTCCTTGTCTTCAAAGGTACGACCAATGAAACGTTTCGCGTCATACACGGTGTTTTCTGGGTTTGCTGAGAATTGGTTCTTGGCGGCATCACCGACAAGACGTTCATCATCGGTGAAGGCGACCCAGGAGGGTGTGATACGGTTACCTTGGTCGTTGGCGATGATTTGGACTCGTCCGCCTTGCATCACGCCGACACACGAGTAGGTTGTTCCGAGATCCTGGTATGTTAGTAGGTGTATAAGGATGAGAGAGGAGAGAGGACATACGATACCAATGACTTTGCCGTATTCTTGTGCTGCATCGTCTGCATGTGAGGCAGGGACGAAGAGGAGTGCAAAGAGGGCGAAGAGGACTGCAGCGAATGAGCTGCTCCTGCTCCACATGATTGAGCTGGTTGGTTGAGGGTGGATGTGTTGAGTGTAGAGTAGGTTTGGTGGATGGGTTGGGCCTCTTTATGTGCTGTTGCCTGCGAGTTGCCAGCGTGTCCTTAGTTGGCTGCTGCGTGCGTGGATGGCAAACAGTTGCGGCTGCTCTTCTATGGGCTTCGATGGGCTGCTGCTCTGCTCTACTCTGCTCTACTCTACAGGGCCTCATCTGGCATTTGACTTCTAAGTACTGCTGACTGCTGACTACTGACCACTACTGACCACTGAGTGACTGCTAATTCTCTTCTATAGCCACCCAATCCGCAGTCACATTCACACACAATCACTCTATCTCATACCATCTCATACAATGTACTACGTGGCAGACAAAGTACCGAGCAAGTCTAGCAGCAGGATAGAGTAGCACGATAGACGATACCCGACTCTACATCGTAAACTTGTACACACCCGCAGCCAACAAGGCCAGCACCAGCACAACCACAGCAACACTCCCAGTCTGTCCATTCGCCTGCTGCATCGCCACCTGCTTCACCTCCGTCTTCTTGGGCGCATTCGGGTCTTCCTTCAGTGTTCCCACCAGTAACTTCTCCAGCTGCTCACGCGCCTCGTCAGAGTGTCCAACATCCTCAAACGCATCAGACGCATCCATACCGGCAACATCAATCATGACCTCCTCGCCACCCGGGTGCTCATCCAGGAATTTCGTGCAGTCATAGACCTTGGAGTGCACAACAATGAATAGGTCATCCTTGGTGACATGCTGCTTGACCTCTTCGGCAGTATACTCTTTTTGGCTCATTTCTTCTTTTGTTGTAGTAGTAGCGAGATGATAGGAGGACCCTCGAGTGGATGAGAGTAGAGGGAATGGCCTGACCCTTTGCCGCAGTTGTTGTGTAGGTTTCTCTTTCTCTTGCGGCGACATTTCGACTTTTCAAGTTTTGAAATTCGACTTGGGCGAAGCGACGAGAGGCTCAAGGACCTATACTCCGGCTATTGTACTCGTGATAGCATGCTCATAATGGATCAAGCCTTCGCAGCATAGACTCTGCCATGCCATTCAAACGACATCCCATGCTCGTTGCTACTCTTGTCAAGCCGTGATGCTGCTAAATCGAGACCGGCTGACCACGGTCATCGCTTGGCAACGGGCCAATATATAAATGTTTAATCTGGTATAGACACAGAATCTAGTCGTCCTTGAGCCTTCACTGTACAGGACTCCTCAAACACCCAGCCAACACAAAAGATGTCCAGATTCACCCAGCTTGGCAGGCGTCGGTAAAGTTGATGTACGTACAAGCTAGCAAAAGGGCTCTGGATGACATCAAGCGGTGTCAGAGAGAGACAACATCGTCATTTCAAACAACACATGGAAAGAGACAAGGTATACACGAGATGCTTGCTGTGGCAGTCGTGTCAAACCCAATAGCTCTAGCTCCAGAGTCAGTACGCTTCGCGGAATGGTGACAAATATGGATAGCCTAGGCTGTTCCATCGAAACATTCCACTCGCGTTCGATTGTACGAACTGCAAACTACCCGCCTGAATAACTCTTTAGAGTCGCTGCTGCGGATGCTGTCGTCAACAGAGAGAGTCGGAGCAATAGAGTGGAAAGCGATCGACTTCCTTTCATATTCATGACCAACGCTCAATCAGACTGTCACAGTACCGCGACCGCGAGGATTAGCCATATGGCCCACAAGTGTCAAGTAGATCACATAGGAAACTGCGCTGGTCAAAATTGTAGCTAAGCGTGGCTCCCGCGATTTCCTGATGAACGTCAACAAGTAGCGCAAAAGCTTTGTTCGGACTATTGTCACTTGACAACAATACATGAGCATGAGACTGCCATCGATAGAGCTTTCCTGAACCTAGCACCCAGATAGCTGTAGCTTGTGATGCCAGAGATGGACGAGTGTGCTGGGTGTCGTCTCGTGCTCGTATGAAGTCACTCGGAGACCGCAGAGTCCGACGACCGCAGCAACCGCAACTCCACACTTGACCTCATTCACAAATCGTACACTTCTACTGTTCTACATCACCTTTATCCTCGAGACACGTCAGAACCACAACATGGTCATTCCAACACGCACAGAGTGCATCATCATTGCCAAAAAGCCCTCTGCCGAAATCACACCCGAAACATTCAAGAAGGAGACTCGCAACCTCGACGTCCAGGGCTCCTCGCTACTCCTCGAAGTTCAATTCCTCTCTAATGATCCAGCTCAGCGTCCAAGTATTCAAGCTGGCTTGGATCCTAAACGAGCATACATGCCACCACCCAACCAAGGCGACATCATGCCCGCTCGAGCTCTTTGTAAAGTTGTCTGTCCAGGACCGACGGCAACGCGTTTCAAAGCCGGTGATCGCGTCGTTGCGCCAGCTGGTTGGACACATTACGCTGTTGTGGATGAATCTGCCTGTCAACCAGCAACCATCCTTCCAGGCCTCTCTGAAACTGCTTGTCTTGGTCTATTGGGTGGCACTGGCTTAACTGCCTACTACGGTCTTTTGAAAGTCGGTGAAGCAGAGACCAAGAAACCTCAATGTATTGTCGTTTCAGGCTCAGCCGGGGCTACCGGAAGTGTTGTTGTGCAAATCGCAAAGCATGTATTGCAAACGCCAAAAGTCATTGGTTTGGCTGGCGGTCCTGACAAGTGTGCTGCTGTCAAGGCATTGGGTGCTGATATCTGTATTGACTACAAATCAGCTGATTGGAAGCAACAGCTTGCTGAAGCAACCGATGCAGCGTGTGAGTTGTATTTCGACAATGTCGGTGGTGAGACATTGGATTGCATGTTGCCACTCATGAAACGACACGGGACAATCGTTGCTTGCGGAGCTATCTCGAGTTATGAGTCCATGGGTAACGGCGTTGTTCTCAAGAATTACTTCGAAATTATTAGCAATAGGCTGCGCATTCAGGGCTTCATCGTCATTGACGCTCTCAAAGATGCCGCAAGCATTATTGGCGAACTGGCTACATGGATCAAAGAGGGGAAGATCAAGGCAGGAGAGGGTTCAGAGACGGTGGTTGAAGCAACTTTGGATGAAATTCCACAGGTCTGGCAAAAGCTCTTTACAGGCGGCAACAAGGGCAAACTCGTCACCAAGATGATCAAGTAGTCATCACAATACTTACCATTACAGAGAGCAATATTCATCTTTGTGCAACCTTGGACGTTCCAAGGTTGGCTGTTGCTGATGAGACCGTCTGTAGTTCATCCCATCTGATGATAGTGTCAGGTATTCAGCATAGCACGTCTATAATTAAGATACATCGAGCATGTCGTATGCTTATTAGCATATGAATTTGTTCCAAAGAAAGTGTGTGCGTGTGTGTGTGTAGAGCATTATGTAAACAAAAATCTACGGGTACGCTTTGAAAAGCAAGAGTAAGCAGAAAAAAGCAAAACGCTCACATCACCACCTCGAACGACTGAGAGGAGCTGCATTCGCACCCGAGTAACTGGGACGACGACGGCGACCCCCATCACGATCAACATGACCATCATAACTGGCACTATAGCGTGACGTGCCGCCATTGCTGTTACTGCTGGTGTAACTTCCTGCAGGAAAGAAGATTGTGTCAGCTTACTTGAGTCATATGCAAAAGGAACACCTCTGTCTAGAATCCAATCGCAAACCCTTGCTTCCTTAGAAGTGAAGAAAATGGAGATGGCAGAGAACGGGAGGGATGCCGGCATGAAGAATCAGCAAGATCTCCGTGGACCAGCAGTGAAGAGTGAGTGTGTGTGTAAAAACGAAATGAGTTGTGAAGAACATGGAAAGCAAAAAGTTTGGGATGGGACGGGTCGACAAGCGGCAGGAGAGTGTTTACCACCTACCTCGTCCACGACCACCGCCACGACCACCACGCCATCCACGACCACCGCCGCCGCCACCGCCGCCGTAACGCGTCATGGCTTGGAGTTCCTCAGGAATGACTTGGTTGGCTTCCTTGAGCACAGTCACGAGATCGCGTGCCTGCTTGCTGTTTTCTTGCGTAAACAAGGTAATGGCCGTTCCGGTCGCACCAGCACGACCCGTTCGTCCAATACGGTGGACATAGTCTTCTGTGTTGTTTGGGAAATCGTAGTTGAGAACGTGAGTGATGTTCTTGACATCTAAAGGACGTTAGCACACTTGCTGGCACAGGCCATTCTGAGGTTCAGAGGCATCGAAAAGACACCATTGCGCAGCTAGGTCTCGACCCTGGAAGGGTCTGATCTCTCAGAAAGAAAAAGAGGCAAGCCATTGAGAGGCTTAAAAGCTGAAGCAACACCAAAACGAGCAGAGCATACAAGTGAAAGAAGCATGAGAGAATCAAAGACAAAAAATGTCCACCTGTCGGAGGACAAAGCATGTCTCTGACTCTCTCCTTCTTCAAAACTACTCGACACAAAAGGTCGAGTGCTCTGCCAAGCGCATTTTGCAATCCGCCAATGAAGATGGCAATCGCATCTCAGCGATAATTGCAAACGAAAAACTGTCTTGCGCTTGGAATTGTGATTTGTGCTCACGGCACACTTTGCTTCAGCAAACTTCTTCTCCCTGCAAGTTAAAAGACGGTGGCGGTATCCGCCAAGCACGCGCAACATTGCTGCAAAGCAAAAGGAACACTGAAGGGGAAACTTACCGATACCACGCGATGCCACATCAGTAGCAACCATAATAGGACTCTTGCCAGTCTTGAATTCGTTGAGGACCCAGTCACGCTCCGATTGAGCCTTGTCACCGTGAATAGCTAGCGCTGGCCAGCCATCTTGACGCAGGTACTTTGTAATGTCATCGGCAACACGCTTGGTGCCTGTAAAGATGAGAATCTTGTTTTGCTTGTCCTCCATAGCTTGCTCGAGGTATTTGGTCATCTTGCCGCGTTTGTCGTATTCATTCACAATCTCAACAATCTGTGTGATGGTGTGCGAAGCAGACAACTCTGTCGAACCCACCTGCACCTGAATAAAGTCGTGCAAAAAGTCATTGGCGAGACGCTGAATCTCGCGAGGCCATGTAGCAGACCAGAGCAGTGTCTGACGGTCTGGACGGATCTGTTCCACAATCTTGCGAATCTGAGGCTCGAAACCCATGTCAAGCATACGATCTGCTTCATCGAGAACGAGATACGTGACGCGACGCAAGTTGGTCTTGCCAGACTCGAGCATATCAATCAATCGACCAGGTGTTGCAATGCAAATCTCAACACCGCGAGAGAGGTCGCGGATTTGTTGACCTTTGGGAACACCACCATACACGCAGGTATTGCGGATACGCGAAGATTGACCAAACTTGGTGCATTCGACTTGGATCTGGACTGCAAGCTCACGGGTAGGAGCAAGCACAAGGACAATAGGTCCATCGCCAGGCGCAAGGAGAGGTTGTGCGTTGATGTGGACAATAGCAGGCAGACAGAATGAGATGGTCTTGCCGGAACCGGTTGCAGAGATACCAACCATATCGCGACCAGAGAGTGCCATGGGCCAACCCTGAGACTGAATAGCAGTGGGTGCAGAGAAACCAAGAGCCTTGACTTCATTGAGGACATAGGTAGGGAAGCCAGCTTCGTCGAAGGTAGTGACAGGCTTGGGAATGTCTGTGCCAGTGACGGTGACATCCTTTGCACGTCGCCACTCTTGAATCTCTTGTTCAGTGCGCTCCGTGACTGCTGGGTTTTCGCGGTAAAAGTTCTTTTGGAAGGGAGTCATGGTTGCAGCATCCCAGGTAGGTTTACGCAGGTTATCGCCAAGCGCACCCATACGGTCGCCGCCATAACCACCACCACCTCCTCCATAACCACCACCACCACCGCCGCCGCCGTAGCCACCACCTCCGTAGCCACCGCCGCCGCCGCCAGAGTAACCGCCGTAGCCACCGCCGCCTCCTCCACGAGAGCCGCCGTAACCACCGCCGCCGTATCCACCACCGCCGCCGCCGTATGAGCTACCACCGCCGCCGTATGATCCGCCTCCGTTTGAGTAACCACCGTAAGACATGACTTTGTTGTATGTGTATTGGGTGTGTGTGGGAGAGGGAAGGAAAAGAGAAAAAAGAAAATTTCTGTGAGACGGTTTGGGCGAGTGACTGAGCGAGGCAAGTTCGGCTAAATTCAACCACCACTCGAGTCTACAATGACTCTACATGTACTGTACCTCGGCAGACGCGACACTGTCAAATTATAGCTACAAGCCTACTGCTCAAGTCCCTCGTAAATCGCCACGCAATTCTCCCGTGCAACCGTAATAATCACATCTCCCAATATCTTGCTTTGATAGCCAGCCATGCAGTAGCTGAAGTAAAACAAAAACTTGCGCTTGAAAATCAGACAGTCTTCTTTGCTGAGTGCTCCATATTGACGCAGGAGAGCAGGCTTTATCTCATCCTCGAACCGTTCCTCAAAGTTTTGAGCCCACAGTCGCAGCGTCTTGCTGTAGTGACCGCCAATATTGATAATCTCATCGACAATCAGCTGATTCTGCGAGCCAGTATTGATGGCTTGTACAAGCGTCGTTACTGTGGGCAAGTGACCACCCGGGAAGATCCAACGACGGATAAAGTCAACTTCGCTGCAGTATCGCTCATAACGTGTTTCTGGCATGGTGATCACTTGGAACACTGCAATTCCACCTTCCTTTTTGAGCAGCTTGTCGACGCAACTGAAGTATGTAGATAGGTATTCCTTACCCACAGCCTCTATCATCTCAATCGAAACAATCTTGTCATACGCATTCTCAGGAACAGGCAAGTTGCGATAATCACACAGCTTGACATCGATGCTCGCAGTGAGCCCAGCCAAAGCAATCCGCTCGCGAGCCAGCTTTTGCTGCTCAACACTCAACGTCAGTGTCGTCACACGGCATCCCGTCTTTTTGACAGCTGCAATGGCAAATGAACCCCAGCCAGAACCAATCTCTAGGACATGATCCGTTGACTGGATACGAGCCTTTTCAATAATCGTGTGAATCTTCTTCATTTGTGCATCGTACAAGGTGGAGTCCTTGTTTTCAAAGATGCCACAGGAATAAGTCATGTCTTTTGACAGGAATGAAGAAAACATATCATTCGACAAGTCGTAATGAGCCGAAATATTATTGATCGCATTCTTGACAGAGTTGACAAATCGTGAGTTCATCAAAAAGTTGATGCCAGAGAAGAGCTTGGATGCATAGGTTGTGGCATCGTTGAGGTTCTCGCGGTTATCGATAAACATGCGAAAGACAGCGACCAAGTCAGGACAGGCAACATCACCTACCATGTATGCTTCAGCGAAACCCAAGTCTCCAGACATGAGCAGACGCACCCAAAACGTCTCGTTGAGGATCTGCAACTCTGCAAGCGGCGCTTCTTTATTGGCAACGTCGCCAAACTCCCAAACACCTTGTTCAGAGAGTATACGAAGCTTGCCCACAGTAATACGCTTCATGAGACTCAAGATACTGTTGCGGGCGAGGTTGACGAGCGGGCCCCATGACTTGTTGACGAGGTAGTTGCGAGATGAGTCATAGGCCGACAAAAGCCCGTTGTTTTTGGCATTGAGATCCATGATTGTCTAGCTGCTAGATGTACAGATGGGTGACTAGTGTTACAGGCCGCTGCAGACGGATGTACGTAAGAGAAGGATGATGTCGTCGTGCGCTGAACAAATGAGCCGACGTTTTCGCTTATATAAGACTTTGGCCATGGCTGGCTGGACACGTTCTCATCACCGTGACATCACGGCGCATCGGATGCTGGCGAATCAAATTGGCGGCAGCAGCAGACACTTTAACCGTCACTTGTACACTGGAGCAGTACTACTGCATTGCTCATGAAAAGAGCATGGCAAGAGACACGCTCACTGCATACCGCTACGAATGCCGTTACACAGCGGTTCACTCAAGCTGCTGCGAATACACCCACCGGCTCTCTTGCTGGCCTGAACTACGCTGCAAAAGAAAATATATGCTCCATACAAGGCTTCACAACGTGTGCCAGCCAAATCCTCGGAGCTGCTGACTCGAATGCATATGCCTCACCGTTCGATGCGACGTGCATCAAATTGCTCAATGCAGCCGGTGCGAGACTGACGCAAAAGACCAATATGGATGAGTTTGGCATGGGTTCCTTCAGTGCCAATACGCCATTTGAGCCAGTACGCAATCCTCATAATGCCTTGCACGTCGCGGGAGGATCTTCTGGTGGATCTGCTGCTACCTTATTTGCAGAGGATGGCCCACAGTTCAGCTTAGGCACCGATACAGGTGGTTCAGTTCGGCAACCTGCATCACATTGCGGTGTATGGGGATTCAAGCCGAGTTATGGACGTATCTCGAGGTTAGGGGTTGTCTCCTATGCCAATAGCTTTGACACCGTGGGTATTTTAGCCAGGGAGCTGGGGACGATACGGCAGGTGTACCAGGTGCTCGACCAGCACGATCCAGCAGATCCCACAAGCCTCGCAGATGGCCTACGCAAAAGAATCGCTACACGTCAGAGACGTCCAGGCCGGATACGAGTCGGTATACCAGTCGAGTACAATGTCTCTGAGCTATCTGACGAGATACGCACACTCTGGCGAAAGGCGGCAACATCAAATGAGCAAATATCCTGTCATCCAGTCTCAATTCCACTCACACGTGCGGCACTCTCTGCATACTCCATTCTTGTCCCAAGTGAAGCTTCATCAAATCTACAAAAGTACAGCGGGCTGTACTATGGCGCTCGTGCAGAGGCAGATCGATCCAGCACAGGTCTGCTGTATGCCGAGACACGCTCTCTCTTTGGTCCCGAGGTCGAACGCCGCATCCTCATGGGTAACCTCTCACTCTCAGCTGCTCGCTTCAACAAGGACTTCCTCCAGGCCTGTCGAATCCGTCGACTTTTGCTTGATCAATTCTCTAGAGTTTTCCGACAGCCCCATCCCATCTTGCCATCACCACAGCAGCAAATGACAGTGGACTTCCTACTCACGCCTGTGGCAACAACGCCTGCTCCGACATTAGAGGAAGCACGACTCATGGGCTCTGCAGAGGAGCGTGCAAGCGATGTCATGACGGTGCCCGCTAGTATGGCTGGCCTGCCAAGTATCAGCATCCCATCAGCAACCAGCGAGAATGGTCTGCCTATTGGTCTACAGCTCATCGGTCAATATGGGGAGGATGAAGCTCTTTTGGAAGCTGCAAAGCTATTCGTGTAGTGTACATCTAAATTGACACCGTTTCTTCCCTAGATCTGAGGATAGGCTCCATGGGAAGCGTCTTTTGAGCTCGCTTGGCCTTGATGTGTGCGAGTCCCTCCTCAATAAATTGTTCCGTGAGCATCTTCAGCTGCAGTGCCTCAATCAGACTGACAAACACACCTGGGAAGCGCTGGGCAAGCCACAGGTAGAGGATGATTTGAGCATGCAGACTTTCAAAGCTTTGCAATCCCTCTGGTGTTTCTGGAGCACCGCCATCCAAAATGTCAATATTCATCTCCGTCAGCTCTAGAATCGGAGCCGCTTCATGCTTGCCCAGCTTCTTGGCCAGCTCCACAAAGACGCGAACGCATTCGGCATCTCGCTTGATGGGTGCATCAGACAATGTCCATGCATCGGCAAAGCGCAAGCCTTCAATGCCATCAAGCAAATCAATATGCTTGACACGAGACGAAAAGGGAACCATCCGATAGAGCTCCGATGTCCTGGAAAATATTTCCAAGTGCTCTAGTACCAAAGATCGCTTCACGTCCTTACCATAAAGACGAAAGAAGGACTGTACTAGCTCCATTGGAGGCGAAAGCAAGGCTTTCGGAAGCATGATGGTCGATGTTGCCAAAGCATCCCGCACGACCTCCAAATCGTCTTTGCGCAATGTAGTCACGAAACCAGGCACATCCTTGACTGGATCCTCCCCATCCACTACTTTGGGTTTCGCCTTGAATCGACCAGCGCGACCAGCAATCTGCTTGATTTGCGGTATAGGTACTGTGATCTCTTGGATACCATCCCACTTTTGAACTGTCGAAAAGACAACACGCTTGATGCTCAAGTTCAAGCCCATACCAATGGCATCACTCGCAACCATAACATCGTAGCCGCTGTCTGGATCATTGAAGAGACGCGCTTGGGCTGCACGTGTCTCAGGCGGTAGTGCACCATAGATGACAGCACATTTGCGACCCGTCAGCTGCTCAATCGCCTTTTTTGTTGAAAAGATGGTTCTTCTTGAAAAGGTGACAACTGCATCGCCTGGCTCGACTTTTGCCAAACTGCCATTTAATGATTGATCCATAACCTCTAAGCCTCCAAGACGAGAATACTCGCGGACTTCAACCTCTTCACCAACAGACTCCGCAATCTTTCGAATCAATGGGACAGCGGACGCCTCGCCACACATGTGAATCTCCTTTGCAGCAGAACCAAGCAAAGCCGACGTCCAATTTTGACCGCGCGAACGATCGCCAATCATCTGAATCTCGTCGATGACCAAGACATCGCACGCGCGATGACTCAGCATCTCAATGGTGCAGCTCGTGATGCGTGCTTCAGGGACACTCCGTCGTTCTTCGCCCGTCAGCAAGTTGCAAGGAACACCTGCTGAGGTGAATCGCTCATATACTTCATGAGCTAACAGTCGTAATGGCCCTGCGAAGATGCCGGACTCGGACTGTTCCAGACGTTTGAGTGCTTGATAGGTTTTGCCGGAATTGGTTGGACCGACATGTAGATACAGCTTGCGTCGCACTGAACGAGCGTTGGGATACCACTCAGAAGGAAGCGCCATGTTCCCCAGACGCTCACGCTCATAGACTTGTGCTGGGGTGAGCACACTGACGGAAACAAATAGCGCAAACTTCTTGATCAAATACTCTTCGATTGCTAGCGGCCCCCCGCTCTCATATTCTCGTTTCAAATCCGACAATCTAGGAATACCGTCTCTATTACGATGCTCCACGCTGGTAGTTGAATCGTTGCTTCGATAGGTCGACGGGCTCTGACGGGTGATATTTGAGCAAAAGCGCCGTATGAGCTCCCTCAGCTGGACTGTGTCTTCAGTGATTGCGATGCCTACATCGTGAAGGCGTGAGCGTTTCTGCAATGCTGTAATTTGACGATTGAGCATCTCTGAAAACTTGAACCATGGTATGGGCGAATGCCGTATCGGTGTGCCTGGTTTAAGGGCAGGCCGCCAGCCGCCCATCCTGCGCGGCTCTCCCCTATTGAGTCTGTACGACTCGTCCTCTCCTTTGGAAGCTCGCCAGCTCGCCCTGGCTGGTCGCCTCTTTGCGCTCTCAGCGCGAAATAGACAGGTACATGCAGTAAACGGGCGGCTTGGTATGACTCGGGCTGTGATGATCCGCCAAGATCGACCCGCCGTACTACCCAATATCCGTTCCATGATACCACACTGCCAACAAGAGGCTAGACGTTACCTTGACATCACGACTTGAATTCTATGAGCGTTGCACTTTGAAATCTCGCGGGTGTGGCTTGACTTTCTCACGCCCCAGGACTGCGCGCGCTGATGACTGATGGCAGCAAGTCGCTCAACCTTCAGGCTTCCCCAAACCCACGGCGCATCACTGCGGTTTCGACAGGCAGTTGCTACGTAATCCAGGGCCATCAAGCTCTTCGCTGCAGGCTGGCATGTTCTGAAGGTTGAACCAGCTCGATTTGGCGCTGGAGCGACAATACTAGGCTAATTTCACAACATGCGATCGCTCTTGGACTCGTACAAGCAAGGTGAGCAAGACCCGGTCCATGTGCCTTGCTAACAGATAGCCATTCTGGGTGAGCTGAGAGCCGTGCAACCGCAAAATAAGGTCCGACAGACCAACTCCGGCCCATGCGCTAACAAGCAGTGGAAAGTCTTGATCCTCGATCGGCAGAGCAGCAATCTCATTCAAAATGTCATGCCTCTATCAGAGTTCTATGACGAGAATGTGACAGGTGAGTTTCAAGAGCATCGGAGCTGGCTGACCAACAGATGTACAGATCATCGAAAACATTCGCGATGCAAATGCATCCTTTGAGGCGGTATACATGCTTATGCCCAAGGAACAAGTGATACAATGTCTCGTTCATGACCTTAAATCAAGTCCGAGGTTGTATGCATCGTCTCATCTAATTTTCATGTCACCACTCAGCGATGCGCTACTGAGCAAATTGAGACCATTCTCAGATAGAATCGGCAGTCTCAAAGAACAAGCCCTCGACTTTGTACCTGCAGAGTCGCAAGTCTTTTTGACACACAATCGTCAGTCGCCCTTTGTGCTATACAATCCAAGCTGTGCGGGTTTGGTCGAAGCACACATCAAAGACATTGCGGACAAGATTGTCTGCATGTGTGCCTTTTTGGGGGAATACCCCATGATACGATACTACAAACCACATACTGCACAGCACACCGCCAGGAGTCTCTGCGCAAAGCTTGCAAATGTGTTGCAAGCAGGGTTGGACGACTACTCTCGCAGCAACGAGTCCTTCCCACCCCAGACGGACAGGCCGCGCAGCATTCTTTTCATTTGCGACCGGACGATGGATTTGTATGCTCCATTGGTCCATGAGTTCACGTTTCAGTCCATGGCCAACGATTTGTTGCCTATACGCGATGGAGTCTTTTACGAGTATGAAATCGTCGGTCCAAAAGGCCGTGAAAAGGTGCAAGAGGTTATATCGGAAGATGACGCTGCTTGGACATCTGTGCGCCATATGCATATGTCTCTTGCCATTGACAAGCTTGTTCACGACTTCAACAAGTTCTCGAAAGACAATGAAAGCTTCACATCTGAAGCCAAAGCGACAAACCTCAATACCATCCGCAATATGCTGGCGAACATGGATTCATACGCGCAGGGGAAGGACAAGTACTCTCTTTACATCAATATGGCGCAAGACTGTATGAACATCTTCGAAAAGAACCAGCTGCCACTTATTGCTCAAATTGAACAAAATTGCGCCACAGGCTTGACTGTACATGGCAAGCCGCCGAAGGACACACTCGAGACCCTTGTACCCTTGCTAGATGATGAACGAATCCCAATGGAGGATCGTACGAGGCTCCTCATGATTTACATTAATTGGAAGCAAGGAATTTTCCCCGACGATCGTTCAAAACTGTGCAGGCACGCCAAAATTCGAGGTCACTTGCAAGAGGCAATTGCCAATCTAGATTTGCTAGGCGTACCGGCGAGCAAGACATCTCGAAACAAGAAGAAAGTGGCCACTACAGCGCCTGCAAACGTTGATGAAGCATTTGAATTGTCACGTTATCAGCCACGCTTGAAGGATGTCATCGAGCAGCATTTCCAAGGGACGCTCAGCTTGGATGACTTTCCTTATACTCGCGACTTGCCACCTGAAGCGACGCCGGGTCGTAATTCGGCACCAGGCAGCTCTCTCAGGACCAATCGACCCGCCTGGGCTAAGGGACGATCAAACCTTGACGTACCAAAACAGCGCGTCCTTTGTTTTGTGGCTGGTGGAGCGACCTATAGTGAGGTTCGTGCTTGCTATGAGCTCTCGGAAACACTGGGACGTGATGTGCTGCTCGGGTCAACGCATCTATCAACGCCCAATGACTTCATATCGAGCTTGTCCCACATGCGAGCGGACCGTCGAGAGTTGGGCCTTGAAGTGGATCGAGCACCTGCTAAGATTCCCCTTCTTGAGCCAAGACCGAAGCCCGCTGCTGTTACCACAAACAAGATGGCACCGCCAAGCCATACTCATCCAGCACAGCGATCTGGCGTGTCACAGACGAGCAGTCACGCTCCTCAAGCTTCGAATGTTGCACTCAAGCACCTTTCACATGGTGAAGGCCGGCAGTCGCGCGAAAGCGAGCGATCCAACAAGACGTTGGATGACGGCAAAGAAAAGTCAAAGAAGAAATTTGGCCTCTTCAAGAAGAAGTAAGCTACAATGATGCCACCTATTTAGCACCGCGCTTCTCGAAGCAGAATGCGGCATAGAAACCTGCTGCTTCACGTTCATCACCCTCGATACCGCGGCTGCCGTCCTTGCGTACGACACCCATTCTGTCTAGCAAGGCACCGCCTTCAAATGTATCCTTGTATTCTTCAAACACCTCATGAAAGCCTTTCTTGTACAGGAGCTCCAGATTGTATTCTTCTGCCAAAGCCCTGAATGCTTCAAACGGAACGACATATTCTGGAACGATGTCGACTGCATCTTTGAGGTAAAACGTGTATTTGTGACCATAAGGCGGCCTAAATACCACATCAGGTCCAGGTGGAGGCTGATTTTCGAATTCAACCTTGTAGATATCATTGCCCCATTCCTTCTCACCTGGCTGTAGCTTAGAGACGTGCTCAATAATCGCATCTGAGTCCGGTATGGTCCCGAGAAACTTGCCACCTCGAGGCAAAGACGCAGAGACATTGGCAAGCATTTGTCTTGCTTTTGCTTCCGTTTCGTACGCATAGTGCAAGCAAAATTGCATCGAGACCACATCAAAGCGGCGTTGTTCTGGCGGCAAAATCTGTGCGACGGGTTTGCCAAAGCAGTCGAATGCGTAGAATTGAGCCTTGAAGCGTGCATGACGCATGTTGCGGTACCTGCCTCGAGCTTGCTCAATAGATACCTCTGCCAAATCGATGCCAGTATAGGAGCTTACATTGGCCTTGTCCCATTTCATCAGATCACCACCCTTGCCACAACCCAAGTCTAAGACGTGATTGCCGCTCTCAGTAAAGTTGCGAATGAGTGTAGACTTGATCCAGTTATTAAAGTTGCGCAAGTTGACGATGGGTGAAGCATTACGCTGCTCGCGGCCCTGGTTCGGACGCGCATTGTAGTGCGATCTGACAACCTCACTTCCACGATGGTATTGGTTGCGCACTGCAGCCGCTTCTCGAGCAAGACGGTCCCGCTCTTCATTGCGTTGAATGATTGCTCTTCTCTCTTCTTCGATTGCTTGTGGATCTCGTCTGGCTGCTGGCCGCTTTTGACGACGCTGCTCTTGAGAGCGATTTGGCGAAGCACTCCGACGCGGTGATCTGGAGCGTCGCCGCTCTCTATCCCTATATTCACGTTCTCTATCATCGTTCGTACGACGCATGGGAGAGCGTGATCTTTGACGCTGTCGGGAATCTTCATCCTTTAGCTCTGGAGATGCCTCGACAGGAGGCTTCGTCATGCGAACAAGAGGCCTTTCTGCATTCGGCTCCCGCTTCTTCATCTTGCCAATGGCGCCGACCCGTATAGGCTTGCGTTCATCGCCAGTAGCACCTTCGCTGCTCTTGCTCGTCTTGGCTGCGTTTGGCGGACGCACCTTTTTGGGACTGACTGCTAGTTTTTGTTCAGAGCTCTCTAGTATGCGTTCACTATCCTTGCTACTCGAGAATTCTGCAAGTGGCTTCTGAATAGATTCTGCCTTCACATCATCGACTCTGGTGACGCTTGAGAATGAGAGCATATCTTGAGCAGCTTTGAGCGTTTCAGCGTCAACGGAATTAGCTTGAGATAGGTCATCATTTGACGTAGTTTCAGCTGGTTCTGGAGCTTCCGAGGCATTTTGAGTAGGCCTCTCAATATATTGATTCTTGACTGGGTCAAACATACCGGCCAGCATGTAGAGGAAAGCAGGTTGAGCAGTCTATTAGCCAACAAGTCCCGTCGGATATTCTTGGGCGTCAGCCGAGCCCGGTTCACGTGGCTGGCGAGCTCCAGATGGCACAAAACTTCATGTGGCCAAGGATACGTACACGGGCACTTAGCAACGCTTGCAACCACCGCAATCGCAGCCAAATAGGTTGAGACGGTCATCTCCGCTGAATACTTCTCGAAACTATCGTGCCTGGTATCTGCTGGATACTTGAAAGCTTCTTCAGCGGTCTGAAACGCGCTGTACAACAGCTTTACTTAATTTTGCTACATAATGCTCATCAGAACTGCATGCAAATCATGCCTTGGTGGACTCAGAAACAGATCAAGGAGCTCTAGGATACAAATGAGATTCAAGAGCGAAGTGCGGGATAAGCCTAGCAACTACAGAAGACCAAATTACAGTGGCTTTTACACTTCCATTATGGACCAAAAGGCGCCAGAACGCCAAGTTGAAGATGCAAATTCAGCAGAGAAGCCTGGCGTCGTGTTTTACTCTAGACTTGCTGGCTATCCTGAAAATAGGCCGTCAGAGACAGAGTCTAAGATGTACTGTGGCGTGATTGTACCACCACGACCTGAAGAGCCACTCAATTGCTGTCAGTCAGGTTGTGTTCACTGTGTTTGGGTAAGTGCCACGCCTTGGAAGCTGATGCTTACAAACAGGATATCTACAGAGAAGAAATTGAGGATTATCAAGAGGTACGGATCAATTGCTTGGTCAGCATCACTGACAATACAGAAGCGCAAGCAAGCTCGGGAAGCACTCGCCAAAGAACGCAAGGCGATCCCTGTAGAGCTCGGTGGAGATGGAAAGGAGCCTGATGACATCTTAGCGCAGCTGGATCCGACCTTGCAGGCATTTATCAAGTTGGAGAAGGAACTCAAGGAGAAGCGGCTGAAGAAGCAGGCTCAGCGTGCGTCCAAGGACCTGCGATAATCCTTGCACCCATCATTTCTCTTCGTAGAGCCAACGTAGATGAGCAGTAGAAGTCCCAAGCTCAAGCTGGTCCTGCTGCCCAGGCAACGGCGCGTCGCGAAATTCGCACGAAAGGACTTTGACGGCGACGCCCAAATCCAACGCACAAAGTCAGACAAGGTCGGCATACGTCACCCAACGGTCGCTTTCACCCGCGGACGCTTCGCAGGCTGCGCTACGGCAGTCTCATTTGCTGCTCTGACGCCAAGCAGACAGGCTCAACGGTCGTTTTGATGCACCTGGATGCCGCGAACGGCTCTACGTCATTCAAGAGGGCTCGCACAATGAGCACACCTAACACAGACGATACCGATGGCGAGGCAGGTAGACCTTTTCAGCGCGAGCTATCGCAGACGACAGAGAGTGCCCGCTTTCATCGGCCCAATGACAACGAACGGCCGTCTGCCCTCGAACAGCGAATGACATTGGAGTCGCTCGAGCCGGAACAGAGTCTCGCTCTTGCCCAGGAGGCAGGACAGCCCCATTTTCTCGTACCAAAAGAGTGGTGGGTTCAGTATCAGAACTACCTGAGTGGCGATGGACCAGAACCTGGCCTGATGGACTTGTCGTTGCTTGAAGAGGAGGAAGGCACAGATGAGCTCAAAGCTGATTTGACCGCGGATGACTATATCTCCATCTCTGGTGTCGACTTTTGGAGTCAGTTGCAGCAGTGGTACGGAGAGGATGGGCTTCAGATCAAGCGACACGCAGTGGCTACCGAGGGAGGTGCCTTTGAGCTCGAGTTGCATCCTGCCAAGTTCCATTTCAGCTACTACACACCGCCTGACAAGTTCACGGATGTACGGACTTTGCGCATGTACAGCCATAAAGACGTGGACGGCCTGTATGAAAAAGTCAAGCACATGTTCCAAGTTCCGGAAGACCACCAGATCCGGTTTTGGCATACATCTTCCAATGGGTTGGCCAAGCTGGAACATCTGAAGAGCGCCATCACGCGAACACACGACAACTCGACGGTTGGCAAAGTTACGGATGGCTCCAACTTCCTGATCGTTGAAAGTCGAGCGAGCGGCAGAGACAAATGGCCCCTGGACACGGTATCAAAAGAGAAGGCAAAGCCACAGCGCGTAGCTGGCACCAAGGGGCTTGTCAATCTAGGCAATACTTGCTACATGGCTTCGGCGCTTCAATGCTTGAGTCATATCAAAGAGCTCACAGAGTACTTTTTGTCCACCTACTATCAGGAAGAGCTCAACACCGATAACCCACTCGGCTACAATGGTCAGGTCGCAACAGCTTTTGCCAGACTACTCGAGCAGCTCTACAATGACGACAATGGCCGTGCAGTACGCCCTGCAGAGCTCAAAAGCGTCCTTGGCAACATTAATCAAAGCTTTGGCGGCTATCAGCAGCAAGACTCGCAAGAGTTGCTCGCCTTTCTACTTGACGCGCTACATGAAGATCTCAACCGCATAGTCAAGAAGCCAGCAACAGAGCGACCTGACATTGGCAAGGTGAATGACGACGAGCTGTTGCAGCTTGGCGAGGAAGCCTGGCGTCTTCACAAAATGCGCAACGACTCTGTCATTGTTGATTTGTTTCAGGGTGTCTACAAGAGCACATTGGTGTGCCCGGTATGCGCACACGTCAGTGTAACCTTTGATCCATTCTCGGATCTATCCCTTCCCTTACCGTTCCAGTCATACTGGACACATGATGTTTTCTTTGTACCCCTCCAAGGTCCTCCGGTAAAGATCAACCTCGAGTTTGACCAAAATGCATCCATTGGTCATCTCATCGCATACTTCTCCAAGCGCTTCGGTATCCCCACCGACCGAATCACCGGAGCTGAAATTTGGAAAGGCAAAATTTACAAGGCTTATTTCAACTACATGCCAGTGACTGTCATCGAGACTGCTGACGTCGCCTACTTCTACGAATTATCTAAACCTGACCCTCGCCTTGACAAGGAGAGCAAGTCTCTACTCTTGCCCGTCTACACTTTCAAGTCGGATCGCAAGCAAGTCGCATCAAGCCATCCAGAGCCAGCTGAACATCCATTCCTAGTCATCATGGATGAAGCGGAGAGCTGCAGTATCCCAGCCATTCAGCAAAAGCTTCTCGCGCAATATGCACGCTTCACAACCTCAACAGATTTGACGACCACCGAATTTGCTGATGAAGAGGAGGACGAAGGCTTTGCCAGTGATGATGACGAATTGACTAGGCCGGCTGCACCAAACAAGCCTGCGTTTCCATTCACCGTCAAGGTGGGTCAATACAAGGGCACTACGTATGGCGGTCCACGACCTGAGCCGCTCAGCTCGCGCCGTAAACCCCGTGCATTGCCACCTAGACCGCCAAGGAGGAACCTCATTATGCCTGAGAGCGATTCTCTGCCGCCTTACTCTGCCGGCTCGATTGGTCCCTCGCCCATTTCAGATGTTGATACAGATTCTGGCATGAAAGATGCGTCAGACGAGGAGAATCCTGCGGTCAAGAACAGTTTACTTGTTGAGCAGTACTTTATCACGCCAGAAATTGAACCCGATACTGTGGATGTTACCCTGGATGCTCAAGACGATTTGCTTGGCACATCCGATCCTCCCACTGACTTCAGTGCGACAGGAGCACTTGCAGATCTTCCATCTGACACGGCGATGGCAGATCCAGAAGCTGAGACAGAGGCTGTTGCGGAAGCTTCTCCAGCAATGCCGCTTTTACGAAATGGTGATGCGTTCTTTTGCGAGTGGCCCGTTGACATCTACGAACAAATTTTCTCTAATGACCCAGAGTCCATTGGCGGTCAATCACTTTGGGAAAAGTTTGATGAGCAGCATGACGAAGCGATGGATGCTCAACGCTTGCAACGCGAGGCTACCAAGGACAAAGTCAAAAGCCTTGAAGATTGTCTAGACGAGTTTGCGAAAGAGGAACCCCTTGATGCCGAGAATACGTGGTATTGTCCCAAGTGCAAGGAGCACCAGCGTGCCAACAAGACATTTGAGCTCTGGCGCACGGGTGATATTCTTGTATTTCATCTCAAACGGTTCAGCAGCTCTCGGTCGTTGTCTGACAAGATTGATGCTGAGATTCGTTTCCCGGTGAAGGGTCTTGAGTTGAATGATCGCCTTGGAGAACGTCGCTTACGACTCTCCAAGGGAGAGAAAAATCTCGAAAACAGTATATACGACCTCTGCGGTGTTGTCAACCACTACGGCGGTCTCGGTGGTGGCCATTACACAGCATTTGCTCAAACATTCGATGACGGCAACTTCCACAACTTTAATGGTATGAGCATTGTATGTTTCCCTTTTTGCTGACCTCTAGATTCTTCTGTTAATGCTATGGATGCAAACAACTTGGTGTCTTCTTCAGCATACCTGCTATTTTATCGAAGGCGTGCCGATAAGCCGCTCGGCGGTGAGCTCTACAGCAAGATTGAGCAGCATGCCGAGCAGCGTCTGGTCAAGCAACAAAGCGCAACAGCATCCCTCAACTTGATTCGGCAGCGAGACTCGTCTGTGCCCCTTGCTTCAGCGCCTTCTTCGTTGTCGGACAGTTCGAATGAAGCACGACTTGAACCACTGTTGCATGTCCCCTTCTCTGGTCCGGGAAGACAGCTCGGAGGTACGTATGGTGATGTGAAGGCGCCCCTTGCACAAGTCGCCTCGAACCCTTTCGGCACGTCAACGTGGGGATCTGGCCTGGCAAACAACTCGTGGACGCTGCAGGCTGCGTCTGATGATAGCTCGGAGAGACCCAACAGTGCGACTGGCAGTGACAAGGAATGGAACGAGGATTCCAAAGCATAGAGATCTGTAGAGATCAGCTGCTACCTGCGTAGCATATTTCTCTGCAGCATACAGTCAAGTCATCTGAACATTGATTCTGCCCTTTAAGCCCGCCCGTCCGGCGATTCTCTCAAAGCTCGGCCGATAGCGTCGATCATCCACGCTTCACCTAATCGCCCTGCATATTTCTCCTCAGAAGATGGGATATTCATGTACTTACATGCAGACGTCTGCCATGATGTAACGTCGCCATTCGACCTCTGTGCGCTCTGGAAGCCGAACAGATTCGACGGTATTCAGGTGTGGCTCCTACATAAGACACTCCTACAGCATGAGTCACTTGTCGTGTTGTCGGCTATGTTGAGTCATATTGTACACCCAGCACTCAGGAGTTAGGAATTTGAACATTTGCAAGTTGCAGCGGTAAGATACTTGACCGCCCCACATCAATGGTGGCAGGAGTCTGATGACAACAAGGCCGAGCTTCTACAAGATCAAGTTGGACTTTCCTGATTTCGTTGACTTCGCGTGATGATGACAAGCTACACTTCGAGTCTCAAAGCTTGTCCCTACGGGCAACTATAGCTACAGCAAAAGGCTAACGTGAGGCGCATGACTGAATCTGAGTGTCAATTTGTCACTGGGGATACCCGGTGCCACTGCAACTCCTTTTGGCAAGTTTCGACGAAATCTACCGCAGATCACGCGGGATGGCTCCTTCAGGCGACAAAAGGTGAGTCAAGCCGACCAGGCATACTGCAGCATACATAAGGGGGTCCTTCCCCAGCTTATGTCCTGATTGTCAAGACACCATGCCCAGCATATTACAACACAAATATGTCCTCATCTTCGCTGCCTATGCCTCGCTGGGTAGTCTGCTCTACGGCTACGACGGCACGTATTTCAGTGGCGTGGTCGCTATGAAAACGTTCATCAACGACTTTGGTACAGAAAATGCCGCTGGTGTCCGAGAGATTACACCAGCTGCTCTCTCACTCATGACTTCACTCGTCTATGTGGGTGAGCTGATAGGCTCTTTCGTGTATCCTGTCATTTGTGACAAGCTTCGTGGTGGACGCAAAGGCGCTATTGCCGCTGCTATGCTGGCAGTTCTTGCAGGTGCAAGTGTGCAAGTCGCTGCTTCAGGTCAACAAGGTGTCATCATCGCTGGTCGTATCATTCTCGGCGTTGGTGTTGGTCTTGTCTCCAATGCCGTACCACAGTACCTATCAGAGATTGCTCCTAAGGAGATTCGTGGTGTCGTGGTGGGTAGCTGGCAATTCACACTAGCCTTTGCTCAAATCATTGGCGCTTGTGTCTGCCAGGGCACAAAGGACATTTCCAGCACAGCATCTTACCGCATCCCGATGGGCTTGCAGATGATCATTCCCGTGGTCGTTTATGCACTTTACGCTTGGATTCCAGAATCCCCTCGCTGGCTTGTTTCCGTCGGTCGCACTGATAAGGCTGGTGCAGCGTTGAGAACATTACACAAGGAGAAGTTGGCTCATGGTTACGATGAACAAGAAGAACTGTCCCTACTGAAGCAAGACAAGGAATTGGACGATCTCTCGAAGGAATCATCCTGGCGCAGTCTCTTTGGTAGTCCAGTCGAGCGTCGAAAGCTCTTCCTTGCTGTCGGCATCCTCGCTGCTCAGCAGTTGACTGGAGTTCAGTTCTTCTTCTCCTACTTCACGGTATTCTTGCAAAAGATTGGTTCCGTCGAACACCCTTTCCTTTGGACCATCATCTTGGACATTTTTGAGCTGATCGGGGTGGTCGGTTCATTCTTCTTGATCAATCGTTTCGGTCGTCGTCCTCTGCTCATCTGGACATCTGTCATCATGATTGTCTGCCTCGTTGTTTCTGGTGGTCTGGCTACTGCTGCAGATGAAGTGCTTCCACGCGGTCGAGGCATTGGCATCATTGTCGCATCACTCATTTACGTCTTGGCATTCAACCTGGCCTTTGGACCTCTGGCTTGGGTAGTTGCCTCTGAGCTGACACCTGGACCGAACCGCGCCAGAACCTTCAGTCTTGGTACAGCAACTTTCTGGATTGTCGCCTGGGCAGTGACATTCACGCAGCCTTACCTCTTTACAGATGCAAATTTGGGCGGTCGAGTGGCCTTTGTCTATGCCGGTGGATGTCTCTGTTCTCTTGCCTTTGTCTACTTTTGCATCCCAGAGACACTAGGGCGTAGTTTGGAGGAGATTAGCGAGATGTTCGATGCCCGTTTGCCCCTGAAAGAGTGGCCTGCTTGGCAGTCATCCAGGGCGTCGTCTGAAGTGGGCAAGCTCGAGAGGGATTCGACTTCTGTGGATGAGGAAAGCCAGCAGATGCCCAAGAACGTGGCTCCTACATCTGGACACCTTGAACAGGTATGAGTGGACTGTATAGAGTAGCCAAGCATGTAGTTTATGACTGTCTTTTTGCCCTGCGTATGATGTCAATATCACGTGCCCTTTTCTTCGTCACTTGCGCGGAACTCAGAGAGACAACTGAGAGAAGCAAGTACAAAACATATAGCAAAGAAGTCATGTCTGTGCCCGCGTCAAGCCAGCCGAAGCCTTACGATTCAGTCGAGAGGAACCTCAGCAACATGGCCCTCTCCGATGCAAATATGGCGTCTTCTGCTGTAGACCCAACCAGGCCTACACGACCTGAAATCCCAGCAGCATTCAAGGTGCGCTGAGCTTCTGTCCTTCTAGCTGCCATACTGACAATCAAGAAATTCTCGCTGGAGGGCAAGGTCGCCGTCATTACAGGAGGTGCCCGTGGTCTTGGGTTTTCAATGGCTCAGGCCATCTCTTCATGCAATCTGGCAGGGATTGCCATTCTGGATGTGCTGCAAGAAGCCGGCGATGAAGCGGCTGCTGCGCTCCATGCAGAGTTTGGCATTCCCAGTGCATTCTACAAGATCGATGTGCGTGACGAAAAGGCAGTGAGCGAGACCATTCAGGGCATCAAGCACGATTTCGGTCGTGTCGACATACTCATCTGCTCAGCTGGTATCTGCGACAATATTAAAGCGGAGAACTATGAAGCGGATCGCTTTAGGCGTGTTATGGATATCAATGTGACTGGATCCTTCTTGTGTGCGCAAGCTTGTGCTCGCGAAATGATTGAGCAGAAGCAAGGCGGCAGCATCATCTTCATTGCCAGTATGTCTGGCCACATTGTCAACTATCCACAGCCTCAGAGCGCCTACAACGCCAGCAAAGCAGCAGTACTCATGCTCGCCAAGTCTCTTGCGGCAGAGTGGTCACCTTATGCAATTAGAGTCAACACCATCTCGCCAGGCTACATGGCAACCAAGCTCACAGACACAGAGGCATTCCGTGAGCTTAAGACGACATGGGCTGCGAGGACCCCGCTTGGTCGCCTTGGCCAAGACTACGAGCTCAATGGTGAGAATTCAACACTACAAGACTTTGACTAATCTTCAGGTATCGCTCAATTCCTTGCTTCTGATGCCAGCAGCTTCAGTACAGGTGCAGATTACCTCATAGATGGTACGCTTCGTCCGACTCTCAAAACCAACGCTGACAATAGGCGGTTATACAATCATGTAAGACATACTAGGTCTACAATCAAATCACGATCACCCTATGCTTCACTCTCTTGTACACTTGAGCTCAATGATCGTTGCTTGATAATTGGACTTTGTGATTACATGAAATGCTAAAAATACGTGACTCCATCTAGACCGTGTCACTCGTGCCTGACTCCTTAAGAAAACAACTAGGCATTGACCAATCCTCGTCGCGGCGCAGCACGTCTATCCGCTTCAGCAGCCCGCATAGGCTTTGCTTCTCGACGACCAAGACCCGGAAGAGCGGGAAGGTTGTTTGTGAGTTGTGTTGGTAGAGCGTTTGCAAGAGGGTTGGAGGTAGGAATGGCGAGTGCTGGCATGGTTGGCAACGCATCTGCTAGCGGGTTGGAAGTAGGAATCGCTGGCAATGGGTTGGAAGTAGGTGCTGCTGGTAGTGGGTTGGAGGTTGGTGCTGCTGGCAATGGGTTCGATGGTGCAGCAGGGAGCGTTGGCTGAGGACCCAAGTTACCAATGGCCGACTGAATAGCACCCTGCACAAAGCCAGGGTCAGTCAAGTCACTGAGTGATGGCAAGCTGCCGAGGTTTGGCAAGTTTGTGGCAACGGCTGCTGGAAGAACTTGAGTGAGGACACCGTTCAAAGTACCACCGAGCGACTGGACAGCACCCTGCACGAAGCCAGGGTCAGTCAAGTCAGTGACGGATGGCAAGCTGTCGAGGTTTGGCAAGTTTGTGGCAACGGCTGCTGGGAGAACTTGAGTGAGGACACCGTTCAAAGTACCACCGAGCGACTGCACAGCACCCTGAACGAAGCCAGGGTCAGTCAAGTCAGTGACGGATGGCAATTGACCCAAGTTGGGCAAGTTCGTAGCAATTGCTGGTGGGAGAATCTGGGTGAGGACGCCGTTCAAAGTACCGCCGAGAGATGCAACGACATCGCCGAGGCCTGGGAGACCGCCGTTTGCAGCAGGTGCAGGTGCAAGAGTCTGCATGGTTGGGGTACCGCCAGAGACTGAGCTGGCAGGAGGAAGAACCATGCTGCCGCCACCAGCAACAGAAGCTGAGCCAGAGGCAGCGGGAGGAAGGACCATGCTGCCGCCGGCGACGCCAGATGCAGAGCCTGATGCTGCAGGAGGAAGGACCATGCTGCCGCTAATTGGTGCAACAGAGGCGGAGCCAGTCGCAGCAGGAAGAAGGACCATGCCACCAGGCATGCCGGAGACTGAGGCAGACATGGAGCCCACGGAGCCCATAGATCCAGAGCCAGGAGCAATGCCGTTAGAGCCGCCACCAGGGGCGAGGGTCATGGCTGGCATAGGCGGCAAAGAAGACATGCTGCCTGCTGGCAGAGAGCTTGCTACGCTCTGTGGGACTGCGCCGATACCATTGTCGCCAGCTGGGACAGTAACAGTGATTGTAGTTGCTGTAGAGAATGAGTTGGTCACAGTGCGAGTGACGTAAACAGTCGAAGTCTGGCCGCTAATGAATGTGATTTGTGGCACAATGATGACCTGGACGATAACTTGGATCGTGCCAGCTTGAGGGAGAATAGTGACAACCGAGATCTGGCCGACAGTAGATGTTACCGTTGAGACAATCGTGTTGGTGACAGGGTAGCCGTTGTTGACCACAACTTGCTGGGTAACGACCGTCTTGTACACGACAACTGTGTCACCATTGGCAGCTTTTGGGTTGGAGCCGCCTGGGTGGCTGCTCCCTGGGCTCACGCCAGAGTTGGAGCCAGGTGAGCCGTTGACTACGCCAGCACCATTGCCTGCTCCGACAGGAGAAGCGACAGCGGATCCTGGCTTAATAACGACGGTCTGTGTAATGGGAATGACAATGGTCGTAACCGAAGGTTGCACAAACACGGTTCCGCCGCATGTGAAGGTCTGTGTGACTGTGACGGCAGTTGCAATTGCGGTCGTCAATACGCCAGTAACGGCAGGGGCAGCAGGGCAGCCCTAAAATGTTAGCAGTTGAAATTTATTGTACCATCTGAAACTTACGCCTACTGGAGCAGGGGCAGGGGCAGGAGCAGGTGCCGGCGCAGGTGCAGGTGCCAAAGATTGTGCAGGCGGGAGGACCATGCCAGAGCCACTGGCGATACCTGAGCCAGAAGGACCGACCATAGATCCGGCCATCGAACCAGCCATGGAGCCAGCAGGGGCGAGTGTTGGCGCTGCTGGAGCGACACCTGAGCCTGACGCGGCATCACTGGCAGGGGCAACTGGAATAGATCCTGAGATCGCTGGCGCCAGTGAGGGAGCTGCGATTGGCAAGATAGATGCACTGCCGCCGCTAATGGATTGCGCAAGTGTGGCTTCGAGAAGGAGAACGAGGGACAAGAGCGTTGACCTCATACTTGCTGAATGGGGCGACTAGTGAAGACGAGCGAGGGTCGAGTGACTGAAGTCGAGTGAGTGAGTGCGTGAATGAAAGTCTCGAGGGCACACTCCAGGTCTTAAGGAAAGTGACTTGCAGGACGATAGCTTTGCTCCTCATCAAAGCACTCGACTCATGCAGGAAGAGTGATTGCCCAGCCGCCAAGCGAGCTCGTGACTATCAATCAGCCCATCAGAAGCCATTGCAGCACTGAGGAGCGGACCCGAGCATTGGTCTTAACGCTGCTGTAGTGCTTGAGCGGCGGGGTGGGCATCGCCCCGCGCTCTGTGTGAATCCACGCGATCGTCGTGCGGTGAGGTTGACGACCAGGTGGGCCATTCACAGGGAGGCAGTCAGGCGGCCAGTGTCTTGAAGTTGGACTCTGGTGAGAGCAGCCGCCGTGCAGACCGTGCAGTCTGAGTAAAGTGAGCCACATGGAAACGATGGAAGGTCTGAGCTTCACAAATTCAAAGACAATTTCCGACCCGCTGGCTGACGGGCGGGGTGTGCAGCATCGCGCGACCGTTGAAAGCGGGGCGCCAACGACTCTTGCGAATTCGAGCCTTTGCAACTGCGATATCAGGAAGCCCTGATGAAGGGCTCTGCACAGTGACATTGCAATCTTACGGTAGATGCAAGAAGAGCATGCAATGAAGTCTCGATCGTCAGCCCGAGCTGCAACGGCTGCCTACCATAGTACCACCTTTTCAGATATAGCTCCCGCATGCTATCTGCTGCATGAAGGAGGACCTCGAGCCAGCCGAAGACCTCTACAATGTCTACACCTCTGATCAACACTTGCTCGTGGCACGTCATCTTAATTGATATCACTGGCAGCCGTACGATAGACATTGGCGAATTTGATCTGAGCGCAAAGGCTCGAGCTCGATTGCCTCGACTCTACAGCACTGACCTGCTCACGCTTGCGATCGAAGGTTTAGAGCTCAAGGGCTACAGCCTTACAGGTCAATGCAATTGGCTGCTAACCTTAATTAAAGCTGGTCAAAGCTGAGCAAGATGGTCAGCACTGAGCGGTGAGTAGTACTGAATACTATGACCACGCCTGTTCTCACATGCGCATGGTCGCCGGCTGGCCACTGCCGTGATGCCTTTGTTCATGTCCGGGTACTTGGCTAGCGAATGTCGGATCGCATGTGAGACACCGCATGGCAGGTACTGGCGGGGATTCACGTGAATATGTTCAGATGGGCCACCTAGCGAAACCATCCAAGCAAGAGCGAGCTTAAGCCCGGACTTGGGGACTCAATGACTCAATGGGGACATCTTGAGTATGCGAGCACAGACCGAAGATACATTAAGGGCAAAGGTTTGGCTCTCAAAGGATATCGACCCATGTCTGATCATTCCTATGACAGGGCCATCTGCCAGGCACTGCCTTGCTATTTCCGGTGACAATCTGATTGTGATTCTAGCCTTTGCTCAGGTTAAGGGGTTCCTAGACCAAACCTTGCGTAGCGGCGTTGCGAGCACCTGCAAGTTGCAAGGGCCTTAGTCTGCGTTGTCGTCATTGACTCAGTAAAACACACAGCCTACGCACGGACCAAGCCTGCGGATTATCGATCGCGGCGTATTCTAGAACCCATTCGATGATCATCTACGTATATGAGACCCTTATACTCGCTTTGTTCGCCTTAGTTGTACCAACGCGGGATTGCCAAATCAAATAAGCCCGTTATCTCAATGGCGGATTCATGACGGGTGCATTTTAAGGGGGACCGTTTTTTGGGAAATGAAGAACACTGCAATTCTACAGATCTGCGGTAGGAAAGTTGCGTGACAGGCAATCTAGTCCCAGCTCTTCGGATCGTTCTTCACGACCTCGAATAGCTCCGGTCGGATGACGGCTTGCGATAGATTGCCCCAGTATGTCAGCTGCTACCCGGCGATGTCATTCCGAGCAAGACGAGCATTATCGTCAGATGTTGCATGCACCAGCCCAGCATGATGCGAACTAGATGTCGACCCCACCTGAAAATCAGCAGGCACCGAAACGCCAGCATCGTCAAGCCGAGCTTCGTCCTGCTGTTGAGTCATGTTCGTGTCCAATCTGTCCGCTTCATCCTCGGATTCAATCTGACGCTCGACCTGACCAAAGAGGGACTTGAGCAGGGCAAGTCTATCTGTATTTGGATCAAGCATGGACGACCAATCAGGCGAAAGCGACACACCTGCCTGCCTGACTGCAGTCTTAATGTCTGCCTTGCTGCCCAGTTTCTGAGGATTGAAGGTTCGACATTTCGCGTCGGACATGTTATATGCGAGGCGGAGGTAGGTGCGCAAAGACAGTCCAAGCGCCAAAATTGCTGCGGCACGAGAGTGTTCAGGTGTGATCTCAAGAGGCTGTGAGTCCTGCTCGGATTCCCGGTCAATGAGCTGCATGAAGGCAACAGTAGTGGACGATGCAATTCTGTCCAGACCAAAGATGAGAAAGTGAACTTCTTCGCTTGTGGCGTACTTCAATCGAGCCACTTGGTTCGCAACAAAAGCTGCGTACTGGACGTCCTCTTCGTCCAGACTTGTCAGCTTGTCCAAGTTGACATCGAGACCTCGCGTGATGGCCATCAGTAGCTTCTTTCGTGCTTGTCTGCTCGAGCGCACGATACCGTACATGGGCTCTAGCAAGGAGTCTGTGTCTGCAGACGTGTCGCGCTTGTCGGCGACAGTCTGGTAATGGAAAGCTGCCTTCACACCATCGAGGTAGCAACTATCAATCAAAGACTCATGCTTTTCATTGATGGCAGTGTGGATCTGCAAGGCAAGATCACGCAGCTGAGAATTGGAACTGGTCTCAAGTGCAATGACTGTTGGCACGCAGTCGCGTGGATTTGACAAGCCCTGCATGACAATCTTGCCGAGAACGTCCAGCGCTAAAGAGGCCAAGGTTTGATCAGAGCCGGAGGCAGCTTTGAGCATGTCCTTCATGTATCGTTGCATGAGTCCGGGACTCACACCATCTGTTGCAAACTTCTGTGTGGTGCCAATAAGTACCTCGACATCGATATCAGCTGCTTGAGCCTTCTTGCTCCCTCTAGGTGACTTGAGCTTTTGCAGTTCTGCTTTTGACGATTCATTTGCCAGGAACTCCTGAAAGACGCCAATCAACAAGCGCTTCAGCTCAAGAGACGATCCTTGCATTATTTGATCCATGACAGCCAAAACGGCGATATCCTGGAAGTGATTTGGATAGCTGATGCAAATGTTGGCCAGCGCTCTCACACCGGCCTTTTGACTCTCCGACGGAGTGGCAAGCTTTTCGTGTGGGCAGAACTCAGTGACAGCTTGTAGCATGATTTGTACGAAACCCTCTTGAGAGGCAATCTTGGGAAACGCTTTTTGCAGCATGTCCTTGTCGGTGATGACAAGATGGCGACCAAAGAGACCCAAAAGAGAGAGCAGCAAGACGGCAGCTTTCGTCGTCTTTGGTTCGACTTGTCCATTCAGGTTGACCAGTTTCGTGAGACAAGATTTGATTGTAGCGATGATTCGGCGGTAGTCTGAGCGCATTTTGACAACCTCGCACAAGCAAGGAACTGCTTGATTGAGCACCTTTGTCGGCAATTTTGTCAACTGCTCCAAGAGCATACCTTGTACTTCAGCAAGGAACGCATCACTGTACGATGCCTGTCGGGGAATAACCTTTGTGTAGATGCTCGCCACATGCCCAGCGGCATAACGCTCAAATTCATTCGCGCCAAAGAGAAGGAAGGGTTTCAGAGACTCGACTTGTGACACGGTCAAGATTGTTGGAACGGCGTAGACCAAGATTTTGAGTGCTAGCAGGTGTTGCAAACGAGGCCTCGTTTCTGTACCCTGCGTTGCTTCTGCTAGCATCGCTTGAGTAAGTAGAGAGAGTAGATATTTGGGCTGATGTCTGAGGCTCTTTTGTTCAACCTCAGAATAGATGGAGAGAAGTTCTCGAAGTAGCTCCACTGTGGCTTCTTGTTCAGCACCGGCCAGCAAGCTAATCACTTCAGCAACATTTTTGACACGTTGTCGTAGCTTAATTGGAAGGGCGTCGAAGTCATTCGAGCGTTCCGAGAACTCGAGCTCTGGCCATGCAAACCACAAGTCAGTAAGGACCTTGATGATCAGATCACGAACCGAATCTTCCTCGTCGCGTAAGCGTAGCAGGTAGCGTTGTGCAATACTGGCACGCAGATCAACGTCCTCATTATTGGCGTAAACATCTCGCAACAGCTTGATGACTCGCTTTCGCACAGCAATACCCGTGTCGCAAAGTCGGTCGCTCAGCACACCAAAGTACGCTTTGCCAAGGCTAGCATTGGCAATAATGTACTTGCCAAGCAAATCAAGTGCCGCATCTCTTACTTGCGGTGAGACATCTGATAGCCGCAGATTGACTTGCGCCTGGACAATCTTGAGTGAGAGGACAGTGGGATCTGTCGAGCTAAGTGAACCAAGCGATCGTAGAGCCTTTGTGCGCAGCGTCGGTTGAGAATGGTCCATGACTGAGAGCATTCGTGGTAAGATGGCGTCAAACATGTGCATCAAGCCATAGAATGTCAATAGCGAGACACAGGCTCGTGTTCTGATATGCGTCGGTAGCCCATCTGATCGAGCACTTTGCCACACCGCCACGTCCTCCGATGCGTGCGCCTCGTCTAGAGCAATCGCGACGAGCGTTAAGTCATCTTTTAGACGTTGATCTTGAGAACGTCCCAGAGTTCCTGCAAGGCTGGCAACGAAGCAAGCGAGGGAAAGCTCGACGGCAGACGAAAAGTTGACATCTTCTCGACTGACCACTGCGAGATGGGCAAGCAGTTCCTGCTCTGTGGAGGCGAGTTGATCAAGCTGTGCGCGTGTCGTCGATGCAGTGAGCTCATACTTCGGTAGCGCGAAGAGATCTGCTTCGAGCTCCGAGTGCTTCTCTGGCAGTGGTGCTTGTAGCGACATGCTGAGCTCTCGAATCCTCTTAGCAATCGCACAGAGCGTATCAAGCGCAAAGCTCTTGATTTGAGAACCAGATTTGGGGTCATCGACCATGGCAATCATTCGACGCGTCACCAGACGCAGCAAGATTTCAGCAGCAGGCCATTCAGGCAAAGCGAGCACAGCCAAGAAATCCTCGACAAACGAGTCCAGCAATGCTCGAAGTGGCGCATCTTCCGCATTGATAGCTTTGTGTGACTTCATCGTCTTATTCAAAAGGAAAGTGACGATGAAATTAGCCGTCATAGTAGCAGCACGGGTCTTGTCAATGTAGGCGTAGAGCGCCGGCGTTAAGCCAGATGTTTCACTGTCATCAAGCTCACCAGTCTCCTCGCCCTCTTGCTTGACTTTGCTTGGCGTTCGCTGCAGCTTGAATACTTCTTCTTGTTCTGGCGCAATCATCGCACTTGCCTGAACGAGGTGCAGCAGCAAGGCCGAGGTCAGTTGAATAGAGCGACCGTCCCGAAGTCTGTACTGTCGTGCACCTTGACGTGCCGTGGAAAGCTTATTCAGGTTTGTTAAAACTTCATCCAAGATGAATCGACGCTGCGAAGTATAGTGAACAAAGATTGTCTGCAAGATAGCCATTGAATTGAGTTTCAACGCTTCGACTGTACTCACTGAGCATGTGGGGTGATCCTTTGGTGGAGATTCAGAAAAGATGGTTGCAATAGCCATGAATTCAATTCGCGACAGGACATTCTCATCCGCATCCAAGACGGAGAGAACGCGAGAAGCATGCTGTAAGAACTGAACTGTAGTCGACAAGAGCTGTGTCAGCATTGTCTTGTGCTTCGCCGCGGGTCCGAGCTTTGCAACAGGCGCCTTGAACCAACGCGAGAAGAGATCCTCAAAGACTGAGCGAGCGGCATCGATCATGCCTAAGAGAGTTTCTTCAGAGTATAGCTGCTTGTTCTTCTGGGTTGATTGGAGCATATTCAAGACGCACAACGAGCTTAGCATCGCATTATAGGCAGCATCGACCAAGCGCAACCATTGCCTTTCACTCTCATCCGATGGTTCCTCCTCGAGTATGCGAAGCCGGTTGACGTCCGGCGATTCAATTGCGCGTGATAGAATGCGTAAGAGACGTGCAAGCGCGTCAGAATCAATGCAAGCGAGCTGTGACGCATTGGACGCGCGACGTAGGACATTGAGCAAGTGACTGGTAGTCGTGGACGTCAACCGCTTGTCAAGCGTATCAAAGAACGTGCTTCGAATCTTACCAGAGTTCTCTGATGTATCCGCCTCTAGATCGTCCTCTGCCTCAAAGATCTCGTCCAAGTATGATTGTGTGTCTTCGACAATCTGGGCATTTCTGGTCTTTGCGTCTTCCAAGTAACGCGGATCTGTTGTCTGCTGCTCTGCTTGGTCATTCACTCGCTTCTTCTGCTTACTTGGCGTGACCGGTTGACCGTTATCATCAAGACTGTAGCGATGTAGGATATTCGCCGCAGAGTTGCTCTGTTCAACTGGTCTGTATATCTGGTTAGCATTTATCTTTGGACTGATCGTTCCATACAGCTCTGCTTGCTCCGCAGTACGCTTCAGAGTAGGGAAGCTACGTGTAGGTATGCGCAGCATCTCACTCGTGACGCTTTGTGCACTGCTCAGTGACGAGTCGCTCCCAGCGGGAGATGCAGGTCGAGCAGGTGCTGCAACAGGGGCAGGTACTGATGCAGCTGCTTGCACTTGATGCGTAGTGGGAACAGCTGATGTTGTAGGAAGCGTGGCAACCGCCTGTGCAGGTGCTATCACAGGTGTACTCGCTGCTTGTTGAGGGACGACACTCTCTGCCGGCATGCTGGATTTAACCCCTGACACTTCTTGCTGGAGCGCAGACCTCTGCTGATTGTACTGCGTACTGACTGATGTCTCGATGACTGAAGCAGGTTCTTGGGCAGCGACCGTGTGCTGAGACGCTATAAACCCTTGAGACGTACTCTCCTGCTGACGGGGAGTCCTGTCCATTGGTGCTGAGTGCTGAACAAGCTTCGGCGCCTGCAATGCTTGCTGAGCTGCTCGATGTGCAGCACTCTGGGCTTCTTGCTGTGTCCTCTGAACCTGCTGGTCTCGTTGGAAGCGCTCGAGCAAGAAGGCTGCCTCGGGACTCAACCCTGCTGTCGGCGGATTGGCAAGTGGTCCTTGTCTGCCACTGCCAGAGGATCTAATATCAGCTCACACTACTCGACAGATCAATTGAAAGCTTACAGCTGCGCAGAAAGATGGGAGGCGCGCTGCAGAATCACGCCATGTCGCCTCTCAAGGTTCGCAGAATGCATGTCTTGCGCTGATACCTGTATGCTCGAGAGATCTTCTGCAGGAGGTGCTTTCAATGATGGCTCATCGAAGGACCTGAGCACAAATGATCGATCAACACTGGGAGCCAACGGCGTTTGCGCCAGTAAATTGTCGATAGCGTCCGGCTCCATTGTCGCAAGAGCTGAGACTAGCTGTAATGCGTCCTAGCGAGTCGATATCATCCAGAGCACACAGTAGGTCTTTGCTCGTCTCTTAGAGAAGCGAGACCTGCTGTGCAACGCTAATTTGACCCTGAAAGTACGCCAGGCTGTATGGCCTGTGGGTGTCTTGGTCAAATTTACGCGCACTGAATTTAGTCGCGTCGACCAGCAGGCGCATTTACAGCAACCCTTGGACGACCAGCATCCGAGCACCCGTCGTAGCATGCCGGACTTGTATTAGGGACGTGTCAAATGCTTCATGCTCGCTACGCTATGCAATTGTAAATATCAAATTCGAAATCTGGAGGGACGTGGTGGCTTAGTAGACTTCCTCGCCGTCTCCAATGTCATCGTGATCTTCCGCGCCGTCAGAGAAGTACTCCTGCTCATAGTCATTGCCTCCTGATATTGTTAGCAAACGAGATAGCATGAAAAGAAGAAAGATGTACCATCTTCACTAAATTCCTTGTCCTCATCTTCCGCCTCCTCGTCTTCATCGTCCTTCTCCGAGGCCACCTCATCGTCGGCACCCTCTTCCTCTGCCTCGACAGTCATGTCAATATACCGCAAGATATCAATCTTTTCCTGCTTCCGCTTCTTGCGTGGTCCACCGGCATGCTGCAAGACACTGTGTAGCTCTTCGGGGAAGCACTGCAAATTCGCATGCACATCAGCAAGGGACTGTACAACCTTGACTTTGGGCTTGTACCGATCTCCAAATCGCTCAATATCATCGCCATCGGTATTTCTCGCTCTTTCAGCTTCTGTTGTAATGTGGAATGGCGAAGCCTGGAATATCTCCTGCATTTCTCTGTAGAACTTTACTTCGATCCGCTCATCCTCACCCAGTTTTCTCAATGGTGGTATCTCCATCTCTGGGAAGCGCTCCTGCGGCTTGGTCGGTACCAGCTCGCGCAGCTCGGCGAGCGCTGCTTGATTATTCGCCATGGGCCCGCCCTGCATGTCAGCTCCATGAGTCTCTCGTATGATAATCACATACCATGCGCGGCCCAGAGCCCCGTCCTCTTCCTTGGCCGCCACTCATAGCGAGCCTCTGACGATATTGACTCTGTTAATGTTTTCGTGCTTTATCTTGGCCTTGTTTCCCACGGCGCCTGGTTGTCAAAATGGGGACCATCCACAATTGTACAGAGCCCGAGTCAGCATCCTATCCTCTGCAAACTCACGCCGTAAAGCTGAAGCTATAAGCTCGTCTTGTTCGTGCTGCTCTCAAGGGCCTCTCATCAGCCGCCATAGTCCCCCGCTACCTCAAGTTCTGGCAGTCAGCCGACCACAAGCTTCCTGTCCTCGCTCTCTATAAAAGTCTCTTGACACATGCACGCGCCTTCAATGAGCCTATCCAGACGCGTTTGCGGAATCTCATTCGAGTACGCTTTCGAGGATCGCGGGGAAAAGGTCTGCGTTCGGTGATGCAAGCGAGAGAAGCCTTGAAGGTCGCTATGTTGGCTGAAACGCAGTTGGAACGTGCTCGGCGAGGGGACCAGGAGATCGCAGCAGCGTTGCTCAAAGAGTTTGGCCGACCCTTGACTCGGACGGTACCTTTGGCTACCCACGAAGAGAGAGTGCCAGTTTCATCCAAGAAACTGCCACAAGCCTCTCCAGATCTGCCACCACGACCAAGGAAGCCGCCGTACCTCAACTATGATTCTCAAAAGAATCCCTTCTTTCGACCTCGCGTGCACAATCAGTCTCAGGCAATGATGATGGCTTCGCGTCTCAAGCAAACGCAACACAGACATGATCGATCAGATAACCTGCATTATCAGGCAATGCTTGCTAGCACGGAAGATCAATTCTACCAAGCTCTGTCGATGCCCGGAGAAGTCGGCTGGCATGCAGAAGTCAAGCTTGCGCGAGCCGTTCTGCATGAGCAGATGAAGCAGGCCAGTGTTCGTCAGTCAGAGCTTTGGGACATCCTGGAAGAAGAACACGAAGACCGTTGGCGACGCTACAGAGAAGATATGGAGGAGTACACGCGTCAGAGGAGAGCACGGTTCGTACAAAGAGCGCAGCAATCATAATGCTAGGTAACTTTAATGACACCAATCATGAAAATAACACCCAGTAGGGCCACCAAGATCGCCACAAGGGACAAGCATGTTGTGCTGCTGGACTTTTTGGCATACTGGCCGAGTCTACCACCAGTCGCTTTCATTCGGTCAGCATTCCTGTTGAGTGCCTCACCAGTCTTCTCAATGAGCTCATTATCAGCTGTGATGGCCTTGCCGAACTCGGTTTGCTTTTGTCGCAGAGTCTGTGCCATATTGAGCAAGTCATCCGTCAGTGACTCTTGCTGAGAACGATGCTGTTGCAGGATGTGCTCTTGCGAGGATAGCGTAGACCGTCCATGTTGTCCATTCTTCTCAGTCCGTTTGCTTTCTTCAGCTGCGGCGATTGCTTCCTCCTGAGCACGCTTCTCAGCAAGCTCTTCTTCCTCTGCTGCTACTCTCGCCTTCTCAAATGCATCTTGTTGATCAGCGACACGTTCAAGCAGTGAGCGAATCAGCTCGCGCTGTCCTTCATGACCCCTGCGTGAGGCAGGATCTGCTAGTTCTGTGCGTAAGAGTAATTTTTGAGCATACTCTATATTCTGAATGAGTCAGCTCGCTGTGATAAGATGGCCACAGGCGATTACCTGGTTGGTCTTTTGAAGCTCAAAGAAGGGCATGCTTTTCGACTCGGTGAGCAGCGCATCGAGGCGCGCTAAGAGCAGATCTAGGCTAGCTTCGCTCATGGCAGCATCAGAGTACAAAGCTATAGCAAGGCTCAGCTGACTCGTTGAGACGTCGTTTCCTGCTGAGTGTCTGGAATTGGTCGTCGAATAGGACTACCAGCGCATGACGATGTGACAACGCAACGAGCACAAAGGACGAAGACTACAACTGCGAGAGCATCGTCACATCTAGACGGGCCCAGTTTCTACCAGCTCAATGCAGCAATGCTCAAGACTGGTCTCAACATCCGCAAAAAGCAATCGGAATCCGCTCAGATACCACAGAAACGACCCTCTGCATTCTGCGACGACTCGGACGATGACGAGAATGCGCCTGCACCGCCTAGTCGGCCGCCACGAACAACACTTGTTCCTCAATCATCACTACGTAAGATAGCAGTTCTTGCTGAGGACGATGTCGCGTATGACTATGATGGCGTCTACGATTCTATGAAAGTGCATGAACAAGAAGCAGCCAAGACGAAAGAGCAAGACAAGCGGGAGCGCAAGCCAAAGTACATGCAAGACTTGTTCCACATGGCTGAAGTGCGTAAACGCGACAGATTGCAAGCAGAAGATGTCAAGTTGCAACGGGAGAGGGAGCAGGAAGGGGACATGTTTGCCGACAAGGAACAGTTCGTCACGAGCGCGTATCGAGCGCAGCAAGAAGCATTGCTGCAGAAAAGACGACAAGAGGAAGAGGCTGAACAAGCGTTGCGCAGACAAGCTGGTGGCTTGACCGCATTCAGCGCGGGAGTGCTTGCCAAGGATAGGCAGAAGCATGAAGCAGCCGTCGAGGCGAGTCTGCATGCTGAAAGGCGCGCCGCATCAAATCACGCACAAGCTTCGGAAGGTCAACGTTTCTCAGAACTGGAAATGGCCAAGAAGGCTGAAGCTGAACTTGGCCACAAGGTGGTGGTCAATGACAACAATGAGATTGTGGACCATCGACAGCTGCTTGCAGCTGGACTGAATCGCTCCAACAAGTCTGATGCAGTCTCGACGCATCAAGCAACTGAACGACAGCATACTACTGGTTCTTCGTTGTCAAGCAAAGAGCGAGAACAGAGGCGTGCGCAGCTGGAACGACAGGAACGAGCAGTCGCAGCGCAGCTCAAGGAAGCGCGACGACAAGACATGGAGGAGCGATCTCGTAAAGAAGCGCTTCTACAGCAACAAGCAAAACGAACAAAGACGGATGCCGACATCACATCGGCAAAGGATCGTTATTTGGCACGCAAAAAGGCCGAAGCAGAAGCGAAAGCAGCGGGAGCGTCTTGAATTTATTCTTGGGAAACCTTAGAGTCTCGAAAGAAGGGTCTACGAACAGAAAGCCTGCACACGGTAGCCAATCCTTGGGAAATGCATGACAAGTCCACTGGCATTGCGCAAACACGTCTGCTCATCATTGAGACTGAGAAGCTCTCCAGTCTGTGAGTGCGACTTATCCGTATCAGCTGGCGACACCAAAATGTCCGTTCCAGGCTGCAAACCCAACACGTTGGCCTTGTCATGTTTGACAAACCTGGCATATTCAATCCTTGACTCCTTGGTGAGAAAGGCTTTCGCGCAGTCCCAAGTGATGTCCTCGCGTATGCCCTGCATTGTGAAAGCTCTAACACGGTCGCACCATGCATACACTTCTGCGTACTTGTTGCACATCACCTCGAGCTCACAGTCCTGGTGGCCATGCAAGACCCAAGCGACAATGCTGTACACGTAGATGTCTGCCATGGAAGGCTTCTCACCACCAAGGAAAAACAGCTTCTTGCCACAATCGAGAAAATTACGATTGATGATGTTGAGGTAGCTCGCAAAGTTCGCTAATGCGTCAGATCGGGCTCGCGTTGAGACTTCCTTGGCGGGCTCTGGCGAGTCCATGGCGTCGTTCTCGAAAGGCATCAATTCCACTGCAGAGGGATAGATGCTCTTGAAGAACTCCCCGTATGCTCGATGGTTGGTAGCATCTACATCGTCACCAGCCGTGTTCTTGTGCAATGCAATGTCACACAGCTTATCAACGATGATGGCCGTGTCGCAGTACATGTCTGACTCGATGGACAAGAGGGGCGTACGTCGATCAACGATACTGAGCTCGGCGTAGTCGGGTCGAGGCGTGACGACGTATTTGTAGGGAATCTGGAGGAGGGAAAGGGTACAGAGCACCTTTTGGCAATTGGGAGACGACGACTCATCGCCGTAGAAGATGATGTTGACCATGGTTGTTGGTGATATGCTTGTCAACGTCTGAGAATGCTCCTTTGCTTCAGTATTGAAGCACTTACAGGTGTGAGTGCCGGAAATGAGGACAAGGGCGGCCCTTTTATGTCCTCATCGGATCTATTCTCATCACTCCACAAAACCCCCGTATGCTGACCCCTGTCCGGCAGTGGATCTTTCTGGCGTATTCAGGCTCTAGACCGGAGTTCTCCAGACCCAATTCGTGACATGACAAGCCAGTGAACTGAACTGCCTGGATTCTGCAAGGAGTGTTGCCAAAGATAGACATCACGGTGATGTTGCTAATGAGGCGAGTCGGCATATGCATGCATTACGGACCATTATCTCTTGAATGTTTTGTAATCAACGAGCACGCGAGAAGGCCACAGCAAAAGCAGTAGCAGCCGGACCTTGAATTGAATGAGTGGGTGATGCCCCTGCAGTAGCTACGAGGATACAGCCTGTACGTGGTAGCCAATCCTTGGGAAGTGCATAACAAGTCCACTAGCATTGCGCACACACGACTGCTCATTGTTGAGACTGAGCAGCTCTCCCATCTGTGGATGTGTCTTGCCCGTATCAGTTGGCACTACAAAGACCTTTGTTCCAGGCTGCAAACCAAAAGGATTGCCCTCATCGTGCTTGACGAATTTGGCGTATTCGTGTTTTGGCGGCTGCGTGAGGATGGCTTTGGCGTCTTGCCAGGTGATATCCTTGCGTTTGCCCTGCGTTGTGAAGGGCCTGACGCGGTCGCACCATGCATACACTTCTGCATACTTTTCGCGTGTCACTTCGGGCTCGCAGCCACGGTGGCCGTACAAGACCCAGGCGACAATGCTGTAGACGTAGATATCTGCCATGGATGGCTTCTCGCCACCAAGGAAGAACTTCTTCTTGCCACCATCGAGAAAGTTGCGAGTAATGATGTTTAGGTAGCTGGTGAAATACGTCAATGCAGAAGGTCGAGACTGCTTGAAGGCTTCCTTGGAGAACTGACGACCGCTGCCAACCAGCTCCTGCCTGTCCTTGACAAACTCTGGCGAGTTCATGGCATCACCTTCAACAGGCAACAGTCCAACAGCAAAGGGAAAGACGCTGTTGCAGAATTCCCCGTATGCCCGGTGATTTGTAGCATCCACATCTTCACCAGCTGTCTTCTCGTGAAGAGCAATGTCACACAGCTTCTCAATGATAATGGCCGTATCGCAGTACATGTCTGATTCGATGGACAAGAGGGGTGTACGTCGGTAATCAATGCTCATCTCTGCAAAGTCTGGTCGAGGCAATGTACGTGGAATCTCGACGTATTCGTAGGGAATTTGGAGGAGAGAGAGGGCACAGAGGACCTTTTGACAGTTGGGAGCCATTTCGTAGCCGTAGAAGACGATTTGGACCATGGTTGCGTATTTGGGTATCCTCGGGAGAAATAGATTATCTTGCAATAGTCAGGCGAACGGAAGCAGGACGAGGAGGGTAGAGATGAAGGCTTCCTTGTAAGACAAACTTGTGTGGGTAGCAGTAGAACTGTAGAACTAAGTGGACTTCCCCGCAGAAAGTGGAGGAGCAGAAATTGAGCTGCGAGATGAGACGACTAGAACTATTCTACTTTCTACAGCAATGAGGCCCATATCGCAGACCGCAGGATGATCGTAGAGACTCCTCGACAGGGCTGTCCGATTGACGGTGAGACGGTGACAGCTGTGCCACAAGGTCAGCAAGCAAGTATCGAGGCCCAGCCTGTCGCTGTTGCAACTGCATCTGCAGACGGCAAGAGCCTTGTCTCGGGCAACAAGAAGAGCAAGACTAGTCCAGTCAATCCAAAAGTATTCATCCTCCGTCATGGCCAGACGGAGTGGTCAGAGATTGGCAAACGAACAAGCTTCACAGACCTGCCGCTTACTGAAAAGGGCAGGACTCTGGTGCAACGCTCTGCATCTACAATGCTTGGCACAGGCAAGCTCATTGACCCAAGCAAGCTAAGAAAAGTCTACGTCTCGCCTCGTCTCAGGGCACAAGAAACGCTCAAGTTGCTTGACCTCCCAGAGAGTGTCCCTGTCGAGACGACAGAACTCTTGCGAGAATTCGAGTATGGCGAATTTGAAGGCATGAAGACGTCTGACATCAAGAAGCTTACAGGCAACGACAAGTGGGAAACTTGGATTGATCCTGCACCTGGCGGCGAGACGCCTCAGCAAGTATCTGACAGGATCGATGAGCTGATTGATCTCGTTCGCACACGTCATCACCAACTGTCCTTTGAGCACGAAGAAGAGGCTCTGGAAAAGCCCGACATTCTTTTTGTTGCGCGTATTACACCTCTTTTATTGATGGAGCTAACAACAGATGGTCATATCCTGCGTGGCCTAGGAGCAAGGTGGATTAGGCTCGACATTCGTCATGCACGCGGGCTTCAACTTGATGCTGGAGGTGTAGGGGTCCTGGCGTACGAGCATGGCAGCATAGAAGAGCCAGCCATTACACGGTGGAATCTAATACAGTGACAAGCAACCGGTCTAGAAGTCTAGAAAAACAGGTGTCCCTGCTGCTACAAGCCCATAGCGCGTTGCTTCGCCTTCTCTTCAAATTCGGCCTTGTATTTGCGATACAATGCCATGCATGCTCTTGCGTCCTCCACGGAACTATGCTCGCGCCCTTGAATGTCTATGCGAAGTTCTTCCTGCGCGACCTTCTTTAAACTCGGCGTGCGGCCCGTGGCGTACTCTTTGAACCGTGAAAAGGTCGATGTATCCCGTACCATGTGCTTTGGATGTGTGAACTGGAGGGCTTTGAAGTCATTGATAAGAGCATGACCCACTAGTATACGGCCTTTGAGGAGTTCCTTGACATGTACCTGTACTTCCTCAAAGGGAGGCGCTTTGTATAGATGGTGAGGTTTGATGCCACTGACCCATGTACGGTAATCTGTAATTGTATGCCCTTTTGGCGGTCCAACATAAGTATCATAGATGACATGACCATGATAGTTGGTGATACTGATCCGCGCCAGTGTCGAAGACTCTCGCGGTCCTATCGGCGGGGCATTCGTTCCAACCATCTCGCAATCGAGAGCGAGGTACTTGCCAATCTTGGCAGACCGTGAATCTTGGACCAGCGTTGCCATGGCTGTCAATTTCAACTCTGGTGCCGCCACATTCGCTTCTGGCGTCAATACTGCCTTCTCCTTACTGATAGGCTTCTTATGCGACGCATCTTTGGGTGTACTGCGTTTCTTCTTCGGTGTCGTATGCACAGGTGGCTCTGATGCAGGTTTTTGAGTACTTTCTCGCTTCCGCTTTGTACCCTTCGATTCCATCTGGCTTTGTAGGGCCTGCCAGTTGGACATTCAGTCCTCCGCGCGCTACAGACGGCCGATCTTGCTGGGTGCTATAGATGCAGTCGTCGCAAACAAAAAAAAAGTTTTGAAGGCTTGAAATTGAAAGCACAAACGCAGCATCCCACCCATCTACTCGCTCCAAAGACTGGGCTCTGAAGCCTGCTTGCTGCTGTAGCTACTTGCTCAAACATGCTCAAGTCTCGGCTGCTTGCGCTGCCTGCTGTGAGATCTTCTAAGACTCTGCTGAAACAAACTTCCAGGGGTTTCTCGCTGACACGAGCTATTCGCAACGATACAGCAGCAGGCCCTGATTCAGGCAATCTCTTTGATCCACACCGAACAGTCGCACACCCTCCTTCTCCCATCAAGAAGCAAAAGACTGTAGGTGAAACACAGCCAAACTACGTCCTGACACTCTCTTGCAAGGACCAACCTGGTATTGTGCATGCAGTGACTGGTCTCATTGCGAACGAGTTCACGGGCGGCAATATCTTGGATAGTGCTCAATTTGGTGACGCCTCCACAGGTCGCTTCTTTATGAGGGTTCACTACTCCCTACCAAACCAAGATGCATCGACACTACAAACGATGCGCGAATCAGTCGAGTCAAAAGTCGGGGATCGCTTTGATATGACATGGCAGCTGCATGATGCACAAGTCAAGCCACGCGTCATGATTCTTGTGAGTAAGATTGGTCATTGTTTGAATGACTTGCTCTTTCGCCACAGCACAGGTCAACTACCCATTGATATTGCATGCATCGTCTCGAATCATCGCGATTTTTATCAGCTTGCAGCAAGCTACAATATCCCTTTCCACCATCTGCCCATCACACAGGAGTCGAAGCAACAGCAAGAAGACAGGATCTGGGAACTGCATCAACAGGAAAAAATCGATTTACTCGTGCTAGCACGCTACATGCAGATTCTGTCCCCTGAAATGTGTCGACGTGTGTCTGGCAAAGCCATCAACATTCATCACTCCTTCTTGCCTTCCTTCAAGGGAGCAAAACCGTATTTCCAAGCATTCGATCGTGGTGTGAAGTTGGTGGGTGCAACGGCACATTTCGTCACTTCAGATTTAGATGAAGGGCCAATCATTGAGCAAGGCATTGAGCGTGTCGATCATACACATGATGTCAAGGCATTGACGACGGTGGGTAGTACGACGGAGTGTATTACACTGGCGCGCGCAGTCAAGTGGTTTGCTGAGAGGCGTATTCTGATGAATGCCACTGAAGGTGGTACCACCAAGACGGTCATTTTTCGATAGAGCCAGATGTCGAGCTCTTCCATTTTCATTTAGTCTATTAGCGTCATAGATGACCTAGATGGGAACTTGTCGTGGCCATAGAAGGACGACAAGAGATAAATTATTCGTCGGAGTTCAGCATATCAGATGCGACATCTATCGCCTGTGAGATTTGGTCAACCACAGACTCGGAGTTCTTGATCGTTTCTGTTGCGCTTTGTTGCAACTTCTGCAAGGTCTCTAGTTGAGCTTGCCAGAACTGTCGGTCCGCTTCGTCATCGACAGTTTCAGCAAGCAAGTCTTTGCAGTACTGTCTCAGCTCGTTGCACGTTGCAACGCCAAATGCTGCATCAAGGTTGTCGGGTCTCGCGATCAAAGCGTCCTCATAGACTTTTTGAATCTTGTCAATGCACTCATTCGCCAATTGACCTTCAGCTCTTGCATGATTTTGATTGCCCAAATCGTCATTTGTCTCTAGCAAGAATAAGAGCTCTGAGCTGAGCGCTTTGCACAAGCGTGTGAGGATATCTGGTATCGCAGTCTCTTCATACTTGGCCACATCAAACTTGACAGAGGCTTCTTTATCGAGCAAAATCTGCGCTACTCGGCCGATAATCTCTCGAGGTTCCTGGGAGGTATTTGCATCCGTATTCAAGATTCTTGCACGTTCATAGACTTGCATCGCTTGGATACGTGCTTGCAGTACCTTCAACTCGTCATCCTCTCCCTGCTCCACCTCGAGGCCTCGTTCAACAAGTCCTTGAGCAGCACGAACGTAGTCTTGTGATGTTTCACCTTCCTTGGCAGATAGATCATCGACCGTATCGCTCAAATCAAGCAAAGCACTCGCATACGCCATGAAGAAAGCTTTCGTATAGACCAGCTTCGCAGCATCTTCATTTCTTAGCAACCGATCCGCTTCATGTATGGTCCCTCGAACAAGTGGGAGCCACGAAGCAGCAGAAACGCCTAATAAGCTTGGACCACGATTTGATCCTGCTAGGACGGCAGTCTTGTATAAGGCGATACATTCACCAATATGATCATCTTCTGCTAGATCCGCAGGTAAACCAACCGTCGCTTCACTGGCATCGAGGGTTGTGGTGGTTGTCTCTGTTGTTGGCAGTTTTGGCTTCTTGGCACGTTTCGCAGCAGCGAGACCTGCAGGCCGTTTCCTCTCGTCGGCCATGATGTGAAGGTCAAGTTCAAAGGAGTTTCAAAATTCTTGGCGACGACGACGACGACTTGAGCATCAAGTATCACTGTATCAATCCTTATACATCACCCGGCTCGCTCTCAAACTTGCAAGACTGGGTGTGTGCTCGAGGGGATGTCTAAATCATGGGGTACACTACGCGCTGAGCTACGTCTACTAGAACATGAAACAGAGACGCTCTTAACAAGTGATGCACCGACGCGCGCACAAGTGGATGCACAATTCACACAACGTCGTGGGGTGCTTCAACAACTCACGGCGTGTCTTGAGCAACAATCGAAGCCTGGCAATAAAGCGATGCATCTTGAGCGACACGCTGAAATTCTACAAGAACATGAAGTAGAAGCGCGACGTGTGCTGCAGCAGAAACAGGAAGCGGCTGATCGTCGCAACTTGCTGGGGAATGTGAATGAGGATATTCGCAAGTTCAAGGGGAATGCTGCTGGTGAAGAAGGTGCTATGCTGCAGGAGCGCGATCGAATTGAGCATTCCCACAGTATGGCGGATTCTGTCCTTGCGTACGTGCATCCAGCACACAACGATATGGAAAAGAGCTGACGGTACAGGCAAGCGTTTGCGACACGGGATGAGTTCAATATGCAGCGAGTGAGCCTGCAGAACATTGGGCAGCGTATCCAGGCGAGTTCACAGAAGATCCCGGGGATGAATGTGTTGCTGAATAAGATCAACACGCGGCAAAAGCGCAATGCCGTAATCCTGGGTATGCTTTTTTTGTTTAAGGAAGGCCCTTGCTAATAATGCAGCTGCGGTGATGTCTGTGTGCATGCTGGTTGTGTTCTTTGCGTAGATGTGACTGCTGTGTGCGGGGTGTCCGTGTCGCCTTCTCGCTTGCCGCTTTGGGAGAAAGATCCGAGCACAATAGCAGAGTATGAGCAGAGTATGAGTGTGAGCATGAGTATACTGCAGGAGATGAAGAGAGTAGGAAGAAGAAATAGCAGAGAGCAGCCTAGCATGCTTGTCTAACTTGCATACATATATATATCCTGTGCTATACCAGTATGTAGTCCAGCCTGTCTAGACCGGTCGAGAGTGGATGCAGCCAAGATCTGCGGCCTGATGCGAACAGGCAACAACATCATCAAGTATACCATATACTATATATACTATCTACTATCTATCTGTATACTATCTGTATTGTATCGACTGTCCATGCTATAGCCAACCACACAACCCATGGCACCCTTGCGCATCCAATTCACCAACCATGAAAAGGACATCATACGCTGCCTCGCCATAGGATCCGCATCCCTCTCCGTCCTCGCAGGCCTCCTCATGACCTACTGGTTCATACAGCTCCGCAACAAGACCTTCCGCCACCAGCTCGTCATGCTCCTCATCATCTCAGACCTCCTCAAAGCAATCGTCGAACTCATCTATCCCGCCATCGTCTTGCACGCAGGCGAAACCTCACAGGCAGTCTGCACAGCGTTCGGCTTTCTCAATGCAACCTTCATCGAATCAACAGACTTTGCCATCTTGGTCATTGCCATCCACACGGCACTCTGCATCTTTGCGCCCGGTCGAGGCAAGTTGAGTTCAGGCGAAGGCCTCTATCGCTGGCGTCACTCGCTCTTTGTGCTATGGGGAGTTTGGGGCCTACTCATGGCATCCCTTGCCTTTTTGAACCCAGATGGCGCGTACAAGTCCAGTACATCCTGGTGTTACCTCCCCATTCGTCCATTTTACTGGCGCATCGCCCTCAGTTGGGCCCCGAGATATGTCATCTTGCTCTTCCTCCTCTGTCTCTACATCTCCATCTACATCTACGTCAAGCGCAAGTTCAAATCCTTCTCAGACCTCTTCAATGAAGAAGAAGGCGGTCTCTCAAGCCAAGAACTCTCACAAGTCTCATCGGATTATTATGAGCAAGCGCCTTCACAAATGCAAGGGAAACCCGTCGTTGCTGAACTCAAAACACATCAATTCCTGGAGCAAGACGCAGAATGCTCACCCACCTCCTCCATCACGCCTTCTTCAGCAACGGCCTTTGAGCATCGTCGTGATAGTCTACCCTTCCCACCTTCGACATTACCGAAAATGTCAGAGAACGGATCAGAGATGCCTGTGGACTTGCCACCACGCAGGCAATCCGTCATTTCCATCTCCCTCCCACCACAACTCGAATCACGCAGACCCTCCGTCCTGAGTTTGCATGGTGATAAACCACGTAAATTTAGAAGTGGTGTACAAGGCCTCGGTCATCCCATCACACCAAGTGGTGCAACATTGGAAAAAATACCCACTGCGACAGGTGATAGTTTCTCACAAAGCCGTTATGGATCCGGTCGTAGTGCATCTCTTGGCACACACCACACAACCGGTGAAGTATCTGTTCAAGAAGCCGCTCAAGTGCCTATGAACAGACAACGTGCCGTTGTTGTGAAACAACTCAAACATCTCTTCATCTACCCAGTCGTCTACTTCCTCATGTGGCTCATTCCATTTTGTTACCACATGACGCAGTATTCTGATAAATACGTGCAAGGACCCGTCATGGCACTTGCGAGTATTTCGGCATTTGTTATACCGCTGCATGGTTTCATTGACGTGTGTGTGTATGCACGGACGGAAAAACCATGGAGATCGCTACGCTTCATGTCACGAGAACGTTGGCGCACTCAACGTGCTGTACAGCGACAATGTATGCAGCAACAGCAAAACGCTGTAGATCAAGAAGAGGCATGGGGGAAGCAACAGCCTGCGAGATGGTGGCAGATGCGTGCTTGGCGACCGTCAAGGATTCCTTCGGTGGATGATGAGAAGCGCATGAGTGTACCGTCATCAGCGGAAACACAAGGGACAACACCCACGACTGCAGAGAGTACAATTCATCCTGCAGAGCCATCCTCTGGCTCTCATCACGCTGCTCCTGGTGCTGCGAAAAAGACGAAAAAGGCAGACTGGTGGGATCTCGAGGAAGAACAAATATCACTTGAACTGCAACATGCGCGGTATCAAGCTGGCTTGGAGGGATTAGGAAGCGATCATGAGCATGCGGGACTGGGTACGACCTTACCAGGCATTACCGTCAGACGGCGGGACCCGTTGAATCATCTGTAACGAAGCGTGTGCATAAGGACATTTTTAGTGTTTATTTCTTGAATATACCTTGTTCAGTTTATGGTATGTAGATATCTGACTTGGATAATCTGAAGTATCAAGCGCTTGGCTCTTGGTGCTTCAAGACGTGTCGCTTGTCGTTGCCCTCGCCCGCAGGATTCAAGTTGTTCAACGTAACATTACCAATCTTGAGAATCACCTCACCATCATCCTCAGGCTCAACGTGTGGCAAAGGTCCCAACACATACAAGCTGTAGGGAGAAATCTGCTTGTGCGACAGATTATAGTGCTTCTTGATGTGCTCAAATTCTGTGGTTGTCTTGAATGCAGGATTATTCCAGTACAGATTCTTGAGCCACTTGTTGATGTGAGGGTAGTTGTGACGGATGTTACCCAAGTTGCACTTGAAGTGCTGTACGTATACTGGGTCGAAACGGACAATGGTGACGTAGAGACGAATGTCTGCTTCTGTTAATTGGTCGCCGAGCAAGTAAGCGCCCTTGGACTCTGCAAGCAGCGTCTCGACACGGTTGAGGGCATCAAAGAGGGCGATCAAGTTGCTCTCATAGGCATCTTGTGTGGTGGCAAAACCAGTCTTGTAAACACCATTGTTGATACCATCGTAGACCCAAGCGTTGATCTCATCGATATCCTTGAGGAGTGCTTCAGGCAACAAGTTCAACTTCTTCTGCTCTCCATCGAGCAACTCATCAAATGCAGAGTTGAAGAGTCTCATAATCTCAGAAGACTCATTGTTGACGATCGTCTCTTGCTTTTTGTCCCAAAGAACAGGCACTGTGAATCTCTGGTCATACTCCTTATCGGCCTTGAAGTACAAGTCTCGCAAATGACTCAACCCATACAAGTGATCCTTCGTTGCACCATTCACGGTCTCGCCTTCCTCAACGAATCGCCAACCCTTCTCCAACATCTCATAGTGCACGACACTAACGGGAATGATCTCCTCTAATCCCTTGAGTGCACGAACAATCAGTGTTCGATGAGCCCATGGGCATGCATAAGAGACGTACAGGTGGTAACGGTCCTTCTCCACGGGGAATCGACTGCCTTGCTCGTTCGAAACGGCATTCCTAAACTTGGATTGCTGGCGACGAAATTGACCATCCTGCATAGTCAGCATTAGTCCCGGAACAATAAAGAATCTTACCTTGGAGGCCCAGTTGGTGATTGCTTCTTTCGACGACATCTTGCTGATATGGGCAGTAACCGGAGACACTCGTCGCAGCATGAGCTCTTAACTGAGCCTGGAGATGGTGACGTCAAAATCTCGGCATTCAGATGGACACAACTTCTCTACTCAGGAACGAGCTCAATCGTCTACACCAGCCCATCCATCACCTGCGACACCTGCTTGAGCACAAGAACACCCGCTTCTGCTAGCATATAGCACTCTGCATCGCTTTGTAGACCAAGCCACGTTGGCGGTTCCTTCTCTGGCAAGCGAATACTGATCCACCTCAGGAATTCATCGAGCTGACTAGTCTCTGGCAACTGCACGGAATCGCCCTCCACCAGCGAAAAGTCAAGGTCAAACGCCCGCGCTGAGAAAAAGTGCTGCACCATCTTGGTGAGCTGCTCTTGATCAGTCAACTCATCAATCCTTCCGCCATATACAGACTCTGATAGAATGCGCTGCAGCGCCAGCCATGGAATCTTGTCAGGCGCGATATTACCACGCCCAGCAGCAACACGCTGCAACCAAGCATCGATCACATGCACACCAGCCTCAAAGTCCGCATCATTGAACTCATAGCCCTTCGACCATCCCAAACTCCCAAATTTGAGACGTTCCTGAATGATGCCATGTAACCAAGCCAGCAATACGTACAAGCGTACACGTTCTGTCGGAGGCTGCATTGCTCGATTGTTCCTGGCAACACTCTTCAACGATGCAAGCATACTGGCTCGAAGTCCCGGAGGTGGTTCAGACATGACGACACGCGCATTGCGAATAAGACTCGTTGGTACATGCGGACTCGCCTCTGTTGTCAAAAACAATCGAAAGCGCTTATGAGCCGTCAAGGCATGCACGCGCTTTTCCAACTGCGAAAGCCATTCTGCAGCAAGATGAACATTTTTGAGCAACACCCAGGAGCCTGATGCAGAAGCACTCGTGAGGGCACGTTCCGCAAGCGTGATACTTTCCGGTGAACCCATTGCAATGGAAGCGCAAGGCACGCTTTCTTGCTGAATCAGCTGCTCGACCTTGAATGAAGCATCATAGCCAGCCACTGAAGTAAGCATAATGGGCGTTGTGGCGCTTACCTGCTGGACTGTCGTGTTGAGGCTAATTGTAATAGAGCCAGAATCTTCACCAAGGCTAGACAAAGCCATTTTGTTTGCAGCGACCAACCAAAGGTCAGGTCTGAGGCGTTTGATGAGGACTAGCAGTGGAAGCTCCTCACCCTCTTGAGCGTAGGTCGACATTCTGCCATCTGCATCGGAAGATGTCAACAAATCACCAATCTGCTCGCGTTCCATGATTTCTTGAGCCAGTCGTGAGAGGTGTTTTGACGACACTGACTGCTGTAGCACACGGGTTGCTTCTTCTGCTGTTCTTAGGAGCTTGCCAGTGCCTTCATCGATCGATAACAAATCACTGACTGCGAGACTATCATGCTCTCGAGAAACCAAAGCGAAAGTCAATGCCAAGCACAGGTGGTCCTTATGCAACAGCGACTGGCGGACGCGCTGATAGGCAAGCTTGTAGAGTGCCTTCTGAATTTCCTTGGTCCGTTCAGCAGGTGGCTGACCAGTCGGCCCCAGTTCTGCCAAGACAGTTCGGAGCATGTCCTCGAAATACTGCAGCGAAAACTGATAGAAGTGATTCAATGCAGCAAACTGCTCCAGCACAGCAAAGATGAGACAGCAAGTCTCAGCAGCTGGAGCATACTCATTGGCCACAGTAGCCAGCTCTTCCATAACTCCATCCGCTTCGGCAATCTTTTGGGCAATGTCCCCTGCTTCACGCTTGAGCCTCTCCAATGTGTCAATGATAACCTCATCATCCAGGATGTTTCCCCTTGATTCGTTTAGTGCACGAAGAAGATCTTGCTCGAGGCGACGCAGTAAAGCCTGGTATTCGCCTTGTGATTTGACCATCTCCAATCGTCGTGCTTCAACATCTGGCTTCTCACGGAGCAAAATCTTGTCGAGTGATTGACTCTTTAGTGAAGCCTTTGTAATGGTAAAGTTCACCAAGGTCACCTTGCTACTGATGTCTGGTGCAAAGGAAGCGCTTGGATCGCGCGTAGACAGGTATAGCTTGAAGGATGGCGAAATGTCAACATCTTGCTTGCCAAGCTCGACCAAAGTTCGACCACCCGTTCGCTGATACTCCTTGTTCAGTAGCTTATTGATGATTGGATCCATCTTCTCTGCATCTCGGATCAAGATTGCACTGCCAAAGCGTATACAAGTCTCGAGCTGTTTGATGAACGAGTCATCCATAAAACTAGTGACAACCAATTTTCTCGACTTGTGAGAATTGACCAGATATGCCAAGGCTTGGCTCGACGGATCAATGATCAGCGGGTAGCGTTGCGCGCGCTTGATGATGAGAGCATTTTCAACACAGAGTGAATCTGGCGGGAGCCCATCCGCTTCCCAAGCGAGTCGCTCTTCAGGTGTCACCAGCATATCAGATACGCACTTGTCTTGCTGGTAGGCAATACCGTGCTGCTCCAAGATAGTCTGCCATCCATTCATCAGCTCCTGTCTTCTCGTGTGATCGTAGAAACCAGCATAGGCAAGCATAGCGGCAGAGAGCATCGCATTGCCGAGGAGCGTCTGCAGATTTTGCTGGAATTTTGCGCTGCTGGCCGACCATCGTGCTTGCTCAGAAGCTAGACTGTCGAGCAAGGTGACACTGCGCTGCACCTTATGTTCGACCTGCGCCATCTGCGTCTTGATGGCTTGTACTTCGCTGATGAGAGCAGCATACTCTTCCTTGTACTGTGCGATACTTTCTTCAAGCTCTCGGATCATCTGCATCATCATAGCCACCTTTTTGCGAGTCAAGATGGCATCCTTCTCCAATGTCGCAACTTCGTCCCTCAAAGGGCCGACTTGGTCCAAGATTTCCGAGTAGCTCACTTGCGCTGTCACCCACTGAACCAGCGGACCACAGGCTTTGCTCGCTCTGTTGACATTCTCGTATTGAAACGCGGCCTGGTCCATGTAATCGAGGCGCATCGTGCGGCGCAATTGAGGGGTCATCTGTGTCTCATTGTCATAACGCACAATGCTCGAGATGAAATCGTCGCGGCGAATGACGCCTTGAACGGCTTTCCAAGTGTCCACATGATGGCCAAGCAAGGTACAGACCGCCTCCATGGCTAACTTGACAGCTTCAGGGGGATTGTTCATAGACCGTACCTCAGTCAATTGCTGCTTCTTGATGTTGCTGACAGATTTCTGGGCCTCGATGACTGCAGGCTCTGCAAGGGCGAGGTCACCCAGAACCACTTGTCGCCTCTCATTAATTTCTTTGTCCTGTATCGCAAGTGACTCTTGGATCTCCAATGAAGCAATCTTCTTCTGCTCAGCTTCTTGCTGATCTGCCACCATACGCTGAAGCTTTTCATTGGCAAGTGCATTCTTCTCCGTCAACTCGCTCTGCTTGGACGCCAGGGAGCGTTTGAGCTGCGCTACTTGAGTGACTGTGCTCTGAAGCTTTTGAAGACCGAGGTTAAGATGGCGCTGTGAATCCTCTAATGCCTGTCGTTCTTCATCATGGAGTGCAATGAGCTGATGGACCAAATCAAGGAAGTGTCGTGGCGTAATGGATGCCTTGGCAGATGCATCGGCATTCACTTCAGTGACGTGAAGATGGAAAGCCCCTAACGCATTGACAACGGCATGTCGGCGCGAGTCTTGCGGCAGCGCAATATTGGAAATAGCCTGTGCAGTCGAAGGAAGTGTGTAGTTCGGTTGGTCGAGGTCTAGACTACCTGACAAATTGTAAGCCACCTGAAACAGTGTTGCAGGAGACCATCCTCCGAACCAATTCAAGACGCAACGGTTGAAAAGCGCAGGAGAGGTTGCTGCGGCTGCAGATAGATTGTCTGGAGGGTTCATTGTAAACACAACATGCAAGTTGCGAGAGACTTGCTGGGTAAACCAATTGTAAAGTTCTTCTTGCGAATCTAGCAACAGTCCTTCGCGCTGAGATGCTTGTTTGCAAGAGGTCATCAGCGTGGCGTATTCGTCGTTTTCGAAAAGACCAGGCACGTTGGCATTGGCTAGCAAGGTGTTCATGCGCTCCAAGAAGCCAGACTCGAGCATATTGGACTCGTTGAGGATGAAACAAATCTTCTCGCCTCCTGTGCCACACCGTCGAAGCACATGCCGAAGATCATCATCGAAGTCCTCTGCTGTATACTTGCCATGAACCTTGATTTGGAACGTCTTCATGCCGTTCATCCATGCGACGAATCGCGCGAGCGTAGTCTGCAGATTAGCTTGAGCTCGACAATACTTCGATTAGCGTACCTTGCCTGATCCGCTGAGACCGATGAGGATGAGATGGCCTTGAGGTTGCCGGAAAACGCGATCGATGCGAAGGACATGATCGATAGCGTCGTCGTACAGTACTAGGGATGTATCGACTTCTTCTTCACAAAAAGTCTTGAGTCTGGCTTTTATATAGAATCGCATCTCGTCGGCGCCGACCGGTCGATAGTCTTTTGACAGCCAATTTGAGTACAGCATAGGTTGCTCAAGAGCATTTGTTTCATCGATGTTGGGGAAATGTTGCTGAGCAACCTGCATTACCATCCGCGTGGTCCAATCTCGATCTTGCTGATTGACCAGACGATCTGAAAATAGTCGCAGTGCCTCGTGAGCCCAGATGCGCACCAAACCAGATAATTCCATCTGCTCGGCTGACTTCAGAGTCTCAGCGATGCCACGGATCCAGCGAGAAAGCTCTCTGGGACTGTAGATATAGTGCGCTTGCTTCTGTGCAGTGAACTGAGTCCTTGAGTTGTCAAAAACATCAATCATAGCGGCAGTCAGCGCATCAGCATACCCTTTGAGTGCAGGAACGAATTTCAGAACCGCTCGGACAAAGGTGCCATAAATCTGTGTCAGAGATTCGCTTTCTGGATAGTCGACCATCAACACAGGAGCGTGTCGGAGGAATCGCTGACTGAAAGGGGTGCGACCAACGTCCGTCGGAGGATTGCAAGCACCCACAAACTGAATGCGCTCCAGCGACACCCAAGCTTGGTCTTGCTGTCGCCAGAATCCATTCTGCTCAACAAGCTGGCGCAGAAAACCAATGATGCGTTGCGAGCCGTATGTGTCTTGTGCAGGAAGGTTGATTTCGTCGCAAAACATGACGAGCCATTGACCTTCATTTCTCGGCTGCATAACGACACCCTTCGTAGACTTAGTGTATTTGCAATACTGTTCAAGTGTCCGCTGAAGAAGATCTGGGGCCGATGCGCTTGAGAAATTGAGGCCTATCTGCTCGCAGTGGGGTAGCTTATTAAGCGCTTTGGTCAGGGACATGGTCTTTCCTGAGCCTGGTGGACCACACAGGATGACGGGCTGGCGTTGAGAGAGCCAACTGTAGAGCCTGTCTTCATTGCGTACCGTGTCGGTGGTCGGGATGACCAGGTCAGGCTGCGCAACAGCTGTCGGCTCAACCTCAGTTTGCCTGACTTCTTGCGACCAAGGAGCCCACGTTCCATCTGGCATGGTGACTTTGAGATCAACCATGTTGCACGAGTTTGGAAGCAAGACATGGGGAAAGAGACTGATAAGCTTTTGTGCAAGCAACTGCCTACTCTGTAATGCGCAGTCGCCACCGAAACTCCAGAGGAAGGCGAGAATGCACTGCTTCTCAGTATATGCAGACCCTTGCTCGGCAGTAAGGGGAAAGTCGGCGTGTGCCACATCCCAATTTGCGAGATCGTCGATTACGGAGTGCAGGAGACCAAACAAATTCTGTAGAGCTCGCGCTTGGGTGAACTCCATGATGTGTGGTACCTCCAGTGCGTACTCCAAGAATGACTCGACACGAGGCAGCATTGCAGGATCGCTCAACTGATCGGCAACGATCTGTCGTGCACGTTGCTTAGCACTGCGTTCCTCATCTAGAAGCGTTTCGTGCGATCTTTGCAACGACATTGTGAAACCTTGCCATTGCATACTAACCGTGACGTGATTGGAGTCGAAATACACCATGCCACATCTGGAAACGGTTGCTGGAGTCGCATGCTTGAGTGTATCGACTTCGAACACGATGCGAACATTATTTGGCAAGGACAAGCGTTCGCCCGTCGGCAAGGTCAAGATCTTGTTGTCATCCAGCATACTATTCATGTTCTCCACCCAAATAGGGTCAATGTCTCCGTCAAAGACAATCCAGTAACGGCGTGAATCCTCTCCACGCAAATTGTCAACAATCTTGCGAAGAATGCTCGTGAAGAGTCCGTCTGACCATTCCCGGGTGGTGATATCAAGCCGGCCGTAGAGCTCTTCTTTTGACATGACCTTGGCATCAATCTTGTAAATGATGGTCTCAATGCCGTCAGTTTTTTCCAGTGCATGCTTCAACACTTCCAACGACTTCGTTTTGCTAGTCGCCGCAGGACCAACTAACATAAATCCGTGGTGAATGGTTTGGATCTGATGTATCTGTACAATTTTGTCTTCCCATGCGCTAGTCGTCACCAGATGCAATGTTTTTGCGCTCTCGTCGATCGCCTGGCGTAGCGCGGTAAAGTCTTCACTTATGACTTGCGTGCCAGGGAAGACTTCCTCAGAAATTGTGTTTAGCAATTGGGCATCAGAACCGACCATCTTTGGATTGATTGTCGCTTTCAAGCTCTGCAGAACAAGTTCTGCCTCCCAATTGGCGTCTATACTTACTGTTGCGGCATCAGAGTTGAGCACCTTTTGACGTTTGATTTGACCACAAGTAGTAAGGACACTCTTGAGAGCACGCAACCCAAAATCGTAATGGGGTTGCTCAGACATTCGCTCAGCGCAAGCAACAAAGAAGGGTACGATCCTACCAGCCAAGTCCACAGCACTTGAAAAGCCTTGAGCGAAGAAGGTGACTTGGGCGATCAACTTGCGGTCTGGATGCGTCATGGCGACACTTCTGAAGAGCTTTTTGAGATTGTCTGGCAGATTTGAACGACCGGCATAGCCAGGATTCATGGTGATAAATATGCCTGTGGATGGGTTCAAGCTGACACTGCGTCCCAGTAATGAAACAATGGGCGCCGTAGTGCTTGTGCTCTCATGCAGGCCGGTCTGGATAGTTTGAATCTGTTGGGACACAGCAGACAAAATGCGTTCTTCAAGTCGATTGAATTCGTCAAAGCAACCCCACGCACCGACCTGGCACAATCCGAGGAAGATGCGGCCCATCGCTTGATAATCGAATGTGTCATCGCAGCAGAAGACGAGCACAAATCTACCAAGCTGAACGCCTAGCGACTTGACAGACTCTGTCTTTCCTGTACCGGCAGGGCCAAAGGGAGAGCCTCCAAGACCTTGCTCTAAGGCTTGCGTCAGGGTCAAGAAACAGCGATCTGTCAACGGGGTCTGAACCAATCTGTCGGGCAAACCGATGTATTCGAAACCATAGTCAAACTCCGCATTTGCCATATTGACTGTGACTTTCTTGTCATGTTCACCATGCGTATAAAATCGCATATTGCCAAGCCATCTGAAGTCTTGACTATCGCAAACAGCTGCACTGATCAACGCAGCGATGCAATCGCGTTGATGAACAAGAGTGGTGATCAAAGCCTCAGCTTTTGCTCGATGGATAGAAGGAAGGTCTGTCAGCACAGTATTCGCCAAAGCATCAAGTAGCGCACCCCGCTCTGTCCATAGCTTGGCCAAAGAGCCTTCGCTGGCTAGAGCCGTCTCAACAGATGTAGTCCATTCGCACTGGAAAGCTAGCACAAGGACCTGACAAGGAGTGTCCTTTAACAGAACCTCCAATGTGTCAAGTTTGAAGGAGCGTGCGAGATCTGTGCACGTTGGCAGAGCAACCCGCAGTGATTGGGCCAAAGCTGCTTTCATCGCATTTTCTAGGCTGAGAAGCCATTCATTGATCTTACTTTCCGTAGAGACTGGCTCGATGAGCTCAACGTGTTCTCCTTCTTTCGAGAAAAAGCCGACGATATTCTGGTTCGTATCATCCAGTAAGAGCGAGTTGATGCCTGCAAACATCTTTTTCAGATGCTTCTGCACACGAATCAAGTCTTTGGAGTTACCAAGTATTTCCAAAAGATCTTCATCGCCAACAAAGTAGAATCTGGGAAACTGTGCTCTCTCGCGTTCCAGATATTCTCCAAGAGCCTTTTGAATTTTCTGTAGCAGATCCGCAAGTCGCTCCATGGATGTCAGGGCACCTGGAATATTCAGAACTTCAAGCGCAAGCGGTGATTTTGACACCTTTTTCATGATGGCCATGAACTCACTGTTGATGTTTTGAAAACGAGAAGATTCTGTTGGAAGCAGTCTTTGAATGTCGGCATTGTTTGCAAAAATACCTTCGAGATAGACCCACTGACGTTGCACGTCCACCCAGACGTCAAATAAGACGTGAAGACGATTGAGCTTATCTTCCCAAAGCCTGGCCTCCTCTTCAAAGTGCTTGTAGTAAGCACTCTGCGCCATGGCCTGAAGGGAAGTCAGGTGCTCACTGCACTTCGCCAAAAGCTCGTCCCAGCCCTTGATAAGTCGACACTTGTTTTGATAGTTGATGAGCTCCAATACCTGAGAGGTCCATGCTTCTTTGACTTTGAGCAAGAACTCTTCAAGCGCCAGTTCGCCCTGAGCATCAATTAGAACTGAGCGTATGATCTTGTCGTTCGCTGAAAGTCTCAGGGACCACACATCGCCAAGAGTCAGAGTGGGGTTATGAAGGTGGTCTGTCGGCCTGAGTTCTTTGTACAGCCGAGTCCAATGCCGATCACGAACAGCGTCAGCCTTCATCTCAACGAGCAGAGGAAAAGTCTTGAGGTGCTGCTTAAGAACGCTCTGGACATGCTCGTAAGCGGCATACTGTCGCATTTTGCTTGGCATGTCCTTCATGAGCGCCACCAGGGCCTCAAGGGCAGAGCGCACCTTGCGTGGCACCACGGCAGCCCAGAGAGTCTCACGAAGTTCATTGATGCCGACCCAGATAGACGATGTAGCCGCCCAGACGGACTGCAAGTCCTCGACTTCGCCAAGTGCAGCAGCCAACTCAGTGTGCTTCTTCGTTGGAAGATTCAAGGCTTCTTTTGCCTTTTCAATGTCGTCAAGCTCTTTTGACAACTGCTTCAGCTTGAGCTTATGCGCTTGAAGAAGCTTCAGAGTGTCTTCGGGGTGGGAGTCGCCCCCGACAGGCTTCTGATCGATCCAATCAGCAATGCTCGCGGCTAGTCTGGTCTGAAGTAGGCCATCTTCAACTTTGAGCTTAGTACGTAAAGAATCAGCGTGCTCTTCTCCCTGCAGGCTGCGTCGTTCATGTATGTCTTGAAGCGCCACCCATTCAGACTCGACCTGGCTGTGCTGCAGCCAATTGCTCGGGAACTGGTATCTTTGTCTCTTTAGGATTTTTTCACCAGAGTTAAGATGGTCCATTTGAATTTGCCACGCCGGTAATTGACGCTTGCATCGCTGCACGGCAATGACGAATTCGACGGCGGCTGCGGTGCTTGATGTGTCCATAGTTTGCTTCTCTAGCTCTTCTCGCATTTGAGCCAGACCTTCATAGTTGTATTGCATCTGAATCGCAACTTGGTTGGCGAACTCTGCATTAATGAGCTTTTGCCACGCATCAAACTTTGCGTTGACGCGAGCTTGCACTTGACCATATTGCACAGTGACGCCACTTATTTCGGTGGCAGTGGACGATGTATCGAAGGTTGTGCGAGACTTGCGCAATTCATTGAGGAGTTGCAACCATTTTGCAAGGTCGTCACCTAACATTTCATAAACCGCCTGTGGTTGCAGGTCCCACAGGGACTGGAAGCCAAGCCAGTTGTCGACATATTCCTGGAGCTTTGCGAGCATCTCTGCCAACGTCTCGCGCGCAGCGGGCAAGGCTGGCGACACAATTTGAAACATAAGAGAATCAAAGCACGACTGGGCGTCTGCAGAAGTGTTGCCAGTCGCACCAGCAGCAGCAGCACGGATTCGCTTTTGCTTGCATACCGTGAGTGCCATATTTTGGAAATCTTCTTGCCAAAATGTCTGTATACGAGCAAGGGGTGGCGTCACGCAGATAGACTGATCATTGAGGTGAATATCAAGCAAGAGTTTGTCGCTGCGAGCAAAGCGACCACTTCGGGCAGAGTCGAGCCATGCCTCTATCGCCCTGTGCAAACGTTCCCCGAGCACTTCTTCAAGTGAAGCGTTCAAATCCTCTACCCAGTAGACAATGTTGGAGAAACCGCCGCGGTTGAGCTGATCCACCAACATTTGGAGACCGCTCAAGTGCCTTCGAAACGACGAACTGCCGTACTCGCAACTTTTGAGTGCATTGCGGTGCATTCTTATATCATCACCGAGCCCGACCAGCAGTTCAGTGTTAGCCTGCAGGGATGATGCACTGCTGGCCAAGTCCTTGACAAACTGAATATGGCGAGATTCTCGCAGGTGCGTCTCAAGCCCGACACCGTCGACACTCACGAGGCCGACGAAATTTTCCCATTGAAGAGGAAAGCCTTGCTCAAGAAGATGCTGTGTTCTTACTTGATCTTGGGCCAGCAACATTTCTAGATCAGGCACGGCGTCAATCTTGTCTGCGGTCTGCGAGATGGTCTTGATGGTTTCAACAAGCGAAACTGCGTAGGGGTACAGTCGCTGCGCATCTTTGGCAGCGGATATGATTGAGTGCGATACTTGAAAACCTAGCCATAGCAAGTTCCGGACCTCCTTGAAAAGCGTGATGATGTGGGAATCGAAGTTCACCGTCAGCTCGGGCTTGTTTCCAGCTGCACGATTCCGTGAGATGCGAACAAGGGCGCCGCGTAGCTTGATCTCCTTTGCTTGGACGTCCTTGAGCCAAGCATCGAAGATTGATCGCGTATCGAGTTGCTTTCGTAGATGAGCACTTTCAGCTTGAAGTTTCTCTCCATCAGCATACATGTGCCAGCCTTCCCCGAGCACCGTCTCAACTTTTGACATGTACATGTCCAACTGATGATTCAGCTGGCGCGTCCATGTGATAGTGCCACAGACCAACGGCAAATCTCGTAGCTGGTCCATGCGCTGCAAGTCTGAACCAATATATCTCTTGTTGAACCTCTCGTGAAGTTGCGCGATATCTCCCTTGACTTGCTCGAGGAGTTGTTTCTGGTATTCCTGGACAGCACCTCGGATCTTAGGACGGACAAGCAGCGCGCTGAACTTTGTAAAGACACGAAACATCTCATTGGCATTTCGAGCACCACCTAATCGCTCTCGTAGCTGGCTGATGATAGCATTCTCAACACGAGCGATGCGTTCATTGTAGCGCGCCTCGGCGGCAATCCAGAGCTCTGTACCAGACGGTGTGACATCCAGAACATCCACATCCTTCAATTGCTGGAAAGCTTCGCTGACTTCAGCTGTAGCATCTGCATGTCCAAACTTGCCTACAGCCGGATCAAGTTGGCCCCTGACTTTGCTTTGTGACGTGATACGCATCATTGTGGCCTGCAACTGTTCATGAGATAAGCGGAAAGCCTTGAGATATGCCAGTCGCTCTTGAATCTTGGCATGTCGAGAAGCAGTCTTGACAGCGGTGAATTTCTCCCCTCGCTTGCGCAACATGTCTCTTGCTGTATCTTGAAACTCCTTGAGGCGATCGTCCCAGGTGGCAAACACTTCCTCTACTTCTTCCATGACGAGCTGGAATGCTGGCAAGTCCAAAGTCATAAGTTGGCTGCTCTTGAGCAAGTTGTGTAGCTGTTGAGTCAAATCGCCGCTGATTGCCTCGACGAGGGGTAGTGCACGACTGATGGGATAAGCCACAGTGCGAAGTTTCTTGCTCAGATGGTTGAGGATATGAGCAACAGCTTCAGAAGTGCGCACAAGACTGGTTGCCGAAAGGAGCTCGTCCAAGGGAAAGTCTCGCATGAGCTGCGTATATTGCCAAACTTGGTCTCTTGCGTCGCGAATGCCCGTGTCTGCCGCGACGTTGAGCGCTGCTCCGAAGCGACGGCCCGCTTGAAGTACCTCAGTTGTCAAGACCACAGCTGGAGATTCAAGCTGACGTTGAATGTCTGCGAGAACTTCGTCTAGACTCAGCCAGAAACTTATTTCTTGACTTGCAGTCCCATGACTAGGATCTCGCTCTTTACTCGTGACTTGGTGAATTTGGCGCTTCCATGTGCTGACTGTCGCTTGAACAGCATTGAGAAAATGAGCATCTTGCAGCGCATCTTGATCAAGGTCAGCAACTGAAGGTCTAGCTTGTCGTGCCGTTGCATCATTGACGAGTTTTTGTATAGTCGGATGCGGGACCAGAACAATCCGAGGGATTTCTGTGTTTTGTTGTAGATGCAGCAGACTAAGTTCGAGCTCAGCAATCTTTTTGCGTGTATTTGGTATACCTGATGTCAGCATAATACTTCGTTCGAGTAGTTCCTACCTGTCTTGGCGGTCTGGCTTGCTGGTTGCTGAGCTTGTGCAAATGTGTCAAAGTAGGGGGCAATGGCGAGCTTGATCAGGCTATGCAGTGCTTCGTATGCACCAGATGACTGCTCTGCACTGTGACCTGGCAAGTTGATGATCTGCACTTGCCTTTCAAGAGGTATTTGCGCGTCCAGCTGCGACACCAGCTTGATGAGCGCTAGGGAGGCGATTGTATTCGGAGTCGGTTGGTAGACGTGATCAATCGCATAATGCGCTTTAGGCCTTTCTACGCAGTCAGCTCAAAGGCGTCAATAAATGGACCATACCATCACCTGGTTCTTCGTCCTTCCTGACGAAGAGCACAAGACATGCAGCATCATTCACGAAGCGTTCCAGGCGCGATTGCGCGACACTGGTGCGTAGGAATGCAGTGTCTGTGCTTGTAGCACCCATGGCAGCTGTAAGCAGAAGGGTGACATGGTCTGCGAGGGCTTGCGGAGAGAGTGTCAGAGCATTTCCTGCATCGTTGCCTTCCATTGACGGTAGAGCAGCAGGGAGAACCTCCATGGTCAATTGAGTATTAGGAATTCAAGCTAAGCGTGATCTTGCAGCTGCAGCATTCAATCTAGCAAGTCTGTCATCTATGAGACAGCACTTTGTCTAGGGCGTGGTTGTGTCTACGCGGTCGCTCTCCGTGTTTCAATGCGCGCTCACCAACAAAGCAACAAAGACGCGCCAGAGCAGAGCCAGTGAGCCATTCAGCCTCAGCCAGCAAGAGTCATTCGAGAAAGTCACGTGACACACCGCAATGTTTCCTGCAGAGTCGGAGAAAACACTTTTGCAACTACAACCACACATCCTGAAGCTGGTCGAAACCTGCCTCTGCTCTCTGTTGCTCTCCCTGAACAGGCAACAAAGCTAGCGCGCAGACTGCCAAAGAAGATATCTTCACACGCGCAGTTGTAGGTAGTTTAGCGGTCGAATTCGGTACATTCGTGCAAGAATACCCTTTTGCCACTCGCGTACTTTGATCGTATCCGATCTTCTTTTCCTACATATCCGCCCCGATTTCATTGATAGTCACTATCTGATCGTCGCGCACATGGGTAAGAACTCCGTGAAGCCGCGCGCTCTACCAAAAAGTAGAGCTGCGCCAAGCTTCGACGTCATGGACGACAATTTGTTGACATTTGCAGCATCAGAGGCAGCATCGAAGGACGAGCCACGTCGCTCGTCAAGGGCCACTAAGGGCCAGAACAGTGACCGATGGCAGGAAATTTTGGACGCATCGCGCGACAACCTCATCAATCCAGAGTCCGTCAACGGCGATGGCGCGACCGACCAAGGCGACAAAATGACAAACATTAACGAAGATGATGAGAATGCCGGTGAGGATGCTATTCGCTGTGTATGTGGTCAGAATGATGAGGTTGAAGACGATGACCGCACATTTGTCCAGTGCGAGACTTGTACTGTGTGGCAACATGCCCCTTGCGTTGGGCTCAACACTAAAAGGATGCCTGATCAATACTTTTGCGAGCAATGTAGACCCGACTTGCATGGAAAGCTGCTGAAGCGCATGCAGGCTTCTGTTAAGCCCAAGGCGCGTGTCATGCCAGATTCCAAGACAAACGAGCGTAAACGCAAACGCAGCATCAAGGCACAAGCCAACGACGACAATTTTTCAGATGATGGTGTAACAGATGACGGTGCATCAGACAACGAGATTGCTCGCAAGCAGCGATCTGTTAGCCTGTCAAGTGTCTCAGATGCAAAGTCTGACTACCAGGAGAACGTCAAGGTGAAGGCTAGGCGGCTCTCTACAACAAAGAAGGAGCCCGTCAAGAAGGCCAAGACTAGTAAGAGCAAGGTGCAACCGGTGTATCACTCTGGGCCATTTACGAGCTTGGATGAGATTGAAGACGATACTCGGAAAACCATTGCCAAGCTATTGATCAGAGATGTGGCCAAGGCGCTTGAGATGGCCACCTCACAGGAGGGCTATAAGCTCAAGGCGAAGACGAAAGCCAACGATGAAGCTGATAGGATCGGCTTTGCTGCTGAATTTGCCTTGCACGAAGCCTTGTTTGAACAATCCGATGCAGGTGCCAAGTACAAGAACCAATACCGCCAGATTGCCTTCAACCTGAAGGATCCTAAGAACCCATCTTTGCGTCGTCGTGTGCTCGATGGTAGCGTGTCCGTAGCTCAGCTTGCAACCATGTCGAGCGAAGACATGGCCAACCCAGAGCTCAAGGCAATGGCCGAGCAAGTCCGCGAAGAAGGTCTCAAGCAGTCTGTCCTTGTGCAAGAGACCGGTCCACGAATTAGACGCACGCACAAGGGCGAGGAACTTGTGGAAGGGCCAGAGGTCAACGACTCCATCACCGAGTCCTCGTCGTTCCCTGTTGGCCGCAGGCATGATTCTGACCAAGACTCATCTTCTCCTGCTGCGTCCCCTTCGCCGAGCAGAGACGGCTCTAGCTCACCAGAAGCAACAAAGAATTCTCAGTCACCCTCTCTGCCTGGCTCGTCCTTCAAGCACGACCGCAGGCCGTCACACAACACGCCCATCATGCCAGATGTCCTCGACGACGATGCAGAGTTGCATGTGCTCAACGAAATAGCGCATCCGTCCAAACTCCCTGCTGACCCAGTTTGGCATGGCCAGATGGTCATGCAGCGAATTAGTAATTGCAATGCTCAAGCAACCCTCGTTGGAGCGCCAGACGAAGTGGCCAATCTCGTTTGGTCGGAGATTCTCACCTCAGTTGTGACGATAGATGGCCGCTTGGACAAAAAGTCGGCAACGCAATACCTCGTTCATCAGCGCTACTCACAAAGCAAAATTGTAGTAGCTGTTAAAATCGAAGCGCAGCCCGGTGGCAACAACCAAGCAGGCATCGACGCGCTATATCAATACTTCACAACGAAGAACCGTTACGGCGTCATCAAGTCTGGACAAAGCAGAATCAGGGACGGTTACATTGTTCCTCTAGCCGCGAATGAAGCCTTGCCAGAATTTCTCGATGTCATGGACAACAAGACATTGCCATCACATGTGACTGAACCGTTGCTGCTTGCTGTCCTTGTGGTTGAGAAACATCCTGCTGCCAACAGGAAACCATCTGTGACGGCGCCGGTTCCTGCTGCCATCCCAGTGGCAGCGCCTGCAGCCCCGTCGAGCGATCCTGCCATCCCACGTGCACCCTGGCAGCAGCCCCAGTCCATGCCCGCTCCGCAGCAACCTGTCGCGCCGACGAATGACCCGTCGCAACAGCCACATCAAGTCTATCTTGCACAGGAACAACAACGTCAGCTGGCAGCATTCTTGCAAGCCAATCCCGAATTGGCGAGCAACCAGCAAATCATGTCATCACCGCCATTGCTCGCTGCGTTGCTCGAGAATTGGCTGCGTAGCAATGGCATGCGGTAAATGCGTCTCTGCTTTACGAAATGATGCCATGCACCAAGCAATCTGTATAACTATGTAGCAACCTCTTGATCCTTATTAACTATGCTCTCTCTGTTTGCCGATATCATCGCTTCCGTAATCATTGTCCAAAACTTGTCTACTCCGCCTGGAGCGACACCCTCACAAACAAATGCGTTGGGCGGATTGCCGGTCTGTCCCCAGACATCCACAATTGTCCTGCCCTTGGTTGGACCTTCCCTTGTATCTACTTCCACGTGGAGATACCGCCCAGTGAACAACTCAGGATTGAGTGCAAATGCAACTGTTGCTGGGTCATGCACGGGACCATGCTCAAAATTGAATACCTCCTTGTATGTCTTGTTAAAGAATGTCCCAAGCTCTTCCCACATGCGAGCAAATGATGAATGATTGCATCCGTCTCTCATCCGTTGCAAGACTTGATCTGTCAATAGCAGCTGGTGTGTGACTTCCAGGGGTATGATGACGCGCTTGCCGTCCCAGCACGGCGCGTCGAGTACCTGTTGCAGCGCATGCGGGTCAGCCCATACATTGAACTCTGCCTGTGATGTCCAATTCCCTGTTTTTAATGCACCGCCCATGATGATGAGTTTTTCAAAGCGCTGCTCTAGCAAATATGGGCTCTGCTTCGTTATGAGTGCAATGTTGGTGACTGGTCCAGTAGCGCACAGCGTCATCTTAGCATCAGGAATGGTCGTCAAGGCACTGAGGCTGGATAGCATGCCTTCTATTGATGTGCTTTGTACAAGAGCCTTGTCTGGAGCAGGGAGTAGATTTGTGCCATCGAGACCCGACTTGCCATGAATCTCCTGAGCGACATGGCACTCGCCGTGTAGTGGCTTGGCGGCTCCTTGATACAAGGGAACGTGATCAGCACCAATAGAGCGCAGAACTGAAGAAGCATTCTGTGTCGTCCGCTCGAGACTGGCATTGCCATGAGTTGTAGAGCAAGCTACAAGACGGGAGGCATTGTGTGCGAGAAGGAGAGCGAAAGCATCATCGTGTCCAGGGTCACAATCCACCCAGAACTGCGGGACTTTCCTGGACTGTGTAGTATGAATCATGCTGTAGCCAGCAAATCTATGCTTGTCCCGCTCGAGCGTAAGTAGCGTACACCATGTCATCCCCAGTGGTCGTCCAGGTGCAACTACATCTATTCACGTTCAGATGACACGTAAATCTCACGGTCGCGGGCGCAACCGGAACACCACATTTTTTGATTTCTACACGTCCTATATTTCTGGCAGCTAGGTCCAAGGAGCATCAGGTCTCTCTACAGTACAGCATGGTCGCCGCAGAGTATGCCCGCTACTCAAGCCCTCTCACTTCTCGCTATGCATCGAAAGAAATGAGCGAGCTCTTCTCTCCTGCCCGTCGATTTGGCACATGGCGCCAGCTCTGGCTCAATCTTGCCATTGCAGAGCAGCGTATGGGTCTCACGCAAATCACAGACGAGGCTATTGAGCAAATGAAGCAGCATCTCGATTTGACGGACGAAGAATTCGACATTGCTGCAATTGAGGAGAAGAAGCGCCGTCACGATGTCATGGCTCATGTCCATACATTCGGTCTCGCATGCCCAGCTGCGGCCCCTATCATTCATCTCGGTGCTACAAGTTGCTTCTGTACAGACAACGCGGATCTTATCTTCCTTCGAGAAGGCTGTGACTTGCTCCTTGGCAAGCTTGTTAATGTGATTGACCGCATGTCGCAGTTCGCCTTGCACCACAAGGACTTGCCGACACTGGGCTTCACCCATTACCAGCCCGCACAGCTGACGACAGTTGGCAAGCGCGTGACACTTTGGATCCAGGAGTTGCTCTGGGATCTTCGCAACATTTCTCGCGCAAGGAACGATATTGGCTTCCGTGGCGTCAAGGGCACTACCGGAACACAAGCTTCCTTCTTGACCTTGTTCGATGGTGACCACGACAAGGTCGAACAGCTCGATGAGCTCGTCACGGAGCTCTGCGGCTTTGAGATCAACTATCCAGTCACGGGCCAGACTTATTCTCGCAAGATTGACATTGATGTCCTTGGCCCGCTCGCCTCTTTCGGCGCAACTGCACACAAGATCTGCACCGACATTAGATTGTTGGCCAACCTCAAGGAAATGGAAGAACCTTTCGAGAAGGACCAGATTGGTTCCTCGGCCATGGCTTATAAGCGCAACCCCATGCGTTCAGAGCGTGTCTGCTCACTGTCGCGGCATCTCATGACGCTCATCAACGATGCGACCATGACGGCATCCGTGCAATGGTTTGAGCGAACGCTCGATGACTCTGCCATTCGCCGTGTCTCTATCCCTGAAGCATTCTTGACAGCAGACATTGTACTAAGTACATTGATGAATATCTGCGACGGACTTGTCGTCTACCCACAGGTCATCGCCAAGCACGTCAAGGCAGAGCTTCCTTTCATGGCCACCGAAAACATCATCATGGCCATGGTCCGCAAAGGCGGTGACCGTCAAGTCTGTCACGAGGAGATTCGTGTGCTTTCCCACGAAGCTGCGTCCGTGGTCAAGAACGAGGGTGGCGACAATGACTTGATTGAGCGGGTCCGCAAAAACAAGTACTTTGCTCCCATTCACGCTGAGCTCGACACTTTACTGGATCCCTCAACGTTTGTTGGCCGCGCACCGCAACAGACTGAGAAGTTTTGCAAAGTGACCGTCGCCAAGGCACTGGAACCATTCGCAAAGTATCTTTCTGATGTCAAGGTCGAGCTTGCTGTTTGATCTCTTCACTATCTAATCATAGACAACCATTTCAGATCTTAGACTTCTTGTTGCCACTCAATCGTGCAAGCGTTGCGCCCAAGGCCTTGACCACAGGCTCTGAAGCCAAGAATGGCCATTTGTCAGCAGCCTCTTGATTGATCCTGTCTTCATCTGCCCATTCGTCCGTTATGTACCGACGAGCTTGCATCTTGGAGATGACTCGACCAGCATCCGGCACTTCCTTCATAACCACGTCTACCCGCTTCTGCACAGTTTGCTCAAGCGCAGACGCATCCACCACCTCATCAGCAAAACCAACCTTTATCAAACCAGCAGCATCGAGCATCATACCCAATGAACACAATCGCTCTGCTTCCTTGACGCCGACAACATGAGCCATCATGCGTTGCCAGTAAGCTGGCACACTGATGCCAATTCTGGCTTCATTCAATCCACTTGTTGCATCTGAGGAGATGTACCGCTCATCGCAGCACAAGGCCAATGCACACCCACCAGCTGGACAAGCACCACGCACCGCTGCCACCGTGAATAAGCGCGACCTCGCCAAATTCGACAAGAATTGATTTTGTGCAAGCCAAAAGACTGCATACTTCTTCTCGTTTGTGTTGGGTGCATAGAGTTCCGTAATGTCGTTACCCGCAGTGAAGACATTCTTCTTGAGGCCTGAACGGTAGATGAGAGCAGAAATTGTGGGGTCCGCTTCGGCTTCCTTGAGGGTGGAGTATAAGGCCTGCCAAACGGCCAGCGTCATGATGTTGACTTTGTTATCATTGATTGTCACTGTAGCGACCTTGCCGAGCTTTGTGAGGGTCACTGCAGACATATTGAAGGTCGAGACGAGTCACTTGCGGGAAGTAGCTGAAGGAGTCGTTTGCTGATATTATAAACGGCGAGATGGAACATGGGGTAACACGGGGCAGTCGCAACTGAAAAGTCAGGACAACGAGCCAGAGGAGATAGAGAAGCTCGTATATATAAAGCCCTGCTCCTTGAGTGATTAGAAACATGCTATGGCGACATCGCTGGCCCAGTGCTATCTACCCAGATTGCCAAACGGAACTTTGTCCGTACACTATTGTACATCCATTGATACGTGGCCCATCGCTCGTTACTTGAATCCACCAGTAGACTTATGCATGGAGGTCTTCAGGCCAACGTAGTCCTGATGTACAAATGCTCTTTCGATAGACTCAAGGTGCTCTATCGCATACTGAAGCGCCTCACCCAGATCATGCGAGTCGCGAAGCGATGTTTGCTCATCAAGCAAGATATCGAGTTCTACCACCACCTTGTCGCCTGCGTGGTAGGCTGCGACAGAGGTAACACCTTGAATGAGATCAGAAAAGCGCATTGCCATGTAGATGACGGCCTCGATATCAGAAACATCAGCGATACGACCCGTCAAGTTCATGATGTGTTCGCTACTCGTCCGTGTCCATGAAATAAGAATATAGATGGAGATGAGAACAGCTCCGAGGGGATCGAGCCACCAGACATTGAGATAGAAGCCGACCAATGGAAAGACGATAGAGAAGAAATTGAAGACGACATCACTGGCCGCGTCTTGCGCCAAAGCTTGTACGCTTGCGCTTTTGCTTGACCGGCACCAGAACCAGCAGAGTGATTTGATGAGCACGACAGAGGCCATGATGAGGATGACTGCCAGTGACAATGGCTTGAGTGGTGCCCGAATCTCTGGTCTCGCCATAAGCTGCTGGACGCCTTGAATGGCAATCTGGAAGAAGGAGACAATCATGAGCACCGAGAAGACGAGCACGCCAAGAGGTTCGAGACGTGACCGGCCGACAGGATACTTGAAATTGTCGCGCCGCTGAGCCAGCTGATTCGACGTCCATACGATGACTGTGGAAAGAAAGTCGAGAACAGAGTCCAGCAGCGAAGCAATGATGGAGAGCGACTCTGTACTGAGTGTCACGACGACTTTGCCAATCAACAAGATGACATTGGCCGCAAAATTGACGTTGATGGCGCGTGATATCGCTCGTTGCTCAGCTTCCTCGTCGTCAAATTCTGAGCCCGCTTCCACATCGACGCCTGCCGACATGCCACGGTCTGTCGCGCCATAACTCCGAATGACATTGCCAGGTAGTGAAGAATCCAGTATCCGATCGACCCATTTGAAGTTTTGAATCTTTTCATTTTGCTCCTCATAGAACCGCCGTAGATGCTTGTTTTTTATCTTTCCAATCTCCGACTCGGAGCGAATATAAGAGTCCCAGTCTATCCGCTCCTTCGTGTTCGCCAGTAATTGTATCGCGCGATTTTCTGGATTGAGAGGCGCGCGTAGATTTGAAGATGGTACTTCATGACGCGCATCCATCAGCTGTACCACGGAACGATTGCGACGTAATGGCAGCAGACCGGCGAGTATGGGCAGTGACTCATCTTGGTCCCAATTCGGCATTCAGGCCTGTGATGCGCTGATGTGTGTTTTTGAGCGGTATTCTCGGGGTATCTAGATAGACTCAAGGAGCGACGACTGGCCGCGAATCGCAAGTACAGTTTCGTGTGTGTGAGACGCTGTGCGCCCGTAGTATTGTTTGCTAGCAGGTGATGGGTGTAGATGGAATTGTTGGACAGTTCCAAGCTCGAGAAATTCATCTGCGCAGCTGTGCAAGACCGAGACGACTCTGACAATAGTCCTTTGCCAGGCTAGACTGCTGCAGAAGTTCCTTCAACCATGCTACTCCGTCGAAGCTTCCATGTCTCTAGCTTCACTAGAGAAAAGCTCTCCAATATCAAGCTCATCAAGCTGCTACGTGAAGAAATACAAGCTCCTCTCAACATTGTCAAAACAGCCGTTGCAGAAGCTCAACCTGCAGGCGACTACGATGCTGCCTTGCAGCTCTTGAAGCAAGCCATGACGCGTCGTGGTGAGAAATTGGTTGCAAAGTCGGTAGGTCGACAGGCAACAGAGGGGTGGGTTATTGCTGCTCGCTCACAGTGTGGTAAGGCTGCTTCATTGAGCATCCTCAACTGCGAGACAGACTTCGTTGCCAAGTCGGATGGTGTGGTGGCACTGGCGCAGTCTGTTGGACGGGCACTTGCAGACAAGGCTGCTCAAGGTGAGACGAGTGGCGATGATCTTGCTCCGGTCGAGCAAAGTACTATCGACGGATTGACTGTGGATGGGCAGCCGTTATCTCAGAAGCTGACAGAGAGCATTTCAGTCTTTGGCGAGTCCATCAGAATCAATCGAGCAATGACTGCACTACTAGGTGCACGGAAGGGACAAGTCCTTGGCATACATTGTCATGGTGCACCTGCTACAAACAATCCTACAAAGGACGTCTATCTTGGCCGCATGGGCGCTCTCGTCCGCCTGACTCAATCAGCTGGCATGGATGCTGCAGTATCACAACTGCAGGCCGATGAAATCGCTCGCGAGATTGTTGCTCAGAATCCCGATGGTCTTGAGGAGTTTTGGTCACTCGACAAGGTTGGGGATAAAGAGGCGCGAACGGTCCGGCAATGGGCTGGCGACGATGTCACGATTGAGGCATGGGCACGATGGGAGCGTGATCAATCATGAAACAAAATTTGAGTCTCTGGCATCAGCATATTTGATAGACAACCCGTACATCTCCCCATTCCTAGTTGAGCAACTTGGTCACTTTGCCGATAGCAATAGTAACACCAGAATCACGTAAAGTGAAACGACCAAGCTGTGGGAAATCCTTGAACCTTTCCAAGCAGACTGGCTGTGTCGTCTCGAGCCGCGCAATGATCCTCATGCCTTGCTTGGCAAACGCTGGGGCTGCCTTACTCTTGCGGTTCGTCTTGTCGAGCTTGTGGAGAAGCGCAGCAAAGGACACTTCTTCAATGGCTGTGTGGACGTGCATCACACAAGAAAATCCAGCCGACAGCAGTGACTGCAACTCCAAGATGGCAATTTGAGCCTCAAACGCAGTGACGGTGTGCACAGGCGTCCTGAGCGCCGTCAAGACGAATCCGTTGAATACTTCTTCCTCCTCGACACCCTTGACACGAAGCCGGACCTGTTCACCGCACAACGCACCATCCACTTCCTCTTCAGCTTCGTTGTACACTGTAACCACTTCGAGGGGAACACTGCCAGGCATCATCATCACTTTGTTGCCCTTTTTAACGTGACCCGACTCGAGCTTGCCTTCCAAGATGGTGCCGAGATCCTTCCACTTAGTTGATACGGGCATCATGAGTGGCGCATTGACCTTGCGCTCAAATGCTTGCATGTTGTCGAGGTACTCAATCAAAGATGGGCCGGAATACCAAGTGCAGTCCTTTTGACTGACACGTTCTTTGAGACCAGCACCTGTGTACGCACAGACAGGCATAAAGAAAACATCCGTCTTGGGATTGTACCCAGCTTCTCTGCGCAAGAAGAGTGTCAACTTCGAGACACACTCGTCATATCGCTCCTTGGACCAAGCAACACTTGGGTCGTCCATCTTGTTGATCACGACAATCAGCTTTGTGACACCTTGCGTCTTGGCAAGAATCGCATGCTCTCGTGTCTGCCCTCCCTTTTCGAAACCAGCCTCAAACTCATTGATTCTAGCAGAAATGACCAGCACGCCCACATCAGCTTGTGACGCGCCACCAATCATATTGGGAACAAATGACTTATGGCCCGGTGCATCGAGAATAGAGTAAGACCGCTTCTCAGTCTCAAAATGAGCACGACCAACTTCGACTGTGATACCCTTGACTCGCTCTTCCTTTGTAGAGTCAAGCGCCCAGGTGAATGCCCAAGATTCTCGACCCATTTCTGCTGCATCGCGTTTATTCTTGTCGAGCGTACGTTGATCCACTTGACCCGTCAAAATCAGCAATTGTCCACCCAAGGTCGATTTTCCGGCATCAACATGACCAATAAACACGACCGATACATGCTCCTTGCCATACACTTCCGCCAAGAGTTCACTGTCGAGTTGCTCTTCCTGTAGGCGTGCTTCAGCAATTTGTTGCTTTACTGCTGCCTCTTGTCTCTTTTCTGCAGCTTTTACAATCTTGGAAGCAGCTGCTGCCTCTGCGCTCACGTGTGCCGGCTCAGCTGCTGCAGTGGACTCAGATTTGGCTTCTGGTGCTGGTGTGCTGGACTTTGGCGTTGATGCACTGACAATTGGCGCGGCCGCAGCAGCAGGAGCAGTAGTTTGGGGCACAGTGGGTGTCGTTGCGCCACTTCCGCCGATAGATACAGTCTTGGGAGTGCTGCTGCCGATAGAGACAGTCTTGGGCGCACTGCTGCCAATAGAAACAGTCTTTGGTGTGCCGCTCAATGAAGCCGTCTTGGCAGGCCCTGAGCCAGACAAGGACAAAGTCTTGGGTGCGCCGCCAGAGCCTAGAGAAAGCACTTTTGCAGGGCCTTTTGCAGCCGGTAACCCGATCGTGGCCTTCTTCTTGGCAAAAGGGTCGTATGTTTGTGTTTCTGGTTCCGCTGGCGCTTGGTAGCCAGCGTTATTGTTGTAGGCGTTGAACCCGCCTTGCTGATAGCTGTTGTTGTAGTCTTGCTGTCCGTACTGCTGGTTGTAGCCTCCTCCGTAGTGTTGGCCGTATCCCTGACTACCGTATGCATTGCCATACTGCTGGCTGGCACCACCATAATCGCCTTGCTGTCCGGTAACTGCTGCGTTCGGGTTGAATGCAGGGACAAAGCCACCCTGCGAAGGCTGGAAATGCTGTGCGCTTGGCTGAAAGGACCGCCCAGAGACGTTAAGTCGTTGTGCTTGGTTATTGAGATCCTGCTCCTCCCATGAGTCTGCGGCTGGTTGTTGTTGTTGCGGCCGGCCATTGTAGCCTTTCTGCTGATCACTCATGGCTGTCTCTAGGAGCTGCTGCTGCGTCTATAAGTGCTTTCTACAGGGTCAACACTTCTTGAGCTTTGTATCTACGTGAGGTCGTTTCTTGCTCATCTTTTTTCAACCGGCACGTGACTCGCCTCGCTGGCTGCCCCTGGAGACTGACCGAGCACATTCACTTGGCAGCTTCACCTGTTGCTGGCAGACTACACACCTCAGTGATCAGTCGAAGGCCCGATACTGATGCTGGCTCGATGGCTCGAAATTTGCCTCACCCGACTCATGCCAAGATGAGCATCGATGCCAAGAGCACTGCACTGCCAGCCCTCGGCCAAGACCGAGTCGCGAGTCCTTGGACATTGTCACAATTGCTACTGTCAAATGAGGAAGGAGATTGCCACGTTACCATGGCCATTATGTTGCCAAGGCTGCCAGAATTGCAGAAAGCTGCAGCGAACATGTCAACCACTCGCTTTGTCCACCGGCTATAAGCGATAGAGCTGAAATCGTTATCAAACATATTGTGATTGTCGTGGTCCAAATTTCACATTTGCTGAATGGTGAAGACCGTCAAAGTTCCATAAATAGTGGAATGTAGGACGTTGGAAACGTGTAGTATCGGTCAAGTCCGAGTGAAAGACAATACGCCCCTGCAGTCAACGCAATGTGAGCCTGAACCTGACAACACACAAGCATGCTGGCAGAACATTCGAGGCAAATAGCCTATGCATGACGGACCACTGCCAAGCCGAGTGGACTTCCAGCCTGTTCGACACTGAGAACTGGCGACTGATAAGAACCCGATCGTGGGGCACGAGTCCCGCATGATTACAAAGTCTGCAATGCATGAGGAAATGGTTGCCTAGTGTGGGCATCGCCCGCCGCTTCACCACATTTGATTGCATCCCGCGCCCAGCCCGCGTGCTGCCGTTTTACCAACAGGGGTTTTGGACTCTAGGAGTAGTGCCAGTGTAGTGCTGCAACCAAGCATGCGTCCTAGTAAGCGCTTCAAAGACTTAAGTTCGATGATCGACAGCGACACCATAGGTTTCAGATGAGTTGCTAGGAAACAGCTTCGTGGGAGCACTGGAGATTTGATGCTTGCGCGGGCTGACGCTCGTCGCGGCACGTCCGACGTTTGTCAAACGAACTCATGGCATACTCACCAGGAGTATTTCCCGGCAGCATCTTCAGGAGACGTCCATGCGTCCAGTGCTTGATAACGCCGGGCCGATTGAGCCCTGGGTGCCGATCAGAACCCTAGAATAGAAGCCAACCGAGTCATCAGGGGCGCCTGAACGCCTCTCAACAAGCAAGCTCGAGTGTTCGCAAAGGCATAGCTTGGCAGTGACTAGCTGCAAAGCGGTCATCTGCGACCAAGTTAGTCACCTCTAAGCCATGTCACTTTGTCGTTGGTCGGCCAGATCGCAGCCCACGATATTCTGTAACTTCATGTCAGACGAGACCCTGACAAAGGGTCGTGTCGTGTCTCTTCTCTTCTTTTGTTTGCTCGAAACATGGCGAGACGAGGCAGCATGGCGACGCATTGGTGAGGCTAGCTTGTCAATCAACTCGTGCGAAGCGATCGGAAGCTCTCGAACTGGTTTATAAGGCCGCCCATTGGTGCATTCGCCCCTTATTCACGGCCAGTGTTCTTTTGGGGACGAAGAATCAAAAGAAGTCTCCATCACTGGACACATAGAAGTGATAGTCTCTCGCCATACACCAAGCAACCAGCAGCAAGCCATATTCACAGACAGCTGGTCCTCTGTGAAGTCTCTGGTTTGTGGTTTCGGGATCGCGACGTTGCGAGTTGCGACATCCGCAATCAACCCACGCACCCGATCGATCACCAGGTGCGACATCTCCAGCAGCTGCAAATCGTCCTGTCTCATCAACACGCGAGTAGGAACCAAGCTCCATAGCGAACAGCATTCAGTGCCAGTTTGCCGTCAAAAAGCTCTGTGGCATTGACTGTCACTGGCAATGCACGCGCACAATGGTAGTCCTCTTGACAGCTCCAGTCGCAGTCGCATCAGCATTGCAGAGCTGAGTGGTGCGAGTATGCCGTCGTCTTCATTATTACCAGACAAAGCGCTTGGCTCTCTTCCTGCCAGACCTGCGCCAAATACAGATGAGATACATGACAATTCGGATCAACACAGGTATGGCGCGAGCGCGCTTGAGACGGATACGATGCAAGGCAGACGCTCTCCCGTGTCCACAATCACTTCTTCTTCCAGCCCTCGAAAGCGTTCCAACAGTGGGCCGCTTATCTCGGACCCAGGAGATGGCCAACTGGCTGTGCCATTGCCAGTGTTGACGCAGGGGGTTCTTGGCGAACGCGCTAGATTCACGGCAAATGGAAGTCCTATCATGACGACTGCCACCTCACATGCACTGGGATCACCGACATTGAGCCACGATTCACAGAGCCCTCACCCATTCAAGATGCGGCGCCTTGCAAACACTGAAGTAGGAGCTATAGTCGCGCCAGCTAGCCAGCCGACATCACCGACCTCGAGCTACAAATGCTTGGGCCAAGAGTCATATGCAAGCCCTAGCAGCAACTTGGCGAGGTCTATTGGCGTAGGCGCTCCTCAAACAACATCAGGCAAGCAGTACAGCTTCACTGTCCGACAGCAGCCTGTTCATGCGCGCATGTGCGGCTTTGGAGAAAAGGATCGCAGACCTATCGACCCACCACCCATTCTCGAGTGCGTTTGTCTCAACTACCCATCAGAGCAGGCAGATCAAGGAAGCCAACCCCGCCCGACGCGCGTCAAGGATCCGTATCTCTCTGTTCACGTCATGCTGCTCGATGAAACGGGTCGCGAAGAGTGTGGCCTCATTCTGAGCTCGAGTAGTCGCAAACAGTCGGAACGGCATGGGCAGCCAAGTTCACCTGAGGCTGGGCGGACCTCTCCACCAGCACACAGAACAGCTAGCACCCAAAAGGTGACGCGTGTCTTGATGGGATCGCTGGTGACCAACTCAATACAACTCGAGGATGATCAAGGCGTGGAGGGCTCTTTCTTCATCTTCCCGGACCTCAGTGTGCGAACAGAAGGCCGCTATACACTCAAGTTCACGCTCTTCAGCCTCGAGGGTCTCAGTCTTGCAGCAGCTTCAGGAACACGCGCCAATTGCATTGCTGAAGCAGTCAGTGAGCCATTCACAGTATACACGGCGAAGAAGTTTCCTGGCATGCTACGCTCCACTGAGCTCACCAAAGCTTTTGCACGCCAGGGCTACAAGGTTCAGGTACGCAACGACATCCGAGCCAGGCGTTCAACTCACTTGGCATCTGCAGGAGAGGATCAACAAGACGAAGAGATGGAGCAAGCCAATAACTCGCCTGCCTCTGTGGTGCCAGTCGAACAATTATTGGATTCAAAAAAACCTGCATCCGGTCTGCGACCATAGCCTTTCCTCAAAACTGCCATTCTATCGGCATTGATACCGCTTCAATTTTCTCGCCACTGATGCGCGCACGTTACGCACTTGTAGAATGTGGTCATAGGCTCGTCAGCCGAGCGAATTTGTAATTGGAAGAAATAGGCCCCTTCTTGTTAGTCGTCGTTGCCCACTGTAGAGAATGAAACTTACGACCGCCACCCTCACAGTCTGCATTGGGGCATTGCGCTGCCGTTTGGTCAACATTGTCCCAAGAACCCTGACCTCCAAGGACATCATCTACATCTTTCTGTTTCATAAGACGTTTGTCGAAGAGCTGGTGTCAGTCTTCTCATTGGAAGTTCAGCGCGCTTACATGTTTGCTCCCAATAGGAAATTGATAAGGACATGTGCGACATTCGAGTCTGTTGAGCGCATCAGACCCTGCTCCGAGGAGTAGGATGTTGTTGCATTCTATTCCAAGTCAGCTCTGGGGCCAATTGAATTGCAAGTGAGCGTACGCGGGCACCACTGAGGCATTGCACAATATTCGAGAGCTACGGAATTGTGCGCAGCTTTTAGTAAAGCGTGATCAGTAGAGCTGACAAAAGGCGCGAACTGAGCTAGACGACAACTTGAAAGAGGCTAAGACCAGCTGCAGCTTATGTGGTCGATGCTTGATGTAGCATTGAGTGTCGATGTCGCTTCGTCACAGAGAGGCGAGAACGCGACAGGAGAGCAGTCACAAGACTTTCACTAGGGCATCTACGTGATCATTATCTCCGCAACCTGTTCCCATACTTGTCCCTGCCATCGAAGTCTCTTGGGATGGTTGTTCGACCCAAAGCAGCCTCTGTCGGCCACTTTGCCTTGGCCTCTTCAAGCTGGTCCATAACAGCCTGTGCTCTGTTGCGCATAAAGGCCGCCTCCTTGTCCTGATCGCGGATCCGACGGTGCAACTTCTTGGTGATTTTGAAGAGTTCGTCACGGCGTTGCTCCAACTTACCGCACAAGTCCTGCTTACGATGCTCGAGCATCATTCGAGCATTGTCGACCCAGTCCCACCCGTCAATGATGCGCAAAACACCATCGACTTGCTCATACTCCCTAGAACGACCTCCACGTGGATCAGTCTTGCCAAGCATCTCAATCATTGTCATGACGTTGACCCCGGAGATGACAGCTTCCCGTCCAAACCTGTCTGCCATATCGCGATAAAATTTGAGCGTTACTCTTGCCTGTTCCTTGCTGGTATAGTAGCTACAAGCTCTCGCAGCAAGCCACATAGTCCGATCAGTAAATTGGACCTTATTCTCTGCCATTTGGTCGACGATAGACATGACAAAATTGCGATCACTGTAGCCGTAGAGATGGGTGAAAATCACATCATAACATGCTCGAGTCAGACTTTGCCGCGGCACTGCTTGAGTGATGGATTGCCAGCAATGTCTGACATTGTCAATGTCGTTCAGTTGACAGATCGCTTTCCAGTATGGTGTCAGGAGGTTCAGCTCAAGGGGCATTTTGAGGTCTGGCTTTGGAAATTTGCCTGCTGTCTTCTGGCCAGGAAGGGGCGATGGTATTTCGCAATAGTGAGAAATCAGCTCAACGACAGTCACCGAGTCTGCCTTGTCGCCACGCGCGAGGATATAGCAGTATCGAGAGAGCAGCTGGTCATCAATCTCGAGCTTTTTGCGACGCGCTAGACTGAGCACATCTTGCCAGATTGTCTTGACTTCAGCGAGCAGGCGCGATGCTTGCTTCGTTGCAGCTTGATTGGTGTCTCTGCCTTTTTCTTTCTCTTCACGGTCGTCTGCTCGGAAACGGCGTACAGACACAGTGCTCCGCTTGTCGAGGTCTTCTAGCAAGCGCAGGTAAATTAGAAAGAGGGTCGTGTAGGTCCGAGAATCGAAATTGGAGACACCACTGTCCTGCATCATGTTCATGTAATCAGCTGCAGCGGTCAAGTCTTTGCTCATTGTGGCAGACTTGAGGGCAGCATTCAGGTGAATGACATTCGGTTTCACCCGAGGATCGTTGACCAAGCTTTCGAGCATTGGCCGGACTTTGTCGCGCCCGCCACTTTCGAAGTTATCTGCAAAACCCAAGAGCATAGTGGTGTAAGTAAGTTCATTGGGAAACGCTCTATTGCGCTTCATATCATTAAAGACGTGCATGGCTTGATTGACTGCTCCCTTGCGAAAGTGATGACTCAACAAATAATTCCACGACACTGTCGCCTCAAGCCTGGTATTCTTGGATAGCAGTCTTGTAGCATCTTCTTCTTGTCCACGATTAAGAAGTCTGAGCACTTGTTCTGACAGTAGAAATGTGTCGTCGAAACGAGCAGTAGATGGAGGTTTCTCTGTGCGCAGATGCGGCTGTGGACCTCTATGCCGTCTGAGAACTTCAGTTGAGATGGAACGCAATGTCGGTAGATTGACAGGCAAGTGCCGTGTGCAACGCACAAGGGTTCGTGCAGTAGATGCATAGCAGAGATGCATACTGACGACAGGCTCAGGCGTAAAACGCTTACTTGTCGCTGAACAATGCTTATAAGCTTGTGAGAATAGTCACGAAGGAGCCTTCTGTTGACGCACTACTTCAAGGCAACACTTAGGAGAGCTTCAAGCAAATTTAGTCCAAGCACGTTAGATCTAGTCTCTACAAGCACAGCTTCACTGTCCACCGCAAAAATCAGCTTCGGCTAATTTTGCAAAGGAACATCTGAATTCGGCAGACGTCAAAGAGCGGTGACTCCTTTGTCTCCATTGACTTGTGAGTCTGAGGCCAGGTGCACCTGCCTTATATACTGTGATGAACTCAACCTTCTCAATGCTGCTTCCTGCTGGGCATCATGCTGCAACTAAAGAAGTGCTCAATGATCATCCTGCTGGACCTCATGATCAGCTGCATTGCTGTCGCTCCACGATCAGATATTGAGCACATCTCTCCTCAGGCGACTGATGCTAAAGCTGATACAGCTGTGCTGTTTGCTCCAATACACGATATGCTACAATCTCTGGTCATGCGCCCGAGCTGCTTCCGCAATGCCACGCTACGATTGATTGACGACTGCAAGTCGATTGCCATGGAGCTGGATGAGGCCAAGAAGGCTGAATACGCTGTGGCACTCACGATCTGCGAGCTAAACACCGCAGGTGTAGAAGGTCCGCCAGCATGTAGCCCACCAGAGTATCAAGCTGCCTTATGTTTGCGGTCACTAGAGTCCCGCATGCAATGGTGGACTTCGTATTCTGGCTATTACCGTGATGTATGTGGATCTCCAGCATGGGTGATTGGACTGACTTGTAGGTGACAAAGATGTGCTATGTGGCACGCCAAGATGACGAACAATTCAATGTTCTCGCACTGCATCGGAATCTGACAAGCATTGTCGAATCACTTATGGCGCAGCTTCGAAGCGAGCAAGCTCAAGCGCAACAAGAGAAGTCTGCTGCAGCAGCAGATCAACAGTACTTCCAGTCAGAGCTGAGGCAACAATGGGTGGACCTTGGCACTGATGCTGAGATCGCCAAGGCATCAGTCTTGGCTCACTATAATAGCATGCAACAAGCCGCGGTGGCCATTTTGGCGTCTCTGGATCCTGCAGTCACTCAAATCCTCGAAAATTTGAATGATCGCGCAAACGGGGCCGTAAGTTCGCTTGAAACCGTAAGTTCAATTTGCAAATTAGTCCTGGCTGATATCCTAGTTCGAGCTGCAGACCATGGAGAGAATAGCCCAAGCATTCGACGACCTAACGAGGATTTCATCTGCATCTGCTCTGACCCAGGTTTCTCAGATTCAAAGAGCGCTTGATGAGGCCCTTGGTTCCGCGCAGAGTGTCATGGAAGTGTCGAACGATCTTAAATCAATCGCAGACATGGTGAATGCACAGAAAAGCGCACAAGAATTGAACGGCTTGCAATTGAAGTCCCAGGCTCAAGACTTGCATGCCTTTGCACAGTTGATGCCTCAACTGTCACAGGTTTGTTGACATCGAACGACATATGGACGCTAACGCCAGATCTCCCATCTCGGTCAAGCACTCGCTGATGCTGAGGCTGGCATGACTCATTTCCATCAGACACTTGCTGCAAACCGCGAAGCTGCGAGAGAGCAACACGATGAAGCGATGGCGTTTGTCCGCACAGTCGTGCAAGAGGTCTCTGGTAGCCTGACACATGTCGTCCATGAGGTGGAGCAACTGGAAGAGCGGCTAAGTAAGTGGTCGATGAGTTCGACATTGTTTCCTACGGTCATTGTGCTGGCTATTGCAAGCCTGAGTCGATGGGCCAGACTGGCTATTGTCTTTGGCTTGCTCATCTATTTGGCGCAGTTCTACTCTGCTTGGCGAGGCGTTGTGAATGTCGCGTGGCCTGTTCTTGCGCAAGCTGATGGAGTATTTGCACGAAACGTCACTATCGACCAGGTGTACAAGACTGCTGCGGCGGGCTGTTTCCTGGTTGTTGTGCTTTTCATTCGGCGTTGGAGATTGAGCAGAAGTTCTGTGTCAAGACGTGGAGGCCATGCATCAAAACACGTTCTTCCCATCAATAGCCCTTCAGTACGGCAATGGCAATTTGTTCACGCGGATCAAAGGACATTCAAGTGGCACGAACAGAGCATTGAAGAAGAGTCATAAAGTACGTTCATTGTGTAGCAATTCTATTTGCGGGTCTTTTCCGCCACTGGATGTTGCGTCGGAGGATCTCTGCTCAGCTTTTCAAACTTGCTCGTCGATGCATCTTGGGAGGAGGCCTTGTTCTGGCCGCCTGTGTTCTTAGCTGAAGCTGCGTCTGTCTTGTTGTAGCCAGAAGCTTGAGTGTTGGTGTTGCGAGCTTTGTGATCGTCCTGCTCTGAACGCGAAGCTGCTGAATTTGCTCCAGATGAATCTAGAGATCCGCCAGTCTTGCGGCTTGATTCGGCAGGATCTGTATTGGCAGAGAAGGCCTCATCTCCGTGTGCAATCTCGTCATGTGTCCCTGAACTGCTGTACTCGTTCTGATACGGCGCCGTGTCTTCAGCTGGCCGTTTGCCAGTCTGCTTGCGCTGCTCCTCCCCAAAACCTCCATTCGCTTTTGTGGGCCGGTTGATGGTCTGCACCGAGAAAGCACGAGCATTGAAGAGTGTTCTCAGCATTATCGTAGCCTGCTCTCGTGTGTGTAGGTAGCAAAGAGTGACCTCATTGCGATTTGATAGTCGTCCCCAGATTGACGTCAGCGCGAATTTGCGACGTCACAGTAGAATGCACAGAGGCTTTGGAGTGCTTCAGCTGAAAGCCTCACGAAGCTGGCACAAACAGCTGATCAAACAATTTCGACGCTATCAATCGCGGCGATAGCTGCGATAGCTTGGCTGATGTCAATCGGCCTGCGTTTGTGTTTCAGCGACCATACTGATGGCGTAGACCTCCTGTCAAGTAGCCATGATCCAGAGCAGGAGCGCAGGGAGAGCAGTGCACCAATCACCCGTGGTCTCGGTGGTCTTCACAGTAGCGGTCGAGATGCACTGCCTCTTGCCACCTGGACAATTGGATCTACAAGTGATCAAGTCTCAGATGCTCTGCCCAGCGACAATGGAGTCATGACTGTCAAGCACATCTGCAGAGAATATGAATCATAGACGACTCCGTATAAGACCTTGATCTTCACGCGCATACAGTCACAAACCACGCTTACAGTTGGTGTGTTCGCCATCCCGATCTGATGCGAAGTTTCCGTTTGCGGGCTACTTGTCTCCAAAAAGTCTCAACTTTGGGCATGTCAAAGCTGTCTGGGGATCCATAGGATGAATCGGATGATACTTTTGATGCTGCTTGAACTGCAATGGTGTCCATTGAGTATACTCTGACATGATCAGGATCGCTGAATAGAGCCAACTATGGCTAGCGGCTCTCCCAGAGATCAGGGGCAATCATGGCCATCAGATGGGCTGTCCCTTCCATTCGACATGCCAAGCCTTGTATACGGGCGAGCTAGTGATAAACTACAGCTGATGCATCAGACTATCGGAGGCTATCATTGTGTGACAATTTATGCAAATTCGCAAGAAGAATCCATGCTGTGGCAACAATGACCATGTGTGCTGCTATCTGCTGATCATTGATACTTCCAATCAGCTGATTCGGCTCCTTCTCTGCAATGGTCGCTCAGAGAGATGACTCAAAACAAAGAGCCACTGCATAGTACGTACTGCATAAAGAAGGCTCCACTTATGTCAACACAGAACTGTTGCATGCTTCAATGGCAGACTGGATCAGCGCGCTGTGATGGACATCCGATTATGGAATAGACACACAACTTACACAATAAGCAGCGTGGCACTTGTCGCCTTGTTGATGGCATCAATCGGGAACTTGCTGGCAAATGAAGATCTAGTGATGAGCACGAGTCTAGGACACCGAGTGACTAGGTCTTTTTGACACCCTTGCATCGGTCAAATCTCTCCTGACTTTGCGAGCTGCTGTTTACGCTGCCAACGTATGCGGACTTGCCACTGCCAAGTCGAAACAAACAATAATAGAAGTTCACATTCAATCATATGTACAGCTAGTGGACTGGAGCACTGCTGCACCAGGTAAGCTTTAGACCTGAGCTTAGATACACGAGCGGAACTGAGTATCTTTGGTCCAGTTCCTAGCCAAGCCAGCAGAAGCTCGAGGTGTACCGTGCTGGTCCGTGGACAGTGATCGGTATACCTCACGAGTCACAACACTGCCATCAGGTGCCATCAGGCCCATACCGCCCATCACTCATCACTGCCATGAAGGATCGATCCCAGTCTTCGAGAGTCGGCAACGGCCAAGATCTTCGCGTCTTCCGTCCAGACTCGTCACGAAATTGTCTTTCATCAGGATTCAAGGATTAAATTTGGAATTCCCCTTCACTGAAAGCGGCGGGGGTGAGATTTGGGCAAGGGCGCTCATTCGCTGCAGCGCGAGGGCGACTCCTGTTTTCGAGCATTTGTGGCTGAAGACCGTCAAAGTTGTCAGGAGAAATTTTCGAGTAAGTGCCAGGGAAAGACCGCAATTTCCGGAATAGCAACGACACCACTTAGCTACGTCCGATATGAGTCTCATACGCTGTGCGGCCTATGCCCAGTGGACTTTGGACAAATATGCTATGATTGCTATGCGTCAAAGTGCTCGCTGCCGTCGCTATCTGTAGTACTAGATGCCAGTCTTTGTTTGATTACCGGACTACAAACCACCGTCGCCAGGTGGCCGGCATGCTCGCACGTTGTGGTTAGAACTTAGCAGTGTCGACGATGCGCTTTGTCCTCGTCGATTGACCACAATCTCGGAGCTGACTAAGGCGACTGAGACCAAGCGTCAGTCAACTGAGTAATTGAGTCATGGCGTGAGTATCCGGTATCCTGTTTACCTTGACGACTAGCATACTAGGAAGTCTCAGACAAGATCTGGAGCAGACCGTACTTGCGGTTACCTGTCATCGTCACCTCGACATCGTTCTCCAACCGTGTCTTGGATTATGGCAGATGCATCGTCATGACAACCGCAATTGCAATGGCCAAATGGCCTAGTCCTCAAATTCGTTGTTCCATTGATCTTGGATGGCAAACAGATAAGAAGTGCGCGTCTATGGCGATGTACGACTATACGCAAGTACGCATACGACTACGAGCCTTCTGTCACCATTCACTCAGCATTGACTCAGTGTCGACTGAGCGAGTCTGGCCCAGCGTGTGCCTGTGTCTCTGCCTGTGTGATAGTCCGTGAATATGTTGAATCCGGCCGGCTCTACACCAAAATCCCGACTCCCAAACAGATGCGCGCCGGCCTCCTCGACCCGGAAATAAATATTGGCTGCATACGGCGGAATGTGCACACTGCACAGCTCTCCATCTATGAGGCAACAATCGAGAAACAGTCGCAGCAAGGGCATCATCGGATTTATTGCGGGCTCGTAAGAAGAAGCCGTATAAGATGCTGGCCACCCACCAAAACACGATTCTTTCGAGAAGCCTACCGACAACACACTCTTTTTTACTTCGACGACCATGTTCTTCAAGTCGGTGCTCGCTAGCAGCATGCTGGCCTTGTCCGCTCTTGCACAGAACTCGACAATCACCGGTGCAGCCAACACCACAGCAACAGGTGGCATCGCCCCCATTGGGCAGCCACCAGTGACAAGCACCTTGACCACCACTGTCATCAATGGTGTCACAGTCACTGCCCCTGCATCGCCCGTTCAGACAGTCTTCTTGAACGGCATCACTGTCAATATTCAAATCATCGCTGGTGTCACTTTTGTCAACGGCGTTGCTCAGGTTGCTGTCAACCCCAATGCAGGCGCCAACCCACTCGCCGTGACAACCATCTACAGGACCGTCACTGGCACAACCACAGTTTTCAACAACGTCTGTGCTTGCCCCGCTGGAACACCCGTTTTTGGTGGTGCCGGCTCTGGTGCTGCTCCTGGTAGCGGCTCACCTGGTGCTGGTGTTGTTGCGCCTGGTTCCGGCGCTGGTGTTGCGCCTGGTTCTGGTGCCGCTCCTGGTTCTGGTGCCGCTCCTGGCTCTGGCTCTGGCATTGCACCTGGCTCTGTGTCACCTGTTCCTGGTGCAGGCCTTATCCCGGCTGGTGCAAACAACATTGTTGTTGTTGCCCCTGGCGTGTACTCTTTCACAGTCACTGTTGTGGTGGTCATCCCAGCGTCAGTCTTCACGACTGTTGTTGCAGGTGTTACCCGCACAGTCACTGTAGAGGTGCCTCGCACTGTGACTAGCACGGTCACCTCCACCACAACAGCTCCTGCTGCTACTGGCGGTAACGGCATTGCTCCTGTGCCTGGATCACCCAGCCAGTCCGGTGTCTTCAGCAACGGTACCGTTTCAACCCTCCCTATCTCTGTTGGCGTATCATCTACCCTGCCGGTCCCTGTTTCCTCAACTCTGCCTAGCGGTGTCTTGCCCTCTGTTGGCCCTACGATCACGCCCATTTCTGGAGCCACAGTCGCCTCTGTGTCGACTCTGCCCTCCTCAGCTGGTGTCCCCGCTGTGACGCTTGTTCAACTCACTGCTGCTGGCACACCTATCGTCTGCGTCGGCAACCAGCTGCAGAAGAATGCCAACGCAGTCAGTGCCAGTGTCATCACCATTGACAGCGCAGGCATCCTGACCTGCGGTGGTCAACAGGCTTACTTGGTCCAACAGCCGAACACCTCTCCAGCCGTTTACAATGTGATCCTTTCCATTGGTGTACCACAGGGTGGTCAAGTTGGTTACTTCAGTATTGTGAATTCGAATGGAAATCCTACTCTCGTCGCTCAGACGTCCCCCTTCATGCGTAAGCGGCAGGCGAACTTCCTGAACTTGGGTGTCGACGCCAACGGATATGTCATCGCAGGTATTCAAGTCCAACCTGCCCTTGACGCTCCTACTTTGCTGACTGCGGCGCCAACAACTGCAGTAGTCTCTACTGTAGCACCTGTCGCCACATCCGATGCGGCTGCTCCTACTACTGCTGCTGTGGTGCCAACCACGGACGCCGTTGTTCCTACAACTGATGCTGTGGCACCTACCACAGATGCCGTCGTTCCTACTACTGCTGTTATTGTGCCAACAACTGACGCTGTTGTCCCTACAACTGCTGCTGTTGTACCCACGACTGATGCTGTGGCACCTACCACTGATGCCGTTGTTCCTACTACTGATGCTGTGGCACCTACAACTGACGCTGTTGTCCCTACAACTGCTGCTGTTGTACCCACGACTGACGCTGTGGTTCCTACAACTGATGCTGTCGTTTCTACAACTGCTGTTGTTGTACCCACGACGGACGCTGCCGTTCCTACAACTGATGCTGTCGTTTCTACAACTGCTGTTGTACCCACGACTGACGCTGCCGTTCCTACCACTGCTGCTGTGGTGCCTACTACTGAGGCCGTTGTACCCACCACTGATGCTGTCCTTTCCACAACTTCTGCCGTTGTGCCGACGACCGACGCTGCCGTCCCTACCACTACCGTCGTTGTGCCGACGACTGACGCTGTTGTTTCTACGACCGATGCAGCTGTCTCAACAACTGCCGCCGCGACAACGACTTCGGAACCTGCTACATCAACAACTGCTGAGTCGTTTGCTCAATGCGCCACCACATCTCCTCGTCCGTTCAATATCTTTGCCACGGACGCAAATGGCTTCGATATTGATGCTTACGTCGTGGCTAGCCCGGGCTTTTATCTGCAGACTCGAGTTCAAGATGGTACAACCACAGATGACCCATCGTTCCGCTTCAATCCCTGCGCAGGTCAGATCGCAGACGATAACAGCTTGGCACTCGGCTACAACACAAACGATGCTAACACCGCCGACGGTTCCCGCATTGCAGACAACAACTATTGGTTCCCAGAAGAGCAGCCCTTCGTTAAGTACGCAATCACCCAGTCGGGTGATAACTTCAATTTCGGTGCCGATGTCAAGCTTTACTACAGCGCGGATGGCATATACCGAGTCTTCGCCAACTCCGTCACTGTCGACGAGACCTTGTATACACCTCTCACCACGTTCTTATTCCGGGATCCCGTTAATAACCCGCGAACTTGCTCGTACTGCACATGAGTCACGAAGGCTAGATAGTTACTTTATACCTGAACATACTGCACTGAACTCTAAAGCTGCTTCCTTATCATTGATCACGAATTGCGGCGTGTACCACACAGCCGTGTCCCGAAATCCTACGGGATGTACGAGTACAACTGCCAGAGTCAACGCTCTTGTGTCGAAGTTGAAGACCTTCGTGAAGTCCATGTCAATTGCTTTGCTTTCCTTACGAAAAAGTGTTGGCCCGGTCTAAACAATGATGCCCCTCCGGCGCCAGATGCGCCACGTCAAGACCCATATTGACATTGCTAGCGCTACAGCAGATGCCATCAACAGGAAAGAAAGGCTGTAGCAGCCTTGTCCGGCACATAAATGACCCTGGTTACTGTCGGGATGTTGTGCTCTTGCTCGTCTATCGTAGAGTGCTGCATAAAGGTAAGACCCGAGAACCGAACCGATCAACGGAGAATACGCCAGACAGCCCCAATTGCGGCCAAAATCTCGGAGGCCCCATATGACAGACGCCAGGGTCGGTCCGATGCAGTACAAGGACCCGTAGCAGAACCCATTGATCCCAGCGACCAAGAAGAATATTGTAGTTGACGGTGGTGCCAAGGCCAAAGTGAGCATGGCAAGAGACATCAGTGCTGTCAAGCCGAGCAACAACGGTATGCGTGAGTAGCCCTTCTTTGCGAGCACATCGCCAAGGAGACCCACGATGAGACGACTGACCGTTGAGAAGATCGCAAAAACGGAGACTGCACGACTGGCGTAAGATCCAGAAGTGCCATTCGCATCAGGTGTTTTCAGTAAGATAGACTCGACGATCGATCCCATGTTGCCAACAAGGGTCTCTGTGGCGCCAGCGGCAAAAATGTAGGCCACTGCGTACATCAACACTGTTATATCCTCGAAGAATGGTGGTCTGGATTCCTCTTGACTACCCAGCAATGGCACTTGCTCCTGAGAACTATCCTCAAGTGGTCCTGAAATGGATTCATTCGTTGCACTTGTCGGACTTTTCATGAAGCAGCTCCCAAGGAGAGCAGCTAACCCGACAAACCAGCATAGATTTCGCCAGAAGCCAGGGATGTTGTACTGCTCTTGCGCCTGATTTGCGAGACTAAAGTATCGCTCAAACACGAGCGTGTATAGCAGCGTCGCAAAGCCATACGCGCAAATAGGTATTGCGATGGCCAAACCACGAGCACCGGCAAAATTGCGTGCACATGTGCTGACGGAGGTAATATATGCACAAGTCGAGGCTACCCCAATGAGGAAGAATGCACTGCACAAGACGAGATATCCTTGCCTGCGCTCATAGGCGTTGGCAGCGAGGAGTAATCCTGGTATGCCTAGAAGGGCAGAGAACAGGCAGACGCGGTTTGCTCCATACTTGTCAGATAGCAAACCGATAAGGGGATAGCAAAGAAATTGTCCGATGATATTGGCAACATTGACGCTGTTGACTTGCACTTGAGAGTAGCCTAGAATATTTTGCAAGGAGCCCGCATAAAGAGAGAATGTGAGCGGAAAGCCTGCGCTGAGGATTACCAGCACACTGGCAAAGAGCGAAAGTAGTGCAGAATAGCTTTTGACGTCCATCTATGCGCTCTATACTTGCCTCAAAGGATACAGCCGGGCAGGCAGCCAAGCACCACTGACAGTTGCCTGCCTGCTGCTGCCGAGGCGTCGCTGCCGGGGCGAAGTTGTGTGGTTCAAATGCAAGCTTTTGCGTTTTGAGCATGAGCTCGACGCCTCTCCTAACGACAACAGTAAAGAAGGCGAATCAAGCTACTCAAGTTCTGCTATATGCGTCATGTTGCTTCATGCTGTATCAGACAGCTGCAAAGCATTCAAGCTATCTCACAAGGATGTTCTAGTAAAGCTAGGACGCTACGATTTGCTACCACACGCTCTGTAGGAGAGACATTCGGTCAACCGCTATCACAGACACATCCACATCTAGTGAAAAGAAATGAGCGTAAGTCGCAATTGCGCAGTAAAACAATACTGATTTGCAGTGACACCCGGTATCAGTGCAAGTGAGTATGAGCTAAGGCGTACACTACTGGCAAGAAAGGTACCTTCAGGAAGTGTCATTTTTATTCCTGGCTCAGGCCAGCGCTTTATGCGTGGTCATGCTTTCTACGAATTCCGTCAGAATGCAAATATGTTCTACCTGACGGGCTTGGATGAGCCAGACACAGCGATGATCATGATCACTGACGGTTCTCCAAAGGGCTACCGTATGCATCTTTTCCTCCAGCCGAAGAATGAGGAAGAAGAGATGTGGACTGGCTTTCGCACAGGCTTGGCAGCAGCCTTTGACGTCTTCGGAGCTGATGCTGTCAGTGACATGGATGATATGCACAGAATAGCCAAAGAGCAAGCAAGATCCGCCAAACATATTTACTTTGACAAGGTCAAAAGTCCAGATCTGGCTGGTTCCAAACATCACGAATTTGTACGTGCAGCTGGAGATTCAAAATGTATAGCAGTCTCTCCACTTGTGCACAGGCTGCGTAGTGTCAAGAGTGCGGCGGAGATCAAGCTTATGCGACAAGCTGGGCAATTTTCTGGTCGAGCATTCAATGACACAATGAGCCAAGGTTGGACTTCTGAAGCCGCCGTTCAAGCTGAACTGAGGCATCGTTTTGTCAAACATGGAGCCCATCGCGAAGGCTATGTTCCAGTCGTTGCATCTGGTGATCACGCTCTGGCAATTCACTACACTGCAAACGTCGACCGCATCAAGCCGGACAGTCTCATCTTTGTCGATGCTGGCGCGGAGTTGGGTGGGTATCTCACAGACATATCACGAGCATGGCCAGCAGCGGGCATTTTCTCTGAAGCGCAGCGAGATCTCTATCAGGCCGTCCTGAATGTGGAAAAGGCTTGTATTGAGCTATGTGTCACTAGCCGCAACCATTCAATTCACTCCTTACATCATGAATCGACGAGGCTCATGAAGATGGAACTCCGCAATCTTGGCTTTTCTATCGTTGAGGGAGATGTCGAGAAACTCTTTCCACACAGACTCGGCCACCATATCGGCCTTGAAATTCATGATTGCTCGACACTCGGGGGATACGAGACTCTGTTGGCAAACCAGACCATCACAATTGAGCCAGGTTTGTACGTCCCCTACGATGACTCTTGGCCAAAGCATTTCCAGGGAATGGGACTGCGAGTAGAGGACAGTGTCGTTGTCGGGGAAGAAGCACCGACTGTCCTCTCAGCAGATGCTGTAAAGGAGGTGGCCGACATCGAGGCTTTGGGACGAAAGTGGATATAGATATGTCATCATATGTGAGTCTGATAGAAGTAATGATGGTGTTCCGGTGCAGTATCGGTCGAAACCACAGAAAGCGACGTCCGATCTGAAAAGCTCGCTCGAGACATCCACGCGCAAGCTGCAGCTAGCGCTGGCCGTCCCCACCACTATCTGCCAGAAGGTTATTGCTACGTGCTAGATGCTTTAGCTTATGAGTCTGTCAAATGGAAAGCGAAAGCGTGAAGAACCTCAAGACTTGGAGGATGAGACCGACAGTGACTCTGACTGGGAGAATCTAGCTCTCGACACCTATCTACCATCGCTTGAACCTATACTTGATGGCCATGACACGACGCATTCTGCAGAAGTGACAGTTGAGCTTTCCTCTTCCACAATCACTAGTAGACCTCATACACAAAGACAGGCTACGACTGCATTGGCACGGCGCGCTCGTCTTGATATTCACAAAGCACATATTTTGTGTCTCTTGGCACACAACGCTACACGCAACGCTTGGTGTCGGCATGACCGCATTCGCGCAGCACTAAAGCCCGTCATTGATTCTTTCAAGGTGAATCTCCACCCAAAAGCCACTTCAGCACAATACCAGCGGACTCGCGTTTTGACTGAAGGCCTTACAGGTGCCGTCGCCTTTTGGTCGAAGCGCTTCAATGTCGTGGGTCAAGGACTTTCTCGACCCAAATGGCGGCAGGACACACTGTCGTCGCACCAACACTCTCAATCAAAGCCGTGCACGTTCGCGGATTTCGTGTCAGCAGCAAAAGCTATGCGCGGATCCCGGGATATTGGTGCTCAATTGTTTGTGGCTTTTCTCCACTGCCAGGGACTGGATGTGCGGCTGGCTTGCTCGTTGCAGGTCCTGAGCTTTACTCTTGGCAAAGGCAATACCATTGTGTCTACAGCTAACGTAGAGGAGGTGTCCTCCGAGCTGACTTCCCTCCAAAATCTGCCAGCGAAAGTCACTGTGGTCCAGGCGACAACGCCTCGGAGAAGCCTGACAAGGCCTTCGCTCGGTGAACGTCCCGCAAGAAGACCAGAACCTGTGCAATCAGTTGTGGCCCCAGAGTCAACCGGGTCTACAGATGCATCACCGTTCCCAGTATACTGGGCAGAAGTCTTTGATCCTGCCGCTCAGAAATGGCTTCCAGTTGACGCTCTGTGTTCAAAGACTGTTGGGAAGCCTACAAAGCTTGAACCGCCCGCGGCTGATCATGGCAACCTCCTGTCTTACGTGCTCAGTTACGAAGCTGACGGCGCAGCACGCGATGTGACCCAGCGCTACGCAACACTGTACAATGCAAAGACTCTCAAACATCGGGTCGACTTGCGTGAACAAGGCAGTCAATGGTGGTGGGAGCAAGTCTTGCCACTCTACCGCTTACCGAAACGCCATCCAGGCCGTGCAGCCAAACGCGATAGGGAAGCTATTGAAGATGCATCGTTCCAAGCACTGCGCCTGAAAGAACCCATACCTTCCAATGTGCAGGACTTCAAGCGACATCCCGTCTTTGTGCTTGAGCGCGACCTAAGACGTGATGAAGTCTTGGATCCGGAAGCGCGCGAATGTGGCTCCGTGATTGTCAGCAAAGCCAGGCCGCCCATCATGGAACGGGTATTCCCTCGCAAGAGCGTCTTACAGGTTCGCAGTGCACAGCAATGGTATATGCGTGGTCGCGTCTTCCGACCCCTTGAAGTGCCACTGAAGTTCAGAGCCGCATCGATGTGGCAGCAGCAAGCTAGAAAGAGGCGTCAGCACCGTGATGATGACGACGACGATATGGAAGCTGATACACAGATCATGGATGATGTTCCCTACTACACGGAAGCACAGACTGACGCATACATTGCGCCTCCCGTCATTCAAGACGAAAATGGCAAATCTCTTGTGCCAAGGAACCAATTTGGTAATGTCGACTTGTACTGTGCCTCTATGCTGCCCGCTGGAGCACTGCATTTGTCATGCGGTTTGATGCGTTCGAGAGCAGTGGCGAGTCAATCGGACCATATTATTCAAACTTGGACAGACGCGCAAATAGCGCGCTACTTGCACGAGTTGGCATCTGAAGTGCTCGACATTGACGCTGCCCCTGCGGTCACGGGCTTCAAACATGTACAAGCAACCACAACGCCTACTGTGGATGGTATTGTTGTGGCCAGCTGTTATGCTGATGCTCTCGAAGTAGCAATTGATGCTGGTCTTGCATATATACAGGATCTGGCGGATGACGCAAAGAGTACACTGATTCTGCAACGATGGGCGAGCTGGGTGCAGCGTTTGCGTATCAAACACCATGTTGAGACTCGCTATGCAGGAACTGCAGAATCTGGTCCAGGTGGCTTCATGGCAGATGAAGCTGAAGAAGAGCCTGGAGTGCAAGATGAAGGTGATGCATCCGAGACTTATTCGTTTGAGTATGAGAGCGAGTAACGAACACCCTGAGGTCGTGATAGGGGAGTCAATAGGCTACGAAGCTAGTGAATATACACAAGAATTGGCATAATCCATAATCCAATGTCGTCTACCAAGAGGAATGTGAAAGAATACAAATCAATTCAATGATCTCTTGCCCGTGCAAATCGATCGTGCGTCGCCCTCAGTATGCCCGACCGATGATTCGCATGTCTCGCAGCTTGTGGTCTCGCCAGCGCGGGCTGTGGCGGCGCTTGCGTTCCGCTATGCACATGAGGTGCAAAGAAGGCCGAAACACCAGTCGTATGTGCAAGATGCGGTTGCTGTGCGGCAAAACCAGTCGTGACTTGATTCGGTGGGTTGTAGTGAGAACTGTGGCCCCCATGATCGTATAAATGCGGCGTACTTGTCCCTGTTCCCGGCGCTGAGTCGTTCATGTAGTCTGGGAGAGATGAGCTCAGTGGTGCTGCAGCAGCTCGAGTTGTTGCAGTCGTGTAGCTCGGTATGCGACTGAGTGAGATGACTTCTTCATCTGTGAAGGGTGCTGGAGTATCATCTGATGGCATATGACTATGCTCGACAGAGCTGGCGCCTGGGCGTAAATGCGGTGATGTGATGGCAGAGTTGCTTGCACCCGAGACAGGAATGGGATCACCACTTGCTGCTAATGAAGCACTCAACTCTGCCTCCGTGAAGGTCGGATGAGAATAAGAATTTGGCAGAGAGCGCAAATGAGGCGTGCTATGCCCTGATGCAGGTGTCACTGACCCTGTTGCATGCGCACTACCATTACCGACGGGTATCGGCGGCGTTTGATGTCCTGTGCTGCCTGGATTGGATGTGGTGAGGCGATTGAGTCCGGCCATGAGCGCACGACGCTGAACTTCTGAATCAAGAGTGCCAGCAGCACCGGCCTCGAATGAGCCACGCCGGCTGCGAGCAGGTGTATTGGCACCCGACGGCAAAGGCGTCTCAACCCCATCATATAGACGATCCCAAATATGTGATTCATAGCAAGGCAGCTGATTTGCTGGATCCGCCGAGTTCAAATTTGAGTAGGATGTCCCACCAGAGAAGAGTGTCGGTGGAATGAGCAAGCTGACAGGCAACGCGGCTCTGAGCTCCGAGATGTGGCCATCTGGATTCTGGAGACCGACAGTAAACTTGAGCTTATGCCGAATCTTGATGTGGACCACCTCACAATCCTGCGTGCACTTGTTGAGTGAACTGGGGATCGTCAAGCTTTCGTCAATGTCCCAATTTGGCACGTTTTTGTCAAGGTTGTCGATTGTACAAGTCGCAATGGTGCGATCCACCTCTTTCTTGGCTGGGGCACCGTGATATCCGTTTTCAATAGACAATGATTGATACTCCTTGAGAACGCACACGATTTTTGCAATCTGAAGACCCTTAAGAAGTGGCACAAGCTTGAAATTGATTGGAATCGTTGAGCCGATCGGGTAGGACTTTGTTGGGATAGAGATGGCGTATTCAATCTTATTTGGCCATGTGTTGTCGACAGAGAGCGTCTGGGCCATCTCCAATGAGTCGATAGACAGCGTTCGGACAACGCGCAGCGTCTTGTGTGTGGTGAGATTGTGCGCAAAGCCAGGCCTTTCAACCGTAGCAGTCATGGTGTACTTGATGGAGCCATAGTCCAATCCCTCAACAGTCTCTGGCAAATCACCTGGCAGAGTGACCTCAAAGGGATACTCATAATTGCCGGATCCCATAGACTTGTTGTGCGATGAGAAGGACATAAAGGACCAGGTATTCTCATAGATGACATTCTCCTCCTTCTGCAGACGACTCGCTTGCGATCGGTTGGCCATCAAATACTGTTCTTGCCACGATGCTCTTGCCTTGCCGCGCAGGGTCAGTGTGATGTTCTTTGCTTGGATCGGATCATGCAGCGACATGACCAAGACGCCCTTGAGAATAGCGCCTGGGCAATCTGAGGGATCGCCACGCAACACAATGACATCGCGATCTTGTGAATCAATTCTGCAGTCAGTATGCGACACGATGGAAGTCAACGGAGGCGTACCTGATTTCGAATAGCGTTGCGACATTTGCAGCAGTCGAACTGCTGCCTCTAAGAAGGTTCATGGTTTGCTCAGTATCAGCAGTATCCAAGCGAGTCAGTCAGACTAGTCGTGCTGGGCCCCCTAGGAGATAAGCGCCCGGTCTAGGCTTGAACGTGGCGATAGTTGTCGAAAACAATCGTCTGCTGGACGGCGCACGAGGTTGCACTGGGATGCAAGACTGAGGGGCGATGGAAGCCCGTGTATGCGATGCACCTGCCTCTGTATCTGGCTGTTTGGACCTCTTGTGTAGCTGCGACTGAGGCGACAGTAGACAGATGGACAGATGGCTTGGTGATTTGATCTTTGCTCGTGAATCGTGATGGCCGCCAGATGCGGAATTGACGGAAGTGAGCAAAATGACGACAGGGCGACAGGCGACAGACATGGCCTGGTATATCATCTAGCATATTGTACAACATCCTACCATCTAATGATCTGCTACCATTCACATACCCCTGTCTATAGGCAACCAAAAAACACCCAGGGTGACCACGACATAGGCAAGAAATTGAAAATGCGTGGGATGAGGGATCACCACTGACAGTCGCGACCGGCGAACATGTGTCAACGGATCAGAGCGCACAGGCTTCTACTTCCCTGGTCGGCGCCAAATACGAATTCGACCGTATCGCTTGCCAAGCGTCGCAATGAGCAAATAGTCCTCCTGGAAGAGGAGATCGGTCGGCGGCTGGTCGTCAATCTTCTTCACTGTGATGGGTGACAAGATGGCAGTCGACAGACGAGACTCGGGCTAGATAGATGTTAGCATAGTTCGGGCCTTTTGCGGCCAGTTGGTGCGCAACAAGGCGCATTGATTGGACCCAACTGATAAATGTCGGGCCGATTCAATTTTGCGTCTGACATGTGCACCCCAAAACCAGGTCTCAAGAAAACTTACCAGATGAAAGACAGTTCCGTGCGCGACTTTGGTCCGTGATTTGTGGTCATGCGAAGTTGTGATGAGAGGGCGATGAGCCTCGTCCGGCATCTGTAGAGCCTGTGATGTTAGCTCAGTCTTTCGAGACCACTCCGGTCGTACCTGATTTTTTGCAGCCTTATTGGAAGGCTTATGTAGACTGGCGATGGCAAAGTCCCAGAGCAACAGATTACCATCATCAGCAACACTGCCAATCCTGTAGCTGTACTGGTCGCATTTCCACTGATCAAAGGCAACGGCCGTGATGAAGCTAGAATGACCTTGACAACGCGCAACGATGCACGACTCCAGGAACGACCAGATGGTCACTGTGTCGTCCTTGCCGCCCGTTACGATATACTGTCCATCAGGCGACCAAGCAACGCACGTCAAGCCGCCGTAGTAAGATGAATACACATCGAGCAGCTTTTCGTCTCTGAAATTGATCACTTTGAGACATCCGTCATCGCAGGTAACGGCAACGTGTGTCTGATCTGGCGAAATGGCAAACGCAGTACATGCCTGTCTTGAAACGCCAAACGAACTGACAGGATTCGTCTTGGGCGCTTTGAGATCATTGCACGATTTGTAAATGGGAAATGCTGGATTTCGATCGGGATCTTCACCAACATTCATATTGTCTGCAACCAGTTGCGCATAAAAGTCAACATCTTCGCGGTCTTTGTCATATACCACCAACAAACCATTCGCGTGTGTAGCCATAAAGAGTGACTCTGATCCTGGCAGCCATTGAATGGCAGTCACAGCGCCGGGAGCAATACAGCGTTGTTTATTGAACCTCAAATATTTAGTCGATACCGGATCATACCAGCAAATATCACCCGTGCTCGTTCCAATCACAACATCCATGGATCGTTGCGTCTTCGTGACTGCATTGATATCATGGCAGGTGATTTGCGCAAGGGAAAACAAGAGTTTCGATAAGGGCTCATGCTTCATCGTTGCTTTGGCACCAATATCAAACATGGAGATACAGCGAGTCATGTTTCCCAGGACTAGTACATCTTCGCGATTAGGTTCCAAGAGTCTCGTGTTGAGTGCTGGATCCGTCACTGCTCGAGAGACATAGGTGGATGTGGTACCATTAGCAGACGTGCCTGTTCGTTTCTTACGCTTGCCAGATCCATACGCAGCATCAAATACAGAACTTCCTCCGAGACTCACGGCTTGAGAATTGATGCGATCCATGGGCGAACCAATCATATCGAAACTGCTCGACAGCGTGGGTGGCGTTTGATCAAGTCCGGCTTGTGCATGCGAGCTTTGTGTCGTGACACTGTGTGTCAAGGCATCGCCGTTTGTATCACCATTACTGCTTGCTGCATCATCATGTATCGCATGGCCGTTTGTCTGTTGTCCGTTTTCATCCATTGTGAGTTTATCCATGATGGGCATATCTCCTTGTGACAGAGTCCGCACAACAGGCAGCGTCACAGGAAATGGACTGGAACCATTTTCCTTTGTATTGCTCTTACGAACGAGCTTCAATTTGAGGCCATTACTCCATGGCGCAGCATATGGTGTCAGTGGATTAGGATTTGGAAGAGGCTCCGAGGGGTGTGACGCTGGGAAGGCGAGATTAATGTCGTCTGTTGCACGATACGTGCCTTCACTCGCAACAAATTGATGTTGAGGCAGTGCATCATCCAGCTTTTCATATTTGTTGTAGAAATGTTCAGGCCGTACGACAACAGGTGCCGACATGCTACAAGGTTGTGCGTTAGTGTCATCATCATCGGATGTCGTGACATGGGGCTTACGGCATAGGGACAAACATGACGGAGCAGTCAGACTTGAGGGTCTAGTATCTCCTGAGTCTTTTGTTGAAGTAATCCAAGCGATGGTGGTAGAGTACAAGTGTAGCCTTGCAGCGCGTCGTTCCGAGGACGAAGTCGCGTTGCTGGTAGAGTAACGCTTGGGTTGCTCCTCGATCGGCAAGTGCTCCGCCGATGATGGTCGGCGCGGTCTGAACAAGGCTCTAGTCGATACAGACAGAGTCACTATACAAACCTAGCGATCTTGACGCAGTGCAAGCGGCTGCAAAATTGTCGTCCCGAATACCGGGTGCGTATAGGATACGAGGAACTGTAGGGAGATGGTCGCGGTCCGGGTTTTACAAAATTTCGCGGATCAAGCGTGTTACCAGCTGGCCGTTTCGTGCTTGCCTGGTATGGTAGTCTTGACGCCGACCTTGTATGCAGCGGTGGTCCCCGGTAAGGGTTTGATGTAGTCGGGTCGCTGTGTGTGATGGATGTGCAGTTGAGTGATTTTGTGTGTGGGGAGAAATCATCCAGCGCAAAGTGAATCATCCCACGACATTGCCCAAGGATGAGCTGCCTTAGCCGGTGGAAGACCAGGGGGAGTAGAGGAGGGTTAGATATAGAGAAGAGATGTCTGTATGAATGCTGAAAAGGTGAAGATATCAATATAAAGGGCGCCATTCGCAAGAGAGGCATGCATATAGGAAGCAGCAAATCGTGAAGAAAATCAATGTTGAGCAGAAGCGGCCGCAGTAGCTGCAGCATGGAGCCGTGCAGCATTCTCTTCATGCTGTATTCGTGTATCGCAGCACGAGGCAGGATGTTCCCTTACGGGTCGTTCATGCTCGAAATCCATACGTTCCATCTCTGCAGCTGCAACATAGGGACCATTGTCGCGGTGTGTTTGGCATCCAGCACACGTACATCCATCGCCGCACTGACACGCAACACCTGGTAGAGAGCAACCGGGCACATCAAATAGGCCTTCCCAAAAGGCAGGATCCAGGGGCTCGTTTTCTTCGGTGTAGTGGTCCAATCTGAGTGCATCTGCTGGTGGCTGTGATGGCACCAGCTCCAAGATGGGTACCAGTGCTGCTTGGTCTGAGACTGGCGCACCGCCGTAGAATGTAGAGAACGAAGGCACACGCAAGGAAGTGTCTTCTTCCGTCGGTGTTGGCTGGCCGTGTGATCCCCTCTTTGAGCTGCAACAAGAAATAGTAGTTTGCTGAGTATTGACCGACATTTGAAGTGCTTCGAGAAGGCTTGCACGGTCTCGTGGTGTCAAGCCGTTCAATAGCGGTCGCCACTTGCCTTGTCCAACTCCAGTCACTGCAGGCCACTGCCAAGCCATCAGATCTGTATTGATGCCAATTGACCGCGTCGAAGGGTAAGCTTCGCGTGGAGGCAATGGACGCGCAACACGCTGTATAGAAGTCGTATTCGATGCGCGTCGAATAGGTGTTGGGCGCTGCGATGTCATTTGCGATCCGTCCAATGGCTGCGTCAACACACTCTCATAACAAGCTGGCATCTCCGCATCAGGTTCAGTGGGGGAGCTGCTTGCAATCGAACGTCTTCCAGCATGAGGCGATGGGTAGGGCATGGAGTTTTGAGTCTTGACAGTGAATGCATCGAATGTATGCAGGAGACCACCATTCGTAGCGACAATGCCGGTTTTCTCCTTGATACCCTCTTCGCTGGAAGGCTGCAGATCATTCGGTGGTTGCTTGACTGCTGCATCATCAGTCGGGACATATTGATACACAGACACCGGACCAGCGCACGAACAGGGTTGTCCAGCATGACACTGACAACGATTGCCAGGTGCTGACTCTGCCGCTGTATCACCACAAGCGCATTTAGTATGCGATGACTTGATCTTCCTCAAATCACGACAATGAGGGCATTGAGAGATGGGACGGCCCTTGCGCCGGATTTCAAAGAGGGGCCGATCTGCGTGTGTACAGGCGCTTGAGCGATGGCCGCGGATGCACTGGGAGGTCAGATCATGAATGCAGACGAGAAGAGAGAAGGCCGTACTGTTGCGCAAGCGTGTTTGACACCTGCGACGATCATACAGGCTGGGGGCGTGCTGGCTGCTGTCGACCGTTAAGCATATCCGGTGCAGTTTAAGCTTCATCTTCCAATCGTGCTGCGTGCACAGACATTTCCTGGTTCAGATGGCGACAGCAGCCAAGTACTTCCTTATCCTCCATGCTACCGACCCTATTTGCCTCTAAGTAGATTACCAGACCTCCAGGATCAACCGCAGATCAAGCGGATCCTGCCACTTCATAAACAGCACCTTTGCTTCCTCCTCGCTCAGCCCTTGGTTCGTCGCCACTTTCCGCAACGCCTTTTCAATGCCTTGCAAGAACCCCTTGGCCGCACCACAGACATAGATGCGCCCGCCTTCTTTCGTCATGACGCGCCAGATGAGTTCACCCTGACGCACCACTTCATCCTGGACGTACTCGCGCCTACCCGCTTGCGACTCAACAATACAGTGCTCAGCAGACTGCAAATCATTCCCATAAATACTGTCGAATTGCGAATCACGACATCCCTGAATCACATACACCTTACCCGCACATTTCGCAGACGATACACGACGTTGGACAAATCCACGAAACGGAGCAATACCCACGCCAGCACCCACGAGAATCATGGGTCCCGTATCGGCGAAATCTTTTGTGAAGGGATTGGCATGCAGTCCACGAAACATGGGTAATCTTCCTTCTCGCTTGCCATTCATGAAATCCAGTGCGAGTCGCTCGAGGAAGCCAGAGCCAACACCAGGTCTCGGGACACCTTTATAGCATGGAACTTCAGCGACCGTAAAGGCAAATTCAAGGGTTCCATGATTACAGCTTGGATCTGATGAAAGGGAGTACCACCGTGGCATGAGCTGTGGATAGACGGCGAGCAGACTCTCCAATGTTGGTCGCGCACTTGGGAAAGCAGCAAGAAGATGCGGTAAAGTAACAGGATCCCCTGACCGCAACGCACAAAATGCCGCTTGTCCCTGCCGGGCGCTCAAGAAGAGCAATACTTGCTGCTCTAGTGGATCTCGTGTATGTGCCGCTAGTAGCCGCAAAGCAGTCTTTTTGATGGGACTTGCTGAGATGTCTGAACACCAGCGCAAGATGTCTGCTTTTGTGGTTTTCAATGATCTGGCTTCTTCATCACCCCACACAGTGGGCCAACGACCACCTTGTGTTTTCAAGAGGATAGGTTGTTTTGCTGATTCGAGTGACTCGCCGCATGCGCGTAATACTGCATTGATACTCTCTTCGTCGTTTGCTGTGCAAACACCGAATGATCCACCAACAAGCCATTGTTCGCCTGGGCCGAGCGGGTATTCTGATACATCAATACTCATGTGATAGACACGTTTCGATGCACCATCTTTCGTCATGCGATGCGCATCGAGAATGGGCGCCGAAAAGACTTTGTGAGGTGGATGTGGTTGCAAGTAGTCTGGCGGGTGGACCAGTGAGGATAACGCGGAACTCTGTCCGTTTGTGGAGTTGTCACGCTGCGGCGATACCGGAGGCGACGGAGGGGACTGTGCAGGTTCCAAGGTGATGGATTGCTTCGGTAGCGCGGGAACACTCGTTAGCTTGGCACCAGGCTCAAACCCAATCAAATCAATCTTGAGCGCTTTAAATGCTGGATTCTTTTGCAAATCTGCGAGCTTTCCCTGCCAGCCTTCAATGTCCGGCAGCCGTACAATAGAATCCAAGTCAAATGTAACGCCCGAGCAACACGCTGCACAGGTACTACCTTCTTGCGTATTCACAAGCACTTCCGTATGCGACTCCCCATGACTCAGCGTCTGTATGAGTGTTTCCTTGCCGTGTGTATGCACGGGACTTTGATCCACAGGCTTGGCAGGATCACGAGTTGTCAGAGACGCAGCGAACCCGAGACGTTTCGCTTTCGTTCGTGGCCGAAGGAGGACTGCGGGTGCAGTGACGGGAGGATGGCAGACACAGGCGGGGCCGCAGCTCATATTGCGTAGTCTGTGTGCACCTAGACGGAGAATATTGGAGTAGCGGGCTCTTTGTAAAGTAGTGTAGTAGTTGCTACTTCTGACGGCCGAGGAAGTAACAAGGAACAAGGAAGCTGCCCGCCCGAGATTCAACCAAAAAGAGTGGCGCCAGATGATCAGATAAGCAGCAACACGTGCAGCGATTACTGCTACTCCTACTACTGCTGCTGTACTATTGCTACTGCTGCTATTGCTACTGCTACTGCCACTGCTACTCCTACTGCTACTTCACTGCTTCTACATGGACACTCCTCCAGAAACAGTCTCCTTCGACTTCGCAGCAGGTGCAGACATCATCCGTGCCAACCAAAAGGATCAGTACTACACGGCATACCTCATGTCACAAGTACAATCGCTTGCACGACGATTTCTCGGTTCTCGCACAGTCAACACGCATCTTGCTGAAATAGAAACCGGTGCAAAGCTGACCTACCTCGGTCTAACAACCCTTGTTGCTCAGCGCACACTTGGCGAAGAGTACTGTGACATTACTTACACTGATGCAAGTGGTAAATCTCTGCCGAGCGCTAGAAGAAGAGCTGCTTTTGTAGCGAGCTCGACACTCGTTCCTTACATCCTGCACAAGTCATGGCCGCAGGTCAAGCGGAAAATTAGCAGTCGGCTTGGAACAGAGTCCAGAATTGGAAGAGTATTTGAGAAGGCCGTCTCATCGCCTACACTGCAGACGCTCGCGAATCTGCATCTGGCATTGTTTTACTTTACAGGCGCTTACTACACCATCACGAGGAGATTGACAGGGTTGCGCTACATCTTTACGCGCAAGATGGAGCATTCTAGCGAACGAGTGGGTTACGAAGTATTAGGCTTCTTGATCCTCCTACGTATGGGATTCCCCATCATCAGCAGTCTATTGCCTGCTTCGTCAAGCAAAGAGATCTGGCAAACATCCGCTGAAGCGCCCGTCCAGATTGATTTGGAGGACACATCACGCATGCCCTTCCTGGATGAGCAGGGACGCAAGTGCACCTTGTGTCTGAGTGACATGCAAGATCCAACAGCAACGAGTTGCGGACATTTGTTTTGCTGGACTTGCATCAGTGAATGGACGCGAAGCAAACCGGAATGTCCTCTTTGTCGGCAAACTGCCCATTGCTCTCATCTACTGCCTCTGCGAGAGTAGAATTCAAGCTTGTGTCTAGTGTTCAAAAGTCGATGCACATCTGGCCAATGATTTTTTCAAGATCAGCGACTTCCAGATATAATGCTGCGTCTGCGCCTTGCTCTTCACGGGCCTTGGCCACTGCACGATTGAATGCTTCTTCTGTAAATATCCTATAGTTAGGCACATGCATATTGATGACATTGAGACTCTTTACGTGATGAGTTGCGCTGCAGCTGTAGCACCGGCCTTGCTCAGCTTCATGTCTTTATTGGTGAGCCACTGTTTCATGAGCCGCGCGACTAAGGTAGCTGGAATGCTGCATCGCTCGTCCTCGGAAGGTTCCATGGCAGACAAGTGTAGCTGTAGACGCGGTATATGGTCATTTGGGCGCGTCGCAATCAAATTGTCAGACCATGACCGCACGCACATAAAGCAACACCCTCTACCAAAAAGTATGGACTATCAGAATCGTGTTGGCAGCAAGTTCGGAGGTGGTGGTGTCGCTGGTCAGTCAGAGACCAATGCAGCACGTCGAGAGCGACTTCGTGCGCTTGCCGCAGAGACGATTGATCTTGCCAAAGACCCGTACTTCTTTCGCAACCATCTCGGCTCTTTTGAATGTCGCTTGTGTCTGACGGCGCATGCCAATGATGGCAGCTATCTGGCACATACGCAGGGAAAGAAGCATCAGCAGAATCTTGGACGTCGTGCAGCGAGAGATGCGCAGATGAGCCGGGATGGTCCTGGTGCCGCAAATGACCTTCGCGTCGGTGCAGCCGTACCAATCCGCCACAACGTCCTTCGCATAGGTCGACCGGGATACAAGGTACAGAAAGTACGGCATGAAACAGGTCGCTTGGGGCTCTTCATCCAAGTCTCTCTACCACAAATTGAGCCGGGTTTCAGGCCACGCTACAGATTCATGTCTGCATTTGAGCAAAAAGTGGAACAACCAGATCGGCAATGGCAATACCTCATCATTGCAGCAGATCCATACGATGTGATTGCCTTCAAGCTCGAAGCAAGAGAGATTGACAGAAGCAAAAATACCGCAACAGGTATGTGGGAGCTATGGGACGCGCCTACTTATTCTCTTCAATTTTTTTGGGCAGAAGATGTTCAGACGTTCAAGGGCGTTCCTGGCCTCAAATAGATGGCCAAAGAACCAAGTCAGCAACAAAGTAAGACTTCAACCAGTGGAGTTGTTCCTTGTATAGTTTGCACATGAGTTCTCTGGCAGATACCCTTGGCCATACTACAACGTGTATCAGCAACTGAAATACTCTGCGTAATCGGAAAATGCATCTCGAAACAACGTGCACATAACCTTCCCAATAGCTTCAGCACCCACAGAGCTCAGGTGTGTCGAGTCGCCTGCTGATCTTCGGTAGGTCAACGTGGTCTTGTACCCTGCAGCTTCATACGCATGTCGCGACGCTGTCGTCAGGTCAAGCACGGTGGCATGTGTCAGATTGCCTGCTGTCTGCGTGATGTTGCGCGCCCAACGAAGGTTACGACCGACGTGACCGTCCGGAAAGATACTGGTGCGTGAGAGCGGCGTGACGAGTACTGGCTGTGCACCCGCAAGACGTACGCTATCAACAAAGTGGATCAAGTTTTTGAGCATCACATCGGCGTCCACCTTGTGCTTTTGGTCATTGTGCCCAAACGCAATGGTTACAAATGTGCGATTGAAGTCGTCCTCATCATCTTTAATGATCTCTAGGACATCTGCCCAATGTTCTTCACGATACTGAGAAGAATCGCTTCCGCACACGCCTCTATTGAGCCCTAACGAGTCTGTTGCAGGAAGAAGATGCGACAAGAATGCATCACCCCAGCCTATCTGGTCAGCTGCTATTCATCCTCTTCTTGTGCTTACCGCCACCGCAAGTCTTATGGTCAGCTGTAGGAGGTGGAGCTGTCGTCGAATCGCCAGCCAGTATGAAGCGAATGGGCTTCAGGTTTGAACTCTTTGATGGCTCACCGTCTTCGGTACAAGCAGCAGAAGCATGTGTGCTGCGAGATGGCGTTGATGCGATCTGTAGGAACAGTGTGAAGGAAGCTAAAAGTACAAGCCATACGTGACTGACCATTGTGCCACGATCTACAGGCGAGAGCGCATCTTCTTAAATCTGCGAAGATTTTGTGTGTATCGCTTATCTTGCAGCAAATAAACAGCAGAGATTGATTTGCTTACACACAAACACTATCGGTTGCCTGGAGTCATGGTCATCGATGATGTCGAAAGTCTTTCAAACGCTTCGCAAGCAGGGAGCAATCAAAGGGAGGGCTATTACGACAGAGCACTTCTTGTCGAGAATTGTTCCCCAATGAAGCAATGCAAGAATAACGTCGCTCATACCTTGCTAGAAGTCATGCGAAAGGATTTGAGGCCAAGCCTGCGCACCATTAGCGTCAACATTGAAGAAAAAAGTATCTTACCAGTTCAGCAGCACCCAAACAAAGCCTGTAACGGATAGCAGGCATAGAAAACATGCGAGATCAGCTGCTTGACCACGCTTTAGACCAAAAATGCGGTCCCAGATACCCAGTACACCGCCTAGTCCGCCGACAAAGACGAGCCAGGAAGAAAGTAACAGAACATAGCCCCAGAAAGCTACATTCGCAGGGTCTGATTGAACAATCATAGCATTGTTTGCTTGTCTTTGAGCTTTTGAAGAGGAGAGAGCATTCTCTGATGAAGCGGACGAATCAATGAGGAAGGCAAAGCCGTCCGTGTCATTCTCAGATGAGCTCGTAGCGCTAGTCTTTGCGCTCTGTGCAAACTTGCGCCTTCGTTTTAGCTTACGCACACTGAGTGGCATGTTTTCTTCGTTTAGCCTGTCAGCCTAGCCAGCACTGCCTTGCATGCGCGCATATGAGCTTGTGTAGTAGCAGAGTCAGCTTCATGGGCCAGGACGCGTCGTTTCCGAATCCTGCAACAGAGCGCGACCAGCCAGCACCACAAACAACCAACATCCAATTCAGAGCTGCGGTTGGCCTAGTGCAGCTCAAGGCAAGTTCGATCAAGCAGGATGTCGCAAAGGTACAGCATCCGAACCCAGTGGTTCCAGCTCACACGTATAGGTACGCAGGAGGAGCAAACCCGTATGCTCGAGCAACGCCATACTCGCAGACAGATCAGCAACTAGAGCAAGAGAATGACAGTAATGTCGACCAGCTCCGCAACAAAGTCTCCTTCCTGAAGGATGTATCCATCAAGATTGGCGAAGAGACGCGCAATTCCATGGGTTTTATGAATGACATGAATGACGACTATAGCAAGCAGCACGATACTATGAAGCGCGTCAAGAATAGATTGCTGAGGGCAGCGGACATGCAAAGCTGGGGATGGTTTCATGGCTTCATCTTTCTGGTCATTGTCTTCATCATCTTTTTCCTGGTGTACCTATTCAAGTAAGTCACAACAGACTCTTGCATTTTGCATTTCGACCAGTCTTCTGCAAGCGACAACACGTTTCTCAGAGGTCAGTCTCAGAGGTCAGTCCTGCTGATAAACTGATGCAGAGCAGCTCACCTGTCTTGATTTTTGTGACTGTTTGCACCATCGATAAATTATCTCAACAGCTCATCGGAACACATCGCATCCAGTCATCATCTAGCAGGTCTCTATGAACGGCCACAGCGCACCGTCGCTCCTGAGCAACAACGCGAGCCATGGCTGGGTCGTACAAAAGTTTGGAGGTACCTCAGTTGGCAAATTCGCATCACAAATCGCGCAAGAAATCGTCGCGAAACATATTCAGGACTCACGACTCGTGCTTGTATGTTCTGCGCGGAGTGCGGATACAAAAGCGGAGGGAACCACGAATCGCTTGATAAAGGCATGCAAGGAGAGTGAAAAGCTGCCAAAGACGAATGAGTACAAGAAATTGGTGCAAGTGATTCAACAGGATCACAATGATGCTGCGGCTTTGTTGATCAAAGACGCCAGTATCTTGGCAAAGCTCAAGCTTGACATCGCAGAAGCCTGTGTCTTTCTGAACGGCTTACTTGGCGCCGCGCAGTTTTTGCAAGAGGTGAGTCCAAAAACGCTCGACAACGTGCTTGCTACCGGCGAGAAGCTCTCCTGTCTACTCATGGCTGCGCTACTCAACGATCGAGGAATCGATGCGGAGTATGTGGGTATGGAAGATGTCATTGGCGAATATGACGCAGCGAATGGACTTGATCAAAAATTCTACGATTTCGTCTGTGAACGCATGGCTCGGCGTATTGAAGCATGCGGCAATCGCGTTCCTGTCGTGACTGGCTACTTTGGCGTTGTACCAGGTAGTCTGTTGGCAATGATTGGACGTGGCTATACAGACTTGTGCGCGGCGTTGATTGCTATTGGATTGAAAGCAGAAGAGTTGCAAGTATGGAAGGAAGTGGATGGTATCTTCACAGCAGATCCTCGCAAAGTTCCCACAGCACGTCTTCTCCCTCGGATCACGCCTGAGGAGGCTGCTGAACTCACGTACTATGGGTCTGAAGTGATACACCCCTTCATCTCGAATCTTGTGGTGCGTGCACGGATCCCAATTCGCATCAAGAATGTCGAGAACCCAACTGGTGCTGGAACCGTCATTTTTCCTGATGCAGATACACGGAGTGGTTCAGCGACCCCCATCAATGTACCTCACAAGAATCCTCTAGAGACCATCAAGATGGGCAAAACGCCGACAGCTGTAACCATCAAGGATGATATCATCATCCTAGCTGTCGAATCGAATCGCAAGGTCGTGTCGCATGGCTTCTTTGCGCAAGTCTTTGGCATCTTGGACAAATGGAAGCTGACCGTGGATCTCATCTCCACATCCGAGGTGCATGTTTCGATGGCCATCAATGTCAACGTCAAGCTGGCGGCGTTGAAGGGCGTTGAAGATGATTTGCGCAAAGTTGGTGTTGTTGTGCGGAAGAAGGATATGGCCATCTTGTCACTTGTTGGCAAGCAGATGAAGAACATGATTGGTGTCTCTGGCAAGATGTTTTCTACCTTGGCACAGGCTGGCATCAACATTGAGATGATTTCTCAGGGTGCGAGTGAGATCAACATTTCATGTGTGATCAGCGAGAGGGATAGTATCAAGGCGTTGAGTGTCATTCATCAGCACTTGCTCACGACCAACTCCTTTGCAGACAAGGGATGGTTATTTAGGTAGACGAATCTGTAGCACAATTTATAAACTTCTCGCCGCAACGAACCACACCAGGTTGACGACAAATGCAAAATAGAAGCATCGTCCAGGCGTGTCTGCACGCGAGAGGGTATGCTTCCGTCGCAGCCGTCCCCTCCGGTGCCATCAAAATTGATCCTGAGGTCTTCAATCGCCAATCCGTCAAGCCTGCAGGATCACGCAAATCCATCCTGCATGCAGATTATGTCGACTACTACCGGCGGCATCGGACCATGTTGCTCTTACAGCACAACAACTTGACACAGGCAGACTTGCTGAAACTACGAACAGAGTTCAAAGCGCTAGGTGCGCGTATACGGATCGTACGTGTGGGTATCTTTCAGCATGCAGTCAGAGTGGCTGAAGTGACCAAGGCGGATGAAGCACTGCAGCAACTAGACGTCAACTCAAAGCAAGTTTATAAGCTCACGAAACGACTTGGTCGGGAACGGCTGGGTGTTGGACTCAGGCTCACTGATCTATTGTCAGGACCTATCTGTGCTATAACATTTAACCCGTCGCCGCAGCAAGCGTCAACGGCGACAGAAACGAGGGAAGAAACAGTTTCCAACGATGCCGTTGAGCCTGAAGCACTGCAAAAGGTGCTCTCTCTCGTGAAGTCCACAAACAACAAAATGCTGCTCCTTGGTGGTAAATTTGAAGATACAGTCTTTGCTGTGGACGCACTGGAGCGTGTCTCACAGCTTCCTGCGCTGCCCATCTTGCAAGGCCAGCTGCTGAGTTTGCTGGGAGCTAGTGCACAGAGGCTCGTTGCGCTGCTTGGTAGTCCTGCACAGAGACTGGCTGCGACTGTGGATGGCCGCCGTGTGCAGTTGGAAGAGGAAGGGTCTGATGGCTCATCCAAGTCTGCATAGGCTACAATGATCTCCATATCTGCGCATAGGAAGCATTTCACGACTAAATTGAGTGCTGAGGTGTGACTGCGCGTCCAGAAAACATTTTGTGGGAATTTTCGCTTCTACAAAAGTTGAGGGAAGCAGCAGCACAGCAGGAACAAGACTCGACTACATCTGCTAGCACCGACTTCCCTTCTGCTACTCAGAACGCCCTATATGTATGTGACTCATGACTCTGGGTGAACTGCCAGCTGCATATTTCCACGACCACTGTCTCTCTCTTCTGTGAGAGTGGGAGAAGAGAATTGAATAGCCTATGCTGCTTTTTCCTTCTGGGCCGGACATCAGGGCGCTACCGCAGTGTCCCTGATCACCCGCGACACCCGGAAGTCGATGAGCACATTGAGCTTGGAATCCCTGCCCTTTCCTCTCTCGACTTGTTCGAGTCTGAGCAACCGCTGGCAGAGACACCCCAAGTTCAAAACATGAAAGAGTCGGTAGGCTAATACACAACAGACAACTATGGTCCGTCAATCTGTTCTCAACGACTGTCTCAACAACATCGTCAATGCCGAGAAGGCTGGCAAGCGTCAGGTCTTGATCAGGCCTTCATCCAAGGTCATCGTCAAGTTCCTTGAAGTGATGCAGAAGAATGGTAAGTCATGGTCGACAGGAGAGATGTGAAACGATGGTTACGGGTCCCGCGATGTTGCACAACCGACACCAAACCGAGCGATAACTAGGCGCATGCTCATCCGCAAGGAGAAGCTACGGCATATGTCTTTTAAAGTTACGGGAAAGCAAAACACGTCGCGTTCTCCGGGTCGCCTTCCTCTAGAAGCGGACTATCATATTTCTCGGCACATCTCTCACGTCTTGTCTAAAGACAAATCGCTAACGGACTTCAGGCTACATTGGTGAATTCGAGGAAGTGGATGACCACCGTTCCGGCAAGATTGTCATCCAGCTCAACGGTCGTCTCAACAAGTGCTCCGTCATCTCCCCTCGCTTCAACGTCCGTCTTAACGAGATTGAGAAGTGGGTCACCCTTCTTCTTCCTTCGCGTCAGGTCGGACACGTCGTGCTCACCACATCGCGCGGTATCATGACACACGAGGAGGCTCGTGCTAAGGGCACTGGTGGTCGTATTCTCGGTGTCTTCTTCTAAAGCTGTCTCTAGAATCACTTCCTACCTAGCATCATGCATTACTCATCATGTTCATTTATGTCCGCGCTGCCGTCCCTTGTCTTCGCCGCTGGCGTTCAGCTTCTTCCATGACGATCCGCTGGGCGTTACTCATCGGTCTCGCTGTTGTACTTGGGGCTGTAACTGGCTTTTGGCCTGCTGCCTTTGACAAGGAAAAGACACTCGCCTTCTTCATGCCTGTTGCAGCAGGTTTTGCGCCAAGCGTCGTTGCAACCTGCACCGGCTTGCCAAAGCTGATCTTGATCTTCTCCTCTGGCTTCCTCTCCAATAGTGAACTCGACATGTCTGTTTCTAGACCATCACTCGTGTCTGTCTTGAGACGCGCCGCCTCTTCCTGAGCGCGCTTGACTTGCTCAGACAACAGCGCATTTGTCCGTTCCTCATCGCCCTTATCCAGTCTATCTTTCCTGCGTATTGCTTCTTGTCGAGCAAGCGCTTCAGGTGAGTTATCGATCCACGCAACAAACACACCCTTGTCTGTGATATCCACACGACAAATCCCTTCGCGACCGAGTGATTTGATGAATTCCGTGAGTGTCTTCCAGTGTGTACTGTTCATATGGATATGATCCTTCTTGCTGATGTATTCCTGATAGAAATGATTGGCATTCACCCGCTTCTCACCATGCGACGTACGCAACAACTGCAAGAAATCACTCTTGAATTGTCGTGAATAGTCATGGATCTTGCGCGCTGGATTCTGACCAACAGCAATCATGGCGCGAACGTGAGGTTCACTATTGGTGTGTTGCTTGAAGCCATTTCCATCACGCATTTGCTTTTCACAGACTTGACAGTAGAAGCGTAGGCGTTGAAGGCCTTTTGATCTCATGCGATTGGCGACATCTTTGGTTGAGCCGCGTTCTGCTTTCGGCATGATGTAGCAGAGGATTGTTCTGGCGCAGGGCTTTTGGTCTGCTTAGCTTGTTTGGTGAGTTGTGTGGGTGTAGCTGGGTGTCAAATTGCACTGTCAACGAACAACTTTGACAAACACCACCAAGACTACGACTGTACAAATGGGCCGGTAGAAGCGCATGTCAGAGGAGAAGAAGAAGCAAGAGCCCTTCTACAAACAGCGAGGTCAAGCATCAGCCGATACCACCATCCATGGCGTCAATCCTGCCTTTCTGATTGAAACAATCCTACGCGAACGCATCCTCGACTCGCTCTACTACAAAGACCAGTGTTTCGGCCTGACTGCTGCAACGATCCTGGATCGTATTGTAGAGTTGACGTATGTCGGTGGCAGCTATGGCGCCAGTCGACCAACAGAGTTCATCTGTCTCGTGTTGAAACTGCTACAACTCTTACCAGAGCGGGAGATTGTCCTTGCTTATCTACAGGATACATCCTTCAAGTATCTTCGAATCCTGGCTGCATTCTACGTACGTCTGACGTTTCCTGCAAAACTAGTCTATGAAACACTGGAACCGCTATTACTGGATAAACGCAAGATTCGCGTTCGCAATGCAGCTGGAGGATGGCGGATTGAGCATGTGGATGAGATTGTGGATAGGCTGCTGACAGAGGCCCGGGTGTTTGATGTTGCGCTGCCGAATCTGATGGCCCGGACGTTGCTGGAGGACTTGGATGAGCTTGAGCCGCGTGTGTCGCCGTTGCAGGCTGAGTTGGAGGCTTCTGATGAGGGTGATGGCGCTCTATAGCCTTTCTTTCTGTCTATACTCTACTCTCTCTACTCTTTACTACTCTGTACTCTACTCACTAATTCGTCGCATCACGTGCATGTCACACCACCCGATTTCTCGCCCAAAATGCGAAATGTAAAATAGAAAACACTTACACGCCAACCTACCTCTGCTGCACCCTGTACCACGGCCCATTGGTCACAGAGCACACAGCAATGCTCAACGCGACCTACTCCGCCATCCTCGCATCCACCCAGGCCACCCAGCCGCAACTCAGTATGTTTTCTTCTCGAAACGCGCGCGCCTTACATAAGCTAACCACCTCTTACAGACTTCCTCGAGGCGCTCTGGTCAGCCTACTACACATGGGTCAATAATGATGTGATTGCAACAGGCATCATGTCCTTTGTCATCCACGAAGTTGTCTACTTTGGCCGGTGCATCCCCTGGATCATCATTGATAACCTCAACCTCTTGCAAAAATACAAGCTACAGCCCGGTAAACGGCCGACTTTGCAAGAGCAATGGAACTGTACAAAGCTCGTCTTGCTCTCTCACTTCACCATTGAGCTGCCACAAATCTGGCTATTCCACCCAATGTGTGTATACTGGGGCATGAAAACCAACACGCCCTTTCCATCACTCCTGCAAATGGCGGGACAGATTGCACTGTTCTTTGTGATGGAGGATACCTTCCACTACTTTGCGCACCGTGGTCTGCACTACGGCCCTTTTTACAAGCACATCCACAAGCTCCACCACAAGTTCTCTGCGCCCTTCGGACTTGCGGCAGAGTATGCGCATCCCTTGGAAGTCATGATTCTCGGAACAGGAACAGTCGGCTCGCCCATCCTGTACTGCGCATTGACCAAGAACCTGCACCTCATCACAGTGTATGTTTGGATTGTACTACGGCTATTCCAAGCAATTGACGCACATTCTGGTTATGACTTTCCCTGGTCACTCAATAAGTTTATCCCTTTTTGGTCAGGCGCAGACCATCATGATTTCCATCATGAAAAGTTCATTGGTTGCTACTCGACATCGTTCCGTTGGTGGGACCACCTTCTTGGTACAGACAAGTTGTACAAGACGTATCGCAATACTCAAGCGGCGCGTAAAGTTGGCATTCAGGAGCAGACCGAGGCAGCCAAGGTGAAGGCCCTCTAGGGAAAGATTCTTTCTTGTCATCTCTTCAGGTTCATAGACAGTATCGGTGGAAATATCAATTTCGCATCGCTTCATCATGGTCGCTCTGTATTCAATGGCTCATCACTGTATCGCGATCTGGTAGACGTCCTTCTGCCAGCATGTTTTCAAGTTTCACCACTTCCTGCATGGTTGTTGCACTGAGAATCGCTCTGTGTATACGTTGTCGCTCGGCTTCACTCATCCGACCCATGGCCGTCTCACCCCCCACATCAAACGTATTCGATTTTGTACCTGCAATTTGAGCAGCGAGCGGTGTCATGTCTTCAAGGGAACTGCCGAATAGTTCCCTTGCTGCCGTGCGCTCTGATTGTTTGACTTTAGCATAGTCGAGAATCCGTAGTGATGGACACCGCCAAATGATCCAACTGCGGTAGTGTTGTTGTTGGGTGACTGGATTCCCCTGCAATACAAGAAAGCATAGTCGTTTTAGTTGAGCGAGCGGTTCAAGATCACTCAGGCTTTGTAAGAGATTCTGTGTGAGGACGAGGCGTTCAAGGTTCGGGATACCGGTTGCCAGGGAATCCGCTAGACTTGCGATCCGATTGCGACCGAGTAGGAGCATTTTGAGACGTGGTAGTTTTGGGAGATTGCCAAGATGGCGTATCTCATTGTCTGTCAAGTCTATAAAGAGCCCTGTTAGCGCTTGACTCTGCCATGGGAGGTGATGGATTACCGATCGCATCGTTCTGGTCGCGCGTAACACCGAGGTTTTCAAGGACGGGGATCTTATGTCCTCTGAGATCTAATTCGCGATCTTTCAGCGGGTTGAGGAAGGATGGTGCAGCTGCGATGAGGTCTGCTGTAAGTCTGACCATGGAGATGTGTAGCAACCTGGTGAGAGTCTTTTCCGTGCTGTACAAAAACATTGCGGGCGACTACACGAAAGACTCAAACGCGCTCCATACACTCTCTGCGGGCCATGACAAAGGCATCGAGACTCTTTGCTGATGTACTGACCGCTTTCATCCTCTGGGTCGTCCTGCTGCTCGATTACGTGCCACTCCCAGCTTCCGTCAAGTCCATCATACCCGTCGTATGCGCTTCCTACTATCGCAGCAGCTCTCTGGGCTTGCCTCGATTTGTATACTGGAGCAGATAGGCTGACGATATATCTAGCTGCCATTATGGGCGATTGTCTCATTTGGCGCCTACTTGCTCGGTACGTTGGGATGGAATATCTTTACTTTCCAAGATAAGCATGACGCGTATAAGAGTCTGCTCAAGGTATTATTTCTCGCATTGATGTAGGTATGACTGACTTGTATAGGAGATTGAAGAAGCCAAGGAGGATCTTCGTGGAAAGGGCGTCACGGTGGACTAAAGAGCGATATACAGGGGGTTGTCTTGCGACGGGCTAGGCTACGATGTGAAGCCTTAAGCTTGTGCATGGCACACAAGAAACACGCGATACTGTCTTGAGAAGAGGCAGTAGATGCCTGTGCCTTGCTTCGACCTTGCTCCGGTTTGTATATAGTCTATAGAGCAGCTCGTTGAGGCTTCCTCCTGTGTAGCAGCAGCAGCAGCAGCAGCAATCAGACCCAACACCCAAAAGACGCACAACCAAAACCCCTGCATGCTTAAGCTTGAATCTCTCCTTATCCTCTAAATCAGCTCATCTCTCTCATTGCTCAGCTCCCTCTTGACTCTTGCTCAACTACAAACCAGCTATGACACTCTCTCAACCCATCGATATCGGCATCATCGGTATGGGCGACATGGGCAAGATGTATGCCCGTCGACTCGCAGCAGCAGGCCATCAAGTATACGCCTGTGACATCCCCTCAAAGCACTCCATTCTTCAACAAGAATTCTCAAAAGACCACGGCATCACCATTGTTCAAGATGGTCATGCAGTGAGTCGACGAAGCGATTGGATCTTGTATAGCGTTGAAGCCGCTGTCATTGAACGCGTCGTAGCGCAATATGGACCGAGTACAAAAGTGGGCGCTATTGTAGGCGGTCAGACGAGTTGTAAAGCACCAGAGATGAAGGCTTTTGAACGCTACTTGCCACCGGATGTCGAGATCGTCTCGTGTCATTCACTACATGGACCAGGTGTTGATCCAGAAGGTCAGCCACTCGTTGTGATACAACACAGGGCAACGGATGCTTCTCGCGATCAAATCGAAGCAGTCTTGTCGTGCTTCAAGAGTAAAATGGTCAGGTTATCTGCTGCTGAGCATGATCGTATCACAGCCGACACACAAGCCGTCACACACGCCGCCTTTCTATCCATGGGCGTTGCATGGCGCAAGAATGATCAGTTCCCTTGGGAAGTCACGCGATGGTTGGGTGGAATTGAGAATGTCAAGGTGAACATCACATTACGCATCCTATCGAATAAATGGCACGTCTATGCTGGATTGGCCATCTTGAATCCTGCTGCGAGGGAACAGATTCGGCAGTATGCGACGTCTGTGACGGAGTTGTTCAAATTGATGCTAGAGGGGAACCAGGCTGCTTTTGAGAAGCGAATTAGAGAAGCTGGACGTGCTGTGTTTGGAGCGTTACAAACGACGCATGAAGCACTCCTGTTGCAAGACGACGTGCTTGATCGATTCTCATTGGGATCCACGCCAAAGGAGCAGCATATGCCGAATTCACACCTCTCACTGCTAGCCATGGTGGATTGCTGGCACAAGATGGGCATTGTCCCTTATGACCACATGATTTGTTCAACACCACTATTCCGACTCTGGTTGGGTGTGACGGAGTATCTCTTCCGTCAACCAGCCCTCCTCTCGGAAACGATCCATGCTGCACTGCATGATAACCAATTTCGATCGGATGATTTGGAATTCACCTTTGCGGCGCGTGGGTGGAGTGATATCGTCTCATACGAGGACTTTGATTCGTATGAGAAACGGTTTCTTGACGTGCAAGACTACTTCCGACCACGATTTGCAGAAGCGACAAAACTTGGCAATGAAATGATTCGTACAATCTTTGAAAAGACGCAACAACAGGGCTAGGCCTCTTCTGCAAGGATGTCTGGATGAGCGAGCCAAAAGTCGTCTTGAATGATGTCTACGTGACATTCGCTCAAGCCTGCTTTCCGCCGCTTGTCGAGAGCTTTGTTGGACATGGCGTGGGTATTTGAATCAGAGAACAAGACTGTGCCCTTTCTGCAGATTGCATCCTCGTTATTGTAGTTGATGCCATACTCTTTAAAGAGAATCTCATTCTTGTCCTTGGCAAAGGTATGCATGAGTCGTGCTTGTGCCTCAGTGTTTGTCAGCTTTGGCTTGTTTTCCTTTGACTCATTCTGGATGAGCGCCCAGAAGGTCGTATTGTAGAGGTTATTGATGTGGCAATCTGCTTGTCGCCAACTAAAGTAGTCCCTGACATTTTGCCCCGTTGGATACAAGACGGCACGCGCATCAAACGAGGGTGGGTACTTCATTGCTGTATCTGGGAAGTGTTGACTCCATCGAAAGATGTAAGCAGCTGTGAAGACGGATGCACACGTCGAGATGAGCTTCGACTCGCGTCGTTCATAACGATTGAAGGACCGTGGAAACAGAAATGAGTACTCGTCTGAATCACCATACGCAAGTTGAATCTCTGGGAATGCATCAAAGACTGCAGCAGCAGCTTTGTTCATGAGTGCTAGAGCACCAAGATCATTTGGCTTTGTGAATCCATGAGCAGCTGAAAATTTATGGAAAGCATGGCCGTCGATGCGAACGATGATATAGGTATTGGGAAGCAGTGCGTCGTTGCGCTCAAAGGTCTTGACGTACTCGAAGCGAGAATTGGCCATAGCTAGCTTTATGCAGCAGATATCAAGGGAGCATCTTGCCAGCAGTCATGTGTGGTGGTAGGGAGGAACATGCAAAAACGTCAAGCAGCCTTGGAAGACCGCAGACGACACTCTCAAAAGTGCTTGAACTTGTCAAATTAGCTTGGGCCGAGCTGAAGATGAATGCCTCTCTTTCACTTGCCCCTCCGTAAAGAACGGCAGAGAAAGCGAATAGCTCAAACTGCTACGAGTGCCCTGAGAGCCATAAAGAAGGACGAAGATGCTGACTCTGACATCGCCTCTGCTGCAGGAAGCTCACAGTCTAATTCTGACGAGGATGAGCATGCAAAGGAAGACGTGAAGGATGTGAAGTTTCAAAACGTAGATGAGTCAGGGAATGGCGTACGCCCGAGTAAGCATCATGATTCCCAACGGTATCAGCATGTGGAGGTCCTGGTGACACTCATCCATCGCTGTATACAGACGCGAGAATGGGAACGTGCACTAAGGGGTTTCAGCTTGCTCCTTCGTGTTCCTGATGTCGACATCAAGCTCTGCTACGACATGGGACTAGAGATTCTACTGCACACAGAAAAGGAGAAGGCCATTGAGTACCTCTCTCGCTTGATTGTTGCCTTCCCACCCCTCACGCATGGTACAATTCTGCGCATGGAAGGGCATCAAACGCCGCGCGCTGAGGTATTCGTTCGGATCTTGACAGTCCATCGCATTCATCAGGGACGATTTCACGAAGCGGTGGATGCATTGGATCAATGGCTGCTCGTACCGCCTTTTCGAGACGATCGACAGCTCTGGCAGCTGTATGTGGCTATTTGCAAAGAGTTGGAGGATCAAGCCCGGCAGGCAGATGATGCAGCTGGTCGTGTCAAGTGGAAGTCGAAGGGGCTCAAGGCAGAGACGATGCAGCATGGCGGCCAAGCAGAAACAGCGAGTCACGTTTCCAGTAGAGATGGTTAGAGCCCTTGATTCTTGTGTATATGCTTTCTTCATTGCTTCTTGGCTTCGTAGGCCTTGACGCGCTTCTTGAAACTAGGGTGGTGGTCAGCACTGCCTTCTTGATCTAGGTGAAGCTTCGACATACTCTTCGTATTGGCACTTTTCGTAGCTGTGTCGCTCGTCCTCGCACTTGAAGGGCATGGAGAAGGTCTCACTCCGGCACTGCAGCTGGTCAGTCCATGTACATGTATTCATTGCATAGCGAGATGCCACATACCCTGTTGAGCGGAATGAGGAGATGCGCGCAGTTGTCCCGGGAGCCCAAGGGAAGCTTTGCTTTGGCCATCTCCTCCTGTGACGGGAGCTGTGATCCGCCCAAGACTGACTCGAGCATGGCTATTGTGTTGGCTCTTGCTGGTTGTTGGCGGTCGAAGAATCAAAAAGACGACGAGCACTCATACTCTACTCTCTATACTCAACAGCTAGACATCTACTAGGCTCTCTACACTACGGCTAGACTCCATCATGTCGGCATCAGGCGATCTTCTCAATGCCAATCCAACGATCCACCACGTCGCCACTCGCAGGACCAACATCAAAGCAGCGGCAAACGATATCTTCGCCTTGCCACTGGATGCCGACCTCGACAGCGATACAGACAGCACACACACCGACACGCATGATGAGAGCGAACCCATCGATGCCCAAGAGATCTTTGACTTGCTAGCGAGTATCAATGACCCGGAACATCCCCTCACCCTTGCTCAACTGGCTGTGATCAATCTGGATGATATCAACATTACGGAACCCAAGACAAGTAGTGGTATTCGCACTATTCATGTGGGTTTGACACCGACCATCCCGCATTGTAGTATGGCGACGCTGATTGGGTTGTGTGTGCGTGTACGCTTGACTAGATGTCTACCGAGTCGGTTCAGACTCGACATTAAAGTCAAGGAAGGAACGCATCAGTCAGAGCGTGCGGTCAATAGGCAACTCGGCGATAAAGAACGTGTTGCTGCAGCTTGTGAGAATGAACAACTCATGGCCGTCCTCAGCGGCATGATGGAGGGTTGTGCTTGATCAATGATTACATTTTTGAGTATACGACTGCATCTGTCTAGCGCGAGGCCACTTCTTTAACCAGTTCTTATAGCAAAGGGAGTATCAATTTTGGATCTATTCGCTTCTAGTCTGAGTCTGAGTCGCTCTCATCCGTGCTATCCAGCTCCTCCTCGCTCGAACTCGCATACTCGAGATCCACAGCGCTACGCTTGACGGCCTCTCCCTTCATCACAGCCATCTGTCCAGCAAGCGTATCTTCATCCGGCTCACTGATATCATCATCCCCAGCATCTGCCTCAGCAGCTTCATCCACCACCGTCAGCTCCAAATGATGCACTTGATCCACATCCTTGTACGTATCAGACTTGAGGTGTACTTGAAACGTATACATCCCAGCATGCGGTGGTGCTTGAAATTGCAACTTGAAGGTACGCACCTGTCCACCCACATCCTCAACACTACCAGGCCCAACAATCACACGATCTTGTTTATGATCTGCCATGAAGAACCAATAGCTGTTGACGGGTGGTGCAGGGAAACAAGGTGCAAAAGCAGTCGTATCACGTTCAGCCGTAGCAGCAGCTCGTTCATCCGCTCGTAAGATTGCCTCAACGTCACCTTCATCTTCCTCTTCCTCCAATAAAGCAGTCTTGTCAAGACTCGAGAGTCCTGCGCGTCTGACTTTGAGGACGAGATGAACAATAGCGTTGGCAACAACGTTTGTTTCGCCAGCGACTTGGAAATCAACGCGACAACAGTCTAATGCCGGAATATGTTTTGCAACAGCCAGTGTCTCTGCATATTGAGTGTCCGATAATTCCTTGAGTGCAACACGCCGTGCGGTCTCATTGAGCTGCAAGAAACCCGTCACATCAAGACTATCAAAAGCCAACCAGATAGAATGACAGAGTGCCGGTGTCATGTGTGGCAATTGAGCAAGGGGTGTTGACTTGGGAGGCAGTGCTTGAACGATGCAGGCAGAGCCTTCCATGACATTCTTGGTAGTTTCGAGGTATCCGTATGCGAGGCAGATTTGCATCAATGTCTTGTGCAGTGCGAGGACCGTATCGAGGATGATGACTTGCTGTTCTGCAAGCGTCCTGGATAGGGGCAGACGATGAAGATGAGCGCGGAGGAGGACTTCGGGGATGGGTCGTTTGGAGGTGATCTCAACGCCACCCTGCTCCTTGATCTTGCTGGCCAATTCTGCAATCTCTTCCTGGTCACCCTGCAACTCTGCAAACTCATCGGCTTGTGAGAGCAGCGTGATGATCTGGTCATGCGTCAAGTCATCTTCAATGGAGCGAAAGAAGAGCTCTGCTGTGCCAGTCTTGATGCCTTCCTTTGTTACTGACGTTGTCGAGTACCACCATCGACCAACGACAACAGGGAGGCCAAAGAGCAACACGAAGCAGTATGCTGCAAGGACCCAGAGGGAGTTACTGCCTTCCACCATCCACGAGGGCAAAGCGATACCGATGGCCGTATCTTGACGACCATCAGGATGACCAAACTCCAAAAAGTTGTTGCGAATATCTTCATCTGTCAGTGCTTTATACGCCTTTGTAATATCAACAAACTGATTTTGTACTTCTTCGAGTGTTTGATTAACGGCAAGCCTGACCTTATCTGGGTGGAACTTGATGGACATGCGCTTAAAGTGTTTCTTGATTTCCTTCTCCGTTGCAGATTCGGAGATGCCCAAGATGGCGTAAGGATCCCAGCTGATGGCTGCTTGTTGTTTTTGCGAGATGCCATAGCCTAGGTAAGCGATGAACGCCCAGCCCACTGCAAGAGCTGCATGTTTGAGGGACAAGGTGCGGCTTGCGACATTCTTGCTGAGTGGCCTATTTGCCACGAGTGCTTGTGCAGAGGCATCTTGGATGTGCACTGGGAATGCCTCTGCCTGTTTGCCAGTGACGTTCTTTGGGTAGAAGGTACGATAGGTGATGGGTGTGAGTGTCAGTAGCAGGAAGACGAACAGCACCAGTGAGCTGAGGTTGCCTGAATCGAACTCATACTGCATCCTGCACGCGGTCTCTCGCTATCCGAGTGTTGCCTGTCCAAAGAGCAGCCTCAGGAGCAGAAGAGAGAGAGGGGATGATATGGGGTGTCGCGTCTTGCTGGTCTGTGCTTGCTTGCTTGCTGCTGTGCTGTCCCAATTCCAAACTTTATTCACACGCACCAAAGCGCAGGAAAAAGTTGAGAGTGCGCTGAACGAGTACTACTCGTCTCTACAGTCCTTCATATCCATTACAATGGCCCGTAAAGCAAGAGGACCCAATGCCACCTCTGTAAAGGTAGACCCGCAAAAGGGCCGCACCAGCAAACGCACAAAAAAGATGGGTCTCGCCGAGGAAGTGCGCAGTATGCTACCTTCTGGTAAAAAAATAGACAAGGCCGATCAACCACTGGAGAATGCAGCCGGTAGAAAGGTCAGTGGCGCAGGGATTGTCACACTGCATGCCGCAGATGATTCCGAGGATGATATGGATGGCGATTATGAGCTCAAGGAGAATGAAGAAAGTGAAGCAGATGACGCAGATCTCGTGTCTGAAGGCTCACAGGATCTATCGGGGGATGAGCTCGATGACGATGATGAGTCGGCAGAATTCAGCGAATCTTCTGAGGGATCAGAGGCCGCAGAGATTGAAGTTGCGCAGCTGGATAGTATGGAGGATGTCGATGCGCTTGAGCAGACTGACTTGGATGCAATTGAGATGCCCTCTGGCGAAGCACTTGCTCGCCTTCAAGCAGAACTCGCAGCAGACTCAGATTCAGAGGAAGACGAGTCATTCGAGGCGGAAGATGCCAACAATGATACACTTGACGTTGCAACAGAAGAGGAAAATGACGATGTGGATGAAGTCGCACTTTCGGAGCTCGAATCAGATGTCGACGCCGATGCAGCAGATATGACACCCAAGACGCGCGAAACCGTCAACAACACAGCTGCCTTGGAAGCCGCCTACAAACGCATCGCTTTACCGTTGCCAAAACATTTCTCACATCACCATACACTCTTCACGGATGAACCGGTGTTGGTGCAAGACATCGATGATGATCTCAATCGTGAACTCGTCTTCTACAAGCAGGCACTCACCCATGCTCGTGTCGCACGCACACTCATTCAAAAAGAAGGTGGCGCATGGGAACGTCCCGCCGATTACTTTGCAGAGATGGTCAAGACGGATGATCACATGGAACGTATCCGCAAAGAGCAAGTGGCTGAAGCAACAGGTAAGAAGGCCTCAGCTGAAGCCAAAAAGCAGCGCGAGTTGAAGAAGTTTGGCAAGCAGGTCCAAATCAGCAAGACGCTAGAGCGTGAAAAGGAGAAGAAGACTATGACGGATAAGGTCAAGTCACTCAAACGCAAGCGTGGCGCTGAGCTTGAAGGTAAAGAAGACTTCGACGTCGCACTGGATGAAGCAGCTGCTGCACCTGGCAGAAATGCAAAACGAGGTGGAGGCGCATCAAGAGAGTCGAGGGATAAGAAATACGGCCATGGTGGCAAGAAGCGATTTGCAAAGTCCAATGATGCCTTGTCTTCAGGCGACGTCACCAGTTTCTCTGGTCGTGGAGGACGTGGCGGTGGTCGCGGAGGGCGTGGAGGAGCGCGAGGCGGTCGCGGTGGCAAGCGCGGTGGCGCACCACGTCCTGGCAAATCCAAGAGACATTGAAGAAGATCATGCTCGTTTCAAATCTTCTACTCATGCATAGCATCGCATTGTCTTTTTCTGTACGATACACACGTCTATCTTCGTCCGCCGAATCGGCCCCGACCAAATCTCGACCCGCCTTTTGCACCTGTATTGCGTAGCTTGAGCGACTTGTAGTTGGCTGACACAGCGCGCGGTTTCCTCCCCGTCTTGTTGGCTGCTTGTTGCTCTTGCTTCCTCGCTTCAGCTTTATCGCGAATCTCGAGATTCTCCTTCTCTAACCATTCAGGCACTTCTTCGTCCATTGTAGGTTGATGCTGTTTCGCAGCGACTTCCTCATCTCCAATCTCTTCATCACTGTCCGTGTCTACCCCCAGTGGTCGGTCTGAGGACGGCAATGCTGGAGCAGTTGTAGCTTTGGGTGCCTGAGGCCGCATTACGACCCGTCGACGAGATCGTTTGAGACCCTTCTTCTTCCATCGCACTTTACCAGTCTCTTCCGTGACAGCATCATCGGCGTCTTCATCAGAGCTAGTATGTTGTGCATCTGGCAACACCATCTCCTCTCCTTCCGCCTCTCGCAGCGCGTCGAGCGCATCATCATCTTGCGTATCAGCATCATACCAGAGACGATTCTGCTTAATGATCGCAGACAGGCTCGAGACACATTTTGGCTGGAATAAGAGGCGTGAAGTGCTTGAGACATCTGCATCGTCGAGTGTCAATGTGGATGCTTGTCGCTTTAAAAAGCTAGGCGTTTTCTGTGGCGTCTGACTGGTCCTGGCTGGAGACGGTGCTGACAAGACCAGATCCGTATCGGACTTACGTTTCTTTGATGGCGATGACAGCTTGATTCGTTTGGGCGAGGGAGCAAGGTGTGCAGGCGACGCATCAAACAAGCCCAAAACTCGGCCATACTTTTGCGGCGTTGGCCCAACAACAAGCGCTTCTTGACGCCAGATAATGGTCTGAGCAGGTTCTTCCTCTGCTTCAGAAGCACTGCCAAGGTCACTAGGTGGTTCGATAGCGTCTGAGACGAGGAACGGGTTGTCGTTCTTTTGCATGACGCCTGACGCCTATTCAGTACAGCTTGGTTTACAATACTCGACACTGTTCAAAGCAGCTTCTTTTCGCCCCTCTCAATGTACAGCACTCTTGAAGCAAGCCGTGTCGGCCACAGTGACTCTCTACAAGCTTGTTTGTTGTTCAGTTCAAGAGACGCGACTCGTTTGCAGTTGACGCGACTTGAACTTTTGTCTTTCGGGTCTGCGCCACAGCAAAACATTTAAGAGGCCAAGACAGCGCAACTTTGCACAGAGAGAAGAAGCTCCACCACTCATACATATACTAATACTTTTCTTCATGCCTGCTGGAAAGGCATTCTTTTTTGCTGCACTAGTTGCGCATGCCTCTGCCACGAAACGAGGACTCATCGGCGTTGACAATGCCCACAGCTTCGGCGATCAGCCGACCCTTATGGCCGGCACACAGCTCTCATGGGCCATGAACTACGGTGTCGGCCCAGGCAACGCTTCCTGGTTCGCAGGGCTTGAATACGTCCCTCAACTATGGGGCGGCAACGATGCCGCATCTTTTATGGACGAAGTGCTGAAGCAAGATCCATTGCCGAAGCACATCCTGACATTCAATGAACCAGATGGTTTTGGTGGCGGTCAAGCAACCATGACGCCAGCAAAAGCTGCAGAATTGTGGCAGAAATATGTCGAACCGCTCAAACAACACAACATGTCCCTTGGCAGTCCTGCGTGCACAGGATCGAACGGTGGGATCATTTGGCTTGAACAGTTTCTTGGAAATTGCAGTAGTTCTACCTGTACAGTCGACTTCATCACAACACATTGGTATGGCGACTATCAAGGGCTCGCTGATCATCTCGGACACCTCAACAGTGTTGCGAATGGAACAAAGAAGATTTGGGTCACAGAGCTGGGTATCGCGCATACAACACTACAAGCAACCGAATCTATGTACAACAGCAGTATCGCATGGCTCGATAGTCTCAGTTGGGTCGATCGTTATGCGTGGTTCGGTGCTTTCCGCTCAATAGAGTCAAACCTGGGGCCCAATGCAACTATGCTTGATGCGCAAGGCCAATTGACGCAGCTCGGTCGTCAGTACCTCAACTCCCCGCCAGCATCAGGTACAACTAGCTCTACGATAATGGCAACCGCAACGACAAGAACAATAGCATCGGCATCCAGTACAGCAAGAGCGAGTGCAGGCGACAGTTTGTTCTCTTACCAAGGATTTTGGGTAGTAGTCCTCGGCGCTGGCGCTGTTCATCTACTTTAGACTGCATCAAGAGATGGTCATGTGGTTTCATGTCATGGTAGCAGTCAGTACTCGACAAGGGGGCACTGCGGCAGGGCAACGAGAGAGAAATTTGCTACCTGACTTCCTAAAATTGGTGCCCTTGGCGTTATGGTGGCACTCTTGCACGGAGTGGCCATTGTCCTCGCAGAACAACCCATTCATGTGCCTCCACCCTTTGCCTTCAACCTCGACAGGTGTCTGGTATGTGCGTTGAACCACGTTGGCGTGCACAGGCCTGGACCCGATGATGAGCGCCGTTGCCACCGCGTTCGACTCAACATACCTGAAGAACGACCACATGTCAGGGAAGGCCTTGGCCCTGGCAGAATGGTAGAAAGAGACACTCATCTCCGTCTTTGGGAGTGCCTGGAAGAAATATTGCTGCATCCCTTCTGTGTCTTTGGCCATATCACGACCGCATTGTCGTGCCTCATCGAAGATCTCTTGCATAGAGACGTCCAACGTCTTGATGTCGGCCACCGACCAGCTTGCGCATTGTAATTGGTAAACTTTCGAGTCAAGCTTGGCACGAAGAGTGGCAGCCTCCGGAGCGTAGTGCCTTCGGACTTGCTCCAAGCATGCGTACACCGTCTCAGTGGTGTCAGCACCGTATAAATGCCTGATATGCATGCTGCAGTACGGGCTGCTGTCCAACAATACCTCTTGGAGCAGAGGACGCCTGTTTTCCCAACAGCTCCACCCCAAGTCGTTTGGGCACCACTGCTACGTCGAATGCTTGCAATCTGACAATGCGACGCTGCGCCAGTCAATCGACAGGCTCAGCAATTCCCTCCTTCAAGACGGATGGGTCAAATTGGTTTGACCTGATCAGGCAGCCAATCCTTGCCATTCAAGAACTCGGGCACATCTCCGTTAGTGCTCTTGCCGGTCTCAGCAACGGATGAATTTTTGGCTGTGTGCGGCGGTGATGCGGCTCTGGTAGCCCTTCACACACGATGGCACAGAAGGGATGCAGCAGATTTTCTTCCAGGCAATCCCAAAAACGGAGCTGAGTGTCTCATTCTACCACTCTGCAAAGCCAAGGCCTTCCCTGACATGTGGTCTTTCTTTAGGCATGTTGAATTTAACGCGTTACGCAGTTGCGACTGCACTCATCATCGGATCCAGGCCTGCGCACGCCAACGTGGTCCAACGTACATACCAGACGCCTGTCGAGGTTGAAGGCAAGGGGTGGCGTCACATGAATGATTTGTTCTGCGAGGACAATGGCCACTCCGTGCAAGAGTGCCACCACAATGCTAAGGGCGCAAATTTTAGAAAATCAGGTAGCAAACCTATCTCTCGTTGCCCTGCCGCAGTGCCCCCTCGTGTCTCGCCCATCCAATCTCCTGGCAGTCCGTCTGATGTCTAGAACAATCTCAGCAATCAGTTGCAGTTTGACAGGTTCGACGAGGAATGCCTAACTGCTTGATACCGAGACAGCTGCAGCAACCCACTGCCCTGATCTCCTGTTTTGTTTGAAGCCGAACTCTATAGAGCAGGCTGCGTAAAAGTATCGGTTGGTAGCAAAGTCGAGATTCTACGTGCCAAGGATTTGCTAGCGCGAAATATAAAGTTGCCGCCGGCCTCGGGAGACACTTCTTCGACCACGACCGTCGCGCGACCGCCGCATAGATAGCACTAGTACTACGAGCTCATATATAAATAGAGCTTGCGTCGCAAGTAATTCTACAGTCATCAACAGCTCTTACAGGATCTGTGCTCTCACACAATGCCAGGCTTACTTTATGGTCTTGTCTATGGCTACCAATACACTGCAAAGGACATCCCTGACCAAACCGGCAAGGTGATTCTCGTGACAGGCGGCAACACCGGTATCGGTTATGAAACATGCCTCATGCTTGCCCAAGCTGGCGCCAAAGTCTATCTCGCAGCTCGTAGCGAGGCGCGTGCCAATGCTGCCATTGAAAAGATTCGAGCTCGAAACCCCAAAGGAACCGTCCAATGGCTCAAGCTTGACCTGCAAGATCTTGAAAGCGTGCGAAGTGCTGCTCAGAGCTTCAGTAACAAAGAATCGAAGCTTGATGCGCTTTTCAACAACGCTGGGTAAGATCCCTCCTTGTGTTGAACTTGTCTAACCTTTAGCATCATGGCTACTCCGTACCAGTTGACCAAAGACGGTATAGAAGAACAGTTCCAGACGAATCACGTGGGACCCTTCTACTTGACGCGCTTACTACTTGGCAAGCTTGAACGCGCCGATGATCCACGGATCGTCAACACATCTTCATTTGGTCACAGATTCTACACTGCCAACGCCGAGTCCTTCACGTCTCTTGAGGAGGTGAACAAGACATGCGACAGCACTTGGACTCGCTATGGTCAATCCAAACTTGCAAACATCCTGTTTGCCATGGAGCTTGCTAAGCGCCACCCAAAGATTATGAGTAACGCTGTGCATCCAGGTTTCATTGACACAGAGCTTAGTCGAGGTACAGGAGCCTCCTATGGTAAAGTGTTTCAGACGTTGTTTGACTGGAGCATCAAATTGGGTGCCTCTGTTGTGGGTGTGACTCTTTCGCCACCCGAGGGTGCTCTCACACAGCTCTATGTTGGCACAGCCAAAAAGGTGCGAACGGATGCCATCTCTGGTAGGTTCTTCGTTCCTATCGCCAAGGAAGCGACACCCAAGGCGTCTGCCAACGCTGAGCAGGCAAGCAAGCTTTGGAAGACATCTGAGGAGATCTTGAAGAGCAAGGGACACAAACTTGACTTGTGAATCCTGCAAGAATGAGAAGATTGATAATTTCAAATAGAAATGCCGTACTGCGAGTTCGATTCAAAATACCCCTTGAAATTGTCACAGGCTCACAGCTCCTTATGAAGTGGCCACATTTCTTCAGATGCCACCCAGAACATGAACTGCCCTAACCCAAAAGTGCCACAACATCCAGACGACGCAAATTTGCGACAAGATCTTGAGAAGCTGCTGCATACTGCGCCGCATCTCAACTGCTCTGAAAAGACTCTGCACTGACTGAAGCCATCTTCCGAGCTCTACTCCAGATTCAAGCGCTCCAAACGCTCCGCTATTTGGCTCGCTAGCTATGCCGAGCGCCGCAGAGACTCTTGCGCGTGCCGAGACGCCTGCATCTGAGTCTGCATCTGGCTATTCGACGCCACGTCGTTCAGACTTTGCCAGTAGCTTAAGAGTCGGCTGTACAGTGCTTGCTTTAGCGCCGGATAAGACATTTAGGAAAGCTGAGATTCGGTCGCTACAAACGCGCGGTGGTGAACCACAATTTTATGTGCATTTCCAAGATTTCAACAAGCGGTTGGATGAGTGGATTTCCCTTGCTCGGATTGACCAGACATCGCCGCCGGAATGGCCCAAGACGGTTGATAAAAAGAAGCCCGTACCGCAGCCTAAATCGGCGACTGCCAATGGCCGGCCTGGTACGGGGCAGAAGACGGTAGGGCACAAGAGTGTTGCTCAGAAGACAATCGGCAAGCGGCCGAAGGGGTCTCGAGAGGGCACACCGACACGACCAGTGGGCAAGGCATCAAAGAAGCGAACGGGTAAAGGCGATGAGTCTACGCTCGCTTCTGAAGTCAACTCTGTCTTGGATGATGAAGATGAAGAGATGGCCGATAGCAAAGACGACGAGCTTGACTTGGTGGATGGCTCGAACGATCACAACAAGGGCAATGAGCCGGTCTCCAAAGAACAAGAAATTGACAACCTACGCACAGGTGGATCTATGACACAAAACATCCATGAAGTGTCGCGCGTCAAGAACTTTGACAAGATTCAAATAGGTCGTTATCAAGTCGAGGCATGGTACTTCTCACCTTGGCCGATTGAGCTGACGAGTTCACCGGTCTTGTTCGTGTGTGAGTTTTGCTTCTCCTTCTTTGGGTCAGAGAAGCAATTCACGCGACACAAGTCAAAGTGCGATTTGCACCATCCACCGGGCAATGAGATTTACAGAGACGCAACCGTCTCTTTCTTTGAAATCGACGGAAGACGCCAGCGTGCCTGGTGTCGCAACCTGTGTTTGCTGTCCAAGGCATTCCTTGACCACAAGACGCTGCACTTTGATGTGGACCCATTCTTGTTCTACTGCATGTGTATTCGCGATGAGAATGGTTGTCACTTGGTCGGCTACTTTTCAAAAGAAAAGGAATCTGCAGATGGTTACAATGTTGCCTGTATCCTGACATTACCGCAACATCAACGTCACGGCTATGGTCGATTACTGATTCAATTCTCTTACGAGCTCTCAAAGCGCGAGGGCAAGTCAGGATCACCAGAAAAACCACTGTCAGATTTAGGCTTGCTCTCCTATCGTGCGTATTGGGCGGAAACGCTGGTCGATTTGATTATGCAAGCTGGGGTGGAGGTGACGATTGATGAACTTGCCTCACGGACGAGTATGACTACTGCGGATGTGCTGCATACATTGCAGAACCTCAATATGCTCAAGTACCACAAGGGCTCGCACATAATCTTTGTCTCTGAGGGGGTTGAGCAAGGGTATGAGAAATGGAAGAAGAAAAGAAAGCGCTGGATTGACCCGGCTGGCTTGGCGAACTGGAAGGCGCCCGTCTTTACACAGGCGCAATTAAGGTTCAATTGGTAGAGATGATGCTGTATAAATGTATAAGAAGTGGATGTTACAAAGAGGTCGTGGATGTTGCAAAGTGGTGAATTTTGATGAATGGGAGGAACAATGGCTGCGACCGTTGCAACGACCATGATTGATGTCAAAGATCATATCAACTCTGTAACAAAGCGGACATGATCTATGTGCGATGCGACGTCTGCATAAGAAGCGTCGTTGCTGGTTCTATCAATCTCAGCATACTTGACAACCCACCATGCAACCAAGACCATTTGAGCAAGTCAACCCCTTTCTCCGTGATGACGGCGTCATTGCATCCATCCTAGGCACCTCTAGATCCGGCAGCATCGGAGCAGACGACAAGACCATGCAAGAGACTCGCTGCTTTCGGTCACTTGCTGCAACTGAGCCGCAACTCACTTTGCAAGAATTGCTATTACAAGCACCACCACGACCAGCTCAGCGTTTCTCATCAGCATCGTCTGTCTATTCAACAGACTGGTCGTCCGACTCGTCTTTCGGTGATGAGACGACCGCGTTTACTTCGACGCTGCAATACCTCAAACCACAGCCGGTACGTGCCTGCTCCCAAAAATGGTCAATGTCACACTAACAGTATCTTAGCCAACGCCGCAAAAGCCATCGGGCAAACTGCACAAACTAGTAGTATGCCGCAACTTCTTGCAATTGCAAAAGAAGCGCATCGCGCAGCACCGTACCGTGCAGTCATTGCTCGTCAAGCTATCTGGTCGAGATTGCAGGAACGATGCGCATTGGTGTGATGAGGAGAGTGGGTGGGATACACAGACTGCAACAGAACCAGTGTTGCTTGTTGAGAAGCAGGACGGGCGCGGTCGTTCGAGGCAGCGTAGCCAGCGATACGGATACTTTTGACCAGTTTGCAGATAACTTTTCCTTCCAAGCGTTCACTTTGAGGTCATTCATAAGAGCTTTTGATTTTCAGCTTGCACATCTTGCATGGTAACATCGCCATTCGTAGCAGCAGCAGCAGCAGCTCCATCCGTTCCATTTGCACCCATCAACGCCGCTTGCGACGCAGCCGGCAGGTCTGCATCCGACTCTGCCAACAAATCCCAATTCACAGCCGTCAAACAATACTTCTCCGGTGGTAATCTCAAGCCATACCCAGCACTCACGGGCGGTAATGCGCGTCGATTCCGTTCACCTGCGAGTTCTAGTAGGAATTCTTTTGGTGGTGCGCCACGAAACGCATGGGACATTTTTGCAGCGACGGCGAGCTTGACATCCGATGTATCCATTGTTGTGGCAGCCCTGTGTTCTTGAAAGACGAGGGAGTCTTGCAGGGTGGAAGCGACGTAGTTGTGTGCGAACGTGAGGAGCTGTTGTGGGATTTGTTCTTCATATTGGGGGACGTTGAGGGAGGTGAGGAGGAGGTGCAGGAGTCTTGCATCACGCGGTTTCGTCTCTTTGGCCGGTCCTGACATGGCTATAGAAGCTGGACAAGACAGCTCGCGTCGTGGTCGTGGTCTTTGTGCTAGGAAACAAAGCAGTCACATTCAGCAGGACATAGAAAGGTTGCTATACGGCACAGACCTACTTGAGCATGAGATACATCCAGAGCAACTGAGCAGCCGCAATACCAGCCAGGAAGTAGACACGTCTCGCCTTACCCGATCGACCCATCGCATCTTCTGTTCCCTGCAAGATGGCACTCCTCAAGCTACGCAGCATGAAGAAGGCAACGCCCAGGCCTGTGTAGAGGAAGGTCAGCCAGTAGACTGTCCGTCCTGGATTCAAAAGTCCAACGAGGTTTGTGACAATGATGCCGAGGTATTTATAGCCGCTGTAAGCAACGAGGTCGAGGAAGAAGGTCGAGGGGATATTGAGCAGGTAGCAGCCTAGCTTGATGAGAAGATTCTCAACCAGTAAGAAGGCCCCCGCCCAGCCTGCCGTGGTACCTAGTAGATCTGCTTGAAAAGCGCCTTGGATACCGGCAATTAGACTGTTGAGTAGGACGTATGTGACTGAGGCCATGATGGGAATGTACATATCGGGAGCATTCAAGTCATCCTTTGGATCCGCAAACCCATCGACTTGGCCACTCCCATCTCGCGTCACTTGACGATGCCAGGGATGATGTCGCCAGGGAAAGAGGACAAGGAGTAGTTTACGCAAGACATACGCATTGGTGACTTGGAAATACTTGCGCAAAGACGCGATACTGATCCAGCGAGAGACATTTTGGTTGACATAGGCTTGAGAGGCACTGAGTGCTTGTTGTCCGACTTGCAGGCCCATCTGTGCAGCAGGTGCATTCCAGTACTCTTGGCCTGGGAAGCCAGCATTGGGGCCATGTGGCATGCCGCCTCCTCCTCCTGGTGCTGTTTGCTGCTGTCCATATGCATTGTAGGCTGCTTGCTGTGTATAAGGCGATGCTCCATAAGGCTGCTGCTGCTGCTGCTGTTCTATGGGCGGTGATCGCATGTTCATGGGTGGGATCGGATGCTGCGGCTGTAGAGTCAGTATCGATGGATGTAGCTGGATGGATGGCTTACCTGAGGAGCGTAGATGGTGGGCCCTCCTTTGCCTGCCATGATTCCTGCTTGATACCCTCTCTACCCGGTCCTAGCTGTAGCTGTAGCAGTAGTAGTTGTAGCTGAAGTTGTACATCGCTGACTTTGACCACGCATCAAGAAGACCACCAGCAGCGACAAGCTATAGAAACAGGCCCAGAGATGCTGCTCTCTCCTAGACTCACTCTACTCAGCGCAAGGAATAGCGGCAGAAGAGGTCCTTCCATCTGCTGTGTCCATTCACGCCGCAGCTTCTTCAATCAACCTGCACAAACCTACACAGCGAATCGCACACTCCCATACACACAAGCAGCGCTCTTCAAGGTCATTGCAGACATCGATGCCTATAAACACTTTGTTCCATTCTGTACAGACTCACACGTCACGCAACATACGAATGATTCAACTCCCCTACCAACGCAAGCAGATTTGAAAGTGGGTTTCAAGCAATACCAAGAATCGTTTACAAGTCGCGTGCATTGTGTGCCTGATACCTCTGTCCAAGCAGTCGCGAGTCAGCATCCGCTATTCAAAAAGTTAGTCGCTGCTTGGCGGTTATCACGGGTTGGTGAGGATGCATGCAAGGTACAGCTAGAAGTGGAGTATCAGTTTGTGAATCCGTTGTATGGCGCTGTGTCTGCTGCTGTTGTGCCCAAAGTCGCTGGGCAGGTATTGGAGGCGTTTGAGCGGCATGTGGATACAGTGCTAAGGGATAGCAGAGAGCACGAGCAGAGGAATAGAGTCAAGAGAGTATAGCTAGTTCTGGTGAACTTCTGAACTCGTCGCGAAACAAAAAAGTGAACACGCAACCAAGCAGCAGACTACATCTACACAGCACCAGACTGCAGCCAGTGACGCGCCATGCAGCTACTACGTCTCCTTACATGGCTCCCAGCAACCAGCGCCCTCTACTTCTACCTGGAAGGCGGTGAAAAGAAATGTATTCAGGAAGACCTTTCCATTGGCACACTCGTCGTTGGCAAGTACCGCGCAGAAGAGTACCGTGCAGAGCTCCAGCAGTACGCTACCAACCCTGAACTAGGCATCCAAATCACTGTTGAGGAACTAGCAGACAACAACCATCGTATTGTCAATCAACGCGGTAAATCGGATGGCAAATTCACATTCACAGCGGTGGAAGTTGGGGATCATGAGATTTGCTTCCAAACCAATGCCGGTAATGGCTGGTTCACCAGTACGCATGTCAAGTTTCACTTGGAGCTGAGCATTGGGCATACAGATGATTTCAAATCTGGTGGTGGTACGGATAAGGTGAAGGACTTGGCACAGCGTATCGAGGATCTTAATGCACGACTCCAGGACATCCGCCGGGAACAGGTCTTTCAACGGGTCAGCCCTTTCTCATTTACTGCACACGGCTAACATACAGGAACGTGAAGCAGAGTTCAGGAATGTGAGTGAAAAGACCAATGCACGCGTCGTGCGCTTGTCGATTGTACAGCTGTTCGTGCTCGCTGCGACGTGTGCTTGGCAATTGACTCATCTACAGACCTTCTTCACCAAGCAGAAGCTCGTCTAGGTATCAAGGTCTACAAGACTGCTTCTAGTGTCTCTGCCAATGCATCTACGTTTGTCTTCTTCTCATCAGGTGCCGTCCTTGCCACTGTCTTGCGTATCGGTGTTTCCCTCTCAGCAAAACCCTCCTCGCCAGGTCTGAGTCTGACATACCGTGCATCAATAAAGTCTGAAATCCCCGCCGTTGTTCGTTCTTCCATAAAGGCGATCCTCGTCTTTTTATCCCAAAACCTGCCACTGCCAAACATCTCAACCAGGTGACTTTGCAGTAACTTGGGGTGCAGCTTTGTCTGTATTGCGTGGTCCATGAATCGCTCGACTGCATGCCATGGACACCCGACTGCATCCTCGCGTCGAGTCCTTGAGAAGAGTGCAGGGTTGGCGAAGAGACCGCGCGCAGACATGACTCCAGCACAACCTGTCGCTTCATAGATGCGTCTCGCTTCCGCTGCATTAATCACGTCTCCATTCGCAATCACTGGAATCTTGACACTTTCCCGAACAAGTCGAATGGCTTCCAAGTCAACGGGTTCAGAGGAACGTGTTGATTTCGTTCGACCATGACAAGTGATCCAATCCACACCACTCGCTTCCACCATTTGTGCCCAGGCCACCGTCTCCTTCAGGTCACGATGCACGCGCATCTTGGCTTCTAGCAAGATCGTCTCACCCACAGCTGCACGTGCTGCTCGGATGAGTGCACAGACGCGTTCCGGTTCTTTCATGAGCTGTGCACCAATCCCAGCTTGACACGCCCATGATTGTGGACAACCACAATTCAAACCAACAGCATCTGTATAATCCCGAACGAGCAAACACGCTTTTGCTAGGAACTCTGGTTCTTTTGCAGCAAATTGGACAACAAGCGGCCGTGCATCCTCTCTTGAAGAGTGAAACTCTGCGTTCCGTGCATTAGGATGGTTACTGAATTCTTTTGCAAGGAGCATAGGTGTGTAGACTAAATCACAGTCATAATGGGAGACTGTCGAGCGAAACGCTAGTTTTGAATAGCGGACCATCGGCGCTGCAACAGTGATGGGTCTGTGCTCGGCTTTGCGTTTTGTGAAGAGGTGAGTGATTGGGTTATTGGCTTTTGTGCGAGTATGTGGGTCGCCCCGGTAGCAAGGGTGCGATGCATCGTGTGGGAGTGCTCTGAGGGTCTCAAAGTCCATCTGGCCAGAGGCAGCAGCAATAACAGCAGTATACAGCAAGAGCAAGAGTTGAAGTAGAAGTAGAAGTAGATTGAGGATGAAGTTGAAGTTTTGTGCCTGAAATTTATTTCTTCCCAGAGCGACGCGTCCCAGCATGCAACAACACACTTGACCAGATACAGCAAGTCCAGGCCTCTTTCTGGCGTCATGTCCTCCCTCGTCGCACTCAAGGATTTTGTTGCTTCCAAAATCGTCGCAGTCATCAACGCACTCGGCCAACAACTCGATCCAGACTTCCGCTACGATCTACCCACCCTCTCACCAGTCGGCTACCTCTCGCAATACACGCTCAAGGACTTTATCCGTATGGTCATCATCATTGGCGCTTATGCACTCATCATCAGACCGCTCATGGAACGAACCATGCAAAAACTGAAAGATCGAGCAGAAGCAAAAGGAAATGGACCACAACCCATTCCTGTAGAGATGCCGGCATGGGAGAAGGAAAAGACGAGTGAGGATGCAGCAGCCGATATGGATTGGGGAGCACGACTTAGGAAGAAGGCGAGAGCTGCACAGAAAGAGCGGGAAGCGGCGCATCCGGACGATGAGATGGCAGACAGTGAGCTGGACAAGTATCTTGACTGAGACTAGACCGGTTACTGATGCAACAATGGTGGATCATGAAGCAACCATGCTGATGGTTAGATGATTGGATTATTGGCTTTGTCGCATACAATGACTATCTGATGAAGAACCCGCCTTAGATGGACGAACCTACTTCGATGTCATTGGATCAAGGAATACTCTGACGCTATCAGCTATAGATGCCATGCTCGCTGCCACTCCAAATAGCAAATGCTCTCATCCATCCAAGTCGCCTCCTGCCACCCATCTCAACATCCAACCCCTCCGTCCAACCGTGAATCGACCCAGAACCAGCTGGGCCTTTTCCTTGTTTCCAGTGTCCACTTCAACTTTGTCCAAAAACATATCAAGCATGAGACGCGATACTGCTGCCTTTGCTCGACGTACGCTGCCTCCTGCCCTTCTTGCGCATTGACGTCTGGATGTGCGAACGTAGGGATTTCTCTCGCTTCTCCAAGTCATACTCCATCGAGACCTTTTGTGAAGCATGCAAAACCAGATGATCCGTCGAGGTCTTTCCTCCTGCAACTTGCTTGCTCAACACATCACTCAAGTATGATTCACCTTGCAGGTGCTTGAAGTTGGCCGACTCAACTTTATCGAAGTCAAAACCATACGCAGACCAATCAAATGCCGTCCCAGCTTTCTTCAAGATGGGTGAACAGGCCACTGCAGCGTCTGCTGCTTTTGAATTGTGTTTCTTACGTTCTCCACTCTTTCGCTTTCCACGGGGACAGTGCTCAGCATGTGTGATGGGCAAGTCTCGCCAATCTTGTTCAGCGAATATTGCACCAAGTCGATCAAACATACTTGGACGACGTGCATCGACCGGTGGCGAGGAGACTTTGAATTGGACCAAGTCAAAGTTTGGAAAGGTCTCTGATGATCCACCTGATAAGAAACCTTTGGTGCCACTTCCAGTAGCAGCAGCATCTCCACGACCAGCGTGTTTAGGCTGCTTGAGACCGGCACCCGCAAGCAACTCCTCTTCTTCATCATCATCCGACGAATCAGAACTCGACATGCTCATAAAGCTACTGCCTGCAAGACGCGCATCATCCGAGTAATGTCCAGTCATCTCATGCGCATACATCCTAGGACCAAGTGAATCATACTCCTGCTGCGTAGCTTTTGTTTCCAATGCAGCCGTCAAGGCTGACCCATCGTATAAAGGTCCACCGGTGGTTGTTTGATGGAGACGTGTACTGGCTTTGGGCGTTGCTGCATGGTCTTTTCGCTCTTTCAGTCGAGTGACGGGTCCTTGTCCCTGCCAGGGTGATGAGACTGCCGAGGAAGTTGTGCGTGGACGAGCAGTACTTGCATGTGCGAGCATCTTTGCGTGTCTTGGCGCAAGGCAATGGGAATTCGAAGATTGTGGTGAAATGCGCAAGGGTTGCTTTGCTTTCTATAGAGCAGGAGACACTCGATGCGAGGCCCTCTGCATGCTTTGTAGGTTGTGGTCGATGTGTTGTTCGATGGTCCAGGGGTTAACTTTTCTCGCAAAAATCGCAGAATAGACCCATCGAGCCTCTTTGGCTTAGAAATACAGAGACGAGCTGCCTTTTATGACGTGGCCTGGCCCCGGGGCTGTCTCGCAGGGCCTCTGAATTGACTCTGATGACTTGTCTTCACATGGTCAATGCGACCCTATGCGAGGCACCCCTGACCAAAACGCAGGACGCCGTTGACTCGTCAATTTTCGAGGGTATGCGATGCGAGGATGCTGCAATGTCTGATTGGAGCTGTGTCCTCCATTCTGGTCGCTTCTACCCAGTCTATAGGCGTTTTCTTGTCATATAATCATGCTGCTTCGTCCTTCTATCCACTCAATCATGTTTCTTTCACGCAGGCGGCAAGTGTGCACCAAATAGCACAGCTTGACAAAGCCCATACAGGATCCAGCCATGTATTGCCCATCGCCAACCTTGACTCTCATTTTCCTGTACAACACGACGCGCTAAAAACCAGTAGACACCGGGAAATGCAGCCATCATGCGTGTAATGATTTGAGCATGTGCTGTGGTGAAAGTCAAAAATGTCAAGAGCCCCTGTTGGATGCCCGATAGCGACACATCGAGTGAGACGAGACATAAGAGGTAGCTGGGTGCTGAGAGGAGGAAGAGCGGGAGGTTATTGAGGGTGAAGTAACGACCGAAGCCAACATGCCAGTAGTGATCCTGCACAAAGGAATAGACGATCGGTGGGAAACGATCACACCAGGGTCGACCGGGACAGTAATGCATATAAGCGACCGCTTGTGTGAGGAACCAAGGACCACAGATGACGGCGCCTGCTAGACCAGCATTCACAAGGCGTGTTGGATCCGGCCGCTTTGGGAAGAAGTAGAAAGCATTGATGATACCTGTTGCACGCGTCAAGCCGGACAAGCCAAACAGAGATGCTGCGACTTTGGGGTACTTGTGAAGGAGCGCAACACCTGAAAAGGTCAACGCACAAAACAACGGTTCCGTGTAGCCGACGCAGAGAAAGATACCAGCAGGGCTGATGATGTGTAGGATGGCAGCAACCTTGGAGATGCGCTCTGAGCTGGTTGCATTAAGTGAGGCGCGATATAGCGCAATGATGGCGATGTAGTGGCAAGCACATCCTAGGACCATTGGATGGATAAACCGCAGAAGGAGCGGTAGGAGAGGTCCAAAGGCATGCTCTTGTTCATACACGTAGCCATGTCTCGCAATGTGCTGAAAGTAGACCGAGTCCCAGTGCATCAGTCTTGTGCTATAGCTCACCAGTGTAGAGGAGCTGTCATACTCCCCCGTCCAGGACGCACACAGGGCCAGCAGAAGCAAGACGGCTTTGTAGCATACAAAGATAGTTGTCAACTCTCTGAAAGGCGTCTCTGGCGCGCGTAATGCAGATTTCATCCGTGGCAAGCTCGGTCTCTTCCCAGGTTCCAACATCCCTGGTCGTTTCGCTGACGCAGCTTGATGATGGGGCCCTCTTAGATAATCCGACGCGCGTCTCTGACCCATCTCTGGCCGTTCCGTTGAGAAGGATAACGTCGCTATGCTAGCCCTGCGCGGCGAGGCAGCTTGGACCGTGATAGTTGGCAGAGACGTAGCTTCATCGTTGCATGCAGGGATGGTCAGCTTGAGCTTTTCTGGCGCATGCTCCGGTGCAGCCACAGACATCCGTCTATGCCGCAGTTCTCCTTAGTACTTGCTCCCCTCCTGAATGTTGTGCAAAGGGCTAGGCATAGGCTTGCTTTCTGTGTGGTGGGATTTAGCTAAAAAAAAGCTACGTCGTATTCAGCTCAACTACTGTCCTCCATTATAAGAAGGAAGCAAAACAGAGAACCTTCCGCACAACGTGCCTCCAGCTCTCCACGCAGAACAACGCTTTAGTGCCGTAAGGCAAATTGGCTGGTCATAAAAGACACAGCATATCTCGTCACTCCCAGTGCTAGTCTCAATAGTGATGCTGTTCCCCAGCGTATTTGTAGTAAGGATTGCCGTAGCAAGCCTACCACAAGACCAGACAGGCTGGCCAGCGCAATGCTTTTTCGAAAAAACCCCGAAAAAAGCTTCGAAGCAAGCCGTTTCGACTAGTATGGTGAGATCCACTCATAGTGAGAGCGAGAAGGGGACACTCCCAAAGTGGGCATGCTAGACTACGCGGTCGAGAAACAGCGTATCGGGACCGGCACAAGAAGAACGAGGGCTCCAATCGGGGACCAGGCAGAACCCCGACCGATTTGATAATCAATGCCGCAAGGGCCGGCAATGATGCAGTAGGTGGTCATTATATGCCATAAAGTAAACTGGAGGGAGCTGTACGCTTTGACCGCATGCGGTAAAGGTACAATAAGCTCAGATGAGACCTCCGGGGCCCCAGGTTGCCTTTGGTGTTGACCTAGTTGCTGCCATTTGTTGTTTGGAGACGACAGACGCTCCAAGAGAGTGGAAGGGAACTCTCTTACCTGTTTGATTGATGTTTGGACCCGAGCAGGAGTGACCAGGCTCTTCAAGACGACAAGTCGGTCTCAAAAACAGGGCGAAAAAAAATTTTCACCCGCCAATTTTGCACGAATACAGCGGACAGGTGCCTGTTCTACCGTGCTTGCAAGGAGGCGCTGCCGTCCAGCGCGAGTCTCCTTGTCTTAACGCTGACTGACCGAACCCCCTGCTCTGTAGCGTCATCCTCAGAGCACGTTTCCACCAAAAAGTGACTTTATGATGTGTTGGTTCGGTGTGTGGTTCTTGTTTATGACGTTCCAAGAGACAAAAATTTGGCAGAACAGGGCGATTTGGCTACGGGAAAAACATGATTCTGCTGCTATACCTTCTGCTTCTTGGCTGCCTTGGGAACGGCCTTGCTCGCCTTGGCAGGTTTGACAGCAGCAGCAGGCTTGCTTGCCTTAGCTGCCTCTTTCTTGGCAGGCACAGCTTTGCTTTTTGCTGGTGCATCTTTACTCTTTGTAGCAGATGCAGTCGCCTTGTCATTCGCAGCGGGCGTCTCCTTCTTTGCCTTCTTGTTTGGCGCCTCTGCCGGCTGCGGTACACCATCAACAACCTCCTGCACAGACTCAAGTTCAATACCAGGCACCTCCTTGGAGTGCTTTCGCTTCCTTGCATTCTTCTTCTCCTCAATCGCTTGTGTAGCTTCTGCATCCTGTACTTTGTCCATTTCAGGATCGAAAACCTTGTCTGCCATGTAAATGGGCAATGCAACAGAGGCAGCCGTTTTGATGTGCAAAGACTTGACATTTTGCCATTTCTGTGGGACATAGGTCTCAATCACTTTGTCTGCCACGGCTTTGATGTTGTCGGCTACTTGTGCAGCTGTTTGTCCTGCAAGACCGACTTTGATGGTCGTGCAAGTGCCCGGTGCGAGGTGCAGATAGGTACTTGCCAATGCCTTTTCAATCTCAATCTTCAAATGATCCTCCTTTCCCTTCTCTGCTGGCAAGACAACAGGAATCGGATTGTGCTTACCCGCATAAAAAGTCTTTCCCAAGATTGACGGTAGCAAGTGCACGACTCGGTCATCCGCGAAAAACACATCATGCGCATCCCGAAGCGCGCGTTTCGCCTCAAATGTCTTGTGCTTGCCCTTGAGCTTTGTCACACCCACAACTCTTGTCACCTTCTTATCGAGCCCCGCCGTCTCCACCATATCCTTGTACAGCCGCTGTGGATCCTTTGTGATGAGACAAACCGTAGCATCGTCTGCAACAATCGAATGGACGAGCGGTATACGCGCTGGCTTGAGTCGCTTTGTATCAATGATGAACTTTTTAGTCGTGAGACTCAGCCAGATGGGGGTATCGAGCTCTGGCGCATCGACATCGGTGGCAAGGAGGTTCTTCTTGCTCGGTTTTGTCGCCGTGGTGGCTTCCTTTTGTATGTGCTTGAGGAGGGCCTTGGAGGCTTTGAGGACCTGGCTGCTGTCTAGCTCTGAGGGTAGCTGCGATGCCTTGGCCATGCTAGCAGTCTGTAGAATAGAGCGGTGTAGCTGTCGAGTCGCTTCTTGCTCGTCGAAATAAATTCTTTCGTCTCAGGCCTCGCACTCAAGACAGCTGCTCCCTCCCTCAACCACACACACAGCTGATACAGAAGTGCCAGACTCCTGCAAATGGTGCAAATCACAGAGGTCAGAGGCAATGCCAGAGCCTCCCGCGTCGCCCTCCATAGTCACATCCGCGGCCTCGGCCTCAATGAAGAAGGAATCGCTGAAAATGCCGCTGGATTCGTCGGTCAAAAAGCAGCACGCGAAGCATGTGGACTTGTCGTGGATCTCGTCAAGTCGAAACGCATGGCAGGTCGTGGTTTGCTGTTGACGGGTGGATCGGGCACTGGCAAGACGGCGATTGCACTTGCCATTGCACAAGAATTGGGACCTAAAGTGCCCTTCTGTCCGATCGTTGGCTCAGAAGTCTACTCAACAGAGATCAAAAAGACTGAAGTGCTCATGGAGAACTTTCGTCGTGCCATTGGACTGCGTGTACGGGAGACGAAGGAAATTTACGAAGGCGAGGTCATGGAGATGAACGTCGAAGAGGCAGAAAATCCTCTTGGTGGTTATGGCAAGACTGTGGCTTCTGTCATTGTAGGCCTCAAGACTTTCAAGGGTACGAAACAGCTCAAGCTCGATCCTTCCATCTACGAGAGCATACAAAAGGAGAATGTCAACATTGGCGATGTCATTTACATCGAGGCAAACACGGGCGCCGTGAAGCGTGTTGGCCGGTCTGATGCGTATGCTACTGAGTTTGACCTCGAAGCGGAGGAGTACGTGCCTGTTCCCAAGGGCGAAGTGCACAAGAAGAAGGAAGTCGTTCAAGACGTCACACTGCATGACCTCGATGTTGCGAATGCCGCACCACAAGGCGGACAAGACATCATGAGTATGATGGGTCAGATCATGAAGCCAAAGAAGACGGAAATTACAGACAAGCTGCGGCAAGAAATCAACAAGATTGTCAACAAGTACATTGAACAAGGCATTGCAGAACTCATTCCTGGAGTCTTGTTTATTGATGAGGTGCACATGCTCGACATTGAATGCTTCACATACCTCAACAAGGCCCTCGAGTCAAGCATCTCGCCAATTGTCATCTTTGCCTCTAACCGCGGCATGTGCACCGTCAAGGGCACCGACGACATCCAGAGCCCACACGGCGTTCCTGTCGATCTACTCGACAGATTGCTGATTGTCCGGACCATGCCATACAACGCAGACGAGATCCGCGTTGTCTTGCGTTCACGCGCACATATCGAGGGTTTAGTTGTCTCGGATGCAGCGCTGGATGCACTCACAAAGAAGGGTACACAGACATCACTACGCCATGCAATCCAACTACTGACACCTGCGTCTATCCTGAGCAAGATTGGCGGCCGTGCAGAGATCGGCACGGAGGATGTTGGCGAATGTGAGGGTCTGTTCTTGACGGCTAGGGAGAGTGCGCAAGTCGCCCAAGGGTCAAGTGGGTTCATTGTATAGCCTTGCTCTGTTGTACATAAAGCCTTCTATCTCAACTAGCTACGCCGGTGCTGAAGCCTCTTGTTGTCTGATTTGCTGTGCTTGCTTGCACCTCGCTTGGTACACCATTCGCACGAGTGACAGGTATGCCTTGTCCAACAATTTCACTCGCCCTGTTGACTACTTCCGTCGGGATATCTGTTTCGCTTGGCATCTGCCCGTTCGGTAGTGGATCATTTGCATCATTCGTTCGTGCCTTGCTCGGCCAGAAACTGGGCACGTCAACACGCTGGTAGCGCGGCTCAACCACACGATCGCAGAGCCACTGACGCAAACGTGATTCCACCAGTTGTGCAATCTTGGGAATATCTTGTAGCCGTGAGCGTGATCCAATGAGTGAGCGAATTTGTAACTCCAGGCCAAAATCCTCTTCGAGCTGAAACGTCAGCGTCGTGGATGTCTTGTTGTCTGCTGGAGGAATCAGAGCAATATGTAGCGTGCCTGAAAAGCGAGAGATGGTGACACCCAATGCAACGGGCAAGACCACAAAGTTTGGACTCGGAAAGTTGAGAAGGAGCGAAGTCTCAACAGCAAGGGTGATGGTATCGCTCAAATCTACGTCCATTGTTGCATGCAGCCGTGAATCAACTGGTTGGCCGTCTTCCGTCTCTTCATCCGGATCCATCAAGCCGATTCGACAATTGCTGAAGATGGGGAAATCCTCTCCCATATTGATCTCTGTTATCCGGATATCTCCCAGGAAGTCAGGCTTGCGAGGCCCGTTGACAATGGCATCAAGCGATACGAGGATCGCATCCTTACTTTGTGCATCCTCTCGGAACTGAGCAAACGCCTGAGCTATCAGGACATTGAACCAATCGAGTGATTCAGCACGGTGAGATGCCGTATTGTAGTAAGTCTTGGCCAATATTTGGGAGGCAGACAAGGGAGGTGGTCCACGCAGAACACGACTCTTCTTCTTCTTGAGACGCTGCTTGCTTGAGCTTTGATTCATTCGCTGCTCTGCATCTGACTTGCTCGGTACAGTTTCAGCAAAGATGAAAAATTTGAGGAAAAAGATGATCATCAGGATGACTGTCAACTGGCCAACAAGCAAGCCTTGAGCAAAAGTCCAGCGTGAAGCATGCACCTGGTTGATGCGAGCGATTTCATCTTGTACGGGTTTCGGTAGTTTTGCAAAGTCGTACTTGGATGACATGATGTGTCTAGCAAGCGGCCTAGGATGTCTATAGCATTGGAAGAAGTAGTTTTTGTCGGGCTCATCGAGTAAGCAGCTGATGTGGTCACAGCGCGGTCGTCCTTTCAGATGCCACTTACAAACTTGCCGAGGATAGAAGGACGAGAGGTGCGTACGCTATGCAGTCTATGCTATAACTCAGATAAAAGCCTCATGTCTCATTCCACTTGCCAAACTTGGACCAGTCCTCAAAAAGTCTCTTGAAGTGGACACGCCGGCTACTGTCCAACGCAGCACCGACCATTTCTCGTTCATGCGGACCACATAAGCCCATTACCTCAAACGCAAAGCTCTCTTCGAGGATGCGGCGACAGTCTGCTGGTATACCAGCAGCCAAGCTTACCTTTGAGAACAAGTGGATGTACTCAATCAGTAGCCAAGGCAGATGCTTTGCAAGTGCCTTGTTGAATTGCTCTGGTGACGAGGAGACTTGACGTGAGGACGACAAAAAGGTGTGAAACAGCCTATCAAAGGCTTCTGTACGTTCCAGCGTTGCTTTCGTTGATGATAAATCCGTTGCAGCCAGCTTGAAATGAGCGCTGAGCAACATGGCAAAGGATTGCAGTATAATGTGGTGACGGTCTCGTAGCAGATGTGCTCGGCGCTCGAAGATGATACGCAACAACGCAAGCAGCTGCATGTAGATATCAGCAGTATCATCATTGACTTTCATCGTCAGGAGCTTGGGCAGCAAGGCAAACACCGTGTCAAGCTCAGCGAGACGAATAGCCCGTGGATGTTTGTCAATGATAGTGTGCAGGAGACGCAGTCTGCGTTGCGCCAAGTCTGGCGTTGAGTCAAGTAAATCCTTGCAAATCTGATTGCAACTTTGCTGCAGAAAATTCGAAGATAGCTCAGACCTTCTCTCAACGAACGCTTGTAGCAGAACTAAGTAGCTGCTTGGCTGCAAAAGAGGATAGACCGCATCCAGGAAAATCAGGTGATCATTAGGTACCGTTTCCGCCAACATCTCGCTCGTTCTTGTCCCTGGGAATGCCTCAGGTCGAAGCGCAACTGTGATAGCCGCCTCTTGTGTAGTGGCTAGAGCAGCAAGCAAGCGCAAGGTAGACTGCGGATTCACTCCTCGTTGGATTTCAGCAAAGAGTGCTTCTTGTAAACTGTCGCCAGTCTTTTCGAAGAAGAAGGCTGTCGCCAACGCTGCCATACCTGGAGTGAATACCCTGTGCTTGTCGAGTGAGCTTATTTGCAGCAAATCTTCTTGCGTACGATCAATCGATTGCAAAGCTTGCCGAATCAGATCACATCTGATGTCCATGAGCGGGGTTGCCACTTTGGTACCGTTCAAACTCGCGCAGCGGTCGAGCATGGCAACCATCAAGTGAACATTGTTCTTTGCAGATTGACTTTTCATGACATCGAACAAGAACTCAGGCTGTGAATGCTCCACGTATGCCTCCAGTATAGAATTTCCCACTCCGTCAGCGAACGACACGAACTGATCGATATCAAGCTTGGCGAAAATATCATGGCGAGCAAATTTCGCGAGTATGGCAAGATGATCCGAAGTAGGTGAGGCATGCATGGCAATAGCCTGGACGATTTTGTTCCGAACTGCCTTGTGAAAGTAGTCAACGGGAACAGACAACAGCGAATGAAGCTTGCTCGTATTGTCGACAGATGCCAGGAGTAGCTCTTGCATAGCTGATAGGAGTTCATTGGATTCGAGGACATTCATGTGCGTGTGTAAATTGGCGTCCAAGATGAGCTGGGCCAATTTGCTTAACTCTGATACGGTCATCAGTGGCGTAATTGTTGGCAGCCATCGATCGACAAGGGAGATGAGGAACGGCTCGCTGGTTGAATCAAGACAGGCTCCACATACTAAGCGCAAATCCATGTCACTATACATCCATCCGAGTTCGAGATTTCGAAGATGCCGTTGTGTTTCAAACTCATCCATGGAAGAAAATGGCTGAATAGTCTCCGGTGTGCTTTGCTTTGTTGCCAAGACGAAATGTAATAGACTTGCTGCATGGCCCTTCTGCTTGAGTATACTGTCATACGCTTCTTGCAAAACAGGTGATCCCTTGGGCATACCAGCAACCATTGCCGCCACAAGCTCAAGCCGTCTAGAGTCTAGACCTGTGTCAGCAGTCAGCAGACTCTGTAGCAGCTCCCTTTGAACGGGTTCTGTCATTGTGCTGACATCGGTAGAAATTTCCTCGAGTAGGCTCATGTTAACCTCTGCAGAGGGTGACAGCTTTGCATAAGGAAGCAAAAATTCGTCCAGAGCTCGTATCTGTTTGAACATGCGGAAAAGGGCATGCTCAATCTCAATGCTGCTTGTTGATAAAGTAGAAAGCAGGGTCCAAATTTGATCCATGACGGGAATCAGTATGTCGAGATCGACTTCGATGAGTTTAGTAAGGAGCTCGTACGTTTCTGCGCTTGGCTTGTCAAGAGCAGCCTGCAGGACTTGCTTGACAACAGGAAAAGTCTCCTTGTCTGATACAATAATCTTGGCTTGAATAGGTCGTGGCAGGTTGTCGTAATAGAACTTGAGCATGACGACTTGTTCTACGAGAGCAACTTTTGGAAGAAGCTCTTTAAGGAGTAGGTTTGCGAGGAGAACATGCTTCGATGTTGCTAGTGAAGCATTGGCTATCGCCTCGAAAGCAATCTGCGCAAAATCAATTGAAGGTCTCGAGACACTACCGAGTGCTTTGCCGAGAGAGTCCGGTTTCGTGGCAAAGTCAGACAGACTCGCCTCAGACCAAAGAGTCTGCTGTAGAAGACGCGTGAGCGACGGGCGCCCATTGTGACTTGCCACTGCGCTTGAGAGGAGGGGCAAGCAAGACCGAATGATTTCTTCTGTCAGCTTCTTAGAAGTGTGTCGATACTGAGCGTTGAACAGGGCAAAGTCTACAAGCGTGTCGAGTAAAGCAATCCACTCTTTGCGTAGACTGGAAATATCTATTGCATGGATGGTCATCAAAGTTTTGATGACTGACAGTGACGTCTCGATAGAACAGCTCAGGCACTTTGACAACGACCGATGTAAAGTGAGCTGAGCTAGCACAGATTGAGCCGCCCGTTCAATGGCTGGCAAGTCAGTTGCCTGGCCGACCTGCAGAGACTGGTCAAGGCCAGCAATAAGCTGAGACTTTCTGACTAAAGGAGCAAGTTTCTCTGGTAGAATGGAAGACACTGTCTGCTCTAGCGTTCCCCAAACTGCTCTGGCAGTATCAGCTTTGACAGAGCGTACTTCTCTGAGCAGAAAATTGACGAGTAGATCATTTTTGCGTGGTATGCGAGCTGCTTTGACAGACGCTAGACGCTCATTTATCGGTAGCTGGTCATTTCTCAGCGATTTGACAATAGCCTCGCAGGTCATCGCCTTACAAGCTTTTAGTGTTCCTGAGCGCAGTCGCTGTCTTGGTGACTGACTTTTTCAATGGGCGTGTGAAGTCAGGGTTAGCAAAGGAACCTCTCAAGCGCGCAAGGACGTGGATAAAGCTCGACTACGGTCGACAAGATGCTGCTCAGAAGTCGCATCGGTCACTCGGCATCTGTCGTACGTCGTTGCTTCTCTTGCTCAAGGTCTGTTCTAGAAGATACGCCAAAATCAAGTGATCTTGCAGACAAGCTTCGCGCAACGGCACAACAAAAACCGGCAAATCCAGAGAGCACCGCTGAAGGCACAGCTGCGGCGCCTATCGATGCCATCGACACAAGTCTATTGTTTGGCGACTTGATGGGCTCCTCAAGGCGTGTGAAATCTGCGTCTGGCCCGATCATGCCTACATCCAAGATTTTCAAGCAAGATGCAAGTGCGCCTGCTGATGCGCAAAAGTACTATCTGCACTGCTTGACTTCCCACAGCAATACGCTACTGACCCTGACAAATTACAAGCATGAGCCTATTCTATGGACATCAGGTGGTCTTTGTGGTTTTAAAAAGGCAGCGAGAGGTGGATATGAAGCTGGATTCAGGAGCACCATTACGATGCTCGAAAAGATGCAACGGAAAGAGGCGGAAGATAGGGCTTTGCTACTCAAGGAACGCACTGAACCGAGCCGTGTTCAAAAGACTGCCGCCAAGAAGCGGAAAGCACCCTTCAAGCCGCGTGAAATTGAGCTGGTCATCAAAGAATTCGGACTCGGTCGCGAAGCTGTCATGAAGGCACTCGCTGGTCAAGAAGGTGATTACTACCGTGGTCTCATCACAAAGGTGATTGACGCAACACCCCTCAAGTTTGGTGGTGTTCGCGCCAGAGCCGTGAGGCGTCTGTAGGCATAGCATATGAGCATCCCTGGCATTATCCATTACCACTACGCTGATTCGCAGATCGCTGTGATGAGACTATAGAGCACATCTGCCATTTGTTCTAGTGACATGGGATCAGCCAGCGGTGATACATGTACGAACAGAACCTTGGCAGCTTTCGCCGTGTCTCGTGAGCGACGTGCAGCGAGTGCTGCTTCAGCCAGGGATGCAAAGTAAATGAAGTCGCACAGATAGTGGCCAGCATCCTGGCTCGTTGATATGCTGATACCTTCATGGTTGTGTGCGAGGCGTTCAGCTAGCGCAACACCATCAATTTGAGTTTCCAAGCAGCCGTCCAAAGTCAACTCTAGCTCTTGAGCGAGAGGGTACCCACGCTCGCCTGCATGGTCACCTACAATGAATGGCGGTAGCTTGCCAAGAACATCTTCCTTTTTGTAACCCTTGTGATGTGCACGCGTTTCCAGTTTCACACCACCTGGACGACCTTGTCCGACGTGTAGATACAAGTCATAGTGTCTTGTAGGATCAAATTGATCTTGCCTGTCCTGATCGTCTTGTGCAGCAGGCGATGCATTGAGACGACCATGAAAGATGGGTATCTTCTCCATGACTGTGTCAAAAACGGTTGGCATGAAGACGATATCTAGATGCACGCGTCTTCTTTCCTGTACAGTCTTAGAGGCAGGTCCAGGAGATGCACAATGGTTGACAAGGACATCAAAGTCACGTCCACGCTGTGCGAGCAGTTTGACAGCTTCCCATGAAGGATTACTTTCTTTGGCGGAAGCAAAAGGTCCAAATCCAGTAAGGAGGACATTGAAAGTCTTTGATGAGCTGTCTTCTGGCAGTGTAGGAGCCATGTTTCTCTCTTTAGCTGGACGGACAAGACTGAGTTCGAAGGGTGTGCAGCGTGTTTGCTCTTCAACTCTGCTCCATCTACTTTTTACGCCACAATTCGAGGTCAGTAGGCGAAAACTTTCTCTTCTTGAGCATACAGTAGATTGTAGCTACTTATAGGCTTCTCTGGTATAGCAGATGAAATACAGGTAGGCACACAGCAAGCAAATGGCCACTATACAGACAATTTTGCATGACACATAGATTTACTTTCCGAGCTCATGATAGAAAGATGCTCAAGCATCAGCTGATGGACTGCAGCTTACAGACTAGACCTCACAATGCACTCGTGAACAAGGGTCATCAGTCAAGAGTTCATTTGAATCATTACTCATCTCGCCAGCGAGCTGTTGAGATCGTAGGCGCAGCGTTTCTGTCGTACGTATAGTCCGAAAAGCACTAGTCATGGAGCATCCTGCCCAGTCACTGCTCAGTCTTATTCACAAGACCCCCAGAGACCGTATAAAACCTGCCTCGCGTGCGTTTCGCAAGCTTTGTATAATCTGGCTTCAAGCGTGTTTGACCTGTAGCACACTGTGCATCGTCGAGCTTGAATCGCTCTTTCGCCTGTTGACCAACAGCCAAGGCAGCGTCATACGTCAAGCTGCTTGTATGCTGTGAAGCGAGTACGTTGTGAAGGGGTTGGATACCTGTTGTATCCACCTCATGCACGAGTCTCACAAAATGAAGCTGTGTTGCTAATGCACGACGTCGCGCAAGACGCTCAGTTGAGTCTTGAGGGAGTTGTAGGGCAGAGAGCTTATAGAGATGAGCAAGTTGTTCTTCGCTGATGGGTTGGATGGGTGTTTCGCTTGTTGAGGGTGGAGCGAGGAGTGTGCTTGTTGACCAGGATGGCTTTGCAAAGAGCTCGTCGAGCGTTGCAGGTGTGCTTGATGCACTTGATGAGGAGGAGTAGCGTATGAGACGCAAGCTATGAGAAGGAAGACATCTGCACCTGAGCATCATTGTTATTGAGAGGTGGTCAAGGTAGAGGAAGACTCGATAGTGTCAGATGGGCACTTGTTCAAAGTGCATGTATACATATAGATGCAATCTAGCGTCTACATAGACGAAGGACCGCAGCTGACAAGGGATGCGCTCTGTCCTCGTTTGTCTCTGTACTGACCCGAGAGCCTTGTCCGTGGCTGGACATGTTCGGGTCGCCCTGGGTCAAGGAGATCGAGCAAACCCATGCACTGGGAAAGCAAGCCATCGCTCTTGAGACAGGGCCTCAACCTCATACAATGTACGCATGCATTTCGTAGCTTGGGGAGTGGTCGTGTTCAATAGCATGCGCTTCTTCTTCGATGTGAAGAGGATGAGGAGATGCCCTGATCGTGCACTCCATCAGAGACGAAGCCTGCTGCCTTGCCATGATAGTCTAAGCATGCTCATGGAGTCCCAAGCCCTCCAGATCAATCTTCAAGCCAGCCTGTGTCCACTCCTCCACCAACAACGCCTTCAATGCCGTTCCATCTTTATACACCCACCCAACGCCCTCGACATAATCAAAGCGCTTTGGTCCAGATAACGGTGAACTGAGCCATACCTGTTTCGAGGGTGGTTGTCGATTAATCACATACGTTCCGGCCGTTGCAACCGTGACATTCATGACGCCATCGGCGTATTCCACATCTTCTAGTAAATCATTGGCATCTGCTTCACGTTCAAGTTCTGTGAGGAGGTGTGAGAGGGTTGTGTCTGCTAGTTGGAAGTAGCGACGGTCTGTGAGCGTGCTTGGCGCATGGTCGTAGCGCGAGAAGGTGGTTGTGCTGAAGAGACGCGGTTGCGCATTGAGTAGGTTGGTGTATGCGCAAAGTGTGCTTTGTCGAGGATGTGAGGCGAGCCTTGGTTGTCTATAGCTGCGCCTGAGGAGTATGCTGAATGGTCGCTTGACTAATGACATGATGTCGCTGAATTGGTCGTCTTGAGGGAGAAGCACGTAACAAAATGTACAGAATAGGGGAATAGAGGGTGCTACACATGATCCACCTCAGCTTAGTGAGGAAACTCAATACTGGCCATGACATCGACTTCATCTGGCTTGACACCCGCTTCTGCAGCTGCACGTTTCCAGATATCCACTTCCCTCCATGCTCGCTCACACTCTTGCTTTGTCTTTTCCAGCTTACTTTGCAAGTCTGCAATGGTCTGATCCGAGAGCAGCTTGTCAAGTGTGTAGCGTTCCGTCAGGTTTGTCTCATTGTTCTTCAGCTTCTCAATATACTGTGCTGCCTTTCGGAGGATGGCACCTTTATTGCGTTCAGGCTGGGAGTATTCTTTTTGCACAAGGGCAGAAAGCATACCGATGCCTTCATTGATGGTTTCACGACGCTTCCTCTCCACTTCCTTGTGATTGATTCTGCGCATTTGATTCCACTCTTCGGTACCTTGAGCCGGTCGATCGCCTTCAGGAATGGGCTTCCCATCTTCACCAAGGACAATACTCAATCGACTCGCTGAGCCAGAGCGTCGCGCTTGTCCGCGCTGTTGTGCCTGCTGCATGGCATTGGCAAGACCACCATCGTCGCCATGCAGATGATGATCATGCATACTCACATCACCGGATTGCATAGGTGATGCACTGGCAGATGCAAACTCTGGATGCTCCTCCGCATGTGTATAGGGTCCCGGAAATGAGGGAAACGGTTCTTCCCCGTGCGCAAGGGCCGGCAAGTCTGAGACTTGCGACACGACGGCGCCGTTGTGCTGTGTGTCGAGGTCATGGTGGTTTGCCATTGCGTGTGTTAGGTGTTGTGCGAGTCCCGGGTCGACGACTTGTGCATCGTCGTCGTCGTGGTTATGTGGGTTGTTGTGGTGAGTGTGGGTGTTGGTGTTGTTTGTGTGCGGCTTGTCTGTGTCCATGTCTGTCTGTCCTGCTGGTGGGTCTGGTCACGGGATTGCTGGCTGGCTGTGAATGCTGAATGCTGATTATGCTGGCTGGATGCTGAGTGCTGCGTCGGAGAAGGGACACGTGGTGTTGTGCCTGACAAGACTGGATTGACTGGACTAGATGCTAGGATGGGTGCTGTCAACTGGCTGAGCTATTGAGTGCTTCTTCATCTTATTGCTGTCGCCAGTGTACAGTACAGGATATTCATGTTTGTGACTGCCTATTTCCATCTGTGGCGCGACTCGACTGCTGACTGATGCTCACGAACATACAAGCTACAAGCGACAACTATCGTCCTCTCGCATGCAGATATAGCCCAGCTACAGCAGGAGCATGCCGCATCTCCTCAGGCACTCCGCCAGAACACTCTCTCGCGCAAAAGCCAACTGCACATGCCTCAGGCCTTCTCTAAACTACACCCGACGGCCCTTCTCCGCCACGATACCGCCAAGGTCAGGCAGCAATGCACAGCTCGATTTCCCCTGCCTCGATGCAAGTGAACAGCGCACACAACGTTATCAAATATCCCTCGAATCAGGCCCAGAACCCAGCTACTCCAGCTCACCCGAGGGTGTCCAAACGTGGCATTCATCAGAATCCTTGACATGCGACTATGGCGGGCATTTACCTTCCTTCGACATTGCATATGAGTCTTGGGGCACATTGAACGCAGATAAGTCCAACGTCATCTTACTCCATACAGGTCTCTCTGCATCCAGCCATGCTCACTCAACACCAGAAAACACACAACCCGGTTGGTGGGAGAAGTATATCGGTCCCGGCAAACCCCTCGATACAGACCACTTTTACATCATTTGCACCAATGTCCTAGGTGGCTGTTTTGGTAGTACAGGACCGCGCTCTCTGGATCCAGCAGATGGGCAACCCTATGCAACGCGCTTTCCCATTCTCACACTCAACGATATGCTTCGTGCGCAATTCAAATTGCTTGATCATTTGGGCATTTTTCGACTATTCGCTAGTATCGGTAGTTCGATGGGTGGCATGCAATCTCTTGCAGCAGCCACCCTCTTTCCAAACAGAGTAGGTGCTGTTGTCTCCATCTCTGGCTGTGCAAAATCACACCCTTACAGTATCGCACTCCGTCACTCTCAACGACAAATCATCATGGCCGATGCAAACTGGTCGCGAGGCTTTTACTATGATAAAGTACTCCCGCACGCAGGCATGAAATTAGCCAGACAAATTGCAACGATATCCTATCGATCAGGTCCAGAATGGGAACATCGATTTGGTTCACGACGTGCAAATGAAACACTCGCACCGGCATTCTGTCCAGATTTCCTTGTCGAGACGTATCTGGACCATGCTGGTGAAAAATTCATTGGTTCCTATGATCCAAATTCATTGTTGTACGTCTCAAAGGCAATGGACTTGTTCAACCTTTCTGGTAGCTACCAACAACGACTTGCGCAACTACAACAAGCCGGTGGATTTGCACAGCAAGCGGATTTATGCAGAACAGCAGCATACCCTGAACAACCCGATTCCACAACCATTTCTGGATCAGCAGCCACTGCAACAATTCGTCAATCTGCCGTCAAGGATCTCGCGCAAGGCATGCAATCTATGCGAGAAACACCCACCCTTGTGGTCGGTGTACAAAGCGATAATCTCATGCCTGTTTCATGTCAACGTGAAATTGCAGATGCATTGAGGGAGACGGGGAATATGGATGTTCAGTATTCTGAGTTATCGCTTGAGCAGTCGCATTTCGGGCATGATACATTCTTGTTGAGTGAAGAGGTCGGTCAGTATGTGCGTGAATTCCTCACTAGGCGTCGTATAGCATAGATGCCACTCATACATGAAAAAATGGTCTTATGAACGACCACCGACGATAGGTAACGCGTACATCTCCACATACATCCGAACAAGACTCTCATACCCAAGGATATCCCCACTCCTCAATAAATTCGCCAAATCAATATTCAACGGTGAATCGGGTTCCGGGGATGCGAGCAACTGGACCACAGCCGTACACGCTGTTCCTAGTGTCCAAGCGGGACTCCAACGTTCCTTAAGGATATCAAGACAAATCTCACCAGTCTTGAACTGGACATTTGGATGAGCGACGCGTGTGGTGAAGCTCACAACGGGCGGCATGGCTGGGTACGCTGGTGGACAGTGGATCTTGAGGTGGAAGATGCCATGCTCAAAGGGTGTACCTGATTGTCCCTCAAAGGAAGCGGTCCAGTGACTCAAATCATCTTCATTCTGTGGCGCGAGATGGAGTAAGTCTTTATTGGGAGATTTTTGCAGAGCTCTGAGTTCTTTTATTAGACGTTTAGATGTAGCAAGTGATGCCATTGGCAGTAGAGCTAATGATGTACAATATCAAGCGTCAGAACAGTATAGTCAAGGAACTCCGCGCTGCTGATGCCAATTCTGAGCGTGCGACTCATTAGCCGAACCTTTCGCGACCAAATAAAATCCTCCAGCAGCATTGATATTTGTCTCTCCAGTACACTCGGCATTCGAGCAATGGATTCCCACGTTTGTGGTCGAGTCTTGCGCTTGGGTGCGTTCATCTTCCCGCGCAGAACTAGATGATGGCAATCTTGTCATTGTCCGCCACAAAGTCTTTCTTGACTTTGTACGTGTTACAACTCCTATGAAGCGTTTGCGATGACGGGTGTGTGAATGACCATGAAGATTTCGTTCTTTATTGTGGAGCTTTATATTCCAAGGCGTCCTTGTCGTAGGACTATGTCCGACTTGACTTTACGCAAAACCATAAAGCTTATATTCTTTACATAGACGATCATTCGTCTTGTTCATCTTGTGGTGATGGGACCATGAATGTCTCTGTTGTACCAGTGATGAGGGCATGCACACGTCGTGCCTCCTCGACAATATCATCGTACGTGCCAGTCACCTGAGTTTGTATCGTTTGTAGAGAATCTTGTGCTGCAGAGGCCATTGATGCCGCTTCCTGCAAGACACAGTATTGGACGCCTGTAGCCACTTGCATCGCAGGTTGTGTCAAGTTCAACATGAGCTGCTGTGCGTGCTCCAAAAGTCTCTCTGCCTCATCCATGCCAGCTGTATCTTCCACCTCCACCTCGAGAAGCAAAACAACTTGCCCTTTTGGACAAACACCAGCGCTTGCTCCTTGGAGTTGTGCATGAACTGCCCAAGTAGCTTCTTCCCCCAAGGCTTCTGGTGGAAACGCCATCACCATCCCTTCGCCAGCCTGACAATGCGCTTTCAACCAAGTTTCTGCATCTCCACAGAGGACAATTGCACGTCGCATCCTCGTCACCCGGTTTGAGAATCCAGCAGCACGAACGAGATACTTTGCGCGGATTTCGACATCTTCCTCGGATAACAACAATCTTCCACCTTCCTGGCGACAAGCCGTTGATAAACGATACGTCGCACCCTTGACGGCCGCTTTACGACAAAACGCCTGACACAACTCACTACCCGTCCCAAACATCGCGAGAACTGCTGGAAATGTTCCACCTAGCCTTCCAAGACTTGTGACATGCTGCTTGATTTGCCGCATACACTCCTGAATGGGTGTTGGGTGGCCGCTAGAACGGCCTAGTGTATATGCGAAAGCGTGCACGTATGGTTCAGAGAGTCGCCAATTTCGCAAGAGCGCCTGCTCAACAGGCTCATCCACCATCTCCAAGTCTTCCAGGTCTTCTGTAGCGCAAGCTTTGATGAATTTCATGAGTCGGCGTTTCGTCAAGAGCGGCATTGTTTTGTCTGTAAAGATATCCTCTTTTGTAGAAGGTACCCTGGCGAGCTTGCCAGAAGCGGTATCGAATAAGTAGAAATCCGCAAGGGCTCTGAACTCCATGTACTCAGCGATGCCTGCATCACGCAACACATCAATCAGTGTTGAGCCAGCGAGTAAGAGGCGCGGTGTGCATTCAATGTTGTAGTGACGTGCTGGGCCTAATGTCTCGTTTGAGGAGCTAGCGAGTAGTTTCAGATGAGAGAGTCCATTTGGTAGCAATGTAGCAAGATGAGGAGCAGCAGACGTGGTTAATGCAGCCTGTTTGGCAGCTTGAAGCAATGTGAATGGGAGGTGACTTTCTAATTCACCATAGCAATCGCGTGCATCTATGTGCAGGATACGCAGAGCTGGAAGAGAAGCAGCGAGGATGCTGTGAGCGAGGGAAGTGCCTTCAATGACCACATCGTAGTCTTCCACAGTCGTTGGCATGGCCGATGGTTTTGCAGGTGAACCAGACCACACCAAATTAGACAGGGCCCAAGTCACGAAACGGTATGGACAGGATGGTATGTGACCTTTGCTACGATGTACTAGTGTATGTATCTAGAGGAGAGCCAAGCCGACAGATGACACAGCCGTCAAACCCAATACAGCGTAACCCGTTCTGTAGACGCCCTTGAGAGAGAGCTCCGTGGCAGTGTCCCACCTTGCTTATTAGCACATATCCTCGAAACACTCAGAAAGATCAAGAGAGAACTTACATCAAATGACGAAGACCGTTCCAAGAATGGTACGAGAATGGCAGCGCAACAGTCGTCTTGAGAGCAAACTTGGAAACATCACTGAGCGAACCAAATGCCTCGGCCAATGTAGCGGTATCGAGATGCCAGCCAAAGACGGGAGCAGCAAGGTATGCAGCCCCGTAGGCGTAAAAACCTAATATAATGTGTCAGCAACTCTAGACATCTGCATCGCGTTTCTGCTTCAACAAGCAATCGCAATGATCAAAGTACTGCATACCTCCAGAGAGCGCGATACCCGTGATGCGGTTAAACATGGACAGGTACCAAGTGAGCTGGGGCTGGTAGATGGTGAGATGCGGGGAGTTTGGACGACGTCGACGTTGTGCAGCAAGTAGCGCATGCGATTCATCTGCCGTGATGCTGGTGGTGGAAGCGACACGGATGGCTTGACGCTGAATCATGGCTGTGCGTGCAGCAGCATTGAGGGAAGATCGAGCAAGCATGGCTTGAGTGTGTATGTGCTGGATTGGATGTTCTTGCTCTTGTCCGAGTTCCGGCGAGCGAATCGAATTTGGAGCAAAGGCAAGCAGCAGGCAACTACTTCTACTGCTACTTCTACTACTCAATCTGCGACTGTGAAGAGGCCAGATGGCAGTATATGTACTCACTTGCAGCTCATGCACTAGGCACAGCACCATCTTCCCGAGTCCTTCAAACACCCTTTATTGTCTATGCAAGCACATGTACAAGGAGACATGGCACTTCTGAGCTATTTCAAGAAGAGTTCCTTCAGGATCTCCATCGTATCCTCGGGCTTCGTCACAGAATGGCCAATGACCCGTTTGTCGTTGTAAATCTCATAGTCATTCCCTCCCTCATACGTCTTGTCACCAAAGAAGTGAATCTCCTTCCACCCATCCTTCTCAACATGCTGCAGACAGTATGTCTTATCCCAGCCTGTGGGGAAGACATCAAAGGAGATTTGACCGCCGATCGAGTAGGTCACTGACAAGTCAGAGAATTGCTTCTTCAATGCAGCCACCATATCGCGCCGAATATGGTGCTCCTTGTCGTATGCCTCAAAGTCATGCCTCTCCTGGATGGATGCATTCCTTCCAATAGGCGAAACGTTGATCATACCATTGCGAAATTCAATGAATGTACCGCGCATCACGGGCAGCTCGAGATCAGCGATGTAGTGCAGGATAAACTTGACCAGCTGCTTGTACTTGGCCTCGCCAATCCAAGAGATGAAGGACTGAGAAGCCATTTGCTGACCTTGCCGGTAGGCAGTCAATCCGTTTTCAGCGAATGCATAGTCGAATAGATCCGTCACTGTATATTAGCACTAGCCAACTCAGGTAGCGTCTGTGTACCCTTCACGTCGCCTGATGCAAGTTGCTCCTGCTGTTTCGGCAGGTCAGAGCCACCGACAAAGCCAATAGCGACTTGCTGGCGCAGTGCATGCAGCATGGCAATCATCTCTCCAGAGACGTGTTGCCTCGCGGGCGTCAAGGTGCCATCGACATCAAATAGGACAAGGGCCTCCTTGATGGGTCTCTCCTTGAGTGCAGGGTATGAGGAAGCACTGGACATGATATGACTGAGCTGCCTGAGCCTGTGTATGGTCGGTTGCTTTTGTGCGAGGTCTCGAAATACAAAAATCTGGCACAAGCGCGTCCTTGGCGGGGGAACACGTCGCAGCTTCTTGGAAGACCACGTCGCTAGCTTTGGGCCTATTGACAGAGCTATCAAGGCTCGTACTGGGATTGCTAGTGATTCGGCAGGCGACGATAACATGCCACGTACTTGTCCCCCTCATTGCGCTCCACCTTCTTGCCTTCCTCCGTCTTAACCAGCATCTCCTGCACACACACATCAGCAGCCTCCTCCGCCTCCGTCAGCCGTTCAAATAACGGATGCTCATCCAAATGGCGCTTCATCCACAAATGTAATTGCAGCACATCCGTAATGGTATACACAATCCCGCCTTCACGCAAAACAAACGCATACTCCGCCAACAGCGTCGGTGTCACAATCCGCGCTTTGTGCTTTCGCGCCTTGAAGTGTGGATCTGGGAAGCAAAAGAAGATCTTGCTCAGCTGTGCCTTTCGGAAGAAGTTTGGTAGAAACTTCATACTATTCGCTCGAAGCACAGCGATATTGTCATATGTGCCTGTTGATTGCTCTTGATGCCGCAATGCACGAATTCGCTCATGCACGTAGTCTGTGACTTGTGCACGAATCTCCATACCGAGGATCAGGGAGTCCTGGAAGTGCGGCGCCAAAGCAACCAGCAATCCACCAAACCCACACCCAACATCCGCAATTTCCACCTGTCGCTCGCCAGCTTTTGGATAGAGCGCAGACCAGTCCATTGTCTCTGGACTCACGGGATAGACGAGTGCATGATCAGAGAATGGATTGGCATGGGCGCGTTGGCGGTAGTATCGCTTCTGTGGCAGTTGCGCAATCTCTTCGCCTTGTCTGTTTGCGTAGGATTGTACTTTATCTCTGCGTCTTTTGGTCGTCTTGCTCTCCGACGGTACATCAACTACATCCTGCTCTTCTGTCATTGTTCAGCTAGATCTATGCTGAGTAGACTTGGTACATATCAGCTGGATGATCAAAATCGTTTTGCTCACACGCCATTTCCGCCCCATCTGAAGCTGCTACAGTGTCTGGTGCAGTCCAGCAGCAGTGAAGCGAGCATCCACAGCCTGCAGCAGTGCAAGACACCGTTCATCCTTCAGAAACGCTGCAAGTCGCGTATCTAGTTCTTCTCCGCTTAGCTGACTTGCTTCTGTCACCGTAGCTTGGATTGCACGGGGAATGGCAGGCGAGACTGCTTGGGAGACTTGAGAGGACAGGACAGTCTCCATAGCGCCACTCGTGCTGGTTTGACTACCCGGCAGCGTCTGAGTCGATGATTGAGACGGTATGTGGCTTGTTCTGTCATGCATCAAGGTAGATTCTCGTGCAGTAGGCAAAGGTGTGCGTCGAAAGGCATCTTGCAAGGCGAGTGTTCCATTCCCTCGCTGTACAAAGTGTCCCTGCTGCGGTGTGACTCTGGGTGGTACAGCAGCAGGTGCTTGAACCGTCAGATAGCGTGATAGCGACTGTACAAAGGCATCATACGCTTCTGCAGACGCAAATTTGATCTAGTGAGGAGCGCGTCAGCTTGGTCCAAGGGGTCACTTGCAACGCACCTGGAACTTGTCCACTTGATCTGCATCAAGCCAGCGGAAACCAAGCATGGGACATTTGCCAATGCAGCAGAGACTCATCTGTGTGTCTGCCTGTAGAAAGACGCGCTGCATGATGGTCTGGTGGTCGCGCAAACGAGAAGACTGGATGTAGAGGGTTGCTTGACTGTGATCTATGTAGGCAAAGTGTGGCAAGTCGCTCGTGGCAAAGATGCCGACATCCCTGAGCCAGGCAGAGTAGGAGACCTGTGTCATGTTTCTTTTGCTGATGTGGTGAATGGCTCAGAAGTACTCGTGCGCGGGTACATCTTCAATGGTCTGCAGCGCTTCTGTCCACGACTCGAGTGCCTTCCTCGCCCAGGCCACATACGCAACACCCACAGACTCCATCAACCGCCGCCAATCTTCCCGCCTTGAATCCTCCCACGTCTCTACTTCTTGAGAAATGGTCTCATCGACATACTTCAAGTCGCGCACACTGTTTTGCTCCGCCACCTCGAGCGCTGCAATCAACTCCCGTGTCGCACCAATTTTTTGCCTGCGCGTCAAGGCAGGATCTGTGTCTGTGAGTGAGTGAATGGCATGATTCAGCTTCCCAAGACCAAACTTGAAGCTACCGACGCTTAAGGGTGTTGAAGCGGGTTTCCTCGCTAGCGTCTCTGATTGTGCTGCAACAGGTGCAGGATCATGCGTGGGTGGGAATTCTCCCGCAGCAGGCTCACCGAGTCGATTGAGTGCACCATCAATCCGTTTAGCTTCCTGCTCTGATCGTTCGAGTTGCTCTAGCTGTGCTCGTTTTGCTGCAAGCAGCTCACCCGCTTGCTCTACCTGTGTCATCTTTTGTCGTCTGTATTTCAGTACTTGCCGGACAATGGCAAGCATCTGTGTTTGTTCCCCGAGCGGCTCTGTAAAGGCGTTGCTCAGCGTAAAGACTAGATTACTGGTAGACAAATACGTCTCATCGCAGGCTTGACCGAGCTTTTCAATGGAACTTGCCAGCTGAGGCGGTTCAGAGAGAGAAAATGCATTGAAATCGCCACCGAGCTCATTGTACTCGACAGACAAGTCATTGAAGCGCTTGAGAGTGCGTCGGTTGGTTTTCTCAAGAGTCGATGCAAGGAGCCCTTCAAACTCCTTGGAATTCTTCTCAACGGCCAACAAGCGTACCGAGACTGGATCTGTTGCCGTCTTAGAGGCCTTGGACGTATGTGCTGGAATCGGTAGATTGGCATACGCAGGATCATCGTGCGCTGATGCAGGATCATTGGGCGGTGCACGCAGGATATTCTTTGGTAGCAGAGAAATTGGTGGCGACGTGAGCACCTCGCTCCATGAAACATTCGGATCGAGAAACTTATGCAGTACACGCTCTTTTCGAAGATGTGAATGTCTTGCAGACCGTTGAAGAAACGTCTCTAGCATCCGCTTACGATGCTCAATCGTTGGAACATTCTCGCGCGCCCGTGCAGTGCCACTGACATACTCTGTGACGCTCTGCTTCTCCGGGATGGGTGGAACGATCATACATGGATATAAGCGCGCTAGACTTGCACGCAAGCTTTCAAATTCACTGTAACGTCTGCGTACCTCCAAATCACCCGTCCGAATCGTATAAGTGATGAATGCACCGCCTGCGCCTTCCATATTCTTACCGGCATCAATAATGTGAATCGTGCCACCTGCTTCGAGGAATGGTAGGATCTGATCGATACGTTGACACCGGCCTTGGAAACTAGAGGAAGCACGACGCATGTTTGAAAAAGTCGAGACGTGGTCCTTGGAGTGTTGACCCGGCGCTGCGAGCTGTGTCGGTTCGTCTGCAGATTCAGCCGTCATGGTGGGTGATGAGATGTTGAGGAAGGCCGGACGATCAGAATCATCAAAGGGATTATTGTCTTCGAAGTGCGACATGATGCAGGGCTGTATAAGCAAAGATCTCCTGAGGCCTGGGGTCTTGCTGAGCTTGGCGTCGACCTGCGTGAGTGAGTTTGACCGTCGCGACCCGTTCGTCATGGGCGAGCAAGACGAGATGGAGTAGCACTCCTACAAGCTGAAATATGAACCAATCTACAAACTACAACCAAGCTCCGTCTAGTACTGGTAAACAAAGTCAGGGTGCAAGTCACCCAACTGATCAATCTCATGCTGCGACTTGCCTTCAATGCGGTAGTTACGCTTACCGGCGCGTCGAGCAGCCATCTCCCAGCGCAAGTAGAGGAATGTTGCAAAGGAACCAAAGAAGACCAAACAAAGGTATCCAATGACGACACTGTGTCCCAGGATATAACGAGGCTTGTCCTTAGCCCTGAAGATGTTGGAACTGACGGCTCCTTGAAAGTTTCCGGCAGAGATGAAAATGCCGATCGCCACACCACGCTTGTAACTTCCCTCGAGGTTGCCGGAGAAGAGACTGATGGTCAAAGGAATTGTAGGATAGACACCGAGTGCGCCAAGGAAGGTGCCAAGGTATTGTATATTCTTGTTGCGCTCTCCAAGCAACAGAGCAAAGCCGATGATGGCAATCGTTGATGATAGCATGTTGAGCAGACTGCGGTAGCCAAATCGGTCGCCAATGTAACCAAGGCAGATTGTACCGAATGCAGCCACCACGTAAGGCGCAACCGAGTACAATTGAGCGGTCGTACCAGAATAGCCCAGAGTGGAGATGATGGTGGGAAGGAAGAGGGAGAAAGCATAAAGGGGTCCAAGACATCCAATGTAAATGACACAGGCCAAAAGAACCTTGACGTCAAAGAAAGCTCTGAGGACGCTGCGAACAGAAAAGCCTTCTCCCGCTGCGGACTTTTGTTGATCTCGTTGCAATCGCCAAATGACTTGTGCTCGTTCGCGCTCAGTCAAGAACTTGGCAGTATCTGGAAAGTCCTGAATTACTGAAAGGTTAGCAGTTTCGACAATGGGATCTGCACATACGCCACCAAGAGGCAGCTCCAGCAAATACTGTTGCGATTCCCTCGAGCAAGAAAAGCCTTTGTGTGTCAGCATGTTACACAAATGCAAAATGAACCAAATGCTTACCATTGCCAGCCCTTCATGCCTCCCTTGCCATCCAGCTTGCCAATACCGGCCGCTAGCAGTCCTCCGAAAGCTCCACTGGCTGTCGCAGCCGAAAAGAACACTGCCATGCGGAGACCCAATTCGTTGCGCTTATACCAACACGAAAGGTAGTAGCTAAAGTCAACATCGAGAACCAAAACCTTGAGTAGACATACTTGACACCAGGGAAGAGACCAGCCTCAGTCAGTCCAAGGAAAAAGCGGGCTGCAAGAATCCCGGAGTAGTTTGTCATGGCAGACATGCATGTCATGACAATCGCCCAAGCAACAATAATGGCCGTGAACCACACGTGAGGCTTGAGACCCTTGAGTAGAATGTTGCAAGCCGGCTCTGCAGCAGCATAGGGAAAGAAAAAGATGGTCAATGCCCACAGATATTGCTGATCCTTCAGACCAAGCGATTTTTCCAAGCCCCTGTAAAGATTAGTCCCTCACCTGGTTACAAAGGTAACATACTGCAACCTATTGTATTAGTACATCAATTGAAGGCAGAATAACTTGCCTGGCGTTTCCTATGTTTGCACGATCCAAGAAGGACAGGAGGTAGAGGAAACTGAGCCATGGAATAAGCCTCAAGTCAATTTTGCGCAACAACTTCTTCTCCTCCTCAGGGGTGAATGGGACGTGGTCAGCGAGGTATGGTTTGCCTTCATCTGAGTTCGTATGAGCCAAGTCAACAGACTCTTCGTGCCGGGCCTCTGCCTTCATGCTGATGGTTGAGCTGTAGAAGGATGTCGTGGTCTCGAATTTCCCTTGTTAATCTGGCGTTCTCTGGTATTTAAGAGTATTTCTCAGCAAATTCAGCGCAGGGGCACTGGCTAATCTAGAGCCAATTGTGGGGAAAAGACTCCGAAATGTTGGTGGTGCATCCCACGCGGGTAACGCGGGCTCGCCGCGGAGAAGGACGAAGACGCGACGTGCTTGCGAGAAGCAGGTTTTCAATTGCTTTCGGAATCAGTGCTGCTATCGTTCCCCTCGTACAAGCTACGGTGCAGCACAGCCTGCTACACAGCCGACCGCTTTGACTTGTTGCTACCTCTCACTGACTCACGCTTTAGTTGCTTCCATGTACCAGAGTAAAGATTCGTGAAACCAGACCTTGGCATGTTGTGCACAATTGCAAGTACCATCATCAGCTCGTACATCCGCTAGATGTCGCCATAGATACGCATACAAAGTTGCCTTCGTTGGCTTGCGAATTGTATCGACTTCCAGCCAAGCATTGCTGAATCGGGGTTGCCAATATGGCAAGCTGACCGCAAACACATCAACCTTGAGCTTGATACGTGTTCTCGCCTGCGAGCTCGAGCCTTTGCTGTGCAACAAAATGATTCACCTCACTCAGCTTTGGCCGTCCGCCTCGAGTCTTCATCCGTCTGTACTACGGGCTTGACTGGGACGTTACGTGCACGAACCCCTGAAGCCCCCGCCTTCAAGTCATCAGCAGCCAAGTTCAGTTTTGTAGTTGTAAATAGCGATGATTATCCTGCCAATGTCTGCCTTATCTGTTCAGTAAGCTATTGTAGAGAGACACTTCCATAGACAACTTCAAGGTGATGACCCGGCGAGCGCTGAGCTCGTATCTTAGATGCCCATGATTGCAGCAGAATTCCAAAATCACCTGCAGGCTGCTTTTGTCGGTAACGAGGCGCTTCGCCACCGTCTTGTTCCACTTCAAGAGTGTTTGACCATCCAATGTAGAGAGTACGTATCGTGCGCAAGCTCCCTTTCCAATCGATACTCGCCAATCGCTCCAACAGGTCAGAACCGGGGTCCACGACTGTAAGACTTTTAAGCGACAAGAAGTGCGTCCCGATGGCAGACCAACTTGGCAATCCTGTATCTGATTGACCTACGCCTAATGACAGATGTTCCACGACTCTTGGTAAATACATGTAGAAGTGCTCGAGCTGTGGCGCGTCGATGGTCAGTCGCCGCAGTGATGTCAACCTTCGCAGCACTCGAGCAATGTCGCGCTCACTAATATTGCTCAACACGCCAATCGGTACATCTGAGAGCCACGTCAGATTGAGATGCTCAATCTCATCCTCTTCATTAGGCACAAGGTCCTGCAGTGCGTGACCGCTGATGCGTCGTCCATCCAAATTAGTTAGGAGCCGTGCTTTGAGATGCGGTGGCAAGTAGTGCAAGCCAAGGCCTGTCATGTGATTGATGTGGCCCTTGATGCAGTACAGACATAGATCGGATAGTCTATTCAACCCGGCATAAATGCGAGTGGTTGATTGTGGACGAGAGCTTGAGCGCAAATGTCCCGGTGTCGTCCAGCTTTTTGGAGCTAAATGGCCTCTCGATTTAGGCTTTGCACGAGCTTGTGGTTCTTGGTATTGTAGTCCAAGAAATGAAGCAATATCAGGATGAGCTGGTAGGGCGGGCCCAGACCGAGAATGAGCGAGGACAGATGCCGCGATAGGCCGGCTTCCGCGTGCTTCAAGCCTCAATTGCTCGAGTCTCTCATTGACAGAGACGGCGGGCTTTGGAGCTTGCAAAGAGGGACTGCTTTGAAACGGCTTGAAGCTTTGATGTCGTTTCTTGCCCATGAGCGTAGCGTGAATCGCAAAGCAGATCCTCAGCTGTGCAGACCTGGCTATAGGTTTGTCGCTAGTGGCAAAACATTCAGATGGCAAAGACAAGAAACTCAAGGGGCTTGAGGTAAATTGGTCAGGTATCCCCTAATATTCGTCTCTTTCCAGACATTCGTGAGGTTCTTTGTTCCAATACTCATCAATGAGCCCTCCAGCTTGAACGCCGTCGCTGCGGTGGAATATAGCCACAAGAAGGCAGTCAATATGGACGGAGCGCGTATCTAGAGCGAAAGTAGCAGACGCCCCACGTCAACCCAATGCACAAAATCAGGCTTGAAGGTAAAATGATACAAAGCTATATAGCTTGACTGCGCTTCTGATAAAACAATATGTATGCCGCACGCCCGTCAATCTGATTCGATGGTGCCACACGCGAGTCATCAAAGAGAGTCCAGTCATTGGTTGGGTCAGCACTCACCATGGCAGTGTAGTGCCCGCCTTCCATGGATCCACGATGGTAGACTATGCCAAACAAGTCATAAATAGACGAAACCTGGTCTCCACCCAAGTGGCCGAGATAGTCCGTCATGTCGAGTGCCTTGAGTGGGAAAGAGATGTCGACGTTGATCTTGTCACGCCAGGGCCCCTTCGTCTCGAAGCGCTTGAAATGAATGAGCAGCACGTCGGGCAGTTTGGAAATGGCTAGTCGCTTGGTTGCCTTGCGTAGCGTCTTACACTTGGCACAATGCCAAGAGTCTTCGCCGTCCATTGATTCGCTCTTAACAAATTCATCAAGGCATGATGTGAGCGACAGATGCGGTTGCTTCGGGATTGGGAGCGACAAGCTTGTGAAGGCATTATACGTCGTCGACTGATGGCCACAAGTGAGGCAACGCAATCTGCTTTGCAATTGTCCTTGGAACAGATCAACAATGACACTCTTGTTTCGGTGCTGGTACCTTGCCCATTCGATAGACGAGACTTTGAGGTCCGGCATACGTTCCTTGACTTCTTCCTCGGCTTCTGTAAGCTCGCGCAAATTGGGCCGTTGTGCATGACCATTCAGATCTTCGTGCAGTCCATCAAGCAGAAACACCATCAACTCTTGAGCATCTTCTTGGTTGTTGCTCGCAAACTCTGGCCGGATCTTGCCAATCTGAGCCCGCAAATTGACTGGTGCTACGACGGTATTGTCGTCAGACGCCAAATCTCTCAGCAACTCTGCAAATCTGCGTGCGATGTCTCCCTTGTAGCCGAGTGGATTGCTCAAGTTGACATCCTCCTTGTATCGGCCACTTGTAAAGTAACGAGCAAGGGGAAAGCATGCACTCAGGCATTGCAAGACCGCATTCATGAAGCAGCTATTGCCCAAGTTTTTGAGTCCCGTCTTGCCAATAGTGACCTGTCCAAGACGACTGATTTGACCGCCAATGGAAGGTTGCCGCGCAAAAGCAGGTAGAGGACGACTTGCAGGCCCTTGCGGCGGTCTACGCACATTTGCATCGATCAAGTATGGTGAGGGCACCTTGTTTTGTGGCAAGCGCACAGAGAGCGGCGCAGTATTGGGCACGGGCAGCGGCTTGAGCTTCAGCTTTGCAAAAGACTCGACCGGGCTGACCATAGACTGTGAGCTTTTCCGATCCACATAGTTGGCGATGTACTCTTGCACAGACCGTGCGTACGGCATATCACCATTGCGAGGCCCAATGACACTAATGACACGATTGCGTTGCTTCTCAGACTGTTCGGGCGTGACAGGTGGAGAGGCGAGTACTGCACCGACAGAACTCTTGCTTGGTGGCGTGTGTGTCCCATCATCATTGGGCATGTTCACAATGGCGCCTCCAGCCCGCATCCAAGCGTTGATGCCACCAACAAGCAACATCGGAGGTCGCGACAGGGGTTTACGCCAGCCACTCTTTTCCCACAAGGCAGTATACATATTTTTTAGCACTTTGTGTGTGTACAAGTCGTCATTCCGGGGATCATCCAGCATCGTGCTTTTATTGTCGTAGAAGACAATGAGATTGTACTCGTGCCTTGCTTCAAACATCTTGAGCTCTTCTTCGGGCGCAACAGCAAATGAATCTTCGAGGTCTTGACAATGGACATTGTCGCGGCAGACCAGGGGGTCAATGCATGCAACAGAAGGCATATCAATGTGCTGGCGCTCAAAATCCGGTCGCGGACGGATGTCAAGAAACAAGACCTTGGCGTCTCTATTCTCCCTCAAATATTGAATCAGCCGTGGAGCCTCAATGTTATTGGTCTTGGCTAGCACGACGGGTCCTGCGGTTGCTGGAGGCAGATGCGGCGACCTGCCATTTGATCGAAGTGAGCTCCGATGAGAGGATGAGCTCGCTGGCCGTTCATCAGCACTATCCGATAGCTGTCGTTTGAGCTTCATCATCAAGGCTCCATAAGATTCAATCTCACCCGCCAGGACACTGCGAAACTCACTCAGTTCCCTGCGACCCTCGATGTTGGTCGTCTTCCACTGCGCATACGCGTGATGACGTGGTATCCGCTCGCTCATCAAATCATAGGTTCGAGCATAGAATAGGAAAGCGTCTTCTAGCTGGCCACGCTCTTCGCACACTTGCGCGCTGCGGTAAAGCTTCTTGGCAGTTGTGAGCCAGAAGTCTACAGGCATGCCATCGATGTCTGCATCCACCTGGCCTCTACGCTTGAGGGCCTCAAATCTGGTCTCGCGCATAGCAGGCTCGGGCACTTCTAAGGCATGAATGAAGGAGCCCTGGGCTATGGACGGATCTCTTTGTTGTGTGGTGGGTTGGCGCGTTTGAAGAGGCGACGCATTCGTCATCTGCGACACCACACACCAACTGAGCTCGTCTCTGCTCCTGTCTTCTTCTTCGCTAGGCGCATAGAATAGTATGTCTTGGTTTGCAAGTAACCCGCTGGATGAGCTGGTGGAAAAGGCGACATCCCCAGATCTGCCCGCTGGTTCAGAAGACTTGGCGCTCAACCTCGACATTTGCGACCGTATTCGCAGCAAAGCGGTGCCAGCTAAGGATGCCATGCGATCGCTCAAGAAGAGAATAGGACATAAGAATCCGAATATCCAGCTACTCGCTCTGACGGTAAGGCTATCATACGATACACGCACGACTAACGCTAGCTGACTGATTTGTGTGTCAAGAATGGAGGTTCGCACTTCCTGGTGGAGATCTCATCAAGGGAATTCGTGGACAACCTCGTCTCACTGCTCAATAGCCCAGCGGCTCTGAACTACGAGGTAAAGGGCCGTCTCCTTGCATTGATACAGACCTGGGCCTTGGCCTTTGAAAGTCGTTCAGAGCTTGGCTACATGGGCAGCACCTACCAGCATCTTCGTCAAGACGGCTTCCAGTTTCCTCCGGAAGAAAGGCTGGCTGCTTCTTTCGTCGACACTGCCGCGCCGCCAGATTGGTCAGATTCAGAGGTCTGCATGCGCTGTCGTACAGCTTTTACTTTTACAAACCGCAAGCACCATTGCCGGAGCTGCGGCAACGTCTTTTGTGGACAGTGCTCAACTCAGACTATGCCGCTACCACAGCTCGGCATCACAACGCCCGTTCGTGTATGCGACGGCTGCTTTGCCAAGAAACAACATGGTGCAACTAAAAAGATGAACACTCAGGCATCTCCTAGCAAGGCTCGTGCGCCTCCCAGGGAGGACGAGGACATGGACTTGAAGCGTGCACTAGAATTATCGCTAGCGGAGAGTAAGAACGCAGAAGTCAGGCAAGCGCCGCAACCGGCAGCTGCAGCGCCAATACCTGTTGCGCAGGATGAAGATGACGCCGACTTGAAGGCTGCCATTGAAGCCAGCCTGCGTGAAGCTCAACCAGTAGCTACAGCGCATGCACCTGCACCTGCCAGTGCAAATGGCTACAGCTTGCCCCAGCTCGACCAAACGGCCTTGCAGCTACCTCAAGTCAGCACACAGTATGCGTCTAAACAACCAGAAGCACGACAAATGCCGAGTCCCAGCAACCCACACGCGTTACAGCCCAGTGAGGCAGAAAATATCAATCTTTTCGCAACCTTGGTTGACCGTCTCAAGTCATCAGACACGCGCAGTGGCATATTGCGCGATGCTCAAATCCAGGAGCTCTATGAGGGGATCTCATCTTTGCGATCGAAACTTGCAAGGTCACTTGGTGATGCCGTCGGCAAGTATGAGTCCCTGGTCGAGACGCATTCCAAGCTCGCCACTGTTCAAAAGTATTATGATCGTTTACTAGAGGCAAGATTGGAAAGTACTTATGGCGGACGAGGATATAGTGGATATGAAACTCAGGATTACGGGCATGATGTATCGGGATACTATGGAGAGTCACAGTCGGAATACTACTCGCAGGGTACAGCTGTTGGGCAGCCTCCGGCACAACATCAGCAACAAGGACAACCTCAGCGGCAGTACGGAGCGCAGTATGACCCAGGAAACCAGCAGCATCAGTCACAGCATCAGTCACAGCATCAGCAAGCAGCGCGGCACGAGGAAGTTTCTCTCATTGATCTATAGCCTGTCTATATCGCCTATCATGCATGATCTCTTCGCTTGACCTTGATTTCGGGTGCTTCACAAAGATAGAGGGATCTTGAGAGCGCTGAAGTAGTCTTCCGTCGTCTTCCAAAGCTTTTCGGCATTTGTCTCCGTCGCAGCTGCCATCATTTTATTTTGATTCGCAATTGGGACGAAGTACTTTCCCGAAATTTGACGCTCGCTCACTTCATGTGCAGTTCCAAGATACAGCTGAGTCAAAGCGCCCTCTTCAGGATTGAGGAAGATACCTAATGCAGTCATGAGGACCACAAGACTTTTGCTGAATGCTGCAGCTAGTGCACCCCATGGCTTCCCAAAGGCCTGAAGCATGTCAGTAGAGACGAGTCCAGGATGAGCTGAATTGCAAAGGAGTTTTGGATGCTTCTTGGCAAGAGAAATGGTGAAGAGAACATTAGCAAACTTGCTCTGATTATACCGATTCAGGCTTGATGACTTAACGTTATTGAGTCTCTCGATAGACGAGAAAGAGTCACCTCGTACAGTGAACCACTCATAGAGCCTTGAGCTTGTCGTGACAACCCTAGACCCTTCACATCTGAGCAGTCTATCCAGGAGTAGATTGGTCAATAAGAAAGGACCAAAATGGTTCGACTTTATGGTCGCCTCAAGGCCATCTGCGTCCAGTGTTTGTTCTTCTGAATGCGCAAGCCCTGCATTGTTGTAGAGCACGTCCAAATGATCTTCCGCAGAGCTGAACTCGCGCGCAGCTGCTCGAATCGATTCAAAGTCCATCAAGTCCAATTTGAGAAAGATGACTTGTCCAGACAAATTCATAGCCTCAATTTCCTTGATTGCTTCTGCAGCTCTGCCTGGACTGCGACATGCCATGTAGACTTTCGCTCCTGCACGGAGAAGATGAATCACTACTGCCTTGCCCAGGCCTCGGTTGCCACCAGACACAATCATGACCCTGCCGGATAGGTCAGGAATGGACTTGGCGCTGTACTGGCTGCCGTAGATAAGAGAGAACAGCAGTCCTGGCATTGCGATGAAAGATGTCTAGGCAACTTGACGGGCAAGACCCCGCCATTTATGTGATGTAGAATGAATGGGTCTGTGCGTAGCGTGCGTAGAGTCTCATCTGATGTCGGATGCTGTACTCAAGCCATATTTAGCTCGGTTCAGGCTTCAGCAGCCTCATCGCTTATCTTAGAAGCACACATCCTGATAGCTACAGCACAGCTTAACGTATTTGCAGCTCTTGACGGCCAATGGAAGTGTGGTCACCTTCAAAACCAACCCTCAAGCCGCGTCGCTCATCGGAATGTATTCAGATGATCCGTCGATGATGGCGAGCTAGAATCTTGATATCTACAAGACGCAACTCGGTGAACTCGTGATCCAAAACTCTATGCATTGGAACCTCATCGAGCCAAGTGAACAATACCGGGAGCTTCTACGATTTCGATTACATGAATTCTCGCTATTGCCACTTGCACAACGATATTGATCAATTTAGCCGGCTCAACAAGTCCACACGCTGTCTGTGAAGAGAGGCAGCAGCACTGGAATAGCTTCCAATCGCAGAGTCCATGCTAGACATGCCCGACTCGGTCTCTATATTCTGCCCAAAGGCATCACTGTTGTTGTGCACAACGAGCAGTGCACCTTCTGCCCATGTTCCAGGCTCGTAATGTCTTGTGGAGGTTGAGAACAGGCTGCCTTTGGAAACGACGCGAATATGCAGCTGATTTTGCAGTGCAGAAGTACATAAAGGAAGCGCCTCGGGATCGGCATAGTCATTGAAGCAAAAGCCCCGCATCCGCTTGAGCTCCATCGAGTTGCTCACATATGCGAGAGCTGCGATGTGCATCCGAACGATGAGCCGTGCATCGAGAGATTGAGCGAAGATAGAGGGTGGATCATAGGTGTAGACATAGCCTTGTGGGCAAATCTGCTCGAGAAGACGGAATTCATTGCGAACTTGTTCAACCGCAGTGCGAAACAACATCTCGCAAGATAGCACTTCCCCTGAGGAGCTAGAGACGAAGCAGTCCACAAAGGCCAGTACTGTGCATTTGCCATCACTGATCATTGTATTGAGCTTCGCTATCGTCTGAGACACCGAGCGTATGGACTCGCCGATACTTGTTCTCGCAGGCAAACCTTGTGCATGCACCATATTAGCTACCAGATGCAGTCGCAGGCGTTCGTCGTAGGCTTCACGAGCGCGAGAATCTTGCTTAGTCTTGGTGTTTAACGGACCTTCATCAGCCGGCCATTGCTCGCCCTTGATAGGGGCTTCTCTCAGTGCACAAGCGCGCAGCATGACATTGTCATCCTCGAAATCGGGATGAACCATGGCGCTGACGAGCACATCGCGCGCCTGCTGCTGATTACTTGTTTGTAACTGAAAGACCTGCACTTTATGTCTTTGGTCAAAGACGTAATCACCATGCATAGCGGCCGGTACGATGGCAGTGACGAAAGTATGCATTGCGCCTTCCATGTTTGTGATGCTGTCAAATGGTGAATTGCCCGTCTCGAATTTGCATCCAAGAGCGCTGTCCTTCTTATGACGCATCAAGTGCTCGACGAGACTGTCAGATACGAATGCGCTGCGACTGATATAAGGTGGCGGCGTGGTCTCAATGCAAGTGAGATAGTAATCACGCGGAAGTACTCCTGCAGTTACTTCGGTAGGCCTCAAAACATCAGAGCGGCCAGAAGAGCTGGGCCAGATCTTGCGGAGCGACATTCATGGATCGTCTAAGGGTCTCTTTCTCGTCGCCATTGGCAGATTGAGTTCACCTGGAGCTTGTCGACGTCGACGCACTCGAGTCCAACTGGTGAATTTTTCAGATGGGAACAGAAACCCACTCGGTAATCTTCAAACCAGATTCAAAGCATACACCGTAACAACATCAAGAGCTGAGACCTTTGTCTTGAATTACAGACTACAATTACTATCACGATCTATTTACAGCGAAAGAGAAATGTTGCGAGCCTTGAAGTAGCCCTCTGTCGCCTTCCACAGCTTCTCTGCATTGGCTTCAGTGGCATCCTTTGTCTTCTTGGTCTGATTCGCAATGGGGGTATAATACTCCCCGGAGATGTGCTTCTTGGCAACTTCGGGAGCAGTTCCCAGGTAGACTTGAGTCAGTGCACCCTCAGGCGGGTTGAGCACGACGCCCAATACGCTCGACAGGAAGATGACGAGGCCTTTGACGAATGCCGAAACGAGGGCACCAAACGGTGACCCAAAGTTCTGCAGCATATCAGTCGAAACCAACCCTGGATGACATGCATTTGAGATAATTTTGGGCTGCTTCTTAGCCAAAGACATGGCGAATAGCAAATTGGCAAACTTGCTCTGGTTGTAACGGCTCAGGCTGCTCGTGCCCTGTTGGTTCAATACTGACACGGAAGAGAAAGAGTCGCTGCTGACCTTGAAAGACTCATAGAGAGTTGAGGCTGTGTTTACAATTCTTGGCTCGTCAGCTTTGAGCAATTTGTCGAGTAGTAGATGAGTAAACAGGAAAGGCGCAAAATGATTCGTTTTGATGGTCGATTCAAGCCCATCGGCATCCACTGTGTCTTCCTTTGCACCACTGATGCCGGCATTGTTGAAGAGCACGTCCAGATGGTCCTCCTTACTGCTGAACTCTTTTGCAGCTGCACGCGTAGACTCGAAGTCCATCAAATCCAGCTTCAGAAAGATGATTTCACCCTTGAAGTTCATCGCCTTGATCTTCTTGATTGCTTCTGCCGCTTTGTTGGCGTTTCGAGAGCCCATGTATACTTTTGCGCCTGCTCGAACCAGATGAATGGACGTGGCAAATCCAATGCCATTGTTTCCTCCAGTCACAATGATGACCTTGCCAGAGAGATCAGGTATAGATTCGACGGAGTACTTGGTGCCATATACGAGAGGGAAGAGTATTCCGGGCATATCAGTTGTGTGTGGTTGGGATGTTTGTCGGTTGTCCTGATGTCTGAGCCTTGTGCTTGTCTGCTAGGGATGCGGATGCAGGTCGCTCTTATAGTCTCGTAGTTTTGGGCTTGACGCCGCGGACCGGGGTAACTGCACGCGACCGCATTAAAGTATTTGTCATCTGTCAGATCTTGTGGCTTCAGATTTCAAAATCATAGGCGAGATCAGATCGCACCAGCAAGTCTGTCTACCTTGGTGCTCACCAGAGACCGCCAAGAAACAGATCTCTGGTCAGGTCTATGTTCCTATTGCAACGCCCGGGCAGGTCACGAGGGATATAGCCCCTGAGAATATCGAGTAGTTGTGCAAAACTACCGCAGAATACTTCAGATCAAGAGATGTTTCCTTGACCTTGTGATGCAAATCCAAACGATTGTAAACGCAATCCATATATTAAAGTTTCAAATCCTTGCGTACCATTTCCTTGCAGATTGGATGCAAGCCCGGTGCCACCTTGCCAAACGTCTCTCGCGCCAATGTAGTGTCCGCCTTGTTGAGAGCTCTAAACAATGGTCTGACGAACTTCATGCGACCCACGGTACCGACCCAGTCTGCAGCTGCGTGGTACAAGTTCTTTTGCTTGCATGTTACAGCGAGCAGGTAGTACCTGAACGCCACTTCCGCATTCTGCGTCTCAATGAAACCATACAAGTCACCAAGTGAGGCAACCAGGTCGGGGTCTCTAAAGTGGGAAGACTCGAGTGTCTCCAAAAACACGACACGTTGTCCTGCACTCAAACTGTCCACATCCGACGCGGCGAATCCAGCAGATTGACCATCCTTGTGCTTCCCTTGAGCATTGATCCAGCGTTTTGCAAGATTGTAGCAAGGTACTGCAAGCGAGGTATCAAAATCTGGCTTAGTCGGTAGACCAGGGCTGTAGAACTTGTGATTCCAGTCGACACCGTCCAGCTTCTTGATTTGTGCCTCTTCTTTGCCAAAGAAGTCATACAAGCTTTGCTTGAATTGGAAAGACGTGATACTTTGGCCTGCGAAATGCTCAAAGTACCAGCGCGTGTACTTGGCAAAAGGACCTTCTCCCAAAAGGTGTTCCAAGTAGTAGAGCAGATTGAAACCCTTTTCGTATGGGATGCTGGAAAAGGAGTCATCCGGATCGACTCCAGTGAGATCAGGAATCAGTTTTGTGAATTCGTGCTTCTCCCCATAGCCGGCAACCGAGTCTTCTAATGCCTTCCAGCCCACGATGGCGCTGAATTCTGCAGCAGCACGACCATGAAGGATACCGACAATCTTGCGCTCAAGAAAGACGGTCCAGCCCTCGTTGCACCAAAAGTGAGCCCAGCCCGCACATGTAACGGAGTTACCAGACCTAGCATTAGCTTGGAAACATAGGAGTGAACCAATATTTTACCAAGAATGAGCGAGTTCGTGCGCAATCACGTCCAGATTCGAGCCATCGCCAGCCAGAATTGTTGGCGTTGCAAAAGTCAACGCAGCATTCTCCATGCCGCCGTATGGGTAGGAGGCTGGTGCTATAAGGACGTTGTAGACATGCCAGGCGTATGGTGGCAAAATAGATTCGGCCGCCTTGATGAACTTGTCGACAACGGGCAGCATTTCGCGTTGAGCTGCATAGATGTATTTAGGTTCGGTGTAAAGGACAGATCGTGAGCCGATCTGAGCTGATGCAAGGTCACCGGAAGCAATGGCAGCGAGATATGTTGGGATTGGCACAGGTTGCTCAAAGTCGTACAACAGTGTACCATTCTCGAACTTGCTTGCTCCCTTGGGCAGACCTGTTGCAACGACTGGATACGGTGATCGCAGTGAGAAGGTAAAAGTTGCCTTGATGAGCGGTGTGTCTTGGCAAGGATACATGGAACGTGCGTGAATTGCCTGACATTGCGAAAACAGATATGGCTTGTCGCCTGCTGTCTGAGCTGGTTCTAGCCATTGCAGAGCTGTGCACCTATCTGTCGTGCTGTACTCAATTGAGACGTTACATGAGGCGCCTTGCTCGAGTGAATTCGGCAGAGAGATGTGCAACGGAGAGCCAAGAGGTTCCTTGCGAGGAGCCACCTTGAACTTGACAGGAGCATCATTCAAAGAGACGCTCGTCACATTGAGAAATGACGAGTCGAGGATAATCTCCTTGGCAGAGGCGTCCATACACGTCAACGTATGCTGGCAAGTGCCTCGTAGTAACTTTGCGGCAAAATCCAGCGTCACTCGGAGCGAGGTGTGCGTTGTGACGAATGCATTGTAGTTGGCATTTGATGATGCGTCTTTCCGTTCACCCATGCTTGTAGCAGATTAATCTGAGCTTCAGCTCCTGAGAAGGCCCTTGCAATTGCAAATGGGTATTGTGGAGCTGATGTAGACGTTGAACATGGACACAAAAAGAAGGTACGAGAATCAACAGTCACAGATCTTCAATGCACGATTACTAGTCATTTAAAGTGATATAAAAGTCGCCTTCGCTTCAAAGTCAATTGCCCAAGGCCAGTATGTGCTTGCTCACATCCTTGCCAAGTCTCGCTCCCCGTACGAATCATGTTGACAAAGACTTGTGGTATCTTCAATCTCTTGATACTCTGCAAGCTGCTTTGCGAGCGATAGCTCATAGCTGTTTTGATGTTGCATGATAGGTCTTCCTCTCGTCTTTGGGGTCTGTTCATTGACAAATATAGCCTTGACGATTCTGCCGAACTTTTTGCGCTTCGACTCTTGCCTCGATAGATTTGACTCCCTGTCATCAAGAGTCTGCTGCTTTGCCAAATAAGAGCACTTTCGCGATTGATTCAATTCATCCCGCCGTCTACACGTCGAGGACATACTTTCTCGGAGCTCTGCGTTTGCCATCTCGCGCTCATACCCTTGCTGCAGGCCACGCGTGAAACTCTCGTGGATCATAGCCTTGTGTGCGATAGATAAGTCTGGTACAAGGGGTGAGAAGTGAAGCTTATCGGAGTCTTCGGGGTCGACTGGCGATGTGGTGGTTTTGATGGACATGGAGCGGCGTTTGCCCTGTAGCTTGCATGGCTCTGCTCTTGATGCGCATACTTGAGCCATTGGTACTTGTTGGCTCTTGCCTCAACAGGTATATATATATGGGCTGCTTGGTGTATGGGGATGAGCTTATGAATCGAGTCTCTTGCTCGTAGTCTCTGGCGCTGTTTCGCTCTTGATTGGGCCGATTTATGACGCAGCTGTCAATCTCGCAGCCGTTGCACTGACACCTGCACAACCAAGCGATATCTTATCAACTACGTGCATACATAGTTGATGTAGATGTAAGCAGAGACAGGAGAGAGCCTTGTCACTGAGCATTGACGCCAGGGTCGTCGCGGTTTTGTCTCCGCATGCTGGTCAATGTGGTCCGTGAGCAAGACAAATAAGCAATGTCTTGTGCTACAACCTATTGAAGACTTCTTCCAGCGGACGTATAAGCGGTACTTGCGAGAGGAACAGCAGATCAAGAGGTCTATCTGCGAAAAGAAGCAAGTGTGACTGTCTTATCCATGGCCACATTGTGCTGCCAAGTACGATTACGCAAGCACAGCATGAGCACTCTACAGAGTAGATTAGGATAGCCAGATAGCAAGGGCCGTGTGCTCAATGACTTTATAGACATATCCAGATAAAGAGGCCTTCAGCTAGGTGTTTCGTCATGGTTGCTGGTCCAGGCCGCTCTCTGTCACTGTGCAGCGGCGTGTTTCTAAGCGATTATCTAACAGACTTACTACACAACAACCACTTCATCACTTCATCCACTCTGTACTTCATCGACCCACACGTTGCCACGACGCGCATTTGACAGACTCTACCATTACGCTCTTCGAGAAACAGGCCCCGACTGAACGAAAGTCACACCCCCGCTCAGCGCTCGTCGCACCTCATCCAAGCAACGCTTTCGCCGTATCAAGGCGCTCGTCTGCACAAATGCCGTCCGAACAAGCGATACAACGTGCAGATTCACGCATGTCTTCGGAACTCTCTACCCTCTCCAGCAGCGGCAGCTTACCAATCTCCTTGGAAAAGCAAGGTTCTGTTGACACACACGCGCCCGTTTGGTCTTCTGCGCAAGTCTTGGTGAATTTACTACTCTGTCCACTTTGTTCACAACTCCTCGACCCGGCGAGATCATTGCCATGCGGTCGATCAGTGTGTGATGTATGCTGGCTAGCGTGTCCCCTGGATGGCGCAATGCGACGCTGCCCCTATAGTTGCGGTAAAGCACGGCATTGGTCTGGCATTGCACACGATGTCATCTTGCAAAAGATATGGACCCTCATTCGATCATTTCAGCAACAACGGACAACGTCTGAAAAGAAGTTGGAGAATGGTGCTGACAAAGCTTGGTCGGAACAGTTTTTGTCACTCCTTGGTCAGGCGTTGTCTGGGCAAATACAACGGAAAGAGGACTATGTACTGGAGCAGTCACCACAGCGTACCCACGACACGGATTTTGACTTGTTGACGCTGGCACAATGGCCTGAACCAAAACATATTGAGGAAAGTCCCCTCCTTCCGTCCGTCTTGGCGGAACTCGATTGTCAAATCTGCTATGCAGCCTTGTTTGATCCACTAACGACACCGTGCGGTCACACATTCTGCAGAAGTTGTTTGTTGCGCTCAGCAGATCACTCGCCACAATGTCCAACCTGCAGAGCAACGATTCCACCACCTTTTGCAAATCTCTACCATGCACCCTGTTCAGCGGTCCTTGCCTCATTCTTCCTCAATTTCTGGCGACCCTTGTGGCGAGAACGACAGTTGCACATCAAGGAAGAGCAAGATTTAACGGAAATCTTCGGTACGGCCGATGCAAGTCGACTCGGACCAGGCATCACCTTGCCAATTTTTGTGTGTACCTTGGCGTTCCCTTACATGCCTACTTTTTTGCACATCTTTGAGCCTCGCTACAAACTCATGATACGTCGGTGTGTCGAGTCTGGTGATGGCAGGTTTGGTATTGTGTTGCCAAGATTACCGACGGCGTCGCAGTCTGCTGGTGAAGCACAGGGATGTCCCTCTGCGACGTATGGCACTGTGCTGCGTATTAACAGTGTGCAATACTTGGAAGACGGACGATCCTTGCTTGAAACGACGGGTGAAGATCGTTTCAGATTGGAGAGATGGGGATCTAGAGATGGATACATGGTTGGCAGGGTCGAATTGCTACCGGATGACGGCACAGATGGCGACTCGGAAGCCGAGACGGAAAGCAGTTTATACCCTGCTGGTGACCTTGGCTTCACGCTATCGCCTCAAGATGACGCCTTGGATATTGCAGGTTTGTTGCAAGAAGCGACGCATTTCATTGGCAAATTGAGACAAGGTTCTGCGCCTTGGGTCTTGCAGCATTTGGAAATCACGCATGGTGAAGTGCCGGATGATCCGAGTGTTTTTGCCTTTTGGGTGGCCAGTTTGATTCCTGTGCATGAAGAGGAAAAATACCTTTTACTCAAGGCGAGAGGTGTTAGGACTCGCTTGCGGATTGTGTTGCATTGGGTGAGGAAGTTACAGAACCAGTTGTGGTTCCATGGGAGTTGTGCAGTGATGTGAGATGAGATAATGAGTCAGGTGTGTTATGAGCATTTATTGGTTGAGTTTGCAGTCATCTTGGATATATTCTGATCTTTTGGCAGTTCGTCTCCTTGCACCTCCGAGTATGAACTTGAACAGATGCGCCAGACATTTGACCGTCACCGGAGCAATTTACAGAGTGCAGCTATGCCTGATGCGTTGCAAGCTTCCCGGTGAGGAGCACTGTCAGAAGCATACAATCTACGAACCTACAACTAACGCCCACAATGTACATCTCAATAACAATCTATAGCTCACTGAATCTTGCGTTTGTTGAAGGCCTCCTTCATCTTGTCCATACCGAATCGTCGCGACATGATGGACGCAATCAACCAATAAGGCGTGAATGCATTCAAAAACCAGATCATGGTTGCAAACGCTCCCTTCCAGATACGGGGAGGTGGTGAAGGCCTCATGACTAGGTTGACAACATAGCGTGCATAATCAGGTCGTTGACAAGTACCTGTACTTTGAGACGTATTCAACCTCTTCTCAATCATATCGCGAACAGGCGCATACAGTGTATCTTCGAGTAATTTGAAGCGCGATGTAGCATTGACGACAATGTTGGATTGCACTCCGCCCGTCACAGCCGTCACAACCTTGACGCCAAGTGGTTCCAATTCGATGCGCATGCAGTCCAAGAGCATATGCAACGCTGCTTTGGATGCATGATAGATACTACCCCATGGAGTCGGGATAATGCCTGCGACACTGCCGGTTGCTAGGATTGTTCCTTTTGCAGCAACAAGCATCTTGATGAATGCCTTGTTCATCTCCATCACGGCAAAGAAGTTTGTCTCCATCAACTCCCTGCAGACATCGACATCGAGTTCGACCGCTGGGCCTGTGTAACTGATGCCTGCATTTTGAACCAGGAAGTCTAGCCTGCCTGCTGTTGACTTCTCGACATATGCGCGACATTCTTCGATGGATTTTTTATCGTTGACGTCGAGGGCGAGCAAGGTGATGGTGGGGACATGGCTCAGGTTGCCCATGTTTTCGACCTTTCTCGCCGTTGCAAAGACGTGGCATCCCCTGTTGGCGAATTCGAGAGCGAGGGATTCGCCGATGCCTCCGTCTGAGCAGCCGGTGATGAGAACAGTCTTCATGCTAGTCACTAGTAGATTACGGTAGTAAGAAGTAGAAGTAGGAGTAGTAGAGTAGTAGTAATACTTGTTCTCATTCTTTATCTCGAGATTGAAAATGCGGAGGCAGAATTCAGATGGGCTGCTGCTTACATAACCAGGAGATGGCGCCATTCTCAGATTTCAAAATTTATCAAACCGCAGCACTCTTACTATACTACTACTATACTACTCCTACAGCTATAGCTATGGTCCCAGAAACAGCTGCAGAGCTGGCAGGCCCCACTTACTGCAACGGACAGACACTCATCGAGCAAGTCTCCTTTGCCCTCAGTGACAAAATCTACTCCTACGGCACAGAAGAGCAGGAGCTAGACCTCTCCGTCGCGCGCTGGGCTGAAGCAGGGCAGCATAACGCAGCAGGCAATGCCGTCTCCTTCTCCAGGATGCAGGTCAGGTCTGGCGCAGCGAGCATGATCCTCGGCAACATCTTCTCCCGCGACAACAACCTCATCAAGCATGCGAGCCCCTCTACCATTCTCGCTACTTCCAGCTCCCTCATCGCCATGAAGCCCGTCTTGGACCAACTCTCCCTCTTATACTCCGCAGCAACACCTCTCGTCGCACACGTCTCATCCTTGGATCTCTCCCCCATCACCTCCAACTACGTCTCTGACTACTCTCGCGCCCTGGCACTCTCGCGCGAAGGTGGCTATGCCGTCTTGACGTCCACTTCGGCACATGAAATCCAACACATGGCACTCCTGGCAACCCTCCTCTCCTCAGAACTCCCCACCGTCCACACCTACGATGGCTTGCGTGTTGCGCGTGAACGTACACGCGTCGTGGACGTTCTTGACCAAGCTGCGTTGAAGCGCACCTATACCCGTGTCTTGCAGCAATCCGACGCTCTCAGTTCCAAAGACGAACCCGCTGACCGTGTTGCCAAGATTCTCAAAACCCTCAACGCAGAACTCGGTACGGAGTATGGTTTGTTTGAATACTTTGGCGCTGCAGATGCAACGTCTGTGGCTGTTGTCTTTGGCTCTCCTGAAGCAGCGACTGCCAAGTTGGTCGCTTTGCAACTCGCTGATGCAGGCACTAAGATTGGTATTGTCAATGTACGTGTCTACCGACCTTTCGCCGAAGAGGCATTTTTGCGCGTCTTGCCAGCGACCTGCACGCGTGTTGCTGTTCTGGGACAAGTGTATACGAGTGATGATGTGCGGGATGCAGCCATCACGAGCGTCTTGTACTCGGATGTCTTGTCTGCCCTTGCCATGTCTTCTGTCTGGGCATCGCGAAAGGTGGCCGTTGTGGATGTCAAGTACACCCGTGAAATTGTTTGGCGTGCAGGCAACATGGCTGCTGTGCTCAAACAAATCGGCGCTGGCAACAATACCATTGATGTCGCTGCGCTGGAAGATGAAAGCAATTTTGGCATTGAGGCGGAACAATTCGTGCAATGGGACTTGGATACTCAAGCATCTGCCGAGTCTGCCACCCTTCTTGCAACCATCTTGGAAGCAGGGCAGGAGAACGTCAACTACAACAAGTCCTTTGACAACTATGCCGAGGGCGGTCTCGTGCACCATGAGATCAAGCTCTCGGCTAAATCTATCGAGGCTGCCTACGCCGTTGAGTCTGCTTCTGTTGCTGTTGTGTCCAACATTCAGATCCTCAAATCGTACGACGTCGTCAAGACCATCAAGGAGAATGGTACACTCTTGCTCAAACATGCCTTCAAGCCCGAAGAAATTGAAGCAAAATTGCCAGATGTCTTCAAACATGCCATTGCAGGCAAGTCAATCAAGCTAATTCTCCTGAACCTTGCAAGTCTCGGTGATGAAGTGGATGAGACGGCTGCCCTTCAAGTTGCTGCACTCAAGCTCTTCCGACCTACCTTAACAACTGACCAGCTTATTGAACAAAGCACCAACGTCCACGAATTTGTCTCGCGCGATCAAATCAAGGCTATTGTGGAGCACCTCGATACTGCCTTGCTCGCATTCGATATTCCAGCCGAATGGTCCACGATTGAAGCGGCTACCCTTCCTGCCTTTGTCACCGCGAATAGCTTTGCCCCCAACACGGAGCGCGAAGTCGCATACCCGGAGAACCAACAAGCTGGTTGGCAGACGGCCGCCAAGCAAATTGCCTTCAAGGAGGCCTACAGCTTCAAATCAACGCTCCGTCCTGATGTTGCTGAAAAGACGTGGCAAGTCAAAGTTCAAGCAAATCGTCGCTTGACACCCACCACCTATGACCGCAACATCTTCCACATTGAGTTTGATATTACTGGAACGGATCTCAAGTATGATCTTGGCGAGTCGCTTGGCGTGCATGGACACAATGACCCAGAGGAGACGCGCAAGTTCATCGAGTGGTATGGCTTGGATGCCGAAGACCTGATTCAGGTACCTTCTCGCACTGATACGAATGTCTTTGAGACACGAACCGTCTATCAGGCACTGCAGCAGAATGTTGACTTGTTTGGACGTCCTGGCAAGAAGTTTTACGAGGAGTTGTCTGTCTATGCAACAGATGAGCATGACCGCAAGATCCTGACGTCTCTCGGTACACCTGAAGGTGCCGTTGACTTTAAACGTCGTGCAGAGGTGGAAACGGTGACGTATGCAGACTTGCTTGAAGAGTTCAAGTCTGCTCGTCCACCAGTCACTGAACTGGTCAAGTTGATTCCAGCAACGAAGCGCAGAGAGTACTCCATCTCTTCATCGCAAAAAGTACACCCAAACAGTGTTCATCTGCTTGTGGTGGTGGTGGATTGGAAGGACCAACGTGATCGTGAGCGGTTCGGTCATTGTACGCGCTTCCTCTCCAACTTGCAACTCGGTGAGCAGGTGACTGTATCATTGAAGCCGTCCGTTATGAAGTTGCCACCTCGTCCTGAGCAACCCATCGTTATGGCCGGTTTGGGAACTGGATTGGCACCCTTCAGGGCCTTTGTTGAGGAACGCGCTTGGCAGAAGCAGCAAGGTATGGAGATTGGCGCTTGTATGCTGTACCTCGGTTCACGACACCAAAAGGAGGAATACCTGTATGGTGAAGAATGGGAAGCCTACAAGGATGCGGGTATCATCACGACCCTTGGACAAGCCTTTTCCCGTGATCAACCACAAAAGGTGTATATTCAAGATGTCATGCGGTCGACCTTACCGGATATCCAAACGGCATTGATGGCGCAGGAAGGATCATTCTACTTGTGTGGCCCAACTTGGCCAGTGCCAGATGTGCAGGAAGTATTGGAGGAAGCGATTCGCACGCAAGCCCAGCAGGACGGTACTAAGGTTGAGAGTGCCAAGGTCATTGAGGAGTGGAAGGAAGCGCGTCGCTTCGTGCTGGAAGTCTACTAGACTCTATAGCGATAGACTATACTTGATAGATTGATGTTCATTTTTGGCCCCTGTAATCGCCTGATTTGACCCCGCAAACGCAAACGACAAACTTGATCAAACCACATGCACCGATTGCAAGTACGATGAATACGCTCCCAAAAGTACCAGACATTGCACGGCTCTCGCCCAGAGTGATTCGGATCCTCGGTCAGAATGGACCCTCCAAGTTCGTATTGCAAGGGACCAACACCTACCTCATTGGAACAGGTCCCGAACGCATCTTGCTCGACACCGGAGACCAATGCGACGCATACCTGCCATTCCTCGCCAAAGTGCTAGACGAAGAACGTTGCACCATCACAAAAGTACTGCTCAGTCATTGGCATCATGATCACGTCGAGGGATTACCCGGTGTTCGACAACTCCTCGCCCAAAGGGACGCAAAAGACTCGCATGCGCTGCAAGTTTGGAAATTCCCGCATGAGGACGATGAGGCAGATTGGCAGGCGTTGAAGGATAATGACGAGATACAAACAACAGGAGCAACACTACGCGCATTGCACACGCCTGGCCATGCCTCAGATCACCTATCCTTTTTGCTGCTTGAAGAAGGCGCCGTGTTTACGGCAGACATGATTCTGGGTGGCTCGACCAGTGTCTTTGAGGACTTAAGTGCATACATGGCATCCTTGCGAAAACTCCAAGCTCTTGGCAAAGACTTGGTCGGTCGGCTGTATCCGGGCCACGGCCTTGAGATGGAAAACGGCTTGTCCGTTGTGCAAGAGTACATTCATCATCGACAAGCAAGAGAAGATGAAATCGTCAAACTACTACGGCATAGGGCTCAGTCACAGGGCCTACACAAGGCCAGTGCCATGGATCTCGTCAAAGTGATTTATAAAGATGTCAATCCTGACTTGTACCCGGCAGCAGCACATGGTGTCGACTTGCATCTGCAAAAACTACAGCAAGACGGACAGGTGGAAGGCCTCGCCGAGGAAGACGGGCAAGGCGATGCCGTCTGGCGACTCAAGCCTAATGCGCGCATCTAGCTAATCATGTCTGTAAGGGTATCCAGAAATTGTTGCGATTGCTGCCCTTGCGTTGCTCCTGCTTTTTGAATGTCTTGCCCGTCTTGACTGGACCAGTCCGTTCGAGCAGCCAATAGGCCATGCGATCCGTCATCTTTGATTCACGCATTGTGAAGCCCACCGTCTCGAGCATGTCTGTTAGGATCTCAAGTGTCATGTATCGAGAATTGACGACGCATGGGGCAGGCAAGACCAGAAACAGCCAGTGCCTGTGATTGGTGTCTGCTGACGGAGGCAAGAATGCAGTCAGATGCAACAAGAAACGGCCCCTATCCGCAATGGGCACGAAATTCAGCACAAGCGAACAACTGATGCCTTGAAAGAGGTCGCCATCACCTGCAGGCAAAGGTCGCATCAGAAAGTCCTGCTGCTGTATTTGTGCGCTCTGCGCATTCAGGTCAATCCGTGTTAGGATAAGTTGCTTCGGATGCTGCGAGATGTAGTTCTCTGCGCTCAAGCAACCAAGCTCTAGAACCTTGGCCGGCTGCTCTCCTACACGAGGGATTTGCACTGCGCAGGTAGGCGACTTGAGCCACGACAGCAAAATCTTGCTGCTATCGCCTCCTCTACGCACATCTTGCCCAGCAATGCTCGACTTTTGGTACGCTTGTAGACCACCAAGGCCATCAATTTCTTCTCCAAGCGAATGGATTTGCGCAGCATCTCTTTTGCGCGTTGCTGCTTGCAATGCAGTCTGCAGCACATGGAATCTCCTAATCAGAGCAGGACCGGCAAGCGGTCTCCTTTTTGCTGCAACATCGCCAGACCGGGTTATAGGCAGCTTGCGCGACTTAGCGCTTTTGGGCATTGCGTGGCATAGACAAGTTCGTATTCAGCTGCGGGCTTTAGCTGATAGCAGTCGACAGGTCGTGACTCGTGAGGTAGCCAAACCTGAAATCTGATGTATTGCAGAGCAAATATTTATTTCTCCTCCGCAGACGCGACGGCGAGCTCCGACTCTAGCCTGCTCCTTGCTATTCGCTCCACGACTATATAAGGCTGTGTACTGTCATCTCATTCTTGTTCTTGTATTGCAATGGTCAACACATTCTCAACTACCAGTGCTATGCCCAGCTTCTTTTCTGAAATCGTTGCGGCTCCGGATGATCCAATCTTCAAGCTCACTGTCGCCTACATCGCAGACTTGAATCCAAAGAAGATTGATCTTGGTGCAGGTGCCTACAAGGATGAACAATGCTGCTCATGGGTGCTGCCTAGTGTCCGCCAGGCAAAGGCTCTGATTGCAGCAGATCCCAATGACCACCATGACTACCCAATGTTGTCGGGACGCCCACAATTCCGAGCGCTCGCTGCTCGTACGGTCCTCGGACTCAACTCAGCAGCCATTGCTGAAGCACGCGTTGCATCTTGCCAGACCATCTCTGGTACCGGTGCCAACCACCTTGCTGGCTTGTTTCTCCGCAAATTCAGGCCCAATGCTGCACTCTACTTGCCTGACCCAACATGGGGCAACCACCATGCCTTGTATGGCCATGTCGGCTATACGCTCAAGTTTTATCCTTACTGGAACCCAGAGACCCGAGCACTCAAGTTTGATGGCTTGATGGAGAGCATGCGTAACGCTCCTTCAGGTTCCATCTTCTTGCTGCATGCGTGCGCCCACAACCCTACAGGCACAGACCCAACGCCCGTACAGTGGCAGGCTATTCTCAAAGTGATGCTCGAGAAGGGGCACTTGGCTCTCTTCGATTGCGCATACCAAGGATTTGCCAGTGGCAACCTCGACCAGGATGCCTACGCTGTGCGTCTCTTTGTCGATGCTGGGGTAGAAGTGCTCATTTGCCAATCTTTCAGCAAGAACCTTGGCATCTATGGCGAACGTTGCGGTGCATTGCATATTGTCTGTGCAAACTCCGTCACTGCCAGTGTCCTCACGACGCATCTCGCAGACTTGACGAGGAGCGAAATCTCGTGTGCACCGGGTTTTGGTGCGAAAGTCGCTGAACGGGTTATTGGAACGCCTGAGCTCGCTGCTCAATGGGAGTTGGACTTGTTGACCATGTCTGGCAGGATCAAGACGATGCGCCAACGTTTATATGCTGCATTGCAGACACTGCAGACACCTGGCACCTGGGAGCACATTATTGATCAAATTGGCATGTTCTCCTACACTGGGCTCAATCCAGCGCAGTGCGCTGCCTTGGTGTCCAAATCCATTTATCTGGCTGGTAATGGTCGTATTTCCGTCTCAGGCCTGAATGAGGCAAACGTGGACCACTTCGCACAAGAGCTCGACTGGGTCGTGCGTAACGTGCAGTAATTTCTTCTAAAGGTAGATGGACAAGGCATATAGTGTAGTAGTTCACATCTATAGCAACTTCAATGCAGCTAGACCAAGGGCAAATGCACCCAATCTCGCGTCTATTGCATAGCCTTCCTGTTCAAGGTGCTTGAGTGTATCATCAAGGGTGTCCACCTCTGGCTCAAATATCTCGATGAACTCTCCAGCTTCCAGTTGAGGCTTCAGATTCTTGTTGCGCTCATCCTTCATATCAATATCGACATAGACCATGGATGTGGTCGTGTTGGTAAAGCCTGGGTCGTTATATAGCAAATAGGATGTCTTGACAGCTTTGCCAACATAGCCAGTCTCCTCTTGCAGCTCTCTTTCAGCAGCTTGTTCAGGCGATTCATTTTTATCCATCATGCCAGCAGGTACCTCAATACAAATCTTGTCAAGCGGTGGCCGGAATTGCTTTTCGAGCACAATACGCGTTGGCTTCCCCGGTGTCTTCAGCAATGCAATGATACCAACTGCATCTGTTGTTGTATTGGCATTAACGACGCGCTCTGCAGACTCCCATATGCGTTTTGTGCCTGTTGGATCTTGCCATGCGATCTTCTTGAGGGTAGTCCACTTTGCTTCGTCCAGGGAGAGTGGAGTCTTCTCCAGAATCTTGGAGCCATTGGTCGGCGCTTTGCTATTAGACATGATTGAGCGAGACAGATGAAGAAGACGTCTGCTTGTGGTCGAATTTGGCATGCGTCGCCCGGGGAAGTGGTTTCTCGCAGTGACGTCGAGATGGCTCAAAACCTCGAGCATCTACTAAGACCCACACGCTATGGAAAGAACTGACGACTAGCAAGCTTTGACTTCAGCCTGAATTGATTTGAGCATACAAATCTCCGACATTTCAGAGCAGTCCAAAGGCAAGCCCGCCAAGGTTGTTAAGCTGAAGACATCGTGCATCTTGTACTTTGACGGCAGAGGCAAGCGAAAGGCCAGGCTTCTATCGAACGAGGATAGGTCGTGGCTATACAACCATTTTCACTGAAGCGATAATCATGAGAAGTGGTCGCCATCGTGTTGGTGCAGGTAGATTATTGAATGCTTCCCCATGGTGGCCTTGTTCTGGTGCATTCAACTTCATGAAACAACCAGACATCTTATTCGCCATGCCACCATCAGAGATTCCCTTTCTAAGCAAGTCGACTGAGTACTTCACTAGGATGTGAAGCCGACCGTTGTTACAGTACTGATCGAGTCATTGGTACCTTTCTTTCGAGAGCCTCTTAATCACATGCAGCCTGCAGGTGGTCCCTGGTCAGTCGAATACCTTGCCGTCCATATCAGCTGCCTCATAACCCCATCTTTCCTTCTTTCCAGCATGCGTCAGTTTGCCTATGCTGACCCAACCATCACAACACTTGACAGCCAAAATTGGCTCAGTGTACGATTGCGTCTCATCGAAGCTGACACTTTTCCTGACATAACGTATCGTTCCTGCCGGAGCTTGAATACTCACTGGTAGCGTCACACTTTCTAGCACGCCAAGTTTGACGACTTGACCTGACATTGTTGTCCATAGGGATCCCATCACGCGCGACCAGAGTGCGATATCGTCTGTACACCAAGTAGACCAAATCACTCTCGTCTCTTCCTTGGTTATCTTGGGAGCATACGACTCTGATGTTTCTGGTTCAAGCGGTGTAGGAGCATTAGCAGGATAGCCAGCAATGAGCAGTTCTCGAAGCAAATCAGCCCCTGTCTTCGCCAAGGAGGAAGAGAGAGCTTGCAGACTCAAGTGAGCTACAGGGATTTTTGAAGATCGAAGGAGTACATCACCCTTATCGAACTCTGTCGGATGTATAGTTTGTACTGAAACACCCGTCTCTGCATCTCGTTGCAGCAGTGTGTGATGTAAAGGAGCTGGCCCACGATGCCGAGGCAAGAGCGATGGATGTACATTGAGACCGCCAGCTGAGCATAGACTCAAGACCGACGCAGGGATCTTGTGTCCGAATGATACAGCAATGATAAGATCCCATCCGCCTGGTGGCAATTCTTCTGGCTTGAGCACAAAACTATGTGCATAAGCCGGCTTGTAGCCCATCTTCTCCGCCAGCAAAGCCATGTGTGTTGGCTTGAGTACTTTATGATTTCTGCCAGAAGGCTTTGGAGCAGGGGTCATGATGCCCAGAGAAGAGACGATATCTGATCGTCGCAAGTGAAGTTCACGGAGCATGGTAAAGCTTGGAGCAGAGAAGCCATCTGAGCCACAAAAGAGCACTCGCAAAGGAGGAAAGCTAGCTACTTCTCGCTGTTTCTTGAAGGGAGCCCAAGACCAGGGCCGCTCTGTGGTGATCCGAAGCAAACGCGAGGGCTTGAGCATGCGTTGTACTGGTCATGAAGCTGATTATCTCGAGAGGTGCGCGTAATTTCGTCTCCGCAATTGCACCGCGAATCGCGACCTCCAAGAACACCACAAGTTGATTTGTGAGGTCAATAATGGGGGACTTGGCGGCAAGCGAGGTCAGAGGCGGGATCAAGATCGCCATTGATCGCGGAGGGACGTTCTGCGATGTCATTGCAATTGTCCCTGGCCGAGACGATATCGTGCTCAAATTGCTCTCTGTTGACCCAGAGAACTACGATGATGCGCCTACAGAAGGCATCAGGAGAGTCCTCGAAATTGTCGAAGGTCGAAAGATACCGAGAGGTGAGAAGATTGACTTGTCACGCGTTTCGTCAGTACGCATGGGTACGACCATTGCCACGAACGCACTGCTGGAACGCAAAGGCGAACGAACAGCCCTGCTCACCACCAAGGGATTCAAAGACTTGCTCCGAATCGGAAATCAAGCTCGACCAGATATCTTTGATTTGAGCTGCGCGAAGCCTGAGGTACTTTACGAAAAGGTGATTGAGGTGAACGAGCGTGTTACGTTAGAAGGATATGCTGAAGATCCCGAAAAAGTCAAAGTCGACCCTGAGACTAGTGATGACTTGACTAAAGGAATCACGGGTGAGACTGTACGCATCATCAAGGCATTAGACAAAAATGAAGTTCGTCAGAGTCTCGAAGAACTTTGGGCAGAAGGCTTCCGATCAATTGCCATTGTCTTGGCTCACTCTTTCACATATCCACAACACGAAGCAATCATCACAGAGATGGCAGAATCCATGCGCTTTTCGACATCCACCAGCTCAACACTCATGCCCATGATCAAGATGGTCCCGCGCGGCACCAGCGCGACAGCGGATGCCTACTTGAGCCCGAAGATCAAGGGGTATCTTACAGCTTTTGGCCAGTCTTTCAAAGGTGGACTAAGTCAGAGCCGTACAACGTTTGAGTTCATGCAGTCTGATGGTGGTATGGTCAATTTCGACCGCTTTAGTGGTCTCAAGGCAATCTTGAGCGGTCCAGCTGGCGGTGTGGTTGGCTATGCGCAGACATCCTATGATGCTCAGGAGAAGCCTTGCATTGGTTACGATATGGGCGGAACGAGTACCGATGTGTCACGATACGCAGGCATGTACGAGCACGTCTTTGAAACGACCACCGCGGGAGTTACAATCCAAAGTCCACAGCTGGACATCAATACTGTTGCTGCTGGCGGTGGCTCAATGCTATTTTACAGGAACGGTATGTTTGTCGTTGGACCTGAAAGTGCCTCTGCCCACCCAGGACCGGCGTGCTACAGGAAGGGTGGACCACTCACGGTCACGGACGCTAATCTCCTGTTGGGAAGACTGTTGCCTGAATATTTTCCGAAGATCTTTGGTCCGACTGAAGATCAACCGCTCGACGTGGATGTTACGCGATCCAAATTTGAAGCCCTAACAGCAGACATCAACGCTGAGAAGGAAGGTGATGCCCTGAGCGTCGAAGCTGTCGCCGAAGGCTTCCTTAAAGTGGCAAATGAAGCGATGAGCAGACCTATCCGCACCTTGACTGAAGCGAGAGGCTTCTATTGTGGCAATCATTACCTTGCCTCATTTGGGGGTGCTGGAGGGCAACATGCTTGCTCGATCGCAAATTTGCTCAAAATCAAGCGCATCATTATCCACAAGTATTCCAGCATTTTGTCTGCCTATGGCATGGCACTTGCTGACGTTGTGACTGAAGTGCAAGAACCTACGGCAAACGAATGGAACGACGATACCAAAGCAGGCCTTGTCCGCGATCTTGAGCACTTGGTAGAGCGAGCAAAGCGTGAGCTCTTGTCTCAAGGATTCAACAAGGACAGGCTCAGAGAAGAAGTGTACCTGCACATGAGATACCAAGGTTCGGATTCAGCCTTGATGGTTCTCAAGCCAGAAAATGACTGGGACTACGGCAAGGCTTTCGTAAGGAGGCATCAGGAAGAATTCGGGTTTACCATGCAGAGACCTATTCTCGTGGACGACCTCAGAGTGCGTGGTATTGCCCGCGGACTCGATCGCTCGAATAACACACCCTTCAACGAACTACGGACTCTGAAGACTCGAGTGGTTGCCACCAGTGAAAGAACGAGTAGAGTCTACTTTAATTCCACAGGCTGGATCGATGCGCCCGTATATCAGCTGCCAGACCTGCAGCCTGGCGACCAAGTGCAAGGTCCTGGCATCATCATTGACCAAACCCAGACTATTGTGCTCCAACCAGAGACCATCTGCACCACAACCAGCAAACACTGCGTCATCGACGTTCAGAATGTGCCGTCAATGGATCTCGATGACAAGACCGTGGATCCCATCCAACTCAGCGTCTTTGGACATCGATTTATGGCTATTGCGGAACAGATGGGCCGAACTTTGCAGCTCACGTCGGTGTCGACCAACATCAAGGAACGACTCGACTTTAGCTGTGCCATCTTTTCTGAGGACGGAGCACTTATTTCCAATGCACCGCATGTCCCCATCCACCTCGGCTCCATGGGTGCTGCAGTACATTACGCGCACGACTTTTGGAAGGACAACTTTAAGCCAGGCGATGTAGTCTGCTCAAATCATCCTTTGGCAGGCGGAACGCATCTTCCTGACATCACAGTCATCACTCCTGTATTTGACGAGGCAGGTAAACGAATTGTCTTTTATGTCGCCTCACGGGGTCACCACGCTGATATTGGTGGCATTACGGCTGGCTCAATGCCGCCACACTCCAAGCAATTGTTCCAAGAAGGTGCCGCCATCAAAAGTATGAAGCTTGTGTCACAGGGCCAGTTCGACGAGGAAGCCGTGACCAAGGCGCTGCTAGAGGATCCAGCTCAGTATGACGGCTGCAGTGGCACGCGTTGTCTGACTGACAATTTGAGTGATCTCAAGGCGCAGGTCGCTGCCAACAACAAGGGTATCACTCTCATGAATGGCTTGATTCAGGAGTTTGGCTTGTCTGTTGTACAATTCTACATGCGCGAGATTCAGAACAATGCCGAGTTATCTGTACGGAACCTACTGCGACAAGTATGCAAAACGTCTGGCACGACGCTTCAAGCAGTCGACCATCTCGATGACGGTTCGCCCATTTCGCTCAAAATCAGCATCAACGCAGAGGAGGGCAGCGCTGTATTTGACTTTACCGGGACAGGTCAAGAAATGTACGGCAATTTGAATGCACCAAAGGCTGTCACTACTTCTGCTATCTTGTACTGCTTGCGATGTCTCATCAATGTCGCTATTCCCCTCAATCAAGGCTGCTTGGTGCCGATCAATATTGTCATCCCAGAAGATTGCCTGCTCTCCCCCTCAGAAACTGCTGCTGTCGTAGGAGGCAACGTGCTCACCTCTCAGCGGCTGGTCGATGTCATCTTCAAAGCCTTCGAAGCGTGTGCCGCCAGTCAAGGATGCACAAACAACCTGACCTTTGGCACTGGAGGCAAGCAAGCCGATGGCAGTCATAAATTTGGTTTTGGCGTCTATGAGACAATCGCTGGTGGTGCTGGAGCCGGTCCTACATGGCACGGACAATCTGGTGTTCACACGCACATCACCAATACGCGAATCACGGATGTTGAGGTCTTTGAGCGACGCTATCCAATTGTACTGCACCAATTTGGCCTTCGTACTGGTTCTGGTGGCAATGGACAGCATCAAGGCGGAGAAGGTGTCATTCGCGAAATCGAATTCAGAATTCCAGTGCAAGTGTCCATCTTGTCTGAACGCCGTGTCTTTCAGCCATATGGTCTCAATGGCGGTGAGCCTGGTGCGGTTGGGAAAAACACTTGGATACAAGGAAACACTGGCCGGCACATCTACCTCGGTGGCAAAAACTCGGTTGCTATGGAAGCAGGTGATCGCATTCGCATTGAGACGCCGGGTGCAGGAGGATGGGGTAAAGTGGGGGCAACGGCCACTGTGGCGAACAAAGAAGCTCAGCATCCGCGGGCGAGTGGATCACTGGCTGAACGGCACGCTGCAGGACAGAGCAGTACATAGTTGACGAATAGTTGACGAAAGTGGATACCTAGTGCCATATGCAATGATTATTACTACTGCTTACCAGCAGCTTTCCGTTTGCGCTCACCACCGTGCTTTTTCCTCATGACAGGTAGTGCATAAGGCTCCTCGCCTTGTCTGTACTTTTCGCGCCAGAGGAGTAGATATTTGCGTTGTCTCGGTGAAAGTCCAGCTTCCTTTAAATCATGCGCCGACATTTGAAAAAGCTGAGGCCATTCTGTAATCTTTGGAGCAGCTACTTTGTGCAAATCACGACCAATCTTCTTCAAGAAGGTGTCGACATCAGCGATTGAACCTGCACTTGTCAGTTCTATAGCTTGAGAGCAAGAAGCGTACGGACCTCTTGGTTTCGGGACAGCAGAAACTGTTGAAGCAAATCTTGCAGCAGGAGCAGAGATGGAGCGAAGAGCCTGGTTAAAGCAGCGTATACGTAGCATATCTTAGCAGATTGTCACTTGCAATCGCTTGTACGTTTCTGTTTCGTGGTGTCAAGCTTGATTGAAGAAGCGTGTGAAGTTGGCGGCCGGCCTGCCGACAGCGATTGCGGAGCCCCGGCGCGACGTAGCGCTCGCTTTATATATGGTCGCTACTTGGCTCCTGGGACTTGGATCAAGAGCACTCACCCTTCCAGTTACTCTCAGATCTATCCAGAAAGCGACAATGGTTTCTGTAGCTGCAGCTCAGCCAATGCTATTCAGGGCCATCGACAGCAAGACTCATCCATATGGGCAGATTGGCATCATGTCACTCAATAGACCTAAGGCCAATGCATTATCCAAAGGCTTAATAGAAAGTATGATTACTATCCTGCAAGAGGTAGAGCGAAATGATCGCATCCGCGGCATTATTTTGGAGTCTTCATCTCGCGGCATGTTTTGCGCAGGGGCAGACTTGGTCGAGCGTCGGAACATGACGCCTGTGCAGGTAGACACATTTCTCAAAGACATGAGAGGCGCAATGAAGATGCTCGAAGTCATTGGCGTGCCGACCATTGCGGTCGTTGATGGCCATGCGCTAGGTGGTGGACTGGAATTGGCGCTCTGCACTGACTTGCGTGTTACTGGACCTCTTGCCAAATTGGCTTTGCCAGAAACGCGACTTGGCATTATTCCTGGTGCCGGTGGTACTCAACGCTTGACACGTCTTATTGGGCCGAGCAAGGCCAAGGACTTGATGTTCTCTGCAAGATCGGTGGATGCTGAAACAGCTCTCAAATTAGGCATCGTGGATTATGTCGCTGAGGACCCTCTCCAAAAGGCCATCGACTTGATGGAGCAGTACATTCAAAACTCACCCGTCGGTATTCGCAATGCCAAGAAGGCTGCTGGCTACGCTTCTGCGCATCACGATGGTCCGGCTGGGTACCACCTCGAGGCAGGACTGGACTTTGAGCGCTTGTGCTATGCGGATTGCCTTGACAAGCCCGACAGAGACGAAGGTCTCCTCGCTTTCAAAGAGAAGAGAAAGCCAGTGTATGGCATGCCCAAGGCCTCTGCCAAGTTGTAGCACAGGATCTGTCAACTATATTTTGTACCATCTGAACATCCGCCCCTGTTACCACAAATGGCCCTCCAAGAGCTGGTCAAGCAAGAGCCATCCGTTTTAGGCTGTGAAAAGCACTGAAGGCCGTTTGGAAGCTTCTTTCAGATCAGATCAATCGTCTCAGATCTTTTGCAGATGCCACATTGAGCCAAAAGCGATCTGCTTTGTCAAATTCTCTTTGCTCGATGGCTGGCAAAGAAATGCCATGGTAATGGTGTCTTGACTTGTCTAAGTTGTCTCACAGTGGACAAGGGCAGACGACAATGCCATCGAGGATAAAGAGTCGACTCCTTGCATTCAATCAGCTGCATCACATTCCCTAACAATGGTCAAAATTCTAGCGCTGCATGGTTTCGCTCAAAATCCCGAAGAACTATCCTCAAAGCTGGTAGAGCTTCAACGCCTTATGCCTGACGCCGAGTTTGTATTGCCGTCTGCACCTGTAGGCCTCATTAGCTACGATCCAGCAGAACTCTCAGACCGCCATCATCGCATCTCGGGCTTGCCAACGAGATTCTCTTGGAACTACCCCTGGGAGGACCAATCCTCAAATCTCATCAACCTCGAAGCAGCAGCAGAAAAGATCCTGCCATTGCTACGATACCATGCGCAAGAACTCAAAGCACCATTCGATGGCATCTTGGGCTTCTCACAAGGCGCTGCCTGTGCTGCTGCCATCACATCGCTGCTCGACCAAGTTTCAAGGGCATCGCCAGCGGTCGTCAATAAGCTTGAGAAGTATGCCGATGCCATGTATCACCCACGCTTCAAATTTGCCATCCTCTTTTGCGGTGCACGTCCGGCAGCAGCGTCGTTTGACTGGCTGTACAAGGATATCTCCACGCCGTCATTACACTTGATTGGACAGCGCGACGTCATGGTCCCCTTGGAGCGTAGTGAGCAGCTAGCAGAGAGCTTCGTCAAGGCAGATGTCTTGTTTCATCCAGGCAACCACTTCATCCCTACATCTCGAATGTACACACAGGCCATTGCAGACTTTGTGGAGCGCCAACAGTCACACCATCTAGCAAGCCTTGCGACAAGTGGGCCCTTGCGACCGAAAGCACAGACACCTCGATCGAGTATGAGTTTGCATGCAGATGAACGCAGTATGAGTGGCCGTTTGCGCTCCGGATTGAAGAGATTCTCTATTGAGCAGCGCGACTTGTGCGATCAATTGGCCAATGCACCTTTATCGCCGCTCCGTGCCACTACCTTTGACGAAGCGGAGGAATATGCGTACGAGGCGCCCCGCAGAGCGCCAGTTCCGGGCGCCAAGAAGCAAGTTTCGAAGAAGCCAAGATTCCTGTTGCGCCGAAAGACGAGCTTTGCCACGATGAGGATGCAAATGACTGTATAGGATTTCCATTGTAATCAAATGCTGTGCATCGCTATGCTAAACTGGGAAGAATGCTGCATGATACACAGATCAAGCAAGCAGCTTTGGTGCATCAAACACAAATTTGCCGGTCAGGACTTGCTCGTCCGGTGCCTTGTCAAGCTTGACGAGTTGTTCCCGGACGTGTGCCGACATGCTCGCTAGACTTGCAAGCGGGAAGTCAGGCTTTGCACCGTACATGTTGCGCCAAAGTGCAGCGGCGAGAACTGCGTCTGTACTGCAGAGTGCTTCATCGTATGCAACGATAGAACCACGCCACTGTAGTAATAGATCCTTCATGTATGTTTGAATGATACGGCCGTCGCGGATCTGATAAACGACACGCAACCTGGCTTCTGCGTCATTGAAGAAGTGGTTTGTGATTTGCTGCTGATAGTGGCGACCGAGTGACTTATCGAGTGATCTAAAGCGCACCATCATCATCCAGATATGAAGTTGTGTGATTTGGAACCACGTCTGGAACGTCGGTGGTAAAGCGGCGTCTTCGTACCAAAATTTGTTTGTTGCCTTGCTCGCAGCTGTGGTAGCGGCAAAAGGGGATGCCGGTGTCATCGTCACTGCCTGCTTTCTAGAGTCCTTTGAATCCGCTTTGCCACTCAACGGAACGGGTGCTTCTTCCTGAGCCGCCTGCGCTGCTGCTTGAACGTACAGATCCATCGATGGCTGATATGCGGCATAAAAGTTTCTCTTATCACCCAGCAACTTGGTTGTGAAGCCAGCAATGGCTGTCATAATGGTACCGTGTCTCTGATCAATCTGAGAGGAGTGCTGGATGCCTGACCCAGGGACATGGAGCGGCTCGGGCTTGCCCTCTGGTTTGAGCTGGCGATTGACTTTGAAAGCAGCGGGTGTCGTTGAGAACAACATCGCTGTTTGCCGTGAATGCCTGCATGGCGTGTATCGTGCAGCTGTGTGTCTTGCTGATCTGGCTACGGACTGCTGCATCTTGGGCCTCTCGAGTGCTTCCCTTCTGCAGAGCTTGAGCTTGTCTGTGTGGTCTTTTCGTTCTTTTGCAAATTACGAAATCAGTCAGACATCACCAGTGATTCACCACTTCCGCGACACTCACCCAACCCACCACTGAACAGATGGCGCAGCATGTATTTGACGCTGAAAAGCAGCCGCTGATGGCGCCTATACCATGCTCATGCTCATGCGCTTCTCAAGCTCAAGTCTCTGCTGAACAGCTTGCCATTCGCCGTCGAAAGGCCAACAGAATTGCTCTGCTTGCCATGCTATTCATGCTTTCATTAATCATGCTTGAACCTGCCAAGAGGCACCATCACAATTGGACGCACAAAAGCCCAGACAAGCGTGTTGTATATCTGCTGAAGCATCATCCTCTGCTCGATACGCACGTCGACTTGCCTGAACTTGCTCGTTGGCAGTTTCACAATAAGATCGAAGGGCCTGACTTTGCCTTCGATAAGGAAGGCTTCTTTGGACATCTTGACATTCCCCGTATACGCCAAGGTGGTGCCTCTGGTTTTATCTGGTCAGTCTTTACGGAATGCCCCAAAGACTGGAACGACACAAGCGCTGTTGGGACCATGACGCAAGCACGATCGACATTGCAACAGATTGATGTAGCAAAACGCATTGTCGCCAAATATCCCAAAGATCTCTCGCTTGCAACTGACGTCAAGAGCTTCCGTACACAAGCCAAGAAGGGCAAGATTTCAGGCTTCCTTGGTGTTGAGGGTCTTCATCAAATCGGCAACTCGCCAGCGGCTCTGCGGCTCTATCACGAGCTTGGTGTACGCTATGTCACGCTCACGCACATGTGCCACAACAAGTATGCAGACAGTGCAAGCGTTCCTGCAGATTTTGGCGGTCTCAGTCGTGATGGGCGCTTTATTGTGCAAGAGATGAATCGCATTGGGCTCATGGTCGACCTGTCGCACGTCAGTGATGACACCATGCGTCAAGCACTCGAGCTGAGTCGAGCACCAGTCATCTTCTCGCATTCAGGTGCACAAGGTGTCTTCAAGCACGAGCGGAATGCACCAGACGATGTGCTCGACTTGCTCAAAAAGAACGACGGTGTCATCAATATCGTCTTTATGCAAGAATATTTAGGCCCAGATGGGCGGCAAGTGACGATCGACACTGTGGTTGACCACGTCTTGTACGTTGCCGAGCGGATCGGATGGCGACATGTTGGTATTGGCAGCGACTTTGACGGTGTTGAACATCTTCCTCAGGGCCTTGAATCTGTGGCTCAGTACCCGGCTCTCATCAAGCGTATCATTGAGCGCTCAAATGCAACAGATGCACAGCTTGCTGGATTCGTGGGTGGCAATACGTTGCGTGTGCTCGAGCAGGTTGAGCGCGTTGCTGCTAAGATGCAGCGAGAGGGCTTCGTTGTCTATGAGGTGGATGAGATAGTGGACTAGATACATGACGCTTGGGACGTAGCTTCAGTGCTTTTGGTTTATGTAGAGACGATTTATGCAGAGCACGCATAGAGGCCTATGTCTAAAAGACCAATTGAAGAGGAAGACACGCCGGAGAAGCGTGTTCGCACCGATCAAGAGGCCAAAGACAAGCAGAGCGAACCAGCAATAGATCAAGACGCCGAATGGGCCGCATTGCAGGCTTTGCTAGGCGAAGACACAGCAAGCAACGGCGTCTCAACGGAAGTGAATGCTGTTCCCAACATTGAGCTGGCCGACGATGCTTCTAGTGACGATGACACGCTTACTGTCGCAGGATGGGACTCGGACGAGCAACGACTCGAGGAACGCCTAGCTGAGCAGCAGGAACGACGCGCTGCACTTGATCGCATACGACGCGAACGCGACTCGAAGATGCAGAAACGCACTACGGACAAAGAACAGCCTTCGCCTCCTATTCAACCAGATGCAGTCATTGACGATGAGAGTAGTGAGGAGGATGAGGAGGAGCGCGGCTGGGTCAAGCGCAAAATGTGACTGTTACTATGCCTGGGAGAAAAAGTCAAGGTCGCTGCATGCTGAAGTGCTCTTTTGCATCAGCTACAACTTAGCATGTCGGCTGCTTCAAAGACAACGATACATCCAAAGACGGTCGCTTACTTCGAACTTGGCGTGTCGCTTTACCTATGGCGCTTTCAAGCTCTTCAATTGGCGGTCGAGAACGGATGGGGAGGCCATGATTCTGCCGAGAAGCGCGACTGGCTCGCCGGTGTCGTCGCTGACATGTACACATCGCAAGTTCCTGCAGCGAGCGATGTTCCGACTGAGGTGGCACTCAAGGACATTGATCCTGAAGATGTCGAAGATGTTGTCACACAAGTCTTGTCTGATGAGTTTAGCGTCATGCTCGAAGATGATAGCGCTTATGAATTAAGTATGCACATCGATGCGTGCTGGAAGGACTGCTTGCGTGGTCAATTTGAGAAGATTCAACAGATGCAGCAGGCTTTTGAGCAGGCGCGGCCGTCGCTTGCCACGAAGGCTGCGCAGGAAGATAGCGATAGCAGCGGTACGGATGCTGAAGTCGACGAAGATGAGATGATGGTAGATGCGCCTGTAGCGCGGCCCGAGCCAGTCGTCGATGAAGATGGCTTTGAGCTTGTTCAAAAGACCAAAGGCCGTCGGCGTTGATCTCTTGTCGATTGCAATCTATGTGAATACATGCACAAGACGCTTAGTGTCTGGCAACGCCACGCACAATCAGCACACCACTGCCAGGCTCGACACGCCAGCCCTCTCGGTCGAGCATTGCTCTCACAGCTGGATATATCTTCGCCTTGCCACCGCTGCTATGCAGGCCTTTCCCCGTAATGAGTCGTAGCGATCGTTGAGCTGTCGCATTGTCTTCAGAAAGCCTTACTCTCGTCCACCACTGTGACACTTGTTCCCTAGCGACGTCTACTGCTTCCTGCACTGTCAGTCCGTGCAAATCAACCTCAGCATGTGGATTCTGCCCAGATGACGGGGCCACTGCTGAAGCTTGCGCTTGTGCGCGTGCAGCTTTCATCTGGTACATGCGCATTTTGACATCTTGCTCTCTTCCTCGTTCAGCATAATGCAATGCAACACCAGCCATGGAAGACTTGTTTTCCCCATGCGCTTTCGAGGCTTGTGCATAGTATGCGTCGCGTTTCAGAGCATGCTCATGCGCAAGAGCACGATACTCAGCCGCTGTCTGAACAATGGATCCGCCTCCAATGCTGAACCCACCGTCACTTGTGGCGGCAGCTGCCCTCTCTACCGCTGATCGAGGTGTCGACGTGCCAGATGGGGTTGCAAGGCCCACGAGTTCATAAGGTCGCCAGGAAGAAAGGACCTGAGCTGCCTCAGTGGCAAGAGTCAAATCGTCGTTCGTCAAGTCTAGCAGCTGGTTGATCTTGTCGACGCCCAGAGCATGATGGCTTTTGAGGAGCTTTGCAGCGTTGTCTTCGCGATCTGGGTGTGACGTGTGCCCAAGCGAGGGGCTCCTTGTGATCAGCTCATCAAGCGCTGCCCCAAGATGAGTCGTCCGGTGATAAGCTGACTGAGCCACAGATCGTTCCACTGGAAGTATCCGACATAGCCAGTCAACATCCCTGTTGATTTGATCCCACTTTGACAGCTTGGGCAGGACTGCATCCTGTTCCATTACTTCAGCCAGTGCCTTGTCGCGGCGCTGTTTCATTTTCTTTTGCTGTCCTTTGTGGCGGCTATTGGGCAGTCCATCTGTAAAAAATGCGTCAATAGCATGGGATCCTGTGCCATCTAAGATAGCATCAAACTCTTGCTCACGCTCCAGTGTCTCCCGATTGAGCAGTTCATCGACAGCGCGAATCACATCGCGGCCACTCTTTTTGAGTACAAATTTGAGTGTCATTAAGTTTTGGTCAGAGAACGAAAGCCGCAGGAACTTAAGGTCTTCGTCTTGACTGAGTTCATCGCTCTCTTCAGAAGGCTTAGATTGAGGCGTACTGGTACTTGCTTCAGTCAGGCTCAACTCCTGAATAGCAAGAGCATCTGCATCTGATATTTCTGGGCCCTCATACCCATCAGCAACAGCTTCAGCATACAAAGCATCTAGAGTTCCCTTGGCTTCTTCTATATTATCAACATCGCCCGCGATAGCTGGATCGTTAGCTTCTCGCAGATTTCAAAAAATGGTAACTTGCCAGCAATCAACGCTGGATCTAGCAATGGCGCATACAAAGACTTGAGTCAGCAAATAGAAAGCCTCGTTATGAATGCACCTCTAGTTCAGCCTGCATTTCAAATATCAATACATTACAAGCAGATGGTCGCTCTCGAAGATCTACCAGCAAAGTCACTCGACGTCATGAGCTAAACATTCAGATGGCTAAATATCGTCTACAATTCCCCTTCTATAAATCCCGTGCCAAACGACCACTTGTCCAAGCGAATTTGTAATTGCGCTGGTACCAGTTCACAAAGGACTTTCTAGCTGCAATGCGAGTGATGGTTGCCCAAGAGCCACCGAGCACAATGTTGTGCTTGCCGTCGAAGAAGTCTGACGAATAGGCTGGATAGACCTTGCTAGGCACGAAGCCTTTCGGTGCACTGAACTCTGTTGATGTCCACTCCCAGAAGCCCGTATATGTCTGCACAGATTCCCTTGAGCTGGTAAGCGAGCTCGGATGCCACATTCCAAAATTGACATTCTTGTCAAGCACATTGTTGAACGGCTCATTTGAAGACTCCCCAGAGTGATCATCCAGAAAGTGTCGCAGCTCTGCAAAGCTAGGAAGTCGGGCATCTTTCCACTTTGCATATGCCTGCAACTCATCGTAAGAAGCAGCCACAGGCCAATCAGCAGCGTATGTCAACGGCACTGGCCCAAAGACTGTCTTGACCTCGCGAGACTGTGTCCAGGATGCCGGCGCCGCCAGCTTGGGATGCGCGTCAAGAAACGCTGCATACTCGCCGTTGCTGATAGGTCGTGCTTGTATCGCCACTTTTGCGTGGGAAATGGAGCGGCGAGGCTTCTCATTGTCCCAACCAAAATACTGACCTGACTCTGCCTCCTCTGGGTCGTCCATACCAACCTCAAAGTTTGAAGTTTCTAGGGTGATCCAAGCTGCTGGTTCCAGTTCAGGGGCGGCGGCTGTTGGAAGGGAAGAAAGGACGCCTGGTGGTGGTCGTGTCTCTGCCGACTGCAGCAGCATATAGAGCAATGTTTCTGCATGCATCGCTTCGTGCTCAAAAGTGACAAAAAGAGCTCTTGCCAATTGTCTGTTGAACGAGGCTGTGTCCTGCCTATAGACTTCTCGCAGACGATTGCGCACCGTATCCCGGAACGCCAGAATTTCTTGCAAGTCGGGCCAGGTGTCAGGCACGTCTGAATGTGCATGACAATGTGTTGGATCGTCGACATCTGGGTCGATGCCACGCTCAAAGATGCGCGTATACGCATCATTCGTATACTTGCCATTCCCGACGCGTGTCAAGTGAATGTCGAGAAATGTAGGGATGTGTCCGAGATAGAAGATGCATGGGTGCCGCAAATCAATTGGCTTGCAAAGAAGCATCTCTTGGGGTATCATACCGAGCGTAATGGTGTCCCAAAGCTTCCAGAGTTGCTCCCACTCAGCAAGGCTTGGTACCGGCTTCAATGTGTCTGCTTGTCTCGAGAGGTATGCGGGGGGCGTCGTGAGAAGGTACAAGGAGTACAGGTCCCTACTGTCTTTCCACTGTGCAGCGACATTGAGCTCTGATCGATCAAAAAGGGCCAAGGCTTCCAGGTTGCTGTACTTGTAACTACGCTCGATGCGAATGAGCGTGTCCTTTTCGATTTTGAGGTCGTCTGCAATGTGAACATCATTCAAAGCCTGGAATGCAGCCTCGTGGTATCCCTCTTCCTGGTTGTACAAGCCTTTGTATTGCCAATCTGACTGTCTGAGCACTTCTCGACCCAAAATTTGATTGGCATGTTCCAAGCCATTCATCTCAAATCGTTCCGAGTCACCCTCAGGGTCGTTGTAGGCAGTATAGACGAGGTCAGGCGCATTTCTATTGTCGACACCAACAAGCATCATATCATTCGGCTTCATAGATTCCTTGAGGGACAGAAGAAATGTAGAGGCACCATCTCGAGAGAAGTTGCCAACAGATGAGCCCATCCAAAGGATCGTGACACGTTGATCATGCTTTTTGAGGAAGGCATGGATATCGTTGTAGTCTGCATGCAGTCCATGAAGCTTGACGTGCTTGAATTGCTGCAATTGCACGAGAGAGGTCAGGCTTCTTTCCAGCTCACGCCTGTCCAGATCCAAGGCATAGTAGTCTGTCGAAACGCCGAGCTCCTCCACCGCTTTCAGAATCAAGGAAGTCTTTCGTAATGCACCGGAGCCCAATTCAATGATGATGCTCCCCTTGATTTGTTCTGCAATGACATGACTCTGTCGCTTCAAAATGTCGATTTCTGAATTGGTGAGGTAGTAGTGCTCGTTGTACGTGATTTTCTCGAAGAGCTGTAAGCCGCGTTCATTGTATAATAGCATGGTTGGCAGCGTTCCGCCGCGTAGACTGTCATAGAGGTCCTGAGGCTCGATGGGCTTGGCCTTACTGATGGACTGAATATCAAATGGCTCTAATGAACCCATGACGAGGATGACTGGCCCTACGGACTGACAGCGAGAGCAAGCTGTACTATGTGCAGGATTTGGCCGTTGAGGTTGGATGACGTTGACTGTTGGATCGCCCCGCAATTCGATCGTGCATGATTTCAGTGAGCCAGAGAGCCAGAATTCACTTAGTTCACTCAGTTCAGCCAGAATTCAGCCAGAGCAGTGAGCACCAATTTCAGACTACTGAATGAGATCAGATGGCATGCTACTGAGCAGCTACTCCCTCCCAAAACCTCAGTCAAAGAGACCACGAGGCTTAGGTGCAGCTTGTGTGGGTTGCTGGGTTGCACTCATTGCCTCGTCTTCCTCGACCTCCATCTCATCCGCATACAGCTCAAGCGCATCATTATCGCTCTCTGCAAATCCAAAATCACCCTCTCCTTCCTGCTCGGCAGCTTGATGCACCGGTCGACTTTGTGCACCGGCGGATGCTTCCTGCGTCGCTTCATCTTCTGGCAAGAAGAGCGGTTGACTTGCAAGACCCTGTGCATCACCATGCATCGTCCCACCGGGTGTCCAAGCATTACGCTGTCCACTGCCTTGCATACTTGAGAATCCCGCACCACTTGCACCACTGCTACTCGGACGATCTGGATACAAACGACCTCTTTGCGCTGTTGTTCCTGTGAGGGGTCTTTTACGACCAAGTAGCGTTGCTGGTGGTCTGCCTGTTCCTGATCTACCAGATCGTGCAGTCAATGTACCACCAGGGATATCCTGAGTCGTTGCAACAAGTAACTCAAACGTCAGTCCACCACTCCCACACTCTACCAAGAGTGGTTTCCCTGGTGTCTCAAATGCAAGTCGTAGTTGTAGACCTAATTGTTCACTCAAGACGCAACACGCCTTGAATTCACGAAGTCCGAATGTGATGCGCACATCTTCATCTGCATCGGCTTCATCGAGTTCCGCGGCATCCATCATGACTGTTGTACTGACAGGTTGCTTCAAGATTTGCTGAACATTCGATTTCGCCACCACACCTTCCGTGAAGCTTGTGATTTGTAAGTTCCCATCCACCAAGCCCAATGTCACTTCCTCTGCTCGAGGTGCGAAATGATCAACGACTTCTTTGAGTGAGACGGAGGGAATTTTGAGACGATTGAATAAGGTGTGGCGATCGCACGTCGCATGTTCAGAGCGAACAGGCTCGTATTGAAGCTTGAATGTCTTGCGCACACCATGCTTACAAACAAGTCTAACGAGAAATGCACATTGCGTCTTGTCTTCTGAGGGATGGAGGAGTTTTAATTCACAGCGTTCAACAGATGCATCTCGGTTTGCATCCGGACGTGCATCGAAAGCGCGGGACCTGAAGATGGAGAGTAATGCCTGAGTCGTATTAGCAAGCGTCACAAATGATAAAAGATAGAGCTTACGCGTATTTGGAGGGAGCAGTATAGCGGACGATCCTTTTGATGTCCATGAAAGGCACTAGCAGGTGGCGCAACATACTCAAACTTATCAAATACTGTCGCGTTGAGTGTGGCGAGCAGGAAAGACGATTTTGCCGTATTGATGGCAGTGATGAGTAGCTACAGACAGCGTGTGAGAAGATCGAGAAGCAGAGAGAAGAGGCAGCGTACCTTGCCTGGTTGTGCTTCAAAAGTCACTTCATCGCTCACTTTTGAGAAGCACGTCAAGACGCGTGAAAAGTCGCGTAGGAAGGCGCCAGGTAGTGTGGCATTCATAGCGAGCAAGCGCAAGTCGCGCGCAGCAAAGAGCGAAGCGTCTTTCAATCAATGACAAAGCTCAACTGTGTCAGGATGCGCTCGAGCTGGGAAGTGTGGTGTGTGCAGGAAGAGTTGGCTATATAAATACTGCATATATTATGTCCTCACATATGATAGACTTTTAGCACAATAGAGCACGTCATCCAGGTGGTTGCGTTGCTGTACCCACTTCTGCTTCATTCTCATCCGACGCACCTCCATCGCCTGTACTCCCACCGCCATTCTGATGGATCTTTTTGTGTCGCCTCAAGTTTGAAATGACACTGAAATGCCGTCCACAACCCGGCACCTCACACACAAATGGCTTCTCACCCGTATGACTGTAGATATGCGTCGTCAAGCTTGAAGGTCGAGTGAACCGTTTCTTGCAAATCGGACACACATGCTTCTTGTGTGAGGCGTTTTCATCTTTTGCATGAAACGTACTCATCATACTTTGTTGCTGTGAGACTTGATGACCATCTTCCATCATCATTGAAGGCGGTTGTAGCAAGCCACCACTGCCATCAGGTTGCAACCCACCGAGTGCTGCTCCGTCAGGTGGGAAGAAGGGTAAACTCTGTCTTCTCTTTTGTAAATGACTCTTCATGTGATCATACGGTGCCGCAGGGATCAATGCAGGGTTGTTATTGATATTGTTGTTTGCTTGGATGCGATAGCGTGATGCAGCAGAGCCGAGTGGATCCAAGTACCCAGCGCCAGCGCCAGGTACTGCCTCTCGTGGGTAAAATTCTTGTCGAGAGGTTGTTTGTGGTATGAGTGAACTCTCATAGGCAGACCAATCTACTGCGGGCACATGTCGTCCTTGCATCGGTCGCGCATTCGGTGATGTTTGGAAAGATCCTGTGGGTAGCACGGGAACAGACATGCGTCGATCTGCCGAATACCCAGTTCCAGCAAAGACACTGGGGTAGTTCGGCCTTCCTTGATTCAGGTAATCCGTACTCACAAAATGCTCCGGTATCGCACCCATGCCAGCACCATTATTCTCACTTGATTGGCCGACGACTTGTCCATTATTGCTGTTGTTGCCAGTCAAGTTGCTATTGGTATTGTTACCACCGCCAAAACTGAAATTCGGAGTCCATTGAGGCCCCTGATCTTGCACAATGCCAGATCTAGCCGCAAGCCGACTCGCTACATTCGCTGCTGCAAAAACAGTTTGTTGATGCATCGCAGCCGGCGATGACATGCGTCTATCAAGAGCGGCATTACCGGGAACTTTGAAACCTTGCTGTTGTTGTGGATAATGCACATGCGCGAGTGAGTTGTTGCGCGTATCAGGACCTAGACTTGGTGCATAACTCGATGCGGGCGACCCAATGACATTTTCTGTAAGTGAAGTGCGGCGATCAATGGGCATGGGGCCATTCGCGCCGGGGATGTTTGGGAAATTCGCATAGGCTGATGCGGCGTTGTGGTTGCTGTTGTCGTGTTGGTTTTGTGATGCAGTGGAGGGATCTTGTCGGAATCCATCAATCAATGCAAACGGGTCGACGGGTTGATGCTCGTAGGGTTTGTACTGGCTGTACGGGTCTAGCGCTTGATGTTGCTGCTGTTCTTCCTTGATGGTATGCGGCGATGTGCGGCGATAGTCGATGGAGGATTGGCGCTCATGCTTCGAGTAGGTGCCGAGGAGGTTTGCAGCATCGGTGCTCATCACAAACACCTTGGGATTCGGTTATTCAAGGTGAGATTGGTGATCCGCTGGAAGGGCGCCCGCTGTCTGTGCCTCTTGGACTTGCCTGTGCGCACTGGATGCAAGCAACAGCCTTGATGCAATGATAGCTTGGGAGATGGTGTATTTGACAGTGCTGATCACCGACGATCTGTTGACCTGTATACTGTGACAAGTGGGAAGTGGATGGAGAGAATGCGCTTCCTCTCTGTACGGAGGCCCGCGTGTGGTGATGGGCCTTTTGGGGCAGGGAGAGTGATGTGTATGCGCCTCGAGCGATGAGTATGTCTGGAGGGAGGAATGCGCGCTGCTGATGATGGATGAGTGATGATACACGGTGTCTGTGTGTGTGTGTGTGTGGTTGTGAATGGCGATTGGGAAGAGGAAGAGAAGAAGAAGCAGCAGCAGATGGAGGCTGGAGCAGACAAGAGAAAGGGCAAATGGACAGTAGATGAGGATACGCAGGACGCACAGGGGGAGGCAGGCCCTTGGATGCGACAGTCTTCTATGCATTCTACTCAGCCCTTGCTACCCTGCCTCTGCCTCTCTGCTCTCTCCGTAGCCTCCGTCGCTGTCAGTTTGACATCATCTCACCCGCCGTCGCATGTCAAATTCAAGCGCACACACGGAGCCGGACTCGCTCGCTTCCGATCCTGAGACAGGCGAGCCCTGATGGAGGCTACTGGCACTAGTACTGAGTAGCAGACGAGTAGTACAGTGCTTGACTATTGGACCTTCAGCATAAAAAGCAGCTTTCCCTCCCTGTCCCTGTTGCACTCCACAGCATACAAGGTCGCATCCATACAAGCAAACCCGCACGGAATACTGCAGATCGTACGCTGTGTAAATCTGCTTAGACCCCCCACACTTCTCCTTGATGCTCGCATACTTTCAACTTCTTGACAGGCGGGAGCCGACCCCTTCTTCGTGTGCTAGTGCTACACTACGACCCTGTTCAGTGCCCTTGACCCATCCAGGTAATTTAGAGCATACCTACCCTGGCTGGCACCACATCACCGCATGTTCGCACAACCCAATGAGGCAGGTGCACCTCTAGTGTTACATCTTTCAATGATCTTTGGCAAAGTCTGCCTTCTGATGAGATGGCATCTGTTGTGCAGACAAGGACCCTTTTCAATCATCAAGTATACAGAACCTCTGAAGGAATAGAGCTGGCAAGAATTAATGATCAGGTGGGAAGGACAGTCCTTCGACGGCGACGTACACAGACAAATCCACTTTTCGGAGATTACTCTCCTTGATACTTCAGCAGTGCAGTAATGGAGTAGCAGCAATCACGAAAGGGCGAGCAAAAGCAATAAAAGATGCAACAGCTAATGTCAACCATCAGTCGACTGTCACACGGGCCCTGTCAGCGTATAGTCTTGTAGCATAAAAGGACTCCGTATCAAAGCATTCAGCAAGCGTATTTGCTCGAGCCCAAGGGTGAGCACTGAGCAAGCAGAATCAAGTTGAGTTCAAAAGCAAAACATAGCGCTGAAGCCAGAGAATGTATCAGGACGATTGTATTCCAAGCTGAACCTTGAATGAGTAAAGTCTAGTCTTTGACACCACTGAGGACTGTTAGCAAGAAGAAGCAATTGTCTAGCGGAACATACCGGGCCATCTTCTGAATACCGTAGAATGCACCGAGAACACCGACGCCAAACATAGCAAAGAATGGGTAAAGCATGATCTTTGACTTGGGTGTCTTCATGTACACTGGAACCTCCGGGTTGGCCTGGAAGAGTCGCTGGTAGTGCGGAACCTAGTGCGTGTTAGTGTTTGCATATTGATGGATGTCTGTCGCGAGAGAAAGTACTTTGTTGGGTCTGTTGTAAAGCGCGTTCCTATGAGTCAGTTTCATTGTGTCAGTAGCCAGGATCTTTGCCGTACATGATCTTGTGTATGTCTGGATACTTGGATGCTCGCCTGGGTCGTTTGTCTGTCTAGTGTCTGCTGCCTTCTTCTCCGTTCGGCTAATTTGGCACTCTCACAAACCAGACGTGCCAGGCTCGACAGACTCACCCTCAACGCGTTCAGAGAAGGCCATTTGCTGGCTTGTTGGGAGAGAGGGGACCAGGCTTGCAGTCGCATGGGTGTGCGCAGGAGAACCATCGGCATCTTCACTTTGCCATGAACGAGTGGACAGAGGTATATAGACCATGATCACATCAACAACCAAAAAAGGGCACAACAGAGAAGCTAACCACACACGCGCACAGATCAATGTCGCGCTAGATCAATCACGCGCACCGCATACGCCCCACAGCGCACTCACAGCCGTTCAATTCGATACAGATGAAGAGCTCATCTGGACTGGTAATGAACAAGGCAGGTTGTGCAGCTATCATGGACCGGGATTACAGAAATATACATGCTTTCGCGCACACCAGGATGCCGTTCGCGAGATTCAAGTGACGAAGAAGTTGATCCTGTCATTGAGTAGTACTTCAGTGAGTGCTCGAACGCGACGCGGACTTGTCAAATGGACCATCAGGTACGCCTTTCAACTTTAAGAAAGACAGGCTAATGCGAAGTGATCCAGAACTGGCGAATGCGACAAGTATGGCGCCACATCCCAGAAACCCCCATGATATCGTCATTGTTGGTATCGCTCGCGGCATGGCCATCATCAATACGGAACGCGGTGCAATCAGTGAATTCGTGGTATGGCAGTATGTGCCCTAGCAGGATAAGACTGACACACTTAGGCTAATGGTTGCGAGGATGTGAGTCTGATTCAAAAGCTTGGCCGTCATTTCATTGCTGGTTCTGCTGCAGGCGAGCTGCGATTGTATGATGCAATGGACGCCGCTTGTCCCCTGATTGCCAAGATGCAGGCACATACGGGTTCCTTTGTTGATATTGTCGTGTGTGGGCATTCCATCCTCACATGTGGCTATCATCAACGGTACGGCCAGTACTCACTTGAAACACTCATCAAGGTATTTGATAGTCGGACTCTTCGCCCAACACTACCCATTCCCTTCTCCGCTGGACCTGCCTTCCTCAAGGCACACCCGAAAATGTTCACCAATATCTTCATCTTGTCGCAAGGTGGACAACTGCAAACCACAGACGTTGGTAATACCATGGACTTGAAACTCATGCAACTCACGCATGGCATGCAGTATATCACCCAATTCGATCTCTCACCCTCAGGCGACGCCTTCATCTACATTGATGCAGACAATCATCTTCATTTATGGTCACAGCGTGGTGATGAGCCCAGATTCACGGACTTTAGTATTCCCACTGAGTTCCCAAGCTTTGCAGAACCCGTGCAGGAGATGTCGATTGATACAGACTTACCCTTGCATACAATCGGTATGCCGTATTATCGCGATGAGCTGTTTTCATCATGGCCAGCATCGATGGTCTTTCGGGAGGGAAAACCACCTGCAAAAGTGGATGCGGATATCTTGCAAAACCTGAAAATAGTGGATGGTATCGGTTATGCGCCCTTTCATAAACGCAGACGGCGAAACATTGCGGAAGAGGATACCGCGAGTAAAGCACTCCTGGCTGCACCACGCTTCAGGAGTGACAAGGCTAAAGCACTGGCTTCCAATGAGGCAAAAGAACTTCTCTTTGAGGAAATGGGTAAGATGGGTCTCGGCAGTACCAGTGTACCCAACTACTACCGTCGCATGGAAATTCAATACTCCAAATTCGGTATTGAGGATTTCGACTTTGATTTCTTCAACAGCACACGCTTTGCTGGTCTTGAAACGAGTTTCGCCAATACCTATTGTAATGCCGTCCTGCAGCTCTACAACTACTCGCCTGCATTGAGTCAAACTGCCATTAGCCACGCCTCCTCAGATTGTCTGCGGGAATCGTGTTTATTGTGCGAGGTGGGTTACTTATTCGGCATGCTTGCGAATGGTCAAAATTGCCAAGCAACCAACTTCCTGCAAGTCTTCAGTGCCAATACTGAAGCGCAAAAGCTAGGACTTGTCATGGGAGATAATGCCGTGACGCCGGTGATGCCATGGGCCAATATGGGACAATCCTTCAATCGGTTCCTACTGGAAACCATGTTGCGCGAGTCTGCACCTGCAGAAACTGCAGCACAGGTGGATATTGAGTCCCTCCACAAACAAGCCGAACTCGACGGTACCATCAGCATCTTTTCAAAAATCATCTCGAAATGCGTGTGTGGCCTGGAATCCGTCAAACCCAACGTCAGTGTCGTGACGGATCTCATTTATGGCAAGCCTGTCTTGTCCAGAAAGGATAATCAGACTGCGCAGTTTGCTTCCATGTTGAGATTATCCGTGCATCACGAAGGTGGTCTTCGAAATTGGTGTCCCGCTTGTCGAGCGATTCAACCATCTGGCATCAGGCGACTCGTTCAAACCCTGCCGGCTGTACTCAACATCAACGCCATGTGTCAAACGCCCGAACAATGGCGACACTGGCAAGGTAAATCATGGCCACCGACGCGCCTTGGATTGTCCGTGAGTGGTGGCAAGTTACAATGTCTTCAAGGTCGTGATCTTGATAAACGCTCAGTTGATGGGAAAGTGCAAATGTACGCGCTGACTGGCATGGTATGTGAGATTCGAGTGGATGGTGGACCTCAAGAATCGCATCTTGTGACATTCGTTCGCGTGCCTGAAGAAGTGGCTGCTGCTGGGGGTGCTGCCCAAGCAACTGCGCCTGCTGGACTTGCTGGACAATCTGGCAAGTGGTTGTTGTTGAATGATTTCTTGGTGAAGGAAGTATCAGAGGAAGAAGCATTGAGCTTTCCAGGACCTTGGAAAGTGCCTGCGATGCTCACATATGAACGCATGGATAAAGTCACGCGAGAGAAACAACATGGAGACACAGTCGACACAAGTATCCTCTACAACGATGCTTCACTATCAAAGCTACCACCTAAACGACCAGAAGGGTTCAGACCTCTGTCAAAGGAGGAAGCTCTAGGTCCCGGCACGCTCGTTGCGATTGATGCGGAATTCGTTGCACTCCAGCAAGAAGAACTCGAAGTCCGCAGTGATGGTACGAAACACATTATTGCACCAAGTCGATTATCGCTGGCGCGTGTGTCGGTCTTGCGTGGTGATGGAGAATTTGCCGGTTCACCCTTCATTGATGACTACATCGTCACGCATCAACCGGTCGTTAATTATCTGACTGAATTCTCGGGTATTCGCGATGGAGATTTGGATCCGGAACGGACGGAGCATGCGCTTGTTCCGCTAAAACTGGCGTATAAGAAGCTGCACGCTCTAGCGAGACTTGGGTGTAAGTTCATCGGGCACGGGTTGAAGTCGGATTTCCGCATCATCAACATGAATCTAGCAAAAGATCAAGTCATTGACACCGTGGAACTCTTCTTCATTCCAGAGAGACAGCGAAAGTTGTCCCTGAAATTCTTGTCTTGGTACTTCTTAAATACCAAGATTCAGCTCGAGGAGCATGATTCAGTTGAGGATGCGCGGTATGCGTACCTGCTCTACCAGAAATACTTGGAATTTGAGAGGATGGGTATGGTTGAAGCGAAACTCAAAGAGGTGTACGAAGAAGGACGACAGCTCAATTACCGACCGCCAGGTGTGTAGCATGTACCTCTACGTAGAATGGACAAAAGCTCTTCTATGACAGCTTCTGGGTGAGTTCAGGCACAGCCGTGAACAAATCCGCAACAAGTCCAACATCTGCAATCTGGAAGATGGGTGCATCGCCATCCTTGTTGATTGCAGCAATCACCTTGCTATCCTTCATCCCCGCAAGATGCTGAATAGCGCCAGAGATGCCGACAGCGATGTACAGTTCTGGTGCAACAACCTTGCCAGTCTGTCCGACTTGTAGCGAATTGTCTGCATAGCCAGAATCAACAGCAGCACGCGAAGCACCCACCGCTGCACCCAACGCATCGGCAAGGGGAGAGATGATTTTGTCGAAATTCTCCTTATCCTTCAATCCACGTCCACCACTCACCACTTTTGCAGCACCGGCCAAGTCGGGCCGTTCGGACTTGGCGAGTTGCTCGGATTTCCAATTCGTTTGGCTCGTTGCCTTGGGATCCTTGGTCTCTTCGACATTCGCACTGCCGCCTTCCGCCGAAGCAGGTTCAAAGGCCGTTCCACGCACCGTGACAAGCTTGACTGCATCAGAGGTTTGGACGGTGGCAATTGCGTTACCGGCATAGATGGGCCTGATGAAGGTGTCTTCCGATTCAATGCCAACAATATCACTCACTTGCATCACATCGAGCAGCGCAGCCGCACGGGGAAGCATGTTTTTACCAAAAGCCGAGTGTGCGCAAAACACATGGGTATAGCCGCCACCCTGTACTGTCTCCACAACGAGTGGTGCAAACGACTCTGGTAGACCTTTATCATACGCTTCATTCTCAACAACAAGAATCTTCTCAAGCCCAGAGATCTTTGCAGCGACTTCTGTAGCGAGCTTCTTGGCGCCTGAACCGGCAAGCAGGCCATGCACAGGGCCACCTATCTTGGCGGCGGCAGCGACGGCCGAGAGGGTGGTTTGGTTGATTTTACCATTTTGGTGTTCGAGGATGGCGAGGGTTGAAAGGCTCGAGCGTGTACTGTAAGCGACGATGCGCGGCTGTAGGAGCGACCTGAGGGAAGCGTGTCTCAGCATCTTTGCCTTGGCAATTGAGTGTGTAGCTTTACGTGATTGTCGTGCGGAGGGAAAGTGCTCAGTGGGAAGTGCCGACAGCAGCAACCACACTTGAGCCCTGTGACCGGATGCCTCGCTGCGTCCATGCACACGATTGAAGAGACAGCTACTACTTATAATGATGCTCAAGCTATCCAGGAGCGCTTCTCTGCCATCGTTGCTCAATATCTAAAGCCTGATCCGCAAGAGAAGGTTGCACTGCGCTTCAGAGCAGTCGGCCGAGCGCCTATCCTCAGGCAGCAAGTCTTTCGCATTGCAGCCATGCATCGCTTCGAATCAGCAACTGCTTTTCTCAAGCAGCAACTAGGTCTGCCCTCTACCGACCCAATTGTACGCACTATGCCAATTTGCATGTTTACTAGAAGACTGACAACAAGTACGTCTACGTTAATATGAGCTTCATACCTGCTCCCGATGAGCTATTGCACAATCTGCACGCTGTACGCCTGATTTGTCACAATGTCAATGCATCCTGCTGACCTTCTTCCATCTAGTGCTTCAAGTCGGACAACCAATTGGTCCTCTCTTACTCTCTGACACCAGCATTCGGCTAGCTCGCCTTGTTCTTGGCCACCCAAGCAGCGAGCGCAGGGCTGTCCGCCGGATATGTATGTTCCTCTGCCGGGAACCGTCTTGCCTTGACTTCTTCATTATATCGAGTGATGGCCTCGCTGGTCCTGCCACCAAGCTGATCATACTGTTTGCAGAAACGTGGCACAAACCGGTCAAACACACCGAGCATGTCCATCTGTACTAGGACTTGTCCTGAACATGCGGCACCAGCGCCAATACCAATGGTCGGTATCCGTAGTCGCTGTGTGACAATCTCAGCAACGGGTGCTGGGATTGCCTCAAGGACAATCGACATACATCCAGCATCTTGTAGCGCCAATGCATCCTGTAGGACTGCTTCAGCACCTTCTGCCGTTTTCCCTTGAACTTTGAAGCCACCAAGACTCGCTTGTCGTTGTGGAAGTAAGCCAACATGACCCATGACGCTGATCCCATGCCGCGTGATCTTCCTCACTGTCTCTGCCATTTCACGACCACCTTCTAGTTTGACGGCTTCCATACCGCCTTCTTGGACCAATCGTATCGCTGAACGCATGGCTTGTTCTGGGGATACCTCAAACGAACCAAACGGCAAGTCAGCAACAAGAAAGGCGTTCTTAGCACCTCGCTTGACACTGCGACAATGAAAGAGCATTTCTTCCATAGAGAGCTGTGTTGTGTCATCATACCCGCACGCTACCATGGCGAGTGAGTCGCCCACTAGAATGATATCGATATTTGCCTTGTTGGCAGCTAGAGCAGAAGGATAGTCATGCGCTGTGACAACGGAAATGGGGGTTGTCTGTCTGTAGAGCTTTGCGAGGGTAGCTGTTGTGACTTTTCCTGATCGGACCAGTGTATGTGTGCTGTAGAGGCGTGCTGCAAGCTTCACACTGCCTCTACTATGAATCATACAGCGTTGCAGCATCGCTAGTAGGCCCGAGATCAGGCCACCCCTGGTCAGCAGGTCGTTTGAGGTTTTGTGTTCCTGAAAGTTCAAATTCGCCGGCATCACCGATCGTCGCACGATGTATGCGAGGTGCAACGACCGATCAGTCATGACGACAGAGCCATAGCAAGAGTCTATGTCAAGCAGGCTACGGCAACTATCCAGGCACATCCCCTCTTCATCTTTCAGTACCATGACTTCGACACCACCGCCATGGAAGGCTGTCATCGAGGACATCCTCAAGGAAAATATGAAGCAAGGCAATAAAGACTCCCTCAACATGCAGCTCGCTACCATGCCTGCACCCGAGGCGCCCCTTCACCCGTCCGTACGCACAGTTGTCTTTCGTGGGTTCGTCGGACAGCCTCGTAAGGAAGACGAGCCAACGGGTGGAAATCCCATCAAGTCTGTTGAAAGTAGTCTCATTGTCACTTCAAGCGATCGCCTCATGCTCAAAGCGAAGCAACTTCTTGCTCAGCAAAAGGAGGGACACGGGAAGAATGGATTTGAGGTGTGTTGGTGGCATCAAGGGACACAAGAACAAATTCGCTTCTCTGGCCACGCATGGCTACTGCAATCAACAGACCACGATAATGCAACGTTTCCCGCTGATCGTCTCAAGAAGCTCGTGTCTATCGCTGAGGCAGATGTAGAGAAGTGGACGTGGGAGAGTGAGAGGTTACGACAATTTGCTAAGCACTCACCGGGACTGCGTGCAAGTTTTCAGAACCCAGAACCTGGATCACCCATCACATCGGAGAAGAAGGCTCAGATTCTGAAGCGTATGGAAATTCCAGGATCCCTCGGCGAATGCAAATCTGAGGAAGATAAAAAAGCTGTGGTGGAAGCATTGAAACGCTTCTGTCTTGTGATACTGGAGGTGAAGCAGGTGGAGTATCTCAAAGTGGAGCCACCGGCAGAGCGCAAGCAATGGACCCTGCAAGGCGACAACTGGCAAGAGCAGGAAGTTTCACCATAAAGAATATCCAGTATCCTACGTATACGAATTCATTGTAATGACCTAAAAAGCAAAAGAATCGGCTGTCACTAAGCATTGTGTGTGATCTCGTATGTCATGCTGACCGTCTACCGCGATGTGCCAAAGCGCTCCATGTGTGTCCCTGGCGCAAGTGGCTGCCATGGCACTATGCCGAAGGTTCGGTTGCTTCCCTTGTAGCAGCTGAGTCAGACGTGTAGTAAAACCAGTCAGCGCATCATGCAGTAAAGTCAAAGCGTCCCAGAGTGAGAATGTGAAGAATGCTGCCAAGTGTGGTGAAATGGGGCGATGAGCATACAGCACCTGTGGTTTCTCTGGTGTTACAATGGATGGTGCCTCAGAGCTACTCCCTGCCTCAACATCGTCTGGCTCTGCCTTGTTGTTGGAGTGAGATGATTCTGTGCTTGCAGTGGAGATAAGTAACGGTTCATCTGCAAGAGCATCCTGAGTGTCATCGGTCCGTATTCTGATAGACCAATACTCCTTTCTGGTTGTTGCATAGTACGCTAAGCCAAGACAAGCAGCAAAGACCAAAGCCGGTGCAAGTCGATATGCATGAGAAGCCACCGTTTTGACAGCGCCACTCACAATCCTCATGCATCGGACAAAACTACTCGGCACCGCCAAGTGGAAGCGAAGGCGACCAGAATGATCAGCAAGGCCGAGTCGTGCGGCCACCACACCGTTGAATGTGAGCCCGTTCTCATCACGCACAAGGTCAGCGATGCGACAAGTCATAGTCGAAGCCACTGCGCCCGTTTGCCGCAGCATGGAGAAACCATTCCCATCGACCCACCCCTGACTGTCCAACAAGGTTAGAAGCCAACCAGCACTACCAAACATACTGGCTTGTGATTTGTGTGGATCAAAAGCTAGCATCGAGTCGAGGAAGTAATCGTTTTGCCAGGGTAGAAGAGGATAGAGCCACGACATTTTTTGATTCGATGGATGCAGGCCAGCTGCAGGTTCCTGTTCGATCTAGAAGAATGATTAGTGAACGACATGGAGGCGCGACGCCGGTTCATAAGCACTGCACATGCACTGCGCTGCACATGCGCAAGGATTCACTGTACAAGCTCTTGCTTGCTTTTGACAAAGCGCTTTGAGGAAGATGTTTGGGAGATCAGTCTTTCACAAGGATCAGAGAGAAAGCCAATGCACAGCAGCGAGCATAAAACACTGTCAAGTCGCGTCGACTCTTTTAAGAAGCGCGAATTGCCTAAATGGGCAGCCAAAAAAATCAAAGCTTCAAACGTAGTCAGATCACAGCCAAGTAGGCTTGAGAAGCGTGTAGTGCAAGCAGAGGATAGAGGATAGTCGCAAGAGAGTCAGATGGTTTTGTATAGCATCCTACGCTGCACATGGATACCTCTAAGTGGTCAAAATCTAGTGGTGTTCGTGGTTCTTGTGGTGAGAGAGGTGGAAAGCATAGTCGAGAGAATATCCAATGACACTGCCGTTAGTCAGAAGCCAAGCAATGGTATCCCCTCGCTGGAACATGAAGAGCATGCTTGATTCACAGTCTGGGACACACCAAAAGACTTACAAGAGTCCGCCAATCAGGTAGATCATGGGCATGCCCGAGGGGTTCTTTCCATCAATGTTCCTCGCCTTCCAGCCAGTCTGCTTTGCAGCAGCACCGCGTGGGAGGGCCTTGTAGAAGGAGACGACACGGGTCATACGTGCTGCATCTGCCGCGACACCGATGGACTTTGGGTTTGCGATCTACGGTGGATGTGTGAGTATTCAGCAACAGCGGTTGAGAGTGCATAGCCTTACCTTCGGAGGGACGAGTGCCTTCAACATGCTGCCTTCTTGTGATGGTTCTACTCTGCTTCTCTTCTCTCTTTCGCTTCGCCGTCGGGAGGTTGTGGAAAGTCACGTGTAGCTGCTCTAACCCTGATTAATGCAACGACCAAGACATAGAGACACTCAGAAGAAGTGTCTGCCATACTCGCCATGAACGCGCTCAGGCTTCTCAGAACAGCTAGATCGAGAGCAGGTGTCTCCCATTGTCGCCTCAACTCATCTCTCGCCCCACAAAAGACCGACTCTACGGGCATTGCAGAGCGCGATGGGGGACCCAAGGAGACGGTCCCGGTAGACAGCATCTCGGGTGCACCAGAATCCCTTCACCAGCGCATTGTGCGTATCTATAAGCCATCTAAGACGGCCATGCAGAGTGGGATCCAGGGAACAAAGTTGTGGCGCATGGACTGGGATGTGTTGGAGAAGGATAATCGATGGACCAACCCACTCATGGGATGGGCGTCTTCGGGAGATTTTATGCAAGGGACAAGCCTCAAGTTTGGCACACAAGATGATGCGATTCGGTTTGCGGAGTCGCAGGGCTGGACGTACTATTTGCAAGCGCCGCATGAGCAAAAGTTCCAGGTCAAGTCTTACTCGTCCAATGTATGCAATGACCGTACTATTGATGATTGGCTAACAAGCAGTATACAAAGACACAGATGAATCCAAGCAAGATTGCGCACACTGTACGGTTCCTCACTTGATTTGCACTTACTAATAGGCAGAAATAAGCTTCCGATGATGGTCGTGGACTCGCAGCCTCTATATGCAACAGGATTAGCAAGCCGTTCCTAATTTGATCACTAGAGCAAACCAATTTAGATGATCAATTGTCCATTCATGACAGGTACAGCCGTACCTCTGAGCGTGACCATAACATCGGCAAGACTTCCTAACGCGTCGGCTTCCACTTGTACATTGATCTCTGAGCGTCTCCCCATTTCCACGCCTTGAGTAACCTCCATCGTCATCTTTGGAGCCCGCTTGTCTTCCAACATGAACAGTGCGCACGCAAGTGTGCAGGCAGCAGAGCCTGTTGCAGGGTCTTCGAGTGTCAAACCCTCCAACATTCGTGTCCTGACAGAGATACACTGGTGAGCACCCTGCTCATCGTCCTCCCGATGCTGGGTCTTGAAAAAGTAGTAGACGCCAATCATGCCAGTTCGCCATCCTTCATCCAGATCGCTGACCTTTGGCAACATCTCGTGAATATCTGCTTGTATGAGAGGGACCCTGTCAAGCGCATCCGAAGTGTTCAGCTCGACGAGCAAGAATGTCATGCCTTTGACAATTGAGCACAGGGCGTAAGGACGGGCATTTTCTGAAAGCAAGGTACTTGCTTGTAATGATTCCAACCACCGATGCCGATGAAACGCTTGAGGAATTCCAGCGTTTGCCATATCATTGTCCATTTCAATGGGAATGGGTCCAGCCTTTGTGATGATTCTCTTTGGATTATAGCCATTCTTGGCCAGCCAGGTAGCCGCTCCGATTGTAGGATGTCCGGCGAATGGAATTTCCATATTGGTCAAGAAGATGTCCACTTTATAGTCACCAGTTTGTAGGCCTGGCGTACAGTCTTGTGGACCATCACCAGAGTCTACTGGGTGCGGCAGATGTACAAAGATGCTTTCGGAAAGATTGAATTCTTTGGCAATCTTTTGCTTGTCAGCTTGTGTCAATTGCTCACTTTGAGCTGGGAGAAGCTTGATGAGTGCCAAGGGGTTTCCCTCATAGCGTTTTGTCGTGAAGACATCAAGAGTGCAAAAGTCAAGCGTATGCATCCTGTAGTAGAGTATCGAGGGTCAGGTCGTTGCACAACTTTGAGATTGTGGCGATACAGCGGATCAGATGGGCAAAAGGCAGGATCATTAAAGTATTTGGCAATTACCTAGGTTGGCTCTGTCGAAAGATCAGTCAAGCAGTAGCCCCTTGCTTGCTTAGAGTCTGCTGCAAAGCTCTCTCAACATCCTCAGCAGCCTGAGTCGGCATAATCAACCCACTCATTCTCAACGAAGACTGTACGGCCTTTCGCCACGCCATATCCCTTGGCATACCACAAGGTGGCATGTCATCCACAGGAGAAGCCGGCGAGGGTATGGTTGGAGGTGAGATACCCGGCAGGTCCTTGACGGAATTGATGATCGCCGGAGACTTGACAGGCTGCATCGATGTCGGCACATCGCGTGGCAGCGACGTTGCAAAGTTTGACGGTGCATCGTCCGTGAGCAGATTAGATGATTGACTCTTGAGACGTGCATCAGGGGTTGTCAGTGAAGGCACCTCACCGCCTTCGTCGTCATCTTCGCCGTACTTTTCCAAACTGCGCATTTTGAAACTGCCTGAAAGGCCCTGATCGGACTGCCTGCCGTAAATACGTCCCGCGGGAATTTTTCCCGTCAAGACTGGTGAATCAAGTGAAAGGCCTTGAGGTTGCGGCAAAGGTACCACAGGAATTGTCTCATCCATTTCGAACACATCATCCACATCCACATCATCGTGAAAAGTGCTGGCTTGCAGACGCTCGCTTGCTGTTTTGATGCTCGGGTCGTCTTCAGGATCAGATGAGAGCGCAGGTGACTCAATACGCTGCGGTTCCTGCTCAGAAAACATGACTCGTTTTGGTGTCACAGGCGATGTGGTGTCGCTGCACCGTGAGGATCCGTCCGATAAATGCGACATGCTTGACTTGCGCCTGACTTCTTTCAGGAGCACAGATTTTGGCAGTGGTGTCGTCTCACTGCGATGTGGCGGTCGCTTATGACGAGGCTTTGAGGAGCTTGATGTTCTGCGGTGTCCTGCGCTTGTGGAACGGTCACTCGCACTCGTATCTTCTTCTGCAGCCGACTTTCGCGTAGCAAGGACTGGACTTTGTTTAGAAGGCACACGGTCTTTGTTCTTCTTGATGGCCGGCTTCTTTTGTGGGCTCGTGTGCGATGCTGGTGAGTCTTTTTGCTCCTGCTTGAGACTTGCAATGCTGGCAATGTCAGACAATGTCTCTGCCTCTTCTGTCGTCTGTGCAACAAACGTCTCGAGCGCATCTTGCTGCCGACGAACAAAAGCAGCGAGCTCCACTTCCATCTGCTGGCGCCGCTGGTGCACAGCGTCGTCCAATATTTGCTGTACTTCAGGGACAAGTACACCACTGCTGCTCGATAGAGCCTTGTGTGCAGGGGTATGATCCATGTCTTCACATTGAGAGGGCACAACGACATGAAAGACCTGTGATACTTTTGCACCACCGCGACGGAGCTCATTCAGAGGCTTTGCACCTTCTTCAACAATCTTGGCAAGACACCTCGGGAGTTCCTTTCCTGGTGCAATCGCTTGACCATCTGGTCGCTTCAAGCATAGGACCGGCGCGTTTGTGATCTTGCTGTAGAGGGTATAGTCGTCACTGCCAGGTTGCACGGTTCCATTATAGCGCATACGAACTAGGAACGGATGCAAGATGGTCACATGCGCCCATCGAAAGTCTTCTGTGTCCTCTGACTTGTTACTCGCATAATCGTCGTCATCGGGTGGCCGTGTCGGTTGCGCTTCAAAGCGGATAGTGATGTTGCGGTCGGTTGAGCAGTATTCGCTCATCTCTTTTTGCGCTGCGATGTTTTCTTGCTCTATTAGTCGTTGCGCTGCTTTGCGTGAATGCAATAGAGCTGCCTCTTCGGTGTCCTTGTAGCCAGAGACTGTTGCAGCTAGAGTATGAGTGTGTCCCGGCGAAGTGTGGAGTCAACTGAAGCAAGCGGGCGACAGTCGCTTCGAGGTGCGCGCGTATTTCAGGGCTCTGGTCCAGAGCGCAGCAAGAAGTAGAGACCAGGGGACTATACGAGAGGCCTTGGCTACGGTATATATAAACTGTATCCTGGGGCTAGTCGGGGATGCTGCCTGTGTGAGTCAGCAGATCTGACATGTGCGCCATCGCAAGCTACAATGCAACCACCAGCAGCAGCAGCATCAGGGGGATTGTCAAAGAACCTCACATGCCAGCTGCCGCATAGGCACCGGCCGCAACCTGCTCGCCGAAACTGAATGGAGGCCCAAAGGCAGCAATCAAATCTTGCGACGTGGCAGGACCCCTGGTGAACACACCGCGCGGGTTTGTAAACTCCAAGAAGCCCTCAAGTCCATGGTGTCGTCCCATGCCTGAGTTGCCGGATCCACCGAAACCCATCGATGGGAGTGCAGCTTGCATAGCACAAGAGTTGATGGAGCAACCACCAGAGTTTGTCTCATTCACAAGACGCTTTGCTTCCTCTGCGTCATCTGTAAAGATGTAGAGACCGAGTGGACGCTCGCCATCGTTGATGGTTGCAATAGCATCATCCAAGTTGGTGTAAGTGACAATAGGCATGATCGGACCAAAAATCTCCTCCTTGGACACGCGCAAGTTTGCTGGTGGATCCACAACCAACGTGAGTGGCAAGGAGCGTTTGCCAGCAACCGCTTCGAGGGATTTGCCACCGAGTGTGATGGTCCGCACACCAGCAGCTTCTGCCTCCTTCACCATGCTCACAATACGCTCGTAGTGGCGCTCGCTAATCATACCCGTGCAGTCTGGCGATGCTGCATAGTCATCCAACCCGTTGTTCTTGAAGAAATCCTTTGCTAGCTGGATAAAGTCCTCGAGCTTGTCCTTTGGCACAACAGCAGAATCAACAGTAACGCACATCGAGCCGTTCTTAAGGAGTTTGGTCTGCATGATTTGATCGACATTGCGTTGCGTCAATGTGTTGCCGACCATGACAGCAGGACATTTACCACCGAGCTCGAGCGTCACGGGAACCAAGTTCTTGGCAGCCTCAGACATGATGGATTTGGCCACCTCAGGGGAGCCTGTGTAAAGCAGATGGTTGAACTTTTGTTGTGAGAATGCACGCGATAGATCAAGACCGCCGTTGACCACCGTGACAAGATCTTCAGGGAACATCTCCTTGACCATCTTCTCGAGTAGTGCACCTGTAGCAGGGGTATACTCGCTTGGCTTGATGATGCAGCGGTTACCGCCAGCGAGAATCTCGCACAATGGGCCGAGTGAGAGATCCATGGGGAAGTTCCATGGGACAATCACACCAACGACACCTTTTGGTTGGTAGATGATCTCTGCCTTGGACTCACCAAACAGCTGGGCGTCGACATGACGCTGGCTTGGCTTGGTCCACTCATCAATCTGGGAGATGACGTACTGAGCACGACCAGCAACACCGAGGACTTCGACGAGATCAGAGGTGGCTTTTGGATGGTTGCCAAAGTCTTCGTTGAGGGCCTTGTGGATGGCGTCTCGGTTGGACATGATCATGCCGGCAATCTTGCTGATGTTCTCCTTACGAGCATCAATGGAAGGGTACTGATCCTTGAGGAAAGCCTTCTTTTGTAGGGCGAGCTTCCTCTCGAGCTCCTTGATGGCTAATGCGTCGTTCGACATGATGATAGGAGTGATATCAGCTTCAATCTGTCTATACGTCTTGATGCCAAGGTCAACTATTTGAGTGTGGAGGTGACACAGACTCGAATTGCGGAGTAGTGCAAATCATCTCACGCTCATCTACGACGGCTCAATTTCAGACTTAGTACTCTTCTCTCTGCCTACTTCTGATGCCTAGAGCTCCATGTGTGGGAACTCAGCCTTGAGCTTCTCAGCAGCCGCAAGCATTTGCTCCTTGACCTCCTCAAACGACTTGGACGCACCATCCTTGACCTTCTCCACAACAAGCTTCTCCTTACCATACGCCAGCTCAGAGGCCTTGGCAGCAATCTGCTCCGTCACAGCCATCGGTGTGCCATGCACAATCTCACTCACCTTGTCGCCAATTGCATCAAATGCATTCTCAACATGCTCACCAGCTTGACCCGCAGCACCTTTGATCTGGTAATACACCTGTCCAGCAACACCCGGTTCAGGAGTTCCATACACAGCAGCAGACGCTTTACTCGCAATTTGCTCACCGAGACCTTGAGTTGTTCCCACAACAGCACCAGACACTTGACCAGCAACATAGCCAGCAGCGTCTTGAACTTGCTCCTTGATTTCCTCTGTTGGAATGTACGCGGCAGCTTTCGCGGCTTGCTCAGAGGCAGCAGCGGCAGCAGACTGAGCAGTCTTGTACGCTTCAGCAGCTTGAGAGGAAGCAACCGATGCAGCGGATTTTGCAGAAGCAGCAACTTCGTCGGTATCGATGGATTTGATGTAATCTGAAGCAGCAGCGGCAGCATCACCCACAACCGAGGTAATGTGTTCTGGCTCAAGCATCTCTTCAGCGGCATTAGCAGCAGCTTCCATCGATTCATACGCTTTATCAATGATACCTGCCGTGGTGGTAGCTTCACCAGCAACAAAGGAACTGAGACTCTCGTAAAAGGCTTGAGCTCCGAGCATCGCATTGACGGGGACGTAGCCATAGCCGAAGCTCTCCGAGTCCTCACCCAGCGTGATCTTCTTAGGACCAATCGAGTGGAGCTGTTCGAGCTTGGATGCAGCGCCACCAGCAAGCTTTTGGACTTTGCTGTCGGTCTCCTTGAGGAGCGCCTTGAGTTCCTTTGCAGAGGCATCAAACTCCTTCTGAGCAAGCTTTTTGAGAGACTTTTCAATATCTGCCAACTGCGTGTCGAGATGTTCAAACTGCTTGCGGTGTTTGCGAGAGACACTTTCAGAATCATACCCAATAAGCTCATGTGCAGCTTCCTTTGCAGCCAACGCAGACTTGGCCACACCTTCATACACAATGAATGTATGCTTTTGCACACGTTGTTCAAGCGCTTCAAGCACAGACGAGGTATGCGCCTTGACTTCAACAGCCTGTTCATGCAACTTCTTACCAGCCTTGGCAAATGCCGGTCGCAATTGCTCAGTAATCTCGCTTTGTGGTTTACCGTGATTTGCGCTGTTGCCAGCATAACTGAGAATTTGTCGTTCAACAGCCTCGACTTGCTCGACCGCGGTATTTTCAAGTTGCAGCAAGTAATCTGAAGTCAGGACGGATTGCGTCTTGATGGCTGTGGGAAGGAGATTTTGCAACTTCTCCTGCAAGACATCCGCAGCCGCTTCACCCTCAGCCTTCAAGCTCTCCTCTGCAGCCGTCAAGACTTGCCCAAGCACCTCGGCGTCCATCTTCTTTTGTAATTTTGCATCATTTGTAGCCTCGGGGGCTTTAGCGGTAATGGTCTCACCTGCAATGACGGTCGTTTCAAGCTTCGCAGACGGCGTATTCTTTGCGAGCATAGAAGCAGAAACAGAGGCGGCAATGATATTCGCAGAGTCGACATCAGGCCTCGCGAAACCACGGGCCGCTTTGAATTCAAACAATTTTTGAGAGACGCGTGCGAGTTGTGGTTCGACGTACTTGTAGAATGCGCGTCGCATAGGCGGTAGAACGGTCGTGCGGTAGAATGCAAGGAGTGCATCGCGCAACTTCAAAACAATCGGGTGGCCGTGTTGCCAGTAAGTCGATGCACCAATCGCTGCAGCGTGCTTGACGTGCGGCGAAACTTTGTGGAAGGTGGGAACAAGAACTTTATCGTACACCTGCTGGGACTTGGTTGATGCCATATCAGTGTAAGGTTTGATAGTGTTTGTCGCCGTAGCAATGTGCTTGCCGACATACTGGCCGTACACCTGCTGAGCCTTCTTTTGATACTTGCTCACCACAGGGTCCAAGCGAGCATTGTAGTGCTTCTTGGCAGCTTGTGTCGCCTGTGCCGTGACAGGGTGGAGGTGCTTGTTGTAGAGCTTACCAGCGTGATCCACGGCAGGCTTTGCTTGCTTCTGATACACCTTGTGTACTTGAGCGTAGTACTGCTCGCCCTTGGCCACATATGGGCCAGCGTATTGCTCGTAGTAGGGTTGCACATGCGGTCCTGCATGTTTGACGGTAAACTCCTTCAAACTATTGAATCGCCGACACACAGCAGGTGCATTGACATCAATGGTCGATGGACACGCGTACAGGATCCAGTAGAGCGCGTAGAGGACTGCTGCGCGGATAGTGTAGGTAGCGAGTATTGAGCGCGATTTGCGGCCGTTTTTGAGGTGCCGGCGTGATTGATGGGTCGGGAGGCCGAGGAGTCCCTCTGCGCCGCCTCCTGACTTTCTGCCTTTTGCCATGGCTGTTACTGGAGAGGTAGAGGTAGATGCCGGTCTACTCTCTTTGTCTCTTTCTCTTCCTCGGCCGGCTGGACAGTCACGTGCACACGTCATCGCATACACCGCAGTCACATCTGTGATGAATAAGTCGTCGTCTACTGCTTCTCAGACTCGCCAGATCCAGGCGTGATGCCATTCTCAGACACGCCATCTACGGGTGCCTTCCCCGGCTCGTGCTGCTGTGCCATTTCCTCGCCAACATGAGCAAGTGGGCCATTGATACTGCCACGCTCCTTGTCCTTCTGCTCCGGCAGCAGCTCTACCATAATGGGTGGCAGAGGCTGTTGTTCCTGTTGCTTGCTTTCACCAGCGACAGATCCCTTGTCAGCCTTGTTTGCCATGGCTGCACCAGCTGGACCCAGAGCTTGTTTGTCACTCTCCCACTGCGCACTCGCTGCACCCACCCCTGCCTGTTCCTTGGCCACGGCTGCTGCCATAGCTTCCTTTGCAACCCTTTCCGCTTCCATCTCCTCCATATGCTTAATGTCATCCACCGACGGCTCATACAAATGCCAAATAACATAGTGCGGTAAGCCAACAACGGAAAATCCCATCCGTCGAGACATCTTACCAAAGCCTTCCGTCTCTGCATGCTTCTCAAAGGAGAAAGCAGGAAAGTGTGTGCCTGTTCGAAAGACGCGCGCTTTTGCAAGAATAGACACACCGCCAATCCCATCAATTGGCATCTCCTCCTCTGGATCACCCTCTGGATCACGCAAGTAAGCGAGATGTGGTCGCCACGTCGCAAATTCAGCATACCCCTCCACAATCACGACATCTTCATCCAATGTCTTTGCAAGTTGCAGAGCAGTCTCTGATTCTTGCCAGGAATTGAGATCATACGGTTGTTGCCCACCCAACCAATCCGGCAACGGTCGCCAGACATTGGGAACAATGACATCCTTATCATGCCGCATGAGATCTTCAAGAATCGTAGCAGGTGCCGTTTCAACATCCACATCACGCCAGTACACCCAACTGTGATCAGCTTTGAGCGTTGCACTCAGTAACCAATTCCGAGCGCGTGCCATGAGTTTTCTACGCGGTCCCTGAGCAGCGAAGCCATGGCGATCACTGAAGGATTGTCCAATAGCTTGACCGAAATCTTTTTCAATGATGGTGATGTCGCCGTAATGCATCGTCTGGTCTGGATCTGCTTGCAAGTCATCCAGTAAGGCCACCAACTCACTCATGGTGTTGTCCTTTGAGTCAGACACCAGAAAGGCAAGGTCAATGAGGTGATGCGGATACGAGAGGTTCCGCAAATGACTAAAGAACATGGGGAGATGGACCGCTGCATCACGCAACGGTGATAGAAACAACACGCGCTCGCCATTCTCCCAGCCGCGAGGCGACCCAATGGATTGGGCAAGGTCGAAATGCCTGATACTCGGTATGGCAGGATCATCTTTCATGAGCCCTCCGAAACCTAGATTGATTGCCGGCGCAACGGTATTGCCGTAGCCAGACACGTAGAAGAGGCTGCATAGACAGAATGCACAAACAGCGCCTATTCTGACATAGCTATTGCGGAAGATACTTTGGCGCCCACCAAAGCGATCAATGTTGATTCTGAAGCGATTTGTCTGAATCCCCTGGCGTACGTCAGCTTGCTGTAGGATGGAGGATTGAAGAGTGGAGTGAGCTTACGGAGCCTTGATGATAGCTGCCTTTCTTCATGGACACTGCCAACGCCAAGCAAGCGCCGGATTAGGGAGAGAGTAGCACAACACGCCAATTGAGTTGCGAGTAGGCTGACGCACTGCCTAGGCTGCTGCACGCAGGCTGCTTGATGGTAGGATATGGATATGCTTTGAGTGTCTGTCGCGTCTATATTTGTCGGTTGCACAGATGCGTTGAGATGGAACGGCAGATCAATCATCACGGGCAGTCCGTCGCAGTCTATCTGCTCCCTTGTTCTGCATAATGAGAATGGTTGCTTGACAAACAGCCAGTATGGTCATCTATGAGGGTACTCTGAAGAGCCTTGACTCAAGCAGGGCACTCTTCTCCATTGTGTCTTTTGAATACCTAGCAAGCGACAGGCACGTCTGGGCTCCGTGCATTGATGACTTGCCAGGCCATACAGTCAGTCTGCTTACCAACGCTCATATCTGGTAGCTTGCAAGTTCGGGGTCTACTAAGTGGTTGTTTGCCCCTGGTACTTCTTGTGGTAGCCAAAGACGCGGATTGCGTTGACAAGCGAGCTTTCTCAGCTTTGCCCTGTATCTTTGATTCTTGCCCTACTGCCACTGGCTACTGCCAACTGGTCGAATGAAGGCCTCGTATCATGGATGGTTGGCCTGATAGAAACAAGTCCTCGCTTCTGTTGGTATCCCACGTCGAGTATCCCGCAGTCACATGCGCATTGCTACGTCATGGACCACTGGCTACTTTCAATTACTTTCAACTACTTTCATCTGTTCAGAGTCGGGCCTTTCGGAAGATCAAGTAGGCTTGTAGCGAGTGGATGCCGACTGCTTGATCAGCTGTCAAGGCCCGAGCTGCCTGCTGAGAAGGTAGAAGCTGCAGCAGAAGGCGAATACGTGATGTGGCAGTCGGCCATGCACAAGGCACAATTTCGCACAAGGTCCTATGTGATGCTGTTATCAGTCTCCCTGACACTTTGAGCGATTGCTTCCGAGTCTAGTGCATCCAGGACTGTGTGTCGTGTGCGCATCCAGGGGGCCGTGTCAGAAGATACCAGGGCTCGCGGCTATTTGTTTCAAAAGACCCTTCTACAAACATTGGGTAGTCTTGACACGACATGACACAGTGTGATGTAGTACTCGTCCTTCAGACACACAACCTTGACACAAGTGCCACGAACACTGGCTTGTAGTTGTAGACTAGTCTGCAGTCTGTAGTCTGTCGTGGTGGGCGATCCACCTGAAACGGCAAAGTCTGCGCCGGGGATCGGGAGATGGAGCCGCATGCCAAAGTGTCAAATTGGCTGCAGCCGCGCGTGTGTCTCACTTGGAACACTATATACTATGTACTAGACTATGTATGAAGCATGCAGCATGATAGTATAGTCTGCTTATTGAACACCCATGCCATGTCTCATATGAGCAGCAGATGCAATCCCCGCGAGGACATGTCCAACTACTTCAATCTGCTGCACGGTAGATCAACATCCAGACAAATCCCGGCGGCATCTTCCGGGGCAAGTAGTTGCCCTTGTATACGTGTAATGCTCGGTAATCAGCAGTAGACATAGTGAGAGTAGGCTATGCGACTCGGAATGAACAGGCCCTGCTTGTCGCTACTGTCTTAAGGAGTCTGCTTCTGTTTGTAATGCTGAGACGCAGGGTAGCGAGTGTGCATGTGCCTGCCCTCGGAAGCTGCTGAGTAACTCTGAGTGAGTCGAGTTGCTGCTGCTGCTGATCCGAAATGTCAAAAGCAGCAACGCATCCACCACCCAACCATCCAGACTGCTACAGCTGCTGCTACGGCTACAGCGTCCTCCAAGGGCCATCTCTCATGGCGCATCAGCTCTAGTGCCTCAAAGACAGCGCACATACACCCAGCAACCATGCTCAACCGACTCTTCGCCGGGAAATCCCCATCCGCACACTCAGAAGCAGACAGGCGCTCACACATCCTCCTCCATGGCTCACAGCCGTAAGCGCACCATCAAACATCCAGGTCTCATCACTAACACCTTCATCAGGGACTGCAGCGCACCCGTTGCAAAACCGAGAATCATCATTGCACAAGACCTGGGCGACAAGGCAAAAGTCGTCCTCTACGACAGTGCAGCCCCAGCCAACGAGACACCTGGCGAGCGCTCACATCGAGCAGCAGGCGCACATGCTCATGCCTCAGAAAAGCACAATGAGCGCAAATCGCAAGTCATGACAGAACTCATGTTTGGCACCATCCCGCTCTCCTACCGCGGAACATCAGTACGCGTCCATCCGCTGCAGGACCGCGATCACGATGGCACTCGCACGTTTCTATTCACAAAAGTCTTTTCCGTTGATGTGATTGCCGATGAGGATGAATTGGGTGTTGGTCCACCTACGGGCGGTACCTCCTCCCTCTCTTCATCATGGAGCTCGACATCTGGTATGCGCGAGTATCCCTTCCCAACAATGACGCCGCTCAATGGTCACGTCGACAAGCATGCGCAACCAGGATCAAGAAACAGCTCGCGTGATCGCATGCATCAGCGCCATCACCAACGCACAACATCCCTCACGAACCCTCAACAAAAGCAAATGCATGCGCGTCGTCCAGAATCATCCACGAGCGTGTCTGGTGGCTTGCACGCCATGCGCGGTCCTGGATCATTGCAAAAGGAGCACAACGCTGCTTTCACTGGCACGCAAAGTCATGACGCAGAGGAACAAGCGACATTGGGTTGGCTACCGTCACCAGGGCCTTACCTCTCACAGCGACGTCGTTCTATCGACACAACAGGCAGTAATTCACCAACGACATCTTGGTGTGGCAGTCAAACTTCATCAAGTCGCTGTCAACCTGCCACCTGCGCTCTAGGAATTCTCTTCTCCGTTCCCGGTACGGGACAGGAAGAAGTAGAGTGTGCACGCCTGTCACGCTATTGGACCATGCTTACGCGCGCAGCCTATGCACTCCAGCGAACCACATACGACCAGCTCACCCAACATTTCAGCAGGTTGGCGAACCAAGGTGCAACCTTGTCTACACCCAGTTCATCCCGTTCACGGTGTCGCACTGCGGGACAGCGTGGCGAACCACAGGTTTTTCTACGAGGTAAAAAGTATTATTGCGCTTTGGGTCAATATTGTCTTGCTACGGACCGCGTCATCACCGACGCTACCTCTGCATTTCGGGAACGGCTTGCTGGAGCTATTGAGTTGCCTGATGTCGTGCAGAAGCCTTTTGAGCAGGAATCATCTATTCTGCTGGAAGAGCTGACGCAAGTCATGGAGCAACTCGATTCGAAGGAGTGCAAGTTTTTGTTTTCAACCTTGTTTTCCTACCTCGTGCAGCATCTCAGGGAAGCGCGCAAGGAGCAAAAAAGTCGTGTCGGTGCTTTGCACAAGGACAGTCTGCAGAATCGCTTCTTGATTGTTTCTGATAGTCCGTTGTTGGCACGACGCTTACTCTACTGTCTCGCTCGACTTCTCTTTCGCGATCACAGCATGCACATTCGCACAGCTTTGGATTATGCATTGGTTTGGCCAGCCAACGGCATCTTGGGTATGCCGAGAAAGGATCTCATTCGACGACGTCAATCCAATGTTGCTAAACAGGAACGCATCAATCGTGCTTGGGATATCCCACATGCACGCATGGACCCATCTTCTGCATACAGCCTTCCACTCGTCTCGCCCTCCGTCTTTCATCGACCACCAAGCACAAGCTCTAATGCCTCTTCCCGCAATTCAAGCTGGAAGCCCTCGTGGACCTGGTTCTCGAATGGATCACGTTCAAGGCTCGCTGATGAATTGACGATGCATGGACCGCGAAGTGACACACGCACCCTCCAAACGAGTTGGGCATCGAGTGATTTCGCTCAAGCGCGACTCTCTGGCCATCAATCACCGGCTTCACCGCGTTCTACGAGTAAATCACCCGTTCGTGTGAGTTCAGAGCATTCAGAGTCAGAGGAGGAAACACCCCGAGCGAGTGTGGTTGGTGAACGGCCATTGTGTACGAAAGAAGCAGATGGCAGTGTTCATGTTGCACTACTCGATACAGTTCCCATTTCCCCTGAATTCCCACAAACCGTGGCACCGAGCCCTATGGCAAGTCACGCCTATCCACTCACAGGCTTCTTATCTCGCTTTCATCCAGACATGCTCCTTCAAGCTATTCCACATGCTGCGTATGATGAAGCGGACATCAAGGCGTTCCTAGCGGAAGAGGAACTCTACCTAGCTCCGACCATCTCTCCAACAAGCGATCAATGGCGACCTACAGCGAGTATCGTGATTGCTGAAATCGGCCATCTCTACCGTGTTCGCAAAATCACCCGCTCATCCAGAACGGCCCAAGTACTGGTGCCTGAAGCTGCTGAGCGAGATGGATTGGTCAAGATGGTTCGGCATGAGGAGAGATGGCAGGATGATGTCTTGACGGAGGTGGATGAATCGCTCATGGCGCGCGTCACGGGTGTATTGACCTCAAAAAGGCCGACACAGGCTCTTGCGACGCTCATTGCTGATTTGGCTCAGTGATCCCTCATCCTTTCTCATGGTGTTTCGTTGGCTTGCTTGTCAAGGTTCTGATTCGCATTTCTCATCATTTGGTGCAATGCTTCATGTTTCGTTGTTTCTACTTTTTGTTCTTTTCTTTTCTGGCGCCTGCGTTCATTACTCTGTACCACTACCGTAGGCCCGCTCTGTACGAGAGATTGGCACCTAATACCATGACACGAAACATCCCTTTCGCTTTATGCCCTCAAAATGTTTGCATCAATTTGCTTGATTTGTGGACCAACACTGAGCTTGACCTTGTTGCGGTACGTTGTTGGATTTTGTCGCTGCATTGGGTTCCCCTCAAAATAAACCGTATCCAACACAGGCAGCTCTTTACACTCCCGTTCAATCTCCTCGAAGCTTGTGAGTAGATTGTTACTCGCCCAAAGTTCTCGTAGTTCCTTCAAATGTGCGATATCGGTGAGATGTTCAAGCTTGTTGCTCGAAATATCCAAGACTTGTAGCTTCTTCAAACTTGACAAGGGCGCTAGGCTCGTCAGGCCATTCTGAGCAACATACAACTCCTCAAGCGTTTCGGCCACCTCTTCAATTCCCTCGAGCGATGTCAGACGATTCGATTGAATGGACAAAAGGCGTAGTTTGGGCAAACCTGCCAAAGACCCACCAGCAAGCGAGGTGATTTTGTTCTTACCCAGCCAAAGTTCCTCTAGCATTTTGAGACGCTGAAGCCCTTCAATCTCGCGAATCTTGTTGGCGCCGAGTTCCAGCATGGTCAAGTGAACGAGATTCTCGAGATGTTCGATGCGTGAAATCTTGTTTTGCACGAGGTACAAGAGCTTGAGTGTATTGCCGAGTTGATCGAGATGCTTGATGTGCTTGATGCGATTGAAGGACAGATCCAGCATTTCCAGCGTCTCCAGACTGGCAATGCCATCCATATGGCCAATTGAATTATCGTAAAGATCCAACTCCGTCAATGTTGTCGGCAAACCCTCTATCCTCGATATCGCATTCTGTCGCAAGCACAACTTTTTCAGCTTTGGGAAGCGTTCAAGTCGAAGTGCTGGAATATCACGAACGCGCGAGTGCAGGCATTGAATTTCTTCCTCATCGACATCATAGTCATCCAAAAGATCTTCGTCTGCATCAATTTGCTGCCCTGGAACAACCTCGACCTGTCTCTCAGGCGCATCTTCCTCCTCATCCGTGTCGGCCTGCTGCATGAGCACATCTTCCTTTTGCTCAGCTTCTGCCATGGTCGTTGCAATAGAGGCAAATCTTGAATGGGTCGTTTGTAAGTTGCTGGCGCGTCGTGGAGCCGACGATTTTCGACGCGTGCGAGGATCAAGGGGCAACAATAAAGCTACACATTCTCAACTACAACAGGCTTCTCATCGTCAGGCTCGCTCTCTGAGGAATCTGCATCCTCGTCACCAGGGTACACAGCCTGTTCTGTAACGTGTTCGACATTGAACTCGCGGTGCAAAAAGTCTAGGAGAATCTCAATATTCTCAGAAATGCCTTGTAGCCTGCTAGTGCCGTTCCCCACCATGAGCTCCTTGACATTTCTCTGCATTACTGCTACTTGTTGTGGAACGTTGAGCGCAAAGAAGTCCGCGAAGAGATCTTCAGGGACTTGCTGCATCTGAAGCTGGCATGTTAGTAATTGAATGAGACAGAAGGACATACGTGTAGCAAGTCGAGGATGCCTTCGAAGAAAGCAGGATTTGTCAGCAAAGCTGTCTTTGAATTGGCGACAAGAAGGAGCATGGTGTTGAAATGATCGCAGGCCGCTAGTGAGCCATACAGCAACACGCTGAGCGTGCAAAACTCAAACTCTGCCAGGAATCCATCGGCACCACTGCAGCGTGATAGCGTGTCGTGAAGCAGCCATGACTTGTCGAGCGACTGATCTGTCAGTTCTCTTCCGATAGCTCCAGGTCTCCAGCTTCTCTTGAGATCAATTGGAGTGAATGTCAGAGCGTATTCCCCACTGCCAGTGATGACCGTCGTGTCGATCCTCTTCAGCTCGTCGGCAAAGGGGTCGACGTTCGAGGTCGATGTGCTTGTCAGGACGCTCTCCAGTTTTACAAAACGGCTGACTGTATCAGCACCAAGATGCTTGCTCAAGGCCTCAAAATGGCGATCAGGCTCTGGAGGACACGCCACGAAGAACATCTCTTCATTCGGACCCATAGATTGATTTGAGCTCGTCTTGACGAATTTTTGCTCGGCAGATCTCCAAGCAAATGCGGTAGTCACAGATGTCTTGATGTCAAGCCATACAGCATATTTGGTCAGTGACACGTCTGCTATTGTGACGTGTAGACAATGGATACCCTCAGGAACATCCTTGATGCCTCTGAAGTTCGGGCCAGATTGCCAAGAGTGCAAGTCAAGGCCGACATGAGATCCTGGTGGAATGTTTTCCAAGCGTATGAGCGTCATCTCGCATGCTCAGACATGCAACTAAATAACTGTTGGTCGATGCGAACCACCAGAAGGAGTCGCGGCGCTGTTCACATTGTCGGCGCCAGGCAGAAAGTGGGATCAGATTTCAGATGACACCCCAAAATCCTGCGCTGTCGCGAGCATCTGCAGCTGTAGAGGACTGCTCCAACCTCGTCCTTGTGTTCCCTCACAACTTCAACGCTGGCTCAGAACAAGATACGCGTAAATAATAGTCACTTCTGATGTAGTAGTCGATCACATGATTTCGCAGACATCCCCAATATTTGGCGCGGTCAAGGGGCTGGTATCATCACGCGATTGTCCACGCAACGACGACATCTTCCGCCCACCATCTATACATCGTCAAAGCTGCTAACAGATGAGATTGCCAAGCTACGCAAGTACGAGACCTGAAGAACGCTTATGTAGAGTGTCGCAGCAGCTCTATGGCACACTCGCGCAGCGCTTTGACGCGTACGAAGAGCAAATCTGGCAGCAAACTCTGGCCCTTGGCTCTTCTGCCTTGAGTGGTGTATGTAGAGAACCTACCAGAGTTGAAGCGCTGCAGCTTGCGCAGTTTGAGCAAGTCTTCAAACAGCTCTACTACGACAAAGATTGCGATCGCTCCGAGCTCGACAATCCCCTGCACATGGCGTTGCGCAAGACAGTGATGGCACTATTAGCAGGCAACGAGACATTGCCTGTGTATGAGAACACTCAGCCTTGCCAGAAGTAACCCAGGCACTTGCTCTGAATTGATCGGCAGCCAAGCAGCTCGTACTCTTGTGCAGAAATCATGAATTCAGATGCAATCTTGATGCGTGAAAAGATGGACATGCCCTTCCAGGAGAGCACTTGCGGGTCGAGCTCCTTTGGCGCCGGTACAACTTCAATCTTCTCGATGCTCGGACGTAATGAGCGAAGTCGATCTTCGAGGTACGCGGAAGCATGCGGGAGGTTGAAGCCGGCGCCAGTGATGAGGATGGTGGAGAACAAGGCCTTCTTGCGTTCTTCCGTGCCAATGGGTAGATTCTCGCAAGCGCACTCAATCGAAGCAATGATGGCCTGGTCAAGAGGCACCATGAGGATTCGGTCTTCTTCCGCATCACGAGCTGCCTGACTGTCAAGCTTGCTGATGGCGCCTTCGACTTGGTCTCCCGCAGCGTCTGCAGCGTCCGCAGCAGCAGGATTGGGCGAGTCGACCTCCATTGGCGTCTCGCCTGCCGCAGATTCAGCTGCGTTGGCTGCTTTAGCAGACAGCAGCGTACTGACCACAGCGCCAGGTCGATTTGTGGGATTTGTATTGCCGTTGGGCTCGCGATCCGCTTTGCCGTACAGGAACCGCGTCTGGACAACCGAGTCGGGCTCGTTGACGTGGTCTTCGTAGATATCTCTGGACTTGCTGAACAGCGAGCGACGGCCACGAAGCCTCTCGCCATTGCCGAATATTTTGGGATAGAAGTAGGCGAGTGCAACCATCACTTGCTCGTCGTAGACTTTGAAGTTGTACTTGCGAGTGGGCCTGTCAGGTTGACGTTGATAAAAGTGATAGAGCTGAACAGCGACATCTGCTTCATTCAAGGAACAAAACTTGGCCTTGAGTTCTTCAGCGAGCGCCCAGTCATAAGCACGCGACAAATCAAAGTCGCGGTACGGGAAAGAGGCACGTAGTAGAGTCTTGGTGAAGAGCATGGTGATGTCGTCTCCTCCGTAGTTGAGCAGCACTCTCGAGTCGCCCAAGCAAATTCCTTCTTCGACGCAAGATACAGAAGTCTTTTGTGCGCCAACGTCCACCACGCAAGCTGAGGAGATGCCAGCGCCATAAGTAGCGCATACGCTTTCTTGAAGCAAAAGTACTTGAGCAAAGCTGAGCTCGGCAAAAGCAACGTGCATGAGATTCTCAACGAATGCGCGGTCATACAGGTCGGGAATGACGAGACAGAAAGCGTAATCCTTAAAACTCCGCTGTGGTACCTTAAGCTCATCCTCAATGGCGCGTGTAATGACAAGCACAAGATCTCCAAGCATCTCTTGTTTGGTCTTGTAAGGTGCCTCATTGAGAGTGCCGTGTTGGACTGGACGAAAGAGCTGATAGTAGGGTTCAACATTCGGTCTAATTTTGAGCGCTTTTTCGCCAGTGATGTACGCTGGCGCATCGCTTACGTCTGTCCACTCAATTTTGGACGGATCATTGTGCTCAACAACTTCTTCTGGCTGACTGCGGCTGTTGAATGAAGAGGAGAGATCTGGTCCATTCGGAATCATTCTACGCTTTGTGTTGCGCATTCTGTGTTTCACTTCTGTAGAAAGTTTCTTCAAGTCAGTCTCAAAGTCAGCACCGAAGAGACCGGGCCCAAGTTGAGCATCAGAAGCAATGATAGGCTCGGCTGATGCTGGAGCAGGTACGCGTCTTGCAATGACGCAAGGAACAGTCTTTGGATATGCATGAGAGGCAAGACCCACTCGCAAATCACGAGAACCAAGATGAATGACGATGCTCTTAGCACCGAGCGTGGCTCGCTCCTCGGGCGACTCATCCTCGTCGCCATCTTCATTGTCCTCATCATCCTTGGCAGCTGCACCTTCTGACTTTTCAGCAGCCTTATCCGCTAATTTATCTTTTTTGGCCTGAGCAACTTTCTTCGTATGCTCAATGAAGAGACGATGCGCATAGAATTGGCTATCACTTTTCAGGTAGTCTGTGTAGAAGTTCTTTTGGTTGATTGGCGCGACAGTGTGAAACGAGGTGAAGCGTATCTTTTTAGCATTTGGATCTTGAGCCTTTTTAGGTGGCATCTGAGCTATTCACCCTTCAGCAAAAATGCTCGAGGTAGATGGTAGGTACAGAGCCTCGTCCTGGCCATCCATTGGGACCATTGCTCGTCGTGTCTCGGTGCACGTGTCTGCGACGTTACGCGGCTCAATCTCAAGCGACCACGGCGACGACCACAACGCGTACCTTTGCCTGCGACGGGACAAGGTGAACAATGGCCACGATGACTGCTCCTGTCAATTACGCCATGGATTCATCTATCAGCGTCGACTGGCAAGCACTCAAGACGGGTGAAGTGAGCATGGGAACCACAATTGCGGCGCTCAAATATGACGGAGGTGTTATTCTGGCTGCAGACTCGCGGACGACCACAGGCGCATACATCGCCAACCGCGTGACGGACAAATTGACGCAGATTCACGAGAAGATATGGTGTTGCCGGTCTGGCTCAGCTGCCGACACACAGGCAATTGCTGACATCCTGCACTACTACTTGCAGATGTATGAGGCTCAGAACGGCAAACCGCCGAGTGTCAAAATCGCCGCCAATATGGCTGCAGAGATGTGCTATAGCAACAAGGACAATCTGTCAGCGGGATTGATTGTGGCAGGCTATGATGAGAAGAGCAAGGGCGAGGTATACAGCATTCCGCTGGGAGGCTCACTACACAAGCAAGACTTGGCTCTCAGTGGCAGCGGGTCGAGCTACATCTACGGCTACTGTGACGCCAACTTCAGGACGGGCATGACTGAGCAGGAAGCCATTGACTTCTTGAAGCAGGCTATCGCCCATGCTATGGAGCGTGACGGTTCGTCTGGCGGTGTCATTCGCATGGCCACTCTGAGCGCACGCGGCGTCGAGCGTCACTTCTTTGCGGACGCCGATATTCCAGCCATGTGGAATGCACCTGGACCTCATGCGTAGTGCTTGCAAGTGGACGTGCACGGAGACATAGTAACAAACTCATGAACCAAAATTACTATGCCTGACGCTGAATACGCTTCCTTCGATATCTGATTTTTCCCTCTTCTACACTCTCGCAAACCAGTCTTCTTGTATATGCGCCTGGTGATGGGCTTTCCTCAGGGTCAGTCGCAATAGTTGTGCAACGAATTCAAATGCGTTGGTCAATATCACCGCATGCTTGCAGACTGGAACGACTCCTGTCTACGCACACATCAATGGCCTTCCTCTGACCCTTCACTAGATAGCTCAGAGGCGGACAAGTCTGCACCTTGCTGGCGAAACTCTGCCAAGAGATCCTCCGTCTCATGATGGCCAGGACTTTGACGGATGGCAAGGGCTGCTTCCTCCAACCCAGCGACATCATCTTCATCGTAAGCAGTCGTGGGCAATGATGCCACTACAGTCGCCAATAACGAACCAGTACTTGCATCAGCGTTGGAACTCTGTGAAGATCGCCGGCGATCCTGTATGGCGCTTCCACCAGGCCAGAGCCCGAATAAAGACACTCCTAGTCGCCATTGTCCGGGTCGCGTCAATTGCAGACTAGGGAAGATGAAATAAACATTCTCGTGGCCCTGTGTATCCTTCAAAAGCTGGCCGTGAACGACGAGCCTACCGCGCATCAATGGCGGTCCAGAAGTATGGCTAACGGCGGTGCCATCAGCAGCTCCAGAAGCAGGGGCTGGCATCAACTGCAATGAACCATCGGCAGACCACACAGAAACGTTTGAGATGAGGTAGGGCACATCCTCCTGCGCCATTGACCCCGCAGACACATGTCTACTGTCAGAATCAGATGCAGACCCTTCCCCTGCAGCACGAGGCGAGGTTGGCTCAACATGCAATCGAACGACCAGCGTCGGAGAACAAAGTCCAGCACCTGAAGTAGCGCAATATGCTGGCAAGGAGACAATCTCAAGTCTATATCGCCGCTGTCGACCATAACTGCATGTCGAAGCCGAGTAGTTTGGAGAACTGCCTACCTGACCACTCCCATGTGAACCGGTTCCTGATCTGCCTGAGGCTCCAGAACCAAAAGACCCGTCGCGATGTTGTTGAGTGGTGCCCCTTGCTGGTGGCGCTGCAGCGACAGCACCAGGCTGTGGCGACTGCGGGCGCGCCGTTGAATGCGCATTGGACGTTGATTGAATCTCGGGCCCTGATGAGGAAGTGACGTCCATCGATTGCACAGGCCAGCGTGCAGCAGCCTGCGTCAGTCCGTGGGATTCAGAAGGTGCCGGCTTGACTGGGCCTGAGGAGCTGGGAAGGGCAACGGTCGCGCGTTGATCAGTCCTCGACGGCGTATCACTACTGTCGATCGAGGAGTGATCTCGCCTGCATCCTCTGCCAATGCTCTGCTCTGTCATGTGCACAAGAGCCGATTGAACTGGCTTGATTTTGCCGTTTTTGGACAAACCTGGTGACAAAGGCCCATCATGTTGCTGGACGACTAAATGGGTTAGCGGCCTGCTCAATATGTGAAGCTCCTGTTGCGGCATGGTGTGGTCGGATGAAGGCAGGTCTTCCTTGCTCGAGATCTGACGGCCAGCATTTGTGGCAGCCAGGCTGGTCTTTACAAGCAGCTGAACAGATCGGGCTCAAGACCAGCGAGCAGCAGGGGTTGTCGATCTCGCAAGCGTTTGAGACGAGTCGCAGGCCTGTACCAAATAAAGCTGCAAACATCGCGGACGAGGAGCGGGATCCTGAGCACCCTGACGCATCTCGGTAACTTAGATGCCTGATCACTGGATAAAGGCGCTCCTGACCAACTCTTTGCAACTACCACGCGGACAGGAGGGTGGCGATACTTACGCATCAAATGTTGCTCTGTTTGGCGATCCTCGACGACTTGTGTCCTTGATTCGCTAGCACACAGTGATGTTTGGGCCTGCTGCGGTTACGAGGAGCGCGCTCTGTGTAGAACGAGCGCTTCCTGATTCTCCTGTGTCGACCGACGATATGCAAGATTGTGTCAACGACCACTTATAGTCAAACAACAGCGCATTGTGGCAGCTGCTATGTCTTATAAAGGTTCAAGTGGTGTCGGCAGAGCAAAGCAGAAAGCTGAACCTTCCAAAATCGTGGCCTTGGCCTTGGATGGTGGGACGGGCCGGCTAGGCGATTTTGTGTCTCAAGTCTGAAACTGGGCTTAGGCGCAGGCCAATGCGCGCGCTCGATAGCAAGATGGGCGTCGGGCGAGGACACGACGTTAAGGATGCTCCTGAGACTGAGTCATACCCTCAGCGGAATCAGCGTGTAGTACAACCCGGCAGTGCCAGCTTGCGGAACGATAATGTTCTTCAGACTCAGAGCCTCGCATCCGTCGAGTAGCGGCGGTGCGCAGCGGCGCAGGGCGTACAAGTGGCGCTCAACCGCCGCTCATTTCAAAGCTCAAATCCTCCGACACGGCGACTTCCGATTCGGTAATTTGTTGCAATTGGCAGATGCAAAGTCAGCTCGAGCTCGAAAAGCACTTGGCTTGAGACTGCGCTCTTGCCAATTCCACAAATGTCGTAGACTCACTTGTGACATGTGTACATCCCAACTCGATTCCCAAGATTCCCAACAACTTAGAACTCGGCTTGACGTGGTTTAAAAGCGACTCTAACGGTCTCAATTTCTCAAACCATTTGCATTGCTGGGCCAGGCCGGCATCCGAAGTCTGAGATGTGGACCATGTGGTCGGCCAGTGTGCCTCGGAGAAGAGTTTAAATCCTGCGGTGCGAGATTATTTTCTGAATTAGTCCCGCATCTCGAGTCTCGACTACATGTACATTGTACAACCTTGTAAAGCTTGTTCTCGATAAGTGACTTATCATGGAGTTTGAGGATCAAATGATGAGCTCCCTTACAGCTGACCATCCGTGATACTGTCCATGGGTTCATCATGGTAATCTATAAATGCACGGCTATATGTGCCAAGCAAAGTCTACGAACCGTGACCTAGTTGGCCAGTGCTGGCATCTGCTCGTCAATCGTCTGATTTGGGAGCACAGGGATGCCTTCAGTCTTCTGCAGCACGGCAGCTGGCGGAGAGCGAGCCTTGTAATTGTGTAGCACAGACCCCTTCATATAGACATGATCTCGGATGCGTTGACGGTATCGACGCCACACAATCTGCCCAACTTTGGTCATCGAGACGGCAGCTGCTGCCAGTGCGGCAGAAGGATAAGACATTCGCATGACAATGGCACTCATTTCTGCACTTGCATGTCGATAGTGTGTCTTGAGAGCAAGGAAGCCAAGCGCCGCAGGTCCAAGCAGAGCGGCCAGCAAGTTCGCCAAAGCAGGTGCAATGAGGCGCCGCGTCGCTACACCAATCTGTGGGTTTCGCCAGCCCTCTGTCCAGTTGTTCTGACCGACAGCTTGTATGGCAGTGGCCATCTGTGACCCAGGCATGTACAAAGCGACACGAGTAATGATGACGATGTAAACTGCACCAATCAACCAATCATGCATGATGGAGATGACTGGTACCATATTCGAAGGCTTCAAGAGTGCTAGTGGTGAGTAGATGTAGGCACGCATGCACAGGCCAATTGCAAGAGGGATCATCACCCCGAAGCTGCTGCCCAGGTAGAGCCATTTGACCGCAAACCGCAGCACTTGACTGATTTTGGCAGCAACCTGTTCTGGATGCTCCATGAGCTGCTTGACGTGGGAGAGAGCAGTGACAACACGAGCCAGGCCACTAAAGAGCCCTAGAGCCATGATGAGGGCGAAGGTGCCATACAACCATGAAATGACATCGTTGACAACAACGCCTGGTGCCAAGGACTGAGCCGCTTTTCGACCAAAGAGCAAAGGAATGACACAGACGGAAACACCTGCCGCTGCACCAAAGAACCATGCAGATAGTAGAAACAGGTAGATTCGAAGCCTGAACGCCGGCGGAGCATAGACCACGGTGTAATTTGGATCCTCTCGTGTATCGTCCACCTCTTCTCCCTTCTTGTCAAGAAGTACATTGTCTTCAGTGACACGCATGATCATCGGTCGTTGGAGCTTGCGCATCGGAATCGAATCAGTTTGTGGCACACGCCTGAACGATCCTCGGACAGTGTACTTGTCCCCTTGCTTGACACGATCTTCCTCTTCAATAACTCGATGACCCATAATAAAAGATGATAGTCGCAATTTGCTCGCAGACAAGGTGAACCACTTCTTCCAGATTGTTTGGAAACGTTGACTCAAATCAAAGTAACGGTAAAAGGCTGGGAGGAGAAGTTGAAAGACGAGTGCGTCAACTGGGACGGGCGTGATGTGTCCCTTGAATGTCCAGTGCAGAGGCAACAAGCCAGGTACACAGCGTCTCACGGCAAAGACAACGCTCCCGACACCACCGACAATCAAAGTGCCGTAGATGCAGATGCTTAGTCCAATCTTGCGCATTTGTGAACGAATAGGTCGTTCCAAGATTTCCTTGATTGGGTTGAACTCTGGGTCATCCGGGTCGCGCACAAAGAAGAGCAGACCAGGCCGCACGATGCGTCGGCACATGGAGATGAACAAGGCAAAGTGGAACATATAGATGGTTCCCGCGAACCAATGTATAAAGCTGCTTGTGAAAGGGTACTGGGCCAGCCAATTGATGCGATCAGCGATTGTTGCAGTTGTAAAGAGGGGAATCAAAATCAAGTCCAGCAAGACGCCGCAGTATAAGGGAAAGACGGCCAGCTCGATACCGAGAATGATGATGAATTTCAGCACGTACCCAGCTTGCCGAATCATGGCGCGAAGGGCAACTTCCACTTGACGACCAGTCTCTGACCATGTGACGCGTCGATTGAGCTTCAAATACAAGGCGCCCGTGAGACCGATGACAGCATAGCCAGTAATGATGGCGTTGGCTCTGGGAGAAAATGCGGTAAACGCACGCTTGACGAAGGCATTCAGGTGGCTGTTATTTCCAAGTGGGCCGAGTAATTCCGCCACAGGCTTCCAAAAGGTGTTGTCTGCCGTTGAAGTCTTTAATAGGTCGATCGATGTATCCAACACAGATGCAGTGGTTCGATTTCTACTTGCCTCGGCACTTTTGAGCATGCGTGGGACTGCATCGCTCAACCAGAAGTCAACATCTAGGAACTTCTTGATGACCCAAAGAGCAAATGGTGAGCGTCGGACGTATGGCAACAAAGGCCGAAACATCGGAGCGGAAAATTGGATCAAAGAGAGCATTGCGACATACATGAGGCTGATTGCAAGAGCCAGCAGGAAGTAGACATCGCGGACCGATTGAGCAGCAAGACTCGCAATATCTTTGTAGATCCCGATCCAGTTCATCACATAGGCTTGTGGATCCCAGATTGCCGCGAGTATGCCTCGACCAAACATATATGGGATGGAGATGCCAAAGAAGATGAATGTTGAGATGAGCACAACAACGAGCATGGAGTTTTGTAGCAAGTTGATGATTGGGCCACGTACACCGACGAGTTCCAAGAGACCTTCGATATCTTCATCCATTTCTGCCGCTTCCATCTCGTCAAAAAGGGCATCCTCTGCCTGCTGCGCTGCATTGACAGCAACATCAACATGTTGCACTGGAGGAAACTGTCGCTCTGGTTCTGCATATTGGGCCTGAATGCCACGCTCGACGCCGGCTATCAAGTCTGAAAGCGCAATCGCTCGGTAGTGAGGGTTCGTGTCTCGCAATTCAAACTGAATGGCAACTTGCCGTTGCCAGTCGAGATCAACATCTGATACAAATGCCGATCTCTCAATTTCAACCAACCGATGCACCAAGATGTCGAAGGTCTCGTCCCTGGAGTGTGACTCGGGCCGTTCGACAATATTTGTTCCTTGCAGCGTGGTAGCAATGATTACTCGAAGACTTGCCAGGAGGACGTCGTCATTGGCCATATTTCGACCGGTTCTGAGCATCTCTAGAAAATCGTTCTCTGACATGAGATTGCCTGATGCAGGGTCGTTCACATACGCGGCAGTATTTGCGAAAGCCCGTGAGCTTGAGCCTCGTACATCAGGCATATCCAGCAAATTTGCAGCTTCTCCACCATTCAGGTAGAAATTCTCTTCTCCGTCCTCCTCTGCCAATTGCGCAGGAAGAGGCATAGGCGAATCAGGATACTGCTCATCAAATCGACCATCACCAGCCGCTTCCCTACGTGCATCCCACGCTTTCCGCTCTGCACTGCGTTCCCGTGCTGCGCGTTGACGCGCCTCTTCAACGGTCGCTGTACCAGATTGTTGAGCAAGTTGTCGTTCAAGTGCTAGCGTCCTACTCGCCGACCGTGTCATTCTACGCTCTGACGCGTCCTCAGCTGCTTGACTCACGGATGCTGAAGGCGCAGTAGCACCCAACAACCCAATCTCTGCACCTCGACGACGTTCCTGATCCTCGAATCGTTGCTCAGCTCGACGTAACGCCGCTTCACGCCGCAGTGCTCGCTCTTCGGCTGTCGTACGGTGTTCTGCATTGTCGTCCCCATTCGTAGTGGCTGTTGCCATTGCATCGTCGTATTGTGGATCATTGAGTCGTGCTTGACTGCGTGTGTCGTTTATTGCACGGACGGTATCGTTGCCTTGCCGCTCTATCGGGCCACCCTCAGGGGCCTCGGCATTCACGAGATGCTGTCCCATAGGTTGCAAGGCATTGTCTCCATTTGCCAATGCATCGACAGGGACTGCATGGTCGTCATCAACAACGTCGGGGTCTTGACCGACAAGCCGTACTGGATCGAATATTCTCATTGCTTCTCGATGCTGCTCGACTTCCGCCAGTGCAAGCTGACGTCGTTGTTCGCGTCGTTGGAGAACATCCACATCATCGACTTGGACGGGTGGTGCAAATGGACCTGCTTCAGCGAGCATCTCTGCATTATGCTGAACAATCCATTCCCGAATCAAAAAGACAACGACAAAAACAACGATAATGATGGACGTGATGACTTGCCCCTCAAAAACATCCGCAATCACGCGATTGACGTATTCTGATTGTGTCAGGTTATGGAGTGGTGACGGCAAGAATGTATCACGGATCGCTGCTGTTGTATTCGCAACGATCGTTTCTGTAGTATCGACGACGCTTGTTGTTGTGGAAGCTGCTGCTGACGAGTCCGTTTTGCTGGGCCAGGGAAGGATGCCTAGCAGGGTATAGAAGAATGTCATTGACTCACCGAAGCGTAGACCTCCATTCCAGATATGACGCGTGCAGTAGGGTAGCCAGCCAAGCCATACAAACGACACAAGCAGCCAGCGTAGTATGAGCACCGTGAAGACTTTTGCATCTCGAAAGAGCGTCTTTGAGAGGTGTCGCAAGGGTAGGATACGCGGCATATTTGTCTCATAGACTTTTGTGAATTTGAAAGGTGTCTTGCAAAGCTCACAGTGTTTCTTCTTTGAGTGTTGCAGCCATTCCATTAAGCTGCAGATGGTTAGTTGTCTTGTGATTGCATCTTGTAGCTTAGTGAATTACCAGTCTTGATGGACATATCGAATTGAGCCAGAGCACTTGCATGGGTAAAAGAGCGGATCGTCGTCTGTGCCTTCTGAGCGACAGACTCTGCAAAAGTCTTCGTCGGCGGCCGTACTGACTGCGTCATGGCGCGTATCTGATGTGGGCCTAGGGTGTGCAACGTCGCTGGCCAAATCGTCCATTCTTGTGCTTGCGCTCAGCAGAGATGGAACACTGTGCTGCGCTGTATCCAGATGAAGTAGAAGACGGTATCACTGCTAGATTGAGGCGCTGGGTCACAAAAGGCAGGCAGCTTGTGTAGGATGTAGAGTCTGATGCGTGGTGTTCGTCATGTCGCGCGACGAAATAAATTTCAAATCAAGAAACAGGATCAAGGTCAAGAGTCAAGGATAAGGATGGCACGATGGAAGTGAATGCTCTTTGATTTTGATGAGTATGAAACTGCAGCTTGTATGGGCACAGGCACACAATCAGTCGCCGTGATGATGTATCTCAACTCAGATCATAAGTGATGCTTGAGTGAGCGGGATGACTGACAACGAAGACAGCAGAAATGAGGAGACGCAGGTAAAGCAAGGGTGAAAGGACATTAAAGTAGATACGCTGTAGTATCTTACTTGGCCTTGGCCTTGGCATCTGCCTCCTCTTGCGCCTTCTTGGCGGCAGCTTCACGCTTACCGGCAAGACGAGCGTTGGAGCGAGCCATACGCAAGTCGTGGTAGCGAGATCCCTCCTTCTCCTCTGAAGTGATGGCGCGGGGCTCAAGGTCGAGCTTGGGCTGCGAGATGGGGAAGTTGGCGGTGTTGGCAACCTGCTTAGCCTCTGCAATGGTGGCTGCATCAGCATCTCCCTTCTTGCCCTTGCCGTGCTTGCGAGGGAAGAGGATAAGCTGTGCCTGGTATGCCTTGAGACGCTCAACATTTGCATCGAGAGACTCCTGCGACTTGTTCTGACGACGGTGGTCGACGCAGATGCCAACAGTCTTGGCAAACTTGCGTGGGATACCAGCAGCCTTGAGCTCCTGAAGAGAGAAACCACGTCCAGCACGCACCTTCATGTTGTACTTTGCTGTTGGGCAATGAACGACAGGGCGCAGCGAGTCGGTTGGCCGGGGAGCAACACGGGCAGCCTTTGCCACACGAGCACGGCGTCTCCTGAGCTTGCGTCCTGGCTGGTCAAACCAGGTGGTGACGCGAGACTGCCACTCCTTGCGGAAGTGGTTGTGCGCCAAGATGTTGTTGTGCTTGATGGCCATTGTCTAGAGCAGATTGTCAGTCTTTATTGTTCCTGTATATTTCGTCTGGCAGAACAAAAAGGATGCGTGGGTCGATGCGCAGTATGGATGTACGTCGACTCCAGGCAGCCTTGTAGCAGCAGAGGATGGATTGACTTACAAGTTGTCGAGGTGGTTGAGTGCTTCCTGCTGCCTGCGCTTCTTCACTCGCCCGCAGCCAGAGAAAGACGAGCACGTGTCTGGCTGGCGGGCAATTTTCGTGTTTGGCAGAAAAGACAGTCACAACACGGCAGATCAGATGGAAGCAGTAAAAGGCGATAAGTGATAAGTGTAAATGATAAGTGATACGGGAGATTAGCGACTGTGAGGTGCTCAGACAGGGAACTTCGCTAGCATCGTGTGAATCTCTTCAGCCAAAATACTATGGAAGAGCCACGTTGGATGCCAAGCATCAAGCCACAGATGCACGTTGACCTTTAACTTCTTGCAAGCCTTGTACGCTGCAGGAGAAGGAGGGTCTGGATATACTGGTGTCGTTGAGTTGATAGGCAGTCCTTTATAATACTGACAGAAATGGACCATGTCTTCGTAGCTGGATACTCTGGTTTTGGTAATGACCTGGTCCATCAGCAAAGTGGCGTCATAGTAAAAAACGGTCGACTCTGGATTCATGCTTTTAAAACGATGGCTGAGTGCTGCGAGCTTGCTGTTGAAATCTGCAGCGACATTCGTCAAGGCCTCAAGAAATGTGTCTGCAATGAGTTTGCCCTGCGCTGCGTTGAAATCAGCGACACGTTTCAGCGTATCTGGCACAGCCATGTACTTTGTGGGCGTGATGGCCACAAACTTGCGCGCGCCGTTTTCGTAGAGAGTAGCCCATTTGCCGATGTAGCGGCCCATAATGTCGAGTGTCATATCCTTAGCAGCCTTTTCAAAACGTTGGATGTCCTGGACAGTCTTCAGGTTCGTGGAGAGATGATCAATCAGCTCAGTCAGGTCGTTTTGTCCAAACATTGTCAGAAATAGGGCATCCTCACTCGTCCACTTGACTTTGCGTTTTTTCCCGGTGCAGCAGGTCATGAAGTGCGACAGCTGACCGGTAAAGTCGGGTCGTTCAGAGTTCGGAAAAGCGTTGTAGACCACGGAGCCGTACTTGGCAAAGTTCCAGGCGACCAACGTCTTGCTGTACTCCTTGGTCAACGTTCCAACCCAGTTCGGGCCCCATGCAGTCGTCCTGCCAGGGAAATCTGGGTTCCCAAGAGGGTTCGCAGGCGAGGGAGCGTCACCAGACGGATCAAACCCAGTATCGGAGATCGAGTCGCCAAAGATGAAGAGTGTGTGCAATTGATCGAAGAAAGACTCCGTTTGAGACGCATCAAGGCTGCAACTGACCAGATGATTGTCTGCGCTCTTGTTCCCCTTGAGCACAAGCGCATGGCCACTGCAGAGCAAGGACAGGGCCAAGATGACTGTGCTGGCTGCTACGTTCTTCATTGCACTGCTTCCAAGCCTTTGGTCTGTAGGTTTTGCCAGGGTGGCTGAAGCTCTTTATGCAGTCTGCATATCGGGGTAGGGGGCTAGCAGTGCAATTAGGAGCCACTTCGTAAATGGAAGTTTGAGCTCGTATCCGCGGGCTTGGACCATGTTTCCTGGCCAGAACGCACTCAAGCTCTCATCGGCCACTGGCCAGCTGCTATTCGCAAGGGCGAATCTGTTTCGTTGTCATTTGCCACTATATGGGGCATTGATGGCCCATAAGCCGGCATCGCATCGCCTATTTGCCAACACATTACCACTGCAAGCTTCACGCTGGCAAAGATCAGAAATAAAAGAGCTTTTGTATCACAACAGAAGGATGCAAGCTTCGATTCTGGAGCAGTCGTGACAGTGTCATATAATGGAAGTGACTCTTTTGAACAGAGCAGTATAGAGATTTGTGTAGGCTGTCCTTTCATTCATTGAGCCTCGTCTAAGTTCAAGTACTGAGAGACATGCCTGCATTAGCCCTTTGCACAGAGCGGCTCGCAGGTCGTCGTCTACCGTCCACTAAGAATTTCGTTCAGATGGGCATGCAAATGTTTGGCGAAGCAAAGCTTCAAATCATAATATATACAGACGATGTACTTTGGTATATCAGCTTTTGCTCATGGTCATCTATGCCAGCAGGACTTGATGGAACCTTTTGGCCTACTTGTGCTTCCTTCTTCACTCGCTCGGAAGGAGGACGTGTCCAGCTGGAGATCAGATGGAAGGAGCACGTCCACGTCCACTTCAACTTCAAGTATCAAGATACAAAGTGATGAGTGATAAGTGATACGGGAGGACAGCGACTATGAGATGCTCAGACGAGACTCCCAAACGTCGATAGCAATTTGTAGAACTCTGCAGCCAACATGCCATGAAAACCCGACGTTGGATGCCAAGCATCAAACCACAAATATTGGTCGACCCTCAACTTCTTGCATGCCTTAAGCGCTGCTTGAGAAGGAGGGTCTGGATACGCTGGATGCTCTGAGTCGATAGGCAGTGCTGCAAAGTCAGGACAGAAATGTGCAAACATCTCGTACCTGGACTTTCTTGTACGGGTGATGACCCTGTCCATCAGCAAAGTGGCGTCATAGTAGAAAACGGTCGACCCTGAATACGAGCGCGGGAAGAGATGGCTGAAATATTCCAGCTTGCTGTTGAAATCTGCAGCGATACCTGTCAAGGCCGCAAGAAATGTGTCTGCAATGAGTTTGCCCTGCTTCATGCCGTGCTCCTTCTTAATCGCTGCGTTGAATTTAGCGACACGTTGTAGTGTATCTGGCACAGCCATGTACTTTGTGGGCGTTGTGGGCGTGATGGCGACAAACTTGCGCGCACCGTTTTTATAGAGAGTAGCCCAGTTTTCCATGTAGTGGTCCATGATGTGGAGTGTCATATCCTTAGCAGCCTTTTCAAAACGTTGAATGTCCTCGACAGTCTTCAGGTTCGTGGAGAGCTGATCAATCAGCTCAGTCAGGTCGTTTTGTCCAAACATTGTCAGGAATAGGGCATCCTCACTCGTCCACTTGACTTTGCGTTTTTCCCCGGTGCAGTAGGTCTTGAACTGCGACAGCTGACCGGTAAAGTCGGCCCGTTCAGAAGGCAAGAGAGCCTTGTCGATCACGGAGCCGTACTTGGCAAAGTTCCAGGCGACCAACGTTTTGCTGTAACCCGTCAACACTCCAACCCAGTTTGGGCCCCATGCAGTCGTTTTGCCAGGGAAATCTGGGTTCCCAAGAGGATTCACAGGTGAGGGAACGTCACCAGACGGATTAAACCCAGTATCGGAGATCGAGTCGCCAAAAATGAAGAGTGTGTGAAGTTTATCGAAGAAAGACTCCGTTTGAGACGCATCAAGGCTGCGACTGACCACATGATTGTCCTCGGTCTCATTCCCCTTGGTTCCAAGCGCATGGCCACTGCAGAGCAAAAACAGGGCCGAGATGACTGAACTGCCTGCTACCATCTTCATTGTAGTGCTTCCAAATCTTTGAGCTGTCACTTTTGCCAGGGTGGCAGAAGCTCTTTATGCAGTCTGCATATTGGCAAGGGGCTAGCAGTGCAATCAGGAGCCGATTCGTAATTGGAAGTTTGAGCTCGTCTTCGCGGGCTCGGACCATGTGCACTTCTCCTGACCAGAACGCATTCAAGCTCTCATTGAGTCATCGGCCACTGGCCAGCTGCTATCCGCAAGGGCGATCTTGGTGTGTTATTAATTGCCTCCATTTGAGGCATTGATGGCCCGTATGGCTGCATCGCGTTTCATGAGCCAACGCATTAACACTGCAAGCTTCATCTCTGGTCAAAGTTAGAGACACTAGAGCTTTGGCATCACACCGGCAACATGGAGGATGTAAGCTTCGTTCTTGAGCGGTCGTGACAGAGTACATCTGATGGAACTGACTTTTGGAGCACAGCAGTATAGAGATTTGCGTAAGCTAGCCTTTCAATCAATGAGCCTCGTCTCAGCCCAAGTATTAGGAGACAAGCTTGCATTTGTCCTTTGCACGCACAGTGCAGTGCGGCTCGTGAGCGTCGTCTACCGTGCACTTACGGCGAGGAAGAATTTCGTGCAGATGGGCATGAAAATGTCTGGCGCGGCAAAGCTTCAATAAATGACAATTACGGACGGAATATTTTGGTAGATCAGCTTTTGTTTATGAAGCTCTAAGCCAGCAGAATATCAAGGAGCTTTTTGAACAATTTGTGCTTCTTCACTCGACCAGAGGGAGCAGGTGTTCAGCTGGAAATCAGCTAAAACGAACCCGTCAACTTCAACTTCAAAAGGTAAGTGAATTGTCAAGTGAGAAAGTGATAAGCGATAAGCAAAGATGGAAAACAGAGACTATGAGATGCTCATCTGGGAAACGTTCGATAGCATCGCGTGAATCTCTGCAGCTAAGATGCCATGAAATGGCCACGTCGGATACAAAGCATCAAGCCACAGATACTGGTCGACCCTCAAGTTTTTGCAGTTTCTCAACGCTTCATGAGGGCGGTATAGATACCAGGGATTAGTAGACTTCAATGCTTGATAGTCAAGACAGAAATTGACCAAGTTTTTGTAGCCGCATTTTCGTGTACCGGTAATGACCTGGTCCATCAGCAAAGTGGCGTCATAGTAGAAAGTGGTCGACCCTGGGTACAAGCTCGGGAAGAGATGGCTAAGTGCTGCGAGCTTGCTGTTGAAATCTGAAGCGATATGCTTCAAGGCCTCAAGAAATTTGTCTGCAATGAGTTTGCCCTGCTTCTTGTTGCCTGTTTCCTTGTCAATCGTTGCGTGCAGATCAGCGACACGTTTCCGCGTATCTGGAACAGCCACGTACTCTATGGGCGTGATGGCGACAAACTTGCGCGCACCGTAATCGTAGAGAGTAGCCCATGCATCCATGTAGTGGTCCATGATGTGGAGTGTCATATCCATAGCGGCCTCCTCAAAATCTTGAATGTCTTCAACAGACTTCATGTCCGGGAGGTGTCGATCGATCAGCACAGTCAGGTCATTTTGACCAAACATTGTCAAAAAAAGGGCATCTTCACTCGTCCACTTGACTTTGAATTCTTTCCCGGTGCAGTAGGTCGTGAACTTTAACAGCTGATCGGAAAAGTCGGATCGCGAAGACTTCAGGAGAGCCTTGTCGATCACGGAGCCGTACTTGGCAAAGTTCCAGGCGACCAACGTTTTGCTGTAACCCGTCAACAATCCAACCCAGTTTGGGCCCCATGCAGTCGTCTTGCCAGGGAAATCTGGGTTCCCAAGAGGGTTCACAGGTGAGGGAACGTCACCAGACGGATCAAACCCAGTATCGGAGATCGAGTCGCCAAAAATGAAGAGTGTGTGAAGTTTATCGAAGAAAGACTCCGTTTGCGACGCATCAAGGCTGCGACTGACCAGATGATTGTCCTCGGTCTCATCCCCCTTGAGTCCAAGCGCATGGCCACTGCAAAGCAAAAACAGGGCCAAGATGACTGAACTGCTAGTGCCTGCTACCATCTTCATTGTACTGCTTCCAAATTTTGAGCTGTCACTTTTGCCAGGGTGGCAGAACCTTTTTATACAGTCGGCATATTGGTAGGGGGTTAGCAATGCATTCAGGAGCCAGCTCGTCACTAGCAATCTAAAGATCGTATGCGAGGGCTCGGACCAAGTGCAATTCTCCTGAAAAGAACGTTTGCAAGCTCTCCAAGCTCTCATTGGCTACTGGCCATCTGCTCTCCTGAGAGGTCATTCTGCCGTGTTGTCAAATGCCACCGTATGGGGCATTGATGACCAATATCTTTCCATCGCATCGTCCATTTGCCCATACATTATCACTGTAAGATACAGCGCTGGCGAAGGCTAGAGACACCAGAGCTTTCAACTTAGTCTTGGCATCACACCAGTAATGTAAAGGATGCAAGCTTTATTCTTGAGCAGTCGTGACAGAGTCCATGTAATGGAAGTGAATGTTTCTGAGCACAGCAGTATAGCGATTTGTGTATGCTGAGCCTCGTCTACGCTCAAGAATGAGGAGACATGCTTGCATTTGCCCCTTGCACGCCCAGTGCGGCTCGCAGGTCGTCGTCTACCTTTCACATACGGCGTCCAAGAATTTCATTCAGATGGGCATGAAAATGGATGGCGACGCAAAGCTTCAAATGATAACATATACGGACGGAATATCTTGATAGATCAACTTTTGCTCATGGCGGTCTATGCCAGCAGGACAGCATAGAGCCTTTTGGCCAGATGAACGTGAAAGGGCGATGTTGGGTGATGTTCATCGAGCCACAGCCACTGACCGACATCCAGGCCGGAACAGGCCAGCTTTGCTGCTTCGGTAGGGGGATCTGGATACTGAGAATTGATATACCTCAGGTTTTGATATGTAGGACAGAACGTGTCGACCTTGTGATAGCCGAAAAGGCTTGGATTAGCGATGACGTCCTCCATAAGCGCAGTGGCGTCCATGAAGAAGACTTTCGAACCTCTGTGAGTTTCCTGGAAGGCAGAGCTGAGGACTGCAAGCCTGTCATTGAGATTCGCAGCAACACGACCCAGGGCAGGAAGAAAAGCGTCTCCAATGGGTTCGCCGTGTTGATCAATCGCCAATTGAACATACTTCAAACTGAAAGGCACAGCCGTAAACTGGATAGGAGTGATGGCGAAAAAGTTGCGTGCACCGAGGCCGTAGAGTTGCTCCCAGTTTTGTAAGTAGCTGTGGAGTATCTTCTCGATTGTCGCTTTTGCATTTTTCTCGAATGCAGCAACCGCATCGATGTTTGTGAGCAATGGCAAGCCGTCAAGCATGAGGATGTTCAGATCTATTTGTCCATACATAGACAAAAAGAGCGAATCACTGCTGGACCAATCTACTTTTGCACCTGACCCTGTGCAATCACGCTTGAAAATGGACACTTGCTCAGCAAAGTCACGCAAATGGCCAAACCGTATAGCGTTCAGTACGTTGTTGTCGACTGGCGAGCCTGGAGAAGCGAAATTCCAAGTAACCAGACCTTTCGAAGATTTGACCAACGCACCAACCCAATTCATACCCCATGCCGTTGTGTTGCCGGGAAAGTCTGGATTGCCGAGAGGATTCTGCGCCGAAGGAGTGTTACCGTTTGTTGAGAAGCCAGTTTCGGAGATCGAGTCGCCAAATACAAAGAGTCTGTGCAGTCTACCAAAGCCTGAATACTGTGTTGTTGTTCCATCCAAGCTGGATTTGTGCACGAGCTCAACTGGATCTTCGTTGTGAGCAAGCACGTTGCCACTGTCATAAAACCCCTTGACTAGCAAAGCCAAGAATACACACTGGTTCAACGCTTTCATTGATTTCATGCCAGTGTTCACCCTTTGGAAGACTTGGAACTGGTTGGAAGGCAAATACTCTTGAGCAGTTTCAGGGAGTCATTTTGGCGGGAGCCTGGCCAGCAGCTGGAGCACAGTCCGAGGGGATATCGTCAATTTGCGCTGACCAGTCAGCTAGTTCGAAGAATGCAGGAGTTGAGAATGCCTTGCTTTCTCAGACTCCTGAATATTGCCGATTTTCCGATACGCAAAGACGAAGGTGGTAGCGGCACAGGATTTGAGAGCTCAGAGCCTGCCAAGCTGCCTGACATGTTCAAAGGCTGGGGTCCAGCTTCAGAAATGCAGCTCCATTCCGCACATGGAGCATACGAACGAAGGCCAAAAACCGGGAGTTGAATTATTTTTGGTCTACAGCCTGATTGGCAGAGGTATGGGTCGAGCTGCCGGCTGTATGCAAGACTGCAAACGGTGATCAGGGGTTGAGTGTACATGCACGGTGTGCGCCGTGCAGGATGTTCGAAATTGAGTCCGTCAGTCTGAAGCTCATTTCATCTGCACCTTGATTGAACAGTAAGATCACATTGATGAGCACCTCTCGATCGTGTACTTTAACGAGAGACGGCAGGCCCAACTTCAACCAATGATATACACAGAACGAGGATGAAGGGCAGACATGATAGCTTGCATATATAAAGCTAGCCTGTTGTTGTCAGAACGGTTTAAAGCGACAGGATACCGTGAAGCTTGTCGGCCAAATGAAGATGGAATCGCGACGTCGGGTGCCAATCATCAAGCCATAGAATTTCAGGCACACCCAATCCATGGCATGTAGCTTTCAGTGCAGCTGGAGGCTCCGGAAAATTGGGGCCGATCAGCTTGTAGTTCATCCAACAGAAGCGTCGATACGCGAGACAGAAGGTGTCCGTCTTTTTGTAGCCATATACATCGGGATGTGCAATGACGTCTCTCATGGCCGAAGCAGCGTCAACGTAGAAGACCGTTGATCCTGGATAAGACTCCTGGAAGGCAGTAGTACGCTTCTTGAGCTGCGCATTGAAATCTGCAGCAATCCGACCCAGGGTTGCCAGAAAAGCATCTCCAGTGGAGTTGCCATGTAGATTAGTCAATTTTTGCACACGCTCCAATTGATCGGGAATCGCCTCAAATTGGATGGGAGTGATAGCAACAAAATTACGTGTACCAAGTTTGTAGAGGTCGAGCCAATTGGACATGTATTGATCCATGATTTTGACTGTCATGGCCAGTACATTTTCCTCGAATTGAAGGACAGTAGGAGCACTCGTGAGCGTGTCAAAGCCCTCAATAAGCTGGACGGTAAGATCATTTTGCCCAAACATTGACAGGAACAGAGTGTCGTTCTTGGCCCACTCGACACTGGATCCGACGCCGGTGCAGTCCTTCTTGACTACCGCGAGCTGCTCGGAGAAGTCCGGCCGTGGGACCCTGGAAAGAGCTTTGTCAACCACTGCGCCCGCTTTAGCAAAGTTCCAGGCGACCAGGTTCACCTTGTAATTCTTGACCAACGCTCCCACCCAATTGACACCCCACGCAGTCGTTGCGCCAGGGAATGCTGGATGACCAAGAGGACTTTCAGAAGAAGGTAATGGGCCATCTGATCTAGAGAATCCAGTATCGGAAAGCGAATCGCCAAAGATGAAGAGTGTTTTCAATGCATCAAAGCCTGGATAATCGCGGGAGGCGTCCAAGCCACGACGCACCAGATCATGACTTGCCGGTGAGTGTCCATGGCGGGCATCGACACTGCCAAAAGGAAGAAGGAGCAGCCCCAGGAATGCTGAGGTACTAGCTGAGATTTGCATACTCTCTGAAAACTGAAAAGGGTTTGACAACATCCGTATGATTTGACAGGGTCGCAAGCGGTCTCATAGCTTCCTTGGATGGCCAACAAAGCCTCCAGGAGAAGGCTTTGTCAATTTGCGAGATTTTGGCGCAAACACAGATACTGTGGAGCTGCCGTGACAGTGTCGTGCCTTTGCCCCGATGATCAACCTCTCAGCAGCAGTCGCCTGTGCATAGTGCTTGCTACTTAAGCTGCCACAGCCGCAAAGGTCCGGACATATCAAGCTTGGCAGGAGGTTTGCAGTAAACAGTCAAGCAGGTCGACCATAAGCCATAGCCGTCAGCATCACAAGAGATCTTTTGCCGTCTCCGAACAAATAACAAATATAGGGTACGGTTCCCAGATAGAACCGGCAAGAGAGCTTATGAGTCATGCTCCCTGGCAGCTCTTGTTTGCAGACTTGCACTTGTGATAGGCCCGGATTGGAGTGCTCCGATCCCCGAATGCAAACGAAAGCAGTCGCGGGATCCCACGCCTGACGAATTTTGTCTATTCCACGCTGGACCGTGAGAAGGGATCCGTCTGCGCCCTCTCTACCCCGACCAACCACTATCTAAATGCTCTGAAGTCTCGCTGTACCTCTTGATGTACATCGCAAACGCGTTGCTGGCTTTGAGCGGGTGGTAATGCGACTCGGCTACTGCTTGAACACGCTATAATCAGCTGCTACTGAAACGTCTGATTCGTGGCATTGTATAGGAATCGATCTACTACGATTTCTGGCTGCTACTTGGAAGGTCTGTCGTTAGCTCCTGATGAATGTGACAAGAGGGGCCTACTTGGCAGAAAGCCAGTTGCAAAGAATATCGAGTGCGATTTGCTGCACTAGCTGTATTGCACTGGCAATGAAGGCGTCCTGCGCCGTGGTAGGGTTGTGAGATCCCGTAAATAGTCGTAGCTGCTGCTGCTGCTGCTGCTGAAGAAGCACTAGCAGCTAATACAGCAACTATTTGTGCGACTTCGCGTCCACAGTGCGGAACGCCCTCATTGTCAGTGTTAAGAAGCTGATTTACCAAATTGAGTTTCAGCTGTTTTGCACCTGGCTGTATGCCAATTACGCACCTTTTTGTTTCAATTATCAGCAGCTAAGAACAGAATCAGTAAATAGCTAGCGGACTTCTTTACGTAGATACAACTGCAATCACTCCAGATCCGAGAAATATCATGCATGCGGTTCCCTGTCTGATGTGTCGCAAGGATTAAGAGTTGATCTCATAGATTTGATTGCTTGGACTATGGAAGTACGGAGCTCTGCTTGAACAACCTTGAACCCTTATTCGTCAATGCACAATGCGCCGTCGCATCTGCACAGGCGGCTCCTTCATAGCAAGCAATCTCTTCGAAGTGGTGGACAAGGCCGGATAAGATGGAGTGGCGAGGTGATTCAGCTGACCGCTTCCCATCGTCATAGAATCCACAGATTCAATCGTAACCTTTTCAAAATTTATCAAGTCTGGGACAGTCAGCAAGGCATGCTGTCAAGAAAGTGTATTACCCATTTCTGAGCCTAGAACAAAGCGTAGTCGGGGCGTACACATCGGTGTTGGTTCGGAACTTGCATCACTTCCCGACCCAGCGTGACATGCATTCCACAAATCTCGAAGCTTCAAAGCTGACGGAAAGCACAGCAACTGCGTTGGATGCATGATCGCAAGGATTCGCTGCGATAAAAGTCCGCTGCATGCAGATATAAGGTCTCTCACCGTCAGACAGGACTCATCAATCTCAGGTCGAGCTTGCCACAATGCATTGATGCGCTAAAATTAGTCATTGTGATATTTGAGAACAGGGCCGGTACCTCTGCACGATCAAATACATCCACATGGTATTGCCTTGATCTAGGAAAGATGTATTCGTGGAAGACCCGTGAGATGTGGAAGCTGCAGTGCGCGACAGGTCGCGAACACTCAATCTGACCCGAAGAATCCTTCCTCCGCAGATGCACAGTGCTGAAGAACAACTGCTCAAAAGGCAATTGATCAGTCGAAATTGGCAGTTGAGCGAAAGCGGGACAAAGCAACACGTACTTGTGCCAGGCAGTCACGTACTGCAACGTATAATTGACTGAATCGTCACACATTGGCACCGAGTTTGGTGGCATGCCTGTCGCCGACCAGCCAACTGCTCGATGCCGAAGTTCGTAGTAAGGTCTTTTTAAGTAAGCTGCGTGTATTAGCACGAGCGAATCAGAGCGGGAAAGTTACATAGTCCCTCGAAGAATCTGAAGGCCCACTCCGATGCGTCTGAAAATGACTCCGAGGTGTGCTCGAGTCGCCATGCTGACCATAAATCTACGAGCGTGAACTCGTTCCAAAGCCGCATATCGTGCTCTGGGTGGATTACGCCAATGACACGGCGCTCACTCGCTTTTAGCAGCGAGATCAGATGTTTGACAGTGAGAGACGACTCATCAAAAGTCGGAGCAGCCGAGTAGAACTCATTGACGAGCTGCAGTCAGCGGATGTCCGCATCAAATAAGAAAAATAGAACATTACCCTCGCCCTTGAGTCGCGCTCGAGACCACATAGCTTCAAGTGCACCTCCAGCAGTTGCGTAAGGCTAAAGACATACTGCGTGTCGTGTATGGATAGCTTTGGAAGCGTCGGCTCCTTGTGCAGATGCCAGTCAATGAGCGATAGGTGAAGCTTTTCGGGCGCCTGTAGCTTGTGAGGACTCACCCAAGCGTCTCTATAAGCAGGATCCTCCTCGACAAACTTGCTCCAAGCTCGCACATATTGAGGAGACCACGCCAAAGCAGGCAGGAGCTTCGTCATATGCGCTTTGTGCGCTTTCGCATGTACAGCAGGCGCGTCGTGAAAGCAAGATGCGACATAGTCGGCGTTCGATATGAGACACACTTTCTTTAAGGAAAACGCACTTCCAGGCATCTACCTTTTTAGTTTGGCATGGTGTCTGATGGCCGAGTGATGGATTTTGTACTCTCTCCTCAATTTCTGGTTGTGGTGTTGCGTCAAGGTGACACCCGTTGCAGCGTGGCTGAAATTCTCTGGACAGATCCACCCATCGCCTTCAACTCTGAAGCGCTGCTCAGGGCGTCGGCTGTTACAGCACATGAGTCCACTGGTGCGTGTTTCAAGCGGCTGCCTCCGTCTTTTCAGCGGCCTCGTCCAGCGGCCCATATCTATGGGCTTGACGAAAGTTAGCGTGTTCGATGAATCCCTGACGCGGCTATGGTTCTATGAGACAAAGGCCTAGGGAGACAAAAGCCTAGGAAGGGCCCCGTGTGGCTCTGTCCGTGTGACTCTGTCCAGTTACTCTTTCGTGCTAGCTGCTTGTGTCTATCACGAGCTCATACGCTGATCAGACAGACGGCGTGCCCAAGTTTGCGTCCGTGTGCCCATTTGCAACACCGTATCAGGTGACGGCGAGTGAGATGCTTCGATATACTTGACGGAGCGCATGCATTTGGTTCGGCATATGTCGTTTGAACGAGCGAAGACGATGTCTTGCCTCGAGCACGTTTGACAGATGCTGTGCGGCAACTGCTGCTCGATTGACTGGCTTCTGCAATTCTTGGTACAGTCTGTCTCATCGATTGTCCTCTGATAGCTCTGTCTGAGTATGGTTGCTCGTCCATCATGCAAGCTAGTAGCTTGCCAAGCGGTCTTTGACATCCCTGTCAACGTCCTGTGCTGATCCTTTCGCTTCTTTGTTGTACTCTGCACGGACCAGTGTACGAGTGACACCTGCTTGCGCATGCAAGAGATTCCTCATGCTCTCTCAATTTGGCAGTGCTTCATTTCGCTATTGACATTGGCATGTCTGAGGAGGACACATTGATTCACCAGGTATTCGGTCGCCATGGGTGACGACTAAGGTGGTCGATCAATGATGGCAGTATGCTAGTACCATGATGCTTCGCAATGATAAGCCTCACAATGGCAGTGCTGACTGCATGGCGCCGTTCATGTGGTTATTCAGGTACGGTGATTTTGGCGAATTGGCATGGCGAGATGTGCAGCGATGCAGCGCCGGGCAGACAGAGTCAGTGACGCGAGAATGCAGCCTTACGAGGTGTTGCTTCAGGGGCCTTGTGCACACGGGAATACTGCATGGCGATGGCTAAGATCAGGTTACACAAGAAGGACGGTTACACGGAACAAAGACCAGGGGCAGAGGGACATTCATTGTGCGCAGCTCTCCAACTACACGCAGCTACGTAGTATCGACAGTCTGCTCCTGCGCTGGATGCACACACGTCGTCTCTGTCGGTCGTTGCTGAGTGTGCTGCTCCTCGAATGCTACGTACAGAGTCGACTGACCCAACACCTCCTGACCCTCATTCAACACACACACACACACACACACACACACACTCACACTCTCACACTCACCCATACCCGATCAAATGCCATCGAAAGCAGGGTCTATTGAGTCCATTGTCGAGCGCCTGGGCTTTATTGAGCACCAGCAGCAGTAGCAGCAGGAGGAGCATCAATCACAAAAGGAGGCCCTTGAAGGGCTCAGTGTGGGACTTCTGCAGGTCCAAGACGCCATGGTTCAGATGTCTGCCAATGCCGGCAGGCTAGAGATACTGCTGGCGCAAACGCTGAAGCAGCAGCGACAAGAGAAGATGCGCCTTGAGCAGCAGAAAGAAAAAGAGCAGCAGCAGCAGCAGCAACAAAAGCAGCAGCAACAAGAGCACCACCACCATTACTATCATTACCACGACCAGCAGCAATCACAGCAGCAGCAGCAACAAGGGCTTGACCTAGAGTCCCAGCTGCCACAGCAGCAGCACAGTTGGGGCGCCACGGCGGCTGCCCTCTTTGCAAGCTACAGGAACCCAGATACGGGTCGGGAGTGGGTAGTCGCCAAGGCTGCTACCACTGTGTGCAGAACAGGATTCAATATGTTCTGCAGCTGGCTGGAGAGGAAGTGGCTAATTTATCACAGTCTACCACAGCTAACAATAGAGTCTTCAGCAATGAATCGGCAAGGATTAAGAGTTGTAGACTAGCTCGTCGATATGGCCAATTTTCGATCCTTGCAGCATTCTTGCTTGGAGACTCTATCGTTAGCTGTGATAGATATTAAGCCAGATGCAGAAGAGGCTGAAGGCCATTCTGAAGACAGTGGTGGCAGCCTTGGTGACCACCCACTATCGCCCCGTATCTGAGTGTCGGAAGCTTGTAAAAGGGCAGTCGCCTTGGCGCATCAGCTGCGATGTTGCTTGCATGGCTGCTGCGAGCCCAAGTCGAGCTCCTTTGTCAAGCTCCTTTGTCGACTGGTTGTGGTAGTGGTGGTAGTGGTGGTGGTGATGCTCCTTCTTTTTCTCAGAGATCACCGCGGGTTTTAAATATTTTACAGGGCGGAATTTCACAAGCTCGGGATTTTTATCAACCGGGTGTCCCATGACTGACGAGCTCTATGCTCTGTGGAGTTAATACCACTTCCCCACGCTTGACCGTGAGAAGCATTTTTGAATTCCCGGTCCCCGCCGTTTCCGACCTCCTCCATCACCCAACCCAACATCTCAATGCTCTGAGATTTTACTGAACCTCTTAGTATCCATCGCGACGGTGTTGCTGACTTTGCGCGAGGTGTGAAGCAAGTCGGCCACTTCTTGAACATGCTACTATCAGCTGCTTCTAAAGTATTACAAAGTTTTGTGCGGAAATGGTTTGCTATGACCGATTGCTGCTATTAGAAAATTCTGTTGTTAGCTGCTGATCATTGTGATCCAGAGATATCCTCCAGGTAAACAGCCGATTTGTGAATACACGAACAGCTACTTGAGCCAACAAGCAAAGCATATCAGCTTCCGATGTGTCCAAGGCTGGGGTAGGCTATGTATGTTCTGATCACAAGCTATTTGGAAGTTCTGTCGTCAGCTGCTGATCATTAGCAAGTAGGTATTTCCACACCACAAACAGCCAGTTCAGGACTTTTGATGAGGCTTCCCTCTGTGTTGGATATGTGACCAGTGCGCTACAAGCTACAATCCAATGCGCACTTGGCGCCATCCATCCAGAGCGTGAATTCGTCGTCCAGTTGCATCTCGTGCTCTGGATGAATGATGCCGACTGCGCGTTGTACTTGGGCTTCTAGCGCACTAGTGACATGTCCAATAGAAAGAGATGCCTCATCAAAAGTCGGTTTAGTCGTGCAAAACTCGTTGATGAGCTAGAACTACAGTCAGCAAATAAATCATCCAGGAGGAAAGAACTTTACCCTCGCCCTTGAGAGGCGCTTGAGACCACGTAGCTTCAAGTGCATTTCCAGCAGCTGTGGAAGGCTGTAGACGTACTCTGCGTCGTGTGTGGATAGCTTTGGAACCGTCGGCTCATCGTGCAGACGCCAGTGGATGACGGTCAGGTAAAGCTTTTCGGGTGTCTGTAGCTTGTGAGGACTCACCCAAGCGTCTCTGTAAGCAGGATCTTGCTCTACATATTTGCTCCAAGCTCGCACATATTGAGGAGACGCGCTGACTATGTCGCATCTTGCTTCATTGATGCGCCAGCTGAACATGCAAAAGCGCACTATGCGCCCTTGACGATGAAGGGAAACCCACTTCCAGGCATCTATCTATCTTTTGAGCGGTATGGTATCAGATGGCCAAGTGATGGATTTTGTAGTCTCTCCTCAATTTCTGGTTGTGGTGTTGCGTCAAAGTGACACCCGTGGCAGCGTGGCTGTATTCTCTGGACAGATCCACCCATCGCCATCAACTCTGAAGCGCTACTCAGGGCGTCGGCAGCTACAGCACATGAGTTCACAACCTGGTGCGTATGTCACCTAACTGCCTCAGTCTGTCCAGCGGCCTCATCCAGCAGCCCGTTTCTCTGGTCTTGACGGAAATTAGCGTGTTCCATGAATTCCTTGACACGGCAATGGTCTTTCGAGACAAAGGCCCACAAATTTTCCCTGTGGCTCTGTCCGGACAATCTTTTGTATCAGCTGCGTGTGTCTATCGCGAGCTGAATAGACATGGCGAGTTGTGCAGCGACGCAGCGCTGGGCGGACAGAGTGAGCGAAGTGAGGAATACAGCCTTGTGAGGATTTCCCTCATGGGCCTTGAACACAGGGGAATACTGTATGGCGATGGCCAAGATCAGGTTACACAAGAAGGACGGTGACATGTAGCAAAATTCCAGGGGGGAGGGACATTCATCGTGCGCAGCTCTCCAACTACACGCAGCTACGTAGTATCGACAGTCTGCTCTTGCGCTGAAAGTCCGAGCTCGTCTCTGTCGGTCGTTGCTGAGTGTGCTGCTCCTCGAATGCTACGTACACAGTCGACTGACCCAATACCTCCTGACCCTCATACTACACACTCACACTCTCACTCACACTCACACTCACACTCTCACACACACCCACATCCGATCAAATGCCATCGAAAGCAGGGTCTATTGAGTCCATTCTCGAGCGGTTGAGTGCAATCGAGAGCCATCAGCAGCAGCATCAGCATTCACAGGGGGAAACCATTCAGGAGCTCAAAGAGCGACTGCTCCAGACCCAGGATGAGCTGATGCAGCTGTCTGAAAATACTGTCAGGCTAGAGATGCTGCTGGCGCAAACGCTGAAGCAGCAGCGACAAGAGAAGATGCGCCTTCAGCAGCAGCAACAAGAAGAGCAGCAACAAGAACACCAGCACCATTACTGTCACCAGGACCAGCAGCAAGGGCTTGACTTGAGGTCGCAGCAGCCACAGAACAGCAGCGCTGGGCAATGTGATAGTAATGATGGTGCTCGTGACGATGATGGTGCTGCTCTTGTTATTGCTTCTCTTGACGCAACTTCTCTTGCCGCTGTCGCTTCAGCGCTTGCTTCAGCAGCAACTTTAGCCTGACAGCGTTGGCAGACATCTGGACCAGGGCATCTTGGACCTCCAGAAGTGCCAATTTGAGCTCTTCGATGGCCTCCTCCTGTGATTGCAGAAGTCCCATTGGGTGTATGTCAGTGTGTATGGGGGCACGATCAACAGAGGGGGCCATCAAGGAGGTCAAGGAGGAACTCCAGGGGGCCAAGGAGAGACTGGACAGGCTGCTGGACTAGCTCAGCGTAGTTGGGGAGCTGCTGGCAAACCGAGAGCCAGAGTCAGAGCCAAAGCAAGGCCAGGAGCAGTCACAGCAGCAGCAGGAGGAGCTCGACCTGGAGTCGCAGCGATTCCGCCAGCTGCAGCGTAGTTGTGGCGCCAAGGCGGCTGCCTTCTTCGCTTTGTATCGATATTCAGATACGGGTCAGGAGTGGGTGGTCGCCAAGGTGGTCACAACTACGTTCAGAACGGGCTTCAGCCTGTTCTGTGCTTGGCTGGACAGGAAGTCAGTAACTTACCATAGGAGCTGTGGTAGACTGTGGTAAGTTACTGACTTCCTGTCCAGCCAAGCACAGAACAGGCTGAAGCCCGTTCTGAACGTAGTTGTGACCACCTTGGCGACCGCCCACTCCTGCCCCGTATCTGGATGTCGATACGCAGCGAAGAAGGCAGCCACCTTGGGCCCCAGCTACGCTGCAGCTTGCGGAATTGCTGCGAGTCCAAGTCGAGCTCCTTGGTCGACTGGATGTGGTGGTAGTGGTGATGCTTCTTCTTCTCGGAGATCACCACAATATATAGATTTTACAATGCGGCCAAGGCTAGGCTGTCACAATTGTCTTCAGCATTGTATTGAGCCTCGTCTGCACTTGGCTTGAAACAGAAGCGATTGAATCGTGTCACATTCAGCAGCAGCTAATTCTATGATATATTCAAGCTAAGTGAAGGCAAAGCTAGAGGGGTGACTTATTCAGCCAGTCTACATCCTTCATAAAAATGACCATTTCCTTTCTGCCTCCAGATCGTCTTCACCGATCCAATAACTGTGGGCTACTATTTGACCTCGATATCGTGGTTGACGACCTGCAATGTCTGTACTCTCTCGAGATTCAAAAGAAGGCTTATGCATGGGGTGACATATTTCCATATTTCAATTTGTAAGGATCAAGAATTGGCCATTCAAGCGTGATTGATGAATCTCAAGACATAATGGAATTCTGTATGGATCAAAGGTCCTTCTTCGTCAATACACGATACGCAGCACGTACTTGCGCCAAGCAGAGACGCACTGGAGCATACATCCAGCCAGCTGGTCGCGCATTGGTGGCGAAATAAGCAGCAAGCCCTGTACTGGAAGGCCATCAGATTTGCGCTCGTGTAGATATTGTAGTCAGCGCATGAAAGCGGCAGTAGATGTTTGGAGGGGCAAGGCCGCTGTATCACCTACCTGCAAACACCCTCGACGTAGCTCTGCCATATTTTCTCCCTTGAACACATATAAATGATCCTCCAGCCCTCCAGGCGCGCAGAGATCAGAAGGCATCAATTGGAGTATCCCATGAAGGCAAAATTGCTTTCCAGGGCGTCGCAACTTGCTGCAACATGTATTCATTTCTGGTGATATTGTTTCAAGCAGAGCGGCAGATATACAATATCAACGAGTTGATCGCGTGAAGATCGGCCGCCGCTGTGTTGCCAGGACATGTGCCGTTATCACACAGCTTGCGCATGTGCTCGTCCCTCGTCCGATGGTGCTCTGTTCTCTGACGGTTGCAAAGGCGCTTCAAGAGGCTGTTCCTGTGCCGAGGCGGCTGTGCTTGGACGGCTACCTTTCAAGAGTGCTTGCAGCATGTCCGAACCAGCAGCATCAAGTTCTGCTTGCGTGCGCATGTGTAGTGCTGAACCAGGAACAAGAATCTCCGTAGAGGCCATCACCAGCAGAACGTTCTTCAGTGACTCTGAAACAGCTTCGCCAAAATATGTACCGCCTGCAGACTGCATCAATTGAGCGAGATTCTTCAACACCAATAGCCATTGCTCATCAAACGCCGGTCTCTGCTGCAACGCACTCAAATGTTGAAGCCAAACCTTGCACATGAGCGAAGATGCCTGTACTCTGCCTTCCTCAAGAACTTTTGGACGAAGACTGCCGGCCGGAATCCGACCAAGCTTGTCGTTGAGACCGACGAGGAGCTCGTCAAAAACGACTCCAGACGTTGGTGCGGTCGGTCCACTCAGATCGAGCTGAAGGAGCGTGCGCTGTAGGTACGTGAAGGCAGCTTGCTTGACCTCGCGACAGGGGTTGAGACATTGACTCTGCAGAGCGCCCAGCATTATACGCCACAAGTGATCTCGAGACCTCGCTCGATCGCTTTCCAGGAGAACCGGGAGATCAAGACGAAATTGATACACAAGCTCGATGGCTTTGCAGGCACGTTCCACCTCGACCTTGTGGACCCTCGTAGGCTTTGTTGGCCGGGCAGCGGGTTGAGAAGCGCGCTTCGACGTCGATGCGGTCCGAACCACTTCGGACGGGCGTTCATCTGCTTGACCGACCGCACCGGCATCAGCAAAATTACCGAGCAGCGCGACAAGAGGCTCAAACGTCTCCGACGTGACTTCTGCTGACAGCAGCCTAGCAATTTCAAAGAGGAGCGAAGCGGCGTTCGTGTTTTGGTGGCATTTTTCTAGCACATCAAAGAATACTGAAGTTCGTGATAGTCGGTCGCCATGCTGCGGGACTTTCAGGCATTCGAGAAGACCATAGGCGATGTGCACAGCATGCGTGGTGATGAGAGCTTCTGGCATCTCGTTCAATTGAACCAAGAAACCATCAACCTCGACTTTGCCAATTGTAAGTTGTGCCTGATGGAGCCTGAGGAGGTAGGCGAGGATTCGTTCATTCGTGATGGAATGATTGACGGCTGCTTGATATAGCATTGCAGATAGGACATTGATGACCAGACCACCGAACGCCACCACACTCTCGTCATTTCGAAGGGCAAGGGCTGTTGCCGTTTCGAGGCAAAGCAAAACCTTAGGGCGATACACAGGCTTCGAATCGACATTGCCTGTTGCCGTGTCACTCGGCTCATTGTCTGCCTTCGGCCGTTCTTGAGCTGCACGAAGCAGATACTTGACGAGAGGCTCAGACTCTTGCACGGACAATGATAGCAAATTGTCTGCAAACTTGTCCAGATGGCAGGACTTGATGCAATCATATGTGCACAAGGTGCTCTCCAGCTCCTCGGATGTCGGTGGCGGTGGTTCGTCAGACGCATAGCTTGACAAGTAGGACGCAAAGCTGTTGAAGAAACTGGCCTCTTGATTCCGCTGCATGGGCCGCGACGATTTTGGAGGTGGCGGAAGCGGAATGGGCGAAATCTTCATGAAGCGATGAAGCTGCGAGAACGTCGGTGGCAAGAGCGAGTTGATCAGCAGTGCGCCAAAGATGTCAAATAGTGCCTCCCAACTATCTCTAATGACGCGCTCGTTGCCATCACAGATGCGGAAAAGAATGACGGTTGCCAGTTGAGCTTTGAATTCACGACCAAAGGCAACGCCAAGCTCGCTGACTGTGACGCTTTGCCCATCGACATCAACACAAAGATTGCGCTGCGTGCTCGGAAGCTTACCTGACGTAAACAAGGTCAGACGCGACAGAGCATGAATAATTTGATCCATAGCATCATGTAGCCCATACCGGGCTGCGATACTGGCGCACTGACTGAGCCCACCTATGAGGCGAGAGAACACGGCATCGTCCGTGGCAGAGGTGAAGACGAAAGTCAACGTCGTGATGAGAGGGCGCCAGGTTGCTTCAAACATGGCTTTGTCGTACTGATTTGTCTCACAGACAATCAAAGGTCCAGCAGTATCAACCTTTTCCATCAATTCCTTCCAAGCGTATGCGAAACTCGCACTCGTGTCGTGCTCCTCTGCGAGAATAATCTCATTGGTCTTGATATCGTTGTAGATGGCGTCAAGGTATTCGGCCGGGAAATTCTCGCCATCATTGGTGCCTCGAAGGTTGCTTGCAAATTGGACGGAGGTCATGCGTGATTTCCTCGCTTGAACATTGTGCTGGTCTGTATTCAGCATAATGACGGCATAGGCAAGCACGTATGCAGCGTCGGCGCTCTTCACGACTGTCTTGTTCACCTCAAAATAGACAGCAGCAAACTCTTCAACAATACGGGCAATCTGCTGCGATTCTCCAGGCAACCGGAAACGCTGCAACAGCGCCCGCAATGCCTCGTCTAGACGCTTGCCACGGTAATCGAAGAGCCGCACGAAAGCACGGAGCAATTCAATCGAGTCAGGCCTGGATATGTAGTCGCCGAGAATCTCCTTATTAATTCGCGACGATGCGAAGAGGAACTGGGCAAGTGAATTGGTCGCATCATCCTTGTCTATCAAGTCACTTTCCAGCAAAAAGGCAACTCCAAGTTTGGGCTTTTCATTGAATTTGGCGGAAGCCTTGAGGACGAGCTCTTTGCGCTGACGTGACTGGGATAGTTTGGTGGAATCCGGCAAATCGGGGTTCACCTGCCTGGCACGCAGATCCAGCCTCGAGTGGATGAGACTGATGTATCCGAGCAGAGCATCCAGACAAAGGGGCGGTACATTGGTGGTACTCCAGATGGCAGTGTCTGGGAAAGCGTTGCGGCAAAGGAATCCAACGACATCCTCGCAAAGATCGCTCAAATTCTGCTCACAGTCATAGTTGACAAAGAGGTCCACCATGAAGGTCGGTATACGCACAAGCGTTCCAATACACTCAATCATGACCTCTCGTGCATCTGCGCCGCGCCCACCACCTTCTAAACCCATCTTTTGTCTTTCTTTGACAGGAACAGGAGTAGAGCGCCCAGACTGCAATTGCTTGATCTTTGGTGCAATTGGTAGTGCTTCGTATACTGACGGATCAATACCTGCTTCTTTGAGTGCATCTGGTCGAGGAACTAGACAAGCAACGACATAATTGAGGAACAGCTCTTGCTGTAGCTTGAGATACACGCGCATGGTGTGAAGCAAGGTAGAAATGACGCGCAAAGAATGCTGCAGCACAATGTGGTTGTCTGATCGGATCAGCTGGAAAAGATGCCTGCAGAGATCATCGACAGCAAGCCTTCTCAATACTGGCCTCTCGGATATCGCGTTCCCGCCCACTTCAAAGGCGACTTCGATGATGCGCAAAGCCATGATACGCATAGAATCTGTCGAACGCTGGTCCGCTGGATCAAGAATCGAGATCAAGACTCGAAGCAGCTCTCGCACGGTCACAATGCCGTAAGGCACAAGGACAGCATCCGCTTCTTGTGCTGATGTTTGGGAAGCTTTGTTCTCTTCCGACGCAGCCATCTCTGCACTCTGGCGCGGCACAGTTGGCTTTTGCATCTTCGTTGGAGAGCGCATAGATGTGCCATTCGGGGTGCCCGGTTGTGATTCAGGCGACGGTGCCCAGACGCTGTCTGCTTCACTGACAGGGATATGCTTCAGTCGGACGAAAATGACCTGTACCATCTTGAGCATAGTCATTTCAGCGCTGCGACGAAGCATCTCACTGAGCCGCATCTGGCAACACATGCTCAGACCAGTCTCCACCATTTCGCATACGCTCTCATCATCTAATAGGTCTCCTCCGATGCCGGACATCATCTCTTGCATGAGCATCAATATGCGAAGCAGAACAATCTCGTCCTGACCACTGTCTGATGCTTCAAAGCGGCAATGTGTGACTGCACTACTCAGTAATTTCATCGCTCTCGGCAGATTCTTCGATCTGTTGTGTATGATGCGATAGCTGAAGAACTTGCTAACAGAATTTAGCGCAAGAGACGTGACGGAGCCAGTAACAGCCGAGCTGCGTATAACAGCCAGGAACGGATGCAGGAGCGCAGTCATGTCGTACTCATTGATGTCTACGGTTAGCCCATGCGCCAAGCCGCTCAAAAGACGTTACCTTCGATCTTGAGTAAGTCTTGTCGTAGCTTAGAGAAGCCAGCAAGTAAGGGATTCTCGCTGACAGTGCTTCTGTTGCCACGTAGACCCCATCTGGTCGCTAAGCTGCCTTCCTCGTCCATGTTCGCTTCTATAGCTCCTCCTAAGATAGCAGCGACGCTCGAAGTAGACCAGCGTGTCTGTTTTCGCATACTAGCGACAAGCGAAATGGTTTCATTGAGAATGAGACTGACGGGAGGTATAGATGTGACGGGCGCTGCATCTCGGTTGTCCATTTCTGATAGTTGTGACCCACAGACTCTATGCGCACTTGAATGCCCCTCTATCGCTCTCCGTCTAGCCTGCTGACTAGGTCCAGGCCACCTCACCAAGCTGTGGTCGTGCGAGGAGGATGTTTTGTGTCTCGTGTCGATTCCACGCGCGCGTCTTCCTTCTGGCGCAGTTCAGGATTCAACACCACCAGCTAGTAGCCTAGTACTTGCAGGCTTAAGGACCAGACATCAGCGCACACCCATGGCAACGGCAAAGATCCCGAGGAACTTCAGGCTGCTGGAAGAGCTTGAGAAGGGCGAGAAGGGCGGAGACGGCGCCTGCTCCTACGGTCTTGCCGATGAGGCAGACATGATGATGTCAGATTGGAACGGTACCATCCTTGGACCAGCTCACAGTGTACATGAGAATCGCATCTATTCACTACGGATCACCTGCGGGCCGCAGTACCCGGATGTGCCACCGACTTTGCAATTTCTGTCGCGCATCAACCTTCCTTGTGTAGACCCAAGCAACGGCAAGGTGCTGGTGTCGCGTCTAGGATGTCTCGCAAATTGGAACCGCAAGTACACCATGGAAACCATTCTTCAAGAATTGAGAAAGTGTGTCGCTGCCTCTCGTTGTCGTAAGCTAACCCAATAGGGATATGGCCAGTCCAAACAACAAGAAGCTACCCCAACCGCAAGAGGGCTCTCAGTTCTGATTGTCGCTCTCCATGGCGCTTGTCCAGAAGTTGGCTTCGTACTCTGTCACTCGTCTGAAGATTTCGACGAGCTCCTCAACCTTGCTAGGGGAACATTGCATCGCGTGTCTTTCACTTAGTGCTTCTCGTTAGCTTACTCATGTCGCAACGTCCGCTCAAATGTTACCTCTTCCTGTTTTCACTGCTTGAGTGTAGTCATCGGCTGCATAATTCTGAATCCATGCCCAGTATACAGAGGATCTGTCCGTCTTTGGACTTTTTGCAAGTCGTTCGCCCACAGCTCCATAACCCACAAGACATGCAGCCAATGCTACCTGCAACGAGAGCCAATCCTTGGAATTTCCGATGCTTTCAATATACCGTGTGTACACTGTGCAAGCTATCGATTCTTGTCCATTCTCGAGCTCAGCTTTTGATATGCCGAAAGATTGACAGTAGCTGACGTGTAATTTGAGTTCCTCTTCGATGTGAAGGATCACACGAGCTGAGCCTGCAATATCTTCCAGCCTGTCACACTTGTATGCCGCCAATGCGGTCAGCCGCGCGTACTGAACCAGGTATAGATAATCTTGCCGCAGGAACTTCTTGAACGCATCGAGTGGCAATGAACCGTCTTGAAGCCCTTTTACGAACGAGTGTTCAGTACTTCGATTAGTTTGATACATTGGAGGGATGGCTTACTAGGCTGTCCACGCAGGTTGAACTTTTGGATGCTTGATGAGAAAGTCGATGAAAGCGCCCCTGATGTCAGCTCGACAACAATGAGTAAACTCGCTTACGGCGTGAACGGTAACTGCGACATTCGATACATGTGATTCAACGGTCCACTACCAGAGCCAAGATCGAAGCTGTGCTGTATAGCACCGTGGACATAGCTTATTGCCTCTTGACATGCCTCTGGCATGCCCTTCCCTTGTGCCAATTGGCATGCAATAGCACTGGCCAGTGAGCAGCCTGTCCCGTGCGTGTTGCGAGAAGGCGACCATTTACTGACCATTACATGAAACGTATCGGCCCCGTATAGCACATCGGCGACTAAAGCACCAGTGCGGTTGGGTGAGTCCTGCTTATGCATATGTTCGTTCAGTGGGAGATGACCACCTTTGACGAGGACGTACTTAGGCCCAAGCAGCGACAATTCCTTTGCAGCTTGCCTCATTGCTTCAACACTGTCGATTGCTGGCACTGATTTGAAAGGTACACCGCGTGCTTCCGCAAGAAGCAATCTGGCCTCCTCGAGGTTGGGAGTGACAACTTGAGCGATGGGCAAGAGTAAATTCATGTATGCTTCAACAGCATCCATAGATAGTAGCCGAGCACCAGTCGTTGCTACCATGACAGGATCGACCACGAGATTATTCAGCTTGTACTCCCGAAGCAAAGAGGCGAGCATGATAACATTCTTACGGTCGCCAAGCATGCCCGTTTTGACAGCATCGCAACCGAGATCAGAAACGACAGAGCGAAACTGCTTCTCCAGCATCTCAGCATCCATAAGCTGTACTGCGTCGACTGCAAGCGTATTCTGAGAAGTGACTGCAGTGATGACGCTCATGCCGTAGACATTGTGGGCAGTCATGACCTTGAGGTCGGCTTGGATGCCAGCTCCTCCTCCAGAGTCAGAGCCCGCAACGGTGAGTACTCTAGCTATCATATTCGTTCAAGACCTCCTCGAGAGAATCAACAGTACTTTACAATCTAATTCTGCAATGGGACGTGTTGACATGAAGTTGAAGAATGGAAGTCGGCTAAATCGCAGGCGACCATTTGAACAGATGCCACCTCTCGCCTTCGCCAGCCTGCGTCAACAGGAAGGGCAGCAGGAGAAGCAAAGGCTGGACCAAGTTCAGGGTGACAACACACAAGGTTAGGTGAAGTAAAAAATTCTGTTGTAGCAGAGGGCTGTGTATCATGCTGAAACCGTGGTTCATGTAACCTGGCAAATCAGTATTCCTTCCAAATCAAGCAGACACCTTTACAGTTTGAGCTCCTCAGACTCAAGGAGACCCATGCGCATGGCTGTCGAGAATCCCATCGTGCTCTGGCGTAGTTTCTTCAGTCGCCATCAGTCTGTTGGTGAACTGGCTGTCTGCTGAGTAGTTACCCCTACATCTGGCTTTAGTCGCCGTCGGTATGTTGGGGAACTGGCTATCCGCCCAGTAGGTACTTCTACATCACATTTATCGGCAGCTAACAACAGATCTTCCCAGTAACAGCCAGAGATTGTCATGAATCAGTTCCTTGACAATGCCACAAATTTGACATCCCCTTCCAGCATTCAAATTACCTTCTCCGGCTCAACAGCCGTTGTGAGCAAAACACTTCACGTCGCGATTGGCAATTGAGCGAAAGCAGATTAAACGGCACGTACTTGTGCCAAGTCATGATGCACTGAAGCGTACATCCCATAGAGGCATCGGGCATTGGTGGCGAGACCAGAGACACGCGTTTCGCCGGACGGCCAACTATGGGTCGAGGTGCCGGCTGTATACAAGACTGCACACGGTGATCAGGGGGTGAGTGTACATGCACGGCGTGCAGGATCGATTCCGCCAGTCTGAAGCTCATTTCGTCTGCACCTTGACTGAACATTGAGATCACGTTGATGAGCACCTCTTGATCGTGTGCTTTAGCGAGAAACGGCAGGCACAACTTCGACCAATGCTATATACAGAACGAGGATGAAGGGCAGACATGATAGCTTGCATTCTTAAAGCTAGCCTGTTGTTGTCAGAACGATTTAAAGCGACAGGATACCGTGAAGCTTGTCGGCCAAATGAAGATGAAATCGCGACGTCGGGTGCCAATCATCAAGCCATAGAATTTCAGGCACACCCAATCCTTGGCAAGCACTTTTCAGTGCAGCTGGGGGCTCCGGATAATTGGGGCCAATGAGCTTGTAGTTCATCCAATAGAAGCGTCGATACGCGAGACAGAAGGTATCCGTCTTTTTGTAGCCATATACACCGGGATGTGCAATGACATCTCTCATGGCCGAAGCAGCGTCAACGTAGAAGACCGTTGATCCTGGATACGACTCCTGGAAGGCAGCAGTACGCTTCTTGAGCTGCGCATTGAAATCTGCAGCAATGCGACCCAGGGTTGCCAGAAAGGCATCTCCAGTGGAGTTGCCATGTAAATTAATCAACTTTTGCATACGCTCCAGTTGATCGGGAATCGCTTCAAATTGGATGGGAGTGATAGCAACAAAGTTACGTGCACCAAGTTTGTAGAGGTCAAGCCAATTGGACATGTACTGATCCATGATTTTGACTGTCATGGCCAGCACATTTTCCTCGAATTGACGAACAGTAGGAGCACTCGTGAGCGTGTCAAAGTCCTCAATCAGCTGGACGGTAAGATCATTTTGCCCAAACATTGACAGGAACAGAGTGTCGTTCTTGGCCCACTCGACACTGGATCCGACGCCGGTGCAGTCCTTCTTGAACACCGCGAGCTGCTCGGAGAAGTCCGGCCGTGAGGTCTTGACAAGAGCTTTGTCAACCACTGCGCCTGATTTAGCAAAGTTCCAGGCGACCAAGTTCACCTTGTAATTCTTGACCAACGCTCCCACCCAATTGACACCCCACGCAGTCGTTGCGCCAGGGAATGCTGGATGACCAAGAGGATTTGCAGAAGAAGGTAATGGGCCATCTGATCTAGAGAATCCAGTATCGGAAAGCGAATCGCCAAAGATGAAGAGTGTTTTCAATGCGTCGAAGCCTGGATAATCGCGGGAGGCGTCCAAGCCACGAACAACCAGATCATGACTTGCCGGTGAGTGGTCATGGCGGGCATCGACACTGCTAAAAGGAAGAAGGAGCAGTCCCAGAAACGCTGAGGTACTAGCTGAGATTCGCATACTCTCTGAAAACTGAAAAGGGTTTGGCAACATCCGTATGATTTGACAGGGTCGCAAACGGTCTTATAGCTTCCTGAGATGGCTAACAAAGCTTCCAGGAGAAGGCTTTGTCAATTTGCGAGATTTTGGCCCAAACACAGATCTGTGCAAATGCCATGACAATGCCGTACCTTTGCCCAATGACAAATCTCTCTGCAGCAGTTGCCTGTTTGGCCCAAACAAACATCTGTGGAGCTGCCGTGACAGTGCCGTGCCTTTGACCCAATGATTAGTTAGTGCTTGGGTATGTATTCTGGTCTCAACAAGCAAGCTAAGTATATTAGCACAACCAAACCAGTTTGGCGGATTTGCCGAGTCCATTACTGAGTCCAGTGATGAGTCTGAAGGCCAACTTCGCCGCCTCTGCAAAGGACTCTGAGGTGTGCTCGAGTCGCCATGCTGACCATAGATCCACGAGCGTGAACTCGCCCTTAAGCTGCATATTATGCTCTGAGTGGAGGACGCCGATAATATCGTACACTGTAGTTTTTATCAATTTGAGCAGATGTTTGACAGTGAGGGCCGCTTCATCAAAAGTCGGAGCAGTCGAATAAAACTCATTGGCGAGCTACAGTCAACGGGTGTTCACACCGATGAGGAAATAATGTCACTCTCGCTCTCGATACGCGATCGAGACCAAGTAGCTTCAAATGTGCTTCCAACAGTTGCGAAAGACTTAAGCCATGCTCTGCATCGTGTATGGATAGCCTTAGGAGCGTCGGCGCATTGTCCAGGCGCCACTGAATGAGAGAGGTGTGAAGCTTTTCGGGCGCCTGTAGTTCGCGAGGACTCACCCAAGAGTCTCTGCACGCAGGAGCCTGCTCCACATATTTGCTCCAAGCTCGTACATTGGGGTGACCATGCCAAAGCAGGCTGTAGCCTTGTCATTTGCGCATTGTGCGCTTGTGCACGTTTAGCTGGCGCGTCAACAAAGCAAGATACGACATGGTCGGCAATCGTTATGAGCCTCACTTCCTGGTAGGGAATCGCAACTGCAGGCATCTATCATCTTTTGAGCTGGAATAGTGTCTGTTGGCCTATACTAGTGCTTATGGATTGCTGGTTGTTGCGTCGATGCGGACCGCGCGCGAGAAACAGCTGCTGCTGCAGCAAGCATACATGTACATTCACTTGAAGTACACTCATTGCTCATTTTACATTCCATGGAACAGCTAGCAGATGGATGGACTGCTCATCAAGCCCCTTCCGGTCATACATACTACTATAATGCAGCTACGAAAACGAGCACTTATCAAAAACCTTTACGACAGAGCTTGCTTCCTCCGCCAACTCCTCCGCTTCCTTCGCAAGAAAGTCCTGCTGCGGCAGATCCGAAAGCTGCTTCCTCAGGTGCTAAATTGAATCATCTTGCCACCTCGGTATCAGAGCGAGCCTCAAAGGGTCCTATTGATCGCAGATTTGGTGAAGACCGACCCAAGTACAAAGATGCAATCAGCACTGCTGCACCGTGGCTACTAGTAACGACCAAGCTAGGAAGGATCTTCTATCATAATCCACAAACAGGAGATTCCTCATGGCAGCTTCCAGAATCAATAGCAGATGCCGTTGAAGAGTGGCAAAGAACGCGGTTCGATGATCCGTTGATGCAGCATCAGCCAATGGACGATGAGTCAGACATATCCCAGGAGGCTGATTACGAGCCAGAACAGACGGAAACTGACCCGAATGAAGCCAATGTTGAATTTGACGAAGATGACATCGCTTGGCAACTTGCAGCCATGGAGGACGAGGGTTTGATGCCTGCCGAACAAGCTGCAGAGGACCAGCAGGTATTTACTGCAACAGAACGGCAAGAGCTATTCCAAGTCATGCTTTCTGATTGCGAAGTGGATCCTTATTCGACATGGGAGGCCGAGGTGGAGAAGATTGCTGCGGATCCACGCTACCTGGGTGAGTGTTCGCCTGCTGAAGCGCTGTCTAACACTAGTGCTGGATTCGACGAAATTGAGGAAGGCCGCTTTTGACAATTACTGCGTCAAAGAGGCTCAAAGGAGAGCGGACGAGAAGGCGAACATATACAAGAAGCCGGTATGTCAACAATCTTCAGACTCTTGACTAATCAATAGGCCAAGCAGGCATTTCTGGAACTCGTCGCACAACACCAGAGCAAGTTTACGTACTGGCAGGATTTCAAGCGCAAATTCAAGAAGGAAGACGTCTACCGTGCTTATGGTGCCACTGATCATGAGAGAGAAAAGCTATTCAGACTCTTGCATGACCATCTCAAACGAAGCCAAACGCAAAGAGAGAAGGACTTCCTCGCACTACTCGAGAGTGCAACAGCCGAACCGCCTAGCGATCCCAAGTGGCATGCGCTAGGAGCTGATCAGAGACAAGCCATTGAGCAGGTCTTCAATGATAGACGAAGGTAGATATGTGACTGACTATTGGCACATTCACGTGTCGGCGTGCTACATGCACTCGGAACTATAGTTTAGCTAGTTGAGATCCCTTAGCGCGCTGCGCAATCTTGATTGCCCCTTTCCTGCTTGGATCGCTTTCAGTGATGCTCATATCATGATGGAGCAATTGACTTTCAGCTTTCTCCCTTCGAACCGAATAGATCAGCCGCTACAAGTGCGTTTCAATTGCTTGGAACTAGCGCCCTCTTCGCCGCTGTTTTCCTCAGACATCTTCACTGATCCATCGCTTGCCTTCATTGGCGCAAACACGAAAGCTGGATTTGAGTTCTACATCACCGTCACCCTCTGGGCAGACAATAAGGAAGTGTTCCCTTCAGTACAAACGCGCTATCGTCACAATAAGACAAGCAAAGTGACCTGGAACCAAGTTCTCGACTTTCCAGACATCAAATGCTTAAGCAGAAGTGCTCAGCTTGCTATCACGGTGTGGGATTTGAAAGGACCCGCCGAGAAGTACCCGTTTGCCTCGACTACGGTGGCAATCTTTGACGATGACGGTGTGCTCAAAAAGGGTCGTCAAAAGCTGCTCTTGCACAAGGGCGTAGAGGCCGACCCATACAATGACTCAACAACACCCTCAAAGTCAGGTAAAACAACTGAGCTTGATCGTCTGGAAGAACTCGTCAAGTCACACGAAGCAGGCGACATCCCTCGAGTCGATTGGCTCGACAATATGACATTTCGACAATTGGAGAAGACTGCGAGTGCCGCTCCACCATCAGAGCAAGACTACCTTGTGGTCGAGTTTCCACGCTTCGATTTCCCTGTTCTTTATACGAGTGGCGATTATTCTTACACTCTGAAGGAGGATAAGCCACTGCATCACAACTCTATGGTCATGGTCCACGATCCCGATGCTTATAATGTCAATCCAGTAGAGACGAAGCATCGAAAATTGGTCCGCAGTCATCGTAATGGCGCCCTGGATCGCGATCTCAAGCCATCGCCACGAATTCGTGACCACCTCTTCGATATTTTGCTGAATCCAACTTCGTCAGAGCTCAGTAATGAAGAAAAGGATCTATTATGGAAGTTTAGGTACTATCTTACGCGTCTGCCAGGTGCCTTACCAAAATTCCTGCGCTCTGTCGTCTGGGCCGATCAAGTGGAGACTGTGCAAGCTGTTGCCTTGCTTTCGAGGTGGAGCACAATCACTGTTGACTCGGCCCTCGAAATACTTGGGCCTGCCTTTACCAATGCACAGGTACGCGAATTTGCCGTCTCGCGTCTCGAGAAAGCTGAAGACGGAGAGATCAACCTCTACCTCCTGCAATTGGTCCAAGCTTTGAGATATGAACCCGAGGCCAGTCCCCTCAGCGCTTTTCTTGTGCGTCGGGGTCAAAACAATTCTAGCCTGGGTGCGCAGCTCTATTGGTATCTGACTGTCGAAAGCTCCGATGCGCATGCCTCGCCTGTATTTGGCCGGACTTTGGAGATCTTCCTGAGCTCAATGGACAAGCCGCAGTATGATTCTCTTGATGCACAAAAGCAATGGGTTCAGGATCTTACGACGATGGCCGAGCAAATCAAGGTGAGCAAGGAGAATCGCTTGAAGAGAATTGAAAAGTTGCGATCTTGGGCCAACGAGCATGCGTCGCTCGAGAGGAGTATTCCCTTTCCCCTTGATCCTCATCTGAACATCACCGGATTCATCCCTGAAGCTTGCAACGTCTTCAAATCGTCCATGTTTCCTCTCAAGCTGTCTCTCAAGACAGAGCCTGCAAGAGACGCAAACCATATCTCCGTTGACGGGACATGTCAGGAAACGTTCGACATCATTTTCAAGTCGGGCGATGATTTACGACAAGATCAGCTCGTCATCCAGATCATCACCCTATTCAATGACTTACTTTTGAGGGAAAACCTTGACCTCAAGCTGACTCCTTATCGTATCTTGGCTACGTCGACTACATCTGGCTTTGTCGAATTTGTGCATTCAGCCTCACTTGGTGCCATCTTGTCGGAACAAGGAAGTCTCGGCGCGTATCTCGGAGGGACCAGCACACGCAAGGTCGACGAAGTGATAATGGATACGTACACTCGCTCCTGCGCCGGCTACTGTGTCATTACGTATTTGCTCGGTGTTGGCGACCGGCACTTGGACAACCTCTTGCTCACCAAGACTGGCCACTTCTTCCACGCCGACTTTGGCTTCATTCTTGGACGCGATCCAAAGCCGTTTGCGCCTGCACTCAAGCTCGCGAAAGAGATGGTTGAGGTCATGAATGCAAATAGTCCCAGTCACGAGCCGACTTTTTGGTACTCCCGGTTCAAGTCTTATTGCTTCACGGCATTCTCCGCCCTGCGAAAGAACTCTGGTCTGATTCTCAATCTTTTTGCCTTGATGGTTGATGCCAATATTCCGGATATCAAGATTGAGCCTCAGCGTGCTGTGGGCAAAATCATGGAACGCTTCTGTCTAGAAATGGACGAGGAACAAAGTTTGCGATTTTTTGAAGATTTATTGATTGAAAGTGTCAGTGCGCTCTTCCCAGTCTTCATCGACCGCGTGCACACAATCACGCAATACTGGCGTTCTTAGGCACTGCTCTCAAAAAAGGTTGCGAGCTGCTTTGCCTCTTCTTCCATCTCATCGATCGTTCGTGGCTTCCGGGATTCATCGTCCACTACGGTAAATTTGGGTCGTTGAGCCAATGCTGCTTGCCAACTCTGCAACATCTCCTCTGACTGTTGGTCAAGCTGTCCGTAGATGTCATCGGAATTAGGCAGGTCATTAGCCTTTCGTGGTAGGATATGTACGTGCACATGAGGCACTGACTGACCTGCAACGGGCCCATCTTGCAGAGAGATTGTGGTTCCTGTTGCTTTGTAGACTGTCTGCAAGACTCCCGTAACCTTTTGTACAGATAGGAAGAGATCGCTTACTTCATCCGAGCTGAGATCTGCCAAACGAGGCACGACCCGTTGAGGGCATATGAGAACATGTCCAGGCAGCAAGGGCTTCAAGTTGACAAGCCCAAAGCTTTTGGGACTTCGAAAGAAGATTTGACGCTCCACATTGAATGTGTGGAAAAGCTGAGCCGTCATGTCAATCTGCTGAGCTGTAGGTAGACAAGTGTCGTTCGGGTCGAACTACTCCTGCGAAGTTTACGGTTGACATTCGACAGGGTTCAGAATTGACAACGCGCACCTCCCTGACCTTCATCTGCTAAACGCTACGCTACGATGGTATATCAAATGAAGCCGAACACGCTATACCTGGTGACAGATTCTGGATTGCTCTCCTCATCTGCTGAATCACTCGAGGCACATGTGGAAAAAGCCATTCAAGGCGGTGTTGACCTGGTTCAGCTGCGTGAAAAAGACGCTGATACAGCTGAATTCATTGAAAAGGCTCGTAAAGTCGGTGCTGTCTGCAAGAAGCACAATGTGCCGTTTCTGATCAATGACCGAGTTGATGTTGCTCTGGCTGTTGATGCAGATGGCGTCCATGTCGGCCAAGACGACATGCCGTGTACTTTGGTTCGTCAGCTCCTCGGACAAGGCAAAATCATTGGCGTTTCGTGCAACACGATTGAGGAAGCAGAGAAGGCGGTTGAGAATGGAGCTGACTATCTCGGCATTGGCCCCGTCTACGACACAAGCACAAAGGAGCTTACGAAGCCAACACTTGGCGTTTCCGGAGTGCAAGCCATTCTGGCTCATCTCGAGACGCTCGATAGGCAAGTTGGAACAGTTGTGATTGGTGGACTCAATGCAAGTAACATTGATCGCGTGCATCACACGTCATCTACCAAGGGCAAGAGACTCGATGGCGTTGCTGTTGTTTCAGTATTGATGACATCGAGTGACCCCGAGCGCGTTGCTGCAGGATTGAAAGGACTGCTGACTGATGAGCCTGCATTTAAACAGGCCCAGAAGACCAGTTTGCTGTCTACAACAGACTTGACAGCAAAGACTGCTGCTATCCTCTCCAGCATTCGCCAAAAGTCGCCACTCATCCACCACCTCACGAATAACGTGGTCAAGAACTTTTCAGCCAATGTGACATTGGCTATCGGGGCCAGTCCTATCATGTCAGAGATCAAGGAGGAGGCCGAAGACTTGGCCAAGGTGAATGGTGCTCTACTTGTCAACATGGGTATGTTGAGAGATGCATCAGAGACTTGCCTGACGATTGCTGCCAACAACCGTCTCGGTAAGCCTGTCATTTTCGATCCTGTTGGTGGTGGTGCTACGACATTCAGACGCAACACAGTCAAGTTCTTTCTTGATAATGCCTACTTTGACTTGATCAAGGGTAATGCAGGTGAGATTCAAGCAGTGGCTGGCAGAGCATCCATGATGCGAGGTGTCGACTCACTGGATGCGAGCAACTTGTCTGATCGATGTGCTCTTGCCAAAGATTTGGCAAACAAGCTTGGCAATATTGTTGTGATTTCTGGTGTTGAGGATGTGGTGTCGAATGGTGACTTGACGGCAGTGGTGCGTGCCGGCCATCAATATCTGGGTGACGTTACAGGGTCAGGTTGCTCACTGGGCTCTACGCTCTCCGCTTGTCTCGCAGTCTCACCACACGACAAGTTCAGTGCTGCACTGGCAGGGCTGTTGTTGTATGGTCTTGCTGCTGAACGAGCGGCCGTGAGTGCACAGGGACCAGGTACATTCGTGCCAGCGTTCATTGATGCACTGTATCATTACTCTGATGGTGGAAAGGACTTCCAAGCTGCTCTAGGGGCTCGTGAGATAGTGACGTTCGTATGAGAGTAGAGCCTCTGATGCCCTTCAGTTCCATCTCGTCGGATATTGACTGTCGCTCGACTGCTTCAGGAGATTTGCGCAGCGACAAACATCCAGCGCAGATACGACGGGAGCTGCAAAAATGAGGTGACCACGGCTTACTCATGCTCCAAAATGGCTGTTTATAAATCGCTGACTTTGCTCTCTTTCACTCTTTCACTCTTTCCACAGTTTCAGTTTAAATGCGCATCGCAACTTGGCTCTTCTGTGCTGTAGGCATGATGAGCTTAGAGACAATTGCAGCAAAGTCCAAGACCCCCGCTCACGATAATCAAGGAGGCCGCACACCTCACGTCTATTTTGTTCGCCATGGGGAGAAGCCGCGCGATGACTCGGACTCTGAGCTGTCTGCCTTGGGCGTCAGGCGCTCTCAATGCATTGCAAATCTCTTTTCTCATGAGCCTTATCACATCAAGCACATATTGGTGCCTGCGACGGTCACGAAGAAGGATGGTCTTCATCGTCAGAGGTCTTTGAAGACTATTCTGCCTCTGGCCGATGCGCTTGGCTTGAGCAAACATATCGACATGTGCGATCGCGACGATGCCAAGTGCGCGGCAGGCAAGATTCGGGCAGCGCTAGCCTTGGGTGATGGCGATATTGTGGTCTGCTGGGAGCACAAGAAGCTGTCTGATATTGTGCAGGAGCTAGGTGATACGCACAACATGAAGTACCCAAAGGACAAGTTCGATCTGATTTGGGATTATGCTGGCAACAAGCTGGATCAGGTCCAGTCTATCAGGAGCCAGAATTGCTCTGGTCTGGATGGATATCCTTTGTGAAGGGCTATGGCTGCTTGCAAACCAGATTGACGATTACGACCGCTATTTACGTATGATGAAGACTACACTTGTATACTTAAGCCTTCCAGCTGATTCTCCTTGCCAGCCCAACTGAATTGTCTCAAGTCTGGTCAACCGCAACGCGACCACTTGCTACTTCTTGAGGCCTCTTGAGTGGCAATCACGGCCTAGATCATGTCGTACATGCTTGCCATTGTTGGTACAAAGGACAACCCGCTCTACCAAGCTGAATTTGGTACGCTCAAAGGTGGCCATGACGGCACACCTCAATTCCGCGAAGACATGCGACCCATGAACCAATTCATCCTGCACTCCTCTCTCGATATGGTAGAGGAGGTACAATGGGCATCCAGCATGCTCTATCTCAAACAAATCGACAAGTTCAATGGGTATAGCGTGAGTTGCTGGTTGACTGCCGGTGGAACGCGCTTCTTACTGCTGCATGACCTCAAGAATGACGATGGCATCAAGACTTTCTTCAGCGATCTGTATGATCTATACACGAAGTGCCTCATGAATCCTTTCTACAAAGTCGATACACGCATTACGAGTAGGACGTTTGATACCCGCGTCAAGGCGCTTGCACGCAAGTACTTGTGAAGGGAATTGGAATTGAAAAAGATCACACGCCATCGCTATGCAAAGAGTGCTACATGCTAGAATTGAGAAGAAAGGAGTTGCCTTAGACGCGCCTGATGAATGCGCTTTGTCTGCGTGGTACACGCATGGACCGCGTTGGTGAGGAACTCGGTTTGCTAGGTGAGCTACTGGATGAACTCGCAGCTGGGCCAGTTGGAGGTGGCGCCGGTCCAGAACCTTGCTCGAGCTGTTCGCGTGTCCAAGAGGAAGGCAATGCAGCAACGGGTTGTGTGCGTTGTTGCTTGACCGTCACCGTCGGTGATCCAAAGGTGGAAGGTAATATTGGCTGTGCGTGATTCATGAATGGCCCGAGAGACTGTCGATGGGTGGCTGCTGAGCGCGGCAGAGGTCGCGTCAGTGCAGAAATACGACCGCCTGTTGCCGCTTTGCTGATGGAGCTGGGCGTCGTTTGTGGTAGTGGCAGAGATGCAGCAGCGACCGTTGCTGGTGTCGGAATACCGGATTGTCGCCGCATGTTGGGCGAACTGGGCGCATAACTCTTGGCTGTAGCTGTCCGTTGCGGTGATCCAGCAGCCGATGAAGAGGAAACAACAGAGAGTGCGAGCGATTGTCGTCGAGGCACGGGAATAGCGGAACGCAGGCGGTAATTCTCGCTGATGCCAGACATGCGTGCTGAAATGGCAGACAGTCGGCCCAGCAAGTCAGAGGAGGCTTGAACAGATGCATTGCGGTGGAGGGTCGGCATGGGTTGAAATTCTGTGTCCTTTTGTGAGGATGCCTCTGACTCTGAGAGCAAGTCGTCTTTGGCCTCCGCTTCAATTGCATGTTGTGGTCTTGCTGCTTGTTCAGCTGCTTTGCTCGGTCTTGACTGTGCGATATGCAATTCAGTCTGGAGATCGCGTACAGTGTCCTTGAGTCGCTGGCACTCGACTGCCCATCCCTCACGCATGGCCAGCTCTGATTCGAGGTCTGCGTTGCGTTCCAGCAAATCATTATAGCGCCGTTCCATATCACCCAAGGATGATTCAACAATGCGTTCATGCCTCTCCAAGTCATCATGTTTGAGCTCTTCATCCCTCAGCGTCGCTTTGACTTGCGCCAGTTCGCGCGTGAGCTTTGAGACGTCTGCTTGAAGTCGTGTGGCCTGTGCAGCGCGTTCACTCTCGCAAGTCAAGTATTTGTGTTTCCAAGTACTGACTTCTGCCATGCATTCTCTGACTTTGGCCTCTGTCTGTGCGAGCCTGCGTTCTGCTTGCTGCAAGTCTTGTTCGAGCATGGATTCCACTTCGCGTGCCTGTTCGACCATTTCTTGCAAGTCGGCGCGCATTTGCTCTAGCTCCTCCTTGAGCTTCTCATTCTCCTGCTGCGCGTCCATTGTGGTACAGGGATGATGAATGAATACAGCTGTACAATGCGCTTGGTTGTCGCTTCTTCTTGTTGCTGTCGTCGCGTTGCAGATTTGGTCGCGAGAGTGGAGACAGCCAGAGACTACATCGCCTGACTGGCACTGGCTGAGTACTGTGAGTCTGTGAAGTAGTCTCACTGAGCATGGCAAGACAAGCAGAGAAGCAGCTGGCCAAGGACAACACCGCCAAGATTGCACTCCTCCGCAGAGGCGCCGTCGCCGTCAATGTCCTGTTCATCGTGATCCGGCTCATCTACTGCCGTGCATCGAGCACCAAGAAGACCTACTTCCTCTATCTCCTCACAAACCTGGTGGCGGGGACCATTCAGCTGCAACTCGAACGCATTGGCTCGCCCACATTCAACAGCGATGGGAGTTTGCGATCGAGCGGTGGCGACCTGGGACAAGCAGGCGTGACGGAGTACTTGACGGATATCGTGTACATGACGTGGATTGTCTATCTGCTGGTGACCTTCATCACTGATTATGCTTGGCTGTTCTATCTGGCTGTACGTCTTCTGTTTAATGTTGGGAGTATGATGCTAACCTGTGTATAGATCCCTGGGTACGCGGTGTACAAGATCTGGCCTGCGATCCAACCTCGCCTGGCTCAGGCACGGCGGCAGATGGAGCAGCAGCAGGCAGCAGGAGGACAAGGACAAGGAGAGGGAGAGAGACTGAGCAGGAGGCAGGAGAAGCTGAAGAAGAAGCAGGAGAAGTTTGCAGGTAGGCAGTAGTGGTAGACTGGCACTACTCGTAAGTGATCTCTATGTTTTATATCTGTTGTTAGCTGCTGGTGACGGCGACAAGAGGTGCTTACTTAGACGATACCCAGTTGCTGAAAAGGGTCCATCCAAAAGCTAGCAAAGCACTGACTACAGCAGTGATGACATGGGCGGCCACCCTTTGTCCATCTGTCCTGAGGTTGAGGTACCATGCGACAAGGGTGGCTAACCATCCTTGTGGCTGCTGTTGGCTGCTGTTGGGTTTGAGGAGCAGCAGCCACAAGGATGGTCAGCCACCCTTGTCTCCTGGTTCATCAACCCCAGGACAACTGGACAAAGGGTGGCCGCCCACGTCTGCTCTGCAATTGTTGGGGCCTTAATCGCTTTCGGATTAAACCTGTTCTCCAATTGGGTCTCTGACAAGTAAGCACCTCTTGTCACCGTCACCAGCAGCCCTCAGCAACGGCGCCATCTGGAGGTCGGCATGGAGCAATCAGGTGGAGTTTATCATCGTTAGGGTGTTGCTGCTGCTGTTGTAGTTGCTGCGAGGTTGTGTGGTTTGAGGGTCAGGAGGAGTTGGGTCAGTCGACTCCTTTTATAGCAGAGGAAGAGCTCACTCAACATCGACAGACAGCGACGAGTGTGCATCCAGCGCAAGAGCAGAAGGGCATTATCTCGGTGCTACATGTGGTCGAAGAGCTGCGATTGTCGGATGCCTCTCTCTTCCTTGGGACTTCGTTCCATGATCATACCCCTCGTGTAACCTGATGTTAGCCATCGCCATACAGTGTTTCCCTGTGCACCGCAAGACTGCAACCTCGATCCACTCACTCTGTCTGCCCGGCGCTGCGTCGCTGCACATCTCGCCATGCCAAGTCGCGAAGGTCACCATGCCTCGGTGTGCATCCAAGCGACTCCATACAACAGCACTGCAGCTGTGCATCGCATCGGGTCGTGTTAGTGGCCTGCCGCCCTCATTGCTCAGCCAGAGGATATGCCGGACACGCCATCGCGTCAATTGAGTGTGCTGCTCAGGCATGCCAGCGTATATAGCAAAGAGACGCACTGCCAAATCGAGGCAGCAAGGAATCGCTCTCCTTGCGCAAACAGGCCTACCATTTCCAGTTGACGACGATGCAGTGTCAGAAAGGAGGAATCGCTCGTCTTGCGCAAAAAGGCCTACCATTTCCAGTTGACGACGATGCAGTGCCAGAAAGGAGGAATCGCTCTTCTTGCGCAAACAGGCCTACCATTTCCAGTTGACGACGATGCAGTGCCAGAAAGGAGCAGACCTGCAAAGCATGGACGGTACTTGGTATGCAAAGGCCGCTTCGCAAATCCTAGCCTGCATGATGGATGGGCAAGCACACTCTGATTCTCTCACAGCGCTGACAGAGAGCATGCAAAAGAAGACTTGTGAGACGTTTTCCGACATGATCGTGCAGAAATGAGCTGATGGGAGCAGCAGCCATCGCAGAATTCTGTCAAATACGCTCGCAAGGAGGCAAGAGGGCGGCTTCACTCTTCTAAAGGACATCTACAGAGCCATTTGTATGCGCTCCATCGAGCACCTCGAAGCGTCTCAGTCGCCATCACTTCATACCGGGTAGCATCTGTGCAGTTGGGTGAATTGAGCACGTTTGTCTTCCTGACCATTGTACGAGCTCGAGAGAGGCACACGCAGCCAGCATGAAAGAGCATAGGGACAGAAGAACACAAGTCACATTCAACGCCCTTCATTTTAGCGCCGCGGCCGTATTAAAGAATCCTCAGACGCAGCAACTTTCGCCAGTCAATCGCCGACCTCACAAGAACAGACTGCTGAACGAGGCCGCTGGACAGAATGAGGCAGTCGGTGGAGACACACCAAGAAGGACTTGCATGTATTGTCACTGCCGGTGCCCGCTGCAGCGCTTAATGTATGGAAGGCGATGTGATGGTGCGTCGAGATCTGGCGTCGATTCCAGCCACGTTTGTGTCACCATGACAGCGGCAGACACAACCGCGACGACGCAATACCAGCAGTTCATGAATATGACCAGATGCCATACCGAGCTCAAAAGACAAATAGATGCCTGCAAATACGTTTCTCTTCCGAGAAGAGACGCTGATATCGAGTGCTGACTATGTCGCATCTTGCTTTCACGACGCGCCTGCTAAACTTCCAAACGCGCACAATGCGCAGATGACAAGGCTACAGCCTGCTTTGTCATGGTCTCCTCAATATGTACGAGCTTGGCGCAAATATGTGGAGCAGGATCCTGCTTACAGGGACGCTTGGGTGAGTCCTCGCGAACTACAGGCGCCCGAAAAGCTTTACTTCTCTCTCATCCACTGGCGCCTGGTTCATGCGCCGACGCTTCCAAAGCTATCCAAAGACGACGCAAAGTATGTCTTCAGCCTTCCGCAAATTCTGGAAGCGCACCTGAAGCTACGTGGTCTCGATCGCGACTCAAGGGCGACGGTATTCTTTTACTTAAAGATAGATACGATCACTGACTGTAGCACGTCAATGATTTTTACTCGACTCAACCGACTTTTGATGAGGCGTCTCTCACTGTCAAACATCTGATAACTGTGATAGAAACTTCAATGAGCGGTGTAGTTGGCATCATCCACCCGGAGCACGACATGCAGCTTAGGGACGAGTTCACGCTCGTGGAGCTATGGTCAGCTTGGCGACTCGAGCACACCTCAGAGTCATTTGCAGACGCGTCGAAGTGGGCCTTCAGACTCATCAATGGACTTGGTAAGCTTGTCATGCTGGTGCGGGCTTGCTAATATCCTCAGCTTACTGGCTCAGACCAATATACGTACCCAAGCACCAGATGGTTGGCAATTCGGCGAAACGTGTGCCACCCGTTTCTTCACCAACCCTCAACTCTTCGATCGGATGTACGCTTCAGTACGTCACGGCCTGGCACAAGTACGCGCTGCTTGATCCCTCTTTCGCTCAACTGCCAATCTCGACTGATCAATTGCCCTTCGAGGAGCTCTTCTTTAGCACTGTACATCTGCGGAGAGATGGATTTTCGAGTCAGATTGCCCTATTGCCGGGCACTACGCACTACAGCTTCGACATCTCACGTGTCTTCCACGAATATATCTTTCCAAGAAACGGGCAACATCATCTGGATGTACATGCTCGAGCAAATGTACTGATCACATTCTGTTGTACCAAGTTTGCTAATTTTAGCGCATTAATGCATTGTGGCGTACTAGGCCTGAGCTTGATGAGTCCTGTTTGACGGTGAGAGACCTTATATCTGCATGCAGCGGACTCCTATCGCAGCAAATCCTTGCGATCATGCATCCAACGCAATTGCTATGCTTTCCGCCAGCTCTGAAGCTTCAAGATTTGTCGAATGCGTGTCACTTTGGGTCAGAAACTGCGCCAAGGTCCGAACCGACACCGATGTGTATGCCCCGATTACGCTTTGTTCTAGGCTCAGAAATGAGTAATATACACTCTCGGCAGCATGCATCGCTGACTACTCCAGATTTGAGAGATGTCGAGAAAGTTGCGATTGACTCTATGGGTTCTGTGACATCGGAAAGCAGCCAGCTGGATCTCCTCGCCCCTTCACCTTATCCAGCCTTGTCGTCCACTTCAAAGAGCTTGCTCGCTATGGAAGATTCGCCTGTACAGATGCGACAGCGCCTTGTGCATTGACAGACAAGATTTCAAGATGGCAAGATGAGAAGATGGATGTCCATGCAGAGTTTCGTACTTCCACAAGCCACTTAGTCACACTGATCAGGTCAACTCTTGATCCTTGCCCCATCGAATGTGAGTCAACATGCATGATTATTCTCGGATGTGAAGTGACTTCAAGTCGCATGGATTGGGATCACGATCACTATGTATGTACTATCAACAAGCTACCTGGGAAACCTGTCGTTAGCTGCCGGTAATTGTGTTGTAGAGATACCTACCTTCCAGATATGCAGTTGACGAACAAAGTAAGGCCTAATAACACAAACACCAATTTGAGCAGGAAAACTGCTGACCACTCTGGGTGTGTGGCAGGTTCGTCGATCGTAGTAAGGATGTATGCCACTGTCCAACGTTGCATTTGCTGTTGCCGCTGTGGATTCGCAAGATTGCGCATCTCCTGTTCAAAGGTTCTCCATTTCTTCTGTTGTGCGTACAGCTGTTGCTAGAGCTGCAGCAGCAGTATCTGCAGTTGATGCGGAAACGCATCCGCTACAACCAGCTCCGGTATAAGCAAGATGCCAACAAAACTGCCTTAAGGCAGCAGCAGTTGCAGGAGCAGCTATTGGCTCAGCAGGAGCGATGGGCCTCCTTCGAGTCCGACATGCGCCAGCTCGCGCACCCAGAATGGGAAGAGCAAGAGCAACAGCAAGAGCAAGCGCAGCGCTGGACATTGTATTACTTCCTCGGCACCATCAGGTCGCCTGCCACAATGCCAGAGTGGTTAGCAGTATGCTTGCTCAAATTGGTCTTTGTATTATTAGGCCTCGCTCTCTTCGTCGGCTGGCTATCTGGAAGGTAGGTACCTCTACATCAGAATCACCGGCAGCTCACAGCATTCTCCTCCGATCTCGCGCGGCTGCAAGTCATCGTCGATCTGGATGTGAAGTGTCTTGGTTCATAGCAGTGCCGTTGTCCGTTGGGTGATTTATTTTTTGGTTGAGTTCCCCCACGCAGCAATTCAACACCCAACAGCCACCACCACCACTGCACTCCATCCTGCATCCTCCCTCGCTGCATCTGTACGCAAGAAGAGCACGCCCATCTGCATTCATACACGCACACAGGCACACTCTCACATCATCACATCCACCACATCTGCACTCGCTCTTCTGGTCTCTCCGTCCTGCTTGCTTACACCACCACCACCACTCCATCGAAGCACGCATCGCAAGACCCGTAGCCATGGATCCCACGCAACTAGCTGCACACTTCTACGGCAGGCAGCGTGTTGATGGCGCAGACACACCACCCTCTCCCGTCAAGGACTTTGTCAGTCACGGCAAAGGGCATACCGTCATCACCAGCATCCTCATTGCAAACAACGGTATCGCAGCCGTCAAGGAAATCAGATCAATCCGGAAATGGTGCTATGATGAATTCAACGATGAGCGCGCCGTACAATTTACCGTCATGGCCACGCCAGAAGATCTAGCAGTCAATGCAGACTATATCCGCATGGCAGACAAGTTTGTCGAAGTACCCGGTGGTAGCAATAATCACAACTACGCCAATGTCGACCTGATTGTCGAGGTTGCCGTTCGCTATAAAGTAGATGCCGTATGGGCAGGATGGTACGGGCCACTTCCAATTGAGCCAGGAAATATCAAAGCTAACGAACCAGGGGCCACGCTTCAGAGAATCCGAAATTGCCAGAAACTTTGGCAGAACACAAGATCGTCTTTATTGGGCCACCAGGATCAGCCATGCGCTCACTAGGTGATAAAATCTCATCCACCATCGTCGCTCAATCTGCACGCGTCCCTTGCATGGGCTGGTCAGGTACGGGTGTTGATGAAGTACAGGTCGATGCACACGGCATAGTCACCGTTGCAGACGACGTCTATGCCAAAGCCTGCACGCACAACGCAAAAGAAGGTCTTGAAAAGGCCATCTCCATTGGCTTTCCCGTCATGATCAAAGCATCTGAAGGCGGCGGTGGCAAAGGTATTCGCAAGGTCGAGGACAGTAAGACATTCCCTGCCTTGTTCGAGCAAGTTCTGGCAGAAGTGCCCGGCTCACCCATCTTTATCATGAAGCTTGCTGGCAATGCGCGCCATCTCGAGGTTCAGCTGCTTGCTGACCAGTACGGCAACAACATCTCCCTCTTCGGTCGAGACTGCTCTGTGCAGCGTCGCCACCAAAAAATCATTGAAGAAGCACCCGTCACGATTGCCAAGCCAGATACATTCACCGCCATGGAAAAGGCAGCCGTGCGTCTTGGTAAATTGGTCGGCTATGTTTCTGCCGGTACTGTCGAGTATCTCTACTCCCACGCAGACGACTCCTTCTACTTCCTGGAGCTCAACCCGAGACTGCAAGTCGAACATCCCACCACCGAAATGGTCACAGGCGTCAACTTGCCTGCTGCACAGCTGCAGATTGCCATGGGTTTGCCACTCCACCGCATCAAGGACATTCGACTCCTCTATGGCCTCGACCCAAAAGCCACCACCGAAATTGACTTTGACTTTTCAAACCCAGAAAGTGAAAAGAGGCAGCGTCGTCCAAAACCAAAAGGTCACACAACTGCCTGTCGCATCACATCGGAAGACCCTGGTGCAGGATTCAAGCCATCGAGTGGTATGCTCACGGACCTCAATTTCCGCTCAAGCAGCAATGTCTGGGGTTACTTCTCCGTTGGTACCTCTGGTGGTATACATCAATTTGCCGATTCGCAATTCGGCCACATTTTTGCCTTTGGTGAAAACCGTAGTGCCAGTCGAAAGAACATGGTTGTTGCACTCAAGGAACTTTCCATTCGTGGTGATTTCAGGACAACGGTGGAATATCTCATCAAATTGCTCGAAACACCGGCCTTTGAAACAAATGCCATTACCACCAATTGGTTGGATGACTTGATCTCCGCAAAACTTACGGCTGAACGACCCGACACAATGATCGCTGTTGTCTGTGGTGCCATTACAAAAGCGCACCTTGCTTCAGAGGAAGGCATGCTCAGTTACCAGACATCTCTCGAAAAGGGTCAAGTACCTGGTCGTGATATCCTCAAAACAGTCTTCCCTGTTGACTTCATCTATGAGGGAGAGCGATTCCGCTTCACAGCAACACGCTCAAGTGTCGACACGTACCATCTCTTCCTCAATGGATCCAAGTGTTCGGTCGGCGTGCGTGCCTTGTCCGATGGTGGACTTCTCATTCTGCTAGATGGCCGTTCACACACCGTCTACTTCCGCGACGAAGTGGGCGCGACGCGTTTGTCAGTGGACTCCAAGACGTGCTTGCTTGAGCAAGAAAATGACCCGACACAGCTGCGTTCGCCGTCTCCGGGAAAGCTTGTACGCTTCCTGGTTGAATCTGGGGAAAATGTCAAGGCTGGCGAGGCGTATGCTGAAGTCGAGGTAATGAAGATGATTATGCCGCTTGTTGCGCAAGAAGACGGTCTCGTGAATCTCATCAAGCAACCGGGTGCAACCCTTGAAGCCGGTGATATTCTAGGTATCCTGGAGCTCGACGATCCATCCCGTGTCAAGCACGCAAAGCCCTTTGAGGGACAATTTCCAGCTTGGAAGCCACCTCAGATTGTGGGTAACAAGCCTGCACAGCGATTCCGTTTGTTGCTCTCCACTTTGCAAAACATCTTGCTCGGCTTTGACAACCAAGTCATCATGTCCAATACCCTCAAGGAACTCATTGAAGTATTGAAGGATGGAGACTTGCCCTTTGGCGAATGGGCAGCGCACCACGCTGCACTCGCCTCCCGTATGCCACACAAACTGGATGCTGCCCTGGGAAGTCTCATCGAAAAGGCACATGCCAAGCACGCCGAGTTTCCCTCAAAACAACTCATCAAGACGTTCGAGGCGTTTCTCACGGAAAATTTGTCTGTCAAGGAAGCCGATTTGTTGAGGGCGGGACTGAAGCCATTGACGGATGTCATGGATGCCTACAAAGATGGCTTGCGCGCGCATGAGCATCAAGTCATTGGTGATTTGCTTGAGCAGTACTGGGACGTTGAGCATCTCTTTGCCGGTCAGGATAACAGAATGGATGACATCTTGCTTCGCCTGCGTGACGAGAACCGTGATGATGTGCGCAAAGTTGTGCAAATCTCTCTGTCGCACTCAAGAATTGGCGCCAAGAACAATCTCGTGTTGGCCTTGCTGGAATTTGTTCGAGCAGCCAAGACGGACATTTCAAAACAGTACGGCGGTGTTCTCAAGAAGCTTGCAGAGCTGGAATCACGCTCTACTGCCAAAGTCGCCCTCAAGGGTCGCGAGATTCTCATTCAGTCTTCGCTGCCATCTGTTCAAGAGCGTGCTGCTCAAATGGAGCACATCCTCAAATCGTCCGTGGTGGAGTCGAGATACGGCGAGCAAGACTGGTCACACCGTTCGCCCAATGAGGAAGTGCTGCGCGAATTGATTGACTCTCGCTTCACAGTCTTCGACGTGCTGCCCATCTTCTTCGCCGCGGCAGACCCTTGGGTTTCGCTTGCTGCGCTTGAAGTATATGTGCGTCGTGCATACAGGGCTTATTCCTTGCATGAGCTCCATTATCACACAGATGGCGAAACACCCTACATGCTCACATGGGACTTCCAGCTTCGCAGTCAAGCATTGCCCGGCGCTGTGACTGGCACACAAACACCCGCAACACCGGCGACACCCAATTCCGCTGGCCGCGACGACTTTGCAGCGCGTGTTGGGCGTGTCATGTCTATCAGTGACCTGTCCTTCTTCAAGAGCGATAGCGAGCCAATTCGCATTGGTGCCATAGTGCCGTGCGCATCCATCGATATGATTGAGGAACAGCTGCCGCGGGCTATTGATGCACTTGGCGCACCTACACGTTCAGCGACAGGCGAATCGCAGCTTGAGTCGGATGATGAGGATGACTTTATGCCTGAGATTGGAGGTCGCTCACCAGGTCGCTCGCCACGCCGTACGCCGAAAACGCAGGATGAACTGACCAATGTGATCAATATCGCCATTCGAGACCGAAGCTTGGATGACGAGCAATTCATTGAGTTTGTCAGGCCCATCATCGATGGCTTACAGGATGAACTCATGTCGCATGGTGTGCGCAGGTTGACCTTCCTCCTTGGTAGGGAGGGTACCTCCTACCCATCCTACTTCACGTTCCGTCACCCTGGTTACTTCAAGGACTCCAACAACATGCAGTACATTGAAGACCAAAGTATTCGCCATATTGAGCCAGCTCTTGCTTTCCAGCTCGAGCTCGGGCGTTTGTCCAACTTCAGGATTACACCGGTTTTCACTGGCAACCACAACGTGCACGTCTACAAGGCAGTGGGCAAGAAGGCGCCAACAGACCAACGCTTCTTCACGCGTGCTATTGTCCGACCTGGGCGTCTCCGAGCCGATATTCCCCCAAGTGAGTACCTCATTTCGGAGACCGATCGTCTCGTCAACGATATTCTCGATGCGATGGAAATTATCGGTACGGAAAACACAGATCTCAACCACATCCACATCTTCTTCACACAGACTTTTGTTGATTTGCGTCCAGATGAGGTGGAGGCTGCGCTCGGTGGCTTTTTGGAGCGATTCGGTAGGCGTCTTTGGCGACTGCGTGTGACTGGTTGCGAGGTGCGCATCGTCTGTACAGACTCTGCCACAGGAATGGCTTTCCCATTGCGTGTCATTATCTCCAATGTCTCTGGCTTTGTTGTTAAGATTGAGCTCTACTCGGAGGTAAAGGACAAGAATGGTCGATGGATTTTCCAAAGCATTGGCCAGACTGGATCCATGCACTTACGACCCATCACAACGCCATACCCAACCAAGGAGTGGCTCCAGCCCAAGCGCTACAAGGCGCATCTCATGGGTACGACCTACCTTTACGATTTCCCGGAGCTGTTTCGTCAAGTCATTCGCAATGAATGGACAGCGATTGCTGCACGCTCTGTGCCAGAAGACCTCTTCACAGCTTGCGAGCTTGTGCTTGATGACCAAGGAGACTTGCAAGAAGTTACACGAGAACCAGGCACCAACACGTGTGGTATGGTTGCTTGGATGTGCTCTGCCAAGACGCCAGAATATCCTAAAGGACGCAAGATGATTCTCATTGCCAACGACATCACCTACAAGATTGGTTCCTTTGGGCCCGTGGAGGATAAGTACTTCCACAAGGCTACTGAACTCGCTCGCAAGCTTGGCATACCGCGTATTTACCTGTCTGCCAACTCGGGAGCACGCATTGGTATGGCAGAAGAACTTATCCCGCTCTTCAACGTTGCCTGGAATGACCCTAGCAATCCAGAAAAGGGCTTCAAATATTTGTACCTGACGCCTGATGTGCACCGCCAATTTGAGCAAGCTGGACGTAAGGAGGTGCTATCTGAAGTCATTCAAGACGAGGGAGAGACACGCTACAAGATCACCACTATCATTGGTGCCGAGGATGGACTTGGTGTGGAGTGTCTGCGTGGATCAGGTCTGATTGCAGGCGCTACGTCACGCGCATACAAGGACATTTTCACTATCACTCTTGTGACGTGTCGTTCAGTTGGCATTGGTGCCTACTTGGTCCGTCTCGGTCAGCGAGCTATCCAGATTGAGGGTCAGCCCATTATTTTGACAGGAGCACCAGCCATCAACAAGGTTCTCGGTCGTGAAGTGTACTCAAGTAACTTGCAACTCGGTGGCACACAGATCATGTACAAGAATGGTGTCTCGCACTTGACTGCCCAGGACGATCTCGCCGGTATCTCGCAAATCATCCGCTGGATCTCATTCGTGCCCGACAAGCGTGGTTCACCGGTACCTATTTCTCAGAATGGCGACACGTGGGACCGCGAAGTCGAGTTTATGCCACCAAAGGGTTCGTATGATGTGCGATCACTCATTGCCGGCAAGGAAGAAGAAAACGGCTTCCAGCACGGTCTCTTCGACAAAGGCTCTTTCCAAGAGACGCTCTCTGGTTGGGCAAAGACTGTTGTTGTCGGACGTGCCCGACTTGGAGGCATACCCGTTGGTGTCATTGGCGTCGAGACGCGAGTCATTGAGAATATCGTCCCTGCTGACCCTGCCAACCCCGATTCGACAGAACAGGTGCTCATGGAAGCCGGCCAGGTGTGGTACCCCAATTCTGCCTTCAAAACTTCCCAAGCCATCAACGACTTCAACCATGGCGAGCAGTTGCCACTCATGATCTTGGCCAACTGGCGCGGATTCTCTGGAGGTCAGCGCGACATGTTCAACGAAGTCCTCAAGTACGGTTCTTATATTGTTGATGCGCTTGTCGGCTACAAGCAGCCTATCTTTGTCTACATCCCACCTCATGCTGAGCTGCGTGGAGGATCTTGGGTCGTGGTGGACCCTACCATCAACGCAGACATGATGGAGATGTATGCTGATGATGAGTCTCGAGCAGGTGTGCTTGAGCCGGAAGGTATTGTTGGTATCAAGTACAGGCGCGACAAGCTACTCGACACTATGGCACGTCTCGACGAGCCATACGGTGCTCTTAGAAAACAATTGGCCAACCCAGAGCTGAGTGCTTCTGAAGCGTCTGAAGTCAAGGTCAAGATGTCGGAGCGCGAAAGCCAGCTGATGCCTGTTTACCAGCAAGTGAGCATTCAGTTTGCTGATTTGCACGACCGTGCCGGCAGGATGAAGGCCAAGGGCACGATTCGCCAGGCACTGCAATGGCGCAACGCCCGTCGCTTCTTCTACTGGCGTCTGCGTCGTAGACTCAACGAGCACTATATGATCAACAAGATGGAAGGCCAGACCAACGCTGCCAAGTCGTCGAAGCTCTTCAAGTGGTACCTCGAGGGAGGTGGTGCAAGCGACTGGGAGAATGACGATCGCGAGATTGCACAGTGGCTTGAACGTGACTCGAAGGCTATTCTCGCGCGTATGGAAGCCGATAATCAAGCTGCCACGGCTGGCGACTTGTTTGAGCGTGTTGCCAAGGGCATGAAGCACAATCGCCCTGCCGTCCTCGAGCATATGACCAAAGCACTCGAGGGCCTGTCTGCGGAGGAGAAGAAGGAGCTCATCTCCAAGCTATCTGCCTAGACGAGATGACAATTGCTATCTAAACGTATTGCTTTATAGACAAACTATTTATGTCCACGCTTGTGACTGTGCAATGTGTGTCAGAGTCGCGTTTGAGAAGTGCAACAAGCACCCGTCAAGCACAAGCACAAGTGACCAGGGAGGCTGCTCATTGCCCAGGCAGCATGTCTGACTGGCGGTCGCGCTCGATGCAGCGTCTGTCCAGCTTTTCAAGACCGGTGCCCTCATCAGAGGAGATACAGGGCGAAGCATCACCGGCAGCTGCACTCGAAGATCCAGAGGACATCCTGGCGCTGCCTCTACCGATAGAAATTTCCAACTCTATTCAAAGCTTTCTCGTCAATTTGACGAGTCCGATACACAAGGCGCCTTTCAATCCAGAGAAGCTGACGGCTATGTTTCAAGATTTCTACAGTGGCACCTTTGATTTGATGCTGGACTTGTTGCCTGAGCCGGGGAAGTTGAAGGGGACCCAGGAGGAGATGTTGACGAAGGAAGCAATGCAAGCGCGTAAAGTAAGACGGGCAGCCTTTGAGGAGAAGCATGCTGCCTGGCGGGAGGATGTTGAGGAACGTGTCTGCCTCGAGATGTATGAGAGTCTCTTTGAGCTACGCACCTCTACAGACGAGCTCAGGGACGAAGCACTCATGTCCAAGATTATTGCCATCAGTTTGATTGGCGTCACTCTTGAACAGCTCGGCGTGCCATTGTCGCGAGAGGAGGTTGATGCGATGCGGCCAACCATTACGCTGGTGGGCGAGAACCTACAGAATCTCAACAATGCCATGACGCCTCGTTCGAAGCTTGATATTCTGCTGCAATGTCACAAGCAGATTGTCGATGAAGTTCAACAAAGCAATTCAGCTGGAGAGGATGTGCACACAAGTGATGTTGCATCACAAATCGCAGAGGCGACGAGCGCTGCGACCACCAACAAGAAGGAGTCGAGCGACACAAAACATCTCGGTGCAGATGCGATATTACCTATCTTCATCTACGCCATCATCAAGTCGAATCCCGCAAAGCTCGTCTCTCACTATGAATTCATCTGCCGCTTCAGGGCGCAAGACTCGCTGACGGGAGAGATGGCTTATTGTCTGACGAATCTTGAAGCTGCTATTGGCTTTCTCGAGACGTTTGAGTTTACAGACGGCCAAGATGCAGGTGATCCACTGACGAGCAGTCTTGGTCCTACATCAAGCTATCAGAACCGCTCAGGCTCTCAAGCTTCGCTTTTGACAGTTGGGAGCGGAGCAAGAGCTTCTGCTGGAGCCCTTTCTGGCAGTCTTCGTGCAAGTGAGCGTGCACGCGCCTTGTCGTCTGCAGCGAATGATGTGTATGAGCTCGCAGATGAACGCATGAAGCAATTCGGTTCTCAGCTTGGGGCGATTGTCTCTAGAGTGAGTGAACACCAGAGCTTGGATGAAGTGCGGCATCTTGTTGGATTGCCAGGCGCAGGCAACGCCAATCCTCGTCCAGCAGCAGACCGACAAAAGTTTGTTGAGATTGAGCAGCGCGTCAAGGCGCGTAAAGCACGAGAAGGGACGAGTACACCGCCACGATCGAGCCGACCTGTGTCGATGATGGAGACGTCGAGTTTGCCAGCATCGTCATCGCCACTCAAGCAAGCACCTGCATCACCAGGAAAGTCTACTTCATCCACCACGCTTGCGTTGCAGACGTCGCCTGCAGCGGGTACTCTCAGCAGATCGAGTGTTTCTGCGACACGGCCGCTTTCAGGATCAGCCAAGGCCGCAGGTGCCGCATCGGCAAGCCGCTTCTCTGGCTTTGGCATGATTCGCAATTTCAGCAACACGTTGGTTGGTCGTGCTCCGGCGCCGACTGCGGAGATGGTACGGCCAAGGGAGATGACGAGCAACGCGACCATTATTGAGCGGCGCTTTCTTGAAATGGAGACTGATGACCTGACGATGAAGGATGTTGCTGTGCTGCTAGCTTCCTACAAGCAGCTTGTCGCTAGTATGGAGACCACCGTTGCAGAACCTGAAGCGTCATTAGAGAAGACTGCGGCCGAGGCATTCCCAGAGACATGAGATTAATGACATGATTATATACATTAAAAGCGACGGCTACGCGTCTTTCAGCAGCTCTGCCGCTGCCTGCAGCTCATCCACTGAACCAATTTTACCAAGAGCCGCCAGCTCCTTCTCAAAAGAACCATCCTTGACTGTCTCGAGGAGCACTTTTTGGAGATACTTGCCGCGTTCTGTCACTGGTAAATCAACATTGACTTGCTCGGCCAGCGCCAGCGTCTCTGCCAGTAGTTTCTCAAGCGCCTGCGCTTGATCTTTGACGAGGTCTTGTGATTGTTGCAGTGGCGCTACGCCGTACTCGACCGGTTTCTCATGTAGAAAGGCGAGACGCTGTGCGTGTGCTTGAATCAATGCTTGTTTGCGTGCGAGGTGTGCGCGTTCGCGTTGAAGCAAGGCTTTGACTTTACATGAAGCGGCATACGCTTTACGTGTGCGTGCTAGCTCTTCATCGAGCTCTGCACATTCTCCCGCGGCTGCTGCACCGAATTGAGCGTGCTCGTGATGCGCTAGCCGTATCCATGGCAGTACGTCTTGTGGTATATTGACGATATTTCGGAGGAGGTAGAGTTCCATTGCGTCAAAGTTGCGATCGACACTTGATTCTAGGAGCGTCTCAAACTTGTGTATGCCTGCTTCGGCTTCTTCATCTGGCAGGACTGTGGGTGGTAGGGACTGAAACAGCTGTTCGAGAGCATTGACTGCTTTGTAGAGGAGGGCATTGGCTGTATTGATGATGTCGTCTACGAGGGACAAGGGAGCGAAGGTGAGGTGCTCGCTGATGAGCTCCTCCTGCTCAGGGAAGGAGGCCATGCGCTGTCTCTGTCGCTTGGAGGATGCCTGTATACTGAGAGTGCTGCTGCTGTTCAACTGCTGAGTCGCATCACAACAAACAAACAGAATAAAAACAACACAGCACAACAACACAACAGACCCAGAATCCTGATGAGCAGCGCCCGCCCACAAACTTATAAGCAGGCGCAACCACCCCCCAACTCATCCACAACCACACACACACAAGTCTAAACAACTACCAACACTACTACAAACATGTCTGGACGTGGAAAAGGAGGAAAGGGACTGGGCAAGGGAGGAGCCAAGCGTCACCGCAAGATCCTGCGTGACAACATCCAGGGCATCACCAAGCCTGCTATTCGTCGTCTTGCCCGTCGTGGCGGTGTCAAGCGTATCTCTGGTCTCATCTACGAGGAGACACGCGGTGTTCTCAAGACTTTCCTCGAGGGCGTCATTCGGGATGCAGTTACCTACACAGAGCACGCCAAGCGCAAGACTGTCACCTCGCTCGATGTGGTGTACGCACTCAAACGTCAAGGCAGGACCATCTACGGTTTCGGTGGCTAGAGCACTCGCTCAAATGTTGGAGTCTTGTTCCTCTCTCAAAGCGTCAGCGTTGTACAGAATCCCATTGTAAATACTGCATCCATCTCTCTTGCTCTTGTTTGCCCTGTCCACTACTCCTGCTGTCTATTTGCGACCGTTTGACTTTGATTGCGCTCCGTACATCTACGCTCTTTTGATGCGCTCTTCATGCAAGCTAATCCTCCTCCCTCATGGCCTCTTGGTTCATGCCGAGCCATGTCCTGCTGGATGAGACCATCACCCTCAAGCCAGCTGATCCTACTAGCTTGACCTATGCACCGCTTTCTGGCTACCTGCCTCTCATCTTTGGCACCATCACGCTGCTCTCTACGGAAGCCAATGAGCCGCTTTCTATGCATGTCAAAGTCTATGGTACAGCGCTTCTCTGTATGCCTTCTAATGACGAGAGACACGCTAATAAGCTAGTGAAAGAGCATATCCGACTACGCCAGCGAGGCGGCGACGTCGCACTGGGAGTTGGCGGCTTGAGTCTCTGCCAGTCTCTACGGCTCTTCAGGATTCAAGTAGACGTGACGATTCGTATCCCAAAAAGCACCACCCACCTCAGCATTTCGTGTGGTCCACTTTCTGTGCGTGTGCAGAGTGCACATATGCCAAACGGCACACTCACCATTGCTGCCCAGGAGGGTAGTACCATTGCCGTTGAGCAAGTCACGGCACATACACTCAGCGTCTCCACCCAAGCAGGCTCGCTAACATTCAACAGCAAGGGAGACGTCGAAGTAACAGACACGATTGAAGCCAGGACCAAAAGTGGTCATCTGAATGCTCATGGCGCCCTCTATGCCCAAACCATCCGTTTCACTTCCGTGCAATCTGGTTCAATGGATGTACGATGCTCAACGAATGCAAGTCAGGCGTCGCTTGCAACTCGTTCAGGTCATCTCGGTGCTGACATGACCTTTTCTGAAACAGCAGGCAAAACTTGTATCTCTAAATTCTCAACGCGCAGTGGTGCGATGCATGTCAAGTTGCATCACTGGTCAGGTTTGATTCTTGCAGAGAGTCAGAGTGGTGCAGTATCAGTGCGTGGCGTGGATGTGCATAAATCTCACCCAGGTGCTGGCTGGCGATTGGGTGTCGAGGTGCGTCTTGTCAACACAAAAGGGGCACATACTAATGAGTCTAGGATGCGAAAGCAATTTGCTCTTCCCGGTCTGGGGCGATCACCGTCGAGGCCAGTGCTGAATAGCTGAGTTCCAACGAAGGACACAATGAGATGCGGTCATCTGCATTGCATCTCATTGGCTTGTGGCCAATACTCTTGTGCCCGTGCTTGCCTGCAAGGAGCACAAACAACCAAGAGATTGCCAGTTACACAATACACTCATTATGAAATTGACCCCAAGGACCATGAGAGGCTTCAAGAATGTGCACAGCCATGCACAAGTCAGTCGGTGGTGCTTACACCGCCAGGGGTAGCTTGACGGCACGGTGGGTAAAAATAGCAAAGCAACAACTTCATGATTTCGAGTACAAGCTGCTCTTGATGGTGATATGGTAGAAATACATGCTAGTCATACAAAGCTGAGCATAATATGCCACCGCGTCATCTTTGCATGTTTAGCTCAACAGAACAATGGATCTGCCTCACAGCAGAGCACTCGGTTCCAAACGGCGTGGTTTTGGGCTGCGGCTCGGTGTCGGTGGTGACTGCCTGCCACTTGTCGGACGACTCGCATCCTCTGCACTCAACAAGTCAGCCACACGCATACCACCTGGGCGATGCGCAAATGTTGGTTGGAAACGACCCCTGGGACTGTCTTCAGATGACGTGTCCCGGTCTGCATCGTTGGCATAATCGAGGCCTTCCAATTTACGCTTCTTCTCAGACAAGGGCTCGTCGAGATCGCGCATATGGCTGAGACTGCTGCTGTTGGGTCGTGTGTGCAGGGATGCTGGGAACTGCGCGGGGCTCATAAGACCGGTTGAAGGTCTCGTTAATAAAGCGTCTTGATGGCTGTCATTGCTGTGCTGGCTGCTCTCCAGGGCGCTTGCTGCATTACTCAAGACATCGAGACCTAGCTCCTGTTGTCGAAGGCGAGCAGGCTGATTGTCGCTGAAACGCATGGCAGATGTACGGTGCTCGAGCAGTTGCGCTTGCAGGTGGTTGATTTCAAATTGCTGGCGATGGTTGGCCTCGGCGAGCTCAAGACAGCGTCGCTTAGCCTTACGATGGCGGCCTCGAAAGAGGGCTGCTTCATCTTCTGCCTGGTGCGCCTCTTGCTGCTCAAGGCGAGCAAGCAGCATGTGCTTTTCACTGAGCACAAGCTCATCCTCGACCTGCTGTCGTTTGTCAAACTCATCCATACTCTGGCTGAGCAGCTCAAACTGGAAGCGAAAGTGCGCCGAGCTCGTTCGCGCTTGGCGCAGCGAGGCACGCAATCCCTGTATGCGTGAAAGTGCTCCATTGAGCTCATGTTAGCCTTGTCAATACATGTTCACAGAAGCATACCAAACGTCGGGCTTCTTCATCAGACAGCGAATGAACGCGGGCCTCTGTCAAAGTCTCCCACCCTTCGAGCTCATTATCGAGATTGATGGCGGCAGCGTCAATGAGCGCCTGCGACTGCGCTGGTCGGTGTCGCGGTGCCTCTGGTGTGCATGGCGTTGGATTCTGCCTGGGCGATGATGCGCGCTCTGGCGTACGGCACTCGGACATGCTTGCGACGGGCAAAGGAGTCGCTCTTGTGTTGGAGGCGACGAAAAAGAGAAGGGTGTGTCGCAAGGAATGAAAATGCTGTCGCTCGAGTGTCTGGCGGTGACAAATAGGTCGCGACGAGAGCCTCTGCTGCGTACGTGCGTCTGTGCCCTTGCTCTTGACCTGGGCCTGCTGCCTGGCGTGGTGGACTGGTGCTTGTGTCCAGCCTTCTTTCTCGGTTTTCTGTTTCTGCGCGCAAACAAGACTTCCACCAGCGGGAAACACACAGAGTCAGCGGCCGTAGAAGGGCCTGTGTGGAGAAGCTAGTAAGTCAGAGGGGAGAAGAAGGCTGCTTTACAAGGGAGGTCAGCTCAGACTCGCTATATGTCGTGATCCGAGATATCTCTGTCCTGCTCAAGCGACTTGTGCTGCTGGTGGTACAATCGCACTCTTGTGATGAGGAGAAGGAGGCCCATGGGCGCTCGCCTGCATCTTAAAGAGACGCACAAGGTGGGCGATCAGGCCTCAGGCGCAAGTCGGCCCTCTCCTGAATCATAACAAGCGCCCCTGTCGTCGGTGCCGACCATCTGCAGCGCATGTCGCATCCTCGGTCCCTGTGTAGCCATGGAGCACACCCGGAACCAGCACCCACAGATGATGCGGTGCTTCAGGGGCTCATTCTCTGCCTGCTCGCATGAAGATGAGCTACGATAGATCTAGAAGATGACGGCATGGATCGCGATAGATGCACATCCCCGTCAATATAATCTCGTCCCGCTGCAGCTGTCAAATGCTTCATCTCGCTTGCATCTCGCTTCCAACTTCCACCGCAACGGACAGCAAACACATCCAAGACATGTCAAGTTGTCATGATTGTGAATAGTATCTGCTATGTCTGCTGACTATGCATCAAGCTACGCACTGCAAAACGCAAACAGCCCAGCCATATCCACGTACCGCCTGCCACACTTGCGCAAGTAGCTATTTACAAGCAACCGGTAACGCTCAAAGGGCACACGCAACTGCTCAGCATTCACCTTCAGCTGCTGGGCTTGCTCCTCTGACCCAAGTGCAGCCACAGTAGCACCCAACATGGCCTTGTCCACATCGAAGAGATGGTCAAAGTACAGCAGCTGATTGTACAGCATCTTGTCGTTGTACGCATACGCCATCACACCACGACAGCCAGGATCCAAGCAGCGCCGCCCATACACACCGCACTGCTGCGTCCGCGTGCCACACGCAGAATCATCGCATACGAGCCAGTTCTCGTAGTACTGCGAGATGAACTTGCAAATTTGTGCTTGCAGCTGAGCCTCAATGGATGCTGGCTTCAAGGGCTTGCTGCAGCGATGGCATTGCAGGCCCTGTGGTGAAGCCATCAGCGGACATGTCACCAAACCAGCGTATGTCGCTTCGTGAGCACATTCTCGGCATCGCAATCGCAACGGCTCTGCATCGGCGAATCGATCTGCATCAGAGATGGTCGACTCAAACAACGTCAATTCGCGCGCTTGCTGTTCATGCACTTCATGCAACTTGTACTTGTTTGGATCAAGTCCAAGACACTCTGCAATGCGAACACGGTCAGTCCCCTCAATGGGTGCACAAAGACGTTCGAGCGGTGGCAGAATTTGATGCGCAAGGTACCATTCATAGTCAATCTTGAGCTCCGAGTTGGACTTGGTCACATCACCTGCTGGGTAGGCTCGCTCTGCGACATGTCGGTCATCGCCTGGCTCGCCGGTGATGATGTACTGCATCACGTCGTTGACGCGGACTGGATCGCCTTTTGCACGACGCTTGAGGGCCACTTGAACATGCGGCATCGTCTTGCCATTGGGATAAGCTTCAGGCTCTTTACCGAGCTTGTTGAGGATGATGAACTTGCCCTTGGAGAAGTCACCATTGCGCATCTTGCCGCTGAATTCGCGTAGGTAATCGTGAATCTGTTCCACCACAAGCTCTGTCTGCTCACCAGAAAGGATGCGATCGAGACAGTACTGCGACGCTTCCTTTGATAGCATACAATACTCTCTGCGCCGCATATCAAGACCTTTGACTTCCGTCTTGGCGACCAACTTGCCTCGTTCTTCCATCAAGACTAGTGCGGCATACTTCTTCTTGGCATGCAAGAGCATGCGTTGGAAGACATTGTCAATGTCAATCTCCAGTAGTCTGTAGCGCTCGTTGACATTCTTCTTGAACTCATTTCCAATTTTCACGGCGTCTTGGTAGTTATCGACGTTAGTGTTGATCATGACCGAGTCTGTGTCACCATAAATAACTTGCAGCTGCTGATCATCGGCCAGCTCTTTTGTGTTGGTCAAAACTTCACGGCCCTTGAAAGTAGTCAACATGGCAAGCGGCCTTGCATAGAAGCGAGAGCGCGTGTATCCCAGACATCCGTACATAGAGTTGGCAGTCAGCTTGAGTGCTAGTTGCCGAATCTCCCACCCTGCCTTTTGTGCATCCGTAGCGTCCTTCATCTTGAAGAGCTTCTTGACTTCGCGCCGACGCTCAACAAGTGTGGCAATCAGTCGCGGTAGGATACCTTGTGCCACATCGCCTGGCGGTGGATCCGGCACCACTTCTTCTCCAGATGCATCATGCTCGTCAGTGCGGACAACAGTGGTGAAGCAAATGTTGTACTCCTGAATGATGGAAGGGTAGAGCGAATTGAAGTCCATGACAAGGATGAACTTGTCATACAAGCCCTTTTCAGGCTCAAACACGAGTCCTCCCTTGAATTTGTCCTTCTTCTTGCCAGCCGGTGCGTCACCGTCCTCATTCTCCTCGTCCACCGTGGCTTTTTGCTTGCCCCAGGACTTGTCGGGGCAGATGTACTTGTTTTTGTGAAACTCATGCAGGAGAATAAACTCGTTACGCTGAGCGCGTGTACCACTCAAAGTAGCTGCCCAAGAGTTGCCGGCCAAGCAGGTGAGCTGTTTCGATAGCGGGAGAATCTGTACCTGAATAGCAATAGCAGTCTGGTAATACGTGTCCATACTGCAGCGCATTGTGAAATCAAGTAAACCCCTGGCAGTCTCTGTCAATGCGGTTGCCGCCTTTTCATTGTCAACTTCTGGACGCGTAATGCCAAGTTCAAGCTTGCAAATCTCCGTCAACGTCCAGGACTGTGCGCGGATAATGGATCGACCGAGGTCATTGGACAAATCGCACATGAGCCGACCGACAGCAAGTTGCCGCTCTGCGAAAAAGCCAGCTCTGCCAATTGCACGCGGCCATTCTGACCGTTTGTATCGACCGACACGGTGCCATGTTGTGATTTTCTTCTCCTTGAGTCTTGCCAGCAAGACACCAAAGCCAACGGATTCCCAGTCATGTCCAATGACGATATCCGGGTCAGACATGTGCCATCTCGCAATGAAATTGTTGAGCAAAGCTGTTTCGCTGCGCTCGGTGGCGATATTTTGACGTTTCGCCTCACTTTCAAATCCGTTTGGAAAGACATTCGAAGGAGGTCTAACGACCGTGTAGCTCGTGCAAGGCAGCTTATCAGCTGGCATCGGGTTGTCCAAACTGACATTGTTGTATGTTCGTGCACTCGCCACAACGATTTCAGTCTTGTTGTCCTGCTTGTTGAGCACTGTTCTCAACGCAACAGACATGATGGTCATGGGCGGTGAGTCAGGGAGCGCTTCCTTTGCAGGCTCTGATATGGGCGAGACGTGCTCTGGGTCATTGACACCAAACTCAAAGCGCGTCCATGTTGTATTCACGCCAACTTTGAAGTCTGGTTTGCTGATGCGGAGCCAGCACGGTCCAAGGACCCGCCTGAAGAGGACAAATTGCTCAAAGAGTGCAGTATTGGTGCCGAAGACGTGGCTGAAGCATTCTCCTTGCAAATCAATGGGCAGAGTTGAGCCTTTGTAATCATAAAGCACCTTGAGGTAATCACTCTCTGCAGGAATATTGGGCAGCTCAAAGGCGTACTTGCGTGTACTCTTCTTTGCCTTGAATTCTGTGATTTGATGCCTGCTCATGACCGTGGTTACTTCAGCATGCAGGTCAGCCATGGTTACCTCTCTGTCTGGTTCACTCCGCACATGGTCCCGGGGTAGGAAGAAGAGGTTGCGAAGTATTCCGCTGACACGGCAAAAGGCAGAAGCATAAGTGTCTGTGTTGTGGTTGTGTACTTTGCCAAACAAGCACAAGACACCATTGATCTCGAGATAGTCTGTCCAGTAAAAGAGAATGGTGCCATCCTCAAGGACAACGTCAGTTGCATCAAGCTTGCCTACGGGCGCTCTTGCAGGAGATGACTCTATAGTGAGTGTCTTGTTGACATCTTGCCATGCTGTGTCCACGGCATCTGAGCTCGGCACATGTCCAGGGGATGAGACGGGCTCAGCTTTGGGCATAGGTCGTGATGCAGACAAGTTGACGGTCGGTGCGATTTTCCCCTTGAATGCTTGTGGCGCTTTGACTGCAAAATCTTCCTCGTCATCGTCATCTGATAGAGCTTTGTGCTTCCGACTCGCTGCAAGCGTTGTGGGCGAAGACGGTGCGGGTGCATCAGGCATGTCCGTATCGTCCTGTTGCGGTTCCATGCCATGATCGTCATTGTCATAAGATGCACGGGAATTGCCATTCGCGTGGCTAAGTCCGAGAGAGCCATTCATATGGGAAGTAGTGCGTTTGTGCACGGCAGAGCGCAGAGGTGGAGACGCCGCGCGCTTCTTGGCAGGTCTCACTGCTGACTCTGTGTCTCGGGCCTTTCTCCGCGCAGGCACAGCATTGGTAGGCGCGATATGATCAGCCAAGAGGCCTGCCATGAAGTCATTGTCCTGCTCTGTCGTTGTCTATTCTGTGTTAGTCTTGTCTGCCTTGTCGAGCTGAGTGACTGCATACCGCTTTGACTGGCGCTGCTGCAGCTGCTGGCTTCTTGACCAGGTACTTGCTGATCTTGTCGACTGGCGCGTTTTCGTCCTGCCTCTTTCCCTTGCTCTTGGCCTTTGCGCCCTTCTTGCTGTTTTTGCCATTCTGCTGTTCTTCATCTGAACCATACTCTTCTGCGCGTTCCCACTCATCCTGACCGTTGTCCGCATAGCCAATCCCGTCGTCATCCACCACAAAGTCGTCCTTGTCGAGCCTGTCGCGTACGACCTTCCTGTAGCCTTCTTCGTCTACTTCTTCGTAGATGTCCTCTTCTACCTGGTCCTTGTAGCTATCTATACGACGTTTTCCGGCCTGCTTGAGTGCACGGAGTTCTGCAAGTGCATTCTGCTGCTTGGCCCGTCCGGCGCGCGAGGACATGGCTGCTTCGCTTGGTGGAAGTCCGTTTGTGCCTGAGTCGCGTCTGCCCTGTCGCCGTGTCGCTGCCCAACTCAAATTCGCGTTCTCAGACCGCAACCCAAAAGGCAGTCCCAGCAATGGTCAACAACACACAGCACAATTCAGAAATTTGTTTCTTTGAGTGGAAGGGAACATATGGCACAGGAAGAGACTGTCCACGCCCAACTCATATAGATCATGTCCTCCTCTGCGTATGTACTTCCACTAAGATCGCATGGGTGAAGGAGCACAACATACAATGGACGGCGACAGTCCTGCAAATCTGGCCATCTAAGCGACGAGACTGAGCTCACGCCAGTCGTAAAAACAGCATGCATCCCTCACAGGGTGCACTGCGACCTTCTCTCTCTGCGCTTCAGCGGATTGAGTTGTTGGGACACAAGACTCATTTAGAGTCTTTGTCTCTAAACCGAGACTTGCAACCTTGGTCTCCAGCTGGACATCTTGACTGACTGTTCCGCTGGAGGCTCAAGCTAGCTAAAACCCTATATACGCACTCATCTGCGTCTGGGACGTTGTTGCTTGAGACTTGTCTCTGCGACCAATTCTATTCGTCGATGCAGCGTCAGCCCTCGTTGCTGGCTTGTATCAGCGTCCAACGGACCAATCTACAGCGCAGTCCCCCTTCATTGATGACGCTTCCTGCCAATCTCCACTCACACTGGATTTGCGCCCCAACAGATCAATCTTGAAAAGGGATGCAGCTAACAACCCTTCTAGTGCCGTCCTCAACCCTATCCCGGTTCCCGAGTCTATCCTCAAGAAGAGGAAGACCGCCGACCAGGCCAAGACCGACCGTGCCTCTGCTCTCGCCGAGCGCAAGAAGGTGAGTACCTCCTGACCGTCCACAACGATGCAAGAGAATTGGCTAGTGATTACAAAGTGCAATCAGAGTCAGACATGCAGACAACACAACTATAAGTATACCATCTTTCGGGTCTGAAGCGATTCTCTTGCATCCATCGACGCTCATCTGCTATTCAACGAACAACAACTAACAGATTCAGGCATCAAAGTCCAAGCGTGAAGTCATCTTCAAGCGTGCCGAGAAGTATGTTCAGGAGTACCGTCAGGCTGAGCGTGAGGAGATCCGTCTCAAGCGTGCCGCCAAGGTTTCTGGTGACTTCTACGTCCCTGCCGAGCCCAAGCTCGCCTTTGTGATCCGTATCAAGGGTATCAACAAGATTGCGCCTAAGCCTCGCAAGATCATGCAGCTCATGCGTCTCATCCAGATCAACAACGGTGTCTTTGTCAAGCTCACCAAGGCTACATCGCAGATGCTCACACTCATCGAGCCATACGTCGCATACGGCGAACCCAACCTCAAGTCTGTCCGCGAGCTTCTTTACAAGCGCGGATACGGCAAGATCAACGGCCAGCGCATTCCTCTTACCGACAACGCCCTCATCGAGGCATCGCTCGGCAAGTACGGCATCGTGTCCATTGAGGATGTGCTCCACGAGATCTTCACCGTGGGCCCCAATTTCAAGCAGGTCAACAACTTCCTCTGGCCTTTCAAGCTCTCCAACCCTCTTGGCGGCTGGCACGTCAGGAAGATGCGTCACTTCATTGAGGGCGGTGACTTTGGTAACCGTGGTGAGTTCATCAACGAGCTCATCCGCAAGATGAATTAGACATCTCACTGCATATCCTCATTGTCCATAGCGAAGCCTTTACTTATGCATGACAGCTACTGCTTGCTACATCCATGTGGTCACTCGTGATCTGCCTTGAGCTTTGCAATCTTCTCACTTGCCTCTGCTTTCGACAACGACGCATCTTCAGAATCCTTGTTGCCATCCTCCAGCACAGCGAGGTAACGCTGCTGCTTCTCCGTGCTCGGGTCGCTGCTTTCTGTGAGCTTGGTGGCGGGCGTGTCGCTGACGTTGGCACTCGAGTTGCTGTTCGCTCCACCTGCATTGCCTGTGCCACTACCAGACTCCTTCTTCAGCTCTTCAATCTTCATGGATGCACTGCCCTTGTCGAGACTGTCTACATCCACTGCAGCACCCTTTTCAGCGGCAAGTGTCTCGATGAGTGTTTTTTGCTTGCTTGTCATAGGGTCGCCACCTGTTGCCCATGTCTTGGGGTCTGGTACATCAGTCTAGCGGTCAGTGAAGGGTCAGATAGTCGAGTTGCTACATACCATACTTGCTGCTGTTATGTCTTGTGGCACAAAGAGTATCTTCCTGCTCGACGCGTCTTGATCCTCTCAAAGGCCTCATGTCGACGTCATCATACACGAATTGACCTAGACGCGACTTGAGAACAGTGTGCATGGCCATTCAGCGTGTTCTTACAGACCTCATTTGGGCCTAGCCAGACAGTATAGCCATGTGGTCTTGATGAAGTACCAGCATCGGGAAGCTCGTGTCGTGGATGTTTCCTCAGGGGCGAGCGAGTGGTGCGACTCTGGGTCATCCAGCTGGGGTGGTCCTTTTCTCTGCTGAACAGTACAGAGCCATCGATAGATCTTTCGAAGTGCAATGCTCTCTTTGACCACCTAGAATGCCATGAGCGCATGCCATCTTCCGTGGTCCTTGTGTCCCTGTCGCTGTTGAGTCGCGTTGTGGCATCTCGTTGTTTCGACACTCTTCAGTGTCTGGTCGCAGCAGCAGCCCAGGGAGGTCTTCATTGACTCAAGCTGCGGCACTCTCAAGTCCAGAAGAACATGGAGGATCAATTGCGCAAGGTGCTCTCAGGTGGGCATTCACGAAAGCACAAGCAACTCCTGCTAACCAGACAGAGATCGAAGCTCGCGCTGTCAGCTCACAACGCGAACTGACCAGTGTCAAGCAGGCCCTCGTCCAGAAGCAGCGTATCGCCAAGACCATACAGCTCACGCTTGCAGAGATTGACAGTCTGCCGAAAGATACACCATTGTACCAGGGTGTTGGCAAGATGTTTATGCTTGCTGACGAGACGACGCTACAATCGAGGCTGAAGGAGGAGAAGAAATCAACAGAGGATGAAGCAAAGGCGCTTGAGAAGAAGCATGAGTACTTACTCAAGACGTACGAGAATGCGCGGCAACATATACAAGCGGCTATGCAACGTCAAGCGACGTAGTCAGGCGTCAGAAGCAAGTAGCTCGACAGCTGCATATGGGGTATAGGATCACCCCAAAATTGATACAAGCTCTGCTACTCTCGGACTTCCCAGGAAGAGTTATGCTTGAGGCCCCGCAACTTGCCAATAGCAGGCACATGGCCGCATATCGCGACTTGAAAACATTGACGCACTCATACTTCAGCGTTGCGTATTCTAAAGCTTCTCGATGCTTGGCTTTTCAGCTTGGGTAGCTTCAGTCTATGCATCATGCACAAACACAAAGCCTTAGACAATATCATGCATTCCTTGCAACTGACAAGCATATTCTCTCAACTGAACACCACGCAGTGCTCCCTGTAGTGTCCAACGGCCATATCTAGACTCGTTATGCTAGCCTTGCCCGTTCATACGGCGAGGGCTACTGCAGCAGCTCTGTACATGGCAACGTCTTCCTCCGACGGGGTGTAGCTGTCGACATGGACAAATCGCTCATATGCCTTTTCCGCATCAGCAGCGCTCAAGTCTGTCGTCGTCGTCGTGTCAGTGAACTCATCCCATGTCGTTGGATCGTCCGGCCGGCGAGCTCGATCGAGAAATTCTTGATAGATACGCTGATCCGCTTCCTTCGTCACAAGGAGCGAAGCGAGTACCTCTTCCACCTCTTCCATCTTCGGCACTGCTCGAACCGTATCAACCAGTGGCAACACCTTCTCATCCTTTACCACAGGCTCCACGAACCTGCTTGGACTGGCGTGACCTAGCCAACGATGAAGAGACACGGCTGAATGATTGCGGGACTTGTTTGGACGCGGTCCAGCCTTCTCAGAGTCCACCTCTTCCTTCTTTACGACCGTAGCAGGCGAAGGGGCAATGCGAACGACAAAGGGACTTGCATCGAAGGTTTCGTCATGAAACTGTTTTGTACTGAGGTAGCGTGCCGTGGAGTTCATATGGAAGGCGAAAATCTTGTCGATGGAGGAAACAACCCCTGGACGATAGTACTCTTGCCAGTAACGCTCATCTGCACTTGGGAAACGATCACCTCCATCAAGATGGAACCTATCAGTGATGTGCGAGCCTTGTAAGTGCTTGGGAGTCCACCAGAAGCGATAATGGCGGTGGCCTGTCAGGAGTGCAGCGTCGTTGAAATGCAGCTTGTAATCATTCTCCATTTCCCATAGATGCTGATGGCCAGAGAGGGCTCCCGGGACACGGAAGTTGCCGAGGAACAAATTGATGGCATCCTGGCGTTGTGCATCCAGGAATGAGTTATGATAGAATCTCCGAATACTCTCAATCATATCGCGAGAATGACTGGACCATTGGTTGATCTTTCTGTAGGTTTCCATCGTGTTGACCAGATGCGAGCCGCCGTACTGTAATGCGATGGTGTCTCCGTGATCGTGAAACATCTCAATAATCATCGAAACTGCATCACAATCGTATTTGACATCAGCTGGGCTGTTGACAAGACCGAGGGCATGCAGCTGAACTGAAAGAGCGTGTTTTCCAATAACAAATTGCGCCGCATTGGTACGATCCAGGCAGTCTATGCAATTGGTACGAGCGACACCGTGCTGCATGGTCGGGACTGCGCTTGCACAAAAGATGCCGGTGGCGTTGATAGACTCGCAAGCAATGCTCTCAAGGCGTTCAATGACCTCTTCGTCTCTACTTTTTGCAGCCCTCGACATGTCCCAAGCGATATAACGCAGCTTGTGTTCCTTGGGTAGAAATTGATTCAGGTAAGCAATCATTTGATTGAACTCCTGCAGCAACAGCGTCTCGCGCGGTGTTCGTTCGCGCTGCTTGATGAGATTGATGACATAGATGGGGCTCCCATAGCGCTCAAACATGTGGTCGAAATGGAGGGCCGCAGCAGAGAAGAAGGGATCAATTACATTGAGCTCAATGGGGGGCTTTGGGTTGACGCCGTCCACTGGTTGCGACCAATTGAGAGGTATGGAGCCTCTATGCTGCACATAGCTTGTATATTGACCATTGAGCGTGCCGTCCGGGCGATGAAAGGGTGTTGTCATTGCTTCAGACACAATCTGCTCACTCTCGACATCATTGGCAACATAGCCTCGTTCATTGGCACCGCGTTTCAAAAATCTTGCTCCAGCAAAGTGGCGGGAGCGACGAGCAATGAGTGTAACATAGACTGGCTTACCAAAAATCATCAATTTTGCTTGGTCGATGAAGCCGTGTATAAGGGGCACACACCAATTGGAGTGCTGTCGAATGGTGGCAAATGCCATATGGAGCAAGTGATGATTCCAAACAAACATCTCGTTGTAATTGCCCATGAGATGCTCCTGATGGACGGCGCTGTTGGTGAGGTTGTACTGCAGGGTGTGCGTGATGTCGTAGGTATTCGAGTAGTAGAATGTCTTGTTGATCTCCATGCTCTGCCAGATAGCAAGGTAGCGTGCTTCTTCAGCTGCGTTACGATCGCGTTTCTTGTGCTGAATGACTGAGTGCAGCGGAATCAGCTTTGTATTTTCCACATGATAGATGTAGTGTCCGCCAAGCAAGGCGACAATCGATCTTTTCGTGATGACGGAGATGTAGAAGTTTGCAGTGAAGCGAATCAAGCCAATGATGCCACAGCATGTCAGGATCTTGGTCAAGCCACCGGTTGACGCATTTCCACTGTCTAGCGCGACAAGCAGTTCATTGATCTGGGCTTTTGAGTAGGTCGCGTCGTCTTCTACAAGAAGAAAGCGATCTTCTTCGACTGTTCTATCAATCTTGAGGACAGAGAAGTGCTGTTCATCTTGAGTACATCCTATGATGTAGTAGCGTGTGGCTGTCTCGTAGAGTCTGACACTTGTCAGGCACTGCAGCTGGTTCATGATGTGGTGAACTAGCAGCAGTATGGGATCAGCGCAAGTGGCTTGTTAAAATAGCGGATGCAAGGGAGAGCATCATACGCAATGAGCAGCTCTCTCCTCTATCTAGCTAGCCTGTGGTCATGAAGCGTGTTCCTGGACTTGTTTGTGGTCAGAATCCGATGTCTGGTGAGTGAGTCCTGCACACGTGAAATTCGAGCAGAAGGAGGAAAAGAATACAGAGAAGAGAATCAGAGCAACAGAGCGCAGTCAAGTGCAGAAGAGGCAGATTCCTGGCAGAAGCAGCAGCAGCAGCACAGAGCAAAGGAAGGCCCATCGATTGCAGCGAGCACCAGCAGCAGCAGAACCACAGTTACAAAGCAACGGCCACAGCACCAGGGCAAAGGCGCGGCCCGTGAATATCCAGCATAACACAGCACACAGACACACGCACAAGCAGCCGTCGCGAAACAGGTGCAAGTGCTGCTCTGCGAGTAAATCCCAGCGCGTCTTTGGGAGCAACGAGCGATGGGGAACAAACAGGTAACACGAGCTGAGGCCCAGAGAGAGACACAGGGCTAACCACATGTGCACAAACAGACAGAGGACTCAGACATCGAGCGCACACCCGAGTATGCCGCATTCATGCGCACACTCGAGCTATACCACGCACAGCGCGGAACACACCTCACAAAGGAACCCGCCCTCGGCCCGCGCCGCATCTCCCTGCTGAAGCTCTACAAGCGCATCATCGCACTCGGCGGGTATGATGTCGTGTCAGATACGCCCATGCTGTGGAAAAAGGTCGCAGCAGAGTACAATGTGCCGCCCATGTCCAATGCAGGCATGCCGGGCTACCTGCTCAAGACCATGTACTACAAGAACCTCGCGTATGACAACCTGCTCCCTTTGACTGCATGCTGACACACCGTCCAGGGCCTTTGAGATTGAGACACACCGCAAGATGCAAGCTCCACCGCCAGAGAGACTGGAGAGCTTGACGGCACGAGGTGGAGCCATCATGCGAAGACCGAGTATGGACAATCCCTTCGCGGCTCGTATGATCAAAGACTAACAGCTAGATGTCATCAACACACCCTCGCCCAAATCGCCCTCCTCTGGCAACCACCTGCCTGCTCACCATGCCCAGCGGCCTCGAGCGCCCCCGGGAGCTCGCACCTCGTTACAGCACCAGCTCTTGGCATCCCAACAACAGCAACAGCAGCAGCAAGTCACCTCCATGCAAAACTTTCAGCAGATAGGCCAACAGCTATTGCAACAACAGCAACAGCAGCAACAGCAACAACAACAAGGTCAGTTCAATAGCAACAATTCCAGTCGATCTCGCCTGCCGCTCACTGCAACGCCAACGCCCGCCACGCAACCTCGCGTCGTCACACCGGCAGAGGCAGCGTGGTTTGAGCGCGATGGACCCTTCATCAAGCCTATCATGCCTGCCACTGCGGGCCAATTTGCTTGCACAACACTGCAGCCAGAACAAAAAAATGCTCTACAGCCATTCATCTCAAGGCACATTGAGCTCAGACCTCCAAAAGAACGCATTGAGGGCCGCCTCTCTTCCCAGCAGCTCGCACGCATCACCATGGCCCTCAAGAGCTCCATCCCAGATGAAATGGCGTGTGCCCTGAAAGATCTTGTCCGTTCAAGTTATGAACAAGGAGACGAAATGTCACTCGAGCGTACACCAGGTCTTGCTGAAGCACTCATGGCCATTTTCGAACAGGGCGTCCAGAAAATTTGCTCTGACAGTCTCCTCTCCGAGCCTTCAGCCAAGCGTGTCAAACGACAGAGTGAATATTTTGCGCATCGCGCTCAAGATAAAGCACCATACTTTCTCGAGGCTGCTCTCGTTCTACGCAATGCGAGTCTGCAAGTTGACAATGCAAAGTTCATCTGCAGATTGCCACAGGCAGTTCACGTCTTTGTTCAGGCTTTGTCGTTGCCGATTACATCTGCCACCATTGAACTCAGGCTTTATTGCATGGACATGATTGAAGCTGGCGTTCAAGTCCTCGGCATTACTACGGAAGGACATCCGTTGTATCGTTCGATTGCTAGTCTGCTGACGTCGGACGACCGTCATGCACTGCTCTTCTCTTTGCGCGTTCTGGCAAAGCTCTCAAACTTTGATGACAACAATCGCTTGCTGCAAGATATCAAGCCTGCCACCATCAGCCGACTGGCTCAGCTTTTGCTCTGCGCAGACGATGAGCTTGTCGTGGCGATTGTTGAATTCGTGTATCAATTCACCACCTACAAGCACAACACAAAAGCACTCGCAAACAATTCAGACACGGCAGAGCTACTACGCAAGGTCCTCAGCTTGACGACCCACGGCGACTATGGCAAAGTATCGGAAATCACAAACCCACAACAAGCAAAGACGCCAGAGGTCCCACCAAATATCCCATCGCTCCCTGAAGAAGTTGTCCAAGAGCTGCTTCAATTTGCTGAACCAGAGAGAGCTATTCACTGGATGAAGACTTGCTACCAAGCGGGATCGACTGGAGATGACGTGACGCAAATATCGCTCTGGACATCATACCGCACGCGCTTTAGCCACTATACCGGCAAGCAGCCATTGTTGCAAGCTGCAGACCTCATCAAAATGGTGAACACAGCCTTCCCAACGGCTGCAGCTATGGTGACACAAGGAGCTGAAGGACAGCGCTTCATCATTCGAGGCATTCGTCCGCGCGAGTCACCCACCACACCGAGCGGCAAAACGTACATGTCATGCAAGTGGATGACGGCCAAGCAAGAACCTGTTGTACCGAGTGGCGTGTCGACTGAAACTTCAACTGCTCAAGTTGATGGCGTGTCGAATGGTGCGCCGACCTCTGTCGCGCCCAGCACGCGTACGGTTTTGGAACCTTGTGGTCAACAATTTGCAAGTACGAATGCACTATACAAACACATTACCCAGGATCACCTACCAAAGGATGGCAGCGCCAAGACGCATTGTTGGCAAGGCTGCCAGAAGTACGCATCAAAGCCAGAAATGGATGTGCGCAAGGTTGCCATTCACGCACGCATCCACCTGCCATCCACTGCAGCGCCAAAGAGTCAACCGGCCAAAGCACAAGCTGTCTTGCGAATCGAATCGCGCTTCACGGCGCATGACGACAAGGGTGAGGCACGCGGTGTTGCTATGCTTGCAACGGCCATCTTGAAGAACTTGGCCAAGGCAGAGCCGACGGTCTTTGACGAGCAAGATGCGTTGCCACAGCGCATTAAAGCTGGGCTCCTATCGAACCTGGCTCTCAACCCTGTTCTGGCCGCACAATCGGCTGATGCCCTTTGCCAGATTCAGAAGTGAGACACTCCCGGCAGTTGTTCCCCTTTTTGCATAGTGAATCCATACCATAGCGAACGTGTATCAAACGTACTTGTCTTCCTGCACCTCGACTTTGAGGGTATACTTGCCTGGCACAACAATGAGGCCGACGTATCGCTTGTCATCTACCATCAGCCCATCAGATCAAGCCTTCTAAAGTTGCCTTACCGCCGCGATACTCCCAGGTGTCGGAGAGGATGACAGATGCGTCTCGGTCTGTACACATGAAATTGCCAACAAAGCTTCTGCCATCGCTGACCGTCATACGGAGAGTCTGATTCAACAAGTCATGAAGAAATGCTTTCGACTCGGCCCTCTCGTTGCTCATGCTGACCATGAGACCGCTGTAGGAGTGCTGCTGGCAGCGATTGCAAGGTCAATATGTTGGAAGAGAAGCTGGCAGTCGCTTGAAAATGACGGTTCGCGCGACAGACACAAAAAGACGGCGCGACCTGGCACAGCTTCTACATCCGTGTCGCACTCACGCCGGTTCTCGCACTTCTGCTTCATAGCACAGGCACGCTGAGCTCGTGGTCTAGAGGATGCAGCCCAAGCGGTCCGCAGAGGAGGCCCTCGCAGAGTCGGCGCCCGCCACGCCTGGAACAAACCCCGGGACACCGTCGCTCAAGAAGCTTTCCATCCCCAAGCTCACCAAGTTGCGCGCGTTTGAGGGATGCAGCAACCTCAAAGATTACGAAATGCAGGAGAAGATTGGAGAGGGCACTTTTGGGTACGCTTGACTGCGACTTTTACAATTCGGCTCTCGCTAACAAGCAGCATCGTACACCGGGCCTGTCATCGCAAGACAAAGCAAGTGGTCGCCTTGAAGCGTATCCTGATGCATAATGAGAAGGATGGCGTATGACAGCAGCCTTGCACTTTCACGACTAACACCAGTTCCCAATCACTGCGCTTCGCGAGATTCGCATCCTCAAAATGCTCAACCACCCAAACGTGGTGCCCTTGACGGACATGACCGTAGAGCGTGGCGACAAGAGCAAAAAGAAGCGCGGCGCGATATACATGGTGACGCCCTATATGGATCACGACCTCAGTGGCCTACTGGAAAATCCAAAGGTCCAATTTACTCCTGCCCAGATCAAGTGCTACATGCAACAGCTTCTGGAAGGGACTGGCTACTTACACAGCGTTCGTCAATCAAATGAAAATGCCCAAATTGACAGTAGATGCATATTCTCCATCGAGACATGAAGGCGGCAAATTTGCTTATCAATAATCAGGGGATCCTGCAAATTGCAGATTTCGGCTTGGCAAGACTGTATGAAGACGAACCAGCGCCAGACAGCGATATGCCCAAGCGTCAATATACAAACTGTGTTGTGACTCGTTGGTACCGACCTCCGGAGTTATTGCTCGGCGAACGCTGCTACACACCTGCAATTGATCTATGGGGTGTAGGATGCGTCATGGGTGAAATCTACCTGGGCAAGCCCATGTTCCAGGGTCGTACCGATGTCGACCAACTAGATCTCATTTTCCGCCTATGTGGAGGACCTACAGAGTCATCTATGCCGGGGTGGACAAATTTGCCTGGATGTGAGGGGGTAAAGAGCTTTGCAGTTCCACCTCGGATATTGGAGAAGGAATATGCGGTGCATGGCATAGAAATGGCGAATCTTCTCGGTTCGCTCCTGACGCTGAATCCTTCGAAGCGTCCTACCGCCACACAAGCCCTCCAAGCAAAGTACTTTTCCTGCGAGCCGCTTCCGGCCGAGGCGGTCGACCTGCCTACGTACGAGTCTTCACACGAGCTGGACAAGAGTGGTTACGCTGCCGCTGCCGCTGCGGCAAAGGCACCTGCAGCTGCTGGGGAGATGGCGAAGGGCGGAAATGGCAATTTGGCAATCAACAAGGATGCCGGCGTGCCTTCAACGTCATGGGCTGACAATGGCAGACCCCAAGGCAACGGTGCCCCTGAGCGTGGACCTCAGCGCGTTCAAGGTCATCAGCGCGATGTGCCGGCACGCAGGCAAGTATCTCAAGGACACGGTTCTACTGAGCGTGACCGCTGGCCGGAGAGGGGGCAAGCCAACAGCGGTGACCGTGACCGCTGGACGAAAGGCGACCGAGACCGACGTGGGCCGCGTGATAGGTATGACAATGGGCGCAACGGTCGAGATCACGACAGATTTCGAGATCAAAACCGCGGTATGGACAGAGGCCGAAGTCATGATCGTGACCGCTACGATAGGAGCCGCGAGCGGCTGCCTGAAGGTGATCATGATCGTCCTGACGCTGGCCCACGGGATCCGCGCGATACACGAGAGCCACGACGTGAGTATCGCAACTTGCTTCTCGCGCGATCTGGTCAGAGAGATGTATGAGAGATCTATTGTATGGATGCATCCTAGCAATGAATGTGACTGTGAAGTGTCCTAGTATGACGATATACATGAACATTGTTCGCGACTTGGTGGACTTGGTCGCATCCTATACGTGCTTTCAAGTGTAGAAGCGAGCCTCTGTATGCGCATAGGGACTAGCGCAGTAACAGGCCTTTACAGAACCCTACCCAGAAATACTTTGCGCAATTAGACCATAGCGCGAAGCATGTCTACAGAAGCAGCGACAAGCAAGGATAAGTACATCTTTACTGGAGACGATCGTGAACAGTACACGAAAGGCGCCCTTGAGATATCTGATGTGAATCTGGAAAACCCCTTCAAGACGTTCCAGTACGTTGATAAACTTGGACAAGCACATGCTGACCAAATAGCCAGTGGTTCGACGAAGCCAAAGCGCAGAAGATCACTGCCGATGCTGTGTGTCTATCTACCGCAGAGATACCCTCGGGTCGCGTCTCCTCGCGCATGGTATTGCTGAAGGAGCTCGATGACACTGGCTTCGTCATGTATGTCTCTCGTCTGCCGCAGTGCTGAGCTAATGAGCAGCTACTCCAACTTTGGCACCTCACGCAAGTCAAGAGACCTCGAATCGAATAACCATGCGTAAAATTCTCTTCGCAGAAGAATGATCTCTGACAGATAGATCACTCTGCTTCTGGTACGAAAAGATGGAACGCTCCGTAAGAGTTGAGGGCACTACTGAACGCTTGACCCCAGCAGTAAGTCAAGTGTACTTTGACACACGGCCCGTAGGCTCTCGCATCGGTGCTTGGGCGAGCCCCCAATCTAAGCATCTGGAAGACAGGTCAGAGTTAGAAGACCTCGTCAAGTCAATCCGCACCAAATTTAGCGCTGATGGGAAGGAAGATAGCGACAAGAGTGTCAAAATACCCGTTCCTGAGTACTGGGGAGGTCTGCGGATCATACCAGAGCGGATCGAGTTTTGGCAAGGACGGGCAAACAGGCAGCACGACCGAGTCTCGCTGGCGAAGAAGGGCTCACGTTGGGAGGCTGAGCGGCTCGCGCCATAGACGATACTAGCCTTCATTATCGGGTCAGTAGAATTCTGCCCACGACTCGATGCTACGCTACACGAATAGACAGTATTGCAAAGCAGCGCTAGCTAGTCCCGTCTATCATTTCAAGGAAGAATGATTGTGCTTGTATACATTAAGAAACCTGTGATGAGATATCTAGCGCTTCGAACTCTTGGCTGTGCCGACGATTGTCTTATTGACTGCCGTGGCAAAGCGGAGACTACAGAGGGTCTCGCTGACATGCTCTTTTGCTGGGCTGATGTTTACGAACATGAGTGTCTTTGAGTTGCCGCCAAGGCTGTACTGTAGGAGGTAAGTCAGCTTCGAATTGCGGTATGGCACATGGGCAGAGTCATTGCCCAGGGCAAGGATCACATCTGCAAGACATGACAGACTCTTGTTGATGGCCTGCGTTTCCTTCAGACGATCACCGACAGCCTGACTGTGATTGAGACGCTCTGAGCCAGCAAGGTCGACCAAGTTGAGCACACCTCGGCTGCGCTCACCCGTGCCCTCATTCTTGCCCTCGAGAGCAAGCATAAAGACAGAATGTGATCGCGAACTGCGCTCGTTTGCAGCTGTCGCGGCGGTGGTACGATTCTTCGCTGCGAGAGCAAGCAATGAGTCGACACCAGACGCGCTGTCGAGCGAGACTGTTGTCAGGCCATCCACAACAGTAGTCTTGCGTTTTTCATCATGTCTGATGTCGAGCTTTCCTGTCGTTGACTTGGAGCTCAGCAAGTCGCGCATGTTTTCGCAGTAGATCTCCAGAAATGATCCTTCAATGGTATACTCCCATCCTTTGCTTTGCAAGTCCGTTGCCGCCTTGTAGATTTGTTCCACAGCTCGCGGAATCATACCATCTTGCGAAGACATTGTGTGCGTCTTGCCCGACCCAGTTTGACCGTACGCGAAGATGGCAACATTGTAGCCGTCCAGTGCAGACTGGACCAATTGCGAAATCTCTGCAAACACATCTGCGTTTTGTGCTTTAGGGGCAAACACCTGATCGTTAGCTGGTGGCGCGAGGGCTTACGAGAATCATATTAGATCAAGTTTGAGTGTTCACCGAGAAGTTCGCTCGAGGTAACCATCTCTTGCAATCGCTTTTGTAATCATCTTCCCTGGATGTGTTCTTACCTTGTCAAACCCAAAGTTGTAGGTCTTGTCTTCCTTGCCGTACAGGCTCATTTCAGCACCACTACTGACAACCTCTACCTCATCTGGCGTATCAGGAATCCGAATAGAGTCCGCAATGGGCTCATGTGGTAGTGCCGGACGCACACGGCAAAAGACTCGAATGTTGCCCTTGAGCTCTTGGATCCGATTGTGCAATACACGCCGCTGTGTTTCTTCGCTGATCAAATTTGCCCGCAACTCAGCCTTCTCTCTGTCGGACTCTGCAAGTGCTTGTATGTGAGCAGCAATCGTTTCCTGCATTGCTAGAGCCTGGGCCCCCATCACATTAATGCGCGCTTGAAGTTCACCGATGGCCTGTTGCAGAGTCATGGAGTCTGTGCTTTGCTCAGCAAGCTTCTCCTCCAAGGCGTGCCAGCCTTTGCTTTGCACTTCCAATTGTCCTTCCAGCTCTTGAATGCGAGAGGAAGCAGTGCTCAATTCTCTGATCTTGTCGGCGATGTCCATGTCCAGGCTCCGCCTCATGGCTTCAGCATCAGCCTGCACACGTCCAATCTGACGCTCACGCTCAAAGACCTTTGACTCGATCTCCCTTACTTTGCACACCGACTCTGCTCGCACACTGTCAAGCTCAATCGCGTGCCTGTTGTCGAGTTGCGCTCGTTGTAACGATGCAAGATGCACTTCGCCACTTAGTCGACCAATTTGTTCATTGGCAAGATCGAATTGAAGTTGTAGGTTTTGGCGTTCTAAGGCGAGGTCGTTGAGCTTTTGACGCTCCGAAGCGAGCTCGGCGGCAATGGCTAAATTCTCCGTCGAGGTTCGAGATGCCTGGGCCAGCTGTTCTTGCTTCATGGTCGTAAAAGCCCTCTCAAGCTCGTCAATTCTGCCTTTTGCGTCTGTTGCACGCCGAATCGGCTTTATCACCGGGGGGCCTTGTGAGGAGCGCAGTCCTGTGATGCTTGGTGGCCGAGTGCTTGCTGCACTTGAGGGCTGGGATCGGACAGAGGGTTGTTTGTTCAAGGGAGCATCTGCTCTGATACCTGTGACGCTACTAGGTCTCATTATCACTTGTCCAGACCGTCCAAGTGTTGTTGATGTTGCAATCGACTTTGTGCGTGTGTGTGTCACTGGTCGTTTTGTGTCCGGCAATGCTGCTGATGGGTACAACACAGGTGCAGCACGCTTTGATGTAGGTGGCACAGTGCGCTTGACCAAATTGAGACGCGACTCTGGCTTGGGCTTGGTGAAAGGTGCAGCAGTGGCTGGCTTTTGCGAGTCCACATTGGGTTCCAGCTGCTCGAGAGGCGCTGTCGTCCGCGTTTCAGGGGCCGATGACATGAGCGCAGCAGGCGATGGCTCCCTTTTGGCAGGAACAGGCAGGAGCGATGTGCTATCTGGCATGAAGGAGCAGTAGCAAGGATGTGTAGGCAGCTGGTTGTTTGAGGACTTGTTTTTGTTTTTGTTTCTGTGGGGCACGTGTCAGGCGCAACGCAGCAACCAGCAACCAGCATGAGTAGTTCAACTGTAGTTGAGGACCCTAGGCTCTCCTCGACTAGCAGCTCTAGTGGCAATACTCTCTTATATCCATCTAGTCATGCTCAGTCATGGCCAATATTACAAGCTTGTGAAAATATCCACTCCTGCACTGAAGACATGCGCTTGTTGCCATACTAGAGGCCTGCACAGTCTTCTGCTACCTCCCAGAGGACGTTCAGCTAGCACATCTGCGTCTGCCAGTCAGACAAAGACCCGGTTCGATACGCTCGCCAAGCAATTGGCAGAAGTTGTCAAAACAACAGGCCCGATCAGTATCGCTGCATACATGCGTCAGTGCTTGACACATCCAGAACTGGGCTACTATACACAACAAACTCCATTTGGCAAGCATGGCGACTTTGTCACCTCACCTGAAGTCTCTCAGATGTTTGGCGAACTCGTTGGTATCTGGTTCGTTACTGAATGGATGGCACTGTCCAAGCCGTCAGTTATCAACCTCATTGAGCTTGGACCCGGCAAGGGCACCTTGCTCGACGATATGCTTCGTGCCGGAGCAAAATTCAAAGCCTTTCTGCAAGCCTTGAAGTGCATACATCTTCTGGAAGCGAGCGACAAGCTACGCGAAATTCAGCATGCCCTGGTCGGCGATGGCAGTCCGATCGACAAAAGCGACGATCTCATTTGGCATGGCAAGTCCAAGTATGGGCCGGGGATCTGCTGGCATGCTGATCTTAGCACAATCCCCAAGGATCTCTCCCATCCTATGATCATTGCTCACGAGTTCTTCGATGCAATGCCAATTCATGCTTTCGAACGCACGGAGAAAGACTGGAAGGAGCTTCTGGTTGACACGAAGAACGTGTCCACCGTAGTGCCGGCTCCAGCAAGTGAGAGCGAAGTAGACCCTTCCTTTCATCTGACTCTGAGCAAATCGCCATCGCCTCATGGTAAAATGCTTCAATCGCCCCGTTTCGAATGCCTCAAGCCGCCAGCTCGCGTTGAAGTCAGTCCAGATTCGATCAACGTGGCGATCAAACTCTCAGAGATCATGGGAGGACAAAATCAGGGCTCGGCACTCATTATTGACTATGGACCGAAAGATACGATTCCAGTCGACACTCTTCGAGGCATCCGAGCGCACAAGATTGTATCACCGTTTATTGACCCAGGCAAGGTCGATCTTTCTGCCGATGTCGATTTCAAGGCTATTGCAGAAGCTTTTCAACAACAAGGTGGCATTTATGCCCATGGCCCAGTGGAGCAAGGTCATTGGCTTCACCGACTTGGTATCGGCGCAAGAGCTACTGTGCTAGCACGAAATGCCAAGATGGAGAGCGACCGAAAGCGGATAGAAGGTGAATACAAGCGCCTGGTGGAAAGTGTCGCTATGGGCAAGGTCTACAAGGTCATGGCCATCACGACACGCGACGTAACCCCCTGCGGCTTCGAGACGGATACCTAGATCTTTACTCCATGTCCATGTCCTCGTCATCAAGATCATGCTTGGCAGCCTTTGTCGAAATTGTCAGGTCGATAACTTCCCTCTCTCTCGCTCTGCCAGTCATTGGCCTGCGAGTCTTGAGTGTCATGCGAGCCTCGAGCGGAACATACTTTGCCATGTCAGTGTTGAAGACAAACATGTAATCATCCTCATGCTGGTCGCGCTTCGCATCGTAGTCTCGTATGCTGTCCAGCCGGTGTACATTATCGGCTGAGGTCGACCGATCATTGGCTTGCCGGATCTGCTCTGCTGTTTCATAGCTTGGGAGGAAGTATGACAAATAATCATCGTCAGCCTCCTCAATAACCTTGGGCAAGATTGCTGCAACATCAAGCCTGAGGTCGGTGTCGTCCATTTTGGAATTACTCTTTGCCCTTGGAGCGGGATTTGTGGCAAATTTGGCATTACACCACTGCTGTTGTATGCTGGGTGTATCTGGAAATACTGGAAAGACTTCCACGGCGCGCAGGTCCTTGCGTGTTGGATGTCGTAGACTCTCGAGCTCGCCTGACGCTGCGGTGAAGGTATCTTCAATGGCAGCAATTTGCTGCAACGGATCAAGTGCAAACTCTAGATCAGCCTGATGACGAGCTGCCTTGTCCTTTTCAGCTTGCTTGATTTTCGCTGCAGATGCAGCATCACTGGAAATATACTGTGTGCGTCGCAAGAAGGAAACATCTGTAGAAAGCTTTTGTTGACCGATATCAGTCTTCAAGAGCGCTCGATCTTTTGGATCCAGCTCTTCAGGCACATCCGGAGCGTACATGGCTGACTCTTCCCCCTCGAAGATACCCGGCAGCAACGACAAATCCATATGCATGCCTAGTTCGGAATCTGCTTCAACTCTGAGAGGCTGTTCCTGGTATAGATTTGACAAGTAAGATGCCGATGTGTACTTTGAGAAATCTGTAGGAAGTGCCAACATCTTGGGCTCGAAAGGTGGTGGTGGCAGAGTGTTCTGATACCGCACTCGCAGGACATAGTCTTGTCGCGCACCTTTGCGCTTGTCGGCCATCACTAATCAGTACTGTGTTTTCAAGCCGTACTGATAAGAATGGAACGAGGCCTGACAATCTCTCGGCGCTGGTGATTGAGCTTTGAAGGGGTGTTCTCGACAAGGATGGTCGTCGTCAGATTGGGTCGCACACGGCGCGCACCCACAAAAACAATCAGAAGTCGCAGCAGAGTCTGAGCAGACACATCGCTCCTGCCTGAGTCCTGGGCCTTTCTGTGTAGTTCGCTCCCCCATCACTTCTTCACCCAGCCAAAGCAACGTGCGTATTGCGAGCTGTGCCTTGGCTGCTCATCAGCACACAAGCTTGTCAGCCACTGTCAGTTTCCAGTGACGCTACAAAGAGCTCCTTGATGTCCGGAAGCGGTTAAATCGCGAATTGAGTAAACTGCAGCTGTCATTTGCAGACGTGACTTTGCGCGACGACACACTCGAACCCAGGACGTGCCTCTCTTGGGTTGCCGCTACAAGTCTATGGGCAGCTCGTCAAGTGCGCTGAAAGATACCTCGCGCAGAAGAAAAGAATCGGCTGCAACTAGCGATGGCGGACAAGTCCTATCTGCTCAGTCGCTGGCTCAATGGAAGCTGCTGCGTGTCATTGGCAAGGGCGCCTTTGGCAAGGTGCGGGTCATTCAAGACAAGAAGGGTGACTACTTTGCGCTCAAGTATATCAACAAGGAGACATGTATAGCGCGTCAGTCTGTGGTCAATGTTCTCCGAGAGCGCGCAATCTTGGCCGGCCTGGATCACCCGCTCGTGGCGAGGCTGTATTACGCTTTTCAAGATGCAGACCATCTCTACTTTGTTTCTGAATTGCTGCTAGGCGGAGATCTTCGCTACCACATCGTCCGTTTCACATTCACAGAAGAAGCTATACGGCATTGGATTGCGGAGATAGCAGCAGCTCTTGCATACGTTCATACTCGAGGCATCGTACATCGCGACGTCAAGCCAGACAATGTGTTGCTCGATGTTGAGGGGCACGCAAAATTGGCTGATTTTAACGTTTCTACTCAAGCACGGCCTGGGAATCTCCCAAAATCTCGCAGTGGTAGTCTTCTCTACATGGCGCCAGAAGTGCATCGTGCGGATGAGTACGACGGCATGGCTGATTATTGGTCGTTAGGAGTGACTTTTTACGAATGCATATATGGCTCACGACCTTTCCATGGCGGCGATGCGAAGGAAGTCATGAACAGAGTGAATTCAGACAAGCCTGCGTTTCCGGAAGTCTCCCCAGCTGTCTCGCGGGAATGCGTGTCTGCACTATCTGCATTACTGCAGATCGAGCCTCGCGAACGCCTCGGCAGCAAGCCATTTGCGCAGCACCCTTTCTTCTCTGCACTGTCATGGAACGCGCTCGAGACAGGAACCTCAGATCCAATTTACAAACCCGCTCCCAAGTCGTTTGATGTTACTTGGGAACTTGAAGACTTGCTCCTCGAAGGGTCACCTCTCGATGCACGCAGGTTTGCCACTCGCAGGGAAGTCTCCAAAAAAGGCACTCAAGTTGATCTGGGTGGGGACGCCGATATGCACGCTTTGTTGAATACGCATTTTGTGGACTATGATCGCTCGTTGGCTCCAAAGAGGGCAGCGGTTGAACCTCTCAGCACACCTGAAGATATGGTGTCCCCTATCGACACACCGATACTGGGTCCTTCGGATTCACTCCAGTCCGGCTTTTTCCCGGCTATACCAGTCGAGTCTGTTAATGAAGTCGACGTGAAAGAGCGCGAGAAGACTAGGAAGAACGGTAAAGGTGATGCCAGGAACTGGCTTTTGCGTGGTAGTCAACGATCGAAGAAGGAGAAGCATTTTGGAGCTGGCATTTTGCATAACAAGCCAGGTGGGCGGATCAGGGTAGTAAAGGGACCGTGAATGACACCACTGGGTTCGTCTTCAAATGTATCATTATTACAAAGGAAGCCTAAGACTAGTGATGCTATTGACGCCCATGCGAGACCAAGACGCTATGCAAAATGATGAATCAATGTTTGGAATTACAAGGCGTACTCACCAGCCGCATCCATTGTAACCAAAGTCGTCGGCGCCCGCCTCAGTAGCGACAGAGACTGATGGCTTCGGCGTCCTCTGGCCGTCCGGCTGACCGGTTGGGAAATCACTGAGCTGTGTCATGTCGTAAGCCGTGTGGCGCCTCTTCAAGACCGCCTGGGCAGCATTATTGGCGTTGGTAGGCTTTTGACGGCGCTCCCAGAGAAGATGCTTGCGTAGAGACTCCGAAAGCTCCGTAGCAAGCATGTTGCGCCGAGTGGTTCGAGGTGAGACAGAGCCCTTGATGTCTGTGGCCGTAGCTGTTGCTGGTGTCATCAATGTGTCGGCCGTGAGGAGTAAATTTGAGCCAGCTATGCGACCTCCTTGCTTGGAAGCAGTCGAGGGTGGCGATGATGCAGCAGAGGGACGTCGCGACTGAGCAATCGCAGGTGAGGAACGTGACTGTGCGTTACTAAGCTTCACAGTCGGATCAGTGAAGAGCGTCGAGAGCAAAGATTTGCGCGAAGCGAGCGAGGGTCGCCGATCTGGTAGAGTTTGCATTTTGTTGAACATATCATTGCCCTCAGAGAAAGAGTTTGCACGCGATTCCGTCACAACAGAGGCCCAATCATCGTCATCCTCCTGACCAGGCTCATCAGACTCCTCGTCACTCATGATGGCAGAGTCCATTGCAGGGCGCCATTGTGCCCTTGAGGGGGCATCGCTATCTTCGTCGCTGTCAAATGGACTCGAGTCATAGCCCGAACCTTGGGCGACAATCTCCTTGAAAGAGCGCTGCTTTTTAGGTGGGGCCACTTCTGGGGTCGAAGCAATATGGGCAGGCGATCTTGCTGAAGCCTTCTTTTTCTTGCTGCGCTTCGTGCCTCGGGCATCGCATTCAACATCTGAGCCAGATGGACTAGAATCGATGAAGAACATTTGTTGCTTCCCCTTCAATCCTGAGCCATCTGTCAACCGCGGGCTCGGGCAAGATCCGTTCAATGGCTTTTTGACAGATACAAGACTCGGGTGAAAGCCATGGACAACACTGCTGGCGCGGCGCAACGCAGAAGAGGAATCCTCTGGTCCAAGCAATAGGGGCGCATTGCGCACCTTGATGCTCAGATAGTCCACCTGCTCTGGTGACTTGTTAGAGCTTTGTTGCGACTGTGACTCTGGTACCGGCACAGAACGGGATTCTGGCTCATTATTAAAAGTCGGTAAAGGCGTATCAGACTTGTCCATGCGCTCTTTCCACTCTTCATTTGAGGGCTCCTGGCCGAACTGGCTAACTAGCTGATGAAAGCGATCTGGAGTGAGGTGCTGCTGTAATTTGAGTCTCTCTTCAGGGCTGCCACATGCAAGCACATCTCGCTCGTCTACCGTGGTGGCTGAGTCGATTGAGGTCGACAGCTGCGGCACAAGACTTGAGCTACAGGTCCGTCCGCGCGTCAAAGACGGACGTGTTCCTTGTTCTGCTGACCGTCGCTGTGACTCCTGCATATCACGGTCGTTAAGCTGGCATTCGCGATACCAGAGGCGCCATGACAGATTCTCCAGACGACGGCCATTCTCAAGGGACTCGGCACACTTTGTGAAAACTTAGTTTTGGTTAGCATTTGTTCTGCCTGAGATGGAACGAGCATACCAGTCCATAGGCTTGAAAGCTGGTCGCAATCTACTCTATCGATCTTGTTGATGTTATTGAAGGCCAGGGATAGCACTGGCTGAGTTGAAAAGGGCATTTTGAGCGTGTCGATGTAGGAAAGGTGAATGGCTGTGCGATTATGAGCCTCGCTTCCGTGCGCTTTCGATGGCAGCTCGGCCTAGGACCAGATTTCGTTGCTATACTGCAGGGATGATGTGCTGGAACACGACAAAGGCGCCGCTGCCGGGAGGGGCAGTGCTTCGTGTTGTATTAGGTGAGGAGCCGAAGAAATGGCTATGACTACACTCTCCTTTGCAGGCGCGTGCTGCTTCTCTGCAGGGTGTACTGAGGGGCGCAACGTACAGCAGTATCAGCGAGAGAGCTAGAGAGACAGGCGAGCAGTGTTGGGATAGGGGAACAGAGAGGAAGGAAGGGCAGATGGGCCGGGTTGTGTCGTTGCGAGCTGTCAGATCTTTCTTGGTCGCCTCCCTCGGCGGATTCGCGGCCAAATTCAGGCTCACTCTCTGACTCTCTCTCTCGCGGCCGCTCTCCAGCCTTCTCTAGAATCTCTCCTGAGACTTCCCCGGAGACCCTATTCGACCGTCACATCCTAAATAAATGAAGGCCCTGTGCTGCAGCCTCTGCAACATACATATCCGGGCCTCATACATCTCATCCCCCCAGTCACATCTACATATCTGCAAGTCTCGCACATAACTGCAGCACAGCTCGAGCTCCGGAAGTTGAGCAGCGGGTAAAGTGGTTTCATCCCGCAGGCATGTGCGCGCTCGGTGTCAGCTGCCCAACTTTTCCCTGTCATCTGACCTCCGCGCTTTGCCGACTACAACACGCAGCCTGACCAAGCTACTGCTGCCAGGCATAGCCCTCGCGACGTCATGATTGATACGCTCATCTCGTTCTTCTTCAGTCTGCTGAGCTTCGTTGGAAAACAATTGCGGGACTATTTGTGCACTGTACAGCATTCATAGAAACTCAAGTACAAATAGATTATTCCGAGATAGCCCACCGGTACGTCGAAGCTATCGAGAACAGGGAGAGCTTTGACCCACAGGCCACATCACGCCGACTGCGCGCTCTTGGAACAGATTGTGTAAATGCTTCTGGATAATCTACGCTAATCAGTACTGACCCTCTTCGCTGCCGGCAATAATGCTATCATCAATTTTCAGCACCATCCTGCAAAGCTGAGTCGCAAGCAGAAGCTGTTGGCGCTTGCCAATGAGGGGGTCAATGACAAACAGCTCGCGCATATCATTCGTGCCGGAAGACAAACAGTCAATACCCAAGCGTGAGTTGTTCTCCTTGATCTGCCGCGACTTTACTGCTGCGAGCGTCTCAATAGGCGAGAGGCCAGAGTTTTCCGCCAACGCAGCAGGTACATCATCCAAAGCGTTTGCGAAGGCACGCATAGCATACTGCTCGATGCCTGGAATCTTGTCCGCTTCATCGGCCACCTTGACCGAGCAAGCCATTTCAGCAGCACCGCCACCATACACGACGCGATTGTCCTTGACCAAGTTGCGCACAACGCACAGAGCATCGTGTAAGGCACGCTTTGCCTCATCAACAATCTATTCTGATTAGCCAGGTACGATAACTGAAATAGGATAAAACATACCATCTTGTTGCTGCCGCGCACGAAGATGGTAACAGCGCGCGGATTAGCGCAGTCTTCGACGACCATCATACGCTCCCTGAGTGTCCCGAACGAAAGTTGTTTGACAGATCCTGCGCGTCCAAGCTTGTCTGCAGTCAAATCCTTGAAACGTGGCACGATGCGACCATTGGTTGCAATAGCAATGAGTTCAATCTCAGGCCCACCTACCCAACGGACAGCTGGCAAATCATTTTGCATCAACAGATGATTCGCTTCATCGTCGAAACCCCACTGGCAGATGACGAGGTTGGCTCCGGTATCCTTGATTTGCGAGATCATCTCTTCAAATTTCTCCTTCTCATAGGTCTGCAGCTTCTTGAACTCTTCAACGGAGGAAATGTCGAGCTTGTGCTTGGTCTTTGGCTTCGGGGGCTCAAATGGACATGTCAAAATGGCAATCTTGGCGTCTTTGACAGAATGAGGCATTTGCGGATGAGAAAAGTCCTTGTCAATGACGACGCCTTTGACGAGGACGGTATCTTCCAGCGAACCTCCGGTCTTGCCATCAACCTTGATGAATTCAAAGTCCACATCCTTTCTTTGCAAGTCCGCCACAGCTAGCACGGCGTCTACAGCAATCTGTGAGAATTGATCATGGGCCTTTGAGACAATCTTGGAGCCGAGACAGGTCTTTGCAGTACGCAACAGATTTGATGTATTGTCCTTTGCAAAAGGAACCTCATCTGCGATAGTCTCGAGGTGCTCGACAGCGATTTGACAAGCCCGGTCAAAGCCATCTGCAATGCGGATAGGATGGATGCCGCGATCAATGAGCTGTTCTGCTTGCTCTAGCAGCGCTCCTGCCAGGACAACGACACCCGTTGTTCCATCACCAATCTCATCGTCTTGTGACTTAGACAGCTGCACAAGAAGCTTCGCAATTTGATGTTCTACATTCATTTGGGCGAGGATCGTAGCTCCATCGTTGGTGATGGTGATATCGCCGTCTGGAGAAATCAGAATCTTGTCCAGTCCACGAGGTCCGAGGGAAGTGCGAATGACAGAGGTGACTGCCTTGGCAGCAGCAATGTGAGACTTGACTGCATCCAAGCCATGGAGCCGTTTTTTCTTGCCTTGGTCACGCACGATGATGAATGGATTGCCATTTTCGTCACGTCTAGCAGCTCATTAGCGGTTGTCATAATTTGAGCGAGTAGCAAGTAGCACGTACGCAACGACTGCGTTTTCCATGCCTGCGGGGAGGCCGTTCATTTAGATCGTCTTGAGGAGGAGTCGACGGCCGGGTAGACGGACAGCAGTGATGTCTTGGAGTGCGACGATGAGCTAGAGACCGGAGATGAATATCGATGTGGTCGACGCGCCTCTGCTGAGTTCTTCCTCGACCGCGCCCAAAATTTCTCTTTCCCTTCACGTGAGGCGCGCGAGGTGAGAGAAGGCCTTCGCGTTCAGGCAGCTGAAATGACGACGACGGCAGCAATCTCTCGCCTTCCTTGCATCGAGTACGAAGCCTCTACGCCTGAGTCTCCTCTGCGGCAGCTTCAGAAGTGAGTGTGTCTGTGGCTCCTGTAAGAGCGCCTGGAACGCGTGCTTCTATTCTTGCCAGTAGGCGTTCATCTCGACTCGCTAGTCTCATGAGCGACTAGGAGGACTAGAGCCGCATGACTTCGCCGGCGGGCTCGAGCAAGGGCGTCAATGCAGGAGCTCTGGTTAGGCTCAACACAGGCGCAAGTGCGTCTGTTCCAACAGGCAAATTGGGCCTGGACCAAGAAACCTTGACACTCGAGGAAGCGCTGAGCAGACTCGAAATTGAGAATCGCCTCAAGGAAGGGGCCGAGAACCTGTTGCAGGTGCTCGATACACGCGTGAAGGAGCGGCCTAGGGAAGCGCGTGATGCTCGACGCCTGCAGGTCATGGAAGAGCTCGATCAAACCAACAACGCCATACAGGCGCTCAAGACGCGTATACACGAGCTGAGTGCACTAAGTCCGTTGTCTGACAAGATCTACAAGCGGCAGCGTAGCGATGACGCGGTGTCCACGAGACCCAAGCTAGCTACGATACGGTCTTACAGTGCATCTGCCTTTCCTGGCCAAGAAAAATCGAGTTCCCCTCTACATTCAGTGAATACAATTGTGGAAGAATTACTCGATGCTACTTCTCCTTCTTCACACATAATCTCGCGCTGTAATGCGCTCATTTCACTGCTGAAACGCGACAAGGAGCTTGCCAAAGACATTCCAGTCGTTGTTCCCAAAGTCTGTGTCCCTCGCTTTTGCTCAGTGGGCAACCCATTCCTCGCTGCAGCAGGCTATAGGCTGGCAAGGTACATCCTTGCGTTGTCCAGTGCTCCTAATCACACCTTCCTGAATTCTGCGCTGGAACGCTGTCTGCTGACCTCGCTCGCCAAGGAAGATCACCATACTCTTGAACGTGAGCAGGCGTTGACGCTGGTTCGCACATTGCTTTTGACCGGCGAGGCGCTACCGCTCAGATTCTCAGGTCTCGTCCGAGCCGTCATTTCCATTTCGGAAGCTGAAGATCGCTTATCCTCACTGGCGACTGAGACATTGACAGAATTGCTCATTTGGGCACCGGGGATTATGCAACAGACCGGAGGCATCTCATCACTGCTGCGATCGCTTGTCGATGGACCGCTGGCTCTGTGCGACGAAATCATCATGGCATTCATGCTGCATTTGGACCGGCCAGATCATCGGCGCTTTATCAAAGAAAGTGATTTGGAAGTTGTCTACAGCTGCTTCACCGAACACTGCAAAGAAGCTCTGTTCAGCGAAGACGCCCTTCTTTCCGCAACAGCCGTTTTGCTGCGGATGTTCAACACATGGCCCGGCCTAGTGGCCACAAGTGCACACAATTTCCGTGGCTTAGCAAGTGTCTTGGAAGCATTGCGTGTCCCGTCAAATAGCATTCGCGATGTCATCCTGGAATTTCTCTTCAGTGTGCTCTCTATTCCAGTCAATAATCTGACCACAACGTTCTTGGCAGGCAGGCGTCTGACAACAATGGGCCGCATCCCCATCTCCGCCAAGGGCTCTTCGGGCGATGCCTCGTCAACGACTGGCAAGGTTAATCGGGGTGCAAATCTGCTCAATCAATTTTCTGCCCTAAAGCTGCATCTATTCTTGCAATTGGGAGTCCTCGATTCTCTTATGGTTGTGGTTGAAGATCTGAATGACGTGCAATCGTCTCGCAAAGCTACGCTGCTTATTGGTGAAATATTGCAACTGGCAAATGTGCTATTGCCCCTGTCTGTCAGCAGAGACCTTCAGTCTCTTAGCAGATTATTTTCAACTGCCACCAGCTTCAGCAATGATGGAAGGCTGCTGGCCACCTCTGCGTTGTACCAGATTGAATCCATCAATCGTACACGCAATAAGACTTCTGTCGCAAAGATTGTCAATTCGGCAGATGCGAGCAGCACGAAACGAGGTCAGCGACAGGTCGAACAGGTCAAGATTAAAATGGGTCTGCAAATCGATGACACCCACTTTCGCAATTTGCTGCTCGACACGCAGGTGTTGAACACGAAGAACTACACCAAGTGGCATTGGGATACATTGACGGAGCTCGTTCAAGGTCCCCTTCTCAATCCCAAGAGGCTTGAAGAAAGTATACGGGCAACCAAGTTTATGAAACGCCTTCTAGCCTTTTACCGGCCATTTACGCATCGCTTTTCAGCGATCAAGAACACAAAACCGAACCAAAAGTATGTGAGGTTTGGCTGCTTGCTGCTTGCAACGCTGCTCGCCAATCCTGAAGGCTTCAAGTATCTGATGGAATCCAAGTTGCTTCGTCAGCTCTCAGAATGCCTCGCACAGCTAGACCCTATGAATCAGGTGCCTGCGGCAGAGGCGCTTTTCTCCGAGGCCAGGTTGAAGGAGACGCTGTGTCATGGCTACTTTGAGATGATTGGTACGCTTACTGCCCATCCGCAGGGTATTGCTATGCTTGAACGTTGGCGCATCTTCACCAGCCTATATCATCTGACGGAGCTGAGATCTCGGAGCGATTTGCTTATAAGCCTTTTGCCGCACATGGACTATTCGTACGAGGGACATCCACGCATCATCCTGAGCAAAGCATTGATGTCTGGCGCCAAAGAGGTCCGTCTTGAGGCCAGTCTCTTGCTTGGGAAATTGACGGAGGAGTTTGACGATAAAACAAGCAAAGTGGCGGATTGGGCGTTGCGGTTATTGACCACGCAATTGTACGATCCATCAACGCAGGTTTGTGAAGTCGCTGTGCGTGTTTTGGAGACAGCTTGCAATTCCAAACACCATCTGGAGCACGTCGTGCAACTGAGACCAGCTCTGGAACACCTGGGTCAGATTGGAGCCCCTCTCTTATTACGGTTTTTGGCTACCAGCGTTGGATTTCATTACCTTCAGGAACTGAGCTACGTGGGCCGAGAGATGGACGACTGGCATCACGTATGAAGACATGCTAAATTACCAGGCTAATATACAGGGCGGGAATGATGAGTACGTCACCTTGATCGAGTCAGTCTTACTCTTGACCGAAGCGCCTGACTTGGTCTCTGTCAAGCCCTCATTCGATGGCCGCATACCGGCGCATTTCTACGGCGAGTTGGCCAAGACAGCCGAGGGCTGCGACTTGCTCGTGACAAAAGGTCACTTTCACCACTACGTTGACAGACTCAGACGACAAGATGCTGACTCATCAGCCGAAGAGGTGCACCATATGAAGGCGGCGCTTTGGGCCATCGGAAACATTGGCGCGACCGAGCGTGGTGCTCCGTTTCTGGACAATTCGCAAGTGGTACATTTCATCGTTCGGATTGCCGAGCAGTCCCCATTTCTTGGACTGCGCGGCACAGCTTACCTCGTCCTTGGGCTGATTAGCAACACCACTGTCGGTGTTCGACTTTTGGAAAAGTCTGGGTGGCAAGGAACGGTAACGCGAATGGGCAATCCGACGGGTGTTTGTGTCCCTCAGACGGCGCGCAGTGTTCTCGAGTTATCGAGCTGGTCCTCTGTGAACGTCAAAAGCGTAGAGAATGATGGCGGCGATATTGGTCTCGATTCTTTGGAAGGCACGCAGCGAGATATTGCCAATGCACTGTGCAATTTGAGCAATCACATCTTGGCCAATGACGCCGCTCGACAGCTTGTTCGGTTTGACTCCTCAATGTGTGAGGGATTGTGCTAATCAGTAGATTGAGACAGCGGCATGCGGACGCCTTCTTCACGAAGAAAATGCTCGACCTGACGTTTGATTTGCTCTCTCGGTATCAGCATCGCCAAGGGGTGCGAAGATTCATGATTCACTTATTTCAACCTGAAAATCTAGCAGACCTGGCGTCTGCCGATGAGTCTTCCACAGAAAAGAGCGTGCAGCTTGGGCGGGCGAGTTCCACCGAGGCCTCTGGCAGCTTGCATTCTCAAAGTCTGCGCACGCTTGAGCGCCGCCGATCGGGCCTTCTTGATGCGAGCAGCAATGCGGGCGATGTTCTTGCGCAGCGGAGGAAGCTCTTCAATGCGCCCCTTGTGCGGAGTCGGCGTTCACAGACCATAGAGTGAGTTAGTGAGTGGATCCATCTGACATGTGACTGCTCTTTGTTGCTTCCCGGTAAACACTCTGCGTCCCATCTGAATTCTACCTCTCCAGGGTTAGGGTCGCCTGAACCTGCCCGGCCAGAAAGTGCGACAAGCCAAAGCGACAAAACTGCAGCACCACCTTCCTCCCTCTCGACAAAGACACGCAAACGACAAGCATGAGCGACGCAAAGGCACAAAACCCCATGCGGGAGCTCAAAATCCAGAAGCTCGTCCTCAACATCTGTGTTGGCGAGTCCGGCGACAGGTTGACCCGTGCTGCAAAGGTGCTCGAGCAGCTCTCTGGTCAGACACCCGTCTACTCAAAGGCGCGATACACAGTCCGAACATTCGGCATCCGTCGTAACGAGAAGATCTCAGTGCACGTAACGATCCGTGGTCCCAAGGCGGAGGAGATTCTTGAGCGTGGCCTCAAGGTTAAGGAGTACGAGCTCAAGAAGTCCAACTTCTCCCAGACCGGCAACTTCGGTTTCGGTATCCAGGAGCACATCGACCTGAACATCAAGTACGACCCGAGCATCGGTATCTACGGAATGGACTTCTACTGTTGCATGGGCCGCCCAGGCAGCCGTGTGGCCATCAAGAAGCAGAAGGGCGGCAAGATTGGCGCCTCACACAAGGTCACCGCCTCAGACTCTATCCGTTGGTTCAAGACCAAGTATGGTATGTCAGTCTTTTTTCAAGGATATCCGCTAACAAGCAGATGGTGTTGTCTTGGCCAAGTAGGCACTCATCGTACCTCATTTTGCATACATTTAGCCAGGACTGATGCTTGCCTATACGCTAGACTCTCATGCTTAGCATTTCCTTTCTCATTCCTTGTGTCTACGATCGCTTTCATCTACGATTTTTGTTTGTCTTTTGCTATCTGTGCTTGGCGCATTCTCAAAAGTACAGCTGATTGGAAAGTCTCATCCGACTGCTGCGGCGTTGACTGACTGCTTGCTGATTTGTCAAAAGCGTACAGGCGTTGTTTCTTGGGTTCAGCCTTCTTATTGTGATTGCCCTCGATATCCCCTTGCATGCTGACATTCGAATCTCTATTGAACGCCCACCCACAAGACTTGAAGCCGATGCCAGGAAACATGTCTGGCGACCCTTGGATAGCAGCAAGCGCGCTGCCAATCTGGTCGAATTCCACCAATGCCGACTGACTCTTGCCTTCTCTTGGTTTGTATACCAGCTCTCGTACTCGACCAAATTGGCCGAACAATTCTTTGAGACTTTCCACGCTGTTTGCTCTTCTTGAGAAGCGAACTTTCAGTGTACGGTCTTCTGAGGTAAAGACTGATTGCAGAGTCGTGTCGACTGCACCCGCAGGGATTGTAGTAGGCTCGGTGACGCTTGACGCAATCCTCTTCGAGGCGAGAGCCGCTCGCAGCTCGGCGCCCTGCTGTACTAGAGTAGCTTGGCGGACGTCATCTTCGTCTCGCTTGCGCTTCCGGTCACCAAGAGACGTCCGTGCTTGCTCTTCGTTTGTTTCCAATGCATTGATCCATGCGCGTCGTTCTCCCTCGATTTTAGCCTTTTGCGCAGCAGCTACTTGGGCAGCTTTGATGGAAGTATCATAGAGCTGTCGTTTCGTCGGGTCCAAGAGCGTATCGATCGCAATGGTAAGAAGATGAAAGCGAGTGGCGGCCTCTACGCTTGGATTCTTGTCAGGATGAAATCGAATCGCCTGTTTACGAAAGGCCTTTTGAAGTTCTTTGTTTGAGGCATCCTGTGAAGCGTCAAGAAGCTCATAGAGATTGAGCTGATCGATTGCTTGCTGTGCAGCCATGGTTGTAAAAGCGCACTGAAAGACTAGGCAGAGGGATATTAATCAGTTGCAGATGATGTTTGAGGGAGCATTCCGTCAAAGGTCTCTGCGATGCAGACTTTCGCTGGTCTCAAGCAGGCGATGCCAGCTCACTCAGAGCGTTTAATAAGCAGAGTGCAAGTGTCCGGGTAGCAAGAAGGCAGAGCAGCGGTTGAAGGAGTGACTTAGTATTAGTTAGTAGACTACCAGAGTAACTAGACTGCATTTGAATCGTGCAGCCGAACGCGTGAGACAAGGATCGATTCCGCTTCCATGACCTAAACGACAAGGCACATAGCTACAACGCTGCGGTGGATCTCTGAGCAGTGACGCCGGCGTCGCATCCTTGCTGAAGCCATACAAGCAGGTTCTTCCTCAATTCCTCGGTCTAACGGGAAATTACACTGCAATCGCGCTTGTCGACATCAAAAGTCCGTGGTCATTTTTCAACATTACGCATGAGTGACCGACCAGACCTCCCACGGCGCAAGTCGAGCGCCAGTGAGAATGATGACGCCCATGTCAAGAAAAGCGGGCACAGGAAGGCCTTTCACGTTGGCGCAGCGACCCGTAATCATACGCGTGTCCCGAGCTATGGCAAGAAATTGAACCAGCTAGGCAAGCTGACGGCTTTGACGGCTAGCGACACAAAGTCTGGCTCGACAGATCAGCTTAAGAATGCCTCACCTCGAGCATCAGGTCTCACTCGATCTGCAAGTCAGAAAAGTCTTAGTAGCCGCAGGAACCAGTCCTCGCAAGAGCTCAAGCGCATACGACACGGGGGAAGTTCTACGCATCTAGCGCCTAATAAAGAGAAAAGAAGTCACGATGAGCCTACGCACAAACAGTCGGGGCAATCATCAGATAATATTGCGCAAGCAGCAAAGGCAAAGTTCTCCATTTCTGGCGATGATGAAGATGAGGATGAGGAAGATGTGAATGATGAGGATGAGATAGAGGAGAAGCCAGGAGAAGGCGAAACGCCAGCGGCGAATGGCTCCGTACAGGCGCAAGATGTTGCGACCAAGGATCGCCTGATCGCTGAACACGATGCAACGCCCGGCCGTATACGCGAACTGAGGCCACCAGATATGGCATTGAAAAGCGAGAGCACATCACCGACGCGTCCTTCCCCGCTTGAGCCTTTTCCTTCTATGATGCAAGGATTGAGTCAGAACAAGCCAACCTCAGGCCTACCTGCGCATGGAGACAGCCCTTTCAAATTGCTGGCTCAGCCTGTCATCAGGCCCGCTGCGCCGATGCTCACGCGCGAAGCCGCTGTTTCCAAAGATATCCGTGCCACTGACCGCATCTCGTCAACCGATGCTCAAGGCGGGAACTCACAGCCCTTGACTTCGAGGTTCCTGGAATCCCCACGGCGTGCGAATGGCTCGCAGAACATGATCGAAGGTTCCATGAGTCGGTCGTACACTGGGATGGAGGCACCTCGCTCACCGAAGCTGCACAAACCAGCTCCTAGCCTGAATGTTGGTGCCACTCAATTAGTCTCCTCTTCTACGCTTGGGACCGGTACTTCCAGAACACAACAGAAGCTTCTGCTTCAACGCGCATCGAGCATTTACAATCTAGATCGCTATGAAGGTGAGCAGTGTGATACTCCGAGCACGCGCTTGTTACACCCAAAGGCTACCAAGGAGATAGAGAGGGTTGGGAAAGAGTATCGAAACGTCTGCCGCTATCGAGCTCCGATCAAAGAGCTGAGCACGCGCATAGGTTTACTCAGTGGGCCGCCGCGGTCACAGAAAACGCTTCCGCTGAGTCGATCGTCAACGGCCCTGCAAGCTGTCGCGAGTGAGAATAAACCTCCGAAAAGCAGCCAATCGCAGGGAGATCTGACACGCGATGCAAGAACGGCAAAGAATGGTCAGTTGGCAGTCAACAGTCCAATCGAAAATGTTCTTGACAGTCTCTGGCAAGATCATCGCGAACCGACGTGACCTTACAATGTCAAATCTTCAAGCTTCCAGATACTTCCTTTCGAGACCGGGGGTGAATTGAGGGGGCTTCCAGGCGACGGGCTGATCGCACGCCGCTTGAACATCGAAGACTAGCTGGTTAGATGGCTTCAGTGAAAGAGACGCATTACATTGCTAAGGGTTAGCGCACGGGCTGCAATCGAAGTGTTGACTCACCTTTCGAATCTTGCGTCCTCTGAATTCTTGCGCTTCTTGTGAGACTTTAGACCTTGTTCCTTGTCGTCTTGCAACGGCGACAATGGCGTCGGGAGACCAAGACGCGGAGAGAGGTCATCGAAAGTAAAGACATCTTCCTCCTGAATAGGCGTTGCTAATATGTCCATAAGAGAATTGGGACCGCGCGCGGCTGATAGACCTGTGGGCTGCGCACCTTTAGTAGTATTAGTATCTCTCGAGGCGGTCATATCCTCAATCATTGAGTCCATGTCTTCTTGGGCTTTGAGCGCGTGCTCCTTGCCCCTCAGGATATTCGCTAGCTTTGCCTCTTTCTGAGCATCCGTGTCGACTGGAGAAGTCTCTTCGCTCAACGATTGTTGTACTCTGGTGAAGGATTTGGGCCGCGGCAAGAGAGCTCCTCGTCTGTAGTTGACATTGCGCACATGTGCAATAGCTGACGGAAGTTCGGCTAAGAAGTTCTTGCGATGTTCTGCGGACTCCAATGGGCTGCCGAGAGTTCCGTCCAAGACTTTGCGAGAATTGAATATGCTCATCGCCTCCGCGGTTGTTTTTGGAGAAGTATATGCCAGGGACAAACGATTAGACCTCAATTTCGCCCCACTGGCCGAACTGAGCCTGCGTCGTCGATGCCGTGAATCGCGAACTTGCAGGCGAGGGACTTCCACGGCTAAATCAGAAGCGCCATTGATTTCTAAGTCTTGCTCGATCGATTCATCAGAAAGACTTCTGTCAGAGTCACTCTCTACATCTGAAAAGGTAGCACCGGGTTCGAGAATATTGTCTGAAGGCGCCGACTGGGATAGGCGCGATGCAGCTGGTGTAGCAGGACTCTCTGCAGATGCCGAAATACTCTGATGAAGCGAAGTACATCGCAATGGTCTGCTAGAGCTTATTTCTCCCGGCAAGCGCGAAGCCATCTTGTCCACAGCGGTGTGCAAGGGAGGCAATATCAGGTCAGGGCAGTTATTTGAATTAAAGCATCCAACACATGCAACACATGAGGTTGTTTCTAAGACAAGCGACGGTCTATCGTCGGATAGGCATCTGGAGAATCTAGCCGTAGCGCCGCAGAGGGAATGAGTGATTCCAGAACTTGGCAATGTTTAGTAGCGTCGTGTCGGTCGTGATTTTGAAATGTGAGCTCCAACCAAAATCCCCAGGTCGGTGGGCAAAAGTCCACCCAGCAGCCAACGCCCGAACGCTCTACGATACGCCTACATGCTCGCTAGCGGCTTATAAAAAGTAGCTACACTTCCAGACACAGTCAGACTTCCTTGAGCGAGCGACTCGCTGACAAAAGCTACAGAGACTCGGGTCGTCCGCTCCACGGCGGCGCTCCACATCGGTTTGCTTCATCGACGAGTACTTTCCTTAGGCTTGTTGTCGCTGTGCAATGCACATTTGGTCCTGCAAAAGACGCTCAGAGATTTCAAGAGCACAATGGGAAGAAGACTTCGCGGGAAAGTTGCTCGAAGTGAAGAGACATACCTGGACGAGGAGCAACAAGTGGAGATCCTCTGCGATCTAGAGCGTCAAGCAGACTCAAAGGGATTTCGATACATCACACTGGCCCTGATTTTCATCATCAGCCTTCTTTTGGCGTTCCTTGCCACTTCAGCGACGATTGCCTTGACGATGCTATCCCTCAGTAGCCTGGCGCTTACTGCTTTTAAAGTGTCCCGACCAAATGAATGCAACGGTCCCTTGTCACGATGGTCCACTCTGCTCAATGCTCTACTCAATGTTGCAATTGTGCTTTCGAAGTTACGTGGCAGTGCATACGTGTGGATGGACGTGCACGTCATGCCGACGTTCATTGTTTTTCTTGCAGGGGTACTACAACATGGCTCGGAGCAGGCAAAAGCATCCCTTGAAGATCTTCAGAGACAACGCTATAAATTGAAGGGTGTGTAGATTTACCCGTCCCTTCCAGTCTGCAAGGAAGTAGTCTGCTGTAATGGTCCTGGTGCAGCTCCAGATGTCATGTACAATCCGAGCGGCCTTCAATACCCAAGCTTTGTAAGAAGCTGATCAACTACACATCCAATTGTCGTAGCGGATCAAATACACAGCCACTCGTCGTAGCGGACCAGGCCTGCAAGTCATGAGAAAGTCTCGCTGGCTTTACTGTGATACTGTATACACGCTCCATCTGAACACAACCCCCAGTTGACGACGTCGATACTCAGTCAATAGCACAGCTGAGCAACATCGCATCGGAAACAACGTTGCAGCACGATGGCTAGTCGGGGAACGCGGAGCAAAGCTGATACAAATGCAGCTATACTCAAGAAGCTCCTCAAAGACTCTGTAAGCTGGAGAAGCATGCGAGCGCATTGCTGACATCAGGGCAATAAGTATTGTTGCGACTGCAAAACAGCGGATCATCCGCGATGGGCTTCATGGAATCTCGGCATCTTCCTGTGCATTCGTTGCTCTGGGATTCATCGAAGCATGGGAACTCACATTTCGCGAGTCAAATCGGTCGACTTGGATGCTTGGACAGATGAGCAGACACAATCAATGATACTTTGGGGCAATACGAAAGCAAACAAGTACTGGGAAGCCAAGTTGGCTAGAGACCATGTCCCATCTGACGGGAAGATCGACAACTTTGTGAAAACCAAGTATGTTTCACGGCGCTGGACATCTCAGCCTGACCGGCCAGACCCCGAGGCTCTAAGCGACGATGAGGGCAATGAGCCGATCCCTACAGCTGTCAAATTACCCGTACAGGAGAACACGACGCGTACTGCACGACCTGCACGGCCTTTCGAAGCTGCAGCGCCACTCTCATCGTTGCTTGACTTTGGCTCGGAGCCTCAGCAGCCCGTGGCAGGTAATGCAGCATCCACGGCACCTCAAGGACAACAAGCAACGCTTGACTTTCAGCAAGAGCCCCCAAAGCCGGATGCAGCAAAGAAGACAAACTTATCCCTCCTCTCCAATGCTGTCCCGGCGACGTCGGCACAAAACAACCGGAATGATCTCAAAATGTCCATTATGTCTCTATATGCCAGTGCACCACGCAATCAAGCCCCATCGAGGAGCGCGCGAAACGAGCCTCATCAAAACGATGCATTCTGTGGTAGTCAACAGACTGCGCCCAGCAGAGATCAAGGTGGTATGAATGACCTGAGTGGTCTTTTCGGTAATGTCAGCTTTGCACCGCCCCTAATGCAGAGTCAAGCCGCACCAAACAATGCCAGAAGCAACTTCGAGTCTCCAGCGCCGTCGGCTGCTGCTCATCCAGCATGGCAGTCGAGTGTGCCCGCGGCATCCGCGACAGACGACTGGGCAAACGGGATTAGTGGAGGACCGTCCACCACAAAAAGTGCGATGTCTTCGACTAAGCAAACATCAGCATTTGACGACCTTTATTCCACAAGTGATGTCTGGAAGTAGACTGATGATGGTGGCAATTCTGCAATGAAGCGGAGACGCAACAACTCAACGACGAAGGCGTCGCACCGCCCAATTTGCCTCTCCATCATATAGAGCTCCTTTATCGCTGTACTAGCTGCCGTGCATGATCTTAGAAGTCCCATCGAGTCCAATTGTCTTGCTGTTTTCGCCATCGCGATCGCGAAATTCAATTGTTCATTCATCGCGTCGCGTCCAACGACACAAATCTCTTTTACAAGTTGGCCGAGTACCACCGCCTGGAATTTCAATTCGACCTAACTTGACATCGGGTCTTGGCGTTTGAGCCACCTTGCCTGGTCTACAAGCGATGACAAGCACCTCAAAGGGCCACCTCAGCCTGGACAGTTGGGTCGATTCTGAGCAGCGCTGCATTTCGTTCAAATACCTTAGCAGATCGCTTGGGATATCAGCCGACACCGCGAAAGGCATGATGATGGAATGGCGAGAACATCATAGGACTGTTTATGCTACGTGGGCCATATCAGGAACCGTTGAATCTGTGTCGCCAGCTCATCTGAGTGCCTCTTCGAGCATCAATATCGGTACAGGCCACAGGAGGTTGGTCTGCCTCGCCACGGACGACACGCTGGAGGCGACTAAGGAGAAGTTCTCGACAATCTCGTCGTGTCACATCTACAGTCTACAACCTGGTCGCGTCTCGAGCCTTGAATCTGTAATCCCTGCGCAGGAAGACGTGAAGCTTGCTTCGGTCCTTTCGGGAAGCGCATTCAGTCGGAAGTGTAGCTCTATTGTACACCACGATGCTCAGGCACTTTTAGAAGATGCACTACCGACTGGTCCCTCTGCCAAAATCCTACCGCCAGCGAGACTCAACGGACCCGTCGCGCCAGCAAGCAAGGCCGGACTTCCCGAAAACACCCATGGCAAAAGATCCGAGCCGAAGACATTAGCAGCAAAGCATACTGGTCCTTCCTCGCTAGCATCTGCTTTCGCCAAGACAGTGAAACCTTTCAAGAAGACTGCAGCGGCAGCCGTCGAAGTCGACGCGATCGTGCCCGTCCCTGTCCAAAACATCATACAAACTACGACTGCTGAACCAGCTCTGGCTGTACGAACTGGCTTGACAAAGGCATTGGCGCAATCGACAAAGTTAAGTGCAGCCCAAGTCAAGAGAGCAGAGGAGCACGATGCGGTCGAGCTGATGATGATGGACGCGGATCATACAACGATAGAGATGGCATCAGCTCAAGATGCGAAGACTGATCAAACATTGGTTGACACTGAAGTCACCTTGAAAGCGGAGCCTGTCGTTGTTGACCAAGACCAAGAGGTCTCAGTTCCAGTAGCTCGACGAGGTCGCAAGAAGGTGAAAAGGCAGATCCACGTCCAAGACGAAAAGGGCTATCTGGTCACCAAAGATGAATGGTATTACGTGTCCTGCTCAGAGGATGAGCTAGCCATGACCAGAGCGATGCCTGTCGCCAGAGTCAAGTCAAAGCCAAAAGCTGCAGGTCAGAAAGCAAAGTCCGGGGGCATTGCTTCTTACTTCACAAAGAAGTAATTTTATCGAAGTAGATCCGGATAACGCTTTTGTATATCAATAATTGCAAGTGCAAACATCGAATTAGCCCTTTCTATTAGCGATAATCGTAAAGTTCAGCAAGGTTGCCTCACCAAGAGAACCACGGTCGAGTGAATTCTTCGTCGTTGGAAACGTTGATGCTTTCATGCATCAATCCGAGACGGCCAGTGTTGCTGACGAGTGTCTCTAGCAGACTGCTTATCTCAGCTTTGTCAACGCTTGTCAAAAGCTGCACGATCAATGACATGGGCCAGATATTTCTCAACGGGGTATGTGGCGAACCGATGCCACTCAATCGTTTGCCTGCCAGATAGTAAGGGTTACCTTGGCGTGATAATATCATCTTCCTCGTAGCGCGATATATTGGATCCTCTTTGTCCAGAAACCCGAGGATCGGTAATGAGAGAAGGGATGGTATATTGGCATCATCCATCACAATACGCCCGCCGTACTGTGTTGTCAGTCAGGCAATAATCGTTTCATACACTTGCCCTACAATCAGCCCTGACTTGAGAACAAATGCGATAGTTACCCGTCGACTTCGTATGCAAGCACTTGACCAAACTCAGGATGTTCGAATACCCCGTGTTCGTAAACCTTCGCGGATCCGGTCAGACATCTGGACAGCACGCGCCGACCAATCTTTCAAATCAGGTACGCCGGATGTATCTGCAGACTGAAGGAGCCTACCAACATGCTTCAATTCGACTGATAGCATCGCGTTGCCTGGTATGAACAAGGGTAGGATGGTTGCGTCGTCGCTGGGACGAAAACTGCTCTTCACCAACTTGCTGCCCTCATTAACAGGATATCCGGCACCATCAAGAGCGAGTGTTTCTGTGGCTTTGTCTGTTTGTCTTTCAAACGCTCATTTGTCAGTCAATCTCTTTGCATCATTACTCACCATAGACAGATTTTGACCAGTGACCATTCTTGTCGAATGATGCCCTTGATTGCTCATCAAATAACCTCATACTCTGTTGTAGCGCACCAGCCCAATCTTGAGTGAAGAGGGCTATGTCTTTTGTCTGCTCAAAGTACTTGCGCGACAGGCGCAAGAATGCAGCCAGCGAGTCAATCTCGTACTTGCATTCGAACACTCGATCAGGATCGTAAGGTGGCCTGACGCGATCATGCTGGCCATTACTGGCTGGCTTGATGCCAGATGATGCAGGTGCTTGGAATGCGTTGCAATACGGAAATGCTTTGATGTATCTCGCTTGAGTTTGAATGGCACCGAGAACCAGCCGTTGTAAAGCATTGTCTTTGCTTGCCAGGTCGAGATATGGTTCGAGTTGGAAAGCACTATCTCTTAGCCACATTGCATTGATGTCCCCCGTGATGACAAAAGTCTCTGGCGCTGATGCATTATGCCACCGTATTGTCGTATCTGCCGCCGAGGCAAAGCAATTCCCAAAAAGGAGAGCCATATCCGGGTCAGCGATGCCAGAGACGACTTGGTCAATGCGGTCTTCAATTGCTTGAGAGACAAATGTGCGACACTCTTCGACTGGACGCTGCGACGGAAGGTGCCGCTTGCCCTCACTATACGGAGGGTGCCCTCGTCGTGCAAAGTCGAGATACTTTGGGCATACAGACAGGGGATGTTGTCTAATCTCTAAGCTTGCGACCGAGTTCAGCTGCACTGTGAAGCTGAGAAGGCCGAGTTGAGCTGGCCGCATTGCAGAATCGACACTACGTTTTTAGTCACCCAAAGCAGTGTTCAAGCTTGACTAGCGTTGTCTTGACGGCCGCAAGACGCGAGCTCATCTCATCTGATGAACTGGCGCAGCTTCCTCGTTCACGTGCGGAGTTTCTCTTCGATAAATTGATGAGGCGAGCAGAAGGGCCCTTGACTTTGGCCTGACAAAAGCCTTTGCGACATACATACAACACATCTGATCAGCTGCACCCGACAAGGCCTTGGCCGCGATATAAAAGTCCTCCGCTGCATGGTGTACCTCAAGAGCTCCATCCTTGCTTCATTCGCGAGAGCCAGCCGTCTGCATGGTCAGCCCTTCTTCACGCAAAATGCGCATAGTGCCAATTCCACTGCGCTGACCCTGGCGAAGCCCAAGCTTGCTTTGGCATCTGAGAGGAGCTTTTTCTCATCTTGGCAAAGCTCGGGTAATAATGCGAGCAATGCTGGTCCTGCTATACCTCAGAACCTACTGCTTGCAGTCTCAAATGACGACGGCCGCGATGTCAATCGGCTATCACGGAGAAGAGCTCTCCTGCCTATGCAAGCGACAAGGCGCTACTCTACAGGCACTCGAGAAGGTGACAGTATTCCTATCGAGGCGATTACAAAAGACCAATCGACCAACGCAAACCAAGATGCCGATGAAGCTCCCAAGATAAGCGACGATCATGCGCCGGTCATCGCCGGCTTCGCCAAAGCCTGCGAAAAAGGAACTCCCTGGCATATTATTGACGAATATGAGCGAGTCATTCAGGCAGGAGAGACTATGAACGTTGCATCTTACGAACTTCTATTCGAAACAATCTTGAAGATTGCAAGCACTCGTTACTCACGAAGAGTTTCGGTCCAGCAGTTGCTTTCTTACTATGCTCAAATGGTCGAGAGGGACATCTCACCAAGCGCCAAGACGTACGAAGCTGTCATGACTGTACTGCTTCAGCACCGTCACGATATAAACGCCCGGGCAAAAGTCGCAGACTCTTTGACTTGGCTCAAAAATACGAAACAAAGGGTTTTCCAGGAATTGGCTTCCACTTCACTCGCTTTTGCTGAAGAAATGGACACTACTGGGACGGCCCTCGAGATATTCCATGCTAGTATCTGCACCCGCAAGCCAAAGTATTCAGATGAAGTCTTGAGACTGTTGCTCGCTGCTTGCGAGGTCGCGGGACGATCTAATGACGCTGTGATTGTATTTGATTACATCACGGCCTCTGGTGTTCAGCGCATCGCATCCATGTACGGCTCGCTCATCTCGACTTTTGCGAAAGCTGGCGATATGGATGGTGCTATCGAATGTTTTAACCAGTACAAATTGGATGTCTCCAACTTGCCTCCGCATGATCCATTCCTAATGTATACCAGGGTCGTCGACGCGTTCTTCAAAGCAGGATTGATCGAGGAAGGACTCGATTTCTTCGACCGTGCGGTCTCTGCGCGAGGGTCATATGCTCGCAGTGTTCACTACGCCCGCATCGTACAGATGTTCCTCAAAATGCAGCAGCCAGAGGCCGCTGAGGACTTCTTGAGGCAGCGCATGCCAACTAGGCTGTACCCAGATGAGGGATTGTGCAGCATGTTGCTTGACGCTGCTGCACGAGACGACATGAAGAAGGCTGATGAATACTACCGACTCATCAAATCTCCTGCTCGAATGATGCAGCCGACCGCAACTGCTGGCGGGTACCTTGTCGCTCTGTGCCGTAATGGACGTCACTCAGAAGCTGCCGACCTCATTCTCGAATGGGCCAGTCACGACGTTCCCATTGGCCTTGCGCAGCTTTCTTATGCAATGTCGTCATTCATCGCTGCTGGTCAGTGTCAGGCAAGTTGTCGTGTCATACATCTTATTGCCAAGCGCAAGTGCGTCAAACAGGATCACTTCACTCCAGAGCGTATCACGATTTGTATGGAGATTCTTTTGTCTGACCTCCAACAAGCCGGCGCCCTGGATCTGACAATGTTTGAAAGATTGCGACCCGCAATCCAGACGCTGCAGTGGATGTTCACGCCAGCTTTGATCCATGATATCTTAGCGAAGCTTTGCACGGTCACTATGCCAGATCAGCTTGCCCAGCACCCACTCCTCTTGGAAGTTGCTCTTCAGCTCGCCGTATCTTACAGCTCACGTCCCGGTGGCAATCAAGCATTAGCGTCGTCCCTGCCAGCCCATTCGCAATTTCTCGTTCAATCTGTCATTGATGCCGAGGATGTTCGCCAAGGCACAGTCAAGCAAAATGACTTGGTTTGCGTGAAAGCACTCGCCGAAGTCCTCGGCTCAGTGGATGCCATCGCTCGACTGGACTCGTTTGCCAAGCGGTCAGTACCGACGCCGCCAGAGTCTGTTGCAGAAGGAACTATTAAGCTGCCCATCCCCAGCGACAATTTCATCTTTGTGCCCGATGGTGACCCATTGATTGACTCCAAAGCAACTCGGAAGATCAAAGCTGTCGTAACGAGCAGAGAGCCCGGCCGCATGCAGGATGATGTCGTCACCAAGGCCCTACAAGCTACCTTTGATTCTCCACAAGAGGGGCATCTCAGCCCATGGCTCATTAGTCTGGTAATCAACGAGCTTGCCAAGGTCGGCAAAGCTTCTATGCTGACAGCACTCATGCCTATGCTGGAAAAGAACCAGGTCGCGCTTGCACGGTCACCAGACTTGCAGGCCGCTGCCAAGGCGCGATTCTACGATGGCCTCGTTGCTCCTTTCTGCGACATGCAGGCACCCTTAAGTGCACGTCAATGTCTCGACCGAGTATGCGAGCTTGGCTTTCGTCCGACAGCCAACTCTTATGGCTCGATGATCGCCAGGCTGGATGCGAGTGCAAGTACTGATACAGCATCCGACGCTCTCGCGCTGTTCCATGAAGCTCTTTCTGTCAGTGTCGTTCCTGACATATACCTGTACAACACGGTCATTGCCAAACTAGCAAGAGCGCGGCATTTCGAAGAGGCTCTTCGACTGTTTCAAGAGCTTAAGCTGAAAGGATTGACTCCGAATGGAGTCACGTACGGTACAATCATCAACGCTTGCTGCCGGGTCGGTAACACTCACTTGGCAGAGTCATTGTTCGAGGAAATGGAACTGGATTCACGCGTCAGCTCGCGCATCGCCCCCTACAACACCTTAATGCAGCACTTTGTCCGAGCTCGAAAGGATCGCCCACGGGCTCTGCACTATTGGAAGCGGCTATTGGCTCAAAACATCCCACCGTCTGTGCACAGCTATCGATTATTGATTGAGGCCTATGGTCAGATCGAGCCAGTCGATGCTGACGGAGTCAAGCGCGTGATGGAACTCATGCGCTCCAACCGGGTCAATATCCAACCTGTCCATCATGCTGCCGTCATCCAAATGTACGGCTCCGCTGGCGATCTCTCTGCGGCGAAGTCCTACTTTGATCAGCTCGACGGCATACCAAACTACAACAGCAGCCCTGTCCTTTATCAAGCTCTGCTGGAAGCTTTTGTGCACAACAAGGATCAAGTCAGCATGGAGCAGCTTGTCAAGAGAATGCAGGAGCAAAACATGGAGCTTGATGCCTATCTTGCCAATGTAGTCATCGAAGGCTACGCGAACGGTGGGCGTCTTGACGAGGCTCGGTCTTTCTTTGATTCACTTGAGGAGGGAACGGGTCCTCAGCATAAAGAGCCGAGCACCTATGCTGCCATGACAAAAGCATACTTGGCGCACGATTGCCATCAAGAGGCGCACACTATTGTCGAGCTTGCTCGCAGGCAACGCTACCCTCCTGCGGTGCTGAATAGGATTGAGGCACTGCTACCGTGACTGCCTGCACCGATATGATGAACATTTAGAAGAATATGTACTTTTAGAAAAACCTCTCCGATCTTCTGCGATGAATGTCATCAAGAATCTCCATAGCGCGCAGCTGTAGGATCTCGAAGCACAAGCTCTGCGATGCGAAGTGCAAATCTTGTGTACTCTTCGAGCTCGGGCGGTGCTCGATGCAGCAGTGAACAACCAGACATGCCCTTGCTTGAATTACGGGAAACAAAGCCAACTATGGACAACGCACATAAAGCAAAGATGATGGTTTTGTGCTTCTGTAGATCTATCTAGAGTTGATGTGGACAGTGGCCACGGCATACGTGCCGGCGGGCTCCAGAGATGCGGCTCACGATAAACCCGAGCCGCCGGCCCATTGCGGGCTCAAATCGATTGATGACGTCTGCGACTGCCACTGGCCCGTACAGTGGTGCGGTGGACCGCCGGTGGTACCAACACGACATGTACAGTGTACTACCGAGACCAAAAATGAGTGTAAAGGGGACGGATCTTTCTGGGCCTCCTATAGCCGATAGCCCGCATTGTCTCCGAGGTCTAATTCTTCTTCTTATGGTTGTACAAGCCATAGCTTCGGAAATTCGACGACCTTCTTTGGCTGACCAGTGACCACGCTGATTAATGTCATACACAGCACCACAACATAAATAGCTTGTGCAGCTCACATCACTCTGCTGCCATCGAATCAATCATGACACCAGCGTATCTCATCGTAGGCGCGACAGGCAACACTGGCCGTGGCGTCGTTGAGACCATTGCCAAGGAACTTCCGGGCAGCGCGTTCAAGGACTATCGCGTCTTTGGCCTAACGCGATCGAAAGACAGCTCGACCGCTAAAGAGCAAGCCAAGTTGCCCGGCGTAGAGATGATTGAGCAAAACTGGGTCGAAATCACAGCAGACTGGCTCATTGAGCACAATATTCAGCGTGTCTTTATCGCTTCCCACGCTGAGCCATCACAATTTGCCGAGGAATCTCAGTTCTACGTCAACTTGCTTAGAGCTGGCGTTGAGTATGTTGTGCGTATTTCCACAACAGCGCCCAATGTTAAGCCCGACTGTTTCGCCTACTACCCACGTGCACACTGGGCCATCGAGCAGATGCTCAGCACAAAGCCATTTGAAAAGCTTCGGTGGACCTCGTTGCAACCAAATTTATTCCTTCCATTTGCGCTGGCACCGGCAGTCGAACTTGTCAAGGGTTGGCGCGAATCTGGTCGGCAAGGGACACTCTGTCTTCTCCTGACTAAGGACATTCCTGTTGGTTTGGTTGATCCCTTCGAGGTCGGTGTTTTGGCCGGCAATCTACTCCTTGAGAAGGACTCGAGCCAATACAACAAGTCCAAGCTGGTCGTTAACGGACCAACAGACGTGAGTGGCCAAACCATTGTTGACCTTGTGGAGGAGGAGCTTGGTGCCAAGCTAGAAGAACCAGTCTCGTTTGATGACTCCAGTTTTATTGAGCAGATGGCTGCCAATGCTCCGCAGAAGAACCTCATTCTCTCTGTCAAAACTGCTCAAGATACAACGAAAGAGGGTCTTTGCACTGCGGCAACGACAAGCAAGGAAGTGTTGCGCATCGCTCCTCCCAAAAATACCGCCAAGGACATCTTCAAGATGATGCTTCAATAGATGAGCTTTGCACGCAGCGTAGCATCGATAGCTTTGCTTACGTAGGAAATGCAAAATCAAGCGTGCGAACGGAAGTCGGACGGAAAGTGCGATGTAAGCAAGCTACAATAATCTGGCCTTGACCGGAAGTAGGTTCTAGAGCGCCATAGAGATGCGAAGTAGGTCACATTCAACTCGTACTCGGGCTGCGCTAGCTGTAGTACTGATTCTTCCACAGCAACGGCTGTAGCGACGCTTACGGTCACTACAAAGACCAGTTTTTCGACTCACTCAGCTATAATTTCAATCGCGAGGAGCAAAGCCAGTCGTGGACACAACATCGTCAAAATTGCTACCCTTGTTTCTTGGAAAAGCCCATCGCGCGCGCGAGGCGTATAGGCTGAGTCTGGCGATGATGCAGCATGCAGCGAGACATATGAAAGATAAAGCTTGCTGGCTCTCTGCTTCAAGAGCGTTACGCAGGAAGCGCCTGGATCAATGGGAAAGAATCCATGCCCAGACTCAAGCCTGCCTGCACACGATGCCTCGAACAGCTAACGAATCGCTCCTTTTCAGAGCAGGAGACGGAACAGCTAAGGCTGCGGCTGTGAGTCTGCCTATACGAGAGACATCTTGTGTAATCTGGAGTGGTCTCTTGAGCAGCTTTACTGCTTTTCGAGATGCCTGGTCCACAATACTTCTGCAGAATCTCGACAAGATACAGCTCGCTCCACCCGGATTCTCACTTTAGCACCAGCCTTTCCCTTTGCCACCATTAGATTCATCCTTCGTTGCCTCGCGCAGCCAGACCCCGATCGCAGACGAAGAAGCACCCATCCGTATATAACAGTCAGCGCCATGGCAGGCGACCTGGCCCAATCGAGTCACTCCAAGGTGGAAGAGAGCCATCACTGCCAACACCTCTCTACTTGAAAAGCATGATAGTTACGGCATGGTTCGAGACGCCCACTGCCCTGCCTTGCTGGCAGGCCAGCACTTACATCAGCCATCTATCTGTTGCGCAGTTGGGCTATAAGCAGTACTCCCTAGACACCGGCAGCGTCATTGCAGAGCTGTCATGCGATGACCATGGCCAGCTACCGCTGTCCATCAGCATCGTGGACATTCGAGTGGAGAAATTGCCCCTGGCTGTCGCTGGCATATGGACGGTCGCTTTGTTTTGCTCACAACTTGAGGCACAGGTCGTGGCTACTTCGCGTTTGGGCATCAAGGCAAGCATGTCACATTCACCGGGCGTCATATTAGAGGCAGAGCGCAGTCAAACGGCAGCGGTTGCTCTACTGTCGGTAATCAAGTATACCGCAAGTCGATACCAAGGCCTTTGACCCTTCCTGGTTGCGTCTAATGGTGCAAGAGCTGCAACGCAAAAAAACCGCCAAGTCACCCTGCCGGTTTCATCAGCGGGTGGTCAGCTTCACCTCTTTCTTTCGCCGATATGACCTTCGCTCTCTCATCAGTCGCTCGTTGCGCTCTCACTGTACCCGCCCTTTGGTGTCATCAGGCACCTCTTCAACTTCGTTGGTCGGTGATTTCAACCCAAGCTCTCTTGTTCTCCAGTCCCTTCCGTTTCTACTTAATTAGCGCTTGTCCGTATGGTTTTTGGGCTTGCTACCACAACAGATTCAATTCTCGCTCTACAACGCCCTGGGCTCAAATTATGGTGGACAATCCAAGGAATGAGGACAGGGTGTAACTCCAGTGCACATCGGCATCTACTCACGATTTCTTTCACTCTCTCCACTGCCACGCATGCAACAAGGTTGGCAAAGTATTTTTCACCTGTCAAGCTTTGTTCGAGGACGACAAGGCAGCCGCGGGTCAGAAGTGAGCTTCGAGGCACACAAGCAAAAGCAATTCAATTTCTTTGTCTTGACCAGTTCTCCAAGAGGTCACTTGCTTCAGCCGAAGAGCACCGTCATCGTCTTCAGATTCTCGCTCATCGTTCGTTGCTTCCGCGTCTTTCGCTTCACACCAACGCCTCCATCACCACTACAAGTGAAAGGCCCTAACTAAAATTATGTTCCGTGCTCAGCCTTACAAGACAAAGCGCCAGCGTCGCAAGCGGCGCAAGAGAAGTATGTCGCACAGGGAAAAGCGAAAGCAGCGTGTTCAAATGCAGAGCCATGTGAGGCCTTCAGTCCCCAATTCAAATACAGCATGGTATGAGCAAAAGCACGCTCACGCCAAAGCCTGGCAAGCGCGAGTGTACGTCAACCACTCAAGCAATCGACAAGTAGGCCTCAAGCGCTTCGCCACCGACATCGGCAGCCTTGTTTGGTCTCTTGCGGTCAATCTCAAGGAGCACAGTTCCATGGCGTTCGCGGGCACACGTCAACGGCAGCTATTTAACCTCAGTCTTTCGAAAGTAACGGACAACAAACTTGCAAGTTGGCGCAATTTGGGGTTTGCTTTCTCAGATCAGGACGCCGACAGCCTGGAATACGCTGGAAACATGGGCATATCGCCCAGCATTTATCAAGATGACTCTAATTTTGGCCCTGCAGTCAAGTCTCGCATCAGACAAAGCATCACCTTTCTCCGCACTGAGATGAACCCCCCGCGTCAGAAGCCTGGCAACTGCTGCGAGGACGCGAGTTGCGGGATATGCTGTGTGAAGATAGAAGGTTGTTCGGCACAGCCCTTGAAGAGGAAGCAATTGTCCGCCAGCTGCACCGCGAAGAGTTCTCAAACGACACAAGTGTTCAGGTCGGTGGTGAGGTATTTCACCCACCTTAACAGACCTTCAAGATCGACTCCAGCTTGTCGCAAACGGGAAATCGAACGTGGTCAAATGTCTCTGAGTACACGGTTGTGCTACTTTTGATGCTATGTACATGAGTGTGTGGTGTTATGAGCAAGTGAAAGAGGGCATCGAGGGGTATTTTGTATGTAACTTTGTGTAGCGTGAGACGGAACGACGCAAGTAACAAGGCAATGCGTTGCCAGAGTCCATGCACAACCTTGCTCACAGTAGCTAGCTATTCAGGCAGCGCATTGTGGTCAGCAAAACCGTAGCCAATACACTTGTATACCACAAAGGTAACGTTTCAGGCTTCGAATTTCCTTTCGGGTGTTAGGGTGTCTCGCTGTTCAGCTGATATCGGGTGTTGTGCGCAGGTGCGATCCGAACGCTTGGGATTTTTTGTGGTGCAGCGGGAAAGTCGTCCCCAGTCCAACATCGGGAACCTTACTATGTTACTATGAGACCATTTCATCTTTATAAACTTGCGCTCATGGAAGCTGCCGGAACACTCGTTGTGTTCATGGAAGCCAATAGAACTTCTGTTGTTCTATGGCTTCCTCTTACTTTCTATTGTTCCATGATGGTCGTCCATGATTGACGGTAAGCGGATGACAGCTAACTGATTGCGATGGTACTTCAACTATGGGGTGTGCTGGCCTTTTAAGGCCTGCGTTATCAACTCATCAGCACAACTCTCACACTCTAGAGTTGCATGCGCACAACACTTCCCCTGCTTCTTCCGTCTTCCCGATGCAAGCACCCTTTTTTTTTTTTTTTTTGCATTCAAAGCTATCAAGTAGCTATGAGTCTAGAATGTAAATGGTAGGATGAAATGAATGACTTCACGAACGTCTGTGAACAGACGAACAGTGCGGGATTCTCCTTCAGGCCTTGAACCAGCAAGCTGCTCCTTTCCTGCAGGCATACCCGCTAAAACACCCTTTGTTTTATGCGCCCTCGGCGCACGATTGAACTCGCCGGTGTCTAGCGATGGCGGGGCCTAGTAGCGGCAACACAATATTATGTCAACTATGTGATGTGCTGGCCTTTTAAGGCCGGCGTTGTCAACTCATCAGCGCAACTCTCACGCTCAAGAGTTGCCTGAGCACAACACTTCCCCTGCTTCTGTATCCCCTCCTCCCGGCTTGCCAATGCCGAGCAGCTTGTTGAAGTGTTCGAACTTGTTTCGCCCAAGGGCCTTTGTAAGCAGGTCGGCGAGCATTTGGCCTGTAGCAACGTAGTCGAGGTGCATACAGCCAAGTCGGAGGCACTCGCGGACGTAGTGGAAGCGTGGTAAAATGTGCTTCGTGCGCGAATGAAACTTGTTGTCCTTTGCCAGCGCAATGGCTCCTTGATTATCGCCGCGGAGCGCGACAATCAGAGCTGCTTTCTTGCCGCTGATTGCTGGTGACATGTGCTCGATCACGCACTTGAGCCACTGCAGCTCTTTCGTAGCATTGCACAATCCAATGTATTCGGCTTCCGTGGTGGACAACGCAACGACGTCTTGCTTGCGGCTTGACCAGGATATGCAGTTGTTACCAAGGAGACTAACGTAGCCGCTTGTCGACTTGCCCGTGTCCTGGCAGCCTGCGTAGTTTGCATCTGAGTATACGTTGAGTGTCAATGGTCCAGGTGAGATATCTTCGGGTGTTTAGGTGTTTCGCGTGTTCAGCTGATACTGGGATTCCTTACTATGTTACTATGAGACCTTGCCACCTTTATATACTTGCGCTCATGGAAGCTGCTGGAACGTTTGTTGTGTCCATGGAAGCCAATAGAACATCTGTTGTTCTATTGCTTTCTCTTGTTTTCTGTGTTGTTCCATGATGGTCGTTCATAGACATGCGATTTGCCACTGCCGATCACGTCGTGAGATCTTGACCGCGAGTAGCATCACCTCCAACACTCCCACTCTGCGAGCGTGGCAAGATGTTGTTGCGTGGCAGGCTTTGTAGTCCTAGACTCGTGCAAAACCTTTCAATCTTGTCCTTAGCCAGCGCCTTTGTAAAGATGTCTGCCAACATCAAGTCCGTCTGCAGATACTTGACAGTGACGACTTGAAGTTCGATACATTGTCGCACATAGTGATGCTTCACCTGAATGTGTTTCGTGCGATTGTGGAACTTTGGATTTTCCGCCAATGCCAAACAACTCTGATTGTCACCGGGCACAATTGTTGGACCGTCGTGGTTGAAGCCCAATTCGAATAACAATGTCCTAAGCCATGTTGCTTCGCGACATGCTGCAGAGAGACCCATGTACTCAGCCTCTGTGGTCGACTGAGCAACGGTCTGTTGCTTCTTGCTGCTCCATGAGATTGATCCGCCAGCGAGACTAAAACTGTAGCCACTTGTAGATTTGCCAGTGTCGATACATCCTGCGAAATCCGAGTCAGTGTAGCCAAGTAGTTGTGTCTCTGTGCTCCCACTGAACGATAATGCATAGTCTTTTGTGCCTTGAATGTATCGGAAGATCCGCTTGACAGCCTTCCAGTGTTGTGGTCCTGGATTTGCCATGAACTGACTGACGACTCCCACTGCATATGCCAAGTCTGGTCGAGTGCCTGTCATCAAGTACATGATGCTGCCGATTGCCTTTTGATACATTGTTGCATCTTGTTCGCCGAAATCGTCATCCTGGCCACTTTCATCAGTCTGCATGATCTTGCTGAGTTTGGTGCCCGAATCCATTGGCGATGAGACCGATTTGCAAGTAGTCATGTTGAATTTCTCAAGAATGTCGTCAACATATTTGCGCTGCGAAAGCCTGATGCTTCCAGAACTCGTGTCTCGAATGATCTCAATGCCGAGACAGTAGTGTGCCTCGCCTAGATCCTTCATCTTGAATTTGGCCGAGAGATCCCTTTTGACCTCTGATATCTGATTGTTGTCCTTCGAAACGATAAGAAGATCGTCCACATAAACTGCGACGATGACTTGCCCTCTGCCCTTGACGTAAACCGAGAAGTCTGCTTGGCTCCTTGTGAACCCTTGAGACTCAAGCTCTCTGTGCATCTCCATATACCATTCTCGTCCTGACTGTTTCAGACCGTATAGTGTTCGATTCAACTTGCAAACCAAGTCCTGGCCTACCTTGAATCCTTCAGGTTGCACCATGTAGACTTCCTCTTCAAGCTTACCATTCAAAAAGGCTGTGATGGCATCCATTTGATGAATCTCCATGCCGTACATGGCTGCCATAGCGACGATTGCTCTGATAGAATTGAATTTGGCGACAGGGGCGAATGTTTGGTTGTAATCAATTCCCTCCTTCTGCGAGAAGCCTTTAGCAACGAGCCGTGCCTTATATTTCTCAATCGATCCGTCGGCATTGTGTTTAATCTTGAAGACCCATTTGTTGCCGATGGCCTTCCTGCCCTTTGGAAGCTCACATAGCGTCCAAGTATTGTTCTCAATCAGTGATGCATATTCCAAATTGGTAGCAGACTCCCACTGTTCCCTTTGCTCTCCAGCCATCGCTTGCTTATAAGTTTCTGGCTCTGTGATGACCAAATTTGCGCGCACACGAGATGATGCCTGTTGTAGCAAATCAATGTCATCATCCGAATCTTCTTGCGATACTGGCGTGACGGGAGTCAGACGAGCAGAGCGTCGAACTTGACCTGAGCTCGTAGCATTTGTTGGCTTAGCGTGAGCGACTTCCTTTGATTTGGCTGGTAGCGACTCAGTAGGTTTGTCGATAGTAGCCTCACTCGTGTTGT